GAAGGGGAGGAGGCGATGGAAGTGGGGGTGAGGGAGGAGGTGAAGGCGGTGGGGGGGGCGGCGAAGGCGGAGGAGATGGAGGCGGAGATGGAGGTGGCGGCGAAGGTGACGGCGGCGGCGGCGGTGAAGGTGGTGAGGTTTGCTCGACAACCATCGCCGTACTGAAACTCATGATGCACGCTCGCGCTATCGCCAGTCCATCTCCAAGGTCTTCATAAACTGTATCGGGAACGACATCGAAAGTAGAGTCAGCATTCGGAGCTTTCAGTAAAGCAACGTTAAGGTGCGATCCAGTGTACTCGTATGGTAATTCGAGAGTGACACAGGTATCAAAAATTTGTCCGTGCGGCATCAAATTGATTATGTTTCCAATGGCCGTCGAACGGTATTCTGGTGGTATCGTTCCACCCACATCTGTATTATCGAGCTCTGAGATGACGATGTTCACATCATCTTGAAGCGATGAAGCTGGAAAATCGAGAGACATGCTGAGACCCTTTTTCGAAGGCATATCGCTGGACTGTAATTTCGTTCGCTTAAACTTTTCAATCTTCTGAAGCTTAATTTTCTTCGAAATGTATTTCGCACATCCCGGGTCTGCCGAATTGCTCGCGCAGTATTCCACGATCACAAACATGCAACCTGGTGCAACTTTCTTGTACTGAATGCCATTGATTCGGTCGGAGCATCTCATGCTAAAGCAAGGGCAGCTTTCGTCGGAACCACACAAGGTAAACGGACACTTAAAATCTTCCGCAAATAAAGGAGGAAGGGGTGGTTTCGGTGGGGGCGGCGAAGGGGGCGGAGGTGGAGGTACCGGTGGTGCCGGTGGAGGTGATGGCGGAGGTGGACTTGGTGGCGGTGGTTTTGGAGGTGGACTTGGCAGTGGCGATGGCGGAGGTGGCGATGGCGGAGGTGAAGGCGGAGGTGGCAACGGAGGGGGAGGCAAAGGGGGTGGTAAAGGTGGCGGGGAAGGCGGCGGCAAAGGAGGCGGAGGTAAAGGAGGCGGAGGCGAAGGGGGAGGAAAAGGGGGAGATGACGGAGGGGGAGGTGACGGTGGAGGAAACGGAGGAGGAGACGGTGGTGGGAAAGGGGGAGGCGATGGAGGAGGAGGAGAGGGTGGAGGAGGGGGGGATGGAGGAGGCAAAGGACAACTTCCATCGAGCGTGCACGGAGATGGAGGCGGTGACGGCGGAGGAGGAGGAGAAGGAGGAGGACGCGGCGGAGGAGAAGGAGGAGGAGGAGAAGGAGGAGGAGGCAAAGGTGGCGGTAGTGGTGGTGGAGATAGAGGAGGAGGTGAAGGTAGAGGTGGAGGTGGAGGTAGAGGTGGTGGTGAAGGAGGCGGTGGCGACGGCGGCGGCGGCTTTGGAGGTGGCGATGTCGAGGGAGGGGGGAACGGCGGATGCAGTGGAGGAGGAAGTGGAGTTGGTGGCGATGGCGGCGGTTTTGGAGGAACTGGTGGTGGCCATGGCGCTTGAAATGGTGGTGAGGGGATTGGCGACGGTGGCGGGGGTGCGACCGCAAAATCTTGCCGAGTAAAGTTAAACGGTGATCGTGCATCTGGAATACCCGCCGCAAGACAAATTCTGGAATAATTTGTTCCCGAAGATATATTCGGGTTGAAGGTGATGTCACACGTCACACAAAAGGTCGCATTCGTACAAACTACGCACCCCACAGAGCATCCATTATCACCATAAGCTTCTCTTTTTATTGGATCGAGAGAGACTGCCGATACTGGAGCGAGGAGAGATGCATCGAATCCCCTATTCGTGTTTTCTGCACTCAATGACGCGACGAGAACTTTGGAAGTGCCATCGTCCGCGTCGAGATTCATCTCCGCGTCGTAAAAGAAGCGATATATTAACGAGTCAGAACTCGATGAAGCGTCAAAGATAAGATGATTTTCATTTAATTTCTCTTCCATAAGCACACGTCTGTTATTTTTCGCGGTTTCTGATAACACTCCCGCACTCACACCGGATAGAAGAGGTGATGGCGGTGGTTTCGGAGGTGGTAAAGTCGCCGGAGGTGCGGAAGCAGTCTTCAGATAACAGTGGTATCCCTCTCGACTGTTGAGTTTCCCTCCATCGAAAACATTTGAAGGCCCACACAGGGACGAACCTCCATTGCAATAAGTCTGATAATTTTCACCATCTATACTTTGCATACCTCCCCATTTGTTGTTTTGGAATGTATTCGTCGATTCAACAACATAAGCGTTCCAATCCGTAACTAATCGACACTCAGGTGTTGGCCAAATATCCCGAAGTACAACTTCTGCAGCTAAACACCACGCGAATACGATACACTTTGCCTTGCATAGAATGATTGCGTCATGAGCATTAGTACCGCTCGTGTGGGGGAATAAATCGTAACAGCTTTTTGAGAATTTTATCCCATAATTTCCATTTGATTGGCGGCACTCACCTTCACCAAGATACGAGTAATCAAGGTCCGGTGGAGGTGGCGGAGGTGAAGGTAGCAATGGTAACGGAGGGGGAGGCAAGAGGGGGGGGAGCGGTGCAGCAGGCGACGGCGGTGCAATATCTGGCTTCGCATAGCAATGATGACCTGTTAGAGAGTGCACTCTGCCACCGAAAAAACGTGGCGCGTCGGCGCGGCAAGTTCCACCATGACAGTGAGTTTGATACGTTTCGCCACCGAGAGTTTCTGCGCCTCCCCAAAAATTGTTTGCAAGCGTGTTACCAGATTCTACTACATAAGCCGTCCAATCCGTTATTAATTTGCATCCAGGAGTGAGTTGCGACTCTGCATCGAGCTCAACTTCTACGGCAAGGCACCACGTGAACTCGAGACATTTGTTTCTACATCGGTTCCTAGCCTCGTGCGCATTTGTTCCTACGACATGCGGATTCAAATCAGAATATTCCTTTCGAAATGTCATCGGGGACTCGAGGCCGTTACTCACCATACACTCGCCTTCTCCGAGATATTCGTATGGACTTGAGCACGATGCCAGGATTATCCTATTACTAGGTGAACTTGAATATGTTAGAAGACCTTTGGAATATAACGTGGACGGATTTGAAAGACTTTGATCAATTCCCGCCACGAAAACAGCAGTTTCGTTAGTCACGTTGAATGAAGTACCCGCAAGCCTTTTATACTTCAAAAGGTAAGCTTTGAAAGTTCGAAAAGAACCTCGTTCCGCGACTCTCCCTCTTTGCGTCCACGTTGAAATAGGATCATTTAAAATACCGAAAGGTGGCTTGATGTCAGGTTCGTTACATATTGTCCAAGTGCCAACAAGAGTATCCATGCGGCCACCAACATGACCTCTAGGCATTTCAAGAAACAAATCCTCCAGCCACAACTTCGTCGCATTGGCGTCGTAACCGGCCAAACCGTTGAAACATATACCTTTCGTAAACTCTGGACCGCATCCGAGCAAAAATGTCAACGCATTTTTGAACGCATTTGCGCTACCAGGCGTATCGATGAGTGTAAAGTCAGTTCGCGTCGCTCGTCTGATTCCAGCGGAGGGTTCATTCCACGCCAGCGCAAGAAGTTCCGATTTGAACAGATTCAAGACAGCAATGCTACTTCCATACGCGCTCCTATAACATGGTAGTATTCTGAGAAGAACATTATACCTTGTCGCCGATCTAAACATTGAGCTTTCCCCTTCAAGTATGTAGGGGATGACCACATCCAAGAAATACCTTAGTGGACCATCACTGGTCACACCAAAAGGACATCCTACTAATCGTGCGCCCGCTGAAAGAAATTTCTCCAAACTCTTAGGATAGAAACGCGCGACGTGCAAGAATTGTCTGGCAGCCTTTTCGAGGATTGTAGTATTCGTAATTGATGTCATTTGATAGTGCGTGAAAATTAAATCCCATGCTTCAGGGACGTGAGGATTTTTCTCCAACGTGGAAAGTAAGAGCATTATGACCCGCTCTTGGGTGTTTAAGCCGCCCATATTATAATAGAAGGTGCGAAATAGCTGCATAGCAAGCCGAACCTCTAAATAACTATCCAGGCCTTCGTTCATTGCGCGAGGTATCGAAGATATGTAATCTAAGGACGTTTCAATCCCTTCTCCACGTCTCCGGATATCGTCTGTAGGGAGCGGGTTCACATCAGTCAACCACGTCGATACTTCACCAGCAATGAACCCAAACTTATTCATTTTCCATAACCCACTTGGGCTTTTATTAAATGCGATTGCTGCTGAGTGACCTCCGGGTTGTTGGACCATTGTCGCCGGTCCGCCTCTACATGCAACATTTCCAACATGTAGATACGACAACCTGGCGCTCCCTCCCCCATCTTCGGCAATCCGAGGTAGAGAGTCTTTGTACCAATTCGAATTTCGACACACGTTTGCGTCTGGTTTATTGCTGTCGTAATTAGAACTGTATCGAAACCAAGAAGTAGCGATGCCGGCTTTACTGGTACGATTGAGATCAACGTACTCATCTGGGTTATCTGCCTCCGCGTCTTCGTATCGGCTCCAAATCCAGTCGCACTCCTCAGTGGGAATATGAGCAATTGGATGTATCGTTAGTAATGGCCATGGTGCATCTGTAAGAGGGAAAGCGAGATCTTTTCTACCCACTTTTTTTATCAAATAATCCAGAGCGGCGATCGGAGAAGGGTTCTTCAATCTTGACGTGGGTGCGTTGAATTGCTTCCCATGTTGCGCACAGTAATTTCGCAACTTTGTGAATTCAACATCTGCGGTAGCCCCGTCTTCTCCCTGCTCGGGAGAGGTTGAGTTTATTAGCGAACCTATGTTTCTGTATCTCTGCGAGAACGCGAGAAGAACGTCGGGGATGTTCGAATCTACTATTTGCTCGTCGTCGAAAAAGTTTTTCAAAAAGCGAAGGTTTTCCACAACTTTAGGATGCGTCGGCATCGATAGTGAATAGAGCGATTTCCTCAAACTCACGCCTTGATCTCCCGTTTGAGTTCTAATAAAGTCCCAAATTGTATCCGATTCTGGGATCGAGGATTGAGATTTTGCATGATTTTCGTTCCAATCAAGCAAAGCGTTTGTTAACACTTCCGTCCATACTTCTCCTGAGTCGATCGTAACGTTGAACAGCTCACCGAAAGCCTCGGACCCCATGTACGGATATTGCGTGAATACGCCGCGCTTGGCAAACACGTGAGACCTACTTGATCGCTCAAATGCTGGCGACGCTGATCTGCTTAATTTCTTAGTTGATATAAAACCGCAATTGCCGCTTTCGGGGTTATCATCAATGTCAGGCGTGAAAACCACACCTGGACATCTAGCGGTATGCGAGCACGCCCTGACGCACTCACTGACAGATGCATTGAACGTCTTCTCGCTCGTATGCGCGCGCCGCTCGAATAGAATAAAGTCATCGATTGGGTCGAGTAATTCACTCGCTTCTGCTTTCAAAAAGTGGGTCCATCCTGATGGCAAAAACAAGGAGGCAGGGGTTTCTGTGTAGCTACAGGTGTCAAATTCAGCCGGCTTTGTGGCTGCTTCACAATACGCAGTATAGCATATGGCCGAAGATGGTATACACTTAACACTACGCCCGCGCACACCGGTGCTTGCGATCCCAGATCCTATCGGTGCCTTCTCACACGCACTCCATTCGCTTACGTTCCACGAAGGTGTCGCGCACGATTCTCCATTATCGATGCCGCGTTTGAGAGTACACTTCCCGTCCGGATCTTTAGCCCAACCGTTGAGGCAAATGCATGTGCCGTAATCAGCCATAACCTCACACCGACCATAATGACAATCTACATTACATAGCAAACCATGTGATTCGTACTGATCGCATAGTCGAGTTGTAGGTGGCATTGCCCCTGCTATACATCTTTGTATCTCGGCGCGCGTACCGTTTGGCCACACGCATGCGTTCATGCGCGACTGGGTGTTCCAAAGATTTTTCTGAATTATATCGTTACGCGAAATTTCCAGGTCCGCACGACGCTTTTGTGGAGTCTTTCCGCACCTTTCCCACGCAAGTGGCACCCATTGAGCGTGGAGAACCTCATTTAACTCCGTCAAATTTTTCGAGTAGCACTCCTTTTCACTGGTGGACGGCACAAAACAACAGCCATATTTCTCGCACGTGGCTTTTCGAATGTTGACATTTTGAGTGTTTCCTTGAGAGTCCAATTCATATGGAACACAAATTGTTCGCGATGTGCCTACTTTCAACAAGCATTGCGGATTGCAACTAAACGCGTTACACGATTGCATGCCGTTTGGCTTTACATCGAAATGAGCGCATTTAGAATCGTTCACTGCGTCAGATAAAATCTGGCGCGATCTGAGCGCGCAAAAAACTTTACGAAATTGTACACCGCTTTCGCAAGGTTTCGAACATATGCTCCAAGGTGTCGTGGCCCAGACAACGTCGACGTTTCCTACGAAATAATCAACGCCTTCCTCGTTGGACATCACGACGAAGGAGGCCAAATCCGATATCGTTACCGGGTGCAGGTATTCCACCGGGGTAAAACGAGTTTCTCCGAGATAGGAAGTTGATGATTCGTAAGAAGGAACACTCGAAGGTACAGCAGTCAAGGTCTCATCGCATCTTTCTTTGTATATTCTGCATACTTTCGTTTCGCGCGCATACGTAAACGTCGCACCTGAAGCTGGACTAAACCCGAAGGGATTGGCGCCGCCAGCCAGACACTGGCTCAAGGATTCGGTGGTTTGTGAAGAAAGAATCTCTGCATTTGCGCAGTCCAACTTTTTACACGACCTCGAAGTATATCCATCCGCAATTCCAAGACCAATAGCTGAAACCGGCGAGCACAGCAAGTGTCTGTCGTTGAACGAAGAATCTTCCATTACAGAGGTTCCCCATGAATCGGTGTGGCGCATACCGACGAGACCGACACCAGTCGCGATGTATCCCTGTGCGCACGACTCGTCCATCTCGTAATGCGTACCTTTTTTTACTGCATTGCTTTTTGATGCAAAAGTTCGCGCTTTCACTTCATTAGAACTATCAACGGTAAAACCACTAGGCGTGCCGCAACGCGGAACTACACCCGCCTTGGCAGATGATTGATTCGTGTCGTGTGTAAAGGCTAAGCCGGTGAGAACCTTGCCGACAGGGCATCGCACGTACCCGGTGGGATATCCTAATGCTGGATCCAAGTCGTTGCGTACGTATTGCAAAGTACTCACCGGTTTAATGAAGAGCGAATCGATGCGAACCCAGTCGTAATATCGCTCGTCCTCTAAGCACAGCGTCGTGTTGCTGTAAAAAGCGCACTCGCTCAACTTACCAGAGGTCAGCCCTAACCCAGACTCGACACACTTCATCGATTGAATGGGGGCGTTAAAATCATCGGTAATCATCACAACTTCTTCGCCTCGATATTTAGCGTTATGAAAAATCGAGTCTTGTCCCCAATATCGAGTGCGTTTCAAAATCGCGGAAGAAAGCTCCTCCTCGCAGTCGCAATACCCCCATTCGGTTTGCTCAGCATTCGTGTAACATATTTTTCGCCCTCTTTCGAAACCCGCACCTCCAAGGGACGCCGATAAATGCAACGCTGGTATGAAGCACTTCGACTGGTATTCAGTAACATCACTTCCATCCGCGTTTGCGTGGATCACGAGAGACTTTTTATGGAAGCACGGACTAGAATTCGCCGTCCCGCCGCACGTAGGCTTCGCGTAGTCTAGATACAAGCCTCCAGAGAAAAACACACTTTCTGATGTCTGTAACGAGCTCAACTCAGCTGAATCTGCAGCTATGTACCGATATGTACGTTTTGGTTCTGTGCCTAGCAGACCACCATCGCTGTGATAAATTCGCTGTCCGTGTAAAGGAAAAACTTTCGAATCCCCAGAATGTAACGAAACGTGCGAAAGTTCTCTCTCGGAGTAAAACTTCGAACTTGCTCCTGCACCTAAGTAATTCTTTGAACCAATCAACGGGTCTATATTACGTCGCAACTTTGCAATACTACCTAGTGTCAACGAATCCGAAGTGAAATTTCCCGTTTGAGGAAATATCTTTTCGGTAAATCCGCCAAAATCCCCGCTCACCCTCATACTCATACTTCCTCCGCCGAGGGCGAGATTGGGAATAATTTCGTTTGGAATTACCTGATTCCAATGCGATTGAAGCATATTGTGCGTACCATTCGAAGCAAAGTTCAAAGATGGCTGCCAATCCCAAGAGTGCATTCCGCGATCGCGCTCGTCGCGTCGCATGTAAAATGTAATCAATAAATCTTCATTTCTCCCTTGGCGAAGGCGTATCTTGACCGAACTCGATCGCAAACGGCACGTAGAATGTGAACTGGCCGATCGAGTGACTACATCAAATCCCGCGCATCGAGCGTTCGATGTGCACCTTTGCGCGCAAAATTCGATAAAATAGGTTTTTCTAAACCGTTCTTGCGAGATTTGTAAAGTATGGAGAGTGTGAGGAGGAATATACTCCTCGAAAGAGGCTGAATCGTAAGACTCGAACAAATCGCCACCATGAGGGAGTCCGCAACGCTGCGTTTCGTAATAATCAGACTCAGTTTCGATCGTTACGAAACCTAAATCGTCCCAAGAGGCTGGCGCGTTACAGTCATTCGCGTCTAAATCACACATACAAACCTGATGCCTATCGTCCTCGTATAAAAATCCGGGCACACGATACCGCCCATCGGCGATGAAATCGTTCCATTCCATGTACGGTTGATGAATACTCGATTGATTCGTGTGCATTTCATCGCTAAATGGTCGCATGTGCACGTAATTAGCGCTCGAACGCACCGAGTGCCCGCTTTGCTTCACAAGCGTCTTTGATGCCGCAACGTCTGCAGTCCCGTCCCATGCGCCCATGCACCCAATACGCTGTCCTCGCAAGATCTTCACAGAGGCTCTCGCCGGAAGTGTCGCCGTACCGCGTTCGACAAATACCAGCGGTGTCTGTACACCAGTTAGTATTTTACCAACTAATACTTTAATCTGATTGTAATGATAGGTTGGTATGCAGACGTTTGAGCCTCTCGGTAATCCGTACTTTTCCCCTATTCCGACGGCACAAAACGTACCGCTTGAACAGTCCGAGTGCCTATCACTCCTCGACGTTTTACTAAAAGAAGTTGGCGTGCAAGAACCCTCATACGCCTTGCACGGCAAAACGACGATGTCGCTCGACCGCACCGTCCTTAAATCGTCCGTCAAATATGTTTTTCTTTTGCAGTATCCATCCATCCCGTTGGTGAGACCGGCGAGACCGCGATTGATTTCAACTTCTCGCTCGTACACAGAAGTATACGCAGCAGCACTTATTGGTTCCTTGTAGTCGTTATAATACGCAGCATTGAATCCAGATGCATTACTTGCAGTGTTCACTGCATAGTCTGCGCAACACGCTGGGTATATGTGCTGGTATTCATCCGTGTACGCGGAAACGCAATGTTTGGCGTTGCCCCCCATTTGCTCCATAGCTGACGTTAATTTGTTCCAGTGTTTATACATACCACGACTGCGACTCGGATTTGCAACAAAAACACCAGTGGAATCGTTCTCATCGCATTTGGTCGACGTCCAAACGAACGAAGTTGGGCAATATTGCGCAGAATAAGCTTGTGGTAAACCAAGGGCGACTTCGTATGCTGTGCACAACCGAGCGCCTCGAGATTCGCACAAATCCTTATTTACCCCGTAGGACACGCCTGGGTTGCACGTAATGTCGTTCCAAGCGCAGCTTCGATTTAAAGAGCTCGTCCAGTAATCATGATATTTAAAAGCTCTGTCTTTGGGATAATTACCGTAACCAGAGACGCCTTGCGCGCCAGTCGCCTGATAGCACCCAGACGCCAAAGGGTCGTTCGTGAAGCTCGCCCACGTTTGGTTCGGGGCCGCATCAAAAATCTGAGTGCCACACGAACGCAGAGACGGAAAGCCGCCGTAGTGTTGGTCATATCCGCCACCGTCGGGGTTATTCTCCCAAATCCTACTCGCTTGTAAAAGAGCGTCTCGTACCGAGAAATTCGTCCCGAGCTCTTCGCACGTTTTCGTGGATGGACACGCGCCTTGGCAAAATTGTTCGATCGATGGTTTATCTGCCGCTACGCACTCTGATTCTGAGCTCGCAATCGATCCACTCACGGTATTTACACATTGCACGGTTCGAAACTGTTTAAAAGTACACTCTGCTGAAGATGCCGAGTACGTTATATAACCGGTATTTTTACACTCGGACCACGCGGAGCTCGTCCATCTTCCCGAGACCGCCGATCGCCAGACGTACGATTCATACCCAACCACATTTTGAGTTTGTAACGGGCGTCTCCTACCAAATACCCCGCACAGGAACAAATCACATTTTTTCTTCGCGCCTAAGAAAGATATCGCCGAACACCGAGACGCCATGGCTGCGCGACAGGCGCTCTGACATTCGAGGAGTGTTCTCGATATCGTTGAACTCAAGCGCATGCAATTCTCGATGTACGTATTTCCTCCTAAAAACACCCACTTCACAGTGTCAACTACTGCGCTCGCATTGCTTATACTATTACTATACTCTCCACACGGGTCTGTCGCGTTCAAAGGATCCGAGTATCCTACGTGATACTCGCACAAGTTTCCTCCGTCGTCGCTGGCTCGACAGCAACTGTCGCCACATTTAGTAATCGTCGTTGAAACTGCACTTGAACTGTCGCGCTTTACCGCGCACTCGTTCGTGCTCGAGCCTATATACTCAACTTGCACCAAAGATTGATAACAACTAAAGGCAGAAGCCGATTCTCGTGCGTTTGCGAAGCAGCATCCGTACAGCTCGCATCTCTCCTTTTCCGCGGAAACCGACGTTTTCTCCACCTTATGAATATTTTCGTAATACGGATTGCACGGTTTTCTATCTTCTGCAATCGGAACGAAACACTGATCTTGACACGAGTGCGTGTGACACACTTCAATCTCAACTTTTCCATCGTCGTCTTCTCTTCCACTATTAATACCACACAAACTCGAATCGACGGCTTGGTTCGTCAGTAAATCTTTACACGTCCTTCTCGAGCGCGTCCGAAAGCCACCCCCGCACGTTTTAGAGCACTCCGACCATTCACTATTGACGCTTCTCACATACACCGCTCTTCTTCTATTTTGCGCGTACGTATCTGTATAACCCCATTTCTTCTGACCTTCATCGTTGCTATAAGTAAAAGTCACGCTAGACGAGGTAAAACACCACGGTTTTCCTTCCCAGGATTTTTCTAATGTCGGTTCGAAATATTCCACGCCTTCGTATTCGAAAGGAAACACACAATTTTCTCCATTCGCTGTACCGCCCGTGGTTTTTGTCACTTTTACGTAGTGTGTTTGTATTCCTTCTCTTTGCACTAATTCGCTCGAGTCTGGCAAGGACGAAAGGAAAATTGCGTTTGAATACCCGCTGGCGAATATCGCTCTCAAACCGTCCTCGTTTGATTCCAAGAGCGGCCCAGTCACCCTCGCTTCTTCGTGAAACTCGTCCATTTTTTTGTTCGATATAGCAAACGCTTCCTCCAACTTCACAATCGCCTCCGAAAACGCTCTAAATTGTTGCTGCGTGTACGCGATTCTAAAATTGTTCATTCCAAACTGACTCGCGATTGCGGCTTTGCTATTCGCCGTGTCGCTCGCTCCAGAACACCTATAAAAGCCCGCGCACCGATGATCCCTCTCGCACGCTCTCGTAATCTCTGCTAAGGTTCCATTTACTGCTGCGTAGGCTAACTTTCGTATCAGGCTTGGATGAATGACCAAATCATCGTACGTGACATTCTCTATCCGTTTAGTTTCCGAACTCCGTCGTTCCTCTACTAATACGTTCGCGTCGTCGTATCCCGCAAAATCTTCGTCCATATCCACCCCTCGTTTCTTTCTATAAAAAGTATGCACTTTTTCAACCTCGTCCGCGACTAAACCGTACCCTCGACCGACTAAGATGCACTCATACGCCGACGTAACTTGCGTAAGCTCTAACGTAAACCCAGCGCACTCGTACCCGTACCTGTCGCACTCCGTTTTGCAACCCAAAAAAGTCGACACACGTTTCAAAAAAGTTCCCGAGACGTGATGTCGGTCGACATGCACGTGGTAATTCGTCGGCTGCGCTTCGATCGTTTCTGGTGACAGCAATGATTGCATCAGGTTTCTTCTTCTACTACTTATTCTTCTCTCGCGATACGAAGAAGAAGAAGAAGAAGAAGAAGAAGAATAGTTTGTCTCCTTCGCGTCGTTGTTCAAAATTGAGTCGGCAAATCGGATTTCGACCGAGGATTTTGGCGTTGATAGATGCGTTTTACTCTTCTCGTAATCCTTTACGAGTTCTAACGGCGATACTACGAAAACGATTAATAAAAGAACGCTCACTATCAGAGCCACCGCGCGAAAATGCTCTCGTTTCTTTTTCTTCATCTTTCGTTCGTGAGCGAGTGGCTGTGATTATATCTCCTCTCTAAATTCTTAAATTTGACTTGTGTAAAGTGGTTGTGTAGTGGCGAATTAATTCTCTCTCAAAAATCACTCTCAGAGCACAGATCACGAAAACAATATACAATATACAAATTACACCACTTTTTACACAAAAACGCGACACAAGAAAAAAAAACGAATAAAAAAATGGTGTCCATCACGATGTCGACCACGAGCGCATTCATCTCTTCCCCGACGACTTTGAAGTTGAGAAAGAAGTCTAATACTAATAAAAGAAGTAACAACAGTCTTTTGAAGATAGCGAAAGCGATTTCGGTCGCCGACGTGACCGGTCCGGTGAAAGAGACGATAAAAGATGTGCAATCCGTGGAGGTACAAAATACGATGAGTTTTTCTTTCTCAAGGGAGAATTCGAATAATAATTGCGCGAACTCGTGATGATGGTTTTTCTTTCGTCAACACTAACAATCGAAGAACGCGAAAAAAAAAAGCAATCGGCATCACCACCACCATTTCATCGTCATCGATCGCGAGAAAGAGAGAGAGAAAAGACACGCAGAGTTCTTCTTTGGCTCTCCATCATCATCATCCAATTCAATTCAATCCTCAAAATTCTCCTTTTTTTTGCCTCGTCAGCTTTTTCTTTTCCCCTTTTTTTTTGAAGGACAACATTAACAGAGAAAATTGAGGAGAAAAGTGCTGTTTAGTAGTAAACACAACATCGAAGAAGACGAAGAAGAAGAAGAAGAACAATTCATTAAATAACACTAACCATTATTAATAAAACCTCATCAATTCTTTGATGATGACTTCTTTATGATAACAGGGATTGAAGAAACTCTCGATTCGGGTGTCGAAATATGCGCCGGCGACGATCATGAGCGCGGGTTCATTTGGCGCGTTCCCGACGATGGGCGCGTGCATGGCGGCGTGCGGGTTAGGCGCGGTTGGAGGCCCGTTGGCGCCGTTAGCCGGACCTCTTTTGTTTTCCCAGGCTGGTGCAGCGGCGAGCGTTGCCGCCGGGGTCGCCGGGATTTTCGGGATTGGCGGGGACGTTCCCGCGTATTTGCACTCGTTGATCTTTCTCGTCGCCGCGGCGGCGGTGTGGCAATACAGCGCCGTCGGCGCGGCGTCGACGTTGGCGGTCAACGCGTTCGCGTTTCACTACGCGCACATGACGACTATTTTGAGCAACTGTAAGGATGTTACGAAGAGAATTCCGTACACTCTTATGAATTCGGTGAAGAAAATTGCGTTGGTTGGACCCGGTTTGGTCATGGCAATGATGCAGCTCTTGCCGAGAGCGATGGAGTTTGAAACCTTCGCCAAGATTGGTTTCGCGCCGCCTGGACTCCTCGGACCGATTGGTGGGTTCTTTTTACACCCGATCGTGCCATGGATAATCGCCATCGCCTCGTTGGTGTGGTTAACCGAAGGGGAGAAGAAGATTACTTCGTTTATCCTCGGCTTGGGGTATTTGATTCCGGGTATTTCGTATTGTCCGACCATGTTGGCGCCGTACGGTCTCGCGCTCATGTTCATGCACTTGTTCTTGGGATTGCAGCTTTTACAGGAAGTCACTCCTTATGGAAGTTTGATTCCTAACCCTCTTTAACTCTTCTGTTTAATTTAACACTGATGAGAAGACAAAAAGGACGGTTGACGACAAAATTTTCGCATGACGGACCGTGTTGTGATCACAAAATGGGAACAAAATGATATTTAATATGAAAAAGAAAATGTATATGATAACAAAAGAACGAACGAATGAAAGAAACTCATCACGATAGCCACCCTATGCATACTTCTTCTAACACAAGTTATTGAATTCTATTCTAAAAATCTCTTCTATTTCTTCGCGCGGTGGTTTCGCGCGTGTTTTCTTTTATTCGACTATGGAAACGTTCAACTTACTTCGTCCAAACGGCATTTGCTCGACTTCTATTTTCACCTTGAGTTTTCCAAACATGTTCTGACGAGCGTTGAATCCTTTCGATACTTTAACTCTCGCTTCGATGCCGTATTTAGGAACAAAGGCGACGATTTCATCTTCGTCTTCGTCTTTCTCGCCCTTCTTGATATTATTAGCATTATTATTATTATTATTAGTAGTAGTAGTAGTAGTAGTAGTAGAAGTAGAAGTAGTAGTCTTGTTGTTGTTGTTGCCGCGAATCTGGAAGACTCTTGCCTCTGCGACGGTCGTTCTATCTTTGAAAAACTTCAAAGTGTGGAGCTCTGCCGACGCTCTGCCGGCTTGTTGACCGGCCAAATGTCTCGCGTTGCACGTCTCGGCAATCTCCTTAGTGAAAAGATTGGTGTTGTCTATGGCGACTTTTTTCCCAACGCTTGAGATCAAAACCTCGTCGATGGAAATCAATCCCAAACTCGCAGAGAGTAAACGATGGACAATCACGTCGGCGTATCGACGAATCGGACTCGTAAAGTGCGTGTATAAAGGAGAAGCTAAGCCGTAATGATAGAGCTCGTTTCTCGGAAAAGACCCGGTCGAACAGTATTTCGCAGTGGACATGCATCTCGTCGCTTGCAAGCGCAACAAAGTATTAAAGTACGGATCATCTTCGCGCACGCACGCGTCCAAACTTTCCGCCAAAGTTTTATTCGACGCGCAGTTTATTTTGTTCTCTAAACCAAGCAATTGAACTGTTTCTAACAGAGGAAGAAACATTTTTTCCCTCGGCTCCGGGTGCCTTCTCAACAACGCGAAGGACGGGTAGTGCTCGGAGATCCTCTCCGCCACCGCGATATTCGCCAAGAGCATCATCTCTTCGACCATTTTGTTTGTTTCTCGAGAGATGTACAAACTCACGTCTAAAGGATTACTCGTTTCGTCGTCTAATTCGAACCTCACTTCTGGCGAAGCTAAAGTCAAAGCACCTTGTTCCATTCTTTTCGCTCTGAGCGCTTTTGACACGTCTCGTAAACGTCTCAAATCGTTCGCCAAGTCACTCTTATCGTTCGTTTCATCGTCGATGATTTCTTGCGCTTTTTGATAAGTCAACGCCTTGCTCGACTTAATGATTGATTTCGTGAAGCGCGGTTTGACGTCTTTTCTCGGGAGCATCGTGGCTGGATCTACGCGCCAAAAAACCGAAAACGCGAGTCGCTCTACGTCCGCTCTCAACGAACAAATATCTTCAGTCAAAGGTTTAGGGAGCATGTCTAATCTGCGCTGAACTAAATACGTCGTCGTGCCTCTGCGCAGAGCTTCGTCGTCCATGGGCGTTCCAGGTTTCAAAAACGTCGTCACGTCCGCGATGTGAACGCCAATTTCAATTTCTTCTTCTCCTTCGACGCCATCGTTCTTGGGCACAACGACAGCAGAAAGTGCGTCGTCAATATCGCGACATCCAGGAGGGTCCACCGAGCAAACGCGCAGATTCCGCAGATCTTCACGTTTGGGCTCCTCTATGTGTTCTTCAGTCACCTTCCACGGCAGCGGCGGAACGCATTTGTGCACCGCCGGCGCAAAAGGACGATCGTCCACGTCTGCTTCGAGTAATAATGCTGCAGTTTCCGACGCAGTTTCTCCAATTTCACCGAGAGCGCGAACAAAGTGTCCCTCTGGATACGGCGAAGACGCGAGCCACGCGTCGATGACAACGACGATTCTCTGAGAAGCAATTTGATGCGCGTGTCGCGTATTGATACGAATCTTTGGAGTTTTGCGATCGTTCGGCACGCAAAGGACTCTTTTCGCGCGACCTCCTCCATCTTCCGTTTCATTTTCGTTACTATTCTCGTGTTGTTTTCTCGCGAGATCTGCGCAAGATTCAATATCGAGAGCGCACGCGTATCCTCGATCTCTCCAATTTCGTTTTACGATTCTTACGACTTTTGCTTTCAACTCCGGCAAAGAAGGAGGCATTTCTGCACCGGCCTTCGCGGACGCATCATCGACTGAAGCAACATCTTCTGATGCGTTTACGATTGGTGCGAGTGAGACTACGTTATCGTCATCGTTGACGTCGTCTTTCTCCCTTTCTTCTTCTTCATCCTCATCTTCGATAATTTCAATACCGACAACGTCTCCTTCCATCGCTCTGTTCATGCGATGACGTCCTTCTATTTTCACGTCGAGCGTGTCGTCTCCCACGTCGACGTACGCCGAGAATGGCGAGTACGGAGAACACCTGATTTTGCCTTCTTTGTATCTCCCGGCGGAGACGCCGCTATCATACTGCGCTTTCGTCAAGTGTTCGGGAAAGGCGGTGAACCCTCCTCTCGCCGTCGAGTTACTCTTTTTGCTGTTCATTTCCGTCTTGTTGATGGAAGCTTTCGTTGTCGTTCTTGTGTTCTTCGCGTAATTATTTCTCGCGATTTCGTTTTCATCCGCCCCGAAGCACTCTTCTGTTCTCGTCGAGCACAAATCGACCAACTCCGGGAACGACTTTGCGAAATGTTTGTTTACCACTTCCCTGACGCTCATCGCGTTCAAATTTTCCTCTTTCGCTTTCAACACGTTTCCTCGATCGTCAGAAATTAATATGACTTTTGCTTCCGCTGCTTTTCCGGCGCTTCCTTTTCCTCCTTCTCTTTTTTGCGTGCCGTTGTGCTTGTTCGACGAACACAATCCGACAACCTTTTGGTAAAACTTAACCACCTCCCGTATCGCCCGATCGTTCCTATCGTTCGCCGATTCGCCTTTCTTCGGCTCTCCGACGTACGTGTCCTTGTGAAATTCGTTAGAAAACACAAAGAAATTCTTTCTCCCCGACGTTGTTTTATCCCCCGTAGATGAAGAAGCTTCTAGACAAAGCCTCCTCACGCGCTCGTACGCATTCCTCGACCGGTTTCTAACCTCCTCTAAAACCGTCGTGCACACGACTACATTTCTCATCGCCTTCGGGTGCGATACCACGTCCAGCTGGTGTAAACACACGTTCGCGTCGACGACGTAAATAATTTTATCATTTTCGATGTTGTTGTTGTTGTTGTTTTCCTTCGTTGTCATCGACTTCGCTTCTACGCCGCTCTTTTCTTCTTCTTTTTCTTCTTCTTCTTCTGCGTTTACATCCAAAATCCATTTCGTCTTGTCTTTCCCTTTGTATGCCACCGGCGCTTGCTTAATCCCGCAGAAAATATCATCGCGAAGATACCGCTCGCGGGAGTGTTTCTTCGTCGTCCTAAACGCGTTGTTGTTGGTGGTGGTGGTGGTGGGTCTTTTGTTGTTGGTGAAGAAAGACGATGATTTCGACGTTCTCGAAATCGTCTTCTTTTTCTTCTTTTCTTTTCCTTTCTCGTCTTCTTCGCTTTTCATCATCTTCTTCTTCTTCAGAGGAGGAGGAGGACTCTCATTATTGCGCTTCATTATTATATTTGTGCGAATAGAGTGCGAATAATGCAATCTCGAGGGAGACGAGGGAGACGAGGGCAGAGGAAGCAAACACAGACAGAGAGACAGAGAGAGAGAGAGAATAGAATGCTTTTGGTGTACGAGTAGAAATGAGGACTTTTTGTCTCCACAGACAAAAAATAGAAAAAGAGTCTCAACTTGCGATGATGAGAGAAGAGTTGGATTTTAATGAAAAAAGAGATGACAGAACACGTGAGAGAAAGGGGTGGGTCTCTTTTCAGATATCCTTTTAAAAACTGGGTTGTTAAACTTCCCGAAGTCGAGTTTTTACGAAGAAGAGAGCGGCGCTCTTTTGAGCGCGCGAGAGAGAGGTTGTTGACTTTTTTATGCTTCGCTTCGTGTGTACGCGTACAGTGATAAATACCGGTTTCAGACGTAAAACTATAATCTCTTCTAAAAGTACGCGTTCTTAGTACTCTCTCGCTTATGATGATAAATTAAAGAGCGTCTTCGCCAACCTCTTTCTTCGTTTCGATATTCGTTTTCTCCCCGTCAGAAGAATCGAGCAACCGATCTTTGTTTAATAATCGAGAAAGCACGACGATAAAGACGACCCACATGCTAAAGAAAGCGACCGAAATGAGCGTCGTGCCGACGAACAGAATTTTAATCGATTTCATAGTGTCTTCGCACCCTGGTTTCGCATCGGCGAACGCTTTTTGCACAAATTCGCACGTTGTGATGGCGTATGTGTCCGGTAGAGCGGCAGACAAGGTTCGCGCGACGATTGCGTATTCTTTGATTTCATCGTAAACGTTCGATTTAATCATGCGCTTGTCGTCCAAGTACTCTGCACACTCGTCTTCGGCGTCGCTGCATTTTCCAATTTCGTCCTCAAATTTTCCAATGTAGTTGTACGTCTTTTCGTAACCCGGGCACTCGTTACCAGCTCTACCGCCGGCACACGCAGCTCGCATCAAAAAGACAGGGAGAATTTCCACCGGTCTTTCCGGCACATCGGGTGGAGGAGGAGGCGCCGGAGGAAACGCAGCGAGAGGAGGGGGCGAAGGTGGCGAAGGAGGCGGCGAAGGCGGCGGGGGCGGCGAAGGCGGTCGAGGCGGTCGAGGCGGTGGAGACGGCGGAACAGGAGGAGGAGAGGGTGAGTCTCCCCTCAAATCCCAATTCACGGCAGGTCCGTTCCCGTTCCCTGCTTCTTCTGCGAGACCAACCCAGTAAAATTTCTCTCCAAAAGCCGTGGCGCCTGAAAACATTTCATCCGCCCTCATATGTGTACACGGTAAAGTAGCGTCAGCATCATCCAACAAGCACCAAGACGTCACATCCACATCAAATGAAACCGCGTTCCTAAACATTACATCCATTGTAGTTGCACTAGTGACGTTCCATAATGATAAGTCCTGGTTGAACGAGCGGGCGCCATCAAACATGCCGTCCATGCTCGTGACTTGCGATACATCCCATGACGAGATGTCGTTGTTGAAGTCAAAGGCGTCTTGAAACATGGCACTCATTGTTTTTGCCGAACTCGTATCCCATGAGGATATATCACCGTTGAATGGACCGGAGAATAAACCGGAGAAATCAGTCACAGAGGAAACGTTCCACTCGCGCATGGGTCCGTACGGATTCACAGTCGCGCTCCATGCGCACTCACCTAATATTGGTGACGCTTGGAGGCACTGAATCACAGCTTCGTTAATGACTTCATCGTCGAGCGGGAGAGCGACGTAGCAATCCCACGCTGAGGGTGGACCATCGCTGCTGGAACTTCCCGTCGTGATCTTCACACAAGCGTCAGCAAACGCAGTCGCCCCTGAAAACATTCCGGCGCTGCTGGTGAGGGACGAGGTGTTCCAAGCCGTGATGTCCGCGTTGAATTCTGTCGCGTCCATAAACATCGAGTCCATGTTGACCACTTCACTCGTATCCCAGCCAATGATGTCACTGTTGAATGCCGATGCCCCAGAAAACATTTCTTCCATCGAGGTGACTTGGAACACATTCCACAGAGTCAAATCTGCGTTGAAATTTGATTTATCTTTGAAAGCAGCCGTCATATCTTTAACGAGAGAAACGTTCCATATCGACATGTCACCATGCTCGTTTTCCTCTCCACATCTGCCATCTGTGGGCGCAACTGCGAGGCATTTGGAGATGAGTCCTGAGAATGACTCGTCCGTGATGGGCGGTGCGTCGTCCGAGGACTGGAGCATTCTTCGTCTTCCCGTAGAACACGATTCGAACACGCCTGAGCTGCATTTAAAACAAGGAGCACCAGAATTTTGGTACATACTAGACCCCCAGATCAATCTTTCGCAGCTCCAACCCCAGCTCGATACGTCCTGCGTAAATTTCGTCGCTCCATTGAACACAACGTCAAAGTCGTCGACCTTGCTTGTGTCCCATTTGGAGAGATCTTGATTAAAATTCTGCGCGCCATGAAAAGTTCCCCAAAGTTTTCTATTTAGCGAAGTATCCCATCCCGATATATCCGCATTGAAGTCTACCTTGCTCGCAAACAAATATTTCATAGAGGTTACCTGACTCGTGTCCCAATAAGGCATGGCGCCATACGATACTCCATTAACTTTTAAATCATAGCAAAGTCCGTCCACTGGATTTGTTTTCAAACACTCGTCGACGGCAGTTTTTAGAGTACCACTAGGTATTGGGTCTGACGGGGGAGGAGAAGGGGGAGGGGGCGGAGCGGGTGGAGAGGGTGGTGGGGAAGGAGGTGGAGGAGAAGGAGGTGGGCTGGGTGGAGGTGAAGGAGGTTGCGGTGGAGGGGAGGGAAGAGGAGGTGGAGAAGGAGGTGGGGGTGGGGATGGGGGCGGCGGGGAGGGTGCAACCCAGGTAGCCAAAACCGTGGTGCACGTACTTGGGAGATCTGAATTCCCGCAGCCATACTTAGCTTTAAATGCATTGGCGTAGTAAAACATATTTGAACTGTAGTAAGAGGAAGATATTGATGGAAATGTCCAACTCCCAATGTCTTGGTTGAACTCAGCCGCGTGATAAAACATGTATCTTGTATACCTTACTTTATCAGTGTCCCAACTGCCTATCGGTTGATTGAACGCAGAAGCGTATTGAAACATAGATCCCATATCAGTCACTTGCGCTGTGTTCCAACTCCCAATGTCTTGGTTGAACGAAGAAGCGGAACGAAACATAGAATCCATATCAGTCACTTGCGCTGTGTTCCAACTCCCAATGTCTTGGTTGAACGCAGAAGCGTAATAAAACATATATCTCATATCAGTCACTTTTTCTGTGTTCCAACTCCCAATGTCTTGGTTGAACGCAGAAGCGGACTCAAACATAAATCCCATATCAGTCACTTGCGCTGTGTTCCAACTCCCAATGTCTTGGTTGAACGCAGAAGCGGAATCAAACATATAATACATAGTAGTCACTTTCCCTGTGTTCCAACTCCCAATGTCTTGGTTGAACGCAGAAGCGTAATAAAACATATATCTCATATCAGTCACTTTTTCTGTGTTCCAACTCCCAATGTCTTGGTTGAACGCAGAAGCGGACCGAAACATCGTATTCATATCAGTCACTTTTGCTGTGTTCCAACTCCCAATGGCTTGGTTGAACGCAGAAGCGGAATCAAACATTCCTCCCATAGAAGTCACTTTTTCTGTGTTCCAACTCCCAATGCCTTGGTTGAACGCAGAAGCGGAATCAAACATTGATGTCATCGAGGTCACGGAGGACGTATCCCAACCCTCAACATCTCGATTGAACTGAGTTGCTCCCCAAAACATGCCATTCATATTAGAAACCCTAGACGTGTCCCAATTCCCAAGAATCTGGTTAAAGCTTGAAGTACCAGAAAACATTAATCTCATACTGGTAACTGATGACGTGTCCCAGCTATCAATAAATTGATTAACGTTTTTCGCATTTCTGAACATTTCTTCCATGCTAGTGACAGACGACGTGTCCCAATTTCTAAGCTCCCTATCGAAATATGCCGTGTTGGCTAGCATTCCGACCATACTCTTCACTTTTGACGTATCCCAAGTGCCTATGTTTTGATTGAATTTCGCTGCGCCGTCAAACATTCTGGTCATGTCGGTAACTTGGGAGATATTCCAGCGCGAGATGTCAAAACTAAAGACTTTGGCGTTTTTGAACATCTCTGACATGCTCGTCACCCGACTCGTGTCCCACGCGCTTACCATCCAATTCGACTGTTCCTTATTTCTGAAAGCATTGGACATGTCCGTGACTAAACTCGTATTCCAAAGCGGAGCTGGACCATATTCAGATTCCCAGCAAGCTCCCAGCGTAGGTTCCTTGATCATACAATCTTGAACTGCAAGTCTGAACTGAACGTCATTGGTAATTTCTGTTTTACTTCCGGAAACATAACCACTAGGGGGCCATATCGGACCCCAAGGGACTAATATTTTATCCGCCGTTGGACCGCTCCCAATCAAAGATTGGTACGTCTCGTGCCATTTCTTTGCACCGACTAAGCAATGGCTTTTAAATTTAATGTTTACTGAAGTCTCCCAAGTGTTATTCAGAGCTCCGGACATTCCATTCGTGAACTTTTCGGCGTGCATGAACATCATCTGCGCATTTATGAGATTCCTAACATCCCAATTGGACAATTTTTTATCAAAGTTGACGGCGTGTCTAAACATTTGGTTCATGTCGCGAACGTTTCCAACGTTCCATTCACCTATGTCACGATTAAAGTTGTATGCGTTCAAAAACATTCTATCCATGCTCGTTACTGCGGAAACGTCCCAGCCTTGTATTTCGGCGTTAAAACTGTGTCGATCCATGAACAACCCACCCATGAACGTCACCTTACTGACATCCCACGATGCTATTTCCCCGTAATCGCTTGCAAAGCACTTACCAAGGATAGGATCATACGATAAGCACGCTTCGACGTGCCTGTAAAAGTTTCTGTCAGTAAGCGGGGCGATATACGGCGGAGGACTGGGTGGCAATGGAGGAGGAGAGGGCTGCGGTGGTGGTGACGGCGGCGATGGGGGCGGAGCGGGTGGAAATGTACACTCCCACATTTTTGGTGGGCCGTAGGCGAGGCGGTTACCAATGGTAGAAGAGCCACCTTTACCCCGGATGCACCCGGAGAGCCAGGTTTCCGCATTACGGAACATGCTCATAGTAGAGACGTACGACAACGTTTCCCATCCCGTGATATCTTTGTTGAACGTGGTAGCGCCGTAAAACATCGCAACCATACTACCTACTTCAGATACATCCCACGATGTAATGTCTTGATCAAACTTCTTCGCTCCCGAAAACATGCGCTCCATGTTCGTGACGCTCGAGGTATTCCAGCGCGATATGTCCGCATTAAAAAGTGAAAACCCATTGAATGCCCTGGCCATATTCGTGACCCGCGAGACGTCCCAATACCGCATGTCCCCGAACTGCGTACCTTCACAAATACCGTCTTCCGGTCGCAGCGCCAAGCAATCATCAATCAATGGAATAAAATTTGAATCCATTATGTGCAGCGCCGGAGGCGGAGGCGGAGGAGGTTCATATTTATACTCCCACATACTCGCAGGACCGTCGGAGTGATCGGTCAAGATTGCTGAAGTTACGATATCGGTACTTTCACTTTCTGTATTCTGTCTGAAGCCGTGTTGTCTCACGAATATTTTTTCCCAATTCTTTGCGCCTAAAAACATCGACCTTGCATTTTCCGATGCAAGCGATGGTGTGTACCATCGAGTAATATCGCAAACGAAGTTATTTGCGTTCTTTAGCATTGAATCCATACTCGTTACGGAAGAAACGTCCCAGGCGCTTATGTCTGAATCAAATACATTTGCGTCACGAAACATAAAGGACATATCAGTGACCAATGAAGTATTCCATTTCGAGAGATCCCCTCTGAATGAACGTTTATATTCGAAAGCTTGTCTCATAGTCGTCACCGCAGAAACGTCCCAAAGTGGCATTGGTCCTTCAACGAAACTATGACACATGCCATACACTTCATCTTCTTGAAGACATGAAGCTACAAGATTTTTGAATGAATAATAGCTTGTCGTCGTGACTGGGACGATGGGTGGCGGTGACGGAGGAGGAGGAGTCGGTAAAGCGGGCGGAGGTGACGGAGGGGGAAGCGGCGGAGCATTTGGAGGTGGTGACGGCGCTGACCAAGTGGTTTTGACGGTAGTGCACGAGGATGAATCTGGTGGATTCGTACTTTCACACGCAAATCGCTCGTGAAATCTGGTTGCTCCTTGGAGCATACTATTCGAATACCATGTATTGTACCTGCCCGAATAATCCCAGTGTGTGATATTCTGGTTGAACGAGACGGCGTATCGGAACATGTATCGGAAAGAAGAAACTTTAGAGACATCCCATTCACTGATATCGCCGTTGAATCCCGGACAGCTTTCAAACATAGACGTCATTGACGTCACTTGAGAGGTGTCCCAACCCCCAATATTTTGATTGAAATCCAAAGCATGTCCGAACATGTAGTCCATCTTTTTCACAGCAGAGGTTTTCCAAGAGCCAATGGGTCGATCAAACTTTTCCGCTCGATAAAACATTTGATACATGCTCGTCACTTGCGAAGTATCCCACGTCGATACATCCCCATTAAATTTCTTAGCTTCTGCAAACGTGTATCCCATATCAGTTACTTGCGAAGTATCCCACTTCCTCAGGTCTCTGTTGAATGTTCTCGCTCCTCGAAACATTTCGTACATATTTCTGACGCTCGACACATCCCAGGAACTCAAGTCTGAGTTGAAATTATAGCAGTACGTGAACATTCCTTTCATACTCGTCACGCTCGAGACGTCCCACTTTGAAAGATCGGCGTTTAAATAGTATTTGTACCGAAAAGCATAGTCCATGTTCGTGATCAAACTCACGTCCCAATCCTCGATGGGACCATACACATCAGAAACACAATTGGATCCATATGAGCTGCACTTCCTTATTTCCTCTTCGAAATCAAAATTCGATTGTATCGTCATGCGATCACTGGATCTTTGCAACAACATTCGTCTGTTCAACAAGTTGTCTTCACACAGAGTATCTCCACTTTCCATCTCGGTATCAGGCAATACGAAAGTAGTGTTCGAGCCGAGATATCCGCTTTCTCTGGCGTTACACACGGTGCTTCCAAACGAGCCGCTCGCGCCCATACCCCCGTGGTTTTCGCAAACTTCTCGCTCTGGTACTGGATAAAATTCCGTACAAAACGTCTCGTCTTTCGCTGTTAATTTATCGTTCATGTCAACAATGTTCTTATACACTTCGTATCGCAGCACATTCATGGAGTAAACCGCATCTCCAGGATTCATGCAAGGAATCACATCGTTGGTGATATCTGCGTGCGTCTTGTTCACGTTCCACATATCCATACTCCAACACATATCATCGAGGGCAACGCCAACTACGGTTAAAGAACCCCAAACCAACCAAGAAAGAATCATGGATAACGATAAAAGAGCTCCGAGAATTAAAGTCAACATTACTTTCTGTTTCAACGTCGCCCATACGACACCAGCTGCAAGAATAAACAACATAACAGATACGCTTTCGACAAACGCTTGTGCCTGTTGCATGTACCCGTCGAGTTCCGATCGCTTCGAATCGACTTTATCGACAATTTGTACGACGTCTTTGTTCAAATTGTTGACAAATCTCGTGACAACAGCGAGTTCATCTTGGCTCTTGGAAACGTTCAGTGCGTTCAAAACAGCGTTCGTCTGGTTTTTCAAATCAGAAGTAGAGTCCATCAAAGTATTCGTGAGATCCTGCATTCCATTTTGGATGGATAATCCTTGCGAAAACACGATCAAGCAACCGATGCATCCAATAATTCCAAATCCAATCATCGTCTTTTGCGCGTTTTGTTGCTGCTTTAAAGTGAATGGCTTTGGTTTTAAGAAATTATTACAGCGCTCAAAGCAAACGCCAGCAATCTTGGTTACCAGGAGCAAGACAACGAGAAAGACCATGACGCCCAAAAGTGCCAAAGCAATCGCGGCGATGATGATTCCCGGCAAAGCTTGACCGACGAGCATAGCAACGTAATCTTCGCTGAGTGCAAATTGGCCGGTATACTTTTCACCCGTTCGGGGATCAACTCGAGGTATTCCAAAGAGCGATCTTCTTTCAGATAAAAGATCCACGTTAACAGTGCGCGGAGGCGATGAAGGTGAGTCCGGTGGAGGAGGTAAAGGAGGCGAAGGAGAAGGAGGCACAGGTGGTAAATGAGGAAGCGGTGGGGGAGATGGGGGAGGTGACGGTGGAGGCGATGGGGGCGGTTTTGGTGGAGGGGAAGGACGCGGCGGGCTCGGCGGAGGAGGGGAAGGAGGGGGTAAAGGAGGAAGTGGTGGCGGACTTGGACAATCGGATATGTCGCCGTCATCCTTGACACACGGCGTCGGCGGTGGGGATGGCGGCGGTGGTGGCGACGGTGGAGGCAATGGCGGTGGCGACGGCGGTGGAATTGGCGGCGGAGGCGACGGCGGAGGCGACGGTGATGGCGGCGGAGGAGTTGGTGGTGGCAAGGGGGGTGGCGGTGGTGACGGCGGAGGTGGAGCTGGACTCGGCGGCGGTGAAGGAGGGGGGGAAGGCGGCGGCGGCGAGAAGCTTGCGTCGAAGCTCACGGTTTCGTTCAAATCCGAAGCGGTTCCACTTCTGGAACAAGAACGCGTCAATGGGTTCAATTCAAAACCCGGGAAACACTGTGCGCATTTTGAAATCGCGTAGTTTGCACCGAATATAGGGTTTCGGTCATTCATATTTGAAAAGATTTCAGTTTCCATTTCTGAGACTACTTCAATTATACCGCCCATATTAGCCGATGCACCAGAGTAATAATACAAAACGTCAGGCGCCTCGTCTCCCGGCGTGAATGTCACCAATCCAGTTTCGAAATCGTAATCGTACCCTTCGGTGTATTGACGACCTTCCTCCTCGGCAGAAGATCCGTGCGTACCGTCGATTGTTTTTGAAATTCGAAACGTATGCATAACGGTGGTTGAGTTGAAAGTGTAAGTGCTTCCTCTCGTGACTCGCACCTTCGGCGATACGAGAGTGCCGATTTTAAATTTGTTCGATCCGTCCGTGTCGACATCCACTTGAAACGGACAAGACTCGCAACCGGGCTCGCAACCGTTTTGAATCATTCCCTCCGGATTAAGCTGAATGCTCGAAATGTCCGATGGAGGATTGAAAGTCAACTGTGAAATCAAAGGTGCAGAATCTTTCAAACCCGATTGTTCCGTTTTGAAATCCCACGTATCTTCTTCCATGGCTAACAAATTCAGTTTTCCGTAGGCGCTAATGGCCGCATCTTCGTCGCTATCGGTGTCGGCCAAGTTCAAAGTGTCCCCAGAATGAGCATCCAGTAATGAACGACCAGTTGAGCTCATCATAACGACGTCCGCATTGATAGAACTATCTTCTTCAGCAGCGGGAGCGTCGTTTTCAAAAATCCAGCTCAATAACCCACGGCGACGAGAGAGACGCTTCTTTCTACGTCCTTCAAGTTCCAAACAATTCCGAAAGTTTTCAAAGCCGTCTTCACTATCATATGCGAGGGCTTTTTGCTCCAAAAGCTTGAGAGGATCGCGAAGACGCGCATTCATGGCTGTCGACCATGCAGCCATTTTGTCAACTTCACCTAGCATGTTAAACTCGAACATGACGTATTCATTGATTAATTCTTGACTCTTCCTGAAGCTGATTTCGTTACGCACCTTATACGATAACCAAAGGTCTCCAACTACTCCACTTTCTGCCCCGCCGCTGTTTGGATCAACAGCGCCACAGTCTGAACTGAATGGAGAAGGTGCGTGACCAAACGGCAATTGCGGCATCAAATCCAAAATGATGAAGTCCAGATTCGCTTCAATGTCAGAACCAGCGAGCGGAGGAAGTGTAACTTTCTCGCCGTCGCATTTAAATCCCTGTCCGGTAAACAGTAGATTGAACAAATTCTTGAACTTCTTTGCATCACCACAACCGTTCGAGCATGCGAATGATGTTCGATTCGTGTCCACTACAGAACTCGCGATTTTTTCATTACCGGCTTCGAACTTACCTTCCCAGAAATTACGAAACCAGTTTTCTTCATCTTGATTCCAGCCAAATGCGATGAGTGCGTTGAGACTTTTGTACGCGTACTCGATCGTACCAAATCCTAAGTCAGCGCCACTCACCTCCAAGATTTTCGGATTGTGAGGATTACACGGCCACGTTGCCACAAAGTAGCACGCTGCCGCGATAAATTGGTAAGGGTCTCCGTTGTCAAATTTAAAGTCCCTCGGGACTGGAGTAAACCTAGTTACATCTGGAATGCCGCCGGTAATATCATTCATTTCTGATTTCAAAAATAACCACGGATTCGTAGCATTTGGCGTAAAAACTTTATTACCATCGTTATCGGTTGTGATGTTATCAGCATCTATGTAGCAATCAAATCGATCGCCTTCGACTATGATTTCAAGGTTCCTCTTAAAAAGATGCGGGTAAGTTTTCGCGTACGGTCGCATGACCGTGTACATTTCTGCAAAAAAGTCATAGTCTGAGTATACGTGGGTTTGAAGATTTCCGAGCGACACGTGATATTGCAGCATTTGCCATCCTTCAATGTTGTGAGGATTGCGCTTCAATGCGGCGAGCAGTAAAGCTGCGACTCGCGTCAATATTTGCGTTCCTGCGTGCGTGTACACGTTGCGGAAGAGATGTAATGCCAGGCGCACATCAATGTAAGACGATAGTCCTAAATTTATACCGTTTGTGATCGATTCAATTGATTCGAACGGAACAACTGCACTAGATATAACGCCAGCGACGTCGTCCGTCTGTAAAGTAAACTGCGAGGTTGTCTCGTAACCTTTTTGAATCCAATTGAATCTGGTAGGTTTCCATTTCCCTCCACGTTCGTTGAAGCCATATGCCGCTCTGTGTTTTGGCTGAGTCACTGTATCAGCTGGAGCTCCCAAGCATGATTTATATCCTACCCACAAATGAGCTTGCTGAACGCATTGGCCACCGTCTTGACTGATTCGAGGAAGAGAGTCAGGACGCCAATTGGATTCTCTGCATCGAGTTTCTTTCCTGTCTCGAGCCTTGTTGTACCACGTCGTGATCCCATTGGGATGCCTTCGAACGTAGTCGCACTCACGCGCGCTAAAATGTGCAGTTTGCAAAGTCGCAAGTAATGGCCACGGCGCAGTTGAAAGAGAAAAGTCGAGTGGCGCTTGAGCTGCGCTCTTCAAAAGATTGTCAAGAGCGGCAAGAGGACTCGGTTTGGGATCGTGCGCCGTTGGAAATTTCGCAGATCCAATTATTCCACCCTCGCCTCTGAGGGCAGAAGCGAGTTTGCATTGCAAGTAAAGCTCGTCGTCGTCTTGAACTTGATCATTCAAAATATCAGAGGTAGCGTTGAGTATAGACGGAAAATTCCTGTATCTAAAGGCAATAGCTAGAATAAGTTCAGCCAAATTATCAACATCATGCTCCGACGACAGGTAATTCCGTAACACGCGAACGTGTCTCAACACAAACGGATGAACCGGGAATGCCAAACTATACAAAGACGTTCGCAGAGGCACATTTTGCGACGTAGGCGTGAAAGTGCCCGAGGTTTGGCCGGTAACGTTGTTTATCCACTCGTAAATATCATCGTCGAGAGGAATCGCAGTTAACCGTTTACTGATTTGCTCGTTTGCAAAAACTACAGCCTCCGATAATTCGGTCGTCCATGTGGCGTTTGTTCCATCTTCATTCATATTTTCCGTCGCCAGAAGTACTTTCTCTAGGAGTTCGGGGCGATTGTAGTTGTGCAAAAATCCGCGCCGCATGAACACGTGCGATTTGCCTTTCTTTTTGCCGCCGCAGCTGCAGCCTGCCTGACTCGACCCACCTCGCGTCAAATGTCCCATTTCAAAATGCCTTTTCTCGAGAAAGTTGCACTGCCCGAAAAAAGAATTCCCAACGTATATAGCTCCGGGACAAGCTGGGGTACCAATACAACCTGCCAGGCAATCTTCGACACCCATTGCACTGAAACCTCCCGACGACGCTATCCCTTCGCGGTTTTCCATCATCACAAAGTGACTCATAATATCAATGTCAGGAAATTCCTTCGGTATCCAGTTTCTGTACGGAAGCAAATTACCAAATACACTTTTTGAAACGTGTTTTGCGTATTCATACGTGCAACTCAAACTAGCATTCGGCTTGTCTACATTTTTACACGTGCCGAAGCAGCTGCATTTAACGTTTCGTGTTTTCGTTCCTGATTCAGAGCACGTGGGATTCTCGCCTTCGGTGCAAATGGCATCTTGTGACCGCGGTGTTGTGGGACCACACGCGCCCCAGGAACCAGTAACCCACGTTCCGTTACCATCATTCGGATTCACGAAGCATACAGGATCGCGCATATTGCAAGTAGCACCGGACCATCCAACATCGCAAACGCAAGTCTCGGTAAAGAGCCTCGTATCAATTTGTGAATAATACACGCGCTCGCAACTACCATTATCTCCGCAACCGCTCGGTCCGCATCCCGTTTCAGTGCAATACTCATACATGTTGCACGTTGCAGCATTGACAGGAGGCTCACCGCATAAAATGTCACTCGCGACGCTTCCGTTTGTGTAAATGCAAATATTTTCGCGATATCGCGTAGGATACACTTCCGCACCTGGAGCGTTCTTATCTATGACGTTTGCGCTATCACCATCGTGGCAGTCTCGAGAACACGAGTCAAACGGCAAAGAGAACCATTCCGGGTAATTCGTGAGTGGCTGTTGGTAGCATTCCTTTTCTTTCGTGTACAGCCCGGCTCCGGTAGTTTCATTCGCGACTACAGGATTCGCCAGGAAACAGCAACCGTGCATTTCACAAGTCATTCGGCGCACGCCAATCATAGATGATCTCCGCCTAGGGTCGTTCTCATAAAGGGCACACGCCGTGCGACCAGAATCCAAACGGCACTGTAAGTCGCAGTGAAAGACGTTACAATGTTGAACTTCTTCAATCTTCGGAATGTCATTACAAAGCTCCTCCGGCACTCTGTTAGAAAGGGCAGATTTGTTCAGTCCAGTAATTTCTGTTTTTACGTATAGATCGGTGTTTTGCTCGGCACCACTGCACACTTCATCATCTCTGAGCGGGTCGCAATACGCCCAGCGCTGATCAGGGTCAGTTGTAAAACACCACACCCCCCCAGGGTCGTTATCCGGATTGCGACAATAATTGTGATTACCCAAACCTGTTCCAGGCATATTTATGGGAGTTGAAGCGTGCCAGTGAGGCGTTTGACTGTCCCAGGCTTGGCATGTAATTCCGTCTACCGTTTTACTTTGGCAACCGCGATAGCCACTCTCGTTCTCTCCAGAAATAGTCTCGTCGCAACCAGAGGTATCGACGATTTCAGAAGGTGATACGTTCTTCAAAATGCAGTCATTTTCTTGGATTGCATTTCCAGAACCCCCGTGATAGACCCCAAACTCAAACGAGTAGCAATCTATGTTTTCGTTACAAAGCAGTTCGCAGGCGCGAGGTGTCATATCACCGAATCTGGCATTCTCAATGTTCCTATCTGGAGGAATGCAACCAGCGGTGATTTTATTGTAGATATAGATTGGATCACTTCCATCTGCTTCTTCAGATTCCGTACCAGGGGGAGAACCACAGTAAACGTACCGACTTTGAATACCAGTTCCGCACGGCTGCGAGCAAGTGGTCCAAGGCGTGCCTCTCCAACTGTAATAATTCTTCTTAAGATAAAATTCAGACTCCATTGAACTCACAGCGAACGCTTGCAGAGCGTTCAGCTCTACTGGATGATCGTATTCAACTGACGTGTACGGAGTTGTCTTACCGTATTCGGCGTCCACGTAGTACCACTCTGAAGGTCCATTCGTTACATCTCTACCAAATCTGTCGGATTCTGAACAGTCCCCTTTATGCAGTATACATATTCCCGACAAAGGCTTAAATTCAACTGCACGGCATGTTGGAGTTGAGTCGCAACGATCGCCACATTCGCTCAAACTATTTTGACCCGTAACGGTTTCAAATCCACCGTCGCATTCAAGAGATGAGCATGTCTGATCAAAAACTTCGCGTATCGCGACATGGTCCGAAGTAGCTCTAACATTCGAGCAAATGAGCATAATTTCGCTCGCTCCGTCTGAACTCCATGCGTAATCGTACATCCCGTCGCGAACCGGAGCTCCTGCGTAGGCTGCTCTTGAACGATCAACGTGTTCATTCTTGCTTTCCATATTGTCGTATACATCGTTCGCTGAGGTCTCAGCTCTCCACTGATCGTAAGTTAAATCTTTAGCGTTCCAAAAAAAACCAATAGCAACTTCACCATCCGGACATGGTGTGTAATCGGCATCGCTTTCCGATCTATAGTATTTGATGCTCGAGTAATGGCAGCGCGTAGCGTTGAGAGTATTGTTCATGGAGCTCATATCTCTGGTATCATAAATACAGTCGGTATCCACTTCCCATGTGGAAGCCGGTACACCGCACCGCGGGACTAATCCATGGCTGGGCTTTTCGGTTACCGCGATCCCGGTGAGCACCTCACCAATATCGCACACCACTTCAATCATTGATTCTGGGTGCATCTCCTTAAGTACTTCTTCTGCATACCAACCGGTTGTTTTTTCAGTCTCATAAAAATTTTTCGACACATCGAATCCATACCATTCATGCCATTCGCCATATTTTTCTGATTGTAAGCAGAGCGTCGTATTCGCTCTGAACTTGCAATGAAATCCTGCGTCTTCTTGCCCATCGTTACGTCCATTTGAGCAGGCTATCCCATCGAGCGGTGCGTGCAAATCGTCCGTGAGTAAAATAACGTCGCTCTCCCTGAACTTTGAGTTGTGCAAAACCTCCCATTTCCCGAAAGGTCTCGACCATTGACTGTCGAGACTACAGTCGCAATATCCCCAACGACTCCTGTCTGCCGAGGTATAACAAATTCTTCTGTCCTCGTTAATTGGTATAAAACACTGGGTATTAAGTAAATCTTCGCTCATCGGGTCATCAGTGTAAGATAAGTAGCAAGGAGCACCGTCTGCGTTTCCACCGCACGTGGGCTTTTGAGTGGGCATGTATAATCCGCCGTCGAACGCCAGGCTCGACGGAACGGGGCAAATCCCGTAATGCAACGTTTCAACGCCCATGCCTTCAGAAAGCAAGGAAGACGCCAATTTCACATATAAACCGTCGCCGTTAAAGTCAGACGAAGACGAATCGTCATCACAATCTGCATAATCGGATGCACTTTTCAACTCGCAAGTTCCAAATCTCGTCACATCTTCACTGTCAAATGCCACGCCAAATGGATTATTACTGATAATTTCTTCAATCGCCAACAGCGTTTCGGCGTCTTGCGCAGAAGCCAGAAATGAGACCGCGAGACACTCCAAACTTTCCGTACACTTTGCCGTGCATTGTACGAGGGATAAATCGGTAAATGTCGATATCGTGTTTCCAATCACGCATTTTCCAGAATGTCGCTCGTATCCAACAGAGGATGTATTGGTGGCTAAAGTTACATCGCGCGTCGTGCTCTCCCAATGATTAATTATATCACTTTTAGTTCTGCAAGTCGAGGAATCCGCGTTTGAATACGCAACTTTAGCTCCAATTGGTTGATAAACGCAGTTTCCGTCCAAGTGCGAGATGTTGAATCGCAGCAAATAGCACCAACTCGTAGACGACTGGTGAGCGACGATATAATCCACACTCGTTTCGACTTCATTGTTTGACCACGTGGGAGATTCCGCGCCTTGTCCCGAGCATTTTGTGTGTGGGAAGAAACCCCCATAATAACCGCGAGCGGTATATCTGTCAGTTCCGCACCCACCTGTTGTTCTATAGTTTATCGATGAATCCGGACAGATGTCCTTCGTATTTGTTCCCGGGTATGAACCAGAGCCGCCCGCCTTTCTGCACGACCAATAAGAGTATTCGTACGTAGTTTTCAGCGACGGATCACCACCAGATCCGGAATTTCCTACCCATCTGCAATAATCTTGGCAAATGCCGCACCCGGAAGCGTCGTACCAGCCGCGATAAGAATCAACATAGCCATCATCACCGGAGTCTGGGGAAATTGGGCACTGGCTACTTGATGCGGGAGTTTGCGCTACAGTCTCTACAATAGATGATGTCGCAGACACTTGCACGACGTTCTGTTCAATCTTCGAACCATCCATTTGATAGGAGGGCATGGCAGTGCCGGTAAATTTGATCCCGTTTACTTCAACCTCTGAAACTTGAGCGCACGTGCCGAGAGAGACGGCTTCTAAAGATAGGCCTGAAATCGTGTATTGTTTGTAACACGAGCTCTGGTTTGTGGCCGTTGGCGGCGCCTCCAAGATTTGAGTCATCCTCGAGCGCGAATTTTTACGAAAGACTTTACCATCTCCCGTGTGCACATCACCGTGCGCGCGATAAGCAAAGCTATTATCCAAATAATCCGAGCCACTTCCTCCGAAGGTACCGGGAGAAAATAGTACGCGCAATCGATCAAATGTCACATTTTCGAGCGCATCCATGGAAAACTCCTTGGGATATTTCCACATGTTTTTGAAGTAAGGAGGAACGTAAGAACTTTCCCAATTATTGTGTCCAGTCAAATATTCGGGAATGTCTGATGATTTCAAACCTACGTTGGTCAAGTACGGGAACCAATCCCATTGCTCGCGCCTAGGTTCTGTTTTCATGTAGAACTGATAGGCGGCACCCGAGTCAGTTAATTTATGAAGTTTGAAACCCTCCGCACGAAATCTGCACGAGTACGTGAGCCCGTTAGATGGATCATCTTTAACCCAATCGTATCCAATACAAAGAGGGTCTTTCTGACACTGCTGCGCACAAAATTCTTTGTGCAAAAAATTTCTCAAATCGAAGCGTTTGAGGCGCACCATGTCTGGATAATACTGTTCAATCGTCGCCGCTTCGAACGTTTTGAAGAGATCGTATCCGAAACCTACGACGTTTCCGCTCCCAAGAGGCGCAAAAAATCCAGACGTACTCACGGGTTCGATGACCAAACTGCCAAGATCGTGCCAATTCTCGGGAGTGAAACAATCCAAAGCTTCGTCGCAAAGGCACACCTGCGCGAAAACCTCTTCGAAACCAGTATCGAGGAGGTAGCGCTTATCGATGTTGATATTCTTCCACTCGAGATAAGGTTGCGTGTTCTTCGTCGATTCAACATCCTCGCCGGGAATATAAAAGTCGTGTTTGTCCCGTTTAAACAAAGGAACTGATGTTTCAGCGATAATTATCGCCGAACGATCCCAGACGCCCATGCAACCAGGATTCATCCCAGAAACTATTCTCACGTTTGATTTATCCGGTATTTCAATTCTTCCTCGCTCTAAAAACAGCATATCAGTGGGTATATTCAGAAACAGCGTTTTCGGCCAAAACTCGATTTGCTGCTCGTTATACGTCGGGATGCACGCGCTTCCTCCATCAATCATGCCATATTTAGATGCAGCAAGCATAGCACACTTTGTGCCAAATTGGCAGTCCATATCGTTCCGGCAGTGCCCTTCGTAGGCTCCGCACGGCGTTGCCGGATTAGTAGTTGTATATCCCACGGTATTCTTACAATAATGATAATTCCCGAGCGAGACGTTTCTGAAGAGGCGATTTTGTTCAACTTCTCTCGTGAAATTCGTCAAAGTCAAATTCCAGTTCGAGCAGCACGCCATGTTGTGTAATTCATCTGGCAGCGCGCACTGCTTTCCAAGATTTTGCCCGTTCTCGTATATTGCTGCGGTAAAAAAGCCTTGGTTACCTGGACCGCACGGTGTTGACGACCAGAACGTGCGTCCATACCCACAACTTCGTTTGTACATCTTGTTCTTATCGAAGTAGTGCGGTTGCCCGGAGAGCAACTCATCCAAACTGCACAGCCGCGCGCCCATATCAGAGCATTGTTGACCAATGTCACTGTGGGTGCGCTGGCTATAATACGTTGTCGCGTCTTTTGCCCCCCCATGTCTTTGCGTTCCATACGGATCCGGCCTGGGAGGATAGTAACGCAATTCGCCATTATCATAGGTCTGTCCATGACATCCGAGAAAATTATAGTCCGGCATCCTGTGTGCGGCGTATTGACCGAGAACAGACATCGAGCCGCACGACGTGTAAGAGCCGACGTAACCACATTCACGCTTGCTTTTACATTGCGAAACTCTCTTGCGACTGTGCCATGCGAGTTCGTCACACGTTCTGTTGAATCCACAGGAGCCGAAGCAAATAGATGTCTTTTGCGGCTTACCGCGACCTGCCGTCATGCAAAAACTATCGGGATACGTTTTACCGTCCGAACCCTTGCAAACGACCGGGCGACTTTTAACTAGTTCGCAATCGGACCATTTCGTCGGAGGTGTAAATCTCCAGTCCGAAGTAAAATTTGGCATGTTCAAGCATTCGCCCCAAGCGCCGACGTGAAATGCAAAGCAAAGCGAATTCGCCCTGGCGCAAACTTCGCTCGCTTTTGAAGTAATCCAGGTGTATATTTCATACCCAAGTACATCGTTCGTACGCATTCCAATTTGCTTTAAACACATGTACTGTTTGCACATGGTATTTCTTTCGTGCCAATTCACCGTGTTGCAGTGCTCTCGAGCCGTACACTTAGCTTGACAGTCGCGCAGCGATCCCGCTTCCCCGGCGACAAGCGGATAACACTTTGAATCGCTGATCGACTTATCGAGACCAACATTTATCCATTTCGTCATATCTTCCGAAGGAATCGTGGGATTATTCGCCGCGCGAATTGCGTCTTCGTATCTACCGCACGGGTTTGGTTTTCCCGGTAGCGCGTAGCCGACGAACCATCCACAAGGGATGCTATTTGAAGTGTCTGTTTTCTCTCGGCAACACGAGTCGCCGCACATCGAAATCATGTCACTTGTCGTGCGGTTGTATTCTTCAAAAGTTGCGCACGAGGGTGGTTTATCAATCAAACAGCCCAGACCAGCTCCGTCGAGGATATCTGCTCTGTCTTTGTAGCACTGATAGCCTCTACTTTTATCATCGTTCGCCCAGCAGCATCCGTATTCTTGACACGTAGCCTTACGTATCGTTTCAGAGAAGTATCCCGATCGGGGATCTTCGAAATACGGCGCGCATTGCACGCGATTTTCGAGCGGCATCCCACATTTCAAATTGCAAGATTGCGTGTTGCATGTTTCAGAGATTTCAGGCATTTTACCGCAGCGATAGCGCGGGAGTTCAGCACCAGTTGTGCTGTTCAAACACAAAGCTGAGCGCGTGCGAAGGCCGCCGCCGCACTCGACTGTACAATCGCTCCATGGCGTGATTTCCCATCTCGCACCCATTGGATCGTTTCCGTAACAGTCAACGTAGCCCCATTTCCCGGGAGTAGTGGTGTAACACCACGGACGCGAGTCACCCTCGACAGTTGGTTCGAAAAATTCAATGGAAACGTCGCGAAGGAGACGCGAGGTATCCGTCGTAAACGGAAATTTGCAAAAGGCGCCGTTTGCGGTGCCACCGCACGTTTTTATTCCGCGCGAATAAACTACCATTTCTGTGTTCGGAAGCAACTGTTCCTGACGCGGAACGCCAGAGAGTAACATCCCATTACTGGGAACACCGAATATTGGTTTCAAAGAAGCATCAAGATCCGTGTAATCCCCGTCGCCGTTACCGAGGTCAAACTCGGCGTGTATAGCCACCATGGTATTCATGCATGTCGCGTTGGCAAACCCTCGAGCGTCGTTAAATAAAACCGTCAAATCTTGCGCGGACTGACCGAGAGTCGGATCGATTGCAACCGCGAGTTCCGTGGTATTCACCGTGTCCGAGCAGGTGTAAAAGCCTTGACACATGGAATCTGCCGCGCAAAGATTCTGCATGTACGGAATCGTACCATTCACCGGCCGCCAAGCGTACACGGAGGGATTGTTTACCATCCTCTGATCGTGAATACTCCACGTCGTGGCAGATGGAACTTCTTTCTTCCTGTAAAAGTCGCTTTCTGCTGCTTGCTTCAAACCAGCCCCGCGCCCGACGAGTGTGCAATAATCAGTTTGCGTCTCTTTCGTGAAACCCGCGCACGCGTATCCCATCGAATCGCACTCGCGCACGCATCTCGACAAAAACTCAATTCGTCTTCCAATAGGAGCCCCAATGGCAAGTCTTGATCCGTGCCAAAAGTAATTTTCCAAATCGTCCAACGCCGAAAGCTGACGACGCCTCGTCGAAGCGTGCACCGAGGCCACCGGTGTCGTCTCGGAGTGCAACAAGTGCTTCAACGGCGCCGCGCGAACAGAGACAAACGCATGCGTCAAAAATAGTAAAGAGAACAACAACAATCCCGAGAGTATCGTCGTCCTTTCCTTCATCGTCGTCATCGTGATGACTTAATTATATGTATAATACGTATATGTGGCAAGGCCGTTTCTTTGTTGTTGTTGTTGTTGTTGTCGTCCTTCTTCTTCTTCTTTCTCTTCTTCTTAAATAGTATTCTTCTGTGTTTTGTAGTAAGAAAGGTGGTAGACACTTTTTTTTTTTGGTCGTCGTCGTTCGTCAGCGATGATCGTAAAAATTCGCGTGGTCGTACTTCAAAGAGCAAAAAACAAACAAACAAACAAACGAAAAAACCTCCTTTTTGCAAGAAGAGAATCCCGTTGTGGTTCCGATTACGATTTTAGACGACTTTTATACCAACGACAAAGACGAAGAAGAAAAGCGAGGAGGAGCGCAACCACACGACGAAACACCCCGCACTCTCTTCTCGAACTCGCGATTGATGATGATGATGATGATGATGATGATGATGATTGTTTAATAAACAAGTAATATCACTAAAAAAAATATCAACAACGTCGTCGACCACACGCCGATACAAAAAAAGAGTTCAAAAATGCGCACCAGAAAGGGGGATGGCGTCGTTTCTCTCTCTCTCTCTCGAAAATACCTCCTCTCGTATTTCAATGAATATTGAGAGAGAGGTCAGTCGCGAGAGAAGAAGCGCTTTTTTAAACGCGTTTTAACTGTTGCTCGTCTCCTCGATCGAGTGTGTGTCGAAGTTGTTGATGAGAGTTAAAGAAAGAAGAGTCGTCGACCGTTTTCTTTTGAAGAAGAGTCGTCCATCGACTAAAAAAGAGGGAGGAGGGAACTTTTCTGCATTTTTTTCACATTTTTTCGTAAATAATTCTAGGGCCTCGACCCTAGATGGGTCTTCGCCTCTTTATAATGGTATAAAATATCATCATCTTTGACGACGAGAACGAGCGGGACGATGACGACGATGGAAGATACCGGCGTTGGCTATAACGACGAAGAAGATAAAGACGCAAATGGTGGTAATGATGGTCACGGTGGAAATGACCCCGTGGTCGACGAAGAAGCGAGAACAACCTCGAGGACGACAACATCAAACAACAACAAAGCATCAGCGAACAAAACCTCGGAGTTGATTTTACCCAACGATCACGTCCGGCAATTCGTTTCGTTCTTGCACAAACGCATCGACGAGTCTTTGACACACAGTAGCGGTGGAAACTTTGAGCAAGGGAGAGATGGCGAACGACGCGGGACAAATCCGGTGTACGAAATCGGCAACTTGTACGAGAAGTCGTTTCCAGTCATCAGCGAGAGGTACTTTAAAAACGCAAACTGGCCGAAGAAAGAAGCGGTTCTCGAGTTTCTCGAGAAAGAGAGAGAAGAAGAAGGGAAGACTTTAACGGGAGAAGAGACAGACGACGAGATTTTCCTCGCATTGTACGAGGAGCTTTACTTTCGTCACGTGTACTCGCGAAGCGCGTCGCCGTCGATCGAAGAGAGAGTGGAGAGTTGGAAAGCGTATTGCAGATTGTTTGATTGCGTTTTGAAGAGAAGTAAGACGAGCGGGCTCGTTTTGCCGAACGTTTGGTTGTGGGATATGGTTGACGAGTTCATCTATCAATTTCAGTCGTTTTGTCAGTTCCGAGGAAAGTTGCAGGCGAAATCGGAGGAAGAGATTGAGCGTTTGAAAGAGTTGAAAGACGACGGCGACGTGTGGCAAAAAGAGAAGGTTGAGACGTATTTGGAGGCTTTGCAAAACAAGAAGAAGGAAGAGGCGGAGGAGCGCGAGAAAGAAGTAGAATCCGACGAGAAGGCGAAAAGAAGCAACATTGTAGATACTTTGGGATATTTTGCCATCGTTGGTTTGGCGAGAGTCCAGTGCTTGTCTGGAGAGTACGAGTTGTCTTTGAAAACTTTCGACGCAATGCCGGATGTATTGCACGGCGGCGGAGGAAGTTTACACGCGAGGATTCCGGGATGTCACGTTTCTGTCAACTATCACGTTGGTTTCGCCTATTTCATGCTAAATAGGTATAAAGACGCGGCAAAACTTTTCAATCGAGGTATTTCGCACGTCGAGCGATTGCAAATGAATTTGCGACGAAGGGAAGCCGGCGGAGGTGGCGGGAAAAGTACGGGCGCGCATTCGCCCGGAGGGAGAATCGAACTTTTGCGAAAAAAATCAGAACAAATGCTTTCTTTGCTATCGATTGCGGTCTCAATGAGCTGTGGATCTGGTTCCACTTCCAGTGGGGGCGTCATGAGATCTTTAGATGATCACACGCGTTCCATTTTGCGAGAAAAGTACGGCGATAAGATGGCAAAGATGAACAACGGAGAAGTAGACGTGTTTGCGGACTTGTTCGCTTTTGCGTGTCCGAAGTTCATCGCCACGAACGAAATCATTCAATCTACGGGATCTGGAGAGTATGCCGCAGATCCGTCTCTTAGTTATAATCAAGAGGCGTATAAGAAACAACTCGCGGTGTTCATGGAAGAGGTTCAGCAACGCGCGCCGCTTCCCAAGTTAAAAAGCTATTTGAGATTGTACACGACTATTCCGGTACAAAAGCTCGCGCAGATGATGGAAGTTACCGAGGATGAATTGAAAAAGAACCTCGAAGTGATGCAAGAAAAGAGCAGTAACGTCATCGAGTACAGAAGAGAGTATTGTAAATCTCTTCTCGACGGCGTCGAAGTGTCCAAATTGAACGCTTCTTCCGGCGGCGCGGCGGCGCATTGGAATACTTTCGACGCGCTTGACATTGCGTTAGATGAAGACGGGAAGACTATTAAAGTTTTCGATCACTACACTCAAAGTCAACAGCCACAAGAGAAGGAGCAAACTTCTTTTTCAACTCCTTCGTCTGCTTCCATGGCCTCCGCTCCCACGAAAGATGCGGAAATTTTCACTCGACACATTCACAGACTGTCCAAGCTGATGAAAGAATTGAAATAAAGAGTCTTTTAAAGAGAGATTTTAGAGAGGAAGAGTAAGAGAAAGAGAGAGACTTCTCTCTCATAAATATAAATACAACGTCCAGTTCTACTAAGCGAACGAAATCTAAATTATACACGGCTTGTGTTGACTTTTATTTCAAACAATCGTCGTCGTAGTTTAAACACTCATCCATCACGAACGACATTGGATCAAATGCGCTGCAATCATCAAACACAAGCGATGTTGGCGCAGTTGCTTCTTTGAAGTACTTGTTCTTATTCGCTAATTCTGACTTCACCTTGCGTCTTTGCTTTCGCAACGCAAACTTTTCTTTGCAAATAGATCTGCTGCTCGGTGAAAACTCTTCGATCTTCTGCGGACGATGACAGTAAAAACACCATCGAAACTTCATGTCTTCCCCTCTGCCTTTCAAAAGGAACGAATCTTTGCGTTTATGCATTTCGCACACGTGCAGCCCGCCGGCGGCTACCGAGCGAACCTTCTCGCATATCGCTTCGCACCCGAAGCAGTCGCACACGCGACGGGTTCGAGGAGAGAGAACGCCACAGACGCGAGTAGAATGAGTAGCAGTACTTGTGTTCGTAGTAGTACGCGTACTCGTAGTACTTGACTCTTTTTCTTTTCTTTCTTCCCTTTCTTTCCTTTCATCGCTCTTCGTCTCCTTCTGTTTCTTCTTCTGTTTCTTTCTCGTCTCCTCCTCCTCTTCTGTACGAAAACTACTCGTACATGGGGTGCTGGCAAATTTCTTTTGGCCCGATCTTTTGCTTGTGGCAGCGTGAGAAGAAGGTTGAAGCCAATCCACAAATCCGTGATCGTCCGCCAGTTCGAACAGAACTTTCAACTCTTCGCGGTGAATTTGGTCGTGCTGATGGTTCGAGAGCGGTAAAGGGAACAGGGTCGAAGACGGTTCCTCCACCATCGGCGACAATTTTTCCGCAACCCTCTGCAGCAAGACGAATAATTAAGTCAGTGTCGACCGAAAAAAAAAGACGACCAAACACCGCCGTCCTGACGCGCGGTAGTTTTAAATGAATAAACGCGCGCGATGCGGTGTTGCTCCTCCTGGAGATGTTTTTTACGCGTTTCGACAGACACCCACGCGTGCGTTTTGCGTTGCGTATTCTCTTTCTCTCTTTGAATACTACAAAGAAAAAAAATGAGCGAGGAGGCACAAAATATTCCCAAAACGAAAAAAAAATCTCGTGTCGACCGACTTGTTTTTAACTTCTTGTGGGTTTTTTGTCGACCTAAAATGTCTTTAAATTCGTGCATGGGAAAAAAAATTATCAACATCAACGAATAATTGCCGCATTTAATAAACACATAAACACACACAAAACGAGATGCTCAAATCCATCGGTTCCGCGAAGAAAAGCCCTTCATTTGCACCGTCGTCGTTTACGTTGTCGTCAGCGAAGGGGGGAGAAACAGAATTGGAAGCGCGCCTGGACGCGCTTTTAGAAAATGCTTTGGGGGATTCCATTCGTGTTCGGAATTTTCGTTCGCGTCCGGATTTAGTGCCCAAAGCGACGGCGGGGCAGAGAAAATCGTTCCGGGCGAGAAGTTTTGGCGAGTATAAAGATGATGAAAACAGGGAATCGAAGTTGCAAAGATTGTTCGCGCAAACGCAAGGCGACGCGACGTGTTTTGGGTTTACGATTTGTTCGTGCGTCGGGCAGAAAACATCGACGACTTTGGTCGACGACGACGAGAAGAATGACGAAGAAAAACCGCTCTTCGAGTGCGAGTTGTGGTTATCGAGAGGGCGAGAGAGCGAAGAGAGCGGACCTCCGGGATCTTGGAACGTGGTCTGCAAAGACGCCTCTGATGGTAACAACACTCCTTTGTTTATGTTGACTTTGAAAGAAGATTCGACGCTGGAAGAGCTGTTCGATCGGCACGCGATGAAGCGCCCTTTTCCGACGATGGTGGTGAGGAGTTTACTCGGGGTATCCGTCGCCGGCGTGAAAAAGAACAGTAATAGTAAGACGTTGCAAAATTCTCCGACGTTTGCGGCGGCGAAAATGTACAAAGGAAATGCGCAAGTCGCGGAAATTATTCCGTTGCAACGTGACTTCCCGAGAGGAAAGTTGGTTGGGAAGGTTGAACGCATGAATTCGATGTTGATTCGTCGAGACGAAAACGACGCGCTCGGAACGAGGTTGGTGCCGTACACGAGAGGATTACGAAGTTTGTTGTACACGATGATTGGCACAGGATTGATGACATTTGGTTTTGCAGTTCCGATAACGTATTCTTCGGTGAAGACGTACGAAATGCCCGTGGAAATTCACGAGAACGGTCTGGAAGGTCTCAACGGCATGCGGGATAAAGAGGTGAGAAATTTTCGCGATAAATGCGCGGCGTTCGTGAAACCGATTGGCACCATTCGTGTCAAAAAAGCCGGTTTAGGACACTTCAAATTGAAAAGAGAAGAGAATCAAGAGTACAACGAGTGGCCGAAACACACGAAGCGGCACTTCTTGTACGCTATGGTCGCGCACGCCGCCATGGTCAACGAATTCGCCAAAGACGGAACGTATTCCATTCCGGACACTGCGGAAGTCGAGATTTGAATTGTGGGCATTTCATTTTGCGCCCGGTAAAAAGGAAGGAAGAACCTCTTTTAATCTTATATTTTATTGCTATTATTGTTGTTGCGTATTTCACGAGTTCTCAACTTGTGTGTGTGTGTGTGTGTGTGTGTGTGCGTGTGTGTGTGTGTGTGTGTGTGTGTGTGTGTGAGTGTGTGTGTATGTGTGTGTGTGTATTACATGTCTTTATGTATGTCTCTCTTTATACTATGCTGCTAGAGGTGGTGGTGGTGATCATGGCGCTCTCATCCCGTCCTGAGGTAAATCTCCTCCGCGTAAGAAAGTCTCTCTAGTATTTTTCTAATGTGTGTGTGTATTAATCCTCGCGCAAACGATCTCTCTCGCCGCTCGCAAAGGCGTCGTCATCAGCCAAAAAAAGGCGCTCCGCACGTGCACGTCTTCCTGTTTCCCATGCACACACCCTCGAAAGTTGGAAACCTCTTCGCGAAACTCGGTTCTGGTGCGCCTTCCAACAATTTCTCCTTCTCTCGTTGCAACTTCTCCGGCTCGTGGTGTAACTCTCTCCACAACTGAAACAGTTTCATCGATTTCACGCTATCGCCTTCCGCGCAGTGTTTCTCGCTCAACTCCAGCTGGCCTTTCAGTAACCTCCTCACCAGATGATCTTGCGAGAACACTGAATAGGTTTTAAACTTTGGATTCCACGTTCTCCACACGCCGCACAAATCGACGACGCCTTTGAAGTCTTCGCCTTCGCGCAAACCTAACCACTCGATGTCTTTGGAGACGTTTTGACCGACCAAAATGGCTTTTCGGGAAGGTAAACATCGGCGAACCAGAACCATGGCTGTTGTTTGCGTGTCGTTGTTTCAAAGAAAAATAAGAATAAGTCGTCAGTTTATTATTGTGCGATAATACTCGTAAAGCGTGAAATACTCAATACGCGTAAGTGTCAGTTCTTACCATCTGCAAACGGAATTCCTTCCTTCTCTAATTTTTCCCTCGTTATCCCCGTCAACGGTTCAATCGTGGACACTATGTTGGTATCGTTTTCATTTTCATCATCGTACGACGTGGAAGCAGTGCCTTCTTCTTTCACGAAAACGTTCACTAAAGTCCGCATCGCGTCGTCCACGACGGCAATCTGCGCCACCGCTCGGTCGTTGTGCGTGTATCCAGTCGCGACGCACTCGACGTCGATGGCGAAATATATATCCTCGTTTTCCTCCTCGTTCACGTCTTCCTCTCCTTCTTTGTCCTCTTTGGCAGAGAGGAAGGTGGACGGGACGAAGGTGGACGCGTTCGCGTTCATCAAATTCTTTTAAAGTGCTTCTTTTTGTGTCGATTGGTTCAAGTGATGAGAAAAATGAAACGGCGTAACATCGATGATACATTTGCTATTACTTTGACTGAATCTGCGTCCACGCGCCGTCGACGCTTTCTTTCCACACGCTCACTTGGTTGTTGGCGTCGGAAACGGCGAGGACGTTCCCGACGACGGACCAGCTGAGACGCCAGACGGCGGTTTTGAAGTCGTTGAGAAGGACGGAGTGGTAGTCTTTGTTGGCAGTATTCGTACTGCTGTTGTTGTTGCTTTCGGTCCAGATGAACACTTTGCCGTCTTGCGAGCAGGAAGCGATTTGTTGGACGTTGGAACCACCGTTGTTTGGCGCCCATTGGACGTCTCTCACCCAATCCGAGTGACCTCGAAGTTCTTTCTTTAGTCGCCATTGTTGTTGTTGATTATGATGATGATGTTGGTTATGATTGCTACTCTCTCCTCCTCCTCCTCCTTCCTGGGCGCCTCCTCTCGTCCAAATCTTGCACAAGTTATCGCACCCGCAACTCGCAATCTCGTCGTTTTGTCCCCACGACACCCCGGTGCACCCAACCGCGTGCGCTTCGTTCGAAATCTTCTCGCTTCGCCACCCTCCTCCCGCCACATTACTATTACTCGAAATAACCGCTACGCTCCCGTCGCTCGAGCACGCCGCCACGGCGCACCCAAACTCGTGCGGTGCCCACGAAATCGCATTCACGCTCCCGTCGAAAAAACCTTTCGGCGTCACGTACACTCTTGAAAAAACGTTCGAACTCGTCTCCTTCCATATCATCACCGTGTGATCGAACGAACACGACGCTAACAACGCGCCAAATTTCGGGTGCGCCCAAGATACTTGCCACACCGGCCCTTCGTGCCCGGTGAGCGTCGTCGCGTTCGCTCTTTCGACGATTGCCTCTTGAGGAGGAGGATGATTCGCGACGTTTTCGCCGCCGCCGCCGCCATCACCACTCGTCGTCGTCGTCATCGTCGTTCCGGTATCGAACACTTTGATCGTTCGGTCGGACGAGCACGTCGCCACTCTCTTTATTTATGTATTATCGTTATTATTATTCAGTTTGACGATGATGATGATTGGTTTTAGTAATGTAGTATTAAGAGAGTATAAAAAATGTCAGTATAGTTATTCGTAGTAAGAGAGTCGTTTCCGTTGGTGTTGATCTCTCTCTCTCAACACACAATTCAAAGAACATTACCGCGCGCTTCTTCTTGCGTATAAATATATACACACATCGAGAACAACAACAAGAACAACAACAGCACATCACGCTTTCGCACGCGCGCGATAAAAAGGAGAGAGAGAGAGAGAGAGTTAAAGAGAGAGTTCAGAGTTCAAAAGTATGCGTACCCGTCCGTAATAATCGTACTGGCAATCGTGAATCTGATCCCCGTGTCCGGTGTCGAACTGTTTTTGTGGTGGTTGATTCGTTTGATGGGAGGAAGGAGAAGAATACTGTTGTTGTTGTTGTTGCGCCGTCATCATTATTCTCTCTTATCGCAAATAAAGGGGTAAATGTCTTCTGAAAAGAGTCGTTAAACGCGCGCTTTAAAAGTCTTTTCTGAAGACGAAATTTGGGACGAAAATTGCTCCGAGAAAAACTCACACGCGGTCTGTGTCGTTACAAAATTTTTGCCCTTGGAACCCTAAATATGAAAGGTCAAAAAAGAAGCGAAAAAAAAATGTGAAGAAAGATAAGCTCACCCCCCTTTGGACTTCACTTATTTCTTTGAAAAGACACACGTCACACAACACACTCTTATATACTAAAAATGTTTTCTGTCACTCAAACTGTTACTCAATCCGTTCGCTTGAACGCGACTGTTTCCAAGAGAGACGTCACCCGCAGGTACGAAGAAGTTCTTCTTCTTAAAGTGTTTTCTGCGTGTGTTGGATCGTTCATCCATTTTGTTCTTTTTTCCTCTTTTCGGTACACGTCATTTTTTCCATTATTAAACGCGCGAATGCTTTCGGGCGCGCGCGCGCGCGAAGGAGAACGACGTCTTCATTCCTCTCGACTACAAACACCATTCGCCGTGAAAGCTTCTTTTGTTCCCTCCTTTCGTCGAAAAGAGAGCGTAAATAAAGTATGGTATCTTTCGCGACGAGATATGGATAATTGGAAAGAGTGAAAGAGAGATATCGCGCGAGTGCTCAACTGTCCAATAACTGTGAACACGTTTTTGCTCCAAAAAAGGACACGTCAACAACCATCGCACGCGAAGAGGACAAAAAACAACAAACACTTTTGAAGAAGAAGAAGAAGAGAAAAGAGAGGAAAAAAAATTTCGTTCTTTTTCAAAGCTGTCGTATTTTTTACTCTTTTGTGTACTCACTCTGTCGCGCTCTCTTTTGTTCTATTCTTTTTAAACAGATCTGGCGGCAACTTCTCCGCCCCTCCCAGAGATGATTCGGAAACGTTCAAAACGTCCGTCGCGGGCCAATCGAACTGGAACGCCTACGAAGGTTCCAGCGAGAAAGAACTCACGCCGGAGGAGAAGAAGGCCAAGGCCAAGGCGGAGGAGGACGCGTCCAACGCCAGAAGAGCCGCCGCCGCGGCGAAGATGCAAGCCGAAAGAGAAAAAGCCGGCTACAAAGGGTCCATCTTCTAATTTCCTATGATTTTGCATCGTGAGAGAAATATCTCGAGAGAGAGAGAGAGAGAGAGAATAAGAGAGAGAATAAGAGAGAGTGTGTTTTTGACGCTCTCGAAGTAGTATATCCAATGAAACTTGTTTGTACAAAACGTTCTCCTTCATAAAAAAAAAATCGACACTTTTGTACACCCTAAATACTCGTCCTTTTCTCCCTCTAAAAATGGCGGCAGAAATCACCACAAAACGAAGAAGAGAGAAGAAGAAGAAGACAAAGGAAGAGAACAAGAGAGAAGAAGAAGAAGAACGACCGAGAATCACCCGAGATTTGAACTGGTGGTTTTGGTTCTTTTTGTCCCCGTGAGTTTATTTAAAAAGATGTCCGAAGAGGAACCGAAAACGGAGAAGCAACTGATTCGCCAAGCGGAGAAGGAGCGGAAAAAGAAGGAAAAGTTGGAGAAAGAACTGAAGAAGAAGAGAGAAGGTTTAGCGTCGTCATCGGGAGGAGGAGGCTCGGTTGTAACGGTGCACGCGTCGCAAACGCCTCCGGTTCACTTGGATGCCGTCTCCGGCACGCGAGACTTCTTCCCCGAGGAGTTTCGATTGCAAACGTGGTTGTTTGAGAAATTCCGGAAATGTGGTCTCAGAGCAGGGTTCGAGGAGTACGACGCGCCGGTGTTGGAACGGCAAGAGTTATACAAACGGAAAGCCGGGGAGGAGATCACGCAACAGATGTATTCGTTCGTGGATAAAGACGGGGTGGAAGTGACGCTGAGACCGGAGATGACGCCGACGTTAGCGAGGATGGTGTTGTCGAGAGGCGCGTCGATGATTTTGCCGCTGAAGTGGTTTTCGATACCGCAGTGTTGGAGGTTTGAAGCCACGCAGAGAGGAAGGAAAAGAGAGCATTATCAGTGGAACATGGATATTATTGGGTGCAAGGAAATAACCGCGGAGGTGGAGTTGTTGAGCGCGGCGGTGGAGTTTTTTAAGAGCTGCGGGATTACGAGCGCGGACGTCGGGATTAAAGTGAATTCGAGGAAAGTCATGCAATCGATGTTGACGATTAACGACGTGCCGGACGAGATTTTCGCGCCGACGTGCGTGATATTGGACAAGCTAGATAAGATTGGCGCCGAGGCGGTGGTAAAGGAGTTGACGGAGACGTTGGGGTTACCGAGAGAAACCGCGGAGAACGTGGTGAAGACGTTGAGTTGTAAAACGGTCGAGGAGTTGGAGGAAATGGCCAGAGAGGCGATCGAGGTAAGTAGCGGTGGTGATGATGGTGATAATACTAATAGCAATACGAAAGCCGTGGACGATTCATCCATACGCGAGTTGAAAGAATTGTTCAAACTGGCGGAGGAGTACGGTTTCGGCGACTGGCTCCAATTCGACGCTTCCGTCGTGAGAGGATTAGCGTATTACACCGGCGTCGTCTTTGAAGCGTTCGATAAAGCCGGCGAGTTGAGAGCGATCGCCGGTGGTGGTAGATACGATAAGTTGTTATCTTTGTACGGAGCGACGACGCCGGTACCGGCGTGCGGGTTTGGTTTCGGCGATTGCGTCATCGTCGAACTTTTGAAGGAGAAAAATTTACTCCCAAACGTCCAAAAAAGGGTTGATTTCTGCGTCTGCGCGTATAACAAAGACATGCAAGGCAAGGCGATGAAAGCGGCGGGTTTGTTGAGGCAGACTTCTCCTCCTTCGAATGGTAGTGGTGGTGGTGGTGGTGGTAGTAGTAGTAACGATGATGACGGAGATGGAAACATTAATAGCGCCGACGAAAACAAAAGACTCGTCGTCGTCGACGTCCTCCTCGAACCGAAAAAAAAAGTCGCGCAAACCTTCGATTACGCCAACCGCATCGGCGCAAGATACGTCGTCTTCGTCGCCCCTTCGGAGTGGGAAAACGGATGCGTCCGCATAAAAGATTTACGAGCGGAAGAGTACGCCGAAGACGACGCCGATAAACAAGTCGACGTGAAAATCGAAGACTTATGGAACGCTTTAGAGCAGATGCGAGAGAATGAAAATCGCGTGCGAGCGAGGAGAGGGTTCGCTTCCCTTTAGCAGAGAGAGAGAGAGAGATTCCTGATCGATCGATCGAACGCGCTTTTTACAGCAGACTTTTCTTCATAATTTTAACTGTTTTCTTCATTCATTCACGAACGAACGAACAAGAATACTAAGCATCACCGAACAATCGCTTCATTTATAACACTGTTCCCATAATAATGGCGAGAATCAGAGACACCTCGTACGACAAATCCGTCGTCTACGAGCCGAGCGAAGACTCCTTCCTCCTCGCCGATGCCGTCGCGGAGGAGATTTGGTCTCGGGAAAAGAGGAAGGAATCGAACGCGTTGAGACGACTCGATGACGACGATGAAAACGATTTTGATGATGAAAACGACGAGGAGGAAGAAGAATTTGTCAGCGTGGAAATCGGCGTCGGTTCCGGGTACGTGCTGTGTTCGCACGCGATGCGGTTTTGCGAAGAAATGAAGGAGCGGCTTCAAAGGAAGCAGCGGGAAGATGATTCAAAGACGAAGAAAAAATGTCGTCGCGTGTGGCGGTTTCTCGGAGTAGACGTGAACGAAAAGGCGGTAGAACACGCGAAAGAGACGATGCGGAGACACGGGTTGCGAGTCGTCGGGGATGATGAGGAGGAGGAAAAGGAGGACTTTGATGAAGACGACTCGTCGTCGTCGCGGTATTCGATTGAGATTTTCCGCGGCGACATGTTAGAGGACGACCGGTTTTACCGCCGCCGGATAAATGCGAAGAAGAAGAAAACAGAAGAAGTGAAAGAAGAAGAGAGGAAGAAGAAACTAATAGACGTGTTGCTGTTCAACCCACCGTACGTGGTCACACCTTCGGAAGAGATTTACGACCCTTCAACGAAAAGTTCTTCTTTGTCTTCCTCGTTAACCGCCGCGTGGGCCGGAGGCGTTCGCGGCCGAGAAGTCGTCGACCGAATTCTCTACGACATCAAATCGTGGTTGCGACCAAACGGAGGGACGTTTCTCGTCGTCGCGTACGCGCAAAACGATATCGAGGAGATGATGGAGATTTTATCCAACCAAGACGGAATGCGAGTCGAACGCGCGAAATGGACGAAAGCGGACGAAGAGTCCCTCGTCGTCCTCAAAGCCGTGAGACTGTAAAATAATACGTTTACTTTAATACTAATACTAATACACGCAGAAATAGCGGCGCGCATACACACGCACACTCTACTACACCATCCTCCTCCTCTCCTCCGCTTTCGGCGTCGCCAACGAAACCGCTTTTTAACGCTCTCGCTCGCTTTCATCGCGCGACGATCAAACGCCGTAAAAGGTCGTCACATCTTCGCGCATTTCACTCTACACCATCATCCTATCCTCCGCTTTCAGCATTTCTAAGACTGCTTTTTTGCTCTCGCTATCTTTAATCGTAATCCCGCCGTAGGTGACGTTTTTGCGTATTTTCGTCGCGTTTCCCACTCGAACGCCGCGTACGATTTTGTGTCGATTCTTCCCTTCTCTTTTAGAAGATTTCTTCTGTTTCTGAATGCCACCGGTGAGAACGCGTACTCCTCCTTTAGTATTCTCGTGTTTCTTGCTCCTCTTTTCGCGCATCTGCCGTCCAACGCTCGTCTTCTCTTCTTCTTCTTTCATCTTCAATTCGCGTTCTCGCTGCTTTTCCAACTGTTTCCGCTCTCTCACTAAAGCGTCCGCGATTCGACTTTGACGCTTCTTCGTGCTGTTTTTCTTCGCCATTTTTAGAAGAATTACGATTGACACTATTTGTACGTACGCGTGAGAGTAAAGTCGCGAGTAAAAGGATCTGTTTTAATGGTCTAAAGTGCGCGTACTTTTTGTGGGGAATGTCTCTGTTCAGAATGTGAATGAATTAATTGAATTTGACGCGATATGTGTCAATGTTTACGATTGGTATCAATGTGGCCATTTGAGTACCTGCACATCAGTCTTGAGACGTACAACACAGAAGTATTGATGGTACATTTGTGCAATTTGCTGTCTCTGTTCCAATGATGCGATGAAATTCTACTTCTAACTCTTTAAATACTAAGACGGAGTATGCGCGAAGAAGCGCACGGCGCAATCGGCGCCGACGCAGACGAGATGCGCATTTGCAGTCTCCAAATCATCCTCGTTTTCTTTGTCGAAGTTTTCGTCGTTTTCGTTGTTGACGTATAAGAGTTGGGCGAAACGTACGCCGCCTCGGACGGCGTTCACGTCCTCCTCGACGACTTTGACCGCGCTACTTTTACTACTACTCTTTCGTACTACGTTTCGCCAGATTTTCGCGCGGCCGTCTAAAGAGCACGAGAGGAAGGACGTGGAGGAGCGAGACCAGTGGACGTCTTCGATTCGGCTGCTGTGAAGGAATTTGGAGTGTCGTCGATCGCGCGGTTTTAGGAGACGGAAGAATAACTCTTCTTTCGTCTCTTCTTGTTTTCTTTCTTCTTCATCTTTGTCATCTTCATCTTCATCTTCGGCGTTGGAAGTCGTCGTCCATAAGACAATTTCTCGATTGGAATCGCCGACGGCGAGATGTTTTCCGTTTGGAGCAAAATCTATGCACGTGATGTTGCACGACGAGGACGCGTTGCTTCGCTCGAGCGTTTGTTTGTGTTCAACGACGCCGTCTTCGTTTCTTCTCTCGAAAATGTACACCGCGGCTTCGTCGGCGCAGCCGAAAGCGAAAAGCGTTTTTTCGCCGCCGCCGCCGGAAGAAAACTGAACGGCGCGTCCACACGATAACTCGACTTCTTTTTTCCTTCTCGTCGTCGTCGTCTGAATCGTCGTCGTCTGAATCGTCGTCCTCACGTCAATCTGTTGTATTTTATCAAATAGAATTTTCAACTCTCCTCCTCCTCCATTATTGTCGCTCGATGATGACGATTTCTCGTATTCAATCGGCACGAGTTTCGCGAGACCGTTTGCAAACGTTATCATAAGTTCGCAGTGGTGAACTTCTTTCGTCGTAACTTTTGTTGTTTTCGGAAGTAGTGGTTCTTCTTCTTCTTCTTCTTCTTCTTCTTCGTCTTGCGAAATCGAAACGGAAACGGAAACGACGCAGACGTCGATTGGCTGTTGCTCAAATTTTACGGCGCGACGATGACACTCCTGGTCGTTATTGTCGTTACTATTGTCAAAGTCATCATCTATAAAAGCCATGTCTTTAACGCTCGCGAAGCGCAAGTGATCGTCGAAACCAATCGCGGCGACGATATCGTTCCCGCAGTTGACCAGTTTCGTGACTTTTTTCAGCGGCGTATTCTTTATGACTTCTCGCACGTTTTCGATGGTTTTCGTTTCCGGAACGTACTCGCAGACCAATATCTTCGGTCTCGGATCGTCTTCCCTTCGTATGCTCGCCGTCCAAACCTGATACTTTTTCTCCGTCGAAGAAGACGACCCCGACGAAACATCGACCGAGCACATCGCCGTTATCGGCCTCGAGTGTCCTAAAATCTCCTCCCGAAAACGCAGCTGCTTTTTCTTCTTCCTTTCACCAAACTCGTCTTTATCGTCGACTTCGACGACGTCGAGCACGGTCATCTTTCCGGACAAGCCGCAAGAAACGACCGTCTCGGCGGACGCGCACACGCCTATTTGCATATCATCGACGGTTGTCTCCGCGCCGCAACAACTGTACGCGTCCTCGAGCGTGACGTGTTTCGCGACGTGTTGTTCCGTCTTCGGTTTCACGACCAACCGAACGTCATCTTCTTCTTCTCCTTCTTCGTCTGTTTTCTTCAAAATCTCGACGATTTCTACGTCTACGCCTACTTGTCGTTCTCGCACGACGTCTTTCACCTTCCAAAGTTTCACCATTTTATCCGCCCCGCTCGAAACGAACCGATAAATTGTGTTATTCTCCTCATCCTCGTCGTCGTCTAACCACGCGACGCCGTACGTCGATCCGTCCTTCGCGGCGACCCGTCCTTCGTCGCCAACCATCTCGAGCGTCTCGACGTCCCAAACGCCAATCCCATCGCCAGCCGCGGAAAGCACGTACTTATCGTCTCTGGACATTCGAACTTCGTTTATATACTTTTCGTGAGTGTGTGTTCGTCGCTTCGCTCGCTCTCGTTGTTCCAACTGAAACGGCGGCCCACCTGTATAAAATCGCACTCGAAAATCCTCCGATCCTGTTATAACTCTGTGCGGCTTCCCTTTCCTGCTCCCGCAAACTGTCGTGCACGCTTTGGTCGCCCCCGAAAGGTCTTTCACCGCGGTCCCCGTCTCCGCGTCGACGCACTTCGCGAACTGCTCTCGCCCTTCGCCCGCGAGGAGTACCTTCGCGCCGTCGAAGGACCAACACACGTCCCGCACCGGACCGGCTAAAACCTTTTCGTGTCGTTTTATCAACGCTCCAGTTTCTAACGACCAGATCTGGATTGAACCGTCGGATGCTCCCGAAGCTGCCATGTGCTTCTTTGTATCGAAAGGAGGCGCGAACGGGCAGACGCACGTGATTTTCGCGTGTTGGTGTTCAACCGTCGTTTTCTTTCTCTGAGTCCTTCCCAGGAAAGTGACTATGTACGCTTTCCCTGTTTTCTCGTTGACGTAGGTACACGAGAATTGCGACGACTCGTTCTTCTTCGTAAGAGAGGAGGAAAACGCGTGCACGTGCGCTCTTTCGCCTCGTTTGGTCGTTTGCACGGGAGGCAAGATTTGCGTTTGTTCCATCGTTTTTCCCTTCTATCTTTCAACAATAATGCATTATTCTTTTCGCACACAACATCATTAGGAAGAGCAAAAGTCGTCTCGTATTCTGAAGTTGTTGTCACACCAGCTACTACGTACGCTTAAAAGAGAGAGAGAGAACGAGACCGCGCACAACGAACAGAAAGAGTAGTCAAAGCAAGAGCAAAAAGTGAGATTGTTTTCTTCTAACGGTCTACGAGGAAATGTTTTTTACCAAGGAGTAAGGAGTAAGCACTTAAGAGTAAGACCAAAGCACTTATATGTTTAGGGTTTAAGTGCTTCGTGGGTACTCTTAAGCGCCTCATTCTTACTCGTACGTCTCTCTCCACAAAATTTTTTTTTCTTTTTGCAAATTTTTTGTTTAGGGTTCTAAACCCTAATGGGCCAAGAGAGCTCTCAAACCTCTCTCTCTTTTCTCTTGTCCCGCGCCTCTCTTCTTCCTTCAGAGAGAGATTCTTTAAAAGATTTCATATTCATCGTGTAAAGGAAAAATTCTCCGCTTTAAAAAGAACAACAGAGGAGGAGACTCTGAGAACATCGAGTCCTCCGTCGTTCAGAACAACAACTCTTCCTCTTCTTCTTCTTCTTTTGGAACGGGAGGAGGAGGAGGAAAAGAAAGGAAGAAAATGATGACCAAAATTTCTTCTTCCCGCGATGATGAAAATGATGATGATGTGGAAGCGACGCCTTTACTGTCGAATACTACTAAGTACATCAAACGGAGAGGAAACTTTGGAACGAGTTTAATTCGAAAAGGAGGAGGCGTCTTTTTTCTTGCTCTGATTTTAATAACGGTCGCCGCTTTGGTGATGACGATGACAAACACGAGAACAAAGATGAGCGGTGGTTTGAGTAAAACGTTGAAAAGACTCGGGGGAGGACAACAAATGCAACAAGTGAAAACGGGAGTACCGGACGAAGACGAACTGACGAAACAAGAGAAGGAAAAGATTGACTTCTTCTTAGAGGAGAGAAGGAAAGAACTGGTGAAAGAAGCGGTGGCGAAACACGCGAGGGAACAAGCGAAGAAGGATTCTTCTCTCGCCGCCGCCGCCGCGGAAGCTTCCTCGAAGGCGTCGTCTTCGAATACTAAGAGCGAGAATACTAATAGCAATAATAATAATAATAGTAAGAACAAGAGTGCGAGTGCCGGTAGCGGGAGCAACGGAGGAGGCGAGAGCAACGGAGGCGACGACAAGAAGAACGGTATCGTCAATGTTAATAACAACAACAATAACGGCAAGAAGGGCGAGAATGGTAATGCGAAGAATACCGCCACTTCGGGGACCGGGTCATCAGTCGCGTCATCGGCAAAGGTAGGAGCGGACGAGAAAAACAATATCGCGTCAACGAGTACTTTTACTCCGAGTAGTAACAACAACACGAACGCCAAGAATAGCGGCGGTAGCGCTTCGCCAACGACCACCACCCCCGCGGACGCGAAGCCAAAGCAACAACCGAAACAACAACAACAACAACAACAACAACAACAACAACAACAACAACAACGTGTGCAAAAGAATGCAACAACAACAACAACGAATAATAATAATAGTAATAATAATAACAACAACAACATTAAAAAAGGGGTGGTAGAAGTTGCACCGCACGCTAAGGCAGTTGTTACGGACGCCGCGGTCATCGTCAAAGACGTCGCGAAGGGTATCGTCGACAACATTGCCGACGGTACCTTTCACATCGACGACGATGACATCGGTAAAGTTGATGCGAGCGATGAGAAATACAAGCCGAATCCGGTATCGCCGGTGCGCTTTCTCGATCACGCTTCAAACAACGCGAAATGTTTGGACGGATCGCCTCCCGCGTATTATTTATCGAAGCGCATCGACCGCTCCGTGCGAAGGAAAAGATGTACAAGCGATGGTGTCGAACACTCGTGCGGCGAAACGTGGATCATCATGCTTTCCGGTGGAGGCACGTGCGTAAACGACGAGGACTGCACGAGACGGGCGGCGACGGGATTAGGCTCTTCGAAATTAGTGCCGAGGACGTATCACTTCTCGACTGGTATTCAATCCGTGTTGAAATCCAACGAAGCGTTCAACACGGCAAATATGGTAAATATCGCGTATTGTTCTGGAGACTCTTGGTTGGGCAGAAGTAGCGAACCGGACGCGTCTGGCGTGACCATGAACGGCGGTCTCATCGTCGACGCCGTCTTGGATGAACTCATCAACCATCACGATTTGTTGTCGGCGAAAAACATCATCTTCTCCGGAAAATCTGCCGGTGGAGTCGGTTTAGTCGCACAAATCGATCGGTGGGCGGATGTTATCGCACAAGCGTACGAAGCTCAAGGGTACGACCCAAAACTGCAACCTCCCAAAGTGTCCGGCATCGCCTTCGCTGGATTTCACTACTTTCACACGCACACGTTTTACGACCCGAGAGATCAAATGTCCATCGGTGAAAATAAAAACTCTGACGACGATTCCAAAGATGACGATAAAGAAGAGGCGTCGAAGGACAACCACAGCGCGACGAAGAGTAACAAAGAGGAGGAGGAAGAAGAGGAAATCGAGTCGATGAAATTTGACGAGATGGTGGAACAGATTTTCGAAGAAAACGCCGAAGAGGATACACTCTCTTCCGCTTTAGTCACGGACGACGACGATGCGTTGGTAGAGAAAGCTACGCCTCCCGCGGACAACAACAACAAAAACAACAACAAAAAGTCAAACGAGAAAAACGCCTCCGCTACCGATGACGATGACAAGACAAAAGCGAATGCAAGCACTGCAACCACCAGCACCACCAGCAGCAGCGACAGAGAGGAAACTGGGATTTTCAGCGAAATTTTCTCCACGTTTAAAGATAAATTGCAAGACAAATTCCGGCACGCCGCCGCGGAGCTCGGCGAAAGCGACGACGACCAGAAGAGCGAAGACGGCGTCTACTTGAATTCTGCGGAAAGTCGTCTGCTCTTACGATTCGGTCTCAACACGACTAACTCCACCAACACCTACGGCCAAATGAAACCGTCGTTTATCCCGTGGGACGAGACGAGTTGGAAGAAGTACTTGAAGTTTTGGCGCGCCGAGGATTCGTTACCGAGCGAGTGCACCAAGCGCGGCAGCAATCGAAAAGTACACCGTTGTGCGGTGGCAAGAAATTCGATCAAATTTATCAGAACGCCCATATTTTTTGTGCAAGCGTTGACAGATTCCGTCGTCATGTCCATCCACGACAATTGGCCGTTAGCCGACCACAGGTTTGTCCACGAACCCGATTTGAAATCGATGACGTTGGCGTCGTCCACGACGAAACATTTGAGCGACGTCCACGAGAAACGAAAACAAACGCAAAGATTGGTCGAGAAAACCATCGACGACTTGAACTCTGGTGTTTTAGACATGAAAGTCTACGAAGACAAGCAACTCGAACTGACGAAAAAGATGTGGGAAAACTTGGACGAAGAAGAACGCTCCCGTCGCGAAGAATACGCGAAAATGTGGAAGACGCAAATGGTTGATCGACTCCGAGAAGCGACAAAAGCAAATCCAAACGTCGGCGTCTTTGCGCCCTCCTGTTACGTGCACACTAAATTCGACAAGATCAAAATCGACGGCGTCGAAGCCCGTTCGGCGTTAGCCAAGTGGGTGTACGACGGCGAAAGAACCATAGTCATCGACGATAAGTGCGACGCGAACGGAAAAGGTTTGTTTTGCAATCAATCCTGTCAAGATACCGCGCCGCAGCTGGAAAAAACGAACGGAGGGCAAATCGCGCCGAATACCATCGTGGATAACTCTAGAATGGGCACCGACGAAGCGCAGCGGCAAAAACAAGTGACCACCGCGAGTAGTAGTACCAAGAAACAACAACAACGACGGCGATAAAAATAAACGCAAATATACTACGAGTTTTAGACAAATAGAAAATAGCACACGCAACAACAACAACAACGAGAACAACACCGCGAATACCCGTGTACACATTAGCGCGTAATGAAAAGAAAACTATTCTTCTTCGCACATCAATCGCTTCGCGCGCCTTCCTCCACATCACATTTGATACCCTAAATAGAAGACACTCGAGAATTTTGAATTTTCTCGACTGCGCTTCCCGGCAAAACGCGCGCGCGCAAAACACATCACACGTCATGCTCGACATCATCACCAACACCAACGAATCACACAAAGAAGAAGCATTGAAAGAAAGAATTCAATGGGCAAACTCTTTGCGTAAAGTCGTGACACGAAAAGATGCCATCGACGCAGAAACCGGCGCTTTAAAGCAACAGTTTTTCAAACCGACGAAAATCGTCTTCGAGACTTCCGGGAAGAAATGGGGCGACGACCAGCGGCAAAAACTGTACGAAGGACTCCATATATTCGGCGTCGGCGAGTGGATGAAGATGAAAGAACACTTTCACAACGAATTAGGCGAGTGGACGACCTTGGATTTGAGAGTGAAAGCGAGCAGGATGCTCGGGACGCAAAGTTTATCGAGGTACCCGAAAGGGTGGAAAGGAACGAAAGAGGAGGTGGATTTGGAGTACGAGAAACACAAGGAAATCGGGGAGAAGACGGGGTGCTGGAAAAGCGGGACCTTGGTGGAAGACGACGATGGGAGCGTGGCGAAACTGTTGAAGGAGAGAGAAATGGAGGGAAAGTAGTGATGATGATGCATATTATGAGTAGCTTTTTGAAATGTATTTAGTATGTCAAAGCGTAAGCGAAACTCTCCTTTATCGTGTTCCTTCTTTTCCAAGAAGGAGAAAACGACTACGACGACTACTGCTCGCTCGTCGCGATGACCAGTATCACGCACTCATTCACTATCTATCTATCTATCTATGTATGTATCTAAAAAGAGGAGGATTGGGAATTCGCGTCGGAATCTCGTCCTAAATTGGCTTGCATGAGAGCGTCGAACGTGTTCACGCGCCGAGCGGCTGGTTTTGATTTTTGCGAGGCGGTTGCTTTTGTTGCTTTTGTTGTCTTCGTCGTTGTTGGCTTTGCAGACGGTTTCTTTCTTCCATCACTCGTGGTTTTGATGGTATCTACCATGGCAGTCTGTCGCATGCGTTTGCGAATTTGCGTGGCCTTATCTTCGTCGTCCGTGTTCGCTTCTTCCTCCTCGTCTTCGTCGCTCACCTCTTCGCTCGACGAAGAGGCTTCGGACGACGACGACTCCTCGGACGACGACGACCTCCCTCTCTTCTTCCCTCCTTTCCCCTTCCCAATTTTTTTACTCAACGCGTCGTTTTCTTTCCTCGCCGTTTCTAGAATCTCCTCCAACTCCCGAATCCGTTTCTTCTTCTCGTTTACGAGGACCAAACACTCCTCAAAACATTTTCGCTTAAACTGCTCGATATCTCTCGCCTTCTCCAATTCTTTCTTCACCGCGATCTCTTGATCTTTCCTCAAACACTCGTTCGCGCGCTTTAAATCCACGTTTCCTTCCTTTTCGCGAATATACTTCAACGAGGCGTGACGCAACAACTCCAAAAGAACCGTCGTCGCCGTTTCCTTTGCAGATCCCGTCTCGACACCCTCCGCTGCCCTGGCGGCGGCGGCGACGACGCGCTTCATCTTGCAAGACCCTCGCATCATCACCATCTCCTTTCGCTTCTTCTTCGTATCCTCCTCTCTGCTCTCCTCGTTTGCGTTCTCGTCGTCGTTTTCGCTGAACCGCCAGACGAGTTCAAACACCTCCTCCTCCGCTGTATCATCGTCTGTGTTCTTCTTCGTTTTCTCTTCGATGGAAAACTGGTACCTTTTTGCTCTTCGTCCGATCAAAGTCGTCGCAGTCGTCGGCGTCAACGCTTCCTTCGCTCTCTGGTACCAGTTGTCATACACGACGACTTTCGGTCTCGAAACGAACCCACTCGTTCGAAAGACCGCGACACCCAAGCGATTAAAAGTCCGATACGCATCATCATCATCTAAATCGTCGTTTAAATCATCTTTTTCGTCTCCTTCCTTGGTGTGTGTAAAAGCCAAAACGTCCAGCGAAAACGTTTCCTCTCGGTCGTTAAACCTCGGGAAGAAGATGCATTCCACTTTCTCGCCGTTCAATTCTGTTCCCGATGATGGAAAGGAGTAAAAATCGACGAGACGAGCGGGACGAGAGATTGGTCTCTCAGTGCATTCAGTCGTCATCTCAGCGAGTCGTCATATCTCTTCCTCTGGTGAAATCGTCGTCTTTTTGACGCGTTCCTTTTGCTCTGTTGTGATGTTTTGTGTGCGTCGTTAAAGAGTTTTTAGAGTGAGGATTTTCCTCTCGTATCGTTGGATGTTGAATCTCAATGTTGTGTGAAAGTTTACGAGAATACTAAGTAAGCGACATATAAGACTATGAAGGGATGTTGGATGTTGAATATCACAATAAATGATGATGAAAGTTAATAATAATAACACTAGTATTTTTAAGCGACGAAGACTATGAAGAACATGAGAAAAGCCATGAGCACGCCGAAGACTTTCATGGCCAACCACCGATTGTTACTGATGTAGTTCAAGTACTTCAGAAGTTCACCCTGCGCTTGGTCGACGTTCATGACGACGTCTTCGACGTTTTCGTCGATGCGAATGGCCATCTCGCCTTGTTCGTTGACCATGGTGGCGAGTTGTTGGAAAATGCCGCCGAGTTCGGTGATGGTGCGCTCGACGTTTTGCATGGCGTCGGCGCGAGAGGTGGCGTAGTTTTGGTCTTGGTCTTGGTAGACGGCGACTTGGTTTTGGTTGAAGGATATCGGGTTCATGTGGCCGAAATTCCCTTGTTGTTCTCCTTGTTGTTGTTCGCTACTTCGCGCGCCCACGTTCATGAAACTCCCCGTCGTGGCAGCCGCGCTGACGCTGGCAAACCGTCCAGTTCCGCCTTGAAACCCACCGCCTTGCTGTTGCTGCGTTTGTAAACTACTGCTACCGCTGCCGCCAAACATCGATCGTCTTCTCTCGTTATTCTTCACGCTCTCCTTCCTTTCGCTCAACACGTCCTTAAACGCCTTGGTCGCGTCCATTAACCGTCCTTTCAAACTCTCCACGATCGTCTCCGAATGTTGCGTCGACTGTTTCGTCTTTTGCTCTCTCTCGTGCAACGCCAGCTGTTGCAACTCCGCGATCGCCGTGTTCAACTGCTTGATATCTTCTTTCACCGCGAAGGAAATCGTGTTAATCTCTTGACTCGAGTCGTCAAACGCGCCCGACCGCTTCGCGAGTTGCGCCAACCGGTCCAGCTTTTGCGACGTGGAGTGGATGGCGTGACCGACGCGCGAGGCTCTCTGGTGGAACACAGATTTCATCTTCGGCGCCTCGTTCGCGAGATGCAAAGAAGAGCCTCCTCCTTTGTTGTTGTTGTTGAAATCGTCGTCATCCAAAGAAGACCCGAATTGCTGCTGCTGCTGTTTCTCCACGTGCGAGGAGGAGGAGGCGGCGTAAAAATCCGAGCCTTCTCCTTTCGCCGCGGCGCCGTTCTCGTCGTCGTTTTCGTTTCTTCCCCCACTGCTACTCCTGTGTCTACTTCCGTGCAATTGTTTGCTCACTCTTTCCGCGGTCGCGAAAAACTCTCGCGTCCGATCGGTACCTACACCCTGGGTGTTTCTCGAAGAGGACGAGGAGGACGAGGAGACGCCGTACTCGTTTGGCATTCGATGCATGAAACTCATACTCTTTATTATTTTCTCTATGTTTTAATCGCTTTATTAAGAAGCGGATTGATTCGATGAAGATGGATCAATTCCAATTACTTTTACGAAGAAGTGCGACCTTCAAAACGCGAGGAATTCGGCAACGTCAACACTACCACGCGCTCACCACACGCGCGAAGAAAAGGGCTTCGATTACTCTCTCAATCTCTCTCTCTTTTGGAGAGTGAGTTTGTATTTGGAGTATAGATAGAGGGGAAATTTTGGCGATTTTGAACCTGTTTTTGTGTGTCTCTCTCTCTATTTCAAAAAATGTACGAAAAGGTAAAAGGTGTCTCTCTCTCTCTCTCTGATCAAACTAACTTCTCACTCGCTGTTCTCCTGCCGAGACTCTAGCGCTCGCAAGCTCTCGGCAAAAGTAGCGTATTCTTCGTCCGTTGGTTCTGGGCACCCTTTTTCGAGCAAGTAGTTTACGCACTCGGGGTGCTCGTGGTAACGAGCGTAAGCGATGTATCGCCAGTTGTCAAGATCAAGAGGCACTTTCGCCTCTTCGACTAAGTATTGAAGGCAATTGAGGTGGCCATGCCACGCAGCTTGTCCCGCGCAGGCGAACTTTACCTCCTCAGATATCTTTCTTTCTTCGACGAGATATTTCACGATGTCTGTTTGACCTTTTGCTGTCGCCTGTTGTGCCGCTTCTTTTTCCGTATCTCGCGAAGGTTTCACTTTGTCGAAAAGAAATCGAACACAGTCGAGGTGTCCTTTAGCAGCAGCTGCTTTACACGACATTTCTTCATCATACGGGCATTCGTTAGAGAAGCAGTATTTCAGCATCTCGAGATTACCTATAAGTGCTGCCACAGTAATCGTCTTTTCATCCCACTCGCAATGTTTCACTTCTCTCGCCCACTCGAGGAACTCGAGCTTGTTCGTTGCAGCGACTTGCTCGCAAAACCAGGCTTGATCTGCCACGTCTCCATCGTTATCTTTCTCTGCCCAGTGCATGTAATTCCACATCAATTCCAACGTCGAAATCGATGAACATTCGTGAATAGACAATCCGATTTTCGATACGTCTACCCCGGCGTACTCAAGCACACCCTGACTCTCACTATTCGCCTCCGAAAAGAAAAACCGATCCGTCTTATTCAATTTAGGAAGCACATGCGAGACAAAAACATCCTTATGATGCAACACCAATCCCGTCCACACCTTGGTCGGTCCAAGCTTCAACCTCTCCAACTCCGCTCTCGCCCGTTCGATCGCCTCTTCCTTCTCCTTCTTCTTCTTCCTTTTCTGCGCGCCGGAGAGTTGCTTCTTCTTCTCGTTCCTCTCCATTTATGATATAGTAAACTCTTTTTTATCTCTTTGAGCAAAAAAGACGTTTCTTTTTAGTGGCGATTTACCGTCGACATTCTTCATTTAACACTGCTGAGAAAGAGAGAGTTACATAACAACAACATCATCAACAGCACCGCGATACTACGATCCATTCCGGCGCGAAGAAAATGTTATTCTCCGCGCCGGAATTCCAGTTCACTCGCGACGGCGTTTGCCAAAACCTCCGCTCGGACGGGAGAGAGAATCACGAATCGAGACCGGTGGAGATTTCGTTGGGAAATCACGAAAGTAAACTGAGTGAGAGTTTTAATAAAAAGAAAAGGAACAACATGATGATCATCACGCGAGCGGTTGGACAAGCGAAAGTTCGCATGGGGAAAGGATCGTGCGGACGGACCGAGGTCGTGTGCGCGATAACCGGGCAGGTGTGCAGTTTTGATGAGGATGAGGAAGAGGATGATGCTTTGTTGTTGTTTATGGGGCAACGGCGAAGCGGAGGAGGAGGAGGAAGAGATAAGACGGGAGGGAACGAGAAAGCGGGCACATCTACTGCGGCGACGATGCCTTCCGTAGAAGTTTACGTGGAAACGATGTCGACGAGAAATGTTGGTTCCGCCGTCGGCGGCGGCGGGAAAGGTCAACATCAGCAACAAGTATTCAACGAGACCGATAAGTATTGCGGCGAGTTGAAGAGAGAATTGGAGTTTGCGTACGGGTCGATGGATTTGTTGAACAAGGAATCTGGTTTGCGAAAGTCTTTGGAGATTGGCGGTAGTAGTCATGGGAATGGTAGTAAACAAGGAGGCCGTCGGCGTCATCGCTGGAAGTTACGGATGGATTTTTTAGTGCTCTCGGACGACGGGAACGCGTTGGACGCGTTGGCGATTGCCGGGAAGTGCGCGTTGTTCGACGCACGGTTACCGAGAGTGAGAGTGAAACGAAGAGGTGAGGATGAAGAGGTTGAGTTAGTGTCAGATTCGGAAGAAGAAGAAGATGATGATGATGATGACGAACAATTAGAAAAAGGAAAAGAAAAGGAATCGAATAGCAGCAGTAGTAGTAACACGACGCTAGATGTCTCAGACGTGCCTTTGATTGCTACGGCGACGTATTTCGGTAGAGCGCGGCAGCAAGAAGGAGTAACTACTATGACGACGATTACAATAGACGACGAGGAGTTTTTACCAACCATAGCGATTGATTGCGTCTCGAGCGAAGAGTCGTGCGGCGATTTCGCGCTCGCGGTATCCGCCACCAGAGAAGGTGCGGTGACTTCAGTGCAAAGAGTCGGCGGATTTGGAAATAGCAGCGCGATGGCAGTCGAGAGCGACGTTTCAGATAACGTGATAAAGTTTGCGCGAAAGCACTGCGTGAAGATACACGGAGAAATCGATTCGTATTTATCGACGTTGGCGCTTCGAGAGGACGAGGACGAAGAAGATGAAGATTCATTGACTTCCTCCGAGAGCGAAGACGAAGAAATGGAGGAAGCAAACCAAGACGAGTTCTAGACATTATAGCGCTAAACAATGATAATAATTACACATTACGGTGAACTATCATCGTGGGGCATCGTGTCGCTAAACGCGCGAAAGCTCGCCTCGGGCGAATACCTCAACATGTTCGAAACTTTACTCGTATACACGCACGCGTACCGCTCGACTTGGTGCGCGAATCGAGAGTTTTGATATCCGGATTTCATCAACGCGCCCCAAACCCAATGGAAGCGTTCGTGGTACTCCTTTGTTTTCTTCCGATGTTCCAATTTCGCGGTTTCAAAATCTTTCTCGAGTTGCTCGACCATTTTCATCTCCTCCGACGTTTTCGCCATTTTCTCCTTTTCCTTTTGTCGTTTTTCCTCGAATATAATCTTTTGCAACTTATAATCCAACTCGTCTCTTCGTTCGCGCAACTGTTTCAGCTCGTCCAAAACGCCCTCTTCTCGAGTCTCCTCCAACACTTCCAGCTCGTGATCCATTTCCGGCACGATCAACATCGTTCTCCACCCTAGCGTTTTCTTACTTCTCAAAATATCCCCGAAGATGTGGTCGCCGACGTATAAAACGTCCGAACCTCGAGAAATTCCGAGCGAGTCCATGAGATGGACGTACGATCCACCTTGATACACCTTTGAATCGTAGGTGTTTTCGCCGTCGCCAGGTTTTGACGACGACGGTGCCGACACGTGGTCGATATCGCTTCCACCAATCGGCGTTAACGGCCCACCGGAATCGGTATTTTTCAACATGTACGTCTTCGCGTCCACTTCAAAAATGATGTTGTTATCTTGCGTGAAAAAATTCGGCTTCATCGACCCGACAAACACGCTATCGAAATATTCCAACCAATCTAAATTCTTCTCCTCGCCAGTCTTACCGGAAATGAGAAAGTTCATCACGACGTTCGTGTAATCGAACAGAGAGTTGGTCAACAAAAACACCGACCGACCGCTCGTTTTCAACGTCGTCAGTAACTCTTTCAGACTTTCATCCGGGACGATGTATTTCGCCGGATCTTTCGCCACCTCGGTTTTCAAACTCCCGTCCCGGTGGCACAAATCCACGCTCTTACGAATCTCGTCGAACATCTGGTGATACGACACGTTCGTTAACTTCTCGTATTCTTTATTTTTCTTCTTTTTCTCGTCTATCATAACTAAATCTTTCATTTCCACCAGTTGGCAAAACAAATACGCCTCCGCCAACGCGAACAACGTATCCATCGCTTGATACTCGTTCCCGGTAAACGAAGTCCCGACTTTCGACGAGTCGCAATACGTCATCAACCTCTCTTCCGTGCTCACCGCTTTGAACCCGTGGACGACAACTTTCACGTAATTATGTCTGTCCATCTTCAACACGTTTCCTCGCTTCTTATCGATGACGAGGCCTCTCACCATGTACGTCTCGTCGAATTGGAACGACTTCAAAATTTCCTTCGGGTACCCGTAATGTGAGACTAATTTCGCGATCGTTTTCGTGTACACCAACCGTTCGAACGTTTCCGGTTTATACATGGCTAAAGTGTAATCCATATCGAATCCAACCGACCTGATCGACTTCATCGGCAACGAACGGTTGCAGAAAATTTTATCGCTCAGCGATTCCAAATTGTGTTGCACCGTGAACATCTTTTCTTCGGTCGAGGAGGAAGAAGAAGAAGGAGAAAAAGACGCGCGAACTTTTGCCATGTGCGTCATTCTTTGCCTTTTTTCGACGTCGTCGCTCGTCGTCGCCTTCTTCTTCGCTCTGTTGGTGTTCGACGACGACGAGAATGAATTGGAATTCGTAACGGCTTTCAAGGTTCGTCTTTTATCCATGTGTTGCCGATGATGAGGATGAAACAGCGAGGACGAGCCACCACCAAATCCTTTCGCTTTGAACAACCCCGCGCTCTTCAAAACAAAGGTCGTCGTCGTGGTGGTCATTCGAACGATGCCGCTGGAGAGCAAAGTCGCCATTAAACCGCGTGCGTGTGTGTATCTCTCTTCTGTTTTTATTCCTTTTTTGTGCGGGAAAGGACAGCACAATTTGTAGGGGAAAGCAACGCACTCGTCACGAAGAACAATAGAGAAAGAAGAACACTAATGGGAGGACGAAGAAAGAATCCAAATCCTAAACGCGCGGAAAATGCGAGGACGGTTTTGAAAAGTGAGCACGTTCCGGAAAAGAGGGGAGGAGAAGAGGAGGAAGAAGAAGAACCTGATGAGGTGTTGCTCTGTGTGCGAATACCTGATGAGGACGAGGTGAACGAACAGATGCGGAAAGAAGAGATGACTGTGAGAAAAGGAGCGAAGAGAAAGAGAGGGCAACAACACGAGTGCGGCGTTTGCGAGAAGGTGTTTGTGAGCGCATCTAAATTGGCCATACACGTGCGAATTCACACGAACGAGAAACCGTACGAATGCGATGTGTGCGAGAAGTGCTTTCATACTTCTGGTAATTTGAAAGCCCACATGCGTATTCACACGAACGAGAGGTCGTTTGAATGTGATGTTTGCGAGAAGCGTTTTCGTGATTCTAGTAATTTGAAAAGGCACAAGCGTATTCACACGAACGAGAAACCGTACGAATGTGATGTGTGCGAGAAGCGTTTTAGTCAATCTGGTCATTTGCAATATCACATGCGTATTCATACGAACGAGAAACCGTACGAGTGTGATGTTTGCGAGAAAGCTTTTCGTCATTCTAGTACTTTGAAAAAGCACATGCGTATTCACACGAACGAGAAACCGTATGAATGTGATGTGTGCGAGAAGTGCTTTCGTCATTCTAGTACTTTGAAAGCCCACATGCGTTTTCACACGAACGAGAAACCGTACGAATGTGATGTGTGCGAGAAGTGCTTTCATACTTCTAGTAATTTGAAAAAGCACATGCGTATTCATACGAACGAGAAACCGTACGAATGTGATGTGTGCGAGAAGCGTTTTACTCAATCTGGTCATTTGAAAAGGCACGTGCGTACTCAACATTAGCTCTTTCATAGTCACATAGTGTCCACATACCGCGTGTTGTATTGAAAGAACCACTTACGCGTATTCATCGTTGTCGCTTCTTCGCCTAGAGAAGTAAAACTCTTTTCTCCACATCCTGACATCTTTTCGTTCCTTTTTTTATCCAAAACTCTTCAGATATCATGCGCGCGCAGTTTGCACCTCTTTCACGAACAACACACCATAACCATAACCATAACCACCACCGCGGCTTCTCGACTTCTTCTTCTTCGTCGTCCTCGCGCGGTGGTCTTTCGAAAGCGACGACGATGATGATGATGAGAAGCAGTTTTGTTTCGAAACCGGAGGGGAAAAACGCGACGGCGACGTCACCGGGAATTCAACGACGACGACGTCGGATGATGATGATGATGATACGTAACTCGTCCTCATCGTCGTCCAAAAATGGCGAGGGCGCGATGATGAAGAAGACGCACAAAGCCTCTTCTTCATCATCGCCTCTCGCTGCGAAGATGACGAGGAACAGCAGCGCGACGGCGTCGTTTTTGTCCTCCAACACCAACAAAACTGTTGCTGGTGCTTGTGTGCAAAGATACGCGAGACCGTCCGCGAGAGCAGCGGCGGCGGCATCGTACGGCATCTCCGATTCCATGGAAGAGGAGCAAAAAATAGAGAAGAACTCGTCTTCAAAGTCGTCTTATTTTAACGAAAACGATACCGAGGACGACGGTCCGATCCCGATGCCGCCGAAAGGGTCGGATTTGAGAACGGTGTTACCGTATCTTTTGAAGGTGGCGTTTAGTAGGAAAGGAACGAAACTTCGGTTAGCGTTTGCGGTGATCTTTCTCGTGGCGCAGAAAGCGTTCGGGTTAGCGGTACCGGTGTATTTTAAGTTTGCGATTGACCATTTGACGAGAGCGGCGCAGTTACCGGTTGGGCCGGAAGCGTTACAAGCCGCGAACATGGCGGCGATGATGTTGTGTTTCAGCGGAGTATTTAAAGCGGTGTCTGGTATTGCGACGGAGTTGCGGGTGGTGTCTTTCACGCCCGTGGCGCAAGCGGCGGGTAGGAGAGTCGCGTTGGAGGTGTTCAATCACGTGTTGAATTTGGACATGCAGTTTCACTTACAGAGAAGAACTGGGGCGTTGCAAAGAATCATCGATCGAGGCACGCGGTCGGTATCGATGGTGTTTCGCGCGGTTATATTTACGTTCATTCCAACATTCGTGGAGTTGGCATTGGTGAGTGCTTTGCTGTGGAAAGCGTTCAGTTGGCACGTCGTCGCGGTGGTATTGAGTACGTTTTGTTGTTACGTCTGGTGGACCATGCACATGACCGGGGTGTCCGCGAGCAAGAGGAAGTTGGCGAATACCATGGACGGTTTGTCCACCGGGAAAGCCGTGGATGCGCTTTTGAATTACGAAACCGTATCGAATTTCGGGAACGTGAATTTAGAGTCCAAGCAGTACGATAGTTTATTAAGAGGGTACCACGAAGCCGCGTTGGGGAGCGAAAGAGCGTCGTCGTTGTTGAACGCCGGTCAGGCGGTGTTTTTATCTTTCGGCATGACGGCGGCGTTGTCGTGCGCGGCGTTAGGAGTCGGCGCCGGTGGGAACGCGTCACAGATTGGTGCGAATTTAGCCAACCGGGTCGGTGATTTGGTCATGGCGAACGGTTTATTGTTGCAAGTGTGGGCGCCGTTGAACTTTTTAGGATTTTTTTATAGAGAGTTGAGACAAAGTTTAGTCGACATGGAGGCGATGTTTGAGGTCTTATCGACGACGTCAAACGTAAAGGACGGGACGTTGGAGTTACCGAAGAACAAAAATATCGACGCGACGACGACGACAAGAAGCAACAACGGCGCGTCCATATCGTTTAAAGATGTGTCTTTTGAATACGGAAACGGACGCAAGATTCTTAGAAACGTAAACTTAGAAATTTCTCCGGGCGAATCCATCGGCATCGTCGGACCTTCTGGTTCCGGGAAATCCACCTTGCTTCGCATCGCGTTGCGCGCGTACGACGCCACGTCCGGTGACGTCTTCTTCGACGGGTACAACGTGAAAGATCTACAAATGAAATCTCTTCGATCCGCCGTTGCGGTTGTCCCTCAAGATGCCGTTTTATTTAACGATACCTTAGAGCACAACGTGCGCTATGGTCGACCAAACGCCTCAGACGAGGAAGTCGAGCGCGCCTGCCACGCGGCGAAATTGGAAAAAACCATCGGTGATTTACCGGACGGTTTGAAGACGAAAGTTGGCGAGAGAGGCGTGATGTTATCCGGCGGTGAAAAGCAGAGAGTCGCCATAGCTCGCGCGTTTTTGAAGTCCCCGAGAGTTTTAGTCGCGGATGAAGCGACGTCGGCGTTGGACACGGCGACTGAATCGCAAATATTGGAAAGCTTGGAAGAAATTGCGAGAGATAGAACGAGCGTTTTCGTCGCGCACAGGTTGAGCACGGTGATGAAGTGCTCGAGGATCATCGTCATGCGAGACGGGGAAATCGTAGAGCAAGGAAGACACGACGAGTTGGTCGATTTGAACGGATTATACGCGAAGATGTGGTTGGCCCAGCAAGCGGAAGAGTTGAGCGTGAAATTAGAAAAAGAAGTCGAACTCGGCGTTGTATAGAAAGTGTACTTTATTATTATGATCAAGGAATCTTCTTAAATATGCTGTCCGGTTCTAACCCTTTACCTTCTCTCTCTAATAAATCCGCCGCGTTGTTAAATTCCTTCGAGTGCGTCTTCTTACTTTTACTCTTATACTTCCCTTTCGATTCGACCCATTTTTGCGCTTTTTCCATGTCCCTCTTAAAATTCTCCACGTCACCTCTGTCCGCATCAATTTCCCCGTTCCTCGCTCTCCAATACCCGCTCCCGTATTCCGCGAACAACTCCTCGCCTCTCTCGATGTCTCTCATGGCGATCACGCTCGCCCTATTCTCTACGCTCATCTTCAAAAACTTACAATTTCTACTCTTCTCCGTCTTATACGTATCGTTTATGTACCTCGCCATATACCCGTAGTGCTCTTTCGCGTCTACGTGTACGTTCAAATGCAACGCCATCACGTAATCCTTCTCTTTCATGGGAATCTTCTTCGCCTCGTTGAAGTTCATGATTCTCCCTCCGTACGTGGCGCCTCGAATGCGTTCGCCTTCGGTGATATCTCGATCCGCGAACAATCCTAACCCGGCGTTTGGAATCGTCGATTTCCCAACTCTCACCATGGACGAATCTTTCCGTCTGTTCTGGTTGATAAACTCAATCAATTTATCTACGTCTCGTTTAATTTCTTCGGTCGGTTCTTCGAGTAAATCTTTCGTCGGCATTCGCTTTTCGTCCACTTTTGGCACTTTCCCTGTCCTTTTGTTCTCCTCGATCTCCTCCTCGGTGAGTTCGTGCATTCCACCTTTCTCTCGGCCTTGTCGGCACCAGATTTGAAACTTGATTTCCTCTCGCACGAAGTGGATGATTTCCGCGATGCACAAGGCGAAGAGGCATTGCACGGTGAGGTTTGGCGGGTGCGTGAGTAAAAACTTCTTGACTTGTTCCGGGACGAAACGTTGATACATTTGGTGCCGGATGTGAACCAAAATCGCCCCGATTTTGTTCTTAAGAAGATTCGTCATCGCGTTGTTTTGACGTAATAAAAAGATCAGAAAGAAAAAGAGCGATGATCCAACGCGCTCTTTCTTTCTCCTTCCTTCCTTCTGTCTTTCTTTATTAAGAATGAGTTTATTAGCTAATAAAGTCTTTCCTAAAGTGATGTTTTTATGAGCAACTTTCCCTCATTTTTTTCCCTTAAAATTAGGCAATTTCCCCTAATAAAACTAATGAATAAAGATGACAAGAAAAAGATAAGAGTGGTCCGAGTGCTCTTAATACGACACGCGAGAACCACACACAACGCTTCAGGGATCATTCAAGGACAGTTGGATACGGAAGTAAACGAAGACGGGGAGGAGGAGATTAAAAGTTTACGCGCGAATTTGATGAAAATGATGAGCAACAGTATTAATAGGGTAAAAAATATAAGGAAGATAGTGACATCCGATTTGCAACGATGTTTGCACACCGCGCAAGGCATGATGATTGATGCCTCGCAAATGATCGAGGAAAGTTCAAAGTTACGAGAACGTCACGTGGGGGTTTTACAAGGATGTCCGCGGAAGACGGCGCCGATGGAGTTCCCGCGCGCCTGGGCGACGTTTTGCGAGAGCAAGACGAAGAGAGGTTTGAGATGTGCAGGAGAAGGCGGCGAAAGCGTCGATGATGTTTTGAGAAGAGTGCGCGAGTGCATAGAAGATGCAGTGCGGAGCGTTTTAGAGGAGGAGGAGGAGGAGGAGGAAGAGAGCAGCGGCGACGCGACGATTGCGGTGGTCACGCACGCCGGCGTGTTGTTGCTCTTGCGCGAATATTTAGTCGACGAAGATTTAAGCGGCGAGAAGAACCGAGGGATCGTTCGAAACTGTTCGATAGGAACCATGCGCGTTGAGGTAGACACGAGTAATAGCGAGAGCAAAAGCAACACGAGATGGATTCTAGACTCGTGGGGAAAAGTAGACGCTGAAGGCACCGCGGATGTTTTATAGCAGCGTTTATTCAAAATTAATTCATTCGCAGCCGAGCTTTTTATCCAGAGACGTTGCGCACACCATGAACGCCTGTAAAGGCGTAAACGGGTAGCGGAAATCCATCGTGTACACGTCCTCGCCTATTTTACCAAACTGTAAAATCCATTTTTGCCACCTCGTTTCTCGCTTGCGACGCTGTTTTTCTCTCACGGAAGCTGCGTTTTTCGCGATAGATTTATCGTCGTCGTCGTTATCATCAATCGTCGGCGGTGCTTTCTCGTTCTCTTCATCTTCGACTTCGTTTTTGTTCTTTTCGGCGGCCGCGGAAAAAGCGTCGTCGTTGTCGTCGTCATCGTCGTCGATCAAAAGTTGAAAATTTTTCACGGACGGTTGAGTCACTCTCGCGTTAAAGTTGAGACAATACGCGCGCATTTTTTTGTTCCACGCGGGTAAGATGTTTTTGAATCGAGCGGTGACCGGTTGTGCGCCGTTGCTCGTCTCTCTTCCCGTTTCTTCCGTGTTGACTATTTCCACGCGCATCTGTCGCGGTCCGTGTATTCCGAGCGGGTTCAAGTTGTATTCCACCGTACCGAGACGCGCTCTGTTTTTCACCTCAGTCGCGTCTTTGCTTGCTTCTTCGTCATCATCACCATCGTTGTCGTCGTCGTCGTTGTCGTCGTCGTCGTCGTCGTCGTCGTCGTCGTCGTCGCTCTTGTCACCATTTTCGTCTTCGTCCTCATCTTCTGCCCCGTCCTCGTAGTCCTCTCTCACGGATCTCTCGAACGTCTCCCACGTGCCCGGTTTCGCGCCGTCGTCGAACAACTCAAACCTCGTTCCGGCTGCATTTGTCGCCGCTATCTTTCCTAAATATTGCGACGAACTCTCGCGTATATCAGCCACGTCTAAAGAAACAACCATTCGCGACCTGTTCAAGATGAGTGAGAAAAAGACAATAGTGAGAAGAAAGAAAGTTAAGAAAGAAGAGGACGAACAAAACCAAACCCTTTAGGCGAGCGACCGCGACCGCGAGCGCGAACACACTCACCTTCTCGATTTCTTCCTCTTCCTCGCCGCGCACAGCGCTCGCGCCTCGAATCGACTTTTGCAACGTCGACCATTCTTTTCTTCGTTTCTATTCTCATCGACAAGGTCCTTCCCTTCGCGCATCGACGACGACGGAGGAGGAGGATTAGGAGGAGGAGGAGGACAATCCGCGTACAACACGTACGTGCAATACCCGAACGCGTCCTTCTTCCGAACAATCCTACACCTCGAGTGCGACCCGTCTTTCGGCCCAGGTTCTAATAAATACCGTCTCACGTTCGATTGCCCTAAGTTATTCTCTAAATACGCCGGCGCAGGGGCCGCGAAATCCACCCGAGAGACGTCCTTGATCAATCGATGTATCGTTTCTTTTTTTAGAACATTTTTCTTGCCAATCGCTCGCGTATTTTTTATACCATTCATATCACTTTCATCCTTTTCATCGTTCGTTTTTGTTTTCGTCGTCATTTTAAAGGGAGAAGGAGGAGGCGGAGGAGGAGGAGGGTTTGCAGCAAAGGCGCTTATTTTGACGAGAAAATTGTCGTCTCGGCGAATGCGTGTACACAACGCGAGAAAGAAAAGAGCAGAGAAAAGTCAAACAATCAAGCGTGTGTTTGACCGGAAAAGTTTTAAAAAAAATGGCGTTTTGGAGAGAAAAAGAAGAGAAAAAAACACAGAATAATAAAACACAAAATCGCCTAAAACGAACACGTACACACACTTATTAAAAGCAGCTTTCAAATCAAATCATATTAAAATCATCAATCATGGACGAATCCTGGGAGGAACTCAAACGCAACGCCATCTTGCTCGGCTCGTGGATCGCGCTCATTCGCGCGTCCACGTACATTTTCGGCGCGTTTCAACCGCAACATTAAAACAACATTAACAAAATGAGAGCAAAATCATCACGGACGATGTTACGACGAATGCGATGATGAAACGCGGCAGAGGAACGCGTGTGGTTGGGAAAAAAGTGCTGGAAAGAACGGTGAAGTTGAACTGCGCGACCGTCGCGGTGTGGTTTTGCAAGGAAAACGGAAGGGAAAGAAGAAATAGTAATAGAGATGATGATTTGTGTTCGATCGTGGCAGTCGGGTCGTACGAACACAGTAGAGGAGAAAGAAAAGGGGAAGACGAGGAGGAGGTACAAAGAGGAAAAGAAGAAGAAAGGATTGGGCAAGTGACGTTGTTTCGATGCTCACGTGGAAAAAGCGAGGAGGAAGAGGAGGAGATTTCGTTTGACGCGTGCGGCGAGCTGGACGCGACGTCGAGCGCGAGGTGCGGCGGAGCGTTTGATTTGAAGTTTGGGAACGCGAGTAAGAGTGAAGGGGGGAAAGTAGAGCTGGCGATGGCGTGCGCGAATAATTGTTTGGAGGTTTTTGAGATGATGGAGGATGGTGATGCGGATGTCGACGAGGACGTCAACCGCGGAAAACAGCTCGTTCGATTGAAACCTACGGGTAGGTTTGAGTGTAGGTTTGGCGGGATTGGGTTGTGCACGTCCGCGGCGTGGTCGTACAGAGATAAATCGATCGTAGCTACCGGCGACGACGGTGCGGCGGTGGTAGTTGATTACGAACGCGCGATGATGATGGCGTCACCTGGCGGCGGTAGCGATGGTGGTGAAGGAGACAACAGCCAGGTTCTCTTTCGAGTCGAAAACGCGCACGCGGATGCTATTTGGGCCTCCTCGTTTCTCGACGGAAGCGAGGATGTGTTTTTTACCGGGGGGGACGATTGTAAGCTCATAAAGCACGATTTGAGAGAGATGGTGCGATCGAACGGTGATGAAGAGGGAGATCGTTCTTCTGCATTTGCCTACCCGTCGCAAACGTCGCAGAATTTTCGATTCGAGAAGAACCCGGCGTTTGGCGCCGGCGTGACTTCCATCGAATCGAAAGGCGATTTCTTATACGTCGGCTCTTACGACGGCGCGTGTCGAGCTTTCGACGTGCGAAAAAGTTTAAAAGAACCTATGTGGATTTCGAGAGGAAACGACGACGGAAAAGAAGAAGACGGAGAAAAAGAAGGAGAAGAAGAAGCGTCGATTTGGCGAGTTCGTTTACACCCAAACTTTAGCAGCGCTGCGACCAAACGAGAGGGCAAAATCGCCTTGGCGTCCATGAAAGCCGGATGTCGCGTCATCTCATCTCTGGACGGGTCAACCGTAGGCACGTATCGCAACGGCCACGACGACGACAAAGTCGTCTACGGCTGCGACTGGGCTTTTTTCAACGAAGAGGAAGGAGAAGAAGAAGAAGAAGGTTTCGTCTCGTGTAGCTTTTACGATAGACGGATCCACGTCTGGACTCTTTAACAACGTTAATACTAATCTTACTAAAAAAGAACGCGCGGCGGGTATTACGAGTCATCATCATCATCATCACTCTTCTTCTTCTTCTTTGTTTTAATATTACAAAATATCTCTTCTCTCTCTGTTTATCGTCTTCGTCGCGCTTTCGTCGATAGTATTCAATACTACTCGATCTCGAGGGTTTAAATCTCTCTCTCTCTAATGCTTCTTCTTTCCACCTCCTTTCTTCACCTTCTCGGAGAGATAATACGCTCCGAACATCGCCGCCCCTAAAAAGAATCCCGGGAACATGTGTTTGTACGTGTTCGTGAGTAGAGGGTGTTTTCGCCACCGGTCCGCTTTAGCGAACGGATTCTTCGTTGCATCCATTTCTATTCCTTTTGCGCTCTTTGTCTCTCTCTCTCTAACGTGCTCTTTTGTGCTCTCTGTCTCGCACTTTCTCACAAATTACAACACCTCTGCTTTGCGACGATCTCTCTCTCTCGTCTTCTTCTTCCTCTCAAGATGTTTCCGTTGATTTTTGTCTCGGGCCGCTCTTTGTTGGAGGGAAAGGTTTGGGGAAAATTCATCTTTCAAAAGTCTCCATTCGTTGACTCTTCTCTTCTGTATTACACGCGCTCACGAATACGCGCAATAAAATACGTTTCGCTTCTTTTGAGTGCCCGACGCACTCCTGCGCGCGCTCTCTCTCGTTACCTCTCTCTTGACTGCGCGCGTGTGGGTGTGTCTTTGTCGGGGGACACATCAGAACGCGTTGGAAACAAAATCAAATCTCTTCCCCGTTTATTCCGTTCGGTTTGTGTGAGAGTGAGAGCGTTTAGTAAAGATGTTTGAAGCGAAGACGTACCTTCAATCTCTCGAACGAACGCAGAAACGAGAAGTCGATCTCACGGAGAATTTGAAGCAACACGAAACGTTTAAACGTTTGGTCGAACACTCAACGCGCGTCTCGCGAGGGGATTGGTTGTTCAGGAAACAAAACGTGGACGAGAAAATACGAGAGGAAATACGCATGGAGGAGATGTTACGAAAGAAGGAAGAAAGAGAGGAAAAGGAAGCGATGAAGAGGAGAGAGGAAGAATTAGAGGAGTTAGAGGAGAAAAGACGGCGAAACGGCGGTAGTGGTGGTAATGGCGGAATGTCTTGCTTCTCTCCCGAGGATGATCCTCTCCCGTCCTCCGCGGACGAAACGCATGTGCGAGAGATGAAGGAGAAATTGGACGCGCTGCGATCGGAGAGGGAACAAGAAATGACCAAAGAGATGAAGCGAAGAGAGAGAGAAGAAGAGAGACGAAGGATGAGAGGGTTAACGGAAAGCCGAGAAGACGTGGTAGGAAGAGCGGTCGATGAAGAAGACTACGAGAGGAAAAAAAGAGAGATTGAAAAATTGACGCGAGCGCTTGACGTTCGATTGGATTTGAACAGGCAGACAGAGAAACGAAGAGCGATGGAGAGAGAACGCGAGGAAGAGAAGAAAAAAGAGCGAGAATTCGCGGATAGCTTCGAACGAGAGCGCGAGAGAAGAGAAAGAGACCTGTTACACCGAAAGAGAAAAGAGGCGAGAGAGTTGCAACAATAGTAGTTACGACAGGTTGAAATCCTCGAAGAAGAGAAAAACGAGAGCGAGAAGAGGAGGAGAAAGAAGAAAGAGAGAGCAAACAAGAAGAGAGACTGAGATTTCGCAGTAGTATTTAGGACGATAGATTGTATTTATAGCTATAGCCTATAGCGTTCAAATAGCCGCACCTTAAAAGGAACATCATCTGGCGCGAGTGAAAAATGTCTTCACTTCCAATGACAGAAGTCCATCCAAACATTTCCGTCTGCGGAGAGAAAGAAGCCCGAGAACTCCTTTTCTCCTCCTCCTCGACGAAAAACGAGAATAACACGAATAGGTTCTCGAGAATTCTCGCGATTGGCTTCCCATCCGCGCCTTTCACGGACGAAGAGATTGCTCTTTTGGCGACGACGGTACGTGAGAATACATTCGTTCGTTCGTTCTTTCCCGGGAAGTGATGATGTGAAATGAGTTCTCTTTTATTGTCGTTCGATTTGTACTCACACCGCCATCTCTCTCTCTTTCTCACATTTATTATATTGTCACGATCGTAAAGTCGAACGTCACCGTTTATCCAATAGTCTTAGAAGACGCAGTCGACGCTGATTTGCTCTCGATTCTCCACGAGACGACGAGTTTTTTCTCCTCGAAAAGAGAAGAAAATGAAAAAATTTTAGTCTTTTGCAACGCGGGCGTGTCGAGATCGGTGGCGGTGGTGTTGGCACACATCGTGTGGAAGAAGATGAAAGAGAGAAACGACTTTGGTGGCGATGACATCGACGGCGCCGTCTTCGTCGAGCGGGCGTTGCGAGACGTGAGAGAAAAGTATCCTCCGGCGTCGCCGAACGAAGGTTTCTTGGAACAGTTGGAGCTTTGGGTGAACATGGGGTGTCGATTAGTTGCGACGGATGAGACGTACAAGTTATTTAAACACTCGCAGTTGGAGAGGATACGACGCGAGAGAGGGTGCGTGGATCGAGGCGCGGTAGAGGAAGATCCAGAGAAGGAGATGAAAAACAACAACGGGGCGATGACGGGTTCGATCAGTCAGTATTACAGTTGCCGAAAGTGTCGTCGGATTTTAGCGACGAGTAAAAACGTTTTAGAGCACGAATCTGGGACCGGGATTGATGCGTTTTCGTGGCGACAGAGAAGAAGAGGGAACGATGGTGGTGCAACCAAGACTTCGTCGTCGTCGTGCTCGAGCATTTTCGTCTCCCCGATAACGTGGATGATGCTCGACCAAACCGAGGAGAACGAGCCGGTTATTTTCCAAGAAAACTCAGGAAAGATCCATTGTCCAAAATGTCGCTCGAAAATTGGCGCTTTCGCGTGGTCCGGGGAACGGTGTAATTGCGGGGCGTTTGTCGCGCCGTCTTTTCACATACAGAAAGCAAAGCTCGACGCGTTTACGGTCCGCGGCGCGAACGGCAAATAGGAAGGAGAAAAGTGTGTTGTTCTTTGGGGAAAGAGCACGCAGTAGAAGTTTAGAACATGAAGTAAAGTTAGTAATAGCAACGATGTAGATAGAAATGCAGAGGAATGACACGCACGCGCACACAAACAAAAGATATGCACTCGGTAGATTTTGATTTTAATTACGCAACAATAACTCTTCTTCTTCCTGATTTTTAATAATCACCGCTGCTCGATGGTTTTTTTTAAAAGTGAATGGCTTTCCCGCCCGTAGCTAACGCGGCTTCCTTCACGGCTTCGCTCAACGTCGGGTGGCCGTGGCAGGTTCTCGCGATATCTTCGGTGCTTCCACCGTACTCCATGGCCAAGACGCACTCGCCTAACAATTCACCGGCTTGCGGACCGACGATGTGCGCGCCGAAAATTTTATCCGTGTTCTTGCACGAGATGAACTTCACCATCCCTTCGCTGTCGTCGTTCGTTCTCGCTCTGGAGTTCGCGGCGAACGGAAACGTGCCAACGTTATACTCTAACCCAGCATCTTTGACTTCCTCTTCGGTTTTCCCGACCCAGGCGACTTCTGGGTGCGTGTAAATAATCGAAGGAATGGCGTCGTAGTTCACGTGCCCTTCCTTGCCGGACAAATGTTCAACCACGGCGATGGCCTCTTCCTCGGCTTTATGAGCCAACATCGGTCCCGCGATGATATCACCGATCGCGTAAATCCCAGGGACGTTCGTTTCCCACGTGTGGTCTTTCACGTTCACTTCCACTCTCCCCATCTTATCCGTTTGAATGCCGAGTTTCTCCAACCCGAGATTCTCCGTGTACGGCTTTCTCCCGGTGCTCACCAACACGACGTCCGCGATCATTTTCGATTCCTCTTTCGTGCTCACTTTCTCGATCGTCAACTCAATCTTCCCGTCTGGCATTTTCTCCGCTTTTTTCACCGCCGTTTCCATCTTGAAATCAATCTTTTGTTTCTTCAAAGCTCTTTGGAAAGTCGTTCGGATTTGGTTATCCATGTTCCCGCCGATCACTTTCGCGAATTCCACCACGGTCACTTTCGAGCCTAACCTCGACCAAACCGAACCGAGCTCCAAACCAATCACGCCTCCTCCAATAACCACCATGGTTTCGGGAACTTTTTCCAACTCTAACGCGCCGGTGCTCGTCACCACCGTCTTCTCGTCCACGTCCACGCCGTTCAACTTGGCCGGTTCCGACCCTGTCGCCAAAATAATATTCTTCGTCGAAATCGTTTCCTTCGTCCCGTCCTCTTTCGTCACCTCCACCGTGTTCTTATCCACTAAACTCCCAAACCCAATCACGTGATTGACTTTGTTCTTCTTGAACAACCCCTCGATGCCTTTGGTCAAACCGCCGACGGATTTCATCTTTTGCGCCATCATCTTCGACACGTCGATGGTCACCTCCCCACCGACGGAAATCCCGTGCTTCTCCATCCCGTGCTTCGCCTCTTCGTATTTATGCGACGCGTTCAAAAGCGCTTTGGATGGAATGCATCCGACGTTCAAACACGTCCCGCCTAGCGTCGCGCGTTTCTCCACGCACGTGACTTTCATCCCAAGTTGCGCAGCTTTGATGGCGCCGACGTACCCTCCTGGGCCGCCGCCGATGATCACCACGTCTTGCTGTTCTCCGGAAGAGTAGAATCTGTTTTTACCGAACGTCGCAATAGTCGTTCTCCTCGTCACCTCCTCCAAAGAAGAAACAGTATTCGTCGCGCTGTTCCTCATCGCCCATCGCGCTGTGTTGCTCATCATCATCGCGCCTCTTCTCGACGTCATCTTTACTCTCTGAAGCGCGCGTTGAGTGTGTTTCTTTTTTTAAATGAGATGCAAGTCTCTCCGCAAACAAACGCTCACGTCTTCTGCGCGTGTCTTTGTGTGCGTATTGCGTGTGTGTTGAACGAGAAATGAAACGCGCGCGATAGAAAGTAAGGATAATAAAAATTCAGTTAATCAAACGACGAGAGAGATACTTTGAGAAGGAAAAAGACGGATGAGAGAACAGATGATGGAGCGTGAGACAAACACGTCTCTCTCTGAACGCTCTCTCATCAAAAGTCTCACTCACCCACAAAAGAGCTCTCGAAAAAGAAGCGCGAAAAAACTTTCTTTCTCGTTTTCGTTTTCGAGTGATTTTTCGTCAAAATAAAGGAAAAGAGGTGCTTTTTTTGCTCTCTTTCTCTGTCGTATCTTGAAGTGTTCCTCCATTTCTTAAACTTTCTTCAAAGCGGACACTTAGACACTTTGGCGCGAGACAAAGGTCGTCACGTCGTCCGGAGCGATGACGACGCGAGCGCAGAAAAGACGGATTGGGGAGCGAGATGTGTGGGATTTGATCGTGAATAACGACGATATAAGTTTCAAATATATCATTCCGAGATTGAATTCGACGGATTTGAAAATCTTGCACGGAGTGAATACGGAGACGAGAAAGTTGATTAAGAGATCGTCTCGCGCGTGGGCTTTGAAAAAGGGGTTTAAAGTGAAAAAGATGTCGTCGATATCGACTTTGGAAGTTGCGTGGGAGAACAGGGAGAATAAATCGTTGTGGCCGAGATGGTTGAGAGAAGAAAGAGATTTCTGCTATAAAGTTGCTCAAACGAATAAACTCGAGTTGCTCAAGTGGGCGCGAGAGGAGAAAAAGTGTAAGTGGGATGGAAGGACGATTCAAGCGGCCGCACGTCAAGGTAATCTAGAAATGGTAAAGTATTGCGTTGCAAATAAGTGTCCTGTCAATGATTATGCGTGTGCATATGCTGCCGATGGCGGTCATCTCGAGATAATCAAATACTTACGCGAAGAAGTCAAAGCGCCTTGGGATTGGGCAACTGCCGCTGGGGCGGCTAGAAATGGTCATCTTCACATACTCGAATATCTTGTCGAGCGTAAGTATGATCAATTTGACGAGTATGCGTGTCGGTGGGCGGCCATGAACGGCCACTTGGACTGTTTGAAATACTTGCACGAAACCGCCAAAGCGCCGTGGAACTCTGACGCCGTGCGCTTCGCGCACGAGAAAAATCATCCCGAATGTTTACAATATCTCCTCGACAACAACTGTCCATTACCATATGGTTGGCGATACGAAGACGGCGAGTTACACAGTTCATAAAAACACAAAAACAAACAAAACTTCTTGTACGAACAGAATTAGAGAGAGAGAGAGAGAAAGACTGTGAAATAATAGACACGCATATACGCGCTTTTCCTCTTCTTGCTTGTGCGTTAAATTCAAAATTTTCCTCATTTGTTTCTCTCCGGTCATTATTCATCATCAGAGAGCGCTTACTTCCGAAGAGAGAGAGAGAGAGAGAGAACAAACGCGATGACGAGAAACGCGAGCGAGAATGGGAGCGACGATGTGAACGAAAATAAGACGAACAGTTTAAAAAGAAAACAAAACGTAAACTCCACTCCGTCCGATTTTGACATGTTCGCGTTGGTGTACAACTTCCTCCAATCGAACGGGTATAAAGACGCGGCGGAGAAGATGACGAAAGAGATGAAACGAAGACTGAAGACACCAAAATCATTTTCAGAAAAGGAGGAGGAAAAAGAGGAGAATAATACGAAGTTAAAGAAGAAGAAGAAGAAGAAACTGATGATGGTGCAGATGTTGAACGCGTTGGGGACCAAAAATGGAAGTCAAGACGAAGACAAAGAAGCTCTCCTGCCGAGAGTGAAACCGCTGCGCGAAATCATGGGAGAGTTTTTATCCATGAAAGCGAAAGAGCTGAGAAGAAAGAAAAGCACGAACGAACCGATGAAGATGATCTTTCGACAGTGCGAGGAAGCGTTCGGGAACATCGCGATGGAGGAGGAGGAAAAGGAGACAACGGCGGGTTTGCGTAACGACGACGACGGGAGGGAAGGCGTGGTTGGCATAATAGCGGCGAGGGGAGAGGACGAAGATGGTACAGCAGCAGAAGTGTTAGCAGTAGCAGAAGCAGAAGCAACAACAGGAGCAGCAGCAGCGCGGCCGCGACAGCAACGAGTTGAGGTGGAACAAAATATTGCCGCGGCGACGAATACAACAAATCATCAGGAGAGAAGAAACAAGAAGAAGCAAGCGGCGCCGCAACGCAAGCACAAGCAAACGATATACAAGCAGTCTTTAGACGATGCGAACGTTCGAGAAAAGATTGCAGACGTCATCGTGCGCACGTTGCACAAGAAGACGGGCAGAACGCCAAATCCTACGCCAACTATGAATTCAGCGAAAAGTAATAAAAACATCGAACGAGAAGAGCTCGCGTTTTCAGACGTGGAAGAAGACGAAGAAGAAGACGAGTTTGGCCACCACGTCACGGAGTTAGAACTCGATAAAATCGCCGATCTCATGGAAAAGCCAGAAGATACGATGGAAACAGCGAATGCCATCTTAGGGTCGCTCATGGAATCGACTGATAACGATTTAGGGAGATTTTTAGAAGATCTCGTCGCGCAAACCGAACACGGAAATACGAAGGAGATTAACAAGCTTCCGACGCCGAAAAAACGTTTGTTGTTAAAAGAAGATTGCAAAGCGGCAAATTTGATAGAGACAAACAACGGACAGAAAACTCCGTAGTAGGAGTAGTAGATGTCGCAGTAGCAGTAGTAGTTATTATTAAATCGCGTTTACATGCACAGTAGTATGGTCCACCAATCTCGGTTTTTGTCCTTTATTACTCGTATTATTACTTTACTTAAGCAGCGCAACTTGTTCGTACAATTTACTGATCAAAAAGAGCAACGCCAGCAGCAATGCAAACTCGCTCAAGTTTCGATTTTGATTATTCTCGTAGGAGAAAAACTTCATCGGATCGTTCGGATCCACCGCGAAATCATCCTCGCCTCCATTTTTACTATTGACTAACTCCCTCGCCGCTCGCGTCGCGTCGTCCACGGTTCGCATAATTTCATCCATCGCGTTCCCAACCTTATCCGGAACCGCCAACGCTTTTCTCTTCGACTCGATAATCTCCCCACCTTTCAAAAACGTCCACTGATCGTCCTGCGATAAAACTTTCCCCGTGATTAAATTCATCTCCAACGTCGTCTCCACCTTCACCTTCGCCTTCCCGTCTTTACTCTCTATCCGCCACAAAATCTTCGCCACGCTCCCGCCTGGTAACACCTCGATCGAATCCACCCAGTTCGTAAACTTTCTATTCCTTATATTATCGTTATTGTTAGTTTTACTGTTATCGCTCGAAGATATTTTCTCCCCTCCGAATATCGAATTCAACTCGCAGTTACAATTCTTAAACTTCTCGCTCCCCGAGAATCGTCTCGCGCCGTCCGAAAACCGCACGTCTTTCGCGTACGGGAAGATGCTTCTGTTCGAATCCTTCCCGTCTCTTAAATCTCTCGCGAGTTGTCGTAAACTTGATTCCACCGCGGGTGACGTTCCTTTGCACTCGAACGCATCGCAGGGATCTTTCGACAGTCCTTTGACTTCGGGGATTTCGGCAGTGGTAATCGGGGTGTTCGTTGAACAACGATGACGACGTGAACGACGATGACGCGAGCGATTTAAAGCGAGCGATGATAAAGCGTGCGATGATTTCGTCGTCGAAAAGGAGGAGACAGAGGCGAACATTTTTGTTTCGTTATGCGACAATGATGGATTTTTGCAGCAAATTCGTGAGATATTTTCTGTCAAATTCTGACGCAAAGAGGGGAAAAAGATGAACATATTTGGATATGCGTGATGCTGTTACAAAGTAGTGCGTTAACTTGGATCGCGGCGCTCTCTTTCTCTCTCTCTCTTCTCTCTCTTTCTTCTCTTTCTCTCTCTTTCTCTCTCTCTCACTCTCTGTGTTTCTATTATTTTGCTTTACGTCGTCGTCGTCGTCGCAGGCTTGTGACGGCATCCTCTCTGCGTTTCACTCTTCTTCTTCTTCTTCTTCTTTACTTCTTTACTTCTCCCTCTCTCTCTCTCTCTTTTTCGTATTTATTATTATTTATATATAAGTATATATTAGTTTTAAGCGTAACTGGAAGGCGGTCTGCACTCTTCGCTATTGATCAAATCGCACGGAAAGACGTCGCTCGGAGTGTCGTATTTCAACTGCGCTTTACCTTGTAAGTACCTGTTCAACATTCTCTCCGTGCTGTGATTGTATCCGTCGCTGGAGTCCAACATTTTCCCTTCGTTTCGTTTGTCGTGCATGGTCGCTCGGACTCGAGTCGCTAAAACTTTACCGAGTTCGACGCCCCATTGGTCGAAGGAGTTCAGCCCCCACACGAAGCCTTGTACCGCGACGCGGTGTTCGTACAACGATAAGAGTTGCCCGGTAGTGTACGCGTTCAATTCAGGGAGCATAATCGATAACGACGGTCGGTTACCGGTGAAGGTTTTGTGCGGGATGAGCGTGTCCGGGCAATTTTCCGCTCTCAATTCCACGGGCGTTTTACCAACCGCCAACGCGTCCGCTTGCGCGAAAAAGTTGCACATCAACTCGTCGTGGTTGGAAACGATTTCGCCTTTCAAGTATACGGATTGCTGAGATTTAATCACGCCGATGAAATCGCACGGAATCACGCGGCCTTGGTGAATCAACTGGTAAAACGAGTGTTGGCCGTTCGTACCGGGTTCTCCGAAATCAATCTCACCGGTTGGATAATCCACCGGCGTCCCGTCGATGGTGACGCCTTTCCCGTTGGATTCCATGGCGACTTGCTGAATGTGCGGCGCTAACTTAGCGAGCGCTTGGCAGTACGGTAAAATAGCTCTCGCATCGCAACCCAAAAATGAGACGTTCCACGTGGAAATCAAACCGAGCGTCACCGGCAAGTTCTTTTCAAACTCCGCCGTCGCAAAGTGCTCGTCCATGCTCCACGCGCCTTTCAAAAACTGTTCGCACGTCTCGAACCCGTATTGCAACGCCAACGGCAACATGCCTACCGCAGAGCAGACGGAGTATCTCCCGCCGACCCAATCCCAAAACGCAAACGCGTTCTTCGGGTCGATGCCGAATTCGCTGACTAACTTCAAGTTGGTCGATACCGCCACCATGTGCTTGCTCACCGCCTCTTTACCTAACGCGGCGATGATCCACTGTCGCACCGTTCTCGCGTTTAACATAGTTTCTGCCGTGGTGAACGTTTTCGAGACGACCACAACCAACGTCGTTTCTGGGTTCAACCCGTTCAAAGCTCTCGCCACGTCCACCGGATCGACGTTGGCTAAAAACCTCAAATTTCTCCCTTGCGCGTCCGCGGCGTGCGATTGGTTCGTTTTCAACGCCGTGTGCACAAACAATGGCCCTAAAAACGACCCGCCAATCCCAACGCATACGACGTCTGTCAACGGTAATCCCGTATGCCCGACCCATTCCCCGTTTCTCACCCGGTCCGAAAAGTCTTTAATCTTGTCCAACACGTCGTGCACGTCCGGCACGACGTTCGACCCGTCCACGTTGATGACTTTCGACCTCGGCGCTCTCGTCGCGACGTGTAAAACCGCTCTGTTCTCCGTCGAGTTCATGGCTTCCCCTGAAAACATGGCGTTGATTTTCTCTTTCACCCCGCTCGCTCTCGCCAACGCGTATAACTTCTCCATCGTTTCTTCCGTCACGCGTTGTCTCGCGTAATCCACGTACACCCCGTCGTGCTCCAAGGTCAAATTCTCGCACCGATTGTAATCTTTCAACAAATCTCTCAGATGTGTCTTCTCGATATCTTTCACGTGTTCTTTCAAGCTGTTCCATTCGGACGTGGACGAGATTAACGAACCTTTGTGTTCGGTTTGTAACACTGCCGTCGCTGCTTTCGATGATGGTTTCATTCTTTTCTTATTCTTTAAAGTGTTATTCTTATTCGTTTTGATCGTTTTCGCAGAGAAAAAAGATGTTGCGTTTTTCAATACCGCCCCCGATGCTGACGATGACATTCTCTGTTCGTAAAATCAGTAGTTTCTCGTTCTCGTGTTCTCGCGCGCGCGTGTGTCTGTGTTATGATAACGGAGTGTTTTGTGTTACAACGACGGAAAACGCAAGTGATGCGATGAGACGAGATGATTATGTGTGCGATAACGAGAGGTCGGATGAGTCCAGTTTTTTAGTCTCGCGTGGGGGTTGAAGAAAAATCTCTTTCTCTCTTTTGAAAGCTGACGAGGAAGCAAAATCTCGTCCCATTGATCGAAAGAAGAAATATCCGCCTCTCGATTTTACTACGACTCCTTTTTTTCGTGCGTGACTTTGAGATTCTCTCTTTGCATGGCAGGAGGCAAAAAACAAGTAAAATGCCTCTTTGTTCTTTTTTGTTGTTGTTGTTAAATTAATAACGTCTTTTCGATTTGCACCCCAAAATACACGAACAACTGTTTTGTTAGAGATACAAAAGAGAGACACATCTGTACACGCTTTCGTCGATACGCGGTGAGATGTTCGCGAGGAGGAAATCATCCGTTGTCCTCCTCCTTTTATTCTCTCTCGTCGTTTTGCTCTCAGTCTCATCTTTTTCGGGCGGCGGCTTCACCGCGTGTTTCGGTTTCGTGCAACAAAACGAGACTTCTTTACCAGCATCGTATCGACGCGCTTTGTTGCAAAGAGCGCGGTGTTCCAACCCGTGGTGCTTTTTGATCTCGAGAAGACAGAGGGTGAAAATACGCCAGTGCGCGGTGCCTCAGTGCGCGAGGAGAGTGAAACCATTTTCGTGCTCTCTGGAGTATTGCTGCGCGTCGTGGTGCAGAAATCTGCCTTGGGAAATGTTGATTCAGGCTCCTCCGCCATTGTGTCGAGACTGCGTGATTGCGTATCGACCCGGGTGTTGCGGTTGGTGTAAACAAGTTCCAAGTCAGTACTACGGCGGCGTCGTTGGGTGCTACAATTGCCTGGCGTACGCTTTGGAGGTGAGATTTGTTCCAATCATTAAACCGATTTACGGTCGATGCGAATATTGCGAGTGGTCGCCGACGCGATACATCTCTTCGCCAACCTTCGTGAACGTCATCAATAACAACGTGAACATCAACATTAATATCTTTCAAAAAACAATCGTGCAACCGCCACAACCGGTGGAAAGTCTCGGCGCTGATGAGTGCCGAAATATTGGAGGATGTGGTTTTGACGCGCCCGCTGTTGATGAGGTGCCTGCGGATGAACCCTTAACGCCGGACGAGGCAGCCGCGGGCGATCCTCAACCGGGAGATTTGTCCGAAGAGCAATTGACCGATGCGGTTCTAGATCCGGTGGATGATCCGGTGACCGCAGGAGAGCAAGATCCAGATGTACCCGATCCCATCGAAGGTATAGACGGTGTCGACGTTGACGGCGAAGAAGAAGAAGAAGGAGGAGGAGAAGGAGGAGAAGAAGAAGACGGATCGGGGGAAGACGACCAACCGGTCCGCGAGCCGACCGAAGCGGCGACGGAAGAAGAAGAAGGAACTTTACCGGATGTCGAGGGAGAAGAAAACGCTTTGAATGGTATCGACGAAGGAGTCGATGAACAACCAGGAGAAGGAGAAGGAGAAGGAGGAGGAGAAGAGCAGGATTATTCCTCGCAAGAAGATTACTCCTCGCAAGAAGAAAGCGGAGGAGGAGAGCAGGATTATTCCTCGCAAGAAGATTACTCCTCCCAAGAAGATTACTCCTCCCAAGAAGAAGAAGGCGGAGGCGGCGGAGGAGGAGAACAAGAACCTTCGCAAGAAAGCTTTCAGCCTTCTAACTTTGGCGGCGGTACTCTCGAAGGCGGACTTGGAAACGCTGGCGGGCTTGGAAACGCTGGCGGGCTTGGAAACGGCGGCGGTGGTCTCGGAAACGGCGGAGGCGTTGGACTCGGATAATAAAAATTGAGATCATCATCATCCCGTGCCAAACAAAGGGAAGTCGAGATATAAAAGAGAGACACATTAAAAGCACGACGAGAGATGTGCTTCTTCTCATCAAAAAGACAAAATCATCAGCTTGTTGTGATATACATTCCACGGTAAGAAGTGAGATGCGTGTGACATTTTTTACATCTGAGTAATTTTCGCGTATCTTTTCGTCATTACAAACACACGTTTTAATACCATAACAATGCGCTCTGCTGCGGCTCCTTCGTTAAAGGCGACTTCGTCGTCGTCGTCGTCGTCATCGAGAAGACCTTCACGACGAGAACGACGACGACGTGCCGTTGCTGTCGCGTCGACGAACGAAACCGAAACAAAAGAAGAAGACCAAACGAAACGAATTGCAATCGTGTTTGGAGCGACTGGTGGCGTCGGACAACTCGTCTGCGCGAAACTCCTCCTCGACGAGAACAGAAGATACGACGTCGTCCACGCGATGTGCCGAAATAAAGAGACGGGCGAGGCTAAACTTAAGACGAAAAACAACGCTTCTTCAGCTTCGTCGTCGTCGTCATCAACAAACGCAAGATTGCGAGTGACCGAAGTAGACGTCAGAGAGGAAAAGGACGTGGAGAAGGTTTTAGACGCGATAATGACGGAAGGAGGAGAAGAAGCGAAAGTGGTGGTGGATATCGTGTGCTGTTTAGGAACGACGGCGTTCCCGTCGCAGCGGTGGAAAGAGAACAACGGGCCGGAACAGACGGACGATATTGCGACCGCGAACGTCATCCGCGCGGCGCGGAAGATTTGCTTTAATGAAAGGAATACGAGTGATACGAATAACAACAATGACAAGAGCAGGTTCGTGTTGATCTCCTCGGTTGGGGTGACGAGAACGGATTCAATGCCGTACGTCATCTTGAACTTATTCGGCGTTTTGAAATATAAGCGGAAATCGGAGAAATATTTAGAACAGACGCAGAAAGAAAACGACGATACGTTCGATTACACCATCGTCCGCCCGGGACGACTCACCGACGGTCCGTACACGTCGTACGATTTGAACACGCTCTTAAAAGCCACAAGCTCGGAACGACGTCAGGTGGAAATCAAACTCGGAGACGACTTCGACCCGCAAGAAACGAGTCGAATCGCGGTTGCCGATTGCGTCGCGTTTAGCTTGGCGAGCGATTTGGCGAGAAACAAAGCGTTCGTCATCGGGACGAAAGAAGGCGACGGCGGGCCCGAGCGAGATGGAAAGAAGTGGGAAGCACTTTTTCAGCAGTCTTTGATGTAATACTAATACTAACAGATATGAGGAGACCAACAACAAAACTCGTTTTTCAGTCGTTTCTTTTTTAGCTTCAGATGCTCTCCTCTTAATGATGCTTCGCTCGTCAAACTCCTCTCTCGAATATCTTCCTTATCTCTCCATATCTTTTTAACACATCAACACAAAGCAACCTGATGATGATATCTTACGCGCCGCAAACGACGAGAATACTCCGACCAAATGCGTCTTCATCGTCATCATCATCCTCTCATCAAAAGTTGTCGGTATATTTATCCGCGAGACACAGTTCCTCCTTCTTCGCGTCCTGTTCTTTTGCCGCAAAAAAGTCTTCCCCGTCGGGAAAATCATCATCAAAATGTTCACTCAAAGTCCACGCCTTTCAACTCGGCTCGGTGGACCAAGACGAATTGAACGCCCCCAAAATCGACATATCCTTAACACGGGTAAAAAAAGGCGTTAAAATCGGCGAAGGCGCGTTCGGGTCGGTGTTTTTAGGCGAGTTGAAAGATGAAACAAAGAAAGGAGGGAAAACGACCACCACTCGAGTGGTTCTGAAATCGATGAACAAAAAAATGGGGCGAGACGTGGATTCCTTCTACCAGGACGAGCTGAACGTGCTGAACCGATTGAAAAACAACGACGGCGCGGCACCTTTTATAGGCGTCGCCGGGGCGAACGTGTACTTAGTGTTCGGGTACCAAGGGTCGACGACGTTGGAGACGTGTTTAAGAAAAGGCGAGAACGGGTGCTTCGAAGAGGTGAAAAGGGCGATGGGAGAACCGAAAGCGACGGACGCGGAGATTTTGAAGTTGGGCGCGAAGACTTTGTTAGAGTCGGTGGGTAAAGTGAACGCGGCGAGTATTATTCACAGGGACGTGAAACCGGCGAATATTTTAATCGCGGAGGAGAGTTACGGGAAATCTTCGGCGAAGAGGTTCGTCATGATCGACGCCGGCGCGGCGTGCGATTTGAAAATCGGCAAGAAGAGAATCCTCGAGAGCGGGGCGATATTCGACCCGACCTACGGCGCTCCCGAACAGTTCGAAACCACCGGGTCTGGCTACGGTTTTGGTGGCATGACCAAAAACTTGCTCGGCGTAAACTTCGGCGCGAAAATCTCCTCCACCGGCGAAGTCCCGACGGAAAAATTCGACAGCTACTCGTGCGGCATGACCCTCTTACGCTTCGCCGTACCGCAACTCTACAGCGAAACAAGCATGAGCTCCATGCGAACGAGTTTAATCCAAACCTACGGAAACGATTTGAGAAAATGGAGAGAGGATGGTGCTCCAGTCAAAGGCGCTCTGTTCACCCAAACCTCTTGCGATTTCGCCGTCTTGGACGAAGCGAACATGTGGGACGTCGTCTGCGATTTGTGCGAGAACGATCCCAGGAAACGAATAAACGTCAAACAAGCCGCGAAAAGAATTAAATAATTTATTCATTATTAGTAATAGTACAACACAGATCATCATTATCATCGTCGTCATCATCGTTGCCTTTATATATTCTCATCGTCGTCTCGTACCACAAAAAAAGACGCATATAAAGATACTTTGAAATCACCATTAATCCAAAATCAAAAGCGCGAGAGAAAACTACTCAGTACTCTCTCCTGAAAGCTCCGCAAAAGACGAGCAAAGGCACGAAAACGAGGAAGAGGCTTCTCTCTCTCTCTCGTTCGAGTCGGAAGCGCAAAAACAAATCGCAGACGACGATTATAAAAGCTTTGATATAATCATCACTTTGGGGAGAAAATGTCATCCACTTCGAGCACACCGGCGAAGAGTAAGAAGTTGGTGAAGCAAAACCTGAGAGAAACGTCAACCCCGCCGTCGTCTAAAGGAGGAGGAAACGATGGATCGGATTACGAGGACGATTCCTGGGAAAAACCAACGCAAAAAGTGAAGACGCAGAAGAGCACGCCGACGGCGAAGATTCACTTGGGTGGTTCTGGTGGTCAATTAAAGTCTCCCACGGCGGCGTCCGCGGCGGCGATGAAACAACAACAACAACAACAACAACGTAAAATCAGCGCCGGGTCCACGTCTTGGTCGGACGAGGATGAAACGGAAGCAGATTTTGACGATTGGAAACCGGGGAAGTCGAAACCGTCGCCGAGGAATTTTGGGGCGAACGCGCACGTCTCCTCGAGGAGACCGACGACCGGGTTCGGATCCTCCTCCGATCTCGCGGCTGGCGGGAGGAAAGGTTTCTTTAAGAACAAACGCGTTCGACAGTGCGTGTTGTTGGTTATCGTATTTGCGCTGTTTAGCACGTATTTTAGCGGAAGTGGCGCGAGGAAAGAGAGGAAGAGGATGGAGAGCGTGACGGTGATGGCGTCTTCTTCTTCTTCCGGAGGGTCGGCGCCGAGACGCGCGGGGAGCGGGTCCGCGCCGGCGTCGATTGGATTCGACGCCGCCGCGGCGAGTAAGAAGAAGAGAGCGGAAGGGAAACGAAGCGGGTACGATGTCGCGGATTCCGAGGAGTTGTTGATGGAACAGAGAGAGAAGTACGAGCATCCTCCGGCGGAAGAGGGAGAGGAGGAAGCGCAACCGGAACAGGCGAAGGAAGAGGAGGAAGTGGAGGAGGAGGAGGAAGATTTGGCGGCAACCGCGGAAGAGGAGGTGGAGAAGCAAAGTGATTTTCATCATTCGTTCGCGAAGAACGCGTTTGGAGAGACGAACGAGGAAGTCGTGGCGATGGTAAATAGACAAACTCTTCCTCCGAAGGAAGAGGAAGAGAACTCGTCGTCGCAAGTAGACGACGACGAGGGAGAAGAGAAAAAGGAGGTGGGAGAGGAAGAACAAAAAGAAGAAGAAGGGGCGTCGCTCGCGAAAACGCCTGAAATTGACGGTGAGTTTGTTCCGAAAGGAGAGGAAGAAGAAGGAAATGACGACTCGAGCAGCGATCACTTGGAATCGTTGAAGAGTAATCACGAAGAAATGAGCGCGCATCCCGACATTGGTAAACTCGTCGGCGCGATTCCGAAAGAAGAGGGAGACGAGGGAGAAGAAGAAGCGAATCATCTCTCTGCTCCTCCGAAACCAGAGTCAAACGCGCCGCCGAAAAAATACACGGAACCTGCGCTCACGAAAGTGCCAACCAAGAATATCGGTAAGCCAAAAGATAAGGTTTTGTATCCACCACCGGTAGACGTAGAAGAAGGAGAGAAAGAAGAGAAAGTAGAGGAAGCTGGTGCCGCGGCGGATGAAGAGAAGAAGGAGGAGAAGACTGACGACGAAGAACTTCCGGAGGACGACGCTAAAAAAATGATGCTCGACGTGAGCAATGCGAGTTCTTCCGAAGGCTTTGATTTTACCGCCGGTCTCGTCGCGACGGAGGAAAACGCGGACAACGTGAGCAGCGACGCCGAGTTATCGGCGATAGAAAAAGAGGAAGACGTCAAGGAGAAGGAATTAGAAAGCGAAGACGAAACGCAAAAGGAGAGAAAGGAGGAGTATGATGAAAGTGCGGTCGTGTTAAACGAGGAGAACTCGTCTGAGACGTCTCCGAAAGAAGAAGATGAAGAAAAAGAAAAAGAAGAAGAGACTTCTAGTAGCGAAGCGGAAGCGGAACCAATTCCGGCAAAGAAGATGAAGCTACCGACGGTTTCGGATAGCGAAATCGACGCGTTCGTGAAAGATGGGACGCTCCCGGCGGAGGAAGAAAAGAAAGAAGAGAAAGTTAACGCTCCAGTCGAACCTGAGAACGATGACGTGCTCGACTTAAAACGTGCTGGTATGGGCGACGAGCTCGGATTCGACTTTGCGGAAGGTTTGAAGCCTGCGACGACGACGACGACGACGATGGAAACGACGATGGAAACGGAAGAGGCGGAAGTGGCGACGGCGGAACCGACAGAAGAAACGGAAGAAACGATGCCGGCAGAGAAGCAAAAAGAAGAAGAGACTGCTCAAGAACAAGAAGGAAAGGAGGAGAAACCCTCCGAAGGCGAGAACGAGGACGAGAACTAAATGAAGATTTTAGAATCTGCGTTTTTATTATAACGTCTACTTTTTAAAACCATCTCTCCTTGGTCACGCCCGGTTTATACGGCGCCGTATAGCCTTCCGGTAACGGACGGTCCGGGTCAAGTTTGTGTAACATCGCCTCTTTCTTCCTATAAGCCGTGCGCAAATCGTCTTCTGCGAATATGTCCAAATCCATATTCTCAAGCATCGGGTGCACGTTATCTTTGTACCACCGTCGCTGCTTCTCCTTCACCATGCGTTCTTGAATGTTGAAGACAAACTTATCCGGAATTTTCAAATCCATGACGCCTAAGCCAGCACCTTCGGGATAGCCATTTTCAATCCTACCTTCGATTTCTGCGATCTGTTCTGGAAGCACGATCAATTTGCGCTCTTCTTCGCGCGTCAATTTCTCTCCGCCGTCGCGCTTCTCGTTCAACTCTTGTACAACTTTTTGCATCTTTGGCAACAGGTACGCCTCGTGTTCTTTCCACAACCTCGCGATTTCCATCGCTCGCCAACCTGGATTTTCTCTTTCGTTCATCTTCATAGCCGCGACGGTCCATGGTTCCCAGTGCACGCCTTGTCTTCGCCCTTTTTTCGGCAACACTTTCTCCACGCAGTACTTCCAAGTGTGTTCTTGAAACGAAAGCAAACCAGCGTTATCTTCTTTCGTTCGGCGATCTTTCATCGGTCCGGGCGGGTCGAGACTAATATCGCCGTAGAACTGTTTCAAATATTCAAATTTTTTCAAAGGATCCGGTTCGTTTCGCCAGCCGTTTCGCATTTCCTCCTCTTCCGTCGGCAAAATCTTACACGGCGTGTCTGGACCCGTCTTCGCGTAATCGCCCGCCGGAGGATACTCTTCGAGAATTTGCCGTAATCGATCGCCAGATAACGTTTCATTCGCTACTAATTCTTCCGTCGCTTTCTTAACCGCGGCTTTGTACGCGGTCAAAATGGACTTTGAGTTTTCTCGCGCCTCTTTCATGATTTGAAAGATTTTGCGTTCGGCGTATTGTAAATGCCCTTTGTCCGTCACTCTCATGTTGCCGGCTAAAATTTTATTTTCTTCCACGTCCACGTTCTCACCGTTGGCGGAAATAGTCGATCGCATGCGTTCGGTTTTCAAGTCGTACCCGCTCAAAGCGGTCGGGTCGTGCGTGTACGCGGTCAACATCCCGGGCTGTCCCAAGCCTTGGTTGATCACAACGTTTCGCAACAAGTCGATCGCTTCTTTACCGTAATCGGTGCCGTAGGAAGATACTTCATCGTACACCAATTTTTCAGCTTCAACTCCGGCGGTTAAGACTTCCACGCGTTCCATCAAGCGTTCTCGCGTAGGATACATGTACTCGTTATCGTCGAATCGAGAAAATAACGTCGTCGCCGCTTGAAAGCCTCTCGGAACGATCGAAATGAACTCGCACGGCTCCAACAATTTCGTTTCTTTCCTCAACGTTTCCTGAACCACCGCGCGTCCAACTTCGTGACAGGCGATCAGTTTCGTTAAAAGCTCATCTTTGTCGTGCGCCTTGCCTCTCACGCCGTATAAAACGCGATCTGATCCGTACATAACATCTTCCTCTTCGATTTGCGAGCCTTCTCGTCGCACGCAGTGAACCGCGGCTTCATTCACCACCGACGCAATTTCCGCGCCCGTCATTCCCGGTAAATTTCTCGCCAATCTCGCGGTATCGATGTCTGGATTCACGTTTCGTTTTGACAGGTGAATTTGCAAGATTTTTTGCCTCGCGTCCACGTTCGGTTTGTTCACTTCAATCTTACGATCGAATCTCCCGGGCCTTAACAACGCCGGATCTAACAAATCCGCTCTGTTTGTCGCGCCGATAAAAACAACTCCGGTATCCGGCGTGAAACCATCCATCTCCGTCAACAACTGGTTCAACGTTTGCTCGTGTTCTTCTGTTCCTCGCGTTCCGGCGCTCGCCCGCGCGGTACCTAAAGCGTCGATTTCATCTACGAAAATCAAGCACGGCGCGTTCAGGCGCGCGCGTTTGAACAAATCTCTCACTCTCGCCGCGCCAACGCCGACGATAATTTCCACAAATTCTGAACCAGCCATGCTGTAAAACGGCACTTTTGCTTCACCCGCGATTGCTTTTGCGAGCAACGTCTTGCCAACCCCAGGTCCACCTTCCATCAAAATCCCTTTCGGCGGTTTCGCGCCAACCTTCGTAAACGTCGTCGGATCCTTCAAAAACCGAATAATCTCGTCCAAATCCTCTTTAATATTCTCCAAACCACCAATATCTTCTAAAGTGACGTTTACGGTCCCATCTTTTCTGGCGGAAACTCCGGACTGCGCGAACTGTACGGCCTGTATCAAATCGGTCGGGATGGCGTTCTTTTTCATGATGCCTAAATAAATCGACCCCATTAAAAACACAAACCCGCCCACAGCCATACCGATAAACTGTAACTGTCCGTACCTGTTCGTCGCGTATTTTTGGTGGTACGTGTACCAAACACCTCTCTGCTCGGCGATCAACCTACACGCTTTCTCTAACGTCTCCGTCGCCGGTTTCACGATGTACTCCGTATCTTTCGTCGCGACGATTTTCGTCGCGTCTAAACTATCCACCAAATCGTACCCTAACGTCACCTTATACCATCGTTTCCTCGGCATCGTCCTCAACGGTGGCGGTGGCAGATATCCCCACATGGGTGGTTCCCAAACCTCAAACGTCCTCACCATCCCTCCAGGTTTCGAACTGTTAATCGCCCTCTGAAACTCCCGCATCGGTAACTCCTTCATCCTCGACCACTTCGGTTCCTTCAAATCCAACGGTTCCGCCACCGATTCGTACGTCAAATACGTTTCCGTGCCTCTCGTGTCGTTAATTCTCGGCCCTTGCGTGGCAATCCTCTCCTTCGCTCGTTTGCTGAACAGTTTATAGTTTTTATCCTGCTGTTTTTGCATTTGCTCCCATTTCTCTTGGCTCATGCCTTTTGGTTTTATCTGCCTCGCGACGATGTATACTCCGCCTCTTTTTCCTCCTTTTCCTCCTCTTTGCTGTTGACCGTTTTCTCGAAAACGTATTCTCGTCGTCGAAGCTTTCACTGCATTCTCGCGGCGACTGGATAACGCTCCACTCATCAAAGAAGAGGAAGAATTGATCGACGACATTTGCGCGACGACATTTCTCCTCAAACTCCTATTTTTAGGAGAAGAAGAAGAAGAAGACGTCGTCGCTCCGGTCGAACCGCTCGAAGCTCTCGTCGCGCTGCTACCGCTACTCATCATCGTCGTCGTCGCTGAGAAGAGGTTCTCTCTTCTTCTTTGTTGTTGTCTTCTTCTCAGACGGTCCAAAAGCAGCAAATGAGAAAGAGTTCGTAGGAGCAGAGGAGCCGTCACACGAGGAAAAATAGGGCAGAATTTTTGAGGGTTTTGAACAAAAAAACGCCTTTTTGAAATACTAATACGCTTTGGAGCTGATCTGATCTGTTATAAGAGTTTACGAGCGGCGCGCGAGATTCGTTACACGTAACACTCTCTCTAAATCTCTATCTCTCAGTACCCCCCGCGATTGATTCGTTTCTGCGTTCGAGTCATCTCGGTCGCTTTCGCGGCGAGGTGTAAATACGATTTGGAGGAAGAGGAGGAAGAACTTTTGAACGCGTGGTGTTGTTGTTGTTGTTGTTGTTGTCTTTGTTTTAAAGAAGAATGCTCGGAAAACATGCCTCGTCGTAAACACCGCGCCGTTACACTCTCGCGACGATCAATCGCCATTTTTCGAAGGGCTTCGATGAGAAGTCGTTCGCTCTTTGTCTTCTTCTCTTCTTGGTCTTCTTCTTCGTCGCCTTCGTCTTCTTCTTTCGTCGTCATTTTTTACGAAGGAAGCGGTCGTATTTTTTGCAGATTTTCTCTCGCTTTTGGAAAAATCAATCGGAAGATTTATCTTCATTTTCCTCGTAAAAAAAGACGTACTAAACGCGCTTTATAAAGCGCACAGAAACACGCAGCGCAGACGACGAATACGAAAACAAAGAGCCCCTCTCCCCGCGCGAGAGTTATACATATTTTTAATACATAATATCAAAAAAGAAGCAGAAGATAAAGAAGAAATGGAGACGACGGCTGCGGATTTGACGAAAACGTTGCCACATAGACTCACCTCTCCGTACTCGAAATGTTTCAATCGAGTGCCGATTGTGAGCGTGCACGAGAAAGCGGACGAGAACGGAGGTTTATCTTTAGTCGGTGAAACGCTCGTCGTCGGTGGGTGGGTGAAAACCGGTCGAGAAGCAGACGCCGGGAAGATTTTGTTCTTAGAGGTGAACGACGGGTCCACGCCGCAGAGTTTACAAGTGGTCGTCTCGAGCGAGATTTTTTCCTCTTCTGAAACGTCTTCTGGGGTGTCGTCGTTGGCGGATATGAGACCGACTGGGACGAGCGTGGTTATCGAAGGCGAGATCAAGTTGCCGCCGGAAACGGCCAAAGGGCAAGTGATTGAGCTTCACGCGTCGAGAGTTCTCTCGGTCGGGAAGTGCGACGCGAGCACGTACCCGATTGCAAAGAAGAAGCAAACTTTGGAGTATTTGAGAGATAAGATTCACATGAGACCGAGGACGAACACGATTCAGTCCATAGCGAGAGTTCGGAACGCTTTGGCGTTTGCCACGCACGAGTTTTTCAACCTGCACGGGTTTTGTTACGTGCACACGCCGTTGATTACCAAGAGCGATTGCGAAGGCGCCGGGGAGATGTTTCAAGTGACGACATTGTTGGGCGAGTGCGACGAGGAAGACGGGAAGAAGTTTACGAAGAGTTCCGTGGAAGAAGCGGTGGTGATGGAGAAGAGAGCAGAAACGGCGGCGATCGAGACGAAAATCGCGGAGATGAAACAGGAGGAGAAACCGTCGAAATCGGGTTTGAAGGAACAGAACAAAAAATTGGAACAAGCCAAGAAAGATTTGAGCGAGTTGGAACGCAAGTTTCGTAAAGTTGGAGGTTTACAAAGGAGTGATGATGGAACGATTGATTATTCCGAGGATTTCTTCGGCGAGAAGACATTTTTGACGGTTTCTGGTCAGTTAGCCGTGGAGACGTACGCGTGCGCTCTGAGCAACGTGTACACGTTTGGGCCGACGTTTCGCGCGGAGGATTCATACACGACGAGACATCTCGCGGAGTTTTGGATGATTGAACCCGAGCTGGCATTTGCGGATTTGAACGACGACATGCAGTGCGCGGAGGATTACGTCAGACACTGCTGCAAATATTTGCTGAAAACGTGCAGAAAAGATTTGGAGTTTTTTCAAAAGATGTACGATAAAAACTGCTTGGAACGCGTGGAAAACGTCGCGAACAATCCGTTCGGGAGAGTTTCGTATACCGAGGCTATTGAGATTTTAAAAGACGCCGTGGAAACGAAGAAGAAAGAATTCGTGTACCCAGTCGAGTGGGGGATCGATTTGGCCACCGAACACGAGCGGTACTTGGCTGAAGAAGTGTACAAGAAACCGGTAGTGGTGTACAACTACCCGAAGGACATCAAGGCGTTTTACATGCGCTTAAATCCGGACGGTAAAACCGTAGCTGCGATGGACATTTTGGTCCCAAAAGTTGGCGAACTCGTCGGTGGTTCCCAGCGCGAGGAGCGATTGGACGTTTTGGAACAACGCATGAAAGATTGCGGCTTGGAGTTGGAGGAGTACAGCTGGTATTTGGATTTAAGACGGTACGGTTCGGTCACGCACTCTGGGTTTGGTCTCGGCTTTGAGCGTTTGATTTTGTTCACCACGGGCATGGAAAATATCAGAGACGTGATTCCGTATCCGAGATGGCCGAAAAATTGCTTAGAAGGGCATTAAGTTCATTGAATTTACAATAGAGAGAGAGAGAGAGAGAGAGAGAGAGAGAGAGAGAGAGAGAGAGAGAGAGAGAGAAAGAGAAGATGAAAATACCAGAAGAAACGAGCGAGCGAGATTACGCTCGCACAAACACGAAATACTACATAAACTCGCGAGGAAGAAGAGGAAGAAGAACAGCATTGAACCCTTTTAGTCTTCTTCTTCTTGGTTGTTCTCTTTTTCTCTCCTCTCTCGTCCTCGCCAAAGCGTCTCTTTTCTTCTTCCCTTTGTTTTTCAGACGACGTGCGCGTTTCGTTCTTTCACATAGAGTTGCTCTTCATTTTGAATTTCTTCACAACATCTCACACAAAATAACAAAGAAAAGAGAAAGATGGGCGAAGACAACCCCGCGACGACGACGATTCAGACGACGACGACGGAAGAAGAAGAGGAAAAGTTGGACCCTCTGAAATCGATCAAAGATCAGATCGTCGCTTACGACCCGGAAGACAAAGAAGACAAAGACAAAGAAGCAGACGGGGGAAATCCGCTGACGAAAGAGCAAGAGTCCGAAGCGTTGCCGACGTTGAAAAGCGGGCAAAAATATACCTGTTTTACGTGTCAAACGCAAGATTCGTACAAGTGGTTCAAGAGTAAGATGGAAGAGAACGTCGGGAAGGTGATTTGTAAGAGGTGTTATCACAAGGAGTTGGTGGAATTGAGCGATAAGATTTGCGCGGTACGTTCGTGCGTTTTTGATTTTTTCCCAAAGGAGGAAAGGAAGGGTCGTCACCGGAACAAACGAATAGACTTTTTGTTGTTGTTAACATTTTTTACTAACGCTCTGATATTATCTCAAACCACCACAGGCGTGCGGCACCTCGAAAACATCCGGATGTTGGTACCGATCGAAGAAGGACGATTCGAAGTGTTTGTGCCAAAAGTGCTACAAGAAAGAGGCGAGATCGATGGTGGATAAGACGTGCAGAGCGTGCTCGACGACGAAGAGCAGCCAGTGGACGCGTTCGAAGATGATCCCGGGGGCGGATTTGTGCACGCAGTGTTACAGGAAAGAGACGAAGATAAGAGAAGGGAAGATTGACATGGAACAGTTGAAGAAGGAGGCGGGGATTTTGGAGTTGAGGAAGAAATCGGATGATGCCGAGGAGGCTGAGTCTGGGGCGAGCGATGCAACCGCGGCTGGGGGTATCGGAGGAAAGAGAACGCATTTGCCGCACGAAGTCGCGCCACCTCCGCCAAAGAAGGTGAAGAAGTCGTATTACCAAAAAAAGAGACCGGTTATCATCCCGGACATCTCTCCCGAAGATGCGGAGAAGTTGTTGCGCGCAGCGGTCATACCAAAAACAGAGGAAGAGTTGGAGGAGGAAAAGAAATTTCGCGAGTTGTCTTCAAAGTGTTGCGTCTGCAACTCGGAGGATTTAGACAACAGGTGGAAAGAGAGCGTCTTGCACTTGGAAGGTAAATTGTGCGACATTTGCTATTTCAAGGAGCTGTTGATTCGAGGAGGCTTGCCGCTCGCAGCATCTAATTGAGGAGGTGAGGAGGAAGAAGTTGAAAGGACACTTCGTAGCGCGCAAAGTAGCGAGAAGAGAGACACGAACATACATTACTATACATTATTACTACTTACTACTAAGAGATATACATCCCAATACAAGCTAATGAACTACTCTCTGCTATGATATTCTACTTTTTTATTATTCGAGACGCATTTCTTTAAATTCGTTAAAATTTGCTCCTTCGTTTTGTTGAAAATTCGGTTGTCCTGTGTTATTAAAGGTTGAAACGTAACGAGCTCCCACGTTAGCGCCTAATGAGTTTGGAATACCACCGCCGCCCCCGCCGCTTCTGTGATATTCAACACCGGAAGTCATGGTCGGCGGTGGAGCGAGCGGGGCTGGTGCCTCTGCAGCAGTTGATTGCGCTCCCGAGCTACTTTTATCAACCCATTGTTTCAAATTTTCATCGTAATAGAAAGTGTTCTCTGGCAAACCTGCGGTTTCTTGTGGCGCCACTTTCGGACCTTCATAAGGCTTGTCCGGTGCGGGAACTGCCGCAGAGAATAATTTGGAAAATGATTTGACCAGCTTAAAAGGAACTCCCGGTTGTTGTTGTTGTTGTTGTTGTTGGCCAGAGTAAGTCGTTTGCGACAAGGGGGGATAATTTTTCTCTCCCGTATTATTATGACTATTGTTTCCGTGTTCGTCGAGGCTTGCCAGCGAGTGAGACCTCGAATGATTCGCACTCTCGTATGCTGTTGACTGTTGTTGATGGTATGGATTCTGTTGAGGTTGATTCGAAACGCTTTCCAAACTCGAACTCGAACCGTATCTTTGATGCTGGAACGCGGTGTCTTGACTGCTCGATCTTTGATGAAATTGCTGCGGCGGCGGAGTATCATCGAGGCCACGACTACCGATCACATCAACATCGTCACCTCCAAACAGCGCATCTACTGTTCCTCCAACGAATCTTGAAAGTCCTCCCGCTATCTTTTTACCGACATTCGCAATTTTTCCTTTAATGGCGCCCTGACCGAGCTTTTCTCTGATTCGTTTTTCTAAATCTACTGCTTCCACTAAGATGACATCGACGCTTACCCCCGAATCACTGCGAGAGTCGTCTCGTACGAGCTTAAGATATTTCTGAACGTTCTTAAGCGTCGCAAGAGCGACGTGAAAGTGACCAAAATCGGCTAAAAGCACGCAGTAGGAAACTTTCATCCTTTGATGAGGTGCAAGCACCGACAACGAAGCTTTTAAAGCTTCGCTACCTTTGCCTTCGGCAAAGGAGAGCATGATTCTTTCCGCAATTAAGGAGCGGTGATACGAGCGAGGGTCTCGACAAGGATTATCGTTACTCCCGATTAAGCGCATGCGCGCTGCATCGTTCGGCCAAACGTCACCAGAAAGAAGATAACATAAATGAGCGATGCCCAAATAATTGCTCTCTCGGCAAGCATCGCCAAGAGTAATTAATCCATTCGTTATCGTTTTATCTCGTTCGTTCGAGTTTAAGGAAACCATGGCAATCACCTCTCTCCATCTGTCAGAAAGTGCAATGTTCTCATTGTTTCTCGTTATTAGATCCTTGACGGCAACGTCTGCTCGTCCGATTGAAAGTAATTCAAGCACTCGCAAAGGTGTCCCAACTTGCATAGTTTCCTGAATAGCTCTCACACAAGTATCTGATATAATCGTCTCATCGCGAGTCAGTCTGGCAACTTTTACAGCCACGTTCCACAACTTATGCGTGTGTGCAATATCTAGAGCAGCGATAGTGTTTCCTATTGATATCTGCCGTTCAATCTCCATCAGTATTGCAGGCGACGCATCTCGCTCGGAAACAGACGCACTTGTCAACGACGAAGGAGAACCGTCGGCGCGATTTTGAACGTGGAGAACACTCGCCACTTCAGCTTTAAACGCAGCTTCACCAAAACTTCGCAACGAGTCGAACGTTTTCTTTCTCGAAAGAAAGAGAGACAAAATTCTCCACATCTCGCTCTCTCCTATCGTTTGCGATGAATTATTTGCCAAACGTTCACACTTGGAGCACAAACTCTCATCGGTCATTAAATTCTCAGAGTTGCTCAAAAAGAACGTCTCATCGCTCGCAACCTCGACAAATTCGCGAGCACCAAAGTCGTCGCTAGATCTAAACATGTCATGAAGAGAATGTGTGCACAACGAAAACAAATTTTTGTGCGCTTGAGACACCGTTGCGAGCGTACCACCAAAACCAAAAGCGATGCAGCGATGAGGAGGTTTTCCATCCGGAGATCGAACGGTTCCAGGTTGCGCGTGTGCTTGAATTGAGCTGTTGCTAACGTGACTACTGATGTTGTGCTGCTGAAATTGTTGCGGCTGATTTTGTGGAGATGGCATGATTGGTGGTGGCACTCCAAAATCGCTCGGAGGTTCGTACGCCACAGCCGCTTGAGCTGGGACGAGAGGAGGTACTCCAAAATCGCTCGGAGGTTCGTACGCCACAGCCGCTCGAGCTGGAACGAGAGGAGGTACCCCAAAATCGCTCGGAGGTTCGTACGCCACAGCCGCTTGAGCTGGAACGAGAGGAGGTACTCCAAAATCGCTCGGAGGTTCGTATGCCACGGCATGACTATTCTGCGCTTGAGCTGGGACGAGAGGAGGAACTCCAAAATCGCTCGGAGGCTCGTACGCCACGGCATGACTATTCTGTTGCTGGACAACCGGTAGACTCGATATGGATGGTGGCGGAGGAGGAGGTGTGAACATTTTTGGCGGCGGACCCCCAAACTCCGAAGGTGGCTCGTACGCTCGAACCGCGGGCTGTGTCACCGGTGGAGGAGGAATCGTAGCTGCCGCCGTCGGCTGCTGGTACAACTGTATGGGGGGATTTGAGACATCCGCAAAATCGTTCAAAAAGTCATCATCTACTGCCGGTGCATTCGTAGCCGAAATGCTATCAACGCCTTTACTTTCCACGCGCTCCGCATAAACGAGCGGCGGTGATGGCGCCGCCATCGTTTCCTCTGCACCACCTAACGTGTCAAAAAACGCCACATCGTCGTCGTTTCCCGCGAATAATCCATTGAAATTTGTATTGTCGCTTTGAACTACCGCTGATGCCGATGTCGTTTGCGAATGGTATTCTTCTCGTTGATAATTATGCTGTTCCTGATGTCCTCGCGCGTCTAGTCCTCGTCCTCCTTGTTTTTGATAATAGGCGGCATAGTTGTCCTGTACCTTCACCGGCGGCGGCGGCGTTTCTTCGTTCAACCATTCGTCCACGGTATCATCCGACGGTTTAGACGCCGCCGAAAAAGGTCTTTCTTTATCGTTGTTGTTGTTGTTGTTGTTGTTGTCGTAATAATTATTGGTATTACTATACCCGTAGTTTTCGTTCCGTGGCGTCCTCGTCGTCTTCACGATTGGCGAAGGCGCGTTCGCGTCAAACGTCGACGAGTCGTTGTTTTGATTATTATTATTATTATTACTCTCGTGATGATGATGATGATAATACTCTCGATGATGATCACGCCGCATCACAAAAGCGTCTTCTTCTTCTTTCACTTCTTCTCGTTTTCGCTCGTATTCTTCTCGGTTAAAATTTCTTCGTTGGTAAAAGTCGTTGAAACTGTTTTGCGCCTTCTTCTCTTCCTTCTCTTTCTCCTTCGCCTCGTCGAAATCGTTCAGCCAATCGTCGTCGTCGTTGTCGTTGTTCTTATTAGTATTCTCCATCGTCGTCCTCTGTGTTTTTCGTCCTCTTCTTTGTCGTTGTCTTTGTCTTTTGATTACGATGATGATTTGAGAGAAAAGTCTCCGTGCGAGTGTAGTAAATCTCTCCAACGAAGAGTACTCCGCGCTTTCAGAGCGTCTCGTTCTTGTCTCTCGCGTCCAAATTCGTTGCGTTCTCAAACGGAAGAGTTTCTCTTATTTATCCACGATTTCGACGAATCGAAAGCCCCCGAGAGTATTGGGCACACCAAAACGTCCTCTTCGGTCGTTTCTCTCTCTCTCTCTCCGAGATGAATCCAATCCACTGAGAAGGGAAATCGAAAAGTGAGGAAAAGTCTCGTCAGAAACACAACGACGAGATACAGAGCATTCAAAACTCTCTTTAAAAGAAGAACACAACAGAAAAGGCAGTAAAGAGTAGCACAGGTAGTACACACACACGTATAACGGAGTTTCGAAAGATGAGGACGAACGAGACGAATGCGAAGAATACGACGACGAAATCCATTTCCAATCCGTACGGCGAATTGAGCGGCGACGACGAGGACGACGACGAGGTCACGGAGGAGCGCAGGAGAAGAAGACGAAAAACTTTTGGAGGAGGAAAAGAAGAAGGAGAACAATATCAACACCATCATCGATTCGGAGGAGGAGGAGAACGACGACGCTCTCGTCGAGAAGAAGAGGGAGAGGAAGACTATTATCGTCGTCGTCAACACCGGCCGCCTCGCCGTCGTTACGACGACGAGGACGACGAGGACGAGTACGACGATTACGGCCGAGCATCCCGCGGGTACCATCGACGAGGACGACGTTCCTCTGCGTCTCCGAGTCCTCCTTCGAGAGGACGGAGCCGATCCCCGGGGATCGAACGAAGACGACGACGAAGAAGAAGCGAAGAAGAGGAGGAGAACGAGAACAGAGGAAGACCAAAGTTTGGCGTTCCCGAGGAGATGGAGAAGTTTCACGAAGCCGAACTCCCGAACGGCAAGAACAAAAGCACGAGACGAAGTTTCGATCGACCAATAGGAGGAGGAACGGCGGAAAAGGCAAACGGGTCTCATCATCAAATGCCGCAAGGACGACAACACGGGAGAGATATCGAGAGGAACGCGCAGAATAGATTAAACATGGCGCAGCAGTGGTTGCAATCGAACGGGTACGAGGAAACGCAGAAACAAAACGAGATTTTGCGGAAGAGGAGAGAAGTGTACGTGGGGAATTTAATTCAAGGCGTGGTGACGCCGAACATTTTAGCGGACGTGTTTAACGCGATTTTGAAGAAAGTGGCGCCGAAACTGTGCGAACGCGAAGTGGCGGGGAATCCGGTAGTGAACGTCATCATGGATTCGCAAGGCTCGTTTGGGTTTGTCGAGTTGAGGTGCTTCGAGATGGCGCAAATCGCTTTGAGATTCGATAAAGTAGACGTGTGCGGCAGGCCGATGAACGTCGGGAGACCAAAAGGATACATCGAAGACCCGAGAGTTGGAGACGATTGTCCGCAAGAGGTGGTGGATAGCATGGTCGAGTTTGGCGGAAGTTTAGACGACGACGAGGCGAAAGCGAAAGAAAAGGAGTTGGCGAAAGCGAAAGCGGCGGCGGCGGCGGCGGCGGCGGCAAAGATTGCGGCGAAGATGAAAACGACGACAACGGTGGAGAATTTCAGGAAGAAGAAGAAGAACGAGAGCGCGCTGCTAAAATCGGTAAATATGAGATTAGAGAATTTGCTTTCCTTGGACGAAGTTGAAGCCGCGGAGAAGAAAGATAAAGATGGCGCGGAGGCGATTCTAGAACAACTTTTGCAAACTTGTTTAGAAGAGTGCGAACGAACGGTCGGGATGGTCATGGCTCTCGCCGTACCGACGCCGACGCAAGACGTGTTCGACAACCCAGAGCTGAGAAAAGGAGGCGCGAGGTGTTACGTAAAATTTGACAGCGAAGCCGTCGCAGAGAAAGGCGTATCCAAAATGAACGGACGAGAGTTCGGCGTCGATAACGTTATCAAAGCTTCGCTCGTTACCGACGAGGAGTTCGTCAAAGCGTCCGAGAATGTTTGGGTTTAATAAGTCAGAGAGAGTTATAAGCAAAAAAAAAGAGAGCTACGACTTGAGTACATTGTAACAAAAAGGCACCTGCCTGGTAACTAGGGCTTATATAATACATGTTGTAGACACACAGTTTACCGAAGACGGTGGTACTACCACCGTACGCTTCAATTTTTCTCATTTCTTTTTCATCGCCTTGTGCTTTTTATCAATCGCCTCGAACGGGGTCATTTTGAGAAGAAACAAACGATTCGCGCGTTCTTCTAAAGAACCACCACACTTCAAATTTTGACGCGTCAACTCTATTTTTAAATGATCTAAACCGAACCGCTCCAATTCTTGCGCCACGTTTATGTCGTGCAAATCGATTGGTTCAAAGTTTTCCTGTTTTGGAGGCGACGAGTTCGACGACATCGGCGCCGCCCCCACGACGGGAAATTCTTTCTCGTCGTTCGCTTTTGCCACTTTGATGACTTTTCTATCCTCCTCTTTTCCTTCTTCTATTTGTTCTTCTTCTGTAGTGCTCTCGTTCGTCGTCCTCTTCTTCTTTTTTCGTCGGAAATCGTCCTCGTCCTCTTCGTCGTCTGAATCGTCCTCCTCCTCGTCGTCCCGAACTCTACCCTTCTCGACCGTCGTCTGAATCGTTTTCGTCGTCGCCACTTTCATCGCCTCTTCCATCCTCTCCTTCACCTCTTCCGAATCCTTCCTAAACCGTTCTTCCTCCTTCTCCATTTTCGCTCTCTTCCTCGCCTTCTCTCCCGTTCGCTCCTCGATGTACTTCAACGCCAACGCCTCTTCCTCTCTTAAGCTTTCCTCCTTTGTCCATTTCTCCATTTTCCGCGCGTTTTCCGAGACGTGGTACCTTTGTCCTTTCAAATCTCGACACATGTCGTTGTTCGGTTCTGCGTTCCTCCCTTTTTTCTTCCCCGTGGATCGAAGTAACGTCCCGAATCCGCCTTTGCCTCCTCGGAGGCCTTTTTTAAGGAACAACTGGTACGTTTGGTTTTCTTCGATTCTTCTTCTTCTTTGTCTTCTTCTCGTCGTCTTTGTTATCACCGACGATGATGTCGTCCTCGTTCTTTTCGTCGTCAAGGTCTCATCGCGCGTTCCTTTTCCTCCGTTTCGATCGTCCTCTTCTTCTTTGCGTTCTTCTTCTTTAAAATCATCCTTTTCCAGGGCGAGGAACGATTGCTTTTCCCGTGGGATCCCTTCGCGCTTTTCCACCATGCTTTTCAATCTCTCTAACTCATCATCGTCATCCTCATCAGAAGAATCAGAGGAGCGTTTAATTTGGTAACATCGTGTTCGCGTGGAATTTATCAATCTCACGAACACGTTTTTCGTTCGTGTTCTTACTCTTCTTTGTCTCATCACAATCGTCATTTTTGTGCGGCGAAGAAGTGCGGAAAAGAGACTTGATTTCCTTTCAAACGAAGAAGAAGAAGTCAAGAAGAAGACGAAGAAGTCAAGAAGCGAGAGAGAAACACAGAACAGCTTTGTTCTTCTTCTTTTCCTTGTCTTTCTCTTTCAAACGCTTCATTGCTCCCTCTCTCTTATCTAAAGACGACAAAACAACACCATTCAGATGACGACGACGGATGGAATAAAGACGACGACGATGAATCTATTCACGACGGCAAAGAAGATGAAACGAAGAAGCAAAAAAGAAGCGATGTTGACGATCATGTGTATCGTCGTCGCGTTCGTGTTCCTGGTGCCGTTGAGTGCTCTCGCGATTATAGCAGGACCGCTCGCTTTGATGTGTGTTAAACGAAGTAAGCTTCGACCACACGAAGAAGAGTCTGAGAAGGAGGAAGAGGAGACGAAGAAAAGCGGCTTTACTATAACGAAGAAAGAAGAGATTGATAACGATGAAAAAGAGACTTTAACCAACAAAACGACCACGGTACCGAGTAAAGTGGAAGAGAAAGTCGCGCTGACGGGTTCGGCGGCGTTGATGGCGAACATGCGACGGTCGGCGGCGAATACCGCGAATACCGGGGAGAAGGCGAAGATTTCTTCTTCGGCACCGTCGAAATCCGGTACGATTTCGAAAGAAGAAAAAGAAGAAACGCGTGATACTAAGAGCGGCAAAAGTGGGCACACTGTTTGGTACGTTTTGCACGGCGGCGAAGCGGCGCAGCAAGTCGCCAGGGACGTGAAAGAGGCGATGGAAGAGGAGTTTTTGGAGAAGCGAGGGATGAGCGACGTGCGCGTGACGACGGCGTCGATGGAAGATTTCAAAAAGACGCTGGAGTTGCACCGCATTCAAGGCGACGACAACAACAAAAACGATGAGATCAATAGGAAAAGAAGACGGGCAATCTTTGTCGTGGAAACGGTGGAAAACGCGCAACCTGCGGAAGAGGCGGGAAGCTGCATTAGGTATTTCAACAAGTTGAGGAAAGCTTTGAAATCGTCAGAGGGAGGAGATAAAGCAACAAAACTGCCGTTCGATGAGAACGACGCATTTGAGTATGCCGTGATGGGATTGGGCGATACGAATTTACTTTTAGATCGTCAAACGACCACCGCAAAGGATTGCAATCAAGCCGCGCAGACGTTAGATAACGCTTTAGCTGCTTTAGGCGCGCGCAGATTGTGCGAGAGAGGATTGGCGAACGATGCCGTTGGCTTAGAGGAAGGCGTGTTGCCGTGGTTGAAAGAGAAATTGTTACCAAGCGCGTTCAAAGCTATCGAGGAAGAGAAAGTTCGAGCGGAGAGAGATAAGCCGATCGAGGTGGTCTTTGCGTACGGCTCGCAAACTGGGAACGCGGCTGAAATCTGTAAGAATTTAGCGGCGGAGGCGACGGAAAAGTATAAGAAGGATAAAACGATGCGCGTCGAGTGTTTCGCGTGCAACGAACTCGACGCGGAAACATCTTTGAAACCGGGGACGGTTATTTTGTTTTGCGTTTCGAGTACGGGCGATGGGGACGCGCCGGATAATTGCGACATGTTTCTCACAAGATTAAAGCGAAGAGTGAAGAAGACGACGGCGAGCGATCCCGTTCTCGCCGGGACTCAGTACGCCGTCTTAGGTCTCGGCGATCAAAACTATTCCGCATTTATGGCAGTTCCGAGAATGTTTTCAACAACTATGGAAAAAGGTGGCGCGACGGTGTATAAGAAAAGATTAGAAGCGGACGATACGCTCGGTTTATACGAACAAGTCGACGCTTGGGTAGATACGTTATGGGAAGATTTAGATAAAGCCATCGCAAGAGCGAAATCAGCCAGAGAGAATCCGAAAGGTTTTCTCACCAGTAGTTCAACAAACAACGGTAGTAAAAGTGATACAACGACGACAGTAACAACAACGACCGCTAAAGAAGCGATTTTGTCGTCGTCGTATAAAGGTATTCCAGCGTTGCAACCGGCGCGCGTGAAAATATCGTTTACGAACAACGGACCGACAGAAAGATCAACATCTTCGGTAGAATTAGGAAAAGACGCGCTCGCGACGAGAGAAACTCCGTTCTTCGCGAAAATTGCCGCGAAGAAGATTCTCACGAACGCGTCGTCTGACCGAAGAGTCGTGCATCTCGAATTTGATTGCAAGAACAAAAACGATTCGGTGGAAAATTACGAGCCCGGAGATTCGCTCGCGGTGTTACCGAAAAACGACATTGCGTTAGTGTCTGAATTGATGACTCGGTTAGGAGATGTAGAAGGTACGAAAACGTTCGATTTGGAATGGATAGAAGGTATGGCGCCGCCAGGGAGTGACGTTGCAACGGCAACAAAGCCGCTTCCGCACGTGATTACGCCCTGTACCGTTCACGACGCGCTGGAAAAGTACATCGACATCACCTCTGTCCCGAGGAAATCTTTCCTTCGCGCGCTCGCCGAGTGCTGCACAAACGACGACGAGAAAGATCGTCTTCTGCTTCTCTCCTCTCGCGACGGGAAAGAGCAATTTCAAACGGAAATTACCGACGAGCGACCAACTCTTCTGACACTCCTGCGAACGTACCCGAGCTGCTCGATTTCCTTCGAACGATTACTCGATATCTCGTCGCCCCTGTTGCCTCGAATGTATTCCATCACGAGCTGTAAAGAATCGCAAAAGAATCCGTCCGTGGCTTTCTCCGTGGTGAAATACGAAGCCCCGGAAAGTAAAGAAACGCGATTGGGCGTCGCCACGAATTGGCTCGACCGGCTTCCCGTTGACGACGGAGACGAAAAAAAATACGACTTCAAAATACCAATCTACAAAGTCCCCACGAAAGCGTTCGGATTACCTGAAGATATTTCCAAACCAATCGTAATGATCGGACCAGGCACTGGCGTTGCGCCATTTCGAGGTTTCTTACAAAAACGTGAAGCTTTAGCGCGCGCAAACCCTTCGTTACAATTCGCCGAATCCTGGCTCTTCTTTGGCTGCCGACGCAAAGATGAAGATTACTTGTACGAAGCCGACTTCAACGCTTTCGTCGAAAACGAAACGCTCACTCGTCTCGTTCCCGCTTTCAGCCGCGAAGATCCGACTGGGAAGAAAGTCTACGTTCAACATAAACTCGCCGAACACGAGGAGAAAATGCGCGACTTGATCCTCCGCGAAGAAGCGTACGTTTTTGTCTGCGGCGACGGCGCGCACATGGCCAAAGACGTCCACAAAACGTTGCTCTCCATCATCACCAACGGAGGAGGAAAATACGAGAACGAGAACGACGCCGAGGCATTGCTCAGGGAAATGACCAGAGAAGGCAGATACGTTCGAGATATTTGGAGTTGATTTTGAGAGGCAATAAACAGACTTTAGAAAAGGGAGAAAAGGGGGTACTTTATTAAAAAGAAGAAGCAGCCGCGCGCGCGCGCGAGTTCAACCCAAACATATAATGACCACAAAAATGACGAACGAACGAAAGATTGAAAACACCATCACCATTACGCGCGCTCTCATCTCCTAAAAATCTCGCAAATCATCCTCCTCTCGTCGAAGCAAAAGTAGTTAACAGAGTGTTCATTTTTTCAACTTTTTCTCATTTCTGAAAAAATCTCACTTTCAACCACCCCACCACAAAAAATGTCTCTCGTATCTTCTCGATTAGTCTCCTTGGCTTTGTTCAAAAAGTACAAAACCGGGACGACGACGACGACGACGACGAATTTGCCAATCGTCAGAGCGGAGAGTAGTAGCAGTAGTAGTAGTAGTTATTATTCTTCTTCTCAAAAGTCAGGGTGGTCTTCTTCGACCATCCGATGCGAGAAGATTACGAACGCTATCGATGTGTTCACGTTTGAAGCAGACAACAAAGATAAAAGAAGAAACAAAGACGTGATCGTAATATTCGCGTGGTTTGGAAGCGATAAAAAGCACGTGAGAAAGTACGCGCAAATGTACGAGAACAGACGAATGGGCGAGAAAGTCATCGTGGTCGCACCGCCGGCGTTGGCATCCTTGTCGCCGAATATGACGACACAAATTGCAAACGACTTCCTGACAGGATTTTTCGAGGAAGAAGCGATAGAGGGAGTGCACGTGCACTCGTTCTCCAACGGGGGTTTTTTGTTCGCCGGGAACTTGTTCCATCACGCCAGCGATGTGAAGAAGAGAGAGGATGATTGTTCTGTGAATGCACAGTTGGCGAAGAAATTCAAGATGAAGATCAAATCGGTGACTTTAGATTGCGCGCCGGCGAAGTTGAGCGCGGAGGTGATTTCGCGAGCGTTCGCATCGGTATTGTTAGGGAGTAGGGTGGAAGATATATACGATAACAATACTTCAAAAGAAGGAGAGAGTAGTATCATCGGTGGTTTGATGAAATCTGCTTTGGATAACTTGGCGAACACGTTGTTATCAGATGAGAACTTGCAAAGAAAAATAAACAACGCGTATGCCGCATGGGAGACCGCTTTAGATGTCAACATTCCGCTGAAGATGCTCTTTTCCGAGAGCGATAAGTTGGTTCCCGTGAATGAAGTGCAAGAGTTTGCGCAACGACAAAGGGACAGAGGGAACGCCGCCGTTTATACGAAATCTTGGGAGAACGTGCCACACTGTGAGATTGGACGTTGGCATCAGGATGAATACGTAAGAGCGTTGTTTGAGGAGAAGTAGAGTTTAATTAGAAATTAGCACGCGCATTAGTACGTCTAGGGTATATACACACATAGTATATACAAGTCTATTCATTTACTAATCTATTTCATTTCGGGACGTTTCTGCCGCTCTCAAAGACCATCTTCTTGAGCTCACCCGTTAACTGTTCGTTCTTTTTCATGTCTTCCAAATTCGTATGAAACCGAAATCTCCAATAATGACGCGAATTCGTCGGATCGTTGATGGTCTCTTCCTTCGGGTCGCGTTCGTTTATGTAATTTGTGTCCATGGCTAAAACATCCGCGAGCGCAAATATCGCCAACGCGCTGGGCGACTCTAAGTGTTGCTTGATGACTGCGCGCATGGTTTCCGTCGTGCATCGCTTCGGCGTCGTCGAGATATCTTGACCGAGAATTTGCGAGTAGTACTTTTTGCGTCGATTCTCGTCTTCTTCGAACCAGGCACGAAAAGTTGTCGTGTCGTGACAGGAAGGAGAGCACACGGTATCGTACGGGTATCTGCTCGGAATACCGAATTCGCTGTTGTTGTTCTCGCCTTGCTCAGGCGCCGGCATCCGTTGAATGCGCAAACCCAAAATGCCTAAATTTTGCATCTCTCCGGGAACAAAATCGGGAACCAATCCCAAGTCTTCGCCACATACGAGCATGTTTGTCGAGTTTGTAATCGCAGGTATCGTCGTGTGCGCGTTTTGGGTCCACAAGAATCGTTGCCTCGTCGTATAATGTTCATGACTGATTCGAGAAAGTGCGCTGCGTTGCCAGCACTCGAGCTTTTGAAACAGTCGAGTTCGTTCCATATCAAACCTTGGATAAAACGCATCCTTATCAAACATCGCAACGCTGTGAACACCCTCGGTAGCGCTTGGATCGTACGCCGATCTCAAGAGACAGACGTTTCTGGTGAGTTCGAGTAAACCGTTCTTAATTTCGTTCGTTTCGGCGACGAGCCAATCCGGCGATCCTTCTCGAATTTTCAACTGCTCGCACTTTAAAATTTGAACCTCCGTGGAATACTCAGGTTTGAACGTCCAATACTTGTTTTGCAACCGTTTGGTGAAGGAGAGATCTCCACCACCACCACCAATTATACCAGCTCTGTTGACATTTGAATCGCTAGAGTTCGAGAAGAGCTCGTTTTCATCGAAAAATCGAGCGGCAACTTCCGCCGCTCTCGCGCCGAAAAAGAATTCCAAGTCAGACGCATCTGCTCTAGGAATCGTCAATCGATCGATGTCCCAAAGACCGACCGCTTCGAGCTCTTGCCTTGATATCGGGACAGATGGGCGAAAGCGACCCATGATACCAGACTCGCAGTGCGCCGGCAGTTCCCATATGCGAAAGAACCCCAAGATATGATCCACGCGAACGAGCGAAAAGTATTTCTCCATCGAGCGTAATCTCGAACGCCACCAACTGTAATTTCCATCCCGTTTCATCTGTTCCCAATCGTAGGTTGGAAACTTCCAATTTTGACCGTTCTTATCGAACGCATCGGGAGGTGCGCCCGTATTTGTATAGAAACGGAACAGTTCTGGTTTTCTCCACACGTCCACAGAACGTTTATCGACACCAATCGGTAAATCGCCTTTAAGTGCGATGCCAAACTGTTTCAAATACGTCGAGGCTTCTTTCAGTTGCATGTGCAAACGCCACTGCAAATAGTACACGAAGTGCACACCTTCAGAATAAATAGGAGATGTTTCCGGATCGGTTAATTTTTCGATCAATTTATCGTCGCACTTCGCGAGGTGACCCCACAGCCAATGCTCCGTGGTTTGAAAAATTTCAGCCAACGCGCAAAACACCGCGTACGGTTTCAACCACTCCTGGTTTTCGCTCACGAACCTCTCGAACGACTCAATTAAAGCTTTCTTACTGTTACTACTCACACCCGCGCTACTTTTACTCGCACTACCTAACCCGTTCGCATAACTACCACTTTCCGTCGTAGGCATCGATGCGAGAAAGCGCTTGTGTAATTTTCGAGCGACAAACATTTTCACTCGAAGCGTCTCTTCGTAGTCGACGTCTTTCAGCTCTTGAAGCTCGCGACGTTTCGCCTCGATAAATTTTGTCATCTCTTCGCTTCCAGGGAAGTTCAACTCCTCCTGATCGAGCTCAGTCACGCGCAAATACATCGGGTGTAAAGCGTGAACGGATAGCGAACTGTACGGATAGGAATCCCACCACATCCCGTGCACTCTCGTGTCGTTGACTGGGAGCAACTGTAAAATCCGAAATCCAGATTCGCGACAGAAATCCGCCATCAATTTGAGATCTGAAAATTCACCGCAACCGAGGGACTTTGAGGATCGTAAAGAGAAGACTGGCACCGCAACACCCGCACAACGAAAAGCTTTCGCATGCGCAAAGTGTCCGTCGGACGCGACGATACATTTTGGTGGCTCATACGACGAAGATGTCGACGTCTTCTTTTTGGTCGGCGTCGCGCGGTGCCTCGTCGGTGTTTTCTCTGCGTCTTCCTCGCCGTCGTCGTTTATTTCCGTCGACGTTCCCTCGATTTCCCCACCCTCACGATTGTTGTTATTGTTATTATTGTTATTGTTTCTGTTTTTTCTATGCAGCTCTTCGTCGAATTGGCGTTTTTTCAAGTCCCAATCGATACCGATAGTTCTCTTACATTCTTCGCTTTCGATGACTTGCTCGATATCGTCGTCCCAAATTTCGTACTTATATCTCACGGGAAGTTCGCTCGAAGCGCACGCGACTTCCAAGTGCCAACAATATCCATTATTGTTGTCGTTACTACTCGAAGTGTTGTTCCTATCTTTAACGGTATGTTCTGAAGCATCGCTGGACGCAGGAGACAACACTTCGAAGCACTCGTCGTTTCCCATTCGCATCGCTCGCGAGCGATCCCACTTCCCGAGCGATTGACAACTTCCCGTCACTCTCACGGAGACTTTACTCCCCGGTCGTTTACTTGGCATTCGCATCGCTTTCACTTGAAATCGCAAAACTACCACGCGTAAACTCGCGTCGCCGTTCGCATCATTCTTCTTCCCGGACAAAATGCCGCTTCGCAAAAATTCGCACGGCTGAGGCTTCACGACCGCGGCGGCGTGCGTCGCTCCTCCTTGTCCTCCCGCTAACACTTTATCCAAAACCACCTCGGCGAATCTTCTCTTTGAAAACAGCGTCTCTGCGTGGTTTTTCCTTTCAAAAGTATCCGTAAACTCCACCACGTTCTCGCCGTTCCCGGTTAAAGCTCGCGACGTCTGCCGTTCTAGTTTTGCTATTCGAATAGGTGCGTCCCATAATATCACCGACCCGTGCGAATCCACCACCGCGTACCTGTATTCGAACGGTTCGTCCCATCGCATGGTTTTCGTCGCCGTCCACAACAGTTCGTCTCCTCCTTCGCGTTCCTCTTCTCCTGAATCTTCTTCTCCTGAATCTTCTTCATCATCTTCGAAACTTTCTTCCTCTTCTTTTTCATCCGCGTTATTCTTCGTCTTCTTCGTCTTCGTCTTCACGGTATTTAAAACGATGTGTTCGCAGCTCATCCACGCCCCTTTCGTCGCGTCGTACTCTCCCATCGCTTGCGATTTCCCGCACACCACCACGTTCTCTCCCCATTTGGTATAAAACTTCACGCGGAATTTAAACGTGATTTCTTTTCTCAATTTTCGTACCATTTTTTCATCATCATCATCATTTTCGTCGTCGTCGTCATCTAAAGTCATCGACGCCATCTGTCCTCGAATTTGAAGAGGACTACCGTGAGTATTACGAGTAGTACCCCCGTCGTCGTGTTCGTTACCTTTACGCGTTTTTGCGCTCATATGTCTTTTTTCTTCTCTGAACAGAAGTAGTTTAGAGAAAGTAATGAATGCGACAGATGAGAAAATTTTTTGTGTTGTTTGTTGGTACAAAAAAAGGCGGGAAAAAGGACTTGAGCCACTTTTTGCACTTTTCTGCCGCCCCATCGATTTTAAGAAGACAAACTTCACAATACTAATAATACTACGTAATACTAGTATATTCTCAAACGCTCACACACATATATATAATATATCGTTAAAAAGAGTATTCGCTCTTCGCGCGCTTCTCTCTTCTCGCTTCTCATCAGGGAGTGGTGGTAGTCGTGCGAGAAGCGAAAAAAAAGCGACGACGATTCAGACGAGACTCCAAAAATCATTAAAGCGCGGTGTGGCGGCGAGTTTTTTCTTTCCAATGACGAGTTGTAAGATGTCTTCTCTTATTCGAGTCTTTTCTCCCTCGACGACGACGACGACGGGTACGACGGGTACGAGAGCGCCACTTTCGCCGCGCTTGAACTCCTTTTTCGCGGGAAGGCGGCGGTCTTTGGCTTTTTCTTCTTCTTCTTCGTCTTCTTCTCGCGCGTTCTCCTCCGCCGGTGTCACCAATAATGGAGCGGCGGCGACCAACGACCGAGCAGGAGGAGGCACCAACGCGAAGGAAGGAGAAAACTTCTTTGATGAAAAGAAGGAGGAGAAGAAGACAAAGAAGACGCCTAAAACGAAGACCAACGTGATCGATTCGAGCAAAGCCGTCATCGAAATCTCCTCCAAGGAGCAAAAAGAGTTGGACCGAGAGGCGGCGAAGTTTGCCTCCTCTTGGGCGAAGGAGTTGGCGAAAGCCTCGGCGGAAAGCATGGAACAGTTGGAACTGACAAAGACGGTGAGCGATTCGGAATTCGACGACGAGGAGGAGGAGGAAGAAAAGGAAAAAGGTGTTCCAGAGGACGATCAAAAAACGAGACGACGCCGGACGAGGAGAGATTGGGGGACGATTCCGCAAGAGTTGTTGCCGAAAGTCGCCGTCGTCGGTCGACCAAACGTAGGGAAGTCTGCGTTGTTTAATCGATTGACGGGGACGAAAAGAGCGATCGTTTTTGACGAACCAGGGGTCACGAGAGATCGAATGTACGTGAGAGCGTTTTGGGGAGATCACGAGTTTATGCTCGTAGATACGGGTGGGTTGGAAAACTTACCCGGAGACCCGAACGCGGCGCCTTCGATCGATAGAATTGGAGGCGTTGAAATTTTACCAGGGATGATTGAAGCGCAAGCGGCAGAAGCGGTGAGAGAGGCGGATGTTTTAATCTTTGTCACGGACGGTCAATCCGGATTGACTGCCGCGGATAAAGAGATTTTTAGATGGTTGAGAAAGCATCACGCGGATATTCCAGTGCATCTAGCGGTGAATAAGTGCGAATCGAGCACGAGAGGCGAAGAGATGGTTTTGGATTTCTGGCAGTTGTCCTCAAAAAGCGTGGCGCCGATTGGCGTTTCGGCGATTAGCGGCACGGGAACCGGGGAACTGTTGGACGCAGTTTGCGAAAGCTTACCGGAACCACCGACGATGGAGGAACAAATATCTATCGCGGAAGAAAATAAGGAGAAAGAGGATAAAGAGTTACCTATTCAAGTCGCCATCGTTGGACGACCAAACGTCGGGAAGAGTTCTTTACTGAACGGCTTAGCCGGAACTCCGAGGTCGATCGTGTCTGATTTTTCTGGAACAACTCGAGATACGATCGATACGGATGTAGTCGATAAGAATCATCCGGATAGAGAGTTTACGTTGATCGATACGGCGGGTATTCGAAGACGAACGCAAATTAAAAGGGACTCAAAAAGTATCAAAGGCGAGGAGAAAAAATTTGGTTTAGAGCAACAATCCATCGGGAGAGCTTTACAAGCGATGAAACGCGCCGATGTTGTCGTTCTAGTCATCGACGCGACGGAAGGCGCGACGCAGCAGGACTTCGTTTTAGCCGAAAGAGCCGTGCAAGAGGGATGTGCGCTCGTTTTGTGTTGCAACAAGTGGGATTTAGTGGACAAAGATACGTACACGATGAACTCGTACACGGACGACTTGCGCTCGAAGTTGCGAGTGTTTGAGTGGGCGAGTATTATTTACACAAGCGCGTTAACTGGGCAGAGAATTACTAAGATTTTAGACGCTTCCTACGAGGCTTCCGTGATACACAAGAAACGGTTAACGACGGCGACGTTAAACGCCGTCGTCCAAGAGGCGACGTTGTGGAAGGCGCCGCCGGCCAAGGCGAACAAGAAGGGCCGAATCTATTACACCACGCAAGCGGCTATTCGACCTCCGACGTTTGTGTTTTTTTGCAACGACCCAAAACTGTTCTCGGATACGTACAAGAGATTCATGGAAAGACAGTTGAGGAAAAATATTGGATTCGATGGGACACCTATTCGCTTGTTGTGGCGCGGGAAAAGCAAAGGTGGGGGCCTCGCCAACGCCACTGGAGGCAACGCGAAGCCTTCCTCGAAATCGTCGTAAATTTGATTTGACCAAATTATATAGATAGTTTTGCGCGTTGATATGTTATTAATAAAAATGAGTTGTGCGTTGTATACAGTAGCACGCGTGTGTGTGCTTAATGATGATATCTTATGTACGTTTATGATGGTGAAGATAAGAATCTTCATTTTGTTTGTTTTGTTCTCTTTTTCCACGAGGGAAAAGAGGGACGAATTTTTCTCTTTGAAAAGAAAACGACTTTTAACGCGCTTAACCGCCGAAGCCGTACAAGGTCTTGCCTTGTCTCTTCAACGCGTAGACGACATCCATGGCGGTGACCGTCTTTCTTCTGGCGTGTTCGGTGTACGTCACCGCATCACGGATAACGTTTTCCAAGAACACCTTCAAGACACCTCTGGTTTCTTCGTAGATTAAACCAGAGATTCTCTTGACGCCACCACGTCTCGCCAAACGACGGATCGCCGGCTTCGTGATGCCTTGGATGTTGTCTCTCAACACCTTGCGGTGTCTTTTGGCGCCACCTTTACCTAAACCTTTACCACCTTTACCTCTGCCGGACATTGTGAATATGTGTTATATTTGTTTTTAAATGACGATTTGAACGGACGTTTTCGTTTTGTTTTTCGTGTTTTTTTGTGTTTTTTGCCTGTTTTGTAGGGGTTACTTCTCAGTTTTGCTATAAAGAGTGCATTTGATGCATCAAAACGAGCGTTTGAGAAGGTCGCGAGTGAAAAAGCTACGAAGACGAAATTCAATCAACGACAAGAAAATACAACAAAAAGAACAACCTCGATCCTTATCACTTGGAACGCGTATCACGTTTTAAAAGAAATAATTATACAATATAACTCCTCGTAACCATCTATCATCCCTATATCTATCGCATCAGAACTTTTTAGCTTTTCATTTGCTCTCCGAGTTCCTCGAGCGTCGAATACGTGCGACTAGTTGTGCATGTACAACCCTAAATGATAGTGTGCAAAGTGCACCTTTTTTTCGCAAATGCTCGAAAATGCAAGACCTTAAATATTCGGCGACATTAAGCGCGCTGAAAGGTACGTTACTGTTCACGGATTTGATCGCGCGTGAACTTGTTCGATAGATATTTAACATATCTGTGTCTTTGAGAAGTTTTGATTCATATGAATCAGTGATACATCTGATGTCGTACAAAACGTTAAATCTTGATTTCTAACCTTCTTTTGTTTTCGAATGGTTCAAATGAATCGTTGACACGAAAGAAAACCTCATTATAAATCAAACACAATGGCTCGTACCAAACAAACTGCTCGTAAATCCACCGGTGGCAAAGCCCCGAGAAAGCAACTCGCGACTAAGGCCGCGCGCAAATCCGCGCCGGCGACTGGTGGCGTCAAGAAGCCGCACAGATACCGCCCGGGTACCGTCGCGTTGAGAGAAATCCGAAAGTACCAAAAGTCCACGGAATTGCTCATCCGAAAGTTGCCGTTCCAACGTTTGGTCAGAGAAATCGCCCAAGATTTCAAGACTGACTTGCGATTCCAATCCTCCGCGGTCTTGGCGTTGCAAGAAGCGTCCGAAGCGTACTTGGTTGGCTTGTTCGAAGACACCAACTTGTGCGCGATCCACGCCAAGAGAGTCACCATCATGCCGAAGGATGTCCAGTTGGCGAGAAGAATCAGAGGCGAACGCGCTTAAGAAGTTTGTCTTCTAAGGGCGAGTTTCTAAACTCAAAACAAACAAAAAATGGAAAGTATTCTTTCCACCATCATAAACACGCATAAGATTTCTCATCATCATTACATTACGTTACATAGTACACGCGCAAACACACTCTTTAACTTTAAAAGAGCACATTCTTTCCTTGCAAAAAAAAATCAAAAGAACACCTGCTCGCCGCTCATAAACGCGAGCCAGACGAGGGCACCGACGACGTACGTCGCAGACGTCATGTACATGACGTTCGACCACCCGCTCTCCACCGAACGCGAAAGAATCCAACCGACGACGTACGTGCCTACCATACCGGCGATAGACCCGGCCGTGTTCGCGACGCCGTGAATAGTGCTCGCATATTTCGGTCCAATCTCCGCAAAGTTGACGAGGAAACCGGATTGAGAAAATGCCGTGCACCCAACGGCGACGGTTAACGTCGTTAAAGCAAACCCGGGCGTGATTGCGAAACCTTTCAGACCTAAGACGAGCAAACATAAAGCTGGACCTAAAAAGCCGACGGATTGAATGAACTTGCGAGTGGTCGCCGTGGAGACTTTCCACTCGGAAAGCATTCTATCGGCTAAAATGCCCGCAAATACGCCGCTTACCGCCATGGTAGCCCATGGTAACGCGGAGAACCACGAACTCGTCGCTAAATTGAGTTTTACGACGTCGTTGAAATACTTGGGCATCCACGCCAACAGAATGAAAAAGCCAAAGTTGTTGACAAAATTGGCGACGACGCACGCCCAAGTGGCTGGATGCGACAGTAACATCTTCCACGGTGTTGTCTTTTTCTCCACTCCTGTTACTACTACTACTTCATCATCTATTTCTTTCCCACTACTACTACTACTGCTTTCACTGCTACTGCTCCGAAGATGATCAACAATCGCCCCGCCGTCTTCGATAAATTTCAACTCCTCCTCGCCGACCCTTTCGTTCGCTCGAGGGTAACTCGTCGCGCGCGCGTTCCAAACGGCCGCCCACGCGACGCCAATCGCACCAAACACGTAAAAAGGACCAGCTATTCCAAACCTCGACATCAACAACGGCGCGACTAACAAACCAATCATCGATCCACTTTGAAACCCACCCATACAAAAACTCACGGCTCTCGACCGTTCGAATTTTGGCACCCACCGCGAGGCCACGTTGTTCATGCACGGCAACGCCACCCCTTCGCCTAAACCCATCACAACGCGACACAAGCACAATAAAGGAATAGATTTCGTCGACGCCGCCAACGGCGTCACCATCGTCGCCAACGACCAAACCAATAAACCTCCCAACAACACTCGCGCTCCGCCTATTTTATCCGCCAGAACTCCTCCGAATATCGGCGTCAACGCGTACCCGAACAAGAAAGACGACTGGATTAAACCCAAAACTTTAACGTCCCAGCCGTTCATTTTAGACATGGGTAAACCGACGATGGACATGATCACTCGGTCCGCGTTGCACAAGAGTAACGCCAGCGCGACTAAGGATAAAATCGTAAACCGATAGTTCTTGTTGTTTTTCTTAGCTTCGTTTCCTCCTCCTCCTCCCTGTGGTGGCTTTGTCGCGGAGACTTTTGCCAACAACCGCGAGTAAGCTCTCCGACGACATAAACGACGAGGAGGAAACATACACTTCTTCGATAAAGAAGAAGACAACAAAGAAGAGTCGAATAATAGTACGCCACCTCTGCATCTGCTACTTTTAGTATTGCTTTTACTCTTGCTGCTCTTTAGGATAAAAGTCGACGACGATGATGATGAAGACGCCGCCGTCGTCGTCGGCCGACGACTCTTTTTGAGCACCTTTAAGGCGTTGTTGGTGGTAGTAGGAATGTTGTTGCTGATGATGATGGTGCTCGTCGTCGTCATTCTTTACCCCTCTCCTAAAGTGCGTTTATCTTCGTGTCTCTTTCTTCTCGCGCTTTTTCCCCGTATCTCTTTTTTCTTCTTTCCACAAGAAACCATCTTCACAACAAAGATGGCAATCATAAGAGAAGACGACGAGGACGACGACGACGACGAGAACAATGATAACAGTGCTGAAGGTAGTACTAATAAAATAGCGGACGAGTTGGAAACCATCGCGATGGAGCAAAAGCAATCGAAACAAGCAGAGCTTCTGAGAGAATTGGAAGAGGAGTTGTTGAAACGGGAAAACGTCTCTCAAACGCACTCGTTGGAGGAAGAGGAACAATCGAAACAGTTTAGGATTCAGATGGCAAAATTAGCCGCGCAAGGGAACATGGGATTGAGCAAAGACAAAGGTGGGGAGATGAGCGCGTTATCACCGGAGGAGTGCGGAGGAACGACGGAGAAGTATTCGTGGACGCAAACAGAAACGGAGATTAGTATTCACATTCCGCTGGAGTCGTTCGAAGTGAAAGGGAAGGAGTGTAAAATCGAGATCAAACGGAAGACTTTGGACGCGAAGATACGAGATGCGATTGTTTTTAGCGAAGGAACGAAGAACAACAGACTCTTTGCGGACGTGAACGTGGACGAGAGCACGTGGGAAATCGACTCGGATGAAAAGTTAAAAACAAAGACGCTGACGGTGACGCTCGCGAAAGCGAAGAGGACGATGGCGAATAAGCACTGGTCGTACGTCTGTGAAAATGAACCAAAGATTGACGTGGAGAGATTCGGACCACCAGTGGTTGGAGTGAATGAGAGGAATCCGATGGATATGGAGTTAATGGGTCAGATGTTTGAGCAAATGAAAACTTCGTCCGAGGCGGCGTAATTGTAGAAAAATTTTAACGTAATAGTAGCATAATAATGCTTTTCTAGCTTAATAGCGCGTTTGCATCTTGGTACGTGTGTCTAATATCTATCTACACCACTACTACTACTACTAAGACTACTAAGAATATTTTAACTAATGTACACACACACACTTCATATCGTAAACTACGTTTTCTTGAGCCGCCGGTTCGTCGACGACCAAAGCGTAAAATCTTCCCTCCATAAAAAAGCCGCGAACGGTTTCCCGATCAAAAGTCCGAAAGCTACCATCGCGACGCACAACGCAATCGCTGGAATCGAATGTATCGGTATTAACCCGAAGAAGAAACACTCCTCTAGCGTCAAGTTAAACGTAACCCCTTCTTGTGGGAACTGTCTGTATCCTTTCGTAGGGACGACGTTTGAGGAGTCCACGGAGACTCTCGCGTACGCTCTTCTTTTGGAGGAGGAAGAAGAGGAGAAGAACAGACGAGTCGTTCCTTCGTTACTATTACTCTCATCGTAATTCGATACTTTAAACGCTATTTTCTCCACGTCCAGTAACTTCCGACTACGGCGACGTAAACGACTTTCACTCTCTTCTTCCTCTCCTTTTCCTTCTCCTCCTTCTAATAAAACAATCGAAAATTTCCCGGGCGTCTTGGCCGAATAACTCGCCCTTAACTCGTACCTCTTGTCCACTTCCAGATCCTCCAAGATGTACAGGTTACCGTTAACGTCGTCGTACTTTACGAATTGATCGTACAAGTGCCTTTTTGCCGGCGTTATTGTTAAGGAGACGATTGGTTTTCCATTCTCGTCGATGTCCCCGACGTTCTTCTCGACATCAAAAACGGAAGAAGAAGAAGACAAAGAAGAAGACAAAGAGGAAGAAGAAGTCAAGAAGAAGAAAACGAGAACACTGATAAAAGTCAAAAACGTTCTCAAAATCATCGCTGAGTTCGTGGGTAACAAAAATAACCCCACGTGTCTCCTCTTCTTCCCGTCGTTCTCTCTTTTTCTCTCTCTTTGTTCTGGAGGAGTTTGTTAACGAGAACATTTGAGAATTTCCCCGCACGCACGAACTTCTTTAGAGTAAGTCACAACAAGACACGCGTTGAGCACAACACACAAACAACAACAACAACAACAACAACAACAACAACAACAACTTTGACGTCGATTGATTTCTTAGTATGCCGCGAGAAAACCCAGCGACGTGTCGCGACGTCCAGTGCCCCGACCACGTCTTGAAAGCCATCTACTCCCAACAACACATCGTCGAAGTTTCGGAGAGCGACGAGTCGCACTCGAAACGAGTCGTCATCGACGACGAGTTGAGACGAAAGAAACTGGAAGAGTACGACGAAAACTTGAAGAAATGGTGGGAAGAATACGCGGCGAGAAAGAACAGCGAGGACGAGGAACACGTGTGCGACTCTCTGTTGTACGACTTTTCGCACCTGCCGAGGACGACGCCGGCGCCGAACTTTTTGGAAGATCGAGTCGTGAAGACGTTGGGCGCGAAGGAAGTCGTGCACAAGACGACGACAGAGGCGACGGGGACCCAAACGACGACGGGGAAATAGATGCACGCGCAGATTAGAGCAGAGAAGAGAACAGAAAACAAAGAACAACAGAAGAGAGAGAGAGAGACGCAAAACACTGAAAGGAGAACAACAGAAATGTAATTTTACTACGCTAGAGACTACCATACTTGTACAACAACAACAACAACAACGTTAGTACTTAACTACTCATTAAGGCCAAACGAGTTCGCCGCTCATGACTCTTTCGATGTCCTCGGTTTCTCTCGGAACGTTCGTCCAACTTTTACATCCGGTTTTGGTGACGACTAAGTTATCCTCTATTCGTACCCCGCCAAATCCTCGGAACTTTTTATCGATGGTATCGAAATTTATGCACTTCTTGACGTTTTCGCTCATGTTGACGTCGTCTATGAGCGCGTCGACGAAGTAGCACCCGGGTTCGACCGTCATGACGTTATTTTCCTCGAGCGCTTTCGCGGTTCGACAGGATTTCAAGCCTGGTTTTAAAATTCGATCTCGAGAATTTCGTAAACCGTAACCGCCGACGTCGTGCGTGTCGATGCCGAGTAAATGCCCCAAACCGTGCGGCATGAAAACCGCGCACACTCTGTTTTCGAGCATTTCTTCCATGCTCGAGCTCTCGTTGAGGACGTTTAACTTTTGGAGCATGGATAAAATACTTCGTTCCGCGAGCAGGTGCAAGTCAGTCCAAACTGCGCCAGGCTTAATGTTTGCCAGAACGTCCTTGTGCGCTTGCAAAACGCCGTCGTAGAAAATCTTTTGGTCGGAGGTAAATTTTCCACTCACCGGGACGGTCGTCGTGATATCTGCGCACATGCAATGGTACTCACCTCCCATATCCATCAGAACTAATTCTCCCGATTTACATTCTTTATCGTTCGGCGCGCCGGAGTGGCCGTAGTGAAGTACAGCCGCGTTGTTTCCACTCGCGCAGATTGACGGGTAACTGCTGAATCTCATTCCGCCTTGGTTATAAATGTGGTGTAAAAACGCCGCCTCCAGTTGATACTCCATAGTTCCCGGCTGTAAACTTTTAATCGCGGCGACGTGCGCTTGAGAGGAAATTTTCGAAGCGTATTCCAAAACTTCCTGTTCTCTTTTTGTTTTCAACGTTCGCAACAGCGTAATCTCTTCGAACAAGATGGATTCGTCTATTTCTACTTTAGACGAAGAAGGAACGTTCGCTTTCAACGTCGGCAAACCCGAATCCGTATTCGTTCCGCTCAACACGTGCACGAGCGCCGTAACTCCTTCCTCCTCTAAATACGCCTCTAACTCGTCCGCATATCGCACCTCTTCTATTTTATATTTTGACGCTAACTCCTCGTTCGAGAGCGGTTTCCCCATCCAAACGACGTACTCGTCCGGTAACCGAGGGACGAACAATATTGCTTTCTTTTTCTCCACGTCGAGCGCTCCGAAACAATCGCTCTCGCGACAGCCAAACATCCAGTGAAAATACGACTCTTGTCTGAACAAAGGTTCGTTGTCCGTGCCGTATCTCTGCGTTTGCTTCCCGGATTCCACCAAGACGAGGTTACGTTCCTTCTTGGTCTTCTTCTTCTCCGCGTTGATTTTCTCTTCCATCGCCTGCGCCAATCGCAATCGATTCTCTCGGTGAAGTTCAAAGTCGACGCGTAAGGTATCGCGACCCATTTGGAATGATGATGACGACGACGTTGTCATCGCTTTCGTGTTGTTACGACGACGACGACGACTGGCGACGTCGACGACGAGGAGAGGTGTTGTTGCAGAAGACGTGGCGAGGAGCATCCAACTTTTCCTTTTGAGGAAAAGAGGGAGTTTCATCCATAAAACTCTCTCGATGTAGCTTTCATCTCGTATAGCTTTTTTAGAAGTAACCCCTTTGAAATGCTCGTTTTGATGCATCGAATGCACTCTTTATAGCAAAACTGAGAAGTAACCCCTACAAAACAGACAAAAAAACACAAAAAAACACGAAAAACAAAACGAAAACGTCCGTCAATCGTCATTTAAAAACAAATATAATACATATTCACAATGTCCGGCAGAGGTAAAGGTGGTAAAGGTTTAGGTAAAGGTGGCGCCAAAAGACACCGCAAGGTGTTGAGAGACAACATCCAAGGCATCACGAAGCCGGCGATCCGTCGTTTGGCGAGACGTGGTGGCGTCAAGAGAATCTCTGGTTTAATCTACGAAGAAACCAGAGGTGTCTTGAAGGTGTTCTTGGAAAACGTTATCCGTGATGCGGTGACGTACACCGAACACGCCAGAAGAAAGACGGTCACCGCCATGGATGTCGTCTACGCGTTGAAGAGACAAGGCAAGACCTTGTACGGCTTCGGCGGTTAAGCGCGTTAAAAGTCGTTTTCTTTTCAAAGAGAAAAATTCGTCCCTCTTTTCCCTCGTGGAAAAAGAAACGAACAAAACAAACAAAATGAAGATTCTTATCTTCACCATCATAAACGTACATAAGATATTGTTACACACACGTACTTCTAAACGCGCTGCTCTGCTCTTTGTTCTATTATCTAATCTAATTCAACTACCCGCAGAAGAGCAATTTCTCCTCCCTCGTGTCCCTTCTACCCCAAAAATTCAAATTACGCGACCACATTCGTGCTTCGTAACAAGCTAATATCGTCGAACCAGGGTCCGCACTCTTGATCCATTCCTTCTTCAAACCACTCTCGAAACGCATCAACAGGTCCCCAATATTCACCCTCTTTGGGTGCACAAACTATCTGAAACGGCTCAGTTTCGTACTTTCCTCCCCCGCCTTCGTCTTCGTCTACGACTTCTAATTTGGGCACCCTGACCGCGCACGCGTGCAGATACATTCTATCGATACTATTACTTTTACGACCGGTACCGTACATCTCGTCTCCTAGAAGTGCACTACCGAGAGATTTGGCGACCACGCGCAACTGATGCGTCTTTCCAGTCTCTGGCTTAAAAAGGAAGAAGCGCAAGTTGTTCTCCTTCTTTCCCACCTCCGCGGTAAACCCGCGCGAGACAAACGTCGTCTTGGACGGATTTTCCATCGTTCTCATCAGCTTATACATCCCTCGTCTTGCTTTTTTCAAGTCTCCCGTGACGGTGCCCATTTTCTTTCTCGGTTTCCTCTCGCTGACGCCTACGTAATACTTAACAATCCGTTTATTCTCAAACGCTCGGGACAAACTATTCGCGACAGATTTCTTCGTCGCGAAGAGAACAATTCCACTCGTCGGTTTGTCCAATCTGTGCACGGGGTAGATGTTCTCGCACTCGTAAAAACGTTCGTCTTTTTCCTTCATCTTTCGTAACTTTTTTACCAACCCGTCGGAAAACTCCGAGTGGAAACCCAAGTTTGCTGGTTTATACACGGCTAAAATGTCCTTGGTTTCGCCTAAGACGAACGGTTCAATCGTGGTCGATTTCGACGCGCCTTTCTCTCCTATCCACGATTCTTCTTCTTCGTCTTCGTCTTCTTCTTCTTCTTCTAAATCTTCTTCTTCCTCCTCCTCTTCGTCGACAAAAAAGGCGAGTTCGTTATTCGTGGTGTTGGTGAAAATGCGTCTCCTCTGCAAAATTCGTATTCTTCGAGAAAGAGAAGAAGAAGAGTTTGGAAGTCTTCTTCGAAAGTGAGAAAGACGAGCCCCTGAAACGCTCATCGTCGTCGTCGTCGTCGTCGTCGTCATCCCGTCCGTGTGCGTGTGATCTCTTTCGTACGAATACGAACAACACAACAGCAGTCTGCTCTGTGATTTGTGGTGTACTTGATGAGATTTTTGTCTGAGGGAATTCAGTTTTTTCGTCCTCGTTTTCTTTTAACATTTCCTCGTCGTCGCTCGCGTCACAACTTAAAGTCTCTCTTAAAACTCTCTTACTCTCTCTTACTCTCTCTTACTCTCTTACTCTCTGTCTCTGTCTCTCTCTTGTCTTTTGTTAAAAGATGAAGGCCGAATAATAATAATAATCTATATAATAATGGCCACGCAAGTCGGACACATCAAGCGAATAAACCACTTCAAAGGGATCAACGTGGACGGGTTTCAGTTCCAATCTCCGGACGTGAAAGCGTACGTGTTGACGCATTTCCACTCAGATCATACCGTTGGATTGAGCTCCGCGTTTAATGGTGATAAAGGTGGTACTACTAATACGAAGAAGAAGAAGCTCATTTACTGCTCGAAAATTACCGGGAGTTTAATCAAAGAAATCACCAAAGTGAAGGAAGAATACATCGTCCCGTGCGAGTTACACGCGGAAACAGAAATCGAAGGCACTTCGTATACGGTGACATTTTTTGACGCCAATCACTGTCCAGGCGCGGCGATGGCGTACTTTTTCGATAAGGTGACGAAAAGGACGGTGTTACACACCGGTGATTTTCGCGCCGACGAGGACAAAGTCCAAAAGAATGAAAAGTTGATGGAAACGCTGAAGAGAAACGGACGCTTGGACGAGTTGTATTTAGATACGACGTATTGTAATCCGAATTACGATTTTCCGAGGCAGAAAGTCGCGTTGGAGTGCATGCAGAAAATCGTTTTAGAAGCGTTGAGAGAAGAGCCGAAGACGTTGTTCACGTGCAGCGCGTATAGCGTCGGAAAAGAGAAGGCGTTTAAAGCCATCGGGGACGCGGTGCGCACATTCTTCGAGGACAACGATACGAATAACAACAATAATACGAAAATCGCCGTCATGTTGAAAAAGAAGCAAATGCTCACGCTCACGGAGTGGTACGACGACAACTGCTTCACATGTTTTCAAGGCGAACCGGATGATCCGACAGGGAGTAAAGCTATGGAACAACACGTGCGCGTGATTTCACACGGCGGGAAGGATCCGCACGTGTCTATGAATGCTATCTTGCTCGCCGAAAAGCATCGTTTTAAACGCGTGGTTGCATTTTCGCCGTCCGGATGGGCGTGGAAATGGCAAATGCGGAAAACGTACGAGGAGACGAAATGCTTGATTTGCGAGCCCTGGATAGGGAACGACGGATTGACGAAACTCTACCACGTTCCGTACAGCGAACACTCGAGTTACGGCGAGCTCTTAGGTTTCGTCGAGAGGATAAGGCCGAGGAAAATAACGCCGACAGTGAACGCCGAAACAGAAAAGGACCGCGACAAGTTACTCAAACGGTTCGAACAGTGGGTGGATTTATCCGCGAATAAAGGCAAACTTCATCACTACTTTTCAAAGTCTAAAACAAACAACAACGCGACGACGACGAATAATAACAGCGACGACACGATTATTTGTTTAAGTTCTGACGACGAAGGTGACGTTGAAATCATCGATCCTTCGATACGCGCGGCGTTGCCGAACGTTAAGATTGACGTGCGCACACAACAAAGAGAGTTGGAAAGACTCGCCTCCTCGAAGAACGAGAAGAAGAGAAGCAAACGAGAAGAAGAAGAAGAGAAAAAAGAAAAAGAACACATCATCATCGATTTGTCCAAAGAGAGCAACAGTCCCATGAAAGGAATCAATCACCACTCCAACTCCCGTGAAGTGTTAGAACCTTTCCCTCTCGGGTGCGTCTGTGTCGTTCGTAACGGCGAGTTTAAGCAATTCAAGAATCGAAAACACGTCGAGCAAAGGCTCCGAGAACTCGGCGCCGAAGTCGTGAACAGAAAATCGTCGCGCGTCACGCACATCATGTGCGCGCACGGAAGCATGCAAGCGACAGAACTCTTGAGATTAGAAAAAATGAGTACTACCTCTGCGAATACACCTTCTGCCGTCGCTACCGTCGCCGCTGCCGCTGCCACCGCGAGTAAAACATCAAAGAAGGGGAAGAAGAAGAGCGAGGACGATGAAGAAGAAGATGAAGAAGAAGAAGAAGAAGAGTATCCCGACGACGCAATCACGGTCACCGAAAGTTGGCTCATGCGCCACGTTCGCGCGATGAGAAACGGAACCGCCCGAGAGCACACGAGCGAAGAAATCAAACACTTCCAAGAGCGACGGCGGAAACGCTTAAAACTCGCCCAAGAGGAGAAGAAGAAGAAGAAGAAGCAAAAGCAAAAGGAGAAAAGCGAGGAAGAAAAATGTACAACAGCAGAATAGAGCCGCGCGTCACCACTCTCTGAGAAGAGCCGAAAGAGCTTTCCACGTTCATCAGAGTAGTAGTAGTAGTAGTAGTAGAAAGTAGCGTAAACACCTCGTGTGTGTAAAAAACATCGCACTTTTTTTTTTTGCTTTTTTCCTCCTCTGAAAAAATCACAAGGAACAAAATTTTCGTCTGCCCTTTTGTTGGTCCGTTCGTTGCCTCTGTTCTGTCTCCCAAGTTCCCGATCGGTCTCTCTCTCGACATGTAATTGCCCTCACTCTTTTCCACCTCTCTCATCTCATCATCCGCCTACACACCACTGCATCATCACTTCAACATGAACGCCACCAACAACACGCCAACCCCGCACGGGATCCACCACCGCGAGGGCCAAACGGTCGAAGACATCGCTCGAGCACCGCCGGGAGAGAGAGTGTTAAAAGTCTCCCAAAACACGCAGACGAATAAATTGGCCACTTCGATTGGTTTCGTGTGCGAACACGGAGAAGCGCCGCTGATTTTAGCGCTCGGGCCGGCGAACGTGAACACGGCGGTGAAAGCGATGGCCATCGCGAGGAGGAAATTGAAGGAAGAAAACGTGGATTTGCGTTTGTATCCGACGTTTCGAGAGGGGGCCGCCAAACGATTTTCGGCGATTCTTTTGCAGACGTGGAAAGAAGAAGGGAACGGGAACATGCAGATGGAGGACGAGGAAACGGACGTGAGTTTGACGTGCGGGGCAAACTCGGTGCCGAGCCAAGTGGCTGGGGCAATCGCCGGGAAGATTCGCGAAGGGTATTCGGTCTCTATCCGAGCGTGTGGCGCGGAGGCGGTGAGTAAGACGGTGAGCGCGGTGACGTTCGCGAGAATGTTTTTGGCGGACACGGAAAAAAATCCGCCAGAATCCACGCCGTTGGGAAGAGTCGTGGATATTTCGTGCGCTCCGGAGTTTCGACACGAGTCGGTTGGGAGCGACGGAGACGAGAGGACGATTTTGATGTTTACTATCAAAGTGATCGACCCGAGAGACGCGCCGATGGTTTCGATGAGCGCGGAGGCGAGCGGAGCCATTTCCATGGAACGGCAGCGAAGGTTAGCCGACGAAGGTAACGCTGCTGCTGCTACTAATGCTGCTGTGAATAACGGCGAAGAAGTTTCGTATTGTCAGCAATGCGGCGCTGTATTCAATCGCATGAGTGCAAATTTCTGTTCCCAGTGCGGCTGTAAGAGAAGCTAGATGGGTGGTTGTGGTAGTTCCTCGTGTATCGTCCTCTTTTTACTTACCTTACCCTTGTTATTGAATTTCTTGCACTGTGTGATCTGTTTTCACGTGTAACTTTACTGTTCTTAACTATTAAACTACTACAAATTGCTCCTTCAATTGTACAACTGTACAGGTGCTAGCTACACTACTACTACTGCAAGCTAACGCAACACTTCTCGCTCTATCCTATAATTTTTTTTATTAGCGTTTCGAAAACACCATGAAATACCGTTCGATTCGACTCCCGGCTTGCCAAAACCGGTCGAAGAAACTTTCTTCGTACTTTTCGAATCCAGAGCCTTTGCCTGGAGCCGACCCGGTGTATAATCGAACGCCTTCTACGTTTTCAAACGACGCTTCAATCGTATCGCTCGACTCGTCCGCTCCGTAACTTTTCTCGCTTTCAAACGCTATATTGTCATCATCGACGGTGAGCCCAGATATCATCTTTGCTAAGGTGTGCATGTACCTTTCGTTGTCAGAATAAATTGTTAGTCCTCCTCCACCATCACCGTTTTTGTCCTTCTTCTTCAACGCTTTGTGTGCGGCGACGAAAAAATCTTTATTCAACAACGCTTTATCGTTTCTTGACTTTTCGTCTCCGGAGTGATGCGGCGGTTCTGGGAAATTAATAAAGATTCGATGCAATGAATTCGGAGGAATGCTTTCATTGAGTAAACGAAACGCATCTCCGGAAACGACCGCGATGTTTCGAAGTTTTGAAACGCAAATTCTGTTGAAGATATCGCAAGAACGGTCGCGGCGCAACTCGCTCGCGATCCAGACTTTTTTGTTCTTGTTCGATGAAGACGACGAGCTCGCGGCGGCTTGAGCTAAAGCCCATTCGCCGTTTCCAGCGGCAACTTCGAGGCTTATCTCATTTTCCACTTTTGCTTCCTTTTGCACGCCGTGGAAGAGCTTCTTAAAGTTTATCTGTCCAGTCTTCGAATCGATTGTCTTCTTCAAGCGTTTTCTGAGTTTGTCCTTGCGCTTCTTTTCGTCATCTTCTTTGACGAAAACTTCGTCTAAACCCAAAGAGTTTTTAAGTTCTTGAAACAACGTTTCGCCAACGCTGCCACTGTCTTTCTTGTTGACCAGTTCGCCAAGTTTTGAGGTGAACAAAAGGCACCTGGAAAAACAGTCATCGATGGTTGTTGTCGTTGTATCTTTTGAAGAAGAAGAAGAAGAAGAAGGAAAAGAAGAGTCTCCGTCCTCCTTGCTGACGATGTCTTTCAATCTGGCCATGTCGCGCTCAAGTTCCGAGCGATTTGTATTACGAAAGAGTTTGCGACGGTGTGGGTCCGCTAGTTCTAAATCTTCCTCTTCCACCGCTTCCGCTTCCTCTTCTCCTTGGACCGAGCCTTCGTTAACTGCGCGAGCTTGTTTGCACGCTTTTTCGCACGACTTTATCGCTTTCAAACACGCTTTTACGAAGCTCTTTTTCTTTTTATCTGTTGTCGTTGTTGTTGTGAGTGCAACGTTCGCTTCTAAACGCGCTAACCCGCCGTACATTTGCGCCAGACAATCGTATTTTTGCGCAATCTCTTGTTTCTCCGGTACTTTTTGCTTTACGTTCGGATCGTGATAAAATTTGCACATCCTACCGCGTTGACACTCTCCGTTCTTCCAAAATAGACACGTCGGTGCCTGTCTTTCTTTGATACCATTCTTTAAGCCGTCTTTCACGCCTTTTCCGTTCAAACAGTCGTCGATGGATGTTTGCATGGATTCAATCTCTCGCTTTAACAAATCCCGACGAAACGACTGCGCGTACATTTTTGCCAGGAGAAGTTTTGACGTATCGTCTAATACGTCCTCAACATTCGTACCCGTCCATTGAATCGCAGATGATACGTCTCCGGTGCGCAAACAAACCCGGAAAAACGTATTCAAAGCTCTCGAGTCGATTCCAACGCCGCACGCGCATTGAGAAATATCATCCTCACCATCTTCGCTGCCAACTTTACTCGTCGTAGACGCCGCCGCCATACTCTCGACGAGCTTCACGGCAGCTCTCACATCGCACTCGATCAAGTACGATTTTAATAACATCGTAAAAGCAACCACATTTGGTTTACAATCTGGTCGTAAGATTGCGTCTTCTTTTCCTTTCTCTTCTTCTTTGTGTTTGGTTTCACTCGCCATGCGCCTGAGAATGATTTCAATATCCTTCGTTCTCCCTGCGTTGGCGTAGGCATTTAACAACGCGCAATAAGTATACACCGACGGATTAATTCGTTGATTTTCGACTAAATTTTTAAACGTTTGCGTCGCTTTCGAGAGCTGTTTGACTCTCGCAAAGTGCTGAATATTTGACGTCGCGTCGTTTCGAGCGCGTTCGACCGCTTTACTATTTTCCATCACTTTTCCATTCGATGAGGAAGAGGATGAGGAGAAGAATAACAGAGGACTTTGAGGCAACAATGCTGCCGAGATATCTTTTTCCCCCTCTTCGAGTAAAGTTTCTTCTTCGTCGGCGTCGTCGTCGCCGTCTCTTTTTCTTCCTCCTTTTCCTCCTCCTCCCACCTGCTCCTTCAAATTGCTCTTCTTTTTCCCCGGCGGTCTCGTCAATTTCATCTGTCGCATCAGCTCTTTCCTCGCTTCAAACTCATCGTAACTGGCTGCTCCTTTTTCCCTTGCGTGCTCTTTCTTCTCTTCCTCGTATTGGTCGTCCTCCTCGCATCTTCTGTCGTTCTCGTCCACTGCAGCAACGCCGTAATTCGTACGCTCGTCGAACGCAACAGTTTTCTCCTCCTCCTCCTTGCCGCCGCTGCCTTCTTCAAAGCACTCGTTTTGCTTCTCCCGAAACTGTCTGTTCCGTTCCGCGCGTTCCTTCTGTTTCACTCTTTTCTTTTCACTCTCCATTTTCGAGTGCTTCTCGGGGTCTTTGTCCATCAACCACGGACGTTTGCGCTTCCCCATTACTATTATCTTCTTTTATTCGAGTTGTTGCATTTCTAAAAATACGTTGTGTTAGGCAAAAACTCTTCTGTTCATGACGATTGAAAACGACGCTGATGAAAGAATAAGAGAGAAGAAGAGAAGAAGAAGACAAGAAGAAGAAGAAAAAAAACAATTTTGGGCTTTCGGTCGACGGATTTTTTTATCCTCGAAAAATATCAGCCGAAAAATCTCTCTGTCCTCCCTTTCTTTCTGCGATCGGATCGGCGCGGAACCAAAAAAATCTTCTCAAAGCAAACGGACCTTTCTTTATCTGCGTCAAAATACTAATTGCATCGGCCACACGCTTCGCCGCGTTTGGGGCAGAAAAAGAAGAAAGAGAGAAAGAAACGCGCGCGTCTTCTTATCTTCTTCGCAGGGAGAGAGAGAGAGTCTTTTTGTCGCGCCATCCATCGTCTCTCAAAGAAGAGATTTGAACAGAATGATTATTTAATTTTATCCCGACTGACTGTGTGTGCGTGTGTTGGTTTTGCTGTTGAGATTCTTTGAAACGACGCGAGCGTGCTTACGAAAGTTTTAGCGGTTGAGTTCATCGAAAAACATGGACAGAAACAACAACAACGCGCAGATAATAATGAAACGAACGTCCAGAGAAAGTCGACGACGTCAAAGCTTGGAGAGAGAGAACGACGAGTTGAAGAATATGGTGGAAAGATTACAAGAAAGATTGGAGCTGACGACGACGAGGAGCGGCGTCAGCACGACATCATTATCGTGCGAGTCGGAGAACGGATCAGACGTGGAAGCTTCGAGCGCGTTCTATTTACCCACGAAAGATGACGATCGAAGGATGCAAAAACACGGAGGGCAAGAACAACAACGTCGTCATCATCGTAATCATAGTCATTCACCCCGGGAGAACGCGAGGGTTGGAACGCCCAGGAAATCCATGCAAGGCCACGACGCCGTGAGGCCAGATTTTTTCCAAAATTCAAACAAGAAACTTCCTCAAGGATGGGAAGGCGTGCACGACCTCATCGAAGAAGGCGAGTACGCCGGGTGGTTGATTAATCCGAAACAAATAACCATGCTGAATGAGATCGGGAAAGGTTGCGAAGGCACGGTGTATAGAGCAAAATGGGGAGGCGCTACGGTGGCGGTGAAGAACGTAGGCGCGAGAAACGCCAAGCAGGCGAAAGCGCTGGTTCGATCGACGGAAATCTCTGTAAAATTGAGACATCCAAACGTCCTTCCCTTACTCGGGGCGTATTTTAACCCGTTTGGGGATTCGTGTTTGATGTTCCCGGTGATGCTAGTTGGGACAATGAAGCAATGGTTGTATAGCGATTTGGAGAAGGGCGGAGTCGGCGCTTTGTTTGGAGGCGGCGCGACAAAGAGTAAAGCGCACAAGTATAAGAAGCGGCTAAAAGCCGCGTGGGACGTCGCGAAAGGCATGTCTTACTTAGAAGACATGTTCATCATGCACAGAGACTTGAAACCGTCGAATATTTTCATGAAGAGCTCGGCGAAAGGCTGTGCGGTGATTGCAGATTTTGGACTGGCCCGATACAGCTCCTTGAAAGATAACGAAAGCACGCCCACGGCTTGTACGGGGACGTTTATTTATATGGCTCCAGAAGTTATCACCGGCAAGTGGTACGATACCAAATGCGACGTTTTCAGTTTTGGCGTCTTACTGAACGAATTGCTGGATAGAAAAGCTCCGTATTCGGGATCGTACTATTCGCCGCAACAAATCGCTCGAGCAGTGGTGGAACAAAACATGAGACCGAAAGTGTATTCAAACGATAACTCGCGAGATTCGAAACGTTTAGCAAAGTTGACCGAAAAATGTTGGGTTGCAGATCCAAACGTGAGACCCTCGTTTGCGGAGATTATCAACGAAATGGATGCGATAATGCCGAGTTTAGGGGTGGAGGACTCCCCGGAGAGCTTTCCGGGTACCGGAGATTTCGATGCCGATCAGGGTCGAGAATCGGTGTCAAATACATCAAGCCCAGGGAGCGCAGATAAAAAAAATAATACAAATCCCATACTCGGAAGTTTGAATAAAGTTCTCGAAGCGTTCTTTTGAAGAGACGAGAGCAGATAATGGTCAAAGAATTGTGTACATAAAAACGATTGAGAATAGAAAATAGAATGCGCGCAGGCCGGAAACGGCGAATGTGTTTTCGTATATATTTACGTGAAATATTTATTTATACTTTTAACATACCGAACGAGATGAACACGCACGCGCGCTCCGTAATCAATCCATCCATCGACAGAAGCACAGAAGTACATCAAAGTTAACGCTCATCGTCAGAAAATGAAAAAGAAGGAGAAAAATTTTAACATCCAACATCCATCTTATGGAAAGGAGAAGTGAAAAGAGTTTGTGTTTCCTATGTTGCGCAAAAAATACGCGATACTTCTTCTCTCAAAACGATGTTGCAAAGAGAAGAGAGTAAAACGAGCGCGATTGAAATGAGCATTGAATCTTCTCGAGAAAGACGACGACGACGACGACGACAACGAGGACGGATAGAACGAAAACAATCATCGTCGTCGTCCTTGATATTCTTCTTCTTTTTTATCTTCTCCGCGTCGTCCTCCTTCGTTTGTTTGTTTTCTCTTTTCGCGTCTGCTGAAACAAAAGTCGGACCGAGAAGCACGACGACGACGACGACGACGACGGCGACGACGCCTTTTGCGACGACTGCAACACTCTCTCACACGGGAGGTCGTTCATTTACAAACTCTTCGGGAGCGCCAAACGTGGTAAAACCTCGAGAAACGAGAATCATTAACGGCGTTCCATCGCTCGTATCATCTCCAAGAAATCGAATAATTAACGGGGTACCGGTGTATGAAACATCCGCGTTTCCCTTTATCGTTGCCATTTTTGGATCGTACGCGGATGAGAATGGTAACACAGTTCGCGATTTTAGATGTGGAGGGACTTTCATATCCACTCGACACGTTTTGACGGCATCGCACTGTTTCTTTTCTGATGGACTCGTTTCGAACACGCGAAACTTTTACGATAAGATGGAGGTACTGGTAAACTCAGTTCAGCTCGATCAAGGAGGAGAAGGTCAGGAACTTAAGTTTATTGAAATTGCCGAAGCGCACGGAAATCCGGATTTCAATGGGATAAACTTTGATCAAGATTGCACTGTGCTTCGTCTGGTAAGACCGGCGAGTGAAATATTCGACGTACAACCCGTTCGACTCGCGTGGGGTGCCGAAGAAGTAGACGAAGACGAATACAAAACTGTTTACGACGAGAACGAGATGTGCTACGTCGTTGGGTTTGGCGTAGACTCGAGCGGTTTCTTAACTGAGCATTTGAATAACGCGACTGTTCCGCTCGTCTCCGAAGAGACGTGCGAGCATAGCGATTCCTATCCGGGATGGCCATACGGGAATCCAATTTCATCCTCCATGATTTGCGCGGGATATAAATCTGGAGGTACAGATGCTTGTCAAGGAGATTCGGGCGGGCCGTTATTAAATGCGCGTACGCTTGCTCAAGTCGGCATCGTAAGCTGGGGCGAAGGCTGTGCCTTGGAAAATAAATATGGCGTATACACAAAAGTAAGCAAAATGCGAGCGTTTATTCACAGCATCGTTGGCGACGAACTATACGAGCATTCACCGTTTAAATCCCCGGAGGGAGTTGAAAACGGAGGAGAAAACGAGATACCAACAAGACCACGTCCGTTTCGATGCTTTTAATTAAAAACTAACCGTGGAATAATATTCTATCAAATACCTGTAACACTTGCTTGGACCGAACCTTCCTCCGGAAGTTCCTCCAACAGCTTCATCCAGTTAGGAACACCGGCGCCAGATTTCCACAACGTCCCATTCTTAGCCACCGCAAAAAACACATCTCTCACCGACGGATCGAATCCGTCTACTTCTACTTGATTAATGATCCATCTTCTCCACGCCGTTTGATCCTTTGCCTGTATGCGCCATCTTTCCTTGGAGTCGGCAAACACGTTCACATCAACCTCCGAAGAACTGCTCTTCTTATTTCGTTTCGAGCGATTCCCAAAAGTCAAATCCATCGGCTCGTCGCTCGTTGGTTTTCCATCGTTCTCCAACATTGTCACCGTGCATACCAAAATCTTATTCTGAATAAACTTCTCTCTGAATTTTTCCAAGTTTGCCATCGTTTCAAAGACGTGCGCTTCAGAACCGGCAACCACAAAGACTCTATACAAAGACCGAAGTCTGTTCAAAGGAACCGCGCCTTCGTCTTTTTTCAATTGCACTTGTAATCTCCCAAGTTCTTCTTCTCTTTCTGCTTCCTGCAAAGTCTCATCTCGCCCTTTCAACTCGTTCTTTAAGAGTAATCCCAAAACAACCAACGCCGTGGTGTTTACGCCTAAATTTTTCAACGTTTCTATTAAATCCGGCACATCTTCCGCGAGTTCTCCCTCGCCACCTCCGCCTTTCACAGCTTGCACTAACCGCGACAGAATAATCAAGAGACCAACTGCTGCTCCACTCGCTAACGACCCAAACAGGAAAAGTTTCAAAAATCGAAACGGTTCCGCCGCTTCCGCTCGAAGCTTCGCCTGCGCCGCTTGTTTCTCTTTCCCGTCCCCGTACTCGACGTCGATTTCTTCAAACTGTTCTGTATTTCGAAACTTCGCCAAGTCGTCGTCGCGTTGCAACACTCGGAAGTCCAAGTCAAACTTTTCCAACGCGACCATCAAATCGTCTTTCGCTTGCTCGTATTTGTTCATCTTTACGTACGCGCACGCTCGATTGTAGTGACTCGCTCGAGACTCTTCTTCGTTCGGGTTCAACTTCAAAGCGTCCGTGAAAAAATCCGCCGCGTCTTGGTACTGTTTTGCTTCAAACTTTTCCAAGCCACGGTTGACTTTCTCCGCCGCTTTGGAGACGGGAGCGTCGCCTCCTTGTTCGCCGCCCGCTTCGACCACCACCACCGTTTTTTGTCCACTTTTTCTTCGCGGTCTGTTGAAAAGAAATCTAATATTAGTATTAGTATCACGACGACTCCTTTTATTCCTTCTGCTATTAAAACTACTGTTGTTGTAAGCGCTGCTGCTGCTGCAGGTGGTGGTGGTGATGAAGCTGTTGTTGTTTTCGTTCTTCTTAAAACGCGAAGAAGAAGACAAAGGAGAAGAAGAAACTCTCGAAATGATTGCTCTCCCTCTTTGTCTTCTTCGTTTCGTTCGCGTTCGTGCTCTCGCAGTCGTCGTCGCTCTCGTCGGTGGTATCGATGACGATGACAACATTTTTTATCTTCACTCTCTGTTTCGTTTTTGTGTCACCTTCTTTTGGCGTGAAAGAGAGAGATTCTTTTTTGTGAGTGAACACTCGAGACCTAAATTTTCTTTTTTTGTCTCTTTCGAGCTTTTCTCTTTCGTTGTTGGTTTCGCACCATACAAAGTGCTCGTCTCTCTCGCTTTTTTCCTTCGCGTTGGTTTCTTTCTTTTGTGTTTGGGAAGAGAGGAGGACTCTCTCCCTTACAGCGTGAAGATGATGATGACGACGTCAACGAGAACGACGATTGGGTTTGCAAAAACAACGACTACTGCTTCCATCCCGATATCATCATCGTCATCATCGTTTTTGTCGCGAAGAAGTTTAAGGACCACCTTTGAGCGGCGGCGATTGACGATGTGTAGTAGTAGTAGTAGTAGTAGTAGTAGAAGTTTGGAGGAAGAAGAAGTCGTGCAACGAGCGATGCGTTCGTTGATGAGGAAGAAATCAGAGGAGGAGGAGGAAAAGGAGGGAGAGAACGTGATGACGAGGTTGGACGAGTACGCGAGAACTTTGGTGGAAGCGTCGAGTTGGTCAACAGGAAACCAAACAGAAGAAGAAGACAAAGAAGAAGAAGACAAAAGAAAAGTTTCTTCTTCGTCATCACTTTTAGCCACGTCATTCGCCTTGGACGCGCTCGTTCTGAGCAGAATGTTTACGTTGATGCGGAAACGAGAGCCTCCGGGCTCGGAAACCATGGGCATCGCACGACAAATAGTAAACATCTCCTTCCTCGGTTTAGACACGAGAACGCTGAGGATACGGGATTGGCCCAGAGGCACGGCGATTTTTGACGTGCAACCGAAAGAGTGCAACGAGTATTTAACGCCGAGGATGAAGTTGATGAACGCGAAAGTGACCAGAGGGAGCTCGCTGAGACGAGTCGATTTCGATTTTATGAATGTCGAGAGGAAGAGTTTGGATAAGAAAACGTACCTCGAAGACGCGCTGAGGAAAGAAGGTTTCCGCGAGGAAACGCCCACAATTTGGATATGTGAAGATTTAGAAGAACTAATCCACAGCGAGGCGACAAAAATGAGCGACTTTGTGGAGGAAATTTGCGATTTGATGTCTCGAGAGTCTGAATGTTGCGGCTCCGCGAAAGGCGTTGACGCTCGTTTACAAAACACCATCAAAGCTCTATTCGCTGCAAATGGCGCGATGTGTTCGTTCACGGAGGAAGAGAACGGATGCGTGCTATTCTCGGCGATCAAAATGCGACGTTCGGCGCGAGAGGAGGAGTATTACAGAAACGCGTTGATGGACGCGCTGGAAGAAATCGACGAAGACGGTTGGGAAGACTAATAATAAAATCTAAATAAAATGTAATTCTATTCGCTACTGCTGCTATAGCCGCCTAAAAGTCCTAACGAAGACTTGTCGCCTAAAAGTCCTAACGAAGGCTTGTTATTGTTGTTGTTTTCTACTTCTTTCTCAGCTCTCACTGGTTGTGGGTTGGTCGTCTTCTTCTTTGCCACTTTGAGAAGTTTCTTCTTCGCGTTATTCGTGTTCTTCGCTTTCTTCGCCGCAAAGTCGCCGTCGTCGTCGTCGACACCCACACCATCATCTCTCCCACCACTCTCTCTCTTCTTTTTCTCCTCGCTCTCCTCCATGGCGGTAGCGGTTTTGGAATTCAGTGCGTGACTTCTCGCTTTCGCCAGTTTAAACTGTTTGCTCAGCTCCTTCTCCTCCTCTCGCTTTCTTTTCTCGTTCTCTCTCTTCTGCTCTTCCACTTCGTCCAAGAACTCAATCTCGTCCTCCTCCAACGGCCGGTTCTTCCCTTCCTTCATCGTTTTCCACCCTTCCTGAAACTTTTCCTCTTTCACATCTCTTTGCTCTTGGAGAATTTGCCACAGGGGTTTCACCGGTTCTTTCTCTGATTCCTCTTCTTTTCCCCCTCTCTCTTTCCTCAAACGTTCCAGTTCCTCCGCGGTGACGAATTTATTACTTTTCTCTTTTCCTCCGTCGTCGTCGAGCATCTTAAACACAGATTTCACGTCTCTCCCTAACTCTTTCTCCGCGTCGAATAACTCTTCCTCTTCTCCTTCTCCTTTCCGAGGAAGGATTCGGATCATTTCCACCGACGACTCTCTTCTTTCCGCCGCCATCATGCATGTGTGTGTTGTTGTTCTCTTTTTTATTCCGCATGCGGGGAAATTCATCAATTCAATCCTCCTCAGAAAAAGAGAAGCGTTTTGCTTCTCCACACAGACGACACGCGCGCATCATGATCGTCGTTTCTTCGTCGTCGTCTCCTTCGTCGTCGTTTCCTTCATCGCTTAAGGAGAGAACGAGGAGGCGAAAGAACGGAGATCCGCATCATCGTCGTCGAAGAACGTCATCAACGTGTTCTTCTTCCTCCTCCTCCTCCTCCTCCTCCTCTTCAAAGTTTGGTGATGAATTATCCACCACGAGGACAAGAACAAAAACGACGACGAGAATATTAACCACCACCAACGCGCATTCGAGGACATCGACGGGAGGAAAATATCAACAACGGATGAAAGGATTGATGCCAACTCGGTGCGCCAAGTGCGACAAGTGCGACGACGCGAAATCCAGACGAGACTCTACGAATGCAAAGTTGTTCTTCAACTCGCCAATGAAGAGAGCTTTAGGGGTGGGAGGATTGGTCGCCTCGAGTGGGGCTTTGTGCGCGGCGACTTTAGGCGGTGGTGGCGGGAGGAACTTTGTGAAACCAAACGCGGGAGGCGGCGGTGGTGGAGGCGGCGGAGGCGGAGGGAATAGCACGGATTTTACGGATATGTATGGGAAAATCTTAGAGTCGTCGTCGTCGTCGTCGGGAGGAGGAGGAAGAGGCACGGCTTTGCAAGAATATCCGGAAGTGCTGGTGTTGGACGTGAGAGGGATGCACTGCGGTGGATGCGCGGCAAACGTGAGAAAAGTTTTAGAAAACGTCGCGTCTGTGCAAAGCGCAAACGTAAACTTAGCGAACGAAAGCGCCGTGGTGAGAATTGCGGTGAGACTGGATGAGAAGGATTTGCAGGAGGCGAGAAGCGCAGGAGTAAGAAATGCGCCTGATTCTTCCTCGTCGTCTTCGGCTGCAGCATCGGTGGAAGTTGTAAGCGGAGACGTAGGCGTACAGATAATGATCGCATCAATCAAGAATAAAGCAAAAATCGAAGGCGATAAACTCGCCGAATTAGTCACGGCGTCTGGTTTCCCTACGACGTTGAGAGATAATTCCTCCTCGGACGAATCTAGCGGTGAATACGATCAAGGCATGCAAAGAGCGAAAGAGAAGCGAGAAGAACGCATCAAACGCATACGAGAGTCGACGAAGAAAGTTGCTTTGGCGTGGGGTTTAGCATCTGTGTGTATTTTAGGACACGCCGCGCACTATTTGAAGATCCACTCTCTTGGATTTTTGTGTAAAACGCAAACGCATGTAGCATTATCGCTCTTTGCGATGGTTGGACCTGGACGCGATATTTTGACAGATGGTTTCAACGCATTTAGAAGAGGAGGGCCGAACATGAATTCTTTGGTCAGCATGGGTGCGATCGCTTCTTTTGGAATGTCCTCGGTGGCAGCGTTAGTTCCAAAACTTATGTGGCCGACATTCTTCGAAGAGCCGGTCATGTTGTTGGCGTTTGTTCTTCTCGGTCGAGCCGTAGAAGACCGGGCAAAGTTAAAAGCCTCGAGCGATATGAGCGATTTGATGAATTTAGTACCTTCTACCTGTCGATTACTGGTCTCAGAGTCGTCCTCTTCTTCGAAATCTCCGCTTTCGAAAATGATATCCGTGGAGGCGATCAAACCAACTGATAAAATTTTAATCTTACCCGGGGACAAAATTCCAGTCGATGGAGTCATCGTGAATGGTACATCCTCTGTCGATGAAGCCGCGCTTACTGGTGAACCCATCCCCAAGGCCAAGAGGAAAGGCGATCTAGTATCTGCCGGAACGATTAATTGTGACGGCGTCCTAACGGTTGAAGTATCAAAGTCTGGGTCCGAGACTACAGTCGCTGGCATTGTGCGCATGGTTGAATCCGCTCAAAATAGACAAGCTCCTGTTCAAAGACTTGCCGATGATATCTCTGGTGTTTTCACGTACGGAGTCATGGCAACATCTGCGGCAACGTTTGCGTTTTGGTCTACAATTGGAACGAAAATTTTCCCGTCAGTTGCGGCAGCGTTGGGAGCGTCTGCGGCAACTGTGAACGCCCCAGTACTGATTGCAGCGCAACTAGCGGCTTCCGTGCTAGTCGTTGCCTGTCCATGTGCTTTAGGACTCGCTACTCCGACTGCAGTTTTAGTCGGAACGGCGTTAGGTGCGCGCAATGGTCTTTTGATTCGAGGTGGAGATGTTTTAGAAAGAGCAAACGACTTGGACGTCATCGTTTTTGATAAAACCGGAACCCTCACTGTGGGTAAACCAACGGTTGAAAAACTCACGACGTCAAATTTGACGAGCGAGGATGAAGTTTTATCCCTCGCTGCTGCGGTAGAGCGAAATTCGACGCACCCGTTAGCGGTTGCGGTGAATAAAAGAGCATCACAGAACGGCAACAAAACGTACGAGTGCGCGGAGGATTCTTTCAAACAAGAGCCGGGATTGGGTGCTTTTGGAACCGTAAATGGGAAGAAGATAGTCATCGGTACTAAAGAGTTTGTCGAATCGTCGTTAAAATCGTCTGCGTTCCCACCTGAACTCGAAGATGCTTTCAAACGTTCGAACGAAAACGGATCAACCACGGTGTGCGTTTCCGTTGACGGTAAAATGGCTGGAGTTTTTGAGATTCGCGATAAACTCAGATCAAACGCCAAAATGACAATCGAACGACTTCGAAAGTCAAAGAACAAGAACTTTGAAATCATCATTCTATCCGGGGATCGTCAAGAAACCGCCGATGCGATTGCAAAATCAATTGGCATTGATCCCAAGAATGTCTACGGAAACGTCCGCCCAGAACAAAAAGCTGAGTTTGTCGAAAATTTACAAAAATCTGGTAAATGCGTCGCTATGGTTGGTGATGGAATCAATGATACTGCTGCGTTAGCCGCAGCAAATGTCGGCATAGCGATGGCTTCTGGCGTAGGCGCTGCTTCCGAAGTTGCATCGATTGTTCTTCTCGGGAATCGGTTACCGCAAGTCGTAGACGCCATCGATTTATCCGCGAAGACGTTTGGTAAAATCAAACAAAATTTGGCGTGGGCGTTCGGCTATAACATCGTGGGTATTCCCATCGCAGCCGGTGCACTTTTACCTGCCTACGGACTCGCACTCACTCCGAGCGTTGCAGGTGCTGTGATGGGCGTGAGCTCCATCGGCGTAATGGTGAACTCGCTGCTTTTACAGCTCGAAGGACGGAAATTTTCCAAAGAAGAAGACGAAGACAAAGAATAGTTTTAGAAAACGAACGCATTAGAATAAAAACCGTTTCCACGTTATTGTAAACACGCGCACAAGATGCTTAATAGTGTATCATATAGTCTAAACGGAGCCTTGAAATATTAAACTTGCTTGAAATACTCCTTGGAACGCTCTTCCACTTCCTTCAAATATTCGGCCTGCACTCTTTGCGCGTAGCTGCCATTCGTCAATCCCAAAACGACCTCTTCCATCCTTTGTTGAAGTTCTTTTGTAAACGCGACTTCCCCGTAACCTTCGTTGACTAACTTTTGAAACACCACGGGCCAGTCGTCCGTGTTTGAACACCCCAACAACTCGTCTAACGGAGCCTTATTCTTGTTCAACTCCCCGGCGGCGTACACTTGTAAAAACTTTTGCAAAATGTGCACCATTCCGTCCATTTTATCCTCGTCCGACTTTCGAATCCACGCGTACGTCGTGTTCAACATGCCTTCATCGACCGTGCAATTCTTAATTTCCGCTTCCATGCGTCTCAACGCGTCTGATTTCAGCGGCACGTCAAACTCCATGGTCGTTTGATCCGCCGCCGCGGATATTATGCGTTGCAACTGTTCCGAGGACCGATCGATCGTCTCTTCCGCCTTCTTCAACGTCGCTTCGATAATTTTCATGCACTTCGACATGACGTCTGCAATCGCGTCTTTCTCTTCGTCCGTGTTGACGTTATCGATTCTCGAGGCCATTCGTAACCACATCTGTTGGTCAAACGCCATGATGTTTTCTATGCACACTTTTTGCAACACATCGTCGCTCTCTCCGTGCGCGTTCAAAAGCTGGTTGATTAATCCATCTAAGGCAGCCACGTCGGAGATGTTCTTGTTCCCACTGTCTGCCGCCGCGGCGGTTCGGTTTTGTCGTCGTCTGTTTTTTGATGATGATGATGAGGGTGTCGTCTTCTTCGCCGTCATCATCATCATCGTCATCTTTTTCGTCGTCACCTTCCTCGAAGAAGAAGAAGAAGAAGAAGTAGAAGAGGAAGACGTCGTTCGCGCGGAGGCCGTGCCAAACATCGCTTTTTGCATCATCGTCGGTGTTGTTGTCATCGTTTCCGCTCCTCCGAAAAGATGTTCTCTATTTTAAAGGGGAAAAGTGAAAAGTGGATAAAGTTCACTTCGTTTTGGAAAAAAAGAAGGAAAAAATTCTGCACTTTTCTTTTCGCCGCCTCACGCGCCGCACGCACTACTCGGCCGACGACGTCGACGACGACGACAACAACTCTCATCATTCTGCCGCTGTGCTGCTTCTGCAGAAGGGAGGAATTTCCACACTGAACGATCGCACGGAAGGAGAGAGAGAGAGAGAGAGAGAGTTGCATTTGGCGCGTTTGTTGTTGTTTGTTAAACAAGAGTTTAGATATCTCTGATAACATATGTAAAAAAGGATGGAGAGAGAGGACAGTTTATACCGAAACCGAGAAGAAACCCCGTCGTCGTCATCGAGACAGAAGGACGAATACGAACGAACGGACGAAGAGAAACGGGAATTTGTGGATACCCTGTGGAATGATATCAAAGACGGCGCGCGCGAATTGGTTTCCCAAGAACCTCTTTTGGGAGGACTGATTTATAGCAAAATATTGAACCAACCGACGTTCGAGAAGTCGTTATCGTACGTGTTGAGCTCAAAAATCGCCAACGCGCAAGTATTAGCCGGACAATGGCAAGAGTTGATGTTCGAAGCCATGCAAAAGGAACCAGTAATCTCCTATTGTGCGGCTACGGATATTCGCGCGTGCGTGGAACGAGACCCGGCGTGTCCAAACCCGACGCACTGCTTTCTCTTTTATAAAGGGTTCCACGGGTTACAGACGCAAAGAGTGAGTCATTGGTTGTGGGGACACGGGAGAAAACCGTTAGCGTGCTACATGCAATCGTTAGTGTCGGAGACGTTTGGGATGGACTTACATCCCGCCGCGATGTTTGGTCGCGGGGTGATGATTGACCACGCGACGAGTATCGTGGTCGGGGAAACTGCCGTCATCGGGGACGGGTGCACGTTATTTCACGGGGTCACGTTAGGTGGGACTGGGAAAACTAGAGGCGATAGGCATCCAAAGTTAGGCAAACGCGTCGTGGTTGGTAGTAACGCGAGCATATTAGGAAACGTAAAAGTAGCGGATGATTGTAAAATTGGCTCGAGCGCGGTGTTGGTCCACGACGTGCCTCCAGGAACGACCATAGTAGGAACAAAAGGAAAGGTATTGAGCGGGAAATACGGATCAGCTCTCAGGTCGAGACTTTGAGACGAAAATTATAAAATTATTACATCTTTATTTATTTGTGTGACATGTTTGTATTTAACAAAACTTCTTGCATTAGTATTAAATGAAACTTCTAGCTATTTCCAAATCGTCTTTCGGCATGGACGCGTCCATGGCCCCACTTTCTAAGTGCTTTTGCATGTTCGCCATCTCGCTCCTCGCCTCTCTGTTGGTCGGCTCTAACCTTAAAGCTTCCTCGTAATCCATCGCGGCTTCTAAAAAGCTGCCTAATATCATTCTCGCTTTCGCCCTTCGCAAGTACGCCTTTACGTATTTACCGTCCATCTCCAACGCTTCTGTGCAATCCTTCTCGACTTCTTCCATTTTGCCCATTTTCAGATACACTAAAGCTCTGTTAGCGTAATATGCCGGTAACTTTTTCTTTTCGAGCGCTTTGTCGTACCACGATATCGCGTCTTCGTATTTGCCTTCCGCAAACGCTTTGTTTCCATTCACTTTCTCCTCTTCGCCCGGGACTTTCGGAGCCGGATTGCTTTTCATCATTTCCGTGATCACGTAATTCGGGAAGTGCTCCTGCATTTGCGCTGAATATCTAAAAGCGCACTCGAGAAGCATCTTATCGGTTTGGAATCCTCCGAGGAGGGAAACCGAGTGCGGTCCTTCCGCGTCGGGATACCGCAAAGGAATGGCGACTTGGGGCAATCCACAAAAGGAGGCTATCGCTAAAAACTGGAATGTTTTCATCCTCCACGCTTGAACTTCTTCTTCCGAGCGTCCTTCACGCATTGGAGCGACGCCCGGGACGGTTGGGAAGATCAAAACCGTTCCGTTATCCATGATTTGATCCATAACTTCTCGGATTTCACCTCTCACTTTCATCAAGTTTTCGTAATCCTGCTCGGTTATTTTCTTTGCATTTTCGATCCGTTGCGCGGTGAATTTTCCTAAACCACTCGTCGTCGTCGTCGTCGTCGTCTTGTTCGAGATGGTAGCAGTAGCAGTAGCAGTAGCTTGATCGCTGCCATCCTGTTTTTCAAGAAAGGCGAGAAATTCTTTCAAAGCTTCGTGAATTTCAAAACCCATCGTGGCGTGCATCTTGTCCCTGATCAACTCTAAACCCGTCTTACCACTCGTATCTGTTCGTAAACTCGGACATAACATTTTCAATCGTTCGCCTAAATCTAATTTTGAAACCTTGCCCGCGTATCTATCGTCATATCCGAACGCTTTCAAAGCACTAGCTACTGCCGCTGAACCTTGCGGATCAGCCAGTTTCATCAAATCCGTAAGGATGGCAAACTGCTTCGGTTCTTTGATGCCGTATTTTTCATCGTCCGCGGGCTTTAACAGGACGTCACCGACATCTTTCAATGTTTTTGAGCCTTTGGCAAACCATCCGACGGTATCGAACGTCTTGGCAAAATCTTGACATCCCTTCGTGGAAACCATCCCGTGGGACGGGCGAAAGCCATACACGCCGCAATATGCCGCCGGCACGCGCACGGAACCCGCGCTGTCAGTTCCAATGCCAAAATCGCAGTCTCTCAGTCTCGATGCAACAGCGACTGCCGATCCTGAGGACGAACCACCCGGTAATCTCTTATCGGCAGCTGGATTTATTGGCGTTCCATAGTGTTCATTTTGGCCGTCGATGGAGTAGGCGAGCTCGTCCATGTGGGTGATGCCGACCAAGGAAGCGCCGTTTTTCAACAACATATCCATTATGGCTGCGTTTTTCACTCTGTGCACGCCGGCGTTGTTTCCGTTGCTATTGCTATTTTCCCTCTTTTCTTTCATAAACTCTTTCCACTTTGGCGACCCGAACCCGCACGACGAATCGTTCTCACCCTTTCTCCCACTCACTTCAAAGATATCTTTCAGGACAAACTTCAAATTGGCCAATTTCCGAACGACGTGTTTCTCCGGCGGCGGAGGACACGGGATGTCTACGATCTCCACGAACGCTCCACAATCTTTAACTTTCTTCTTTTGATCATTCTTTAGTCTATTCCTCCTCCTTCTCTTTCCTATTTGATCGAAGAGTATAGCCAAGACGAGCGTACACGCGGAAACGGCGATTGAAATTTGTTGAGAAGAGGAAAAAGCCATCGTCTTCCGTTCTTTTTTCTTTGCGCTCTGCTGATTTAAAGAAGAAGAAGAAGAAGGCGCACTCGGAGTGAAGGTGATGGACCCGGTGACGTTTGGCGGCCGGCCGTCCTCGTCTTCTTCTTCTCCTTTCATCCTTTTTTTATACTCTTTTTGTGGCGATTTCTTCCCTGCCGTTTCCTCCCGTCTCCTTCCTCCTTTTGCATGAGAGCATGACAACTTTTTTTTTTCGGATTCGGCTGAACGCGCGAAACTCCCGCATTAAGCCTGCAATAGACTACTAGCAGTGTCTATGTCTCGTTTTAATCGTTCAAACCGAGTTTTACGCGCACGTTTGGGTGCATTGTCTCCGGATTTTCACTAGAGAGACTGATTTGTTTTTTTGAATTGGAAATTCTACCATCGGTTCCTCGATTACCCCATTTATTCTTGCTTCGTATTACTTGATATTTTTATTCGTACGCTAAATATTAATCAATACGATTATTTCTCGGGATTTATCTGTAAAATGTATTTAAATGGTTTTTATTTCGAGAAAAATAAAAATAAAATCGATATTTAAATATCGAAATGAGGGTAACATTATTTTTATTGGATTCGTTGGAATGTTAATAGATGTATATATTTAACTGGACCCATATCAATCCAATATAATATGATTTAATAGGAATATATACATTAATGATGAAAAGAAGAATTAATAAAATATTGAATTAATTTTCATACGAATAATTTCCCGTATTAAGATGTATTCATGCGTGCGTAATAGTTCAATATAAAAATTGAAAACAGGGGAATCCGTAGTTTTTCCTTAAATGTGCTGTTTTCGGGACAATGGGGAAAAGAATAAAAAAAAAGAATTTTGGATTTAGGAAAGAAGAAAAAAAGGAAAAAGAAAGAAAAAGCTCTCTTTATGTGGGTTCGCTGAATTATTCTCTACCTATTTCATAAAACTACTCCTATTCAGACAAGCGCAGAACATCTATCGTTGAGTACCGAACACTCGTGAACCAAATTCAGTCAGCCACTCGCCTTCTATGACTGAAACGTCTCTCGCGTACAATTTATTCGTTCGTATCAACTCGTTGAAGATGATGTAGGAGGAAGAGATCCCAACCGCTTCTTTGGCTGTCTCTCTCGAAGAAAACTTGTGAAACGTGGTCGAACTTGGGTGCACGAAAAGTCTGTTCCCGCCAATCAGAGTCACAAACATACTGTTACTGCCGCCGCCACTGCCATCGGAAATTGACTCCTTTTTTGCCGCATTCATGAAGAAACCAGCCGTGAGTGCTTTGCGTATTCGCACAGACTTGTTTTCTTTTTCCTGCTTTTCTTCTTTCTCTTCGCCTTCTCGTTCTTCGTCCTTCTCCTCATCCTCGTCCCAATCTTCGATGTGCCCTATGCTTCGACTCAACTGCTCTTTGATCTTCTCCGCTTTATTCATTGCTCGAAACGAAACTCCGTGGCTATTACACCATTTTTTCTTCCCATTTCGAGAGACTTTTGAATAATCCGCGTATAAATTCAATAGCGTCATGTGGTCTCCCGTCTTGTGCTTCGCCACTTGAATAGTTCTCCCCACAAACACATTTTCCGTGCTCAACATGGCTAAAATTGCGACAATCTCCTCTGTGCACTTTTGATTTCGACTCTCGATGATGCATTTACACGCCATCGGTTCTAACGGAAACTTGCTCATTTGTCTTCCTATCTTATTCAACTCACCTTTGTCATCCAACGCGCCGAGTGAATACAGAAGTTCTAAACTTCTCAACAAGCCTTCCGTGCTCGGTTTGTCGATGAAAGGAAAAGTCAACACGTCGTTTACTCCCATGGCTTTGAGCATCAAAACGACACCAGCTAAGTTCGTTCGAAGGAGTTCTGGGACAACCTGTTCAGCCAACGAAAACATCGTATCTTCCGTATACAGCCGATAGCACTTCCCAGGCGCTTCTCTTCCGGCTCTGCCGCACCTCTGGGTCGCTTGCGAACGCGCAATTGGGACAACTTTCAGCTCTTCTACGCCAGATTTCGCTTTGAAAGTGCGCATTTTCGTCAAACCAGTATCAACGACGTATCGAATGCCGGGAATTGTGAGCGAAGTTTCCGCGATATTCGTCGCTAAAACAATTTTACGCGTACCTTTGGGTGTTTCTTCGAAGACTTTCATCTGTTCCTCCGCAGGCATAGCTGCGAAGAGAAGAACGACGTTGAGTTGCGGATACGTATCCTTCCCTCTTTGGGTGAGCAGTTTCCCTAAACTTTCAATTTCCTCTTGTCCGGTGAGAAAGACGAGAACATCACCTTTGATATCTTTTTCGTCCTCATTTATTTGCATCACCGAACACAACGCGGCATCGATGTAGTCTTCCTCAGGTTCCTTCAAATAATACGTTTCCACCGGGAACGTTCTGCCTTTGATGTATATGATTGGACACGCATCAAAGAAATCAGAGAACGAAGACGCGTCGAGCGTTGCGGACATAATTATCAGCTTCAGCGGAGGTGGAGGTGGTCTCTTCTTTCTTTTCTTTCTTTTGTTGTTGTTGTTGTTGTTATCGTTGTCGTCGTCTTTCTCGAGTATATTCATCCTCCGTTTTTCTTGAATCGCTTTCAGCGTTCCTAACAAGAAATCCGTCTGCAACGTTCTCTCGTGCGCCTCGTCGACTAAAATTGCCCCATATCTCGACAAGAGTGGATCATTCAACGCCTCTCTTAATAACATCCCGTCCGTGAAAAATTTGATCCTCGTTTGCTCGCTCGAACAGTCGTCGAAACGAATGCCGTACCCGACCAAATCGCCCAACTTCCCTCCGTCGCCTATTTCTTGACTCACTCGTTTCGCCACGGATACTGCGGCGACCCGTCTCGGTTGCGTCACGGCAACCATCGTTCCTTTTTCTTTTCTAGGAGGAAAATTTGACTCAAATTCCGTGTTGTTGTTCTTATTCTCCTTTTTCATCGTCATCATCCGTTCGTACACAAACTGCGGTATTTGCGTCGTCTTCCCGGACCCGGTTTCGCCGAGAATAATAACCGTCTCGTTCTGTTCGATGTGCGCGACGAGTTCATCTTTGGACGCGTAAATCGGAAGTTTCTCGCGTTGTCTTTGAATCGTTTCTCGAAAACGTTGTTGTTTTTGTTTTTGTTCTTCAACCATATTGGTCATCATCCTCGGCTTATATATAAAGCTCGAAGAGAGAGAAGAGAGTTCACTCAAAAGACGACCTAAACTCTCTCCGTTATTCTTACCATTTTCTTCTCGGTTTCTCTCAACACCTCCTCCTTCGTGACGAGATAATAGACGTTCCCTCTTTGTTTGTACACCTAATGAACGTCGACGATGACGAGGAAGAGAGCGAAATCAAAAGTCAGATAATGAGAATACTATATATAAACAACAACAACAACAAATTATCTCATTCATACCTTTCTGTTGTTGTTGTTCGCATCATTCCCATTCGTGTTATTCTTTAATAAAGAGGAGGAAGAGGAAGAAGAAGGTAAACTTTCCAGCTCTCTCTTTAAAACCGAGAGCGTTTGTCGTTCAAAAAGCAGCGCTTCTTCTTCTTCTGGTGATGATGATGATGATGATGATGGCGTGGTGTTCATACCTACACGATAAAGAAGAAGACAAAGAAGAAGTCTTATGAAGAACTTGTTTTTTTCTTGTGAAGAGTGGATTTTTATTCTACAGAAGAATTAAACAACAAAATCATCTCGAGAAAAAAGATGGCTGCTCCTCCTGGAGGTTCTTTCGCCGGCGCAGTCGTGGCGTTGTTGCGACTGTCTCGGACATCGCTTCTGAGAGAAGGAGGAGGAAATGGAGCGAGAGGTTTCTCTTCATCCTCTCTTCATCTTCTGAGGGAACAACAACAACAACAAGAAGAAGAAGAAGACAAAGAATTTGGTGGTGGTGGTGAGTTCACCAAATCGAACGAAGAAGAGAGACGAAACTCCGCCGCAGATTCGTCATCATCGTCTGATACTAATACTAATAATAAAATACTACGACTGATCGCGCATGACCGAGAAAAAGCCGGACGACTCTCGGCGAACAGAGCGCGCAAAGACGGTTTTATCCCGTGCGCGGTATTTAAGCAAGGAGAAATAGAAAAGACGAGCGAAGTGTGCGCGGTGAGCGAGAGAGAGGTGGAGAAACTTTTGCGAAAGTTTACGAAATATGGTTTGAGAACGAAACTTATCGATATCGTTTTGGACGATGGGAAACGGACGGTTAAAGCGATTCCGCAGCAAATACAAATGCACGCGTATAAGAATCAGGTGAATAATATCACGTTCATGCGAGTTGATCCGGAGACGATTGTAAAAGTACCGATACCGGTGAAAGTGACGGGACAGGATGACTGTCCGGGGACCAAGCTAGGCGCGTTTGTGAGTCACACGAGGAAGACGATCAAGGTGAAATGTCGGAGCGATCAGATTCCAGAGGCGTTTTTCGTGGACGTATCGAACATGAACGTGAAAGATAACGTTAAGATTGCCAATTTAGATATTCCAGAAGGAGTTGTGATTTGCGAACACGACTTGGAAACGCCTATCGTGAAGATGGCAGGAAAATTGAAGAAATCTTAATACCAAACAATAAATAGGTTTATAGCGCGTGAAATAGTTGTGTTTGTAATTGAAGTATTCCGACAATAATACAAGAATATCGAATAAGGTATATTATTTGTATCTCTCGTATTAACGCTTTCTATTTGTGGTGCTCTGCGCTGCCGCTGTGTATCTCTCTCGCTGCTAAGTGGTTTCTACTCGTCGTCGTGTATCTGTTATTATATATTTCTTTCCGACTCTCTCTCTTTCTCTCACTAAATCTCCATTGGGTCGTCCTTTGAGACGCTAGTCGTTTTCACTCCCAAGGGTGGCGTTCCATTGGTAATTGATGATCCAAAACCTTTGTGAATCTGGTTCGATAAAGTTTCGAAAGATTTCTTCGTCAAACTCGTCAGTTCGCACACTTTCCTCTTGAACTCCTCAAAAGACAATCCATCTCCTCTCAAAATAATCGGTCTATCCTCCTTGTTTCTTGGAGTTTGCAAATCTTTCTCTCCTTCTGCCTCTTTTTGTTTATGCTCCACGGCTTGGGCGTAATCGCTTTGATCATAGTTTCCGAAATCTTCGAGATCTCTTTCCATAAACCTCGTAAGCTGTTCCAAACGGTTTTCAGCCTCTCCTTGGACGTATTCGTAAAACTCTTGCTCTTGTTTCACTAATTTCGTGGGTTTTTGCGTGAATGGATTGTTTCTTTTCCAATCGGCGTCGTTTTCTTCTTCGTTGTACGCGTAGTACGCGTGCGCGTACGTCCACTTCAAGAGCTTTCGGCACTCGATGATTTGTCGCTGCGCCTCGACGGCAAACGTCATTTCTCCCGGGCCAGCGCCGTGGTTTCTTCCCACATCGTCCAACTTTTTCGCGATCAAAGTTTCCATGTCTTTCTTTGCCCGTTTTTCCGCGTCCTCGTGCGACGCCCAGCGTTCGTGATAGTGCGAGTATCTTTCAATGGCCATGCGGGCGAGTCTCTTCTTCTCGTTCACCGCTCGTTCCTTTTCGCTCACCTTCGATGGATCTGAAGCGCCCGTCGTGCGGAAAGCGTTGCACGAATAGTATCCGCCAGTAGATTCGCCGTGCTTGCTCCACGGTTCTAAGCACGTCCAGCAAAAATCGTATCGGCACTGCGAACACGTCATGTGCATGCACCCTTGGTTCTTTTCAATCGGTCTCGAGCACTTTGGGCACGGTTTCGTAAACGTTAAAATCCAGTTCTGGTTCTCGGACTCCGAGCTGTTCTTAGCAATCCAAAGCTGCGCGGTGTCGCATCGCACGGGAATGTGCTCATCCTCTTGACACTTCCAGCAAAAAACTTTCCCGCACTCGCACACGCACGACTGAATCTGATCGAGAGTCAATCCGTCCTTGTTCTCCAGGAGTAGGAAACGATCGCACCCGGCCGCCGGGCAGTGCTTCACCGCCGAATTTTGCTCGAGAAAATGTTCCAGCTCGAACGCGTGGTATTTTGCGACTTTCTCTGTGTCGCCAAGAAAACGTAAAACCTTCTTCGTCGATACTCTCTTTCCGCACCCGTGATCCGGACAGCGCACGTCTAAAATCCCAGTCTTCCCTTCTTGCAACTTCGAATCGCAATAGCCTTCCCAGCACTCGTCGCAGAAAGGATGCACTCTGCATGACGCAGTCGACACCTTACTCACGGGAAAATCTTCGAAGCAAATTCCGCACTTTACTTGCACCTCCTTCTCTTTTTGCTCCTTTGGAACAACCGCCGCCTTTGCCGTTTTTGCCACAGAGCGCGTAGTTCTTCTCGTCGGCGGCGGCGCCGTCGCAACCACAGCTGCGGGTTCCATTTTCCTCTCTTTCTCTTTCTCTTTCTCTTTCTTTTCCACCGCTAACTTCAACACGTCGTTCTTTTCCGCTTGTTCTTCCTCCTCTTCTGTTAATAGACCTAACTTTTGTTTCGTTCTCTCCTCGTCGCCGAAATACGCGTCGTGTATTTTATTCGTCTTGGCGCCAAAAGCGTGAAGCAAATATCGAGCCAAATCTTCTTCGCAATACAGAACAGTCGTCAAGCCTTCGATGGCTTTTTTGTACGACTCCTCGGCTTCCTTGCGAGTGAACACTCGGAACAAACGCTGTTGTTGACGTTTCGTCGCGGAACTCATTTTCGTACTATCCATATCGATCGATCGATCGAGAGTACAAAAATCTTCTTCTTCTTTGTCTTCTCTTTCTTCTTCTGCAGATGAGTCAAACGTTTTTTTCAATCTAAAAACGAGAAGAGTAAGAGAGAGGAGGAGGGAGTGTTCAAGCGCGAGAATGTTTTACGAAGGACGAAGGAGAGAAAGAGAGAGAGAGAGAGAGAGAGGGTGGTGGTGGTGGTGAAGGTGGTGGTGGAATGTGCGCTTGTTTTAAAGAAGAAGAAGGAAGATGATTGCGACGAGATTAACTGTCGTCTTGTCTTCTTTCTTCACTCAGTTCTTCTTCTCGGAAATTGCAAGTCGAAAAAAAAATCAAAAAGGACAAAAAGAGATGGTGAGAAAATTTTTATATGATAAAAGGTTCGACTTTCGTCAGGTCATTACAAACAAATAATGTTTAAGCGCTAAACTCTATCGCCGAAAGCGAAGAAAAACCACACCGCGAGGAGCTAATCTCTCTCTTTATATGCGTCGTGTACTTTTATTGCACTCTTTTTTCTTCTCTCTTTCGATCGGGCGACCGCTTTTGAACGACAACTCGTTTGCGCCGACGCGGCTATAAAACAAAAGGCCGAGGTTGTTTTTAAGTAGCTACAATTTCTCTCTCTCTCTCTTTCTTAGATCATCTTGTGATCAACCTTCACTCTACCAGCGATGCGATCTAAATCTCTCATACCCGAAGCCGTGATGACTCTGCCTCCTTTACCGTCTTTTTCAACCACGCCTAAACTTTCGAGTTGGTGCAATACCGCTCTCGCCACCGAACCCGAACCAATCGCGCGGTGGTGCTTGTTGTGTCCGTTGTTCTTGGAACCAGAGTACGACTTTCTCAACGCTCCAACGCCCATTCTGCCGTGAACGTAAATCTTTCTCGCCGTAGAGGCACATCTGATGTAAAACCAATCCGGGTCGTACGGGGCGTGCTCTTTGAAGGTGGCGGTTTTGACGATATCAACCCATTGCGGGACTTCCATCTGTTCGAGAAAAAAAGAAGTAAATCGGTGAGTATTGCGCGAAACAAATAACTAAACGCGCGATTCGATCGAGAATGAACGCATTCCACGGTCGCGTGCAGAGAGGTTTGAACGCGCGCGTTCGCGATGAGAGACCATTTTGTCCGCCTTTCGAAGAAGGGCTTCCCTCAATCGAAAATCAGAGATTCTCATGCGCGCTCAAACACGCGCTCGCGAACGCATAAAGCGAACAAACTGATCGTCGTAGCATCCATACGCAATGAATGCATGCGAATGACTCGCGAACACATCTAAAAGCGCTCAGGGAACCGCGCGATACGGGTTACAAATCTGCGATTCTCTCTTTGTTTTCCCTTCGTTAACCCGCTTTGACAGGGGAAAAGGAAAGGAAAGGCAGACCAACTCAAAGAGTGACACGAAACGCTAGGAGAGAGCGTTTGAACGACGACGTACCTTGCCCGAAGATCGAAAGTATTGCGCTAAGGAGATGACGAACTCATTCGCCGGAGTATCTTTCACAGTTCTCGGTGCGTTCACCATGATGTTGGAGAGATAAATCGGGGTAGTGTAATAATGACGAGAGCTGTGAGACGTTTTGAAAACAAAGAAGAGAGAAATTTTTCAACGATTTGGTCAACACAAAAAGAACGCGAACAGAAAAAAATACGACGAGCACACCTTTACCCCCTCCTCTCTTTAGAAATCTTATAAAACTTGAAGAAGAGCGAGGTTTTAGCGATGAAGGCGACGACGACCACCAAGAAGAAACTCTCGAACAACAACAGCAACAAGAACAAGACGAAGACGAAGAGTAAGACAAAGACTCGTGACGAAATAAAGCCCGAGGAAGGAGGCGCTTCTATTCCCGAAAATATTTGCTCTCTTTTTCTCACCCAAGGGACTTTGGATATAATAGTGAAACAGAACGTATTGACCGACGGAAAAGACAAAGACAAAGACGAAGAAGGAAAAGCAGACGCAGACGCAGACGAGGAGGAAAGCGAAGAGAAACCTTTTAAGTTATTAGAGGTGAAGAAATGCGAGGTACTCAAAGACGTTCGATTCCGCGGCGCGATCTCGGATTTTTGTTGTTTGAAAGAACAGCTGATAAAAGAGGAGAAGAAAAACGAGACGGTTTTCAACGAGGAAACGTTTGTGTTGCGAAGAAATGAGGAGGATAAGTACGGGGACGGGAACAATTTCGAACTCGCATTGACCTCAGAACTCGGCGAGATGTGGAAGAAAGAAGCTGAGGAGGAAAAAGCCGAGGAAGAAGCGAAGGCGAAGAAGACGTATATGTTCGAGTACGAGCCAAAACTTTGGGTAGATCTCGGGTCGGCGCTGGAGATGGAGATGGAGAAGGAGAGAGAAAATGAAGAAAATAGCGATGATGATAACAACTCAGATCAAGATATAGACGATGACGATAACGAGAGCGACACCTTTTTTATTGCGCACGATTTTGGTATCCAAAGTACGGCAGAGTTGGAAACGAAAAGTGTTCAAGTTTCGCCACCCGCTCGAGCAGAACACTCTTCGCAATACGAGTTCAGAACGTACAAATCCGACGTGGTGGACTTAGAACGCGTACTAAACTCTAAAAAGCTCGAGTTATTCTTGAAATCGTGCGAACCTTACGTGGAAGAATGTTTGAAGGAAAACGAATCATTTGACATCCTTCAGACCGAAATCGAATCTTTGATTGTCTAATCTTATTCAGTAGTAGTTATATTAATTACTCTAAGTTATTTATTATTGCTTTATATCTGCGCGCTTCCTTTTCCTTCGTCCTCTTCTTACTCCATCGCATCAGCGCCGCCACTTTTACCCTCGCTTTCTTTCTCTTTCACTTGCTCTTGAATAGCCTTTAAGAACGTGCGCAAGTCTGCAATCGGCGAGTTTGTCTCCGCTTTCAATCCAAACTGACCCAAATCCATCTGTCCAGTTTGCAACGCCTCCGAAAATCGTTCCAATTGCGATCTAAACTGCGGCGTTTGAATCAACTCTTCTAAGTCAGCCGTTTCTCTGTGCTCTTCCGGCAAATGCACCAACAAACGGTCGCGCACTTCCTTGTTTCTCAATATTGGGCCAACAATCTCCGGCTTTAAAACATCTCTTAAACTGCCACCATTCTGTTGCTGTTGTTGTTGTTGTTGGAGCGGAGTCATCTCTCCAAAAGCTGGAACTCGAATTCCAGACATAGTGGCAGCCATCGCGGCGGCCATTTCAGACGCAGTTGCGCTCGTTCCTACACCGCCTGGAAGAGTAGTCGCGTCTTTCTCCTTTTGCGGCGCTTTCGGCGCCGTGTTCGAAGCTCCCACGAATGGCGTCTCCATATCCATCTCTGCGTCATTCTTCTCATCACCTTCTTTCTGTTGTCCTGTTTGTTGTTCTTGTTCTCCGTTTTCTTGCTGTTCGCTTACGGGAGTATCTGGCGGCATTTGCGACGCCGCAATGGCATCTCGCAACTGTTGTTCAAAGTCTGGCTCATCCATCGGTTGATGACCTCCTCCTCCCATTCCTCCACCGTGCGTCGGTTCCGTTTGGTTCAACATCTCGTTCAGTTTCTGCAACAACTCTTTCTTCACATCCTCTTCCCCTTTCTCTTGGAACCAAAAGTACATATCTCTCGACGAGTCCTCGATGAACTTCAACGCGAAACAGTTTGGTTGTTTCATCATTTTGCTCAAACACTCTTGCGGAAATATGATGATATCCTCGCTCGGTTCAAAAGGCGTCGACGGGTTTCTCTCCCCGTATTGTAATCGAGTTAAAGAATCGATCCCTCGAACGACGCGTAACTTCCCTTTCGTCGGGTCTGGTTTCATTTTGTTTTCAACTTTATGTAATCGTCCGCATCGAATGACGCACAAGACTTCTTCCCCGTCCACGTCCATCCCGGTCTCTTCCGCGGACTGTTGGCCTCCCGCGTTGCCGAAGAAATTTGGCAACGCTTCCATGACGAATAGCGTACAAATGCGTTTGTCTTCTTTTTCTTGCGACGACTGACGACGAGACTTAGACGTCGTTTCGTGAGCGGTAAATTGTTTTGAAAAGATCTCTCTTTCTTTTGTTTTCTGTGGACTTTTTTTTTCGACCGTGTGAAAAAGAAGTGAAGACCGGTTACTTGCGCGAAGGTATACACAACAAACAGTTGCTCATCACTGTTTCCAGAAGGAGATGTTTCAAAATTTACGTATAGTTATCTGTAAAACATACAACTGTGCTAAAAGGACTAAGTTCTCTCTCTACTATTATATGAAGCTATATAAACACCAGTGCGCTTTCGCCACCCACAACCAAGAAGGAAGGAGCGCGACGAGAAGAGTATCTACAACCTGGTATCCATCATGAATGACGCAGGCAATAGAAACTCTCACGGCGACCGATTAGTTCACTTTATTGTGCTTCTTGCAGAACTTTTGGTTGCGGAGAAACTTCGGGTCCATGCCTTTCAAGGATTTCTTCGCGTGCTTCTTTGGCTTTTTGATGCCTAAAGTATTTTGAAAGGAGAGAAGAAGAAGAGAGACGAAAGTTAGTGGTGTCTTGGAGAAAGAAAAGGGTTAAAAAATGCAATAGAAAACGCGATGAAAGACACCCATGGAATGACGCAACGTCCAATATAAAAACGCATTCACGCCCTACAGAACACGAATCATCCATCCGAGGCGAAATACTTTTCGTTTCCACTTCGAAAGCGCGTCTCTCAACCCGGAATCGCGGTTTCATTTAAGCGCTTAAATCTCCCTCTCAAGGCAAAAATTCCGGTTCCGCGTGTAAAATCGACCACCAAAAAGACGCGACAATACGACGCGAAAAAGATTTCCACATTTTTAATCACGCACCGTTTCTGTGCGCTTTATACGACTGATTGTGCGCCGTGTGGTTCGTGGACTTGGCCATCTTGACTTTTCTATTCTCTCTCTAAACGGTGATTCTAAAGTGCCGATTTTCCTTTTTCTCTCTGTTCCTTTCTCCAAGGAGGAGGAGTGTCGAAAGCAAAAAATTAGGGTACAGAAGCTCAACACACAGGAGAAAAAAAGCAGCCGCACGACAAGAAAAGACGGCAGAGAAAAACACAGATATGAAAGCGTTCACCATCAAAGGCGTCGACGCCGCCAACAAGAACAACAAAAGCAGAGGAAGAAAAGACGACGATGGAGGAGAAAAGAAGAAAAAGAAGCGCGACCGCCGCGCGAATATATTCTCTCGTGTAAACTTCCTCGCGGTCATCGACCCGACGAAATTGAACGAACAACTCCGTCAAATTCAGGAGAAAATTCCAAAGCAATTCGTGGACGAAGAGACCGGGAAATTCAAGTTGCCCGATTTTAAAGCGGCTTTAGAGGAACTCAGAGAAGAGAGGCAGCACATGGAGTATCATCCCGATCGGAAGAGATTATCCTCGGTGGCGGATTTTTTCAAATACACGGAAGAGGAAGGACTCAAATTCTTCGAAGAAGAAATAGACGTGACGCAAACTGGAAAAGTGACCTTGGACGATTTGAAGTTTGTCATGCGGAGAAGGAAACTACCCAACTGGTACGCCAAGAAGTTCTTCGACCGAGCGAAACCGAATTACTTCGCGAGGTCTTTGTCGTGGGAAGATTTCAAAGCGGTCATGAACGAACGCGAATCGAAAATGTTAAAAGCGTACAATTCGTTATCGGTTGGGAGATCGGGGATGCTGCGAGAAAACGACGTGAAACTATCCTTGGCAAAACTTGGGTTACCGGCGACGGATGAAAACGCGAAGGCTATGCTGCGACACATGGCGCTTAGCGGGAACCAGAAATTCATTTCCTACGGGCAGTTTAGAAATTTTATGATGTTATTGCCTCAAGATGTGGTGGCTATGGATTCCGATCCATCCAAGGTGTGGTTTGAAGCGGCAACGATGGTAGAGTTTGCAAAACCTCAAGGTTCAGGAGGGACGTTTTCGATGGCGCTGAAAGCCGCATTGGCCGGAGGGTGCGCCTCGGCTATGTCCACATCCACGTTACATCCGATAGATACGCTTAAAACGAGACTCCAAGCTACAGTTGGAAAAGGCCCGGGGATGATTGGAATATTGAAATCAGTTCCGAGAAATCCAGCCGGGGTGAGAACGTTGTATCAAGGCATCTTACCGTCCGTCACCGGGAATTTTTTTGGCCACGGCATGCGCGCGGCAACGTACGAGATGGCGAGATTAGTGTTAGGCCCATTGACGCTATTACCGTTCGTTTCTGAGATTACTGTACAAGGCATGTCTGCAGGTGTGGGAACATTAGTAGGCACGTGCGTGAGAATCCCGTGCGAAGTGTTGAAACAAAAGCTTCAAACCCAACAATACACGAACGTTTTAGCTGCGGTGAAAGGCGTGACGACGAATGGGCCGAGACCACTATTTGCCGGTACCGCGGCAACGCTCACGAGAGAAATTCCGTTTTATATGATTGGTATGACCGCATACGAGCAGTTCAAAGTTCTCGCTCGCTCGATCAAAGGAAAGGAGCTCTCTTCGCACGAGTTTATCGCCATTGGCGGCGCTGCCGGGGCAGTTGGTTCCTTGTGCACGACGCCATTTGACGTGTTGAAAACTCGAGCGATGACTGGGCGAAGTCCCGTAGGCGAGGCGATGTTAGTCACCATCAGAAACATTCTCGCAACTGAAGGTCCAAAAGCTTTGTTTAAGGGCGCGCTATTTAGAATTGCGTGGATTGCGCCGTTAGGTGCGATGAATTTTGCTGGATATGAGCTAGCAAAGCGTGCCATGGGTGGCGAAGAAGAATCATCGCCTCCGTCGACGAAAAGTAGCAGCAGCAGCGCCGCGAAAAGTGATGAGGACTTTGTGGTTTTGTCTAATGAAGACAAAAGAACTATCGATAGAGACCTCGCGCGCGAAGACGACGCGTATCCTCCAAGGCAAGGAGCAGTAAATCCTTACGTCGAGGAGCAACAACATCAAAGCAACAACTACCCGAGCGAGGATGATTTCGGCGACTTTTTTGATGACGAAAACGACGATAGTCATCGAAAGAACAAATAAAACATAGCTTCTTAGCCTCCAGAGTTATTTATCTTTGCTACTAATACTACGCGTATCTGTATTCCTACAACAATCTAAATATCATCTAAGTCTATAACGTCTGGATCTTTGACGACTGGAGGGGGAGGCGGAGGAGGCGGTGGAGGGTATTGAGTGCCCATTGGAGGCATTCCTTGCGTTCCCGGCAAAGTAAACGGCCCCGCGCCTGGAACTCGATATCTCGTCGCCGAAGAAGAAGAATACGGTTTGTTTCCAAAATGATCTCCTCCCGTGTCTAACTTAAAATCTAGCTCTAACATCTCCAACATCTGAACCGTTTGCGGGTTCCTTTCGACTTTTTCCGGAGGTGGTTGTCTCGCCTTCACGCTCGCATCGTGCGGTGAAACCGTCTCCACAAATTCAGGCATCCTGATTCCTTCCATTTTGTTCCTCACAAACTCAATTGAATTGGTTAAATCAACCGATTCCGGCACTCCATAATCGGGAAGTTTCGCCGGCGCCTTTGTGAAGGATTGAAAAGCATGGTTCGCTTTTGTAATCGCCAACCATTCCATATCTAATTGAAACCCTCCATCCGAACTCTTCTCCGGTAAATCGATCACCTGTAAGAATTGTCTATTCGGTGCGTGTGGTATGCATTTATCCAAGGCTAAAAAGTGCGTCGATGCTCCGTTCTCGTGACTTATCATCGCTTCAAATTTTACGTGCAAATGCGCCGAAAACGAATACGTCGGTTTCAACTGTTTCAAAATCTCCATCGCAGGAACCGATCCTAACTGATTCTTCTGTATATCTTCCTTCAAAAACTTCTTCTTCCTTAACAAATCTTGAATGTCACCAAACTTTTCAATCCCTCTCGGCCAATCGTGAGACAAAAACACATCCACCGGTTCCCGAATCTGTTTCAACTTGAACGCGTCAAACTCTCGCACGTGATACGCCGTTTTTACTTGCTTATCCTGCGTATAAGGCGGTCGTTCGAAGTGTCCTTTCCTGTAATCGTACTGTTTATATATTCCAGACAAACCAGCTATGCGTAAATCGCCAAACTTAATGCATCCAGAGTGTCCTAAATAGTAAATATTTGGCGCTCCGAAACCGCCGTAATAGAGTTCCCACAAGTAATTAGACGCCTCGTGATTGCCTCCGATGAACAGAGTCGGGTACGGCGCTTTCAACTCTCCGCTGTAATACTTGTAAAAAGTCCCCATCTCGCGATATTTAATCGGCACCGACATGCACTCCAAGTCGCGCTTGTTCCGTATGGCTTGAAAATCACCGCAACATATCAACAAGTCGATTTTGATGCCTTCTTTCTTCTCAATTTTCTCCATGGCTGCGTAAATGGTTTCCAGTTCGCCGTGGCAACACCCCTCGACCGCAATCTTCATGTTTGCTCCGCGTTATATCTCGCACAACAATTTGAGAGTGAACGCTGTTTCTTCGATTTGATTTAAACAAGTAAGTGATCTCTCTATAAATGTAACGAACTTCTTTATGCATGTGAAAAAGTGAAAACGAAAAGAGACGGGGGTGTATATTCATTCATTCTTCTTCTTCTAATAATAAGTAGTTACAATTTCTCTCTCTCTCTCTCTCTTTCTAAGTGAACTTGTTTTGAATCAATCTGTGAACGTGACAGAGAAACTCTACGTAAGACATTCCCGCAACGCTTCTATCTTCGATTAAGCGGTTATAAAACAACGTCTCCATGGCGTCGTTTCGCTTCAAGATGCGCATGCGCAAATATCCAGATCGAGCTTTACGCATGGAGTTGATGAAGGCGTTCATGCGTTTATTTCTTTCGTTTGGTAAGTTTGGCGGAAGCATGGATCGTCGAGCGTCGAGTTGGTCTACGGTGTCTACACCAAAGACTTCTTTTAACCGGTCTTGCGGGTAGTTTCGTCCGACCCAAACGAGCATCTCGCCGCCGTCTTCGAGAAGGTATAAGCCATCGCCGTCGAGTTTTTCAGCGGAGAGCCATTGACACGGTGGAAATGGCGGAAAGGAATCGGTAATGCTCGCCGCCTGGTCACCATCGTCGTGCCTCTGCTTTTGGTTCGCTTGGAATCCATCGTCCTCTAAGATGAAGTGCAACGGAAACAGTCGCGGATATACCGAAGGCGTCGTTTCAGACGGATCGCTCTTTAGCATCCTAAAAAGCCAGTTCGCGCGATCGTCCGCCGAAGCTTCTGATCGCAAGCCGTTCGATTTGTACATGCCAATTGTGTACAGTGGTAAAGTCTTCAACGCTTCAGGTAAAATGAGTTGCCCGGAGGCGTTGTTGGAGGCGCAGTATTTACGATAAGCGTAAAGGGAAGACACGCATTGCGCCAAAGCGGCATCTTTTGCGGCTGCAATCGTGTGTTTCCCACCCAAAAGTGTATTCGCAGCTTTCCGAACCATGAAGCAAGTTTGCGCATCTAAGTCTGCGTTTCTAAATAACGTGCCGAGAACAGATGTCACCGGTAACGCGAGCGTATGGACACGAATTCTGCGCTCTCCAGTCATCGTCGTATACAACAAGGCGCACTGTACGTACGCTTCCGCTCCGTCTACTAACTTGTCTTCGTATCTTAAGTTGACCATGATTGATTTCTCCCCATCCAAAACTGGCAAATCAACATCCGTCGGCGTGCGTTTGCAGAAATATCCGCCGTATTCGGCGACGCCTAAACCTTGAGAAGCTCTAACCCGCATCACCGCTTCCATGCCTTGTGGTCGCAAAAAGTTCCATCGCACATCGTTCAGCAACTGCGCAAAATCTAACTGCACGTTAAAGTTCGGGTATCTATACAATGTGCCACCAGTTGTTCTCGTCAAAACGCCTAAAGTTGCCAAATCTACAGGTTGCGAACCGCACACGAAAATGTCGATGCCGATTTGATATTCTGCAGCTTCCGTTGCGCAATCTTGATAGCATTTCTCCGCCGGTTTCATAATTTTCAGAGGTTCTTTTTCTACATTTCCAGAGTGCGTACGCACTTCCAGTTTTCCCCATCCACCCGAACACATCGATCCGAGAAAGAGCATAACTTTCCCTCCCTTATACTTCAAAGCGTCGATGGCAGATTTGATAGCCGCGCCGCTCGCTACCGCCGATGGACGCGAATTCGCAAACATCTCTGGAATTTGTTTCAATAAAGTCTTAAGTGTTTCTTTGTTCTTGTTCAAATTCACGAGTAGATCTTTCGGCAGAGGCGCATAGGGATCGTCCACGTCTGGAACGATGAGCATTTTCGGCGTTTTTGTCGCGCCGTTTGACGTCGTCGGCTTTTCATTCTCCTGATTTTCGTTGCTTGCGTTGTTGTTCTCATCGTCTCCGCGAATGGCGTAAAAGTGCACGGTACCATCGAACGTCGCAATCCCCACGCTCGCGGTGTCGCCGCCTTGAATGTTATCCAAAGTTCTAGAGATGACTTCACACGCCGATACCGTCACGCCGCTTTGGACCGCCGACGGACTCGCATCGATAACAAAGAAGTAGCTTGGTCGCATTGGCGCTCGAACCATGTACTCTTCTGGAGCCATATATTCTACGCTTCCACGGCATAACTCTGGACGTTGCATCCAATCTTGCCTTTTCCCGTCAGATCCTAAAGCGCACGCGTATTCGCGAGGACACTCACTCAAGTGAGCGCAAAAATTGCACGCAAATCGGAAATGATCCACCCATCGCATTCCTGGGTTCACGTACGCTTTACATCGCAAACATCTCACCGGACCCATTCCTCCGTTATCTACGATCGGAACTTGCACCTCGTCGTTTTTTAAAGTCGCCAAAGGATTGACAAACACCGCCAACGGCATCCCGGACGTTTGTAACAAATCAGATTGATTCGGAATCGTGCTCGTGGTCGATCGAATGAACCTTGGATTCGCGTTCCCAACATCTCTCGCCATAAAATTCGAAGTCGCTCCTGGTGGGTGCATCGGAGCACCCGTTTGTGGGTTTCTAGTATCAAAAATAGTTCGATCCGCGTGCGAGTCGTGCCGCGGTCTCGGAATCTGCGAAGGATCGATTTTAGAAGCCGCAGACTGTGGTGTTGGCTGCGGACCGTACCGCTGAAACCCTTGATTTAAGCTGTGCGGTGCTTGTGGAGGATTATACCCGCTACTCGGCATCCCTTGCTGATAATGTTGCTGCTGTTGTTGCGGTTGTCCTCCTCCGTACTGCGGTTGTTGTTGTTGCGGAGCGCTGCTCGTTGTCCCGGGATACTGCGGATACGTCCTCGCACCAACACCACCAACATTCTCTTGCTGTTGCGGTGTTTGTTGATACCCTTGTTGCGTCGTTGTTTGCGGCGTTGGGTTTGGGTATCTGCTGCTTCCTTGCGATATACCTCCTCCCATCGCCGCTGGAGGAGCGGATTGAAAATTCTGTTGTTGTTGTTGTTGTTGTTGTTGTAAAGGTGGTTGACCACCCATCCCCGACGGAGGATATTGCGCCTGCCCGGGCGGCTGCTGAGGATACGACGAGAAAGACGAAGCCGGCGGTTGTTGCTGCTGCTGCGCTCCTCCTCGAAACCCGGTATTCGTCGAAGTCGACGACGATGTTGGTGGAGGAGGCGTCCCACCGAAATGGACTCTCGGAGGTGCCTGCGGATGCGCGTGTAAAGGAGAATTATTATTTTGCAAATTCATCCCCGTCGGAGGCGCAGAAGAGGGATACCCGGCTGTTGCGGATGATCCCGGTGGAGGCGCAGGAGCCGGAGCGTTATGTTGTTGTTGTTGCTGATACCCTCCGTTGTGCATCGGTGGTCCCGGTTGGTGATACTGATGAGACGAAGGATTAGGTGGATTCATACTTACTACTAATTCGGATCTCTTCTTTTTCTTTTTGTGTCCGTTTAATATTTTTTTTTGTAAAGTTTCGAGTTTCAAAACACCAAAAAAGAGAGGAGCGTTTTTGTCCCCCTCTTCACATACTTTTTTTGTATCTCTTTCTTGTCTCTGTCATCCCACATTTCAATCACACACACACACAAGAGACTTCTAACCACGCTTTCTTTCCTCTCTCTCTCTCTCTGTATACGGGTAGTAGTTTTCAATAACCGTAAAGTCCGTTTTATTATATAAGAGCGTCGTTTGAAGAATAAAAGAGAGAAAGAAAGAGAGAGAAAGTAGTACTCTCGCTGTTGCAGCTGGTCGATTTCTCTTTCTTTTTTGTAGACGAAGAGGAATTCACCAAGAAAAGGCAGAGGAGAGAGAAAAAATAATATTCCTTCCTAAAAATAGCATCACATTTAATCCTTTCTGTTGTGGTTGTTGTTGTTCTAAAAAATGGCGGCAGGAAGAAGAGCGACGACGACGACGATGAGAATACCGAACGCGAGAAGAGCGCGTTCGAGACTGTCGCAGAGCACGAAGGAGCGGTTGAGGTACGTTTAGTATGAGCACATGGATTCGAATTTTTTCAATCGTCATCACCCGTTCGTCAAACGGTCTTTTTCTCCTTTTTTCTTTCAAGGAAGGGGTCGGGGTAAATAGTATTCGTGTCGCGTACTCATTAACACGCGCACTCTCTCTCTCTTTCTCTGATAACAACAGAATGCGCGCTTTCCTGTGCGGTTTCGCTTTGTTCGCGCTTTTAGCGACGCTCTCGGCGGTCTTCTCGTCGTCGTCCTCCTCCTCCTCATCGTCTTCATTTGACTTGGTGTCAAAATCGGCGACGACGACAACCGATATGGGTGGAGGAGGACGACGACTGTTGTCCGCAGGTGGCGGCGAATGCAAACCAACGAAAGATTGGGAGAAAGTTGGAGGATTAATCGGGTATTTTGTCGGCGTTTTGTATTTATTCTTGGGGATAGCGATAGTCTGCGACGACTATTTTGTCGCGTCGTTGGAGGCGATATCGGAAGCGTTGGGCTTGTCCGACGACGTCGCCGGGGCGACATTCATGGCAGCGGGGTCGTCTGCACCGGAACTTGCGAGTTCGTTGATGTCGTTGGTGAATGCGAACGCGTCGTCGTCTATTGGCGTCGGTACGATTGTCGGGAGCGCGATATTTAACATTTTGATAATCATCGGGATAACGACGATTTCTGTCGGCGACACCTTGATTTTAGATTGGAAACCTTTGGTAAGAGATTGTACGTTTTACGGTGCCGCGGTGGTTGGGATTGCGACGACGTTTTCAGGAGGCCGGGTTGATTGGTGGGAAGGTGGGATCTACGTCGGTTTGTACGGCCTTTACATTTTGTTCATGACGTATAACGAATTTTTCATGCGCAAAATGGATTTGTTGTGGCCGGAGCGAGCAAAGACGCTCATGGAGTTGAACAAAAGTCTACAAGCAGAAATAGAAGCGAGCCAAGCGGAAACCGGAGAAGCACCGAGCGACGGAGGCGAAGGGCGACCGAGCGAAGAGGGAGCAACGCCGAACATATCGGCGATTCTCGCGGCGAAAGCGGCGGCAAACGTCTGGAGAAAAAAGACGAAAACGTATCGCGACAAAATTCGCGAAGAGACTGGAAAAGATCCAGACGATCGCGTCGGTGTTAGTATCAGCTCGAGCTATATTTCGAAGAGTGCGATTCGTAAGATGCGATCAGACGCGCTTTTGGTTGAACATGTTCTGAAGATGCGCGAAAAGAACGGGTTGTCCTCCACCGGCGACCGTTCGACAAACGTCGCGTCGGTACTCTCCATTGAAGACGCCAGAGAAGAAGAGGAACTGTCCTTCGCGCTCCCGGAGAACAAGAAACAAATTCCGATGTATTTGTTATCCATGCCTTGGTATTGCGTCTTTGCATTATGCATTCCAAACTGCCAGAAAGAAAAGTGGAAAACATGGTATCCGATGTCGTTTCTCATGTCCATCGTTTTTATCGGATTCATCACGCACTTTATGGTTGATTGGTGCACTAGAATCGGTTGCATTTTGAAGATTCCTCCAGTCGTCATGGGAACGACTGTTTTAGCTGCGGGAACTTCAATTCCAGATGCTTTGAGTTCAATTGCGGTCGCGAAAGATGGCTTGGCGAACATGGCGGTTGCAAACGCCGTCGGATCGAACGTGTTTGATATTTGGCTCGGATTGGGATTGCCGTGGCTTTGCTATTTATCGTGGCAAACGCCAAATTATTTGATCGTAACGACGAACGAGTTGATCCCAAGCACGCTTATTTTAGCCGGGGTTTTGTTTATTTATTTCGGATCAGTGGCGGCGAGTGGGTTCACGCTATCGCCAAAGATTGGATGGGTATACATCGGGTTGTATGTGTTATACGCCATCTACAACATCGTGTGCGTGTGGATATTAGACATATACAAAATAGAGTAGGTGATTGTGAGATTGAGCGAAAGAAAAAAAGCGCGAATATATATGCTATTATTGAAAGTGTCTAATGTAATCTAAAATCTATTTGCGTCTATCTCTTCGCGTTCAATCGGGCGCTGATTTCTTGCGCGCGTTTTGCGGCGCGTTCTGCCGCCGTCATAAGTTTTCCAGGTTGGTCTGGTTTCATCCTTTTTTGCGCTCGAGCGCGCTCTAATAATATCTCCTCTTCAGTTTTTCCCTCCAAGACTTTCTGCATTTCGATTTGATGTCGAACGTTCGGATTGGAATATATCGGTTTACTCTTTTCTGCCGCTAATATCTCTTGCGCTCGCGCTCTTTCTCTTTCCTCTCGCACTCTCTCTCTTTCCTCTCGCACTCTGTCTCTTTCCTCTCTCATTTGATTTCTCGCGCGTTCTTTCTCCTCTCTTTCTTTTTCCTTCTTTTTCTGCTCTTGTTCCAAAGCCAACTGTTGCTGAGGTCCGTAATGAATGACAACATTCGTGGTCGTCCCGATTAACCTCGATTGCTTCGAAAATTCAACTTTTAAACTTCTGCCGCCTATTTCCATGCCGTTTAATCCTTTCGCCGTCCTTGCCTGTTCGTGCGACAAGAACTCAACGAACGCGTACGTCTTACCTTCACCTCCCATTTTGGTTGCAACTACAGTTCCTACGTGCGACATGAGCTGAACTAACGCATCTTGATTCATCGCTATCGATAAATTTGCCACGTGGACAGTTCTCTTGTCGTCTTTATCATTTTCCACGGAGATACCTCCGCCGATATCAAATGACGTCGGGCCATCGATACCAGTCGAAGGAGCGTGCGCATCGTTTTGAGCAGCATTCGAAGTATTCGCATTCACATTCGTCTTAAAGTCACCTATGTTGCTGCGTTCCCTTTCATTTTCACCGATTCCGTTATGAAGATGCGCTCCTCCCGTATCTTCAGAATAGACCGGAAACGGCGACCCTTCAATCTTAAACCGTCCGTTATTCTTCGGATTTCTTTGCTCGTTGAACACCACGTCCACATATACGTTGTACGTTCCTCTCTCCAACGGTCGATACTCTCCGTAATACACCAAGGACTTCCCATCCATAACCTTCAACTCGAAAGTATCAAACTCTTCCTTCGCGGCGTTCTCTTTCGTCGTCGAAGCTAACAAAACGCGTCCTTCCACCGTCATCTTTCCGCATTTCTTCATCATCTCCACTTCCTCTTTTGTCGGTTTTGTCAGCGCGTTTCCCATCTCGTCTCGCATTTGCACGTATACTTTCGCCGTTTCGTTCTTCTTACATCCGCTCACCAACGTTCCCGTGGCGGTACACTTCAACGGGTCGATCAATCCGTACGGCGATTGCAATCGAATCGGATTCGGTGGTGGATTTTTCAATTTTATAGCTTCCGACGACGACGGTAGCATTTTCCCTCGCTCTTCGTCTTCCTTCTCGTCTCCGTTCCTCAACCCAAGTGTCTTCTTTTTGTCGTAATTCGCGAACGTGGCTAAAAACGCCTCTCTCGCCGTCAGTGCTAACTTCTCCTCCTCTTTCTCCGTTTGGGTGATGATTTTCTCGTCGTCGTCAGCTTTGACGATAAACGTCGATATCGCTCTTTGCTCGTGCTGCTCACGCTGAATCGTATTATTACCCATCGTCGCGTTCGGAGGAGGCGGAACGTTGACGACGTTTACTCCTATTTCTTCTTTCACTTCTTCTTTCGTCTCATCAGTTTGACGAATAAATGAAGGAGGAGGAGGTACCTCTCGAAGAGGAGGAGCGGCGGCTAACGCGGCCGCAAACACCGCGTCCACTTCCTCCTTGGCTATCTCGCCAGCGTCAGAAGCTGCCGGGGCCATTTCCGTCGTTGTCGTCTTCTTTCGATTCACTAATTTTCTCGAGAGTTGATTTTTGCAGTTTTGTGTCCCCCACTTTTTTTTTTTAGTAGAGTTGTTGGAAAAAGAGGGACTCCAACACACACACAACACATGCGCGCATAAAACGACACGCTTTCGCTTTGTAAAAGCTGCTCGCGCTGCTCATCGTGAGAAGAAGAAAAGAAGAGAAGACAAAACGATACACACACGCACGCACGAAGTATACGTCTCAAAAAACGCACAGCATTATGTCTTCTTCTTCTTCTTCTTCTTCTTCGAGTAAAAATACTAATGTTGGAAGAACAGCGTTCCGTCGGAACATCGAACCTACGGAAACCTTAGCCGGGTTGTGCATTAAATACAACATCGCCATGGCGGACATCCATCGAGCGAACAACGGAACGTTGGTGAACGAAAACACCGCGCACGCGAAAGGGTGGGTGATGATTCCGTATTTCGATCGAGACGGGAAGAAAATAAATAATGATTCCGAAACGAAACCATCTACTTCGTCCTCGTCGGAAAAAGCTATCGATAAGTTGAGGAGACATTATTCGCTTCCCGGAACGCCGGAAAAAGGGACGACGACAAAAACGAACACGAACACAGCCAAGGACGACGACGACGAGAAAGAAGCTCATAAAAAAGAAATTGAAGTGATTGATACGATACGATACGAATACAAACCGGCGGAGAAGAAAGGAGAGTATGGGAAAAGCGAGACGAAAACGAGAAAGAAAGAGAGAGAGAAAGAGAACGATGTGAATAGTAATAGTAACGATGCGTCTCAAAAAAGTCAGCACGCGACCGTAGCGAATGGGTATGGTCCGAGTAGTATGTTTGCGAGAGATAAACCTCTGTTTACGCCGCACAAGGAGAAACCTGCGGCGGCGGCGGAAGCGATTACCATGGAAGGTACGGGAATACGAGCCGCGATGAAATATAAGTCGAAGACGTTGTTTTCAAAGTTGAAATCGAAAGCGCTTCACTTGACGGCGGATTTGAGGGAAGAGAAAAGAGCGGCTTCGCCAAATTTTCGGGAGAGTTTGAACGATATTCGCGGGCCGCCGCCGAAAGGGAAAGGCGATTAGAAGTAGAAAGAAAAAAGCGATAGCACCGCGTAGAAGAATAACGTAAAGTTTTATTATTAGTTGCGCAGATACAAAATTAAAACAGTTCCAGAATAAGTATACATGTATACATGCGAGCTTTTTATCATAAAAAAATATATTCTCATCGGGTCCACCAAATCATGCGAGACCCGCCGGATGCGTGTCCTCCTCCATTTTCTTTTTGTCGCGGCGGCGATAAAGCTTCAAAGTCACCGAGTGGATCTGGGAGGTTCAAATCGTCTTCGCCCAGATTCGGGAAATAGCTCGAGCAAAACTGCGAGACGGCTTTTTCCATCTGCCAAATTGGCGACCACAAACCGCCACCACCGCCGCCGCCACCGTTCGTAGTTTTATTATCACCATTAGCATTATTATTATTAGTATCATGAGCAGTGTAGGTGTCAACGTTGCTATTGTTTAGCGCTGGAGCGACAGCAATATTGGCAGCAGGTTGCTGCCCTTCTCCGTGATCACTCACCGCGGGAGACACTTGATACGAGTTCGTCTTACTGTTGTCGTACACGTCTGCTTCGTACAGTCTCGAGAAAGAGTTGTTTTTTCCAAGAGCGCCGCTCCCTTGCTGCGGCGGCATTGACGGTGGAACGAGGCTTCGCGCCTTCTTCCTTTCGCGCGCGAGTTCTTTCAATCGCTGGGTCTTTTCGTTCATTTCGCGAACTTTCTGCGCGGCAATCGCGGAAGCTTCTTCGTGTCGCATACCTTTTAAGATGGCTTCGCAATACGTCTCGGCGGCTAAAGCCTCCGAAGACGTGAGTTTACTCTTCTTACTTTTCTTCTTGGAAATTTTACCACCAGATGCGGTTGAACAAGACAAAATTTTGTTCGCTTTCTTCGCATCTTTGAAGGATGTCTTGGCGCCCTTGGGAGACTGCAACGGATTGTTGTGCACTTCTCTCTTGGAAAAAGCGTGCAAAACGGTCTCTTCGCGGCTAAGCGCGCTTCCAGATTCATCCTTGTCCAGTAACATGCCTTGTTCTTCAATGAACGGTAGCAGTCCTCGCCTGGACTTTGCAATCGCCTTGAAATCTTTCTTGCCAAACTTTTCAGGCGTCGCGTCAATGTTCACAACGTCGACGTCTTCTTCTTCCTCCATCGCCGCCGATGAGAATCGTTCTTTCTTTCTTGCGCACTTTGGGGACTGTTGATAAACGAGCGGACCTGGATCTTCGACTTTCTTCGTTTCGTTCTCTTCCTCGTCTTCACCTTCTTCTCCTTCGTCGTCGTTTCGTTCGTTGTCACTTTCAAACGGCTGCGCCGCGTTTGTACCACCGACTTGCTTCTTCTCCTTCTTCTTCTTCTTCTTCCCTTCGTTGCATTCGTCCGGTGAAAGCATTTGTCGAAACTCGCAAAAATCTTTCGCGCCGGTGAACACGTTGCTCACTATTCCGGTCAATCGCGGCGAGGTCAAGAATCCGGTAATCCCACCACTTCCACCTCCTCCTCCTCCTCCAAAGTATCCGTGATTGGTACTCACCTCGATATTCTTTGGGCGCTGTTGTTTCTTCGTCGCGCTACCGGTAACTGCCGTCGTCCCGAACCGTGCCTGAGTCTTGATGTTCTCACCCCCGCCGCCGTGCGGATTTCCGGTATCGTCGAAATACGAGCCTTCCGCTTTATCCCAATACCCCGGCGATAACGGCGCTTCCTCCATGGAGAAGATTGCCGCCGCCATCTCTCCGTCGCTTCTCTTCTTACTACTATCATCTCTATTATTGTTATTCTCATTAGTATTCCCGTCTTCTCTCTTCTCGTTATTTTCTTCTTCTCTTCTCGCGAGTTTCGGCGAGAGCGCTCTCAACGCCGCCACCAGCGGGTGCGGCGGCGGTCGATCATTTCCTCCATCATTTCCTCCATCATCATCATCATCGTCGTGGTAAAACTTCCTCGCCGCTTTCGGTGCTTTAATCTTCTTGTAGCAACCACCCACACCTCCTAAAGATGATATCGATCCCGGCGGACGTCCTGTTCGAAGAAGAGAAAAATGTAGTTTTCAACCGCCAGGACAGAAATGCGAAAGCAGTCAAATATTTTTATACGAAACGAAGACAAAAAATCAAAGACGAACAACTGCCATGCGGGCGAGAATGGGTTGATTCTTACCTTTACTCTTCTTCTTTTCCACCTTGTTGGGTGTGCCGATGATATCTTTCTGCTGCTGTGACTTGTTTTTCTGCTGACTGAGCAATAACAAGCTCGGTTTCTCGTGATTGTGCTGGTTTTCGTACTTCGCGAGTCCGTTTTCCACTTGCTTCCTGGCTGGACAATCCGGTTTCGTGCATCGGTAGTAACTTCTCGGGAACGAGGCCGATTTGATGTTCTTCTGACCGTATTTCCGCCACTTGAATCCGTCTTTGATGTCGTGTTTGATCATACTTTATTATTATTATTATTAGTGTTGATGATCGCAACACTACTTTTATTCCTTCTCTCTTTCTCTCTCTCTCGCGTTTGAAACCCAAGAAGAGCACAGCGCGCGCGAGGAAGACGATCGGATGGGAGATGGGAGATGCGGTGTGTTCGAGAAGAGAAAGAAAACGACCAACAAACGCGACGGACGAAGAGAGAGAAGAGGAGAAAAAAGTGTCGCAAAAATCTGGAAATCTGGAAAACGAACCGACGCAGGTTCTTCTTTTTGCATTTTTTTCCTCCTCTTTCTTCTGCTTGGTGTTGTCCTCTCCCTCTGAAGGTCTGCTCTTTTTGAAGAAGGCACGATTTTGAGTTTTTTTGTTGTTGTTTTGTGCATCAAACACACTCGTTTGCGAGATATAAAAACACCTCGACGCTTTGTTGCAATTACCATAATAATTAATGGGCGTTTTAAGAGTCAAAGGTAAAGATTTGATCGCGTTTCGTCGCTGAAACTTTCTCTTTCTCCCGATCCGAAAGATCGCGGCGCGCTCGTTCTCGTTCTCGTTCTCTCTCTCTCTCTCAGAAGAGAAGAAGAAGAATGCATTCGATCGTGGAAAGAATATCTCTCTCGTCGTTCCTGTTTTGAAATTTCATCGTATTCACACTTCTTCTCTCGTTCTTCTCAAATACTACTACTCAAACCATAATCAACATTAAAAACATCAGTGTTGGAGCTGGAAACTCCGGCTTCGGACACGCAGAACACGAAATTTTGCGCGGTGAAAGTGGAAATACGAGACCCGGTAAATAAAGATGCGCCTCGTCAAAAACGAAAAACGGAGATGAAGGAAGTGTTCGACCACCGCATCGACTTCGCGGACGCGTTTGAGTTTTCCATCGACGAGGAGAAAAACGAGGAATTGAGAATTTTATTGTTTAAACAAAAGACGAGTTCGTTTATTGGCGGGAAGAAAGCGGTGGCGAACGCGGCGTTTCACGTGAAGCAAATCGTGTTGAACTGCGAGATGTTAAACGGAGAAATCGACAAGAGTTTCAACTTGTTCAATCGAGACGGAAACGCGGTTGGTGGGCAAGTGAGGTTAATTCTGACGTATTATCCGGATAAAAAGACCCCAGAGAGAACTGGTAGAGATGGAAAAGGCGCGATTCCGGATTACAACGACAAGGAGTATTCCAAGGAAGAGGAAGCGGCGGCGAAGAAGATTCAAACTTCGTTTAGAAAGAAAAACAAAGCGAAGAACGGACAATCCGGAGGAGGTCTGGGTGGAAAAGCGAAACTCCTCTTGGGTGGATTGATCTCCTACGGCCTTTTGGCGTTCGTCCACAACAACCAAGAGGAAGAAAAAGCGAAAAAAGATCCAAAGTATAAGAAGAAAACGTTGAACGAAAAGCTCTTCGAAAAGAAGAGCGCGCCAGCAAACAAAAACGGTAAGAAGAAGTAAAAGATAACAACATGCGAAGAATAACAACAACAACAACAACGATATTAATAATATTACTTCGACGACGATGACGACGGACGACGACAATGGTGTTCCAACGATGAGAGAGAACAGGCTTCCTTTCGATCTAATAAATGAGGCGCGCGTGTATACATTCATATTTTTTTTTCACTCACTGTTCTTTCAGTCTTTCCTGCTGCTCATAATTTTTTCATCTCGCACCCTTCACCCCTCAGTTTTTAACGCTCACCACAAGTAATTTCATAAACATCATGGTAAGTTTTATTCCCTCGTGTTGTTTTCTCGTCGTCGTCGTCGTGTTATGGAGGTCACATCGCGCGCAGAATGCGGAGTGTGGTGCAATTCATGCCGCGTTTAGCTTCCAAGAATATCGCTCGCGCGAGAGGGAATAGGCGCGATTTATTATTAAGCGCCTTTTTTCCGAAGAAGGGCGCGAAATCGGGTGTCTCGCGGCGGACAGCGAGAGCCGCCGCGCAGGAAGGATCGCGCCGATTAGTATTGAGCTTTTATAACGGCTCGCATGCTTCAAAGAAGAAGACTTTCTCGATACGAACGAAGCGTGAATCGCGTCGCGTGTCCTTCGCGAGGATCGATTTCGAGTTTAGGATTTTTTGCGCGAAGCCCTGTTGGGGGACGACGACGACGAAGTCGATTTTCTCCTCCTGGACCGAGACTCTTTTCTCGAACTCGCTTATAGAAGTATTCATTTCGCTGACCTACTCCACCTCCTCTCTCTTTCTCTCTCTCTGTTTATCATCACAATTTCAGCCGAAACAAATTGCTGATATCAAAGATTTTCTTTTGAAAGCGCGACGCAAGGACGCCAAGTCGGTGAAAATCAAGAAAACCGGTTCCGTCACAAAGTTCAAAGTTCGCTGCTCCAAATACTTGTACACGTTGAGAGTGCAAGACCAAGACAAAGCGACGCGATTAAAACAATCCTTACCGCCGGGAATCAACATCATCGACATCTAATGCGTTGAACGTTGGATTTCAAATTATTATTATTGATAGTTGTGGGTGGTTTAGGTAGGTTATAGTTCGTAGTAACGATGAGGAAAAGCTTTGCAATAAAAATATTTTCTTCCTTTTCATATTCATTACAACAAGACAGTCTATGTCTTCCCATCGTATTCTGCGCGTCCTAATCGCACTATTTGTGCCGTTCTTCGCGGCGCTGTTAGCATCCGCACAGTCGGACGAAGAACGTCCTAAAATCAAGCATGCGGAACGTCTGCTCTCCAGACTCGATCCCGACGGCGAACTGTTACGGCGAGCAAGCGACTTGACGAGGCAAACAGTCTCGGGAGCTCAAACTCTGTTACCTGAAGCCACGGAAAATTTCCGAGAACGCATACTTCAATGGGCGCGTAAACCGAATATCGCTGAAATATTACGAAATCCTCCCAGTGAGTCCCAAGGTTTTACCTTCGAGCGTTTATCGCGAAAAGTGAACCAGAACCTCGATGAAAGACTTCGGAGACACGCGACGAGTGATAACAGCTTGTAATACACAATGTTTTAAAATTTACATGTTCAACGTTTGCTCTAACAGCTCTCTCTCTAAAATAAGCATCAACTGCTTCAACCACTGCTCCTCTCGCGCGACTTGCTCGGCGTATTCCGAAGGGTCACCGAAGAGCCATTTTGACATGTCTGGAGCTGTATTCGGAGTTCCGTCGACTTCGATTGCCACCGCGGATGGTTTCCCGCCTTTTTGTAATCGTTCGAATTCCTCGTCCCGCCAGGTTTGGTATTTTTGGAGCTGTTCGTACGCTTCTTTGTATCGTTGCGAGTGATACAATAAGATACCGTAATCTCTGATGTTCTCCGGTTCGGCCACGAGCGCTAAACGTTCAGTCGCTCGGATGGCCATTTCCAAGTCGCCGAAGGGTCTTCCCGTCGGTTGAATGATCCCAACACCTTTCACCGCGGTTTGCATTCTATCTTCGTTCCCGAACACGGCCGCTTTCAAAGCCAATTCAATGCCCGTATCTCTGCGATCGTCCCAAGTCCACGGCCAAAACGCCCTTTTCAGCGCTCTTAATTGCATTTGGATACTCATTTTAGGCGTACACCACCTCGCGTCGGCGGGTATGCCGAGATTGTGGTAATCGTCCTTGGTGATACCCCACGGCGTGCGCGGTAGAACATCCGGATCTAAACCTCTCGAGCTGGATATCAAAACGTACGCTTCGTCTTTCAAAATCTCTCTCGCTCGTAAAATCTGTACGCACCCCATATACAACGCCGCTAAACTCGCTGGGATGCCTACTTTTTGCGCAATGACGTTGTGAAAATACGTTCTGTACGGACTAAACGCCTCCATCCACCCGACTGGAGGCCTGTACTGATGTTCTTCGTACAAATACCTTTCCAACGCTTTTAAAACCATCCTATCGTCGTACTGACCGTTGAAATACGCGATATCCCGCATCTCAAACTCGTCCATCAACTTTCTCAACCTTTTCACGTACGCCTCCTGCGGAAGACACACCGATGTCCTCGATTTAAACGCGTCATCTTCCACCGCGATGAACAAAGACGCTAAAACAGCGTCGCAATCGAGCATCTCTGTGCTATTCTCGCACTTTTGCATCTCGTCTAACAAACCAGCTCGCGAGGCTCGGACGAACGGTTCCCACGTCTCTTTCGCCGTGGACACTTTGCCGAAATCACCTTGTACGAACGCTTTTTGCGCTCGCAACTCTTCCTCGGAATACTCCGTAAATTTTCGATTGGTTCCCGAGCGACCGGCTTTGGAAAACTGTCCTTCTTTTTCTTCGCGATTGCTGTTGTTACCGTCGTTATTGTCCTCGTTCTGTCGTGCCATCGTCCTCGTTTTTCTTCTGCTTCTATATCGGTTCTGAAGATGATGATTTTGATGATGATTCTGTTTTTTCTGCGTTAAAAGCGCAGCAACAAAAACGCCGCCGCTGCTGCTGCTCGACAAAGACGACGACGCGCACGAAGAGGACGTCGAGGCCTGCATTGTTTCTCTCTCTCTCTTTCTGTGTGTGTGTCTGCGCGCGTAAATCAAGCGCACTAAATGTTGTGTGAGTTTTTGCAGAAATTCAGAAGTTTTATCCACTTTTTCCATCGCACTTAATTGGGCGGTTGCCACACAAACGCTCTCGTTTCCGACGCACGAAGAAAACTTCAGAACTTTTCTCGTTGTCTCTCGTGAAGATGATGATGACGACGACGACGAATAAGACTTCTCGGTAAACGACGAAAGAGGACGGAGGAAATGCAATTTCCACGCGGGGGAGTGGGGTTTCTTCAGCAGCAACAGCAACAACAACAGCGTTTGGAACAATCATCATCGCGCATTAAAGAGGACAAAAACGTCGGGAATCGAAAACGAGCGATGTTGAACGCTTTCGTCGTCTCGTTGACGGTGGTTTTTGTGATTTTGTTCGAGGAGATATCGGTGGTGGCGATGAAAATTCGTCGTTTTTCGAGAAATTCCTTTTCTTCGTCCGCGTATGTAAAACGAACTTTTCGGGAAGAGAACGAAGAGGAGGAGCGAATTCCTCCGCCTTCGGGTGTTGAGCATTTGCAACCAACGACGAGTGAAAAGGAGGAGGAGGAGATAGTACTACTCACCGAGAAAACATCAGCAGAAGAAGAAAAAGAAGAAGAAGAAGAGAATAACGAGGACGACGATGATGACATCGACAGAAACGACGAGGACAAAATGAATGGCGTAAAGAGTAACGGCGGCGTGTACGCGCGTTCGTACGCCGAGTGGATGGTGCGCGAGCGAGGCAACGAAAAGCCAAGGAGTCAAAGGAGGAAACGCGCAACGAGTTCGTCAATTTTTGATTTGCGCGGAGACTGTCACGAAAAGTGTTTCAATGGCGGCAAGTGCGATTACTTTAGCGGCAAGTGCGATTGTCCAGTTGGGTTCAAAGGCTCGAGTTGTGAAGATGAAGAGCAGACGTTCCCGTGCAGCGACGGATTAGAGTTGCGGTGCTCTCACGCGTGCGACGCGACGAGAGGTTTGTGCGTGTGTGGAGAAGGCGCGAGACATCCCCAGAGAGTTTTGCATCAGTGGCCATTTTGTAGTCCAGATATGTCAAAGTATGGAAAAGAAGACTGGTGGAAAGGAAATGGAGATGTAGGGGACGAGTACATTGTAAATAGGAACAGTAAAAAGTTGGAAGAGTTAAAATTGGGTAGAAAAGAGTGGGGAGGATTGCCGACGTTTGCGATGGTGTTCGGCAGAGAAAATCCGAGCGCGACGAGTTTGAAAGTAGAAGCGCCGTTTCTCGAGCGCGCGCGAGAGGGTATTTACGATGATAGCGACGAAACAGAGCAAGGAAAGATAACGAAAGGGAGAGAGATCGCAAAGGAACTCCCGTCGTGGTGCGACGCAGACTCTATTCGAACGTTTGATCCAATTCGAGAGAAAGACGAGAATCTCAACGTGCATCCTCAAGCCGTGAGAAGCTTTCGAGATTGCATCAGTAAATGTCCAGGAAGCAGGTACGGCAAAGCGTGCGAAAAAATAATACCGACTTGGTGTCCAAATCAATGCAGTGGAAATGGCGAGTGCGATGATGGTTTCTGTAAATGTAAGAAGGAGTTTTGGGGCGCAGACTGTTCGCTTACGGTGCCAAACAGCGTGAGTTTATCTTCATCGCGAATGATCGATTCCGTGAGATCCGTATACTCGAAACTTGAAAGTAAACGTCCCTTCATATACGTGTACGAAATGCCATCAAAGTTCACCTCACATTGGACGAAATACGTCAACAGAGGCGAATTTGTGTGCGGCGATCGATTTTACGAGAAACCAAACGACATCGACAACGACAACGACGACGACGCTTCTCCGCCGCCATTCCCAGAAAGACCGTCGAAGTGGTTTTATTCCTTGGAAAATACACTTCACGAATTCTTACTCAGGTCGGCACATCGTACAATCAATCCCGAGAACGCGGACGTATTTTTTATCCCGCAATACGGAACGTGCTATCGTTTAGCATACCAAACGCCTTCGCCGCAAGTTTCGCTGTCGCTGATCAAGACAAAGCCCGGCGATCGCTCGCATGCGGCAAATCTCTTTCTAGAACGAGTAACAGAGTACGTTCGAAATATTCCATTCAATGTCATCAACAACGAGAAAGGTGAGATACAGTCGTATTTCGATAGGAATGAAGGTCGAGATCACGCGGTAATCGCCGCGTACGATGAAGGCGCTGTGCACTTTCCTGACAGTATTGCCAATGCAATTTTCATCACGCATTGGGGAAATACAGGATATCCACGCAACAGTTCGCACACGGCTTACTCACCGGATAAATGGGATGAACTCGTCAAGCAAGGGGTTGTTACTGGTGCATGGCGCGCGTACAATCGGAATAAAGATATCGTCGCCCCTCCTTGGTCGCAGCCAAAGACTAACGAAGTCCGCGAACCCGCAGACGTGAATAGTTGGACACCAGCGACTCAAAGAACGACGTTTTGTTTCTTCAGCGGAAATCTTGGTTTGGAAAAACCATGGGGTGAAGACTACTCGCGCGGTTTACGTCAAAAAGTTGCGAGAAGATGGCAAAACGTCTACGGTTTCGATATTCTCTCACACACGGACGACTACTTGGGAAGAATACGCTCGTCCAAATTTTGCCTCGCACTTCCAGGAGATGGGTGGAGTGGAGGTCTTTCCGTTTATATTCGAAATGGCTGCATACCAGTCATCGTACAAGATGGCGTCGACATGCCTTGGGAAGGCACGTTCCTCGACTACTCGAAGTTTTCCATCCGCGTTCGCGAAGGAGACGTCGAAAACCGTCTCCAAAGCGTCCTCGAAACGGTTACACCGGAAGAGCTTCAAAACCTTCAAAACGGTCTCAAAAACGTCTGGCACTTCTTCTCGTACGACGTGCCTAAACAACCGGCATTTGGACCTCCGGATGAGAACTTTAAAGGTTCCTGGTCTCCTCCACCCGTCGATGAAGAAGAAGGAGACGAAAAAGGACCGACGCCTCGCGACGCCTTGGAGTCGCTCGTCCACGCGCTCCATTTCCGCGCGCATACGAATAGTAAGAAAGAAAGGTCATCGTCGTCTGCGTACGAGTACACGTACGCGTAGAGTAGATACTAATAGCGTGCATAATAGATGGTATTTAGATAGCGCATCGCGTTGTATAAAAAGTAGCAATTTTATTCCTTGTGACTCCTCAGGCACTCAAAAAAAGCTGTTGCCTCTGACTCGTTTTCACTGCATTTCTTTTTCTCGTCTTTCGCAACGAGAGACACGAATTGCACGCTTAAACAGCATGCAGACGACGACAAAAGATGTGGACGAGGACGACGACGACGAAAAGTTTAACGTGAAAAAGCTCGACACCGCGCTCGACGCCTCCCTTCATGGTCTTTCTCGCGTGAACAATCTTCGCTCACGGGAAACTCGTTTGGAACGGCAAACTGTTACGATTTATTGCGCGACATTCAACGTCGGCAATCAACCGATAAACGAAACGTTTTACACGGAATTTCTGAAGAAAAGCGAAGATTGCGATGTAGTTGTCGTCGCCGCGCAAGAAGCGTCGTACGGGTACTCGAGGAAAATCACGCAACCGGCAGACTTTGCGCGCTTGGCGGAGAAAAAAGTCGAAAACGATTCGATTGTGAACAAAAAAGAGAAAAAAACATTCTGGGGGTCCTCGAAAGCGACGAAGATGGTGGCGACGTTATCGGGAGGGATAACCGGTGGGGTCGCGACTGGACCGTTAGCACCGGTTGGGTTCGTGGTTGGAATGGTTGGAGGGTATTACGGAGGGAAGAAGATCGCGGAGGAGAGTAAATGTAAGCAGCACTGGTTCGCGAGCGTAGAGGCGTGTTTGAAATCGAAGAATACTAGGAGTAGTAACAAGTCGAGCGAATATAAGAAGAACGAGGACGGAGAGAATGACGACGAGAGCGAATACGTGCTCGTGCAAAGCGAAGTGTTGATGCAAATGCGATTGTCGGTGCACTGTAAAAAGTATCTAGAGAAAAACGTGAAAAGCATCCGAGTGGGCGTGAAAGCGACCGGCATGGGGAACGTAGTCGGGAATAAAGGAGGAATTATGGTGGAGATTCAATTTTACGGGGGCGAATCAATCGCATTTATAGGTTGTCACTTAGCCGCTCACGAGGAAAAGAAGTTCTACACGAGACGAATAGAGACGATTCGGTCGATTTTAGGATGCGCGTGGAGAGATAGAATCGAGAAGGCGTTTGGATGCGAAGGCAACGGCCAGAGTTGGGAACATTCGATTAAAGCAGTCGCTGAGGCTTCTGGTTTAATGAGTGGAGATAAGAATAGCAACAATAAGAGTAGTAATATTAGCAGCAACATCGACAATGCGCGACGCGAAGTAGACGAAGAAGAACAGAAGAAGCGAAGGAGATTGCCTCCAGATTTAGAGTTATTAGAATCGGCGACGCATACGTTTTTTATGGGAGACTTGAACTTTAGAATCGATCCTGGTCCAACTCAAGCGCACGAGACGGTACAAATCAACAGCGCGAGTGAAATGGTTGGAGCCGATGACGATGACGAAAATAGCGTTTGGAATTCGTGCTGGTCAAAGGCAGATATCGTCAAGGAGACGTCCGTAAACAGACGCGCAAAGCTTCCGGGAGAAATTGAAAGCGGGGACGAGGATTCTGAATCAGACAGTCAAGTGAACACGAGGAAGCAGCGGGAGAATGTTTCAACGGGAGGAACGTCGCAGTCGTCTCCATTCCACGTCGGATGGAAATTTATAGCGGAAACAATCAAACAGAAGAGTTGGGGAAGATTATGGATCGGCGACCAACTTTTGCACGCGCAACGGCAAGGCAAGTGCCTTTTTGGATTTCAAGAGTTACCTCTGCAGTTCCCACCTTCGTTCAAACGAGAAAAAGGTCGAAATGATTCGAATCCAATCGATGCTACTGAAGAGTATTATAGCAAAAAGCGTATCCCAAGTTATACCGATCGCGTGCTCATCAAATCTCTTCCTGGATTCGAGGCGACCAGGAAAGCGCATAAATACGAAGCATGCCACGGCGTGACGTCGAGCGATCATGCGCCCGTGTGTGCGACATTTTCTGTGAATCTTCTGCTCGGCACGTCCGAGCACGAAGACGCCAACGACGAGGTGCTCTCGGCACGACAAAAGGACGACGACGAATACTTTGCCATTCTGACTGTTGAAAAACTTCAACTAGAAACGCACGACGATAGATTGATTTTTGCCACCGAAGAGGAACAAAGCGCGTCGCTCTTGAAAGTACATCTCGAAAAACTTCGCACGAACGCTCTCGAAGTGGATGACTTTGAAACCGCGGAAGGAAGTCGTTGGTCTAACGCCAAAAGTATTTCAAACGTGGTGTTACTACCATCGAGATCGTTCGCAAAAGACGAAGGTGAAGACGAGGAAAATATTAGAGTTCGATCGCGCTCCTCGTGCGTATGGAATTCACGGACGCTGAGACGAATTGGAAACGACGCGCTCAATCCAGACGTTTTACCAGTGGTGAAGTTACCAAAAAAAAGAGCAGAGCTTCAAAACGCGCCGTATTACGTGATATTTACCGTCGTGAACGAAAATACAAACGCGAGAGTAGGAACTGCAATTATAAGCGTTCCCACGGACGGTAAGAGATTACCTTTCGAAGCCGATTGTACGTCTCGCGGACGAGTGGTTGGTAAGTTACGAGGAGAGTGGGCTATTGATTTGAAAGTGACGTAATGACAAATTAAAAGTGTGCGTATGCATGTATGGATGGATAGAAATACTTTATGTTTGTTATTATAGATATCTACGGCGTAAGACGCTTCGGATCTCTCGGAAACATGCTCGATTTACGAATGTTGTTCAAGCCCAAGTACAACATGACGACTCTCTCTAAACCGACGCCGCACCCTCCGTGCGGCAACGCGCCGTACCTAAACGATCGAATGTAGCTCTCCAATTCTTCAACTGGAATGCCGAAGTGTTTCGCTCTCTCCGTCAACAACTCCGGGTCGTGAATTCTTTGCGCGCCGGAAATAATCTCTTCGCCTCGGATGAAAACGTCAAACGAGTTCGTGTACTCCGGGTTAGCTCCGGGTTCCGGCATCGTGTAAAACGGTCTTGCTTCGATCGGGTATCGGGTCAAAATGTAAAAGTCCGTGTCGTACTTCTCCTTGACCAATTTCCCTAAAATTCGTTCGTGTTCCGTGCTCAAATCTCCGTGCGGATCCGCCTCCGTGATTCCAGCTTCGTGCAACATTTTAATCCCGTCCGGGAACTCCAATCGCAAGGATTTTCTCAAATACTTCAAAGGCGCGAACGGGTACTGCGCATTAATTACCTCCAATTGCTTCGCGCACCGTTCGCTCAACCCGTCGAACATGTTTACGAACAACTCGTCGATGACGTCCAAAACTTCGCTGTAGTGTTCTTTAATCGTCATCTCGAAATCCAACCCGGTAAACTCGCACAAGTGACGGTGCGTGTTGCTATTTTCCGCGCGAAATACAGGTCCAATCTCAAAGACCCCACCAAAATCCGCCATAATAGCCATCTGTTTATACAACTGCGGCGACTGTGCCAAACACGCCGGCTGCCCCATGTAATCCAACTTGAACACGCTCGCGCCGCCTTCCGAGGCGCCCGAAATCAACTTTGGCGAATGAATCTCTATCATATCCCTCTTCCTCAACGTCTCGCGAAACAACGCGGACACTTCACTTTGCACTCGAAAAATCGAGTTATTCGCCGGCGTTCTCAAATCTAAAATCCGGTTATCCAACCTCGTATCTTGGTTCACTCTCGAGTACTGCTTGTCCTCCGGCGCGTTGTCGATGTCCGCCTCCGACCGGGACAAATCCGAAATTTCCAAGGGAATCTGTATCGATCGCGACACGCAAAAGATTTTCGGGCACGTCATTTCCACGATCGTGTTCGAGCAACTCTCGATGGGTTGTTCCGGTTTCACCAACTCCCCGGTTATGTCCACGACGGATTCTTTGTTCAGGTTGCCAATGTACTTGACCATTGGTTTGCTCACTCTCACGTCGTCCACGAAGAACGCCACTTGCAAGGTTTCCGACCCTTGGCGTAAAATGAGAAACGCCCCTTTCCCTTTCGCTCTCACGGAGTGCACGCGACCTCGCAACGTCGCCGTCTTCCCGATACAACGCTCGTCCAACTCTTCGATGTTTGTCCACATCGTCTCGGTAATCTTTTGCGATTGAACCATCTCCATGTCTCCGTAGTTTTCCGTGCAGTTATCCGGCTCGTTCAGCTGTTGTTGCTCTAACTCCGCGGCTAATTCTGCCGCTCGAGCTGCTTTCTTCGCTTCTTTTTCCGCTTTCGCGGCGAGCTTCTTCAACGCTGACTTGGATAAAGGTTGGCCGTTTTCATCCACTTTTGGGATGTTGTCCGCCATCTTGATGAGAAGATGTCGTAGTAGTATTATGAGTAGTAGTGCAACGTCTAAAACAGACGTATTACGTAAGAAGGAGGAATACTATGCTTCGTTCTGCCCTTAGTATTGGTGTGAACAACAACTGTTTAACGCGATGCTGTTAATAGTAGTATTAATACGAATTACAACGCTTTCGTTTCGTAATAATAATGTGGAAAAAGACCCATCGGAACCTAAAAAACGGAAGCGTAAAAGTTTCCTCTTAAAGTGCTTAAAGGGATATTGTATGACTTCCAGCGCAAGCGCAATGCGAGTAAGTATTATTATATATTACAGAACAACTCTCTCTATCGGTATTATTATTCTTATTATTCTTATTATTAGTATTGTTATCATCTTCTTCTTAAAGTATTATTATGTTACGTCAAGCTATGCTTCCGCCAGCCGCTGCGGCGGCGACGACGTGGAAAGAAGAAGAAGAATACGTTTGAGGAGAAGACGAAGAAGGCGCGAAGGAGAAGACGTTCGCTAAACCTCTCTCGACGCTGCCTTTTACCGTGAACGTTTCTTCGCGAGAGCAGACGTCTGGAACGACTTCGCCGTCAATCATAACGCGGCCACCTTCGTATAAGTCGGGAGGTGCAGATGGCGCATCCGGATCTTCTCCTCCGTCGACGCATCCGAGCGGGTTGGCGGCGTTTGATCGGGAGGCGTTGGTAGAACCGCTCACACCTTCGGTTAAATCGGATCGACCGAGTAACGTGAGCTCGAATTCGCTCGTTTTTAAGTACGTGACGGCGTCGTTCTTTGCGTGCGATCCTTTCGTGTCAAAGTCGAGGAGTAATTTGAGCAAGTTTAGTTTGCTCGTCGGGTGGACGATGATGATGTCGAAGAATCCATCGGAAGGCGAAGCGAGCGGCGCGGATTTCGTGTCGCCGCTGCCCCAAGGGAGGTTCATAGCCCATATGCCTAGGATATTTTCGTCTTTAATCGTTCTGAATTCGCCTTCTTTACGACCGAGGAGTGATTTTCCCAGTCGTTCGCAGACAGACTTGGTCTCTTGTGAAACTCTGTACGTTAAATCCATCTTGTACGTTCTCAGGTTGATGAGTCTGGCAATCGCTTGGACGATGAAGCGCGTTCCTCCCAAACAACGAAAGCGTTCGGATTCCAAATCAACATCCGCGAAAAACCCCCACGATACGCTCAGTAAAGCCGTGTTTTGATACACCGCTATTCTGTTGTTACTAATATTATTGTTGTTCGTGTTGCTGCCGTTCTTCTTACTGCCGTTTCTCCTGTCCAAACTTAACCTCCTCTTGCTGCTGGTGCTTTTTGTCGTATCGTTCGTCGTATCGTTACTGCCGTTCTCGTCGTTGCGATAAATTGCCAGTCTCGCTCCATCCAATCGAATCGTTTGGCCTTTAGCGATGAGCAACGCCATCGTTGTCGCATCGTTCACTTCTTCGCTCTGTTCCGCTAGAGAAACGCAAATGGCGTTCCCGGAACCGGCGGGAATGGCACCGATTGGAATACTTTCGTGCGTCCCGAGCTCTTTTTGCGCTCTCTCCACGCCTGCGTACGCTTCGGCAATGGTACCATCACCTCCGATGGCGATAATACCGAGAACTCGGGCATCTTCGTTGTGAGTAGTAGTATTACTCTCGTATCCTCGACCTCTCGTTAACAACAAGGACTCTTTACTTCTCTCGTACGTTCTCTCTTCCGTCTCTCCACTCCTCGTCGTCACGATTGCCTCCACCACGCAGTTTCTCGCGCACTTTAACACCGGCTCCACGTGTTTTTTGAACACTTCTTCCGCCTTCCCTCTTCCCGCGGCTGGATTTATAAACACCAAAAATCGCCCTCTCTTGTTCATTCGCTGATGTTCCAACCCGCACTCCTCCTCTATTCGTTTCACGTCCTCTAACGCTTCGTCCAAAGACTTGTATTTGACCACGTGAACGTTCTTCTTGTGTCCAAACCGTTTCCCACTGTTCCCTTTCGCCGCGGCGGCGCTAAAATCATCTCCCGCGTTTCTCGAAGTAAAAGCGCTCGCGGAGGAGGACAAAAATCGAGGCAACACCGCGTAGTCAATCAACCTCTTCTTTCTCGGAAACGAGGTGATTACGATTCGATGTTGACGTGTTGTTTTCGTCTCCGTCTTATTCTTCTTCTTTATTCTGCTGCCAACGACTAACTCGCACGACACGATGTCCCTTTTTCGAACCACGCAGAATTCTTCGTCTTCGTCTTCCTCCTCCTCCTCCTCCTCGTCAGCAGAGGATTCGATTCCATCTTCCTCCAAAGTCGTTTGCAGTCGCATCACTTCCCCCGCGGCGAAGACTTTTCTTCGTACGTATTCGTCCCCGCCTTTATTCTTTTCCACGTCGTCGAAGGATATTCGGCTCGTTCTTGCTTCTAAAACTCCTCCTCCTTGACCAGTTTTTGTCGTCGCTCCATCCATCGAAGGAAAAGTCGTCCCCGTCCTCGATGCGGAGATCGAATCCAAACTCATCGTCGTCCGTTCTGTCTCCTCCTTTTGTTTCCTCCCTCTCTTTTCGCCTCCTCCTCCTTTTTTAGTGGTAGTGTGAGTATCATCGCGCGCACCACCGAGTGCCCCCCCCGCGAAAGGGGATAAAGACGAGGACAAAGAGGACCCCGACGGCATCCTTGTCAGCACACAGATGGATGGAAAACTTTTGAGGAAAGCGGCGGCTTTTTCCCCATTATTTTATTCATCACATCACTCACAAAAGGGAGCGAGAAGAGAGAGTATTTTTGACTTTGAATGACGACGACGACGATGATTCAGACGACGACGACGAGAGTTTGGTCTTCTTCTTTGTCTTCTTCTTCTTCTTCGCGGAAGAGCAGCAGCCATCGCGGAGGAAGAAGAGTCGTCGTCTCGTTGAGGAGGATTCCTTCTCAAACGTTTTCTAATTCTTCCAACGCTTCTTCTCTTTGCCGAGGCGTTGATGGCGGCAACAGCGGCGGGTTCTCGACGCGAGAACCGGAAGACGAGGACAGAGACGCAAAGTTTGCGCTTTTGTTCGCGGAAACGTTTGAAAACGCGTCGTCTGAATCGTCTGAATCGTCTGACTTGTCCTCGTCCCCTGCTCCGAAGAATTCGCTGTTGGAACTTTTAGAAGAAGAGGAAGAAATTAAAGAACCGCCGGTTTCTTCGCTTTCATCGATTTTGATGTCGTCCTCCAATCGGCTCGAAATCATCGAAAACGGCGATGGCGAAACGACGCGTAAAGCTTCTCTTTCTTCGACTTCCTCGACTGTGATCGCCCGGTGGATTCTCGTGGCGAAATACGGCCACAAAGCCGAGTGCGTTAAGATGTTGCACGAGTGGGCGGACACGGTAGGGCGAGCGGCTGGATTAGACCCGACGCGCGATATTTTACTCGTATCGGGGAATATTGGCGCGAACGAGTCGACGATTGAGTTGGAAATCAGGAACGGGTTGAGCTCTGTCGGGGCTTTCGATCAGTTGATGCGGAATATAGACGTGACGATGCACAGAGAATGGGGGATGCGATTCGCCGAGCACGTCGTGGACGGGACGACGAGGTGGGAGATTTTCACCACGCATCCGTTTGTGAGTGGTAGTAGCAGTACGAGTAGCAACAGTAGTAATAGGAGCAATAGTAAATACTCCAGGCCTGGGGTGTCAAGAACGCAACCGAGACGCGTGCTTTCGCCGCAAAAGAAGACTTCGACGGAAAGTAGAAGTAGCGCGAACGGCGTGCGCCCGAAATACGAAGACATACCGGAGGAGGAGTTGATGAAGTACATAGGGAAAACGTTACCAGACGGACGCCGGGTGGTTGAAAACGCGTTCGGTGTTCCAATGGTTATCAACCCCGGAGATATCTTTTTTGATTGAAATGATATTTCTATATAGTACGTGTGTGTAATATATAATTAAAGAAACACGCATCTGCTGCGCGATTATTAATACCTGTGTATGTATGCTTGCATTCTAAAATACTATTCCTATTTCAATGGTAGTCTGATTTTTGCGATTGGGAGAGATCCATGTCCAAATCGTCCATATCGAAATCGTCCTCGTCCTCGTCCAAATTCTCTGCTTTGGCTAATTGTTCCGTGAGATTCGACCTTTGTCGTCGATGTCGATTGTACGCTTCGTCTCCGCCTCCGTTCAAAGGAACACCTCGAGGTGGGAGCGGAGGTTTTTTATCCGTGCTCGCATCGCCACTCGCTACTCCAGAGCTCGTTCTTCGTAAGCTTCCGCCCACAGACGTCCCTCCACCCACTTTTTCTCCGCTTCCGCTCGCGCTCGCCGGCGACGTACCTCCCACGCCCGGCGGACACGCCAACGGCGTTCTCGGTTGTTGACTTGGCGTCGATAAACTCATCGAATTCGTCGGACTCGAGCTAAACACCCCGGCGGCCATCTGCCTCCTCAACGCCGCTGCTCTGACCGCCTCCCTCGCCGCTCGATTTCGTTGGACCGCGTACGCCCTCCTCGCGGCGTCCGGATCCTCCTGTTCCATCTTCGCCTTCATCTGCCTCACGTGATCCGGTGTTAAACCTCCCGGTAAACTCTCCCTACACATCGGACACTGCGAAAAATCGTTCGCGCGACACTCCCCCAGACAGCTCCTGTGAAATCTGTGCGTGCACGGTAAAGTATAAATCTCTTTCTTCTTTCTTTGCTGATGTTGTTTCGTTTCGTTCTCTTTCCCGTCCTCGCCGTCGTCGGTCGTCGTCGTAGCGGTACTCACAACGAGACTCGCCAAATCTGCCCGACTGACTCTCGGAGACTCCACATCGTCCAGTCTGCACATGCATATCGCGCACACTTCGCGTTCTGGAGACGACGACAGGTTTGAAAAAAATGGCGACCCTCCTTTGCTCCCGTTTGATGACGATCTCGGCGATACGCTCGTATTTCCAATACCTCCAGGCATTTGCAGTAAAGGAGGGGACATTCGAGCTCTCGTCCTTAACTGCGATAAATTCTGCGGCGTTTGAAACGATAACGAAGGAGAGGTGGAAAATGAAGCAGCAGTTCTGGCATCGTTCTCCTCTGTAGTAGTGGTCCCAGGAGTCGTGTCCGCATTGTTCGTATTCATCATCAACTTTTGCGCGGATTCAAATTCCCCTTTTTTCCCACGACGGGAGGGTGTGAAAGATGAGGACGCTAATAAATCCAGCAATTCGTCGTGCGAATTCGGACGCGAATGAAGCGCATCATCGACTGCAAACAACGACGACGATTCAGACGCCTTCGTGGTCATTGCAACGGTGGTTGTGTCTTCCTCTGCCGTCATTTTTATGAAGCGAAATTTTGAATTTTTAAGTCTTTTCCAAAGCGGTTTGAAATCCTCGAAGCGGACACAAAACGTGGTGTGTTCGCGATATAGTAGTACATTACGCTTTTTATTAAACTCTTTTCTCTCTCTCCCTAAACCCTACGCGTGGTAATAGAAGCTATTCTATCCTCTCCCTCTCGAGTAGTAATCGTACGCGTTCGGGTTATAATTCATACCGCCGTTGAAGTTGTTGTTGTTGTTAAAGTCGTCGTCGTTCGACGGATATCTAGAAGGCCTGTTGTTGTCGATATCCTTTCTTTGCTCTCTCACGCGACTCTCGTATTTATCTTCCATGGTGAGATAAACGTCGGAGAGAAAGATGATCAACAGAGCAAGGATGAGCCCGAGGAAAATATACGCTCGGAAGCGCATTAAAGAGACGCACGTGGAGTGGAAGCAGTTGGTGTAGGCGAGCGCCACGCACGGTAAACACGGGACTAAGAAGCAAAAGAATTCGCACAACTCAGCCGGTCGTCGTCGCGGGCGCGAAAAAGTGTGCAAAAAACCGTCCGAATCGTGAAGCGTAAACGGAGAAGACCTTCTCGAAGTCGTCGTCGCGTTTAAAACCGGTTGAATTTTAGTCGCGAATTCAGACATTGGGCTTTGGCACACCTCGCACAAGGTCAGCGTTTGGTTCGGTCGTTGCAGATTTTTCAGATATTTTATCCCGCACTCTCGGTTTAAGTGGATGCCAACTTGGGAACATTTACATCCCAACAAACACGCGCTGTTGTTTTCAATCATCACGTCGGATTTTCGTATCGGTTCTAAGCACACTCTGCACGACGCCACGATTCTGTTTTCCTCCTCTGTCTCCTCCTCACCATCCTCTTCCTCCTCGTCCTCTTTCCTTTTCGCCTCCTCGTTTTTTTCTTCTTCTCTTTCAGCGCTTTGAGAACGAGGCGAAGAAGCAGAAGACATTTCCACTATTACTTCTTCTCCTTCTCGTCGTCCGCTCGTCGTCGTCGAGTTCTCCCTTTCCTCTTCCTCTGCTGTTTCTCGCGCGCTCGATGATGATTGCGCGTTGCCCATCTTTGTCGCGCAAACAACCGCTCGTTGTTGTTCTTATTCGTGCGCGTATTTTTGAAGATACGAAAGACTTTTCCCCTAAAATTCTCTCTCGGAAAGCGCGAGAAATATGCACGCGTGATGCGCGCTTGGTTGTCTTCTTTGTCTTCTCCTTCTGCTTCTGGGGCTTTTTTGTCCTCGTCGACGAGGAACCACTGCTGTTATTACGTTTCCTCGTCTCGATTGAATTCGAAGCGCAGAGCGATAAAGACGAACAACAACAACAACAACAACAACAACAACAACAACAACAACGTGGAAGCGTTCTCGTCGTCTCACGTGAATTCCCCTAAGAGAAGTACTCCTCCGAACGAAAGTAAACATCGCAAAGCAGCGGAACGGAGGCAAAGAGAAGACGAGAGGAAAGAAGAAGAAGAAGAAGATGCTGTGAAAAATGCGCTCTCAAAAGTGAGCGGCTTTTATGAAATTGGAAACGTGGATATATACCGATCCATAGATGCGTGTCAGAAGAAGGTGTTCAAGATGTCCGATTTTAAGACGAGTTTGGCGGAGATTGGAGTGTATCACGGAAAGTCATTTTTAGCGTTAGTTTCCTTGCGAAAACAAAACGAGAGATGCGTAGCGATCGATTGTTTCGAGAACCAAGCCGAGATTAACAGAGACGAGAGTGGAGTGGGTGATTACGAGAAGTTTCGGAAGCACGCGATGAAGTTTTGCGAGGCGATGAAGGAAGACTCGAAATTCGTATGGGACGGAGTCGTCGACTCGGACACAAACATGCCGAATTTCATCAAAGTCATCTCGAAAGACTCCACGAAATTGACCAAGGAAGCAGATTTTAACGAAGACGACGACGGTCCGGTGCGAATCTTCTCCATCGACGGATCGCACACGGTAGAGACGACGTTGCGCGATTTATCGTTCGCCGCCGACGAGTGTTTGCACGAACAAGGCGTCGTCATACTGGACGATTGTTTCAACCCAGATTGGCCCGGGTGCATCTCAGGACTCGCAAAATATCTCGACTCATCCAGTAGAATCGTCCCATTTGCCATCGCCTACAACAAAGTCTACCTTTGCGCGCCTTCTTTAGTCGAAACGTATCAAGCGCACGTAGCGAGAGACCGGAACGTTTGCGTGCGTAAAAAAGCGAGTCTCTTTGGACACGAGTGCTTGGTGTGCAAACACGGCTGGTTGCACACCTTTCACGGGAACGACGACACGTACTCGTAATAATAGTGAAATAGTAATAGTGTAATAATCATCAACGCGCGGCAACTGTTTTAGCAGATTTCTTGTTTCTTTCCTCAGAAAAAAACACTCAAATGCCGGACGACGACAACGACGATGAGTTGTTAACTCTGAACATCGCCGGCGCCTCTTCTTCTTCCGACGTTGGCGAGGACGATAGAAGTCGTGGTGGTGGTCCTAAAGGTAATCCGCGCAAGCGAACCGTCGCTCGAGGGAAGAAAAAATGGCAAGGCGGGAAAGAGAAGCGGCGGGGAAACGGTGATGCAGTCGGAGGAGGAAACGGGGAGCGAAGAAGAAGAAACGACGACGACATGAACGAAAAGAGAGGAGGAAAAGGAGGCGTCAAAGAGACGACGACGACGATAAACAGAACAGGGCGGAAACGACTCGTTCTCGACACCCGAGCAGAGGAGGAAAAGGAGGAAAAGGGGAAAGGTGGCGGCGGCGTTTCCACTTGGGTGAAGAAACCAAAGACGATTCAGACGACGACGAAAAGTAAGAACGGAGAGGACGAAAGAGAAGAAGAAGAAATGACGGCCAAGGAGAGGTTCTTGAAAAACTCTCGAGAACACAAGGAGAAGTTGTTGCTGAACAACGCGGGAAAATCATCGAAAGAGAAGATGAGCGAATTGGTGGAAGTTGAGAAAATGGAAAACGAGAGCGGCGACGAGGAAGAAGAGGCGTTTAATCCCGCAGATTGGGCGAATTTGATGAAGAAAGCGACGAGGAAAGACGAAGATGACGATAACGGTGAGTCAAAAGAGGAAAAGAGGAACGGAGAGAATAAGAACGAGAAGAGAGACGCGGCGCCGCATCGGGATCGGGTGTTTGATAGCAACGCGACGACTGCGAAGTCGTTCGCCGAGCTCGGCGTTCCGGAGACGCTGATTAAAGTCATGTCTGAGTCTGTGGATTTACAATTTACGACGCCAACTTTGGTACAACAGTTGGCAGTGCCGTCGATTTTAGCCGGGAAGGACTGCTACGTTCGAGCGGAAACCGGGAGCGGTAAGACGTTGGCCTACGTTTTACCGATAGTTATTAGTTTAGGAGTAGCGAAGCCTAGAATCGAGAGGAAAGATGGAACGAGAGCGTTGATTATCGTGCCAACGAGAGAGTTGTCCACGCAAGTTTCTTCATTTATCGAGAAATTATCGAAACCGTACCATTGGATTGCCACCGGATCGGTTCACGGCGGCGAAAACAGAGCGAAGGAGAAGGCAAAGTTGAGAAAAGGGTGCGTCGTGTTATCCGCCACCCCGGGGAGACTGTTAGATCACTTGCAAAATACTGCCGCTTTTGTATTCGTGAATGTCAGTTTTGTCGTTTTTGACGAAGCCGATCGCGTTTTAGATTTAGGATTCGAGAAGGATATCGACGCTATTTTAGATATCATCGAGCGAACGAAAAAGGAAGCGCGGGCGGCGTCGGCGTCGCCTCCATTTTCACAAATGACGTTGCTATCGGCTACTTTGACGCCAGGCACAGACCGTTTGCGAATGAAAATGCAAAATGCGGTGACAGTGGACGTTAACCCAGAAGCTGATCGCGAGATTGAGTTTGTTCAAGGAGAGGACGACAACGAGAACGACGAGGACGAAGAAGGGTTGATGAAAGCAATGGCGAGAGCTTCCGGGAGAGCAGTTGATGGCGACGATGGGAAGAATAGAAAGATTCGCGTGCCTTCACAGCTCACGCATACTATATTTGAAACGCCACCGAAATGTCGAATGGCAGCTATCGCCGGTTTACTCGCCGGATGGGCGATGTCTGATTTGAACAAAGTCATCGTGTTCCTCGCGAGCAGAGAGTCCGTTGAGTATCACTACGAAATCTTGTCCTGGTTAGCTGGGCAGAAGAACGACGGAGAAAACGATGAAGAAAACGACAGCAGCAGCAGCAGTAGCAGCAGTAGTAGTAGCAGTGGCAGCGCGAGCGGTGAAAGCGATTCAGACGACGATTCGGACGATTCGGACGATTCGGACGACGACACCGACGCAAAGAAGAAGAAGGAGAAGAAGAAGAAGAAAAAGAGCAATAAAAAGAGAGGAAGCGGCCTCTACGAAGTCTTTCGTTTACACGGCGCACAAAAACAATCCGAGCGTCAAAAGACAGTCTCTAGATTCCAGTCCCAAAAAAGAGGCGTCCTTTTGTGCACCGATGTCGGCGCTCGCGGTTTAGATTTCGACAACGTCGGCGCGACTGTGCAAGTTGACCCTCCGGCGGACTCGAAAACGTACGCGCACAGAGTCGGTCGAGCCGCGCGTCTAGGCAACGACGGCGAAGCCGTTCTTTTCCTCGGTCCAAAAGAATTGGAATTCGAAGACACGTTAAAAGAAGATATCGAAGATCTCACGTTTTCAAAGGCAAAGTTAGGGGCTGTTTTGGACGTTCTCGCGCAAACAACCATGCGCAAATATTGCGGCAACAACAAGAATCCTTCCTCGCGAAACAACCCAACGGAGCACATCGCGGTCAAAGCGTTGCTTTCCGCCGCGGAACGAAAGATGCAATCCGACCCAAGTCTCAAATCTCGCGCCGAAGACGCCTTCCGCTCCCACGTCCGAGCCGTCGCCGCCTACCCGTCTGCGCTCAAACACATCTTCCACGTCAAACGCTTACACCTCGGCCACGTCGCCGGCGCGTTCGCTCTCCGCGAAGCGCCAATCTTGGTCGGTAAAAAAGGCTCCGCCGCGTTTTCCAACGCCAAAAAGCTCGATAAAGTCACCACCGAGCGTAAAAAGAGAGAAAAAGAGAGTCAAACGAGGAAGAAACGCCTGCTCCGAAAGTTGGCGACGAATCCCAGTAAACGAGGTCACGCCCCCGTCGGCGGTCAGATGTAATAGTATTTTGTTCCTTTACGAGATTCGAACTGATTAGAAACGGATATATGTTGGAACGTTAATACGTTCTGCAGACTTTCCTACTTTTGAACATCTCAGACAACATCTGTTTCTCATACGGCATATAAAATTGAAGAAATACAGAGACTCACTGTCTTCGCTTTCGACGCGCTCGTCCTATTTGATTTCACACTTTCCTCGGTGTAAACCAAATCTTCATTTTTTTAAATCATCTTCCCCTTTGCTGAGTCACAAAAACCACACGAAAAGCTCTCACTCACTCTCTCTTTCTCTCTTTCTCTCTTTTAACGGACGAACGTACGAATGACACCTTTACTCTCCTTTTCTCCGTTCGTCGTGTCGTCGTCATCGATGCGTCGGAGACAGACGTCGTCGTTTACGTCTGAATCGTCTGTATCGAGAACAAAAAGATTGATTTTAAAATCATCGAGCAAAGTTGTGGGGGGTGGAGGCAATCGCATCTCTCACGTGATGATGATGGTCAATTCTTCGTCTACGTTTTTTATGAACAACCAAAAACGGCGACGAGGACGAGGAGGGCGAAGAATGACGGATGAAAGACTCGTGATTAGTAATAGCAGTGGTAGCGCGACGGCGGGCGGAAATGATGACGAGAACAATGATAAAAGTAGTAGTTGTTCCTTGAAATTCATCCAAGAAATCAAAGAGAAAATGGACGACCCGTTAGCCGAGTCCAACGCGACTGCTTTGGCGTTAGTCTTTTTAACCGTGTTAGCGGTGGTTGGATACATCTCCAGTGGGTTAGGGTCGTTAAACGCCACGAATAACATTCAAGTCGCGCTTCAGTTGGTCGTACAAGCGGTCGCAAAAACTGGGTTTACCGCCGCGTTTGCGTTGATTTTTATATCGGAATTGGGAGATAAGACGTTTTTCATCGCCGCGTTACTGGCGATGAGAATGGGACGAATGCCGGTGGTTATTGGAGCGACTTCGGCGTTAGGGTTGATGTCAGTGATTTCAGTGGTCATTGGAAGAGTGTTTTCGGCGGTACCGGCGAGCTTTTCGAATACAATTCCCATCGGCGAGTACATCGCGGTGGCGAGTTTGTTGTTCTTTGGGTTGAAGTCATTGAAGGACGCGAGCGACATGCCAAAGAAGACGAACGCGGGCGGAGATAACAACAACGGAAATATTAAAGTGGATAAAGATGGAGTGATCATTGAAGGCGCGTTGGCGGAAGCGGCCGAGGACGTGTGCAAAGCAGAATCGAAGATCAAAGAGTCGGACGGGAAAGGGACGACGAACATTCAAAACATCATCGAAACGTTTTGCTTAATTTTTGTCGCCGAGTGGGGGGATAGATCCATGTTGGCGACGATTGCTTTAGGCGCGGCGCAAAATCCAGTCGGCGTGGCCGTAGGGGCAACGGCTGGACACTTATTTGCGACGTTCATTGCGGTCATCGGCGGAAGTTTGATTTCGAAGAAAATTTCCGAACGCTTCGTCGCGTTTTGCGGCGGGTGGTTGTTTCTGCTTTTCGCTTTGTTCACCGCTATCGGCGTCTTTTAATTCATATATTATTATAAATCTGTGAGAGTCATTTTCTATTATTTATTATCATCTCGGTTGTTGTTCTTAAGATTACTACTAACCACACCGTACCAGGTATATAATTATTCCGGTAAAATCTTCGACAACAGCGCAATCAAGACAACCCCTGCTAACGCCCCGGCTAAATGCGCGACGTGATTCACTCCGCCCGCTCCTACGCCTCCAACTTTTCCTATCATTGCCGCTTCGTTCAAAAATCGTTCCATCACAAACTGACCGAGCACGACGACTTCCAAAATCCTTTTCCATTCAAACTTAAGCTTGACTAAAACGCTCACGGCGAACAGACCAAACACCGCTCCCGAGGCGCCCAACGAGACCGTCGCCGCCGCGCCCATTCCTAATACCCCACCCACTGACTTTGGCAACATCAACCACGACGCCAACGACGCGCCCGTTCCGGTCGCTACGTACGAACACCACACACCAAACGCGCCTTCCTCTTCTTCGATCAACTTGCCGAATATGTACAAGAAGAAAATATTCGACGAGAGATGATCCCAACTGGCGTGGCAGAAGGTGCACGTGACGAATTGCCACCACGTCGGATCCACGTGGTTCAAATAAAACATTTTCATCATTGGAAGTTGCAACCAATGGTCCAACGCGAAGAATAAAAAGTTGAAGAAGAGTAAAGCAAAGACGCCGTTGTATTCGTTTTGTTTGTTATTTTGGTTGTTGTTTCCCAGGACGTTGACGGCAGTGCCGACGACTTTTGTCACGTCTTTCGGGACTTCTTTGGAGTATTTCTTCATGATGTTCGAGACGTCTTTGAAACCGTCTCTGTTGTCGTCTTTGCCAAACGCCGCCGTTGGTCTCCTCGGATTCATTCTCCGTCTTCTTCTTCGTCCTTCTTCTTTGTCTTCTTTGGAGCATAAAAAAAGCGACCACGGCGACGATGATGAAAATGCATTCCCCCGAACAGTATTCCCCTCGTCGCTCTTGTTGTTCCGCAAAGCCACCGTTTCTCTTCCCCGCACTCGGCCGCTGCTTTTGCCGCTGCTGCTTCCGACAAAAAGTCTCGTCGTCGTCGTCTGAATCGTCGTCATCGTCAGATGTTTTTTGTTGTTCTTTTATACTTTTACCGTGTGTTTTGTGTTTTGTGTCTTTCTTCTGTGACGATGCTGTTTTTGAGCGGTTCTTTAATAATACACTCGTCTGCCCCTTTTTTGACGCTTTTTCACAAGGAATTATTGAATCGCAAAAATTGCAAAAAAGCAAAAAAGCTGGATTTTACATGCAGCTGTTTTCGTCAAATTTTGAGAGATAAAACACACGTAAAAAGTGATGATGAGGGCATCGACGCCGTCATCATCATCATCATCATCATCATCATCATCATCAACCTCTTGTTCGACGTCGTCGTCGCAATCGTTTCCTTTTGAGAGAAGACAAAGAAGAAATACTACGACGCATCGTCGAGGTCTTCTTCTTTCGCTTCGTCGTCGGGAAAAGCAGCAGAAAAGGCGACAACAAAAGACGGGGGTTCTGGACACGAATGACGTCGTTTACAACGTCGCGCGATGCGAAAGTGGTGACGACGGTGATGGACGACGAGGACGACGACGAAAAAAGACGCGCTCACATTCGCGCGACGTGCGAACGTTCTCCTCCTCCTCTTCCTCCTCCTCTAATAAAAAAGTAGTCTCCGCGGCGACCGCGTTTGAAAACGCCACCACCTCAGTCTCCATCGATTGGAACTCGCAAATACGAAAAGCGAAAGACGAACGAGTCGGCGTCTTGTTATTAAACTTAGGGGGACCGGAAACGCTCGACGACGTCGAACCGTTCTTGTTCAACCTCTTCGCCGATCCGGATATCATTCGCTTGCCGAGTACGTCTTTTATTTAGAAAGAGAATTTGGTTTTTGTTGTTGTTGTTGTTCTTCTTCGTGTTGAAGATGATGTGTTCTTTTGATTTGATCTTCGTTGTTGCGTACTTCTCTCGTTTCGTTTACGCGCGAATTATTTGTGCGTGTGTATGTGTTTGTGCGCGCGTAATCATCGGAACTTGATGACTCGTGATTATTTAACTGACAAACGACGCGTTTTTCTCCTCTTACAACAACTCGAAAAACAGATGGTTTACAATTCTTGCAAACGTTCGTCGCGACGCTGGTGAGCAAATCGAGAGCGCCGAAGAGCAAAGAGGCGTACGAGTCCATCGGAGGTGGGTCGCCGTTAAGACGAATTACAGACGAACAGTCAGAAGCGTTGAAGAAATCGTTGATATCGAAAGGTTTGACGAACGTGAAAACGTACGTCGGCATGCGATATTGGAAACCGTTTACGGAGGAGGCGATTGAGAATATTAAGAGAGACCGCATCACGCGTTTGGTGGTTTTGCCGTTGTATCCGCAGTTTTCTATTAGTACCAGTGGGAGTTCGTTGAGGCTGTTGGAGGAAATCTTCAGGGAAGATCCAATTTTAAGCACCGGGGTTTTACAACACACGGTCATTCCGTCGTGGTACAGTCGCCCGGGATACGTTTCGAGCATGGCAAAGTTGATAAAAAACACGTTGGAATCTGAGGCGTTTAAAGACGCGCCGGACAAACCGGTCGTTTTCTTCTCCGCGCACGGTGTGCCAACCTCCTACGTTTCCGAAGGCGGCGATCCGTACAAAGATGAAATGGAAGAGTGCGTGAAACTTATCACGAACGAGTTGAAAAAAATAGGCTGCGAAGGGTACAAGCACGTTTTGGCGTACCAATCGAGGGTCGGCCCGGTGGAGTGGTTGAAACCGTACACGGACGACACGATCAGAGCGTTGGGGAATAAAGGCACCAAAGCGTTGTGCGCGGTCCCGGTATCTTTTGTTTCCGAACACATCGAAACGCTAGAAGAAATCGACCAGGAATACAGAGAATTAGCGGAAGAGAGCGGTATTGAATACTGGGGTCGCGTCCCGGCGCTCGATTGTGACGAGGTATTCATCGACGATTTGGCCAACGCCGTCGTAGAAGCTTTACCAGCCAGCACAGCCGCGGCGCTTAGTAACATCACAACCACCACGAATACGAACTACGTAAAAAACTTGGACGATTCCGAGATCGTTCCCTCTAAAAGCTCCGTCGAAGAGCTTTTATCCGTCTACGACAACTTAGACCTGCGCATACCGACGAGGGAGTTCACGTACGAAGCCGACGACGTCTTGCCGTTCGTCGCGGTCGCCGCGTTTTGTTTATTCTTAGGCATTCAAATCAGATTAGGGATGGAAGGGATTTTCGTTCCAGGTGGGGGGATCATACCCAGCGATACGCCGCCGATTTTGTTTCAATAATAATAATATATCATCGAATACTAAACTAAACTCGTATCAAAGCACTGCTTTGTGTTGTTAAAATCCTCACTGTATTGATGCATTTCTTACGTCGTCTTCGTCATCATCATCTTCATCATCATCGATCGATAACACACACTACTAATACTAACACTTTGAGCAGTAGCAGTAAAATGCTCCTCTCTTCTCCTCCTCATCCTCCCGTCGTTGGCAATCTTCGCGCGCGGATTGTGAATCCTTTTAACGGCATTCATGCGGCGCTCTTTCCCCGTCGTCGTCTTTGTCGTTCAACGACGCAAACTTTCGAGTTTAAGAAGAAGAGGAATGCTTTTACCATCGCATCATCGTCATCGTTATCATCGTCATCGTCGTCGTCTCTGGGGGAGAACTCTCTGTGTGGCTGTTCTTATCGTCGCCGCTCTGATGGTACGATGAGAACTAAATTCGCGTCCTCGTCGGTGGCTTCGAAACACCCCATGAAGGGGAGGTTTCGGCATTTTTTTATCGGCGCGAAGAACCGCCATTACCAAAGCGAAACGAAAAATGTCGCGCCGCCGCGCGCGTTGACGAGAGATGGAGTGTACGAGGAGGAAGAGGAGGAGGACGACGAAAGCTTTTACGTTGGGGACGTCGAGTGCATCGTGGACGTGTCGTTCGTGTCGGATGCGGACGGTAACCCGGGCGACGTAAAATTGATGGCGGAGAAGGCGCGAATGGACGAGGGGAAGTTGGAAAAGATGAGGGAGAGATTCGAGAAAGATGCGAGGGCTATTTTGAAACTCTTTGTCGATGCGAGCGGTGGTGAAAGTGATAGTAGTGGTAACTTTAACGTGTACGACCGATTGAGAGAAAATTTAGGGGACGATTTTCCGGAACAACTTTCACACGCGGAACTCTCGGTTGCGTTGTGCGACGACGCATACATTCAAGCGCTGAATAAAGAGTGGAGATCAAAAGATGCGCCTACAGATGTTTTGAGCTTCCCGAGTGGTGGAGAAGAGGAAGGAATTACCGCGTTCGGTCCAATTTGTGTACTCGGGGATATCATTATTTCCGTGGAAACTGCGCGAGCGCAAGCCGAAGAGGTTGGACATTCCTTGGAGGACGAGTTGAGAGTGTTGCTTGCGCACGGGTTCGCGCATTTGCTTGGGTTTGATCACGAGCTAGGGGAGGAAGAAGAGAAGGACATGCAAGAGCTCGAACGAGAAATCATGGTGGCCTTAGGGTGGGATTATATCAAAGATGGCGGTTTAATCGACCGAGTTTCATCCTCTTCTTCCGCCTCTTCTTCTTCGTCAGAGGCGAGCAAAAAAGTTCTCGTGGTGGATTTGGACGGCACGTTATTGAACGAAAGTTCGCGCGTTTCAGATCGAGTTGCAAAGGCTCTTCTCGAAGCATCCAAAGACGACTCGACGTTGATTGTTATAGCCACCGGTAAAGCGCGTCCAGCGGCGAAAGCGGCGCTGGCGACAAACCCGCTTTTGAAAGATTCGCGCATAGTTTCCGAGTCGTCGCCCGGGATTTTTCTCAACGGTGGTGCATCCTACGGTGAAAACGGCGTTCCGCTCATAGACGACGCGTTACCCGTAGAGTGCGTGCGAAAAGCTTTCGAGCAAAAATACGACGAAGAGTTTGCGTTGACCGCGTTCACGAGCGACGATCGGTGCTTAGCGTTGCGATCGTCTCCGTTTCTGGACGAACTTCACGAACGATACCACGAACCTAAATGCGAAATATTGGCGACCGTGGACGACATCATCGCCCAAAGTCGAGGCCAAGTGAAGAAAATGCTCCTCATTGGTCCGAATAAAGATGCCGTCGACGATTATTCATCCGAATTTTCCAAATTATTTATCGACGCCGGCGACGGCGCTTTGGTCACTCGAGCGGTAGCCACGATGCTCGAAGTTGTCCCAAAAAATGTCGACAAATCTCGAGCACTCTCCGCTTTGCTCGATAGTCTAGTCTTAGCAAACGAGAGTAGCGATAGAAACTATCGTCTCGTCGTCGTCGGCGACGGCGATAACGACGCCGGAATGATTGAATTCGCCGCTTCGATGAATACGGACGGAATCGAAGGCTTTGGCGTTGCCATGGGTAACGCGAGCTTCTCGTCTAGGAACGCGGCATCTGTCGTTCTGGACGAAACGAACGCGGACGACGGCGTCGCCGTCGCCATCGAGCGGTTCATTTTGTAATATGTGTATTATTTATCATCCATCGCAAAAAGGTCTTAATAAAAGCCAAAACCAACCCCTCGGACAAAACAAAAAAATATTCTCTCGGAAGACGAGACGACGACGTCACACTTTTCAAAGCATCATGCGCGAAGAAGTGCGAGGAAGTCCTTCGCGTCGACGTCGTCGTCATCTCTCATTCTATGTTTTCGTGTTCATTGTGGTCCTTTTCTTGGCTTTTCGCGGGGTCGCGTGTAGTAGTCTTCATCAGGAAGACAAAGATACAGAAAAAGGGCGGACGACGAACTCGTCGTTGCTACAAAAAATACGCGGAGGAGGCAATTTTGATGAGAAAAAGAAGTACATCGTCACGCTAAAGTCACGCTACGAGAGCTTTAAACTGTGCAAAGAGAGGAAAGAATTCAATTGCAAGAAGGCTTTCCGTTCTGGGTTTACCGTTTTCGCGACGGAACAGGAGTTGGAGAGGATGAAGTTGGATCTGGACGCTTCGAGGATCGAGGATATCGAAGAGGACGCGATCGTTTCGAAGATGTCGCCGCCGTGGCATTTAGATCGAATCGATCAAAATTACTTGCCCTTGGATAATCGTTTGTCGTTTAGCGATCTGGATGGTACGCAAAGAGGTGAAGGCGTTTATGTGTACGTACTCGATACTGGAGTGCAATCTAAACACGCAGAATTGCGCGGGAAAATCGATTCGCACGTGACTGCGCTCGATCCAGATGAAGACAATCTTCTGGATCTCGATCCGGATGGTCACGGTACTTTTTGTGCCTCATTGATTGCAGGTCGCACTACTGGCGTTGCACCTGGAGCAAAAATAGTGTCAGTGCGCGTGTTAAACTCGGATGGAGCGGGAAGCGTTTCAGATGTAGTCGCTGGACTCGAGTGGACCAGCGATCAAATCCTTTCGAAACAAGCGGAAAATAGCGATATGTTTAAAGGTGCGGTAGTTTTACTCGCCCTTGGAGCTCCCATTGGCGTCCGTTCCAGGGCGCTTGAAAACGCTGTGGACAGGTTCGCTCGAGAAACGAACAGTTTGTTGGTGACTGCGAGCGGCAACCAAAACGCGGATGCGTGTGCTTCGGTGCCAGCGAGAAGCTCGAGATGCATGACCGTAGCAGCTACGGATAGCAGAGATATGAATTACGCGTGGAACAATTTAGGAAGATGCGTGGACGTGTTTGCCCCCGGGGTGAGATTGGTAGGTGCGTGCGCTGGTCAAAACAGGTGTACAAAGAAGAATGAAGTAGACGCGATTACAGCAAAATCATCTCACAACGATGACGACGATGATATCGAATCGTTATACGGCTATCAATCTGGCACATCTATGGCAGCTGCCGTCGCGGCTGGAGCAGCAGCCCGTATTCTTTCAGAAAATCCTAATTTCGGGGCCGAAGAAGTAAAAGGGATCATCATAAGAAACGCGACGCGGGGTATCGTTGTACTCGGAAGTTCATCTGTGCTCTATACGGTGACCTACAATCGTTTACTCCGCTTACATTGAATAAATAAGAGAGAACAAAAACGAACGACGCCATGCAATACTAATAAAATATAAAATGAATTGCTATAATCATCTTGCTGCCGAAAGCTTTTGAGAAATTAATACGTAGGAATCAACGCCAACCGCGAAGAATATACCGTTATTCGTTCCCGCACTCACTCCCGACTTTCCCGTATACGTTGGCGCCAATATACCAATCACGGCGCCACCAGAATCGACCAGCACACCGCCGCCACCTTCGTTTGGAAAAGAAGCCGTCGTTTGAATACAATTCCGCAACGGGCGACCAGTCGCGGAAGGCACTGTTCTATTCAACCCCGATACAATTCCAGAACGAATTACTGAATTCCCGATATCTCCACCACCTCTTCTGGAAGACTCCTTAAATGCCGCCAAAGCATCCTGCCCGACTTTCAAATTTCCCGAACGGCCAATCTTAGCCGCTTTCGGCGGCGGAGCGCCGGCGTTGTTTCCCTCGACTTTATTCACTCTCAGGAAAGCGATATTCGTATCGATGTCGCTAAACGCCACCGTCGCGGCATACTCGCGTCCATCCGCAAACTCAACTTGTAAACTCTTGCTATTCTTTGACAAATCCGTCGCCGTCGTGGCTACGTACCAATTATTGTCGTTTGCGGCGATTGACCACACGAAACCAGAGGAGACGAGAAGTCCCGTTTCGCCGTTGAAAACGCTCACTAAAGATTCCAAAATCGTTGAAGCAGCACTGATCGATTTGGATTCGTCCACCAGCATCGCGTGCGCGGCATTTTCTGATGATGATGTTGCGAGTACTAAAGCAGTAAATGTTGGAAGTAGTACCACGTCTCGTCGATGACGTCGTTGTCGTTCACCTCCTCCGCTTTGGTTCTGCGATTGGTGGTCGTTAGGGGATTTGCAAGCGGAAGAATACGAAGAAGAACTTTTAGAAGGGAGTCTTTGTCGATGATTCGACGACACCGATGCGAAGAGAGAGGAACGAAATCTATCGTTCGTGACGCTGCGAGCAGCAATATCAGCGCGAGACGATTGATGATGCGGCGAAGCGAGAGATGGATGTGCGATGAGAGACATTATTTATCCTTGGAGAGAAGTGTGGTACAAGTGCTGTCAACGTGGTGTCAAAAATACGATGTACGGAGTAAGTTTCAACCGACTAAATTTTGCACCCACTTCGTCGTAGGTTTCTCCACGTACTCGTGAACAATCGCAGATAAACCGACGAGCATTATTACGAACGCGATGACGATTACATCGGGGTATCTGGGGTCATCTCCGCCCTCGTAATTTCGAAAACAGTCCGACCACGTGCGAATATGTTCGGCTTGTCGATCGCACGGAGGGAAAAGGTTCATGGAGTGTATTTCCATCGCGGTCCAGTACGAATAGAACGGAAACTGGAGCAAGTATATTGCGAAGGACCACTGACCGATGCGTTGCGGGATTTTCAAATTTAACAATCGGTAGGAGTAGGATTCGGTGCAGGCGGTGAGACCAAACAGCCACGCGGCGACCGGGAGGGTGAGAATGAACTCGTTGAATATGCGGATATTTTTTGAGTCGGTGTGAATACCGCTGAAAACCATACTGGTGATGATCCAGATGGTGAGAAAGAGGCTGAGAACGTCCGTGCGGAAGGCCCATTTTCCCCGATACGATGAGGTTGACGAGTCAGCTTGGTTCGCTTCTCCCGCCTCTTCTTCCTGTTGTTCCACTTTGAGGGCGTCATCGACACGCATTCTTGCAGCACCCAAGAGCATTCCCATGAAAAATAGAGGCAGGCGAACAGGAAACCAAGCTCGTGCGCAAAAGTATGCCCGAACTCCGTCCAGATCTGTATCCAATGCGGTGACCAGAGTAGAGGCGCGACCATTGAAATCTTTATCCTTCCAAATGTTACGAAAGTACGTGGAATTCATGATACCCATCAGGGTGAGCGGTAAGAAAGACGAAAGGTGGTAGAATCGAAGGATATACTTTTTATAACCAGCCAATTCAGCCGAGAGGAGCAAAGTTTTGTCAATGCTGTTGTGGATGTTTTCAACAGTCTCCTCGCCACCTCCGCCACCGCCACGGAAAAATAGTCTCTGTTTGATTCGGTCAACGAGAGAGCGCTTGTTGATTGATGAAGCAGCCTGTTCTTCGATCTTCTCCTCCAAACTCGCAAGTTTTCTGCACATCCACGGAAAGCAAAAGTAAAAGCCGAGCTGACAAGATAAACTCCAGCACACGGAGTTCCAGTAACAGAGCGAAAAAATCCACGAGTGCATCAAGAAAGGCGTTAAAGCAATACCCATAATAAGATTGACTTCTCCGCTTTTATTTTGCCAAAAGTTATAATCGTCTCTTATTTGCGCGTAATTTAAGAACACAAATGGTGCATACAAAACTAAACATATCCAGTGCAGAGGCAAGGCACGAGCGTATCGTCGTTTGATAAACGTCCAATAAGAGAACGTCTCGGTATCGCAGACTTTATGCCGATATCCCACGTATAAAACGAATCCAGTAATCATGAAGAAGGTACTCACTGCGAGACCTCCTTGAAAATCGATTGGCACTTGATTTTTGGAGCCATAAAATAGTAACCAGTGTCCAGACGCGATTTGAATCGCCGTAATTGCTCGAATACCGGTGATGGCGGAAGTATCAATTTTCGGTGGCTTTGACCAAACTTTTTTCTCCTTTTTCTTTGCGTCGCTCATAATTTCTGCTTCACCTTCTTCCGTCGCACTTGGTGCCATGTCAATCACGCGAGAGTGTACAAGGTTGCAGGTATGAATTGGATCATCTCTGATCGTCTCGTCGCGGTTGCGTCTAAGAAACATCGTCGTCGAAGCGTCGTCGAAAGTGAAGGAAAAAATTTCTCACACGCTTCTTTTTCTGTTTTTTCGTTGTTGTTGACCGCCAGAAATAAGCCCGTTATCTTTTTCGAATCGCTTGCTTCTCTGTCGATGATAGATAAACAACGCGCGAAGAAGTACAACAACGATAAAAAAAGCACCGGCAGAAATACCTATAGTCTTGGCGCTTGCAATTTTCTTCAGTGGCGGTGATGGTGGTGGTGATATTGCAGTTCTGATAGGCGGTATCATTTTGCAAGTGCCCATCTCAAACTGATACTTCTCACTGACCTGGGAAGAAAGTAGGACTCTTCGCCGCAGTGGCGCTGGTGGTGCAGATGGAGAGCTTGGCGAGCTCGGACTGAATGGAGCGGACGGTGAAGCTGGCGAAAGTGGTGATAGTGGTGTTGATGGTGTAGCCGGTGGGAGCGGCACCGGTGGCGTAGAAGGTGTCGATGGTGAGTTTGGTGGTAGTGGTGATGACGGTGTTGATGGTGAAGCCGGTGGGAGCGGCACCGGTGGCGTAGAAGGTGTCGATGGTGAGTTTGGTGGTAGTAGTGATGACGGCGTTAATGGTGAGCTTGGCGTTGACGGTGAGCTTGGCGTTGACGGTGAGCTTGGCGTTGACGGCGAGCTTAGCGTTGACGGCGAGTTTGGCGTTGACGGTGAGCTTGGCGTTGACGGCGAGTTTGGCGTTGATGGCGAGCTTGGCACAGGTGGAGAACTTGGTGTTGATGGCGAGCTTGGTGCAAGTGGTGAGCTTGGCGTTGACGGTGAGCTCGGCGAGAGAGGTGACAATGGTGCCGATGGTGAGCTTGGTGAGGCCGGCGCCGATGGTATCGATGGCGAAGGAGGTGCTGGAGGAGATGGACTCGGTGGAGGTGAGAGAAGAGGATGACTTGGTGGTGGTGATAGTAATGGTGGTGGTGGCAAAGGAGGAGAATTTGGTGGCGGTATTAGCGGTGGCGGTGGTGGAGAAGGATATACAAATGTTGGAGAAAATGGAGGAGGCTGTAACGGAGGAGATTCTGAAATTTCCGGCATCGGTGGCGAAGGAGGTGAGAACGGCGGCGGTACAAATGACGGCATCGGCGGCGGTGACAGTATTGGTGAAGGCGGTGGCGTGAACTCACCATCCTCTTCACTACCAGTGCCAGTAGCACTATTATCGCTCTCTCCAACACCATACACTTGAATAAATCCATCTCCAGAAGACGCCGACGCGTACATAACATTATCCAACCCGCCTTCGCGTAAAGCGTCGACAACGTCCTCCGCCGGTATCGTCGTCAATCTGTTTCCTTTTTCCGCCGCTTCAACTAACGTCTTTGTCAAAACTCCAAACTTTATAAATACAACTTTCATCGCGCTCTTCGCGCTCCTCGACTGACTTTCGCCCGCTCCTCTCACCTCGAGCGCTTCCACCGTCCGCGCGTCCACATCCATCACCTTCGCCACGGCGCTTGCAAATCTCGCCACATTCATCGCTAAATCATCCATAAAACTCGCATCATCGTACCCGTGCAATCCGTATTCCGCTTCAACTCGGTATTTATACTCCGCAGATCGATACATGTACACACTTTCATCGTCCTCCTCCGATTCATCCTTCTCGCAAAACGCCTCGTTTTTCACGCACTGGTAGTTTGCATAACACGGACTGCCCACCGGGAAGGACCCGATTTTGACCCCACTCCCTTCGAGCGCATTTGCGCTCAACTTCTCGACAAACACGCAAAATAATAATACTAACCACATCGTCGTACTCATCGCGAGCAATGATGCCAAAACAGGAGGGGGCAAAAGCACACGTACCATTGTCTTTGTCTTCTTAAACTTCGCGTATTTTAAAGTGAAGCTATTTTTGGCTCTTTTTAGATACAAAAAATGCACTCGAGAGTGAACAAAACGTTCTTCATTTACTCTTGACACACAGAGAGAGAGAGAGAGCGAACGAGCGGAGTTTTGACGCGAAAGGGGTGTTGTCATTGTTGTAATTGTGCGCGCGAAAGAGGCGATAGAGCGTGAGAACAACACACCATTTTACTTTAAGATCTTTGTGGTTTTAGGGGTGTTGTTTGTTGTTTCGGGAAAGAAGTAACAACCGCATTCATTTCATGAAACTCATCCACGAAAAGTTCGAACGAGACGGCAAAGGTTCGGTGAAATGTACCCCGGAAACCGAGGACGACATGTGGGATGTGTACAATTTGCTCAAGGTGGACGATATCGTCCACGCGACGGCGACGAGGAAAGTGAAAGCGTCCGAGATGGAATCTTCCGGGGCGAACGTGAGAGATACCTCGTCGAAAGTTATTAAACTAAACTTAGGCGTGAAAGTGACGAGCATCGATTGGGATCCAGATTTGAGTCTCGTGAGGGTTTCGGGACGGAACCAAACGGTGAGCGAATACGTGAAGCAAGGCGCGATGCATACGTTGGAGTTGACGACGCATAAAGCGGTGACGATCGAGAAGAGCGAGTGGGACGGGGAAGACGTGAGACGGTTTCGAAAAGCTTTAGAACCGAACGTGCAAGCGACGATTGTAGCGATGTTGATATCGGATGTAGGTGAGTGTCGCATAGTGTTGTGCGGCGGCGCTCGGACGACGGTAGTCGCGAAGATTGAAAGATCGATACCGAAGAAGAAAGGGGTAGGGGCGGTAGTTGGGCACGAGAAACAGTTGGGTAAGTTTTACGAGGATATTTGCGACGCAGTATTAGGCAGCGGAAGTGGTCACGCGTCGTCGTCGTTGTCAGCGGCAGCAGCGACAACCGACGAGAAGAAGAAGAAGAAACATTTCCTGGAAAATTGCCCAATCTGTTTCATCATCGCAGGCCCTGGCTTTGGGAAGGAGAATATTTTGCAAAAGCTCAACGAACGCTCGCAAAAATTGTATTCTGGCAAAACCTTCGAGAGTTGGCTGAAGTCATCGTTCGATTGCGTATTAGTGAAGAACGTTCGAGCGTCGAGCGCGCACGTGGGCGCGCTTTTGGAAGCGCTAAAAGACCCGTCCACGCGCAAAGCGGTTGGCGCCGCCGCGGAAACGCTCGACGCGGACGTGCTCGAACAATTATACGCGGAAATTGAGAAGTATAAAGCTTTGTATGGGCCGTCGCACGTGCTGAAAGCGTTCAAAGAAGGCGCGATTAAGATGTTGCTCTTATCAGACGATGTATTTCGCACGAAAAATCCAATCGAAAGAAAGTTATGGACGAAAGTTCGCGAGGACGTGGAAAATTCCGGTTTCGGCAGCGCGAGGGTGTTTTCAACCGGTCACGAAAGTGGGGAGAGGTTGAAACAATTGACTGGAGTGGCGGCTATATTAAGGTTTCCAATGGAGGAGTTGGTCGAGTCCGAATTACCGAATCCACCGGATTATAAGAAATGGTTAGAAGATTTGAGCGACGATTAGAATAGAATAAAATTATAGTATTTACTAGCATACAGCGCCGTGATATTCGCACGTTTACGTTTTTTACGATGTCTGTTTTTATCTCTAAACGTGTTTTACAAAGTTATACGTGCGCTATTATTATATATCTACTTAAAAACAAATCTCCCCCTTTTCGTCGTCTCTCGAACTAAAACAACAAATCCTCGTCCTTTTCGTTGGCGAAATCGATCAAATTCCCAACCGGACCGGCGCCGCTCCCGCCTTCGCCTTTGACCACCCCTTCTCCTTTACTCAGCGATTCCTCCTTCTCCTCTCTCTCCTTCGCGTCTTTCTTCTTCTTCGCTTGCACTTTCTTCAACCGAAAAAATTCCTCTCTCTCCAACTCGTCCAACTCCCCTTTAATGTAACTCACCGTATTCTCCAACCTCGGCGTGACTACGTTCTCCAACGCGTTTACGCGTCTGTTGGTCGTTTTAATCGCCTGATCGAGCGTTAAAAACGCCGTCTGTAAACTCGCGAGTTCCACGAGCGTTTGCAACGCCTCTTTGTACGCTTTTTTACACTTTTGAATCTGTTTCCCGCCTCTTCCTAACCCGGTCAATTCGCTCTTACTCTCCGTCGTCGCCGTCGTCGTTCCTGTTTCGCCCGATCCTCCTCCGCTCGCTCCTATCAAGCTCCCACTCCCGCAGGCGTTAAACTTCGGAATCTTCACCCCAGCGACGTTATCCGCGTACGCTCGCACTCGAATCTCCGCTTTCCCATCCACGGAATCTAAAACCGTGTGTTTAATCCCATCTCCACCGACGTATTTCGCTTCCGTCCACGCGAACGACGCGGATTTCATGTTCTCGCCCATGGAGAGTTTCGTTTGGACGATCTTCTTTAGGATTTGTCGATAGCGGAGAGACAAGGCGTCGGCTTTTTTCTTGAGCAGTTTATACCCGCGTTGGGCGCCGATGAGGCGGTTTTTGACCACGGCGAGGACCGTGACCGTTGGGACCACGTTTAAGCGGTTCGTCGTTGACATTATTCGTCTTCTTCGTTTAATTTATGTGTTCTCTTTAACGCGCTTTTATCTTCGCTAAAAATGGCGATTTTCGCTTCCAATTTCACCACAGAAAAGAGCGCTTTAAAGAGAGAGAGAGAGGCTCAATCATCAAACAAAACGGCGAAGAAGAACATGACGACGACGAAGAGTGGTGGTGTTATTAAATGCTTCATCCCGCAAACCATCTCCTCGGACGTGAAACTGCGTCAAAAAGTCCTCTCCGTCTTTAACAAACGACGATCCGATTTCCCGAACGAGGCGAAGTACAACGACTATTTAGAACACGTGGAAGAGATCGTATTCAACGCGATCGAAGGCATCGCGAGCGCGACGGAAACGGAGAAGATTTTACAAAAAGAGAAACGAGAACATGCGAAAGAGATTAAAGAGAGGAAAGAGAGGAATATGGAGGAGGACAGAGTGAGCTGCCCGGAGAAATTTAACGTGGTGTTTGGGGGTGGAGGAGGAGGCGTTGGTGATGCGAAAGAGGCGGAGGACGAGGAGATGTTGCGAATGATGATGGACTATCAGCCGGAAGGTGGTGGTGGTGGTGGTGCGAGTGGACATTCGTTTGTCGCGGAATACACCGAGTACGACGAGACGACGGAGGAAGGGAAGAAGGCGAAGAAGGAGGCGAGTTTGAAAGCGTGCGGATTCGATCCGCTGAAAACGGAGTACGAGAGGTCCGTCGTCGAGGCGTTTCAGACGATACGAGTTTAGATTTGATTTCATCGCGAAAAGGCGCTTCTTATGTTTTAGGTAGTAGTAGTGCGTAGTTTAGTAGTAGTAGTAGTATGTAGTCTCGAGTAGTAGTGTAACATTTTAATAAAAAAGGAGAAGTTTTACCTTCTACGTACAGAGGTACCGGGAGGTACCTCGTCGTCGTAAGTTCTTTTTCTTTGTAATAAAATAAACGTATTTTCTTCTCAAAAGAATACGCGTTTGGGAGATAATAGTAGTACTGGTAGTGGCGCGCAGCTCTCTACCTATTCACAAAAAAATGCCCGTTCGAACGTCGCTGTCTTCGAATTCGTCGTCGTCTTCCTCTTCGTCCATGAGCGCCAACTCGTCCTCTTTGATTTTCTCGAGTTTTGTCTTCACGGCGGAGAAGAATTTACCGGAAATATCCGTCGTTTTGGAAACTACACCTTTGGTCGTGTTCATGGTCGTGCTCGCAATGACCGAGGAGTACTTTGGAATGACCGTTTTGACGGTGGAGTAGGTGTTGACGATGGCGGCGCCCAACCCGGGCTTCTCGGACATTTCGTCCAATTTTTTGGTCAAAATCTCAATAACTTTGCGGTCGCTATCCCAGATTTTCTTCAACTCGGCGTTCTCGCGCATCGCTGCGGAAAGCTTCATTTCGGATTCATTCGCAGCCGCTCGCAATTCTCGTTCGCTCTTTGTCTTTTCCTCCATCATCTGGTTCTTCTCCTCGCGGAACTTTGCGTTCAGTTCTCTTTCTTGGACGAAATCTTGCTTATACGCTCTCGCTAAAACCTCCGCCGCTTTCTTCTCCTCCTTCATTTGCTCCAAAGACTCGCGCAAACTTTGAAGTTCTTCCATTTTGGATTGCTTGAAGTCTTTTTCTGAAGACACGAGAAACTCGTTCAGCTCTTTAATCTCGTCGTCTTTCGCGGCGGTTTCGAGTTCGAGTTCGGATAATTCTCGCGCCAATCGGTTTCTTTGCTCCTTCATGGAATCAAACTCAGAAGAAGCCTTTTCCGCTTTCTCCGTCGCTTCGAGCATTTGCGTTTTGAGCGATTCCGCGGATTGCTTGTACTTGTCCACTTCCACCTTCAAGTTCAACACGAGCTCGCTCGCGATGGCTTTTTGGCGCTTCTTTTCTTCTTCTACTTTTTCTTCTTCGTCTTCTGCTAAAACACCCAAGTTTTTCTCTTCTTCTTCGCTCTTCTTCTTCTTCTCCTCCGTCATCGGAAGAAAATCGTCCGCATCAAACGTCGTCGACGCTTGCAACTCTTGTAAAAAGTCCTCCTCGGCTTCCGTCAACACCGCTCTCTCCTCTTCTTCTTCGTCCTCTGCTTCGTATTCGATGGACAGAGCCGCTCGGTCGACCACCGTCGCTTCCTCCTCCATCATCTCGCGCTCCTCTTCCGTCATCTCTTCCGCAGAAACTACGTGGTCAATAACTGATGATGATAAAGGAGAAGTAGGTAACGGCTTGATGAACTCATCCACCACAGACGACGACGACGAGTCCACCATCGCGTCCCCGTACCTGACCGGACTCGCGGAATCCTCCTCCACGAGACTCATCTTCCCAACCTTCTCGACTCTCGTCATCGCCTCTGCCAACTTCATCCGTTTCTCCAGCTCTTCGTCCATGGTAAACATGGGTAACTCGTCGTCGTCTCCGTCCACCGGTTCGACGCCGTATCTGCGTCGAATATCGTTCAGAGTCATCCCGGAGAGTAAATCGAGTTTCAAATCCAAAACTGCGTTTTTATATTCGCTCGCTTGCCATTCCGCCGTCGTTTCTTCCGGTTTCCCGAACTCTTCCCATCTCACGTACGCTCTTATTTCCGCCAGAGATTCCGGGACGTAAATGGATTGCAAAACTTCTTTCGGTGGGAGGAATTGCCTTCTTTGTTGTTGTTGTTGTTGTCGTCGTTCATCATCGCGACTCGTTATCGTGGTTGACGAACCGTCAAAGTCGTCGTTAATGTGTTCGGTAAAAAACGTTGACGATTTTGACGACGAATTTTGTGATGATGATGATGATCGAGATACAACTCGTCTTCTTCGACTCCCACCACTTTTTGCTGCAAAACGTGGGGCGCCTCTCGTCGTCGTCGTCGTCGCGGGGAGAGAATTTAAGAGGAAGGAAGCCATGATGTGTGCGCGTGTGTGCAGAGAGCAACAGGGAAAAGAGCACTACTCTGAAGAAATGAGTCCGTTAGAAAGAAAGCTGTCACACCTAAATTTGAATTTTTCACATAAACCCTAAATATACCTTTTCTCCTTTTTTTCTTCTTCTTCTTCTTCTTCTTCTTCTTCTTCTTCTTCGTTAAACCACATGCGAGGTTGAATGTACCTCTCGTGAAAATAATAACAACAACAACGAGAAGAAGAAGTAATTATTATATGAGGCGAAGAAAGAATCCACATCCGAAAAGAGCGGTGAACGCGAGGACGGTTTTGAAGGGAGAGAAAGAAGAGAAAGAAGAACCTTTGGTGTTGTGCTCGAGGATTCCTGACGAGGAGGATGATCTCGAGGTGAATCATCATCAGATACGAAAAGAAGAAGAAGAAGAGGGAGAAGAAGAAGAAGAGGGAGAAGAAGAAGAAGAAGAAGAAGAAGAAGAAGAAGAGGGAGAAGAAGAAGAAGAAGAAGAAGAAGAAGAAGAAGAAGAAGAAGAAGAAGAAGAAGAAGAAGAAGAAGAAGAAGAGGTAACTGTTAGGAAAGGAGCGAAGAGAAAGAGAGGGCACGAGTGCGATGTTTGCGGGAAGATGTTTGCAAAACCATCACATTTGGCCACACACATGCGCATTCACACGAACGAGAAACCGTATAAATGTGATGTGTGCGAGAAGCGTTTTACTCAATCTGGTAGTTTGAAAATCCACATGCGTATTCACACGAACGAGAAACCGTACGAGTGTGATGTTTGTGATAAAGCTTTTCGTCAACCTGGTCATTTGGAAACCCACATGCGTATTCACACGAACGAGAAACCGTACGAATGTGATGTGTGCGAGAAACGTTTTACTCAACCTGGTAATTTGAAAAAGCACAAGCGTATTCACACGAACGAGAGACCGTACGAGTGTGATGTTTGTGATAAAGCTTTTCGTCGATCTGATGTTTTGAAAACGCACAAGCGCACTCATCATCATTAATAGCTTAACAGCAAGTTTACATACGCAATACAAAACCTTAAAATAAATGAAGTTTTCCTTTCTTTCTGTGTCTACTTTGCATTACTATTACGACGCATGAGGAGCGCTTCTCGTCTTCGTCTTCTCAAAAGTCTCGGTGGTGGTAAAGAAGACAAAGCAGTAGGAGGAGGAAGTTTGGGATCATCATCGTTCGTATTCTTTCGTCGGCAAACGACGCCCTTTAAAGGGTTTTTGAGTCGTTCGTTAAGAACAACATCAAACGCTCGCGATGATGATGATGATGATGATGATGTAAAAAATCCCCTAAGAAGAAGAGGAGCACACGAGGAGGAGGGCGTGGTGGTTGGATTGGAAATACACCTCCAACTGACCTCGTTGAAAACAAAGCTATTCTCCCCTGGTTCTGTTTTAAGAGTAGATGGTGGTTCTGCAAGTGGTTCTCCTGTCGTCCACGCGTTCGACAGAGCGGAACCTGGCACGTTACCGTCTCCGGTGAACGAAGCTGCGGTGCAATGCGCGTTGAAACTCGCGACGGCGTTACACGCGACGTGCGAGAAAGTCTCCGAGTTTGATAGGAAACACTATTTCTACGGAGATTTACCGCACGGGTATCAGATCACGCAACACCGGAAACCGATTTTGACCGGTGGGAGGATTAACGAAAACGTGAGGGTGGAGCGGGTGCAACTGGAGATGGATACTGGGAAGACTTTGTCTTCTTTGTCTTCTTCTTCTTCTTCCGAAAAGTCTTCGAATGTCGTCGATTTATCCAGAGCTGGAGCGACGTTGTTGGAAATAGTGACCAAACCGGATATCAGAAGCGAAGAGCACGCGGTAGAAACGGTTTCTGATGTTATTCAGATGGCGAGATATTTAGAAATTTCAGACGCAAACATGGAAGACGGATCGATTCGGGTTGACGTGAACGTGTCGGTGAGAAGAAGAAGAAACGACCCCGACAGTAACGATGATGATGCTACTACTAAAAGTACTAGTGTATCATCGGAACGCACGGAAATTAAAAATCTGAACAGTTTACGGTCGATTCGAAACGCAATCAAGTACGAAAAGGAGAGACACGGTAGGTATTTAGACGGCGTCGTCGGCGCGGAGAAAGTTGAGCGAGAAACGCGGTCGTGGGACGAAAAGTTGAACAAAACGATCGTTTTGCGATCGAAAGAATCTCTGTTGGATTATCGATTCATGAGAGAACCAGACGTTTTGCCCATCGTATTAACGGACGAGGAAATTGAGCTCGCGAGAAATTCGGTTCGAGAAATGCCGAAAGCGGCGCTGGAGAGGTTGAAAAACCTCGGCGTTTCCGAAGAGCACGCGAAGTTTCTCTCTTTGCATCCGTCCTCGGTGAAATATTTCGACGATATCGTATCTCTGTGCGTCATTGATGCCTCCGTCTTTCCTTCTCTATCAAAAGAGGACGTGAAGAGCGTCGCAAATTTTGTGTGCGTTGAAATTGTCGGCGCGTTGCGAGACGCCGGGGTGGGTACCAAAGGGAAACCACCGTTTTTAGGCATTGAATCGAAAACGAATTTACACCCCGAGCGCGTGCGCGACGTGTTGAAGTCGCTGAGAGTGCACAAAACTATTTCGGGTCGCATGGCGAAGGACGTGATTAAATTATTAGCTCGAAACGATTCGCGTTCGATCGATGAAATCCTCGAGCAAGAGCTCGGCGGATCGCTCATACAGAACAACAACGATAGCGGGAAAGAGAATCCAACGAAAGAAAAATCCATCGGAAGCGCAGACGAAGAAGGCGAGCAAAATTTAGACGCGACGTGCCAAAGCGTCGTCCAAGACCTCGCGGAAGAACGCGAAGCGATAAAGAAAAATCCGAAAGTCTTTGGCGCTTTCGTCGGCGAAGTCATGAAACGCACGCGAGGCAGAGCCGACCCAAAACAAGTCTCCGCGACGCTTAGAAAACTGTTAGACGAATATTAATGAAGTAGCTACTCCTATTAGAATTGTATACTATCATAATTTAAAACTCTTTTAGCACAGATGATATATTTCCACGTAGATAGAACGCTTCTTCAACAGCCAGCCTCGAATGCTTTCTTTGCCTCCACCGAAATTGGATCGTCCCCCACGTACACGTCCAACAAAGCCTTGGCTAACTCGTAACTCTTAAACGCGATCTCTGTCCTGGAGGACAAAGAACTCTTCATGACCATCGCCACCTCCCCGCCGGTTTCGAGAAACGTAAACGAAATTTGAGCGCCCTTCTCGAGTTTGCCTCCTTTGCCCAAACCATCGCGAATCATCTCCATTTCTTCCAAAGCTCGCTCCTCGCACTCTTCTGAATACTCCGCGGTTGTTGTCATGAAGTTTCCTTCGTCGTCTTCTCTCGTCGCCATGTCCGTCGCGATCCGCGATATTCTCGGCACCAAAGCCTCCTCCAAAGCCTTGAAGAAATCTTTCTCGTTTACGCTCATGTTCAGTTTGATTACAATCTCCTTCTCGAAGTTTCCGTTCAAGAGTAACAACCCCTCGTCGTCGTTTATTGCGTCCTTCTTAATGCTATTCATTTTCGTCTCGTCCGCGTACATTCCAACCGCGTACACTTTGACATTCAATATCGCGATTTTCTTTTCTCGAGAACCGACGCCGAGGAGTTTCAGAGCGTTCGAGGTCTCCGGAAATTGGATTTTGGTTTGAGGTTCGATGACGATGCTCGCCAAACTCTCGGTGAGTATTCGATGACGATGACGATGACTCCGCGGTGATGCTGTTTTTGACGCATGTCGCCTCTCGATATTCGTGATAGGAGTGACAAAGGAGGACGTTTTGGCAAACATATTGATTCGTGCGTGTGTTATCTGTGTGGATTTTGGTGCAACTAAAGATACTCTAAAACGCGTCGCGATCCGACATCACATCATCCTCTCTTCTAACTCCTATTGCTATTATTCAAAACTAACTCTATTCTCTTTCGACTGATTCTTTCAACTGGACGATTTCATCCGGGGTTAAACCTTCGAACGGATCGTCGTCGTCGTCGTCTTCGTCCTCGCTCGGAGGACGAAGAAGCCGCGAGGGCGAGGCGCCGGCGTCGCCGCCGCCACCATTTTTCCTCAAGGCACCAAAACCATTCTTCTCTTGCCTGAACGCTTCCAGCGCTCTCTTTTCTCTCTTTTCCTTTACTACTCTTTTCTTCTCCTCTTTCTTTTTCGCGCTTTGCATTGCAAAGTTGCCGAAATACGCGAAGAGACAGAAGACGCAAAGGACGAAAATACCATTTTCCGCTCTCGAAAACGTTCGATTTTTGTGTGTTTCCACGTCCACTTCCACGTGTGCGAAGAGCGGCGAGGACCATTTTTTAACGTCTCGTTCCGCGATTTCTTCCGCTTTTCTTCGTCTTTCTTTATTGTCTTCGTCTTTGGTGGTGGATATCGACCTTCTACCGCGTGAAAACGGCGAGGACAAAGCTGATGCATTAGGTAAAGAAAGCGGGGGAAAAATCATCATCGTCGGAGAAGACGACACCAGCAACGCTCTGTGCAAAAGAACTGATGCTCGATTAGTAGTATCACGACGAAGGAGAGAAGAGAGCATTGTTCTTTCCTCTACATTCACCTATGTATTATCTATAACAACTGATGCTCTGTTTTGTGCGGATGTTGCTTTGCGTACTTTTCGAGTTCTGCTCGAGTTCTCGTTCGAGTTCTGATTCTAAATTCACCTATTCTATTTTATCTCTAACGGATGATGACGCTCTGTGTTGTGCGGATGTTGCTTTGCTTATACTTTTCGATTGAGCGCACTATATTAATACTCTCGCTTTCTCTCGGCGTTCTCGTCGACGTCCTCGTCTTTCGCGGTAGTAGTATTACTCGTATTCGTAGCATGTTCGCTCTCTAAAACTTCCACGATGGTATCGACCAACCCTTCGGATTCGCGAACGACGTTCAAACCTGGATCGGCAATCTTCCGCAGCAAGACGTCTTCCAACTCTTCTCGCAAGGATTTGAACAAAACGGCGACTCTCGGCGCCGCGCGGAACTTAATCCAGTTGTCGCAGCTCGCGCGGAACTTTTCGTGCTCGACTTTGATTTTACCTCCGAAGAGGAGCAACGGGAACGCACCGATGGCGGTGGCGTCGCGGATGTAAGTTTTGCCGGTTTTCATGATTTCGTGGTAGAGGAGGTATGGTTTTGAGGAAGACGCGTAGCCGGCGCAGACGGAGGACGGGTGCATGTAGACGTCGTCGGACGCGTCTCGTTTCGTTCGGACTTTGACAGTTTGATATGGAAGTTGGACGGATTTGGCCGCGTGTAAGTCGTCGGAGATGGCGACGTTAGGGTATAAGCCGCCGCAGACGACCGCACGAACGAGCGTTTCGTTGGAGGCGTTGCACGAGGCTTCGCGGAGCGCGGCTTCGGTGCGTTGACGACGGTTGGTGGTAGTTACGTCCGTTTGCGCCGCCTGGTGTAAGAAACCCATTTCGTCGAGTAATTCGCAATACTGTTTCCGCACGTCCGCAATCTGCCGCAAACTTACCGCCGATAAGAAGTGCGTGCCGCAATACTTTCTCTCCCCTGAAGCGCCAAACTTTTTCTTCGCCTCGAGCCAACCGGCGAAGGCTTTCACCAACGTCAAGTGATCGCTCGAACCGTCCGGGAGACTCATTTTTTTCTTCGCCGCGTCGGCTTCGTCTCGTTTATCCATCGGTGAAATAAACGGCGATTTGAATCCTACGCACGCGGCAATGGTAAGAATGGGATCTAAAACGCCGAACGCGCACGCATAGACGAGCATTTTGCCGAGTCTCGCGTCCACGGGTAACCCGCCGAGATGGACTCCTAATGGCGTGACATTTTCGCGATCGTCGATGACGTCGATTTCTTTCAGAGCTGTCATCGCAGAGCTGATGGCCATTTTAGACGGCGGTTCTATGCATTTCGATAGGAAAGCTCTCGGGTCGGTAAATCCCAAGGAGTAAATCTGCAAAACCAACGCGTCCAAAGGCGCGCGGGAAATTTCCGGGATTGCGAAATCCTCCAAAACTTCCGCTTCTGTTTTCGAGGAATACAAGTGGAAACAATAACCGGGTTTGACTCTTCCGGCTCGACCCCTTCTCTGCTTCGCCGAAGCTCTGGAAACCCATGCGGTTTCCAACGACGACGTGCGCGTCTTCGCGTTGAATCGAGTCTCTCGCACTTTACCGGCGTCGATGACGTACACGCAATCGTCGATTGTAATTGACGTTTCGGCGATGTTCGTGGACATGACAACTTTTCGAACACCCGGCGCCGGTTTCGAAAAAGCTCTTTTTTGCTCCTCCGCGGTCAGCGTGGAATGCAAAGGTACGAGTAAATACCTTGGTGGCGCATTCTTCTTTTTATCGTCGTCGTCGTCGTCCTCGGTTCGAACCGAGCTTGGAGCGCGGTGCTCGCTTTCATATAGCGACGCGCGCAAGCGATCGTGCAACGCTTTAATCTCGCCCATCCCTGGTAGAAAGACTAGAATAGCGCCTTCCTCGTAATCTTCGGCGATGTGCGTGACGAGCTGTTCGATTAAATCCAAGTTCACGCAATTCTCGTCGACAATCTGCAACTGACGCATCGTGCTTTCGTCGTATTCGCAGTAATATTTCCTCGTTTCATCTGTTATTATTGATTCATCGACGAAACTTCCCGCGGCGTCGGCGAGTGCCGCCATTTGCTTTGACCTGCGATTACCTCCTCCCGAAGCGCCTTTCTTCTTCGCTTGTTGTCCTGAAATTGAAAATTCAGAGTTTGGTTCGCATACGTACCCGCACGCTTCGATGGCATCTTCCAATCGATACTCTTCCACTGGGAACGTTTTGCCTTGCATCGCGACGCTTGGAATTTCACCAGGGACGACTTGTCTGAAGTAATTCCCAAACAAATCCGCGTCGACAGTCGCGGACATCGCGACTAGATGAAAATCGTCTCGTCGGGATGCCACGTCTCGTAAAATAACGAGAAGGAAATCCGAAAGTGCATCTCTCTCGTGGACTTCATCGACAACGACGTGCGAGATGCCGGTCAAGTTTGGATCTTGTTGTAAACGCCTCAACAGAACACCCGTCGTGCAAAATAACATTCGCGTCTTGGCGCTCTGTCGAGACTCCAGACGAATTGAATAGCCCACGGTATCACCAATCTGTTCGTCACGTTCATCCGCGACGCGTTCCGCGACGGCGATGGCGCTGATTCTCCGCGGTTGTGTGATGATGATTGATGTGTTTGCACCGTTTCTTTCGTCGAGTATGGCGTTTTCGTAGATGAACTGCGGCACTTGCGTAGTTTTACCACACCCGGTTGCGCCCGAAATGACGCACGCGCGCGACCGTTTCACGGCTGAAATAACTTCCGATCGAGCTTTTCTCGCCGGTAGGTTTTCGCGAATCTTTTGCATCTGTTTCCACTTCATGGACGATCTCTTCGCGAGCTCTTTTTCGTGAAGCGCGTTGGATATTTCCCTATCCCGTTTCTCTCTTTCGGCTTTTTCTTGAGCCGAGTCTTTCTTCGCGGCGAGGGAGACTTTATCGACAATAGCCGAAGCGATTTCGTCCATATCTTCTTCATTTTCCTCGTTTTCCATCACGTCGTCTGAAGCGGCCTCGCGAGCGTCGTGTTGCGTTTGCTTAATTTTCTTGGCAAGCCACGACGTTTTCTTTATTATTGGTTTCGTCGCCTTTTGTTGCTGTTCTTCTTCTTCTTCTTCCTCTTCTCGTTCCTTTTGTTTCCTCAACATTTCTTCGCGTTTCGCTCTTTCTTTCGCGGCGGCAGCTAAAGCCGCTTCTTCTGCAGCGGCCGCTTCTTCAGCTTTCTTTGCCGCGTTCGGGACGATTTTCTTCTTTTTCTTCTTCTTCAACATCGATACGGCGTTCAAATCGGACGCGGATGACAAATCGACTCGAACCGCGTCTTTAGCGAGTATTTTTCTCTTCTCATGTTCTCGCTCCCACCGTTCTAATCTCTCGTCCATGGTTTGTGGAACAGTTGGAGCTATCGCAGGAACACAAAGTTCCCTCTCTTCTTCCTCCTCCTCTTTCATTTTTTCCTTCTTCATAAGCTCCGCGCAATAGGTGATGCGTTGTAATCGTTCCTTTTCTTTTTCCTCCTCTTCCCTCTCGGTATTTTCTAATCGAGCGTACGTGCGTTGTATGTGCGCACCACGACCGGTCAATCGAAAAGGAACATCCTCATTCTCTCCGTTGCCATTATTACTCTTGGACGCGACTATCAATCTTGAACCTCGTTTCGCTCGTTTAAACTTACCCGGACATTTTGCTTTCAAAATCGCAAATAGGTGTTCTCTCAACCACGAGCATAAGTCGTAAATCACCGGTTCACCTCTGTTTTCGATAACTTTTGCCGTCACAATCGACGCGAGAGCAGAATTGATCGCTCTCTTGGCCTCGTTCGGTAAATATGAATGGCGACACTCGCAAATAGCCGGTTCGAACGGGTATCGACTGTTCTCCGGAAAGTAAACGTCAAGCTCGGCGTTTGGGATTTTGATCCTCTCGCTCTCTTCCACAAGTTCCTCGCTGTTTTTCTCGTCGTCATTTTCTATCGCTATCGCTATTGTCCACGTTTCCACATGGACGTCGTGCGGTCTATCGTTACTAATTTTGAAGTTCTCCTCGCCTTCGATGGATTCCAACGCAGCTTTCTCTTCGCTTCGTAAATCTTGCACGCTTTCGAGTTCTTCTTTGATTACAGCTGTGCTCTCGTGCGGAGGCTGTAAAGACCTCAATAAATCTAAAAACGCGTCTTCCTCTATCCATCCGCTTTTTTCTAAGGCTAACATGGACTCCGCGGTGCCAAATCCAGAGTTTTCGCACCGTTTTGCCATGGCTCTTTGGAATAATTTCACGGTGGGATCATCCACCATGACTTCCCCGTTGTATTCGTTTGATCGATCGACGACGTTGTTTAAATTTCTCGCGTTCACGTGTAAAGGCGTCGGAATAATCTTGCTGTGTTGTCTCTCGGATTTCGCATCGAGTAATGCGGCAAACGCAGCTGGCATTTCCTCTCGAGGTACGCTGAGACACAAAAAATCCAACACGTGCGCAAACCGCTTCGTTTGCGACACCTTAATTTTTTGCGCGCGTAAAGCTTGTCTCATTTTCTTCGCTTTCTCGTCCTCCTCGTCCTCTTCATCTTCCTCTTCCTGTTCATCGTCGCTCAGCTCTTCGGGATGCGCCTCCATCGCTTTCTGCACCCACTTCTCCGAAAACCCCTTCTCCACCGCTCGATCGAATACTCGCCTCTCTCGATTTTTCTTCTCCCTCACCTTCTTCAAGCGTTTCTGCGCCTGCTCGCGTTCTCTTTCCGCCTGCCGAAAGGCCTTCTTCGCGTGTTTCTCGTGTTTCTTAATCAACTCAACCGCGTCCACGCTCGAACTACCCCTGCTCACATCGCCACTCTTGTTACTACTGCTACTCATCAAACCTCTCGGCACGGCGTGTACGCTCGCCTTGGACAAGTCCGCCGCGTTCCGCTCGTCCTCTTCCGCCTTCATTCGATCATCACGACCGTTCGTCGTCGTCGTCTCCTTTGCTTTCTTCTTCTTTTTCTCTCGCATATCTCTCACCTGCTTCGCCATTCTCTCTTGCACCGTCTCGTCCGCGTCTAAAGTCGCCACGTCCGACACCGCGTCGTTTATCGTCTTCGCCAAAGAAGGCGTTGTTGTTCTCCTCGAAGAAGAAGATGGAATTATACCTAATCCATCCGTCTCGAAATCATCATCCTCTTTCTCATCTCCTCGCCACCCGCGCAACGCAATCGTCTCGTCGTTTTCATCGTTGTTCGTTTCACTCGATTTATTCTTTGTCTTCTTCATCTCGTCCTCGTTCAAACCCTCATTCATCATCATCTTTACCGCTTTATTCATGATTTCGATAGTGCCTCCTCCTCCTCCTGAGGAAACTGCGCATCCTTTCGTAAACGTCGCTTTCTTCGGCTTTTGCGGCTTCTTGCGACCAATTTCCGGCTTCGTTTGCGAATTCATCGTAAACTCTTCCTTTTTTATCGCGCGATACGAATGGTTCTTCCTTATATTTTAAAAGTATCGCGCTGATGAATGAATGGAAGAATGTTCTTCTGAGGAAAAATAACGAACTCGTTGTGAGGAGAAGAAGGCGAGCGAAAGAGCTTGAGATGAAAGCGATCAACGCAAATACAGTATTAGTATAGCGAAGATGATGAGATTACAAACGCGCGTCTTCTTTTTCGATTAAAAATAAGCAGAGTTTTCACCAAACCCGTAACAATTGTCAGCCTTTCGTGGTCACAGCTGCAACCGCTCCCTGGCGACTTTCGCGCTCCCCTCGACAAACGCTCTCTCTCGTTCCATCTTTTCCTTCCTTTGCTTTTCGATTTCCATTTGCGAATAGTTCGCCGCTAACTGCTTCGAGGCTCTTCGTTTACCTTTGTTCAAGCTGAAGAGCAAGTTGGAGAATCTTCCGGTGACGATCCAGAAGAGCAAACGCATCGCGTACGCGAACGTCCAGAATACCATTCGAAACGGCGTCGAGAGGACGAAGAAGAACGCTTTTTCTACGGAGACGGTGGCGGCTTGGAAGCGGACAGTCATGAACCACCGCTCGATAAAATTCGGCTGGCGTTCAAAATCGCTGGAAGTGATTTGCAATTTCTCTTCCTCCGCCGCCAAGGCGGCTTTCTGTTGCCTCGTTAACGGTTTCTCCGAGAAGCTGAATAAAACAGATCCATCCGCCAGATCCTGACGCTCGCACTCCAACGCCACCATCATGCGCTTCTTGATGTCGGACATTTGCTCTTCTCTTTCTTGTTTTTCTAGTTGTTGTTGTTGTTGTTGTTGTTGTAATTCTTGTTGCCCGCTCGTGCTCGCTTCTTCGTCCTCGGGAACCATGCTCCCAAATGCCGCGCTCCCTCCGTTCGCGTACGAGGAGGACTGTTTGTTGTTAAAAAACTGTCTCGCTCGCATCGCGTTTTCTGCTCTCGATTTCGATTCTCGCAAAGGATTATTCACGGTGCTACTCCTCCTCGTCGTCGTCGCAATTTCCGGTTTCTGTCCGTCAAAGTCCTCCAAAACGGAGGAACCACCAAACGAGGGGGAGTTTAAGCGTACCTTCGAGGACTTTTGTATGTTGTTTGCGCTGTTCTTGTTGTTGTTCTTAATCCAATTTCGATCGGGTGTCGCGCGAGGATGATGATTTTTCGTCGTCGTCGGATGATGAAGAGAGCTACGACGCTGGTAATGCTTCCTCATCGAAACCGAGGAAGACGAATCGTTGGAGGTGCGTGATTTCGTGCTGACGCCGCGGCCGCTCAACAGCGAAACGGTCAGTGCGGACATGCTTTATGAGTGTGTTTACGCGCGTGTCTTTCGTGGAGGAATTGTGAGAAAATTTGAAAAGATCTCTCTTGTTGAAGGAATGAACCAACAAAACGACATGCGCTCGCTCGCGTCTGTGTCTATGTCTCTCTCTCTCTCATTCGTTTTTGTAGAAACTTTATTTACGCTTACCAAAAACTCCCTGACGACGCGGACGCGCGACCCATTTGTTCTTTCGCGCCAGTGAGCGGAACGTACGTGACGCCCATCGCGTCAAACTCGGTGACGCGACCTTTATCGTCTTTGTCGTAGACGCGCAAAGATTGCCAACCTCTTCCGACCGGGCACACCAATCTTCCGCCGTTTGCGAGTTGTTTGAGAAGTTTTGTCGGTTTTTCCGGCGAAGCGGCGCCGACGTGGATGACGTCGTATGGCGCGTACGGGGGGTACCCTTCGCGACCGTCGGCGACTTTTAAGACGACCAGAGGTTCCGGGCCTTGCAAGTACTTGCCTTTACCGTCCTTTTTGGTATTTTCGATGGAGAAATCCACGAGATCTTTGATGTGTTCCACGCCAACGACGATTGGGTATTTCGTATCTGATAAGCCCGGCCGTCTATCCTCGACCTCTTCCGCGCGAATAGAACCCGCGGCGTACGAGTCGTGGTGATCGAGCATGGCCGCGAAACACGAAGTGAGGTACCCAGACCCACTTCCAACGTCCAAAACTCTCGCGTTTTCCGTCACTCGATCGTGTACCAATTCCAAACACGCCGCGTGCATATGCGGCGCAGATATCGTGGCGTTCGATCCAATCGGCAGCGGATGGTCCTCGTACGCCGACTGTCCGGAAAACGGTACGCAATAGTTCCCTCGATCTACCCTTCGCATGGCATCGATGACTTTCCTCGTTTTCAACACTCTGTTACGCACCAAAGCGTTCACGAGAGAATCGTTATCGGTCCCGTGCGATCGCCAAGCCATCCCGCGAGGTATAATTCTTCCAGAGCTTCTCGAAACTCTCGATGTCCCGCTGTTGGTATTGTTGTTAGTATTCTTATTGACCAAGTTCCCTACCGGAGCAGCCCCACAAGTTGCGTCCGAAAAATTCGCCTTTGACGGAGAAGAAGAAGCCAAAGAAGAAGAAGAAGAAGAAGCGGCTGCGGCTAAAGAGATGACGACGAGTTTCAAAACCGTCGCGCGCTTTAACGAGAGAAAGACAGGCCCCGCGTTTGAACGAGAACAACAACTGTACATGTACGATAAGTGAAGAGTTTTTAGATACAAAATTTTCGCGCGTATTTTTTCCCAAAGTCCTCATTGGATAAAAGGGAAAACCATTCATATTCTTGAGTGTATACACACGACTCGAGATATACTTAATACTACGTTGGAATTCCCACATTGGAGCACGGGTTCCTTTAACGCTGCTCTGGTATACCACGACGCGTTTAATACGCGAGCGATCGTTTTAAGTACTGTCTTTAAACTTGACACGCAAATACTCATTTACACGAAGATGTCATCCGAACAACAACAACAACAACAACAAGAACAAGAGCCGAATAATGCGAATACTCACAATGAATTCAACGCAATCATCGGCCGTCTGAAAACCGCCGCGAAATCAGACCAAGCAGATTTCAACGCGATCTCTGCCGAGGAGTTACAGGAGCGATTGCGGAAATCCCGTCAGATTGGATTTAACGTCCAAGCGAGTTTGGAAATCGAACAGGCGAGGAAACGACAGCTCGTGGAGACGTTTTTGAAGAGAGAGATGAAATTACCAAACACCGAAGACGAGGAGGAAAAAGAAGAAGAAAAAGAGAAAGCGGGAGAAAAAGGTGTCTTGTCGCCGTTGGAGGCGAGTTTAGCGGCAGCCAACGATACGAATGATAACGACGCCGGCGGCGACGAGGACGACGAAATCTCGCGATTGAAGAAACAACTGGCGGCGTCGCAATTGGACGCGAGGAAAAGTTTGCAAATCGCGAAAAAGACCAGGGCGATGTGCGATAGGATGGTGGAGATGTTGAAGGAAAGTGGGGTGGAGCAGTTAGAGCCGCCCAAGTCGATTTGATTTGATGTCTGTGTGTTTGATCGTCTCTCTGATATTATATTTACTAGTTTATTCAATTAAAAATCAAGTACCAAGTTAGTTTCACCAAATTCTTCATTCCATTCTCCGCTTGTTTTGTGTGTCGTTCGCTTTTGCCCGCGCAAACGCGGACAGATAAGAGAGAGAGGGAGTGAGCAGAGAGCGCAGAGAGAGAGCGCAGAGGGAGAGAAATGTCGCAACAACACCAACCTAAATGGAAACTCCACAAAGGCCCGTCCAATCCTTCCGTCTTGGTCGGGGAAAAGGGGTTCGTATACGCGCGGAATGAATTCATCGACTCCGAAGACGTCGAAGAGAAAACGACGTCGTTTTACCAAAACAGAGCGATAGAGGCGTATTGGATGCAGGAAAATCAACGCGCCAGAGAGAGGGGGAGGAGGAGGATGAGTGGGAAAAGTGAGAATATTAACAACAACAACGTTACCGTGCAGTCTCGAGTGGAAGCGATGCGAAATAAGACGAAACACAAACATTTTCAGTCGAGTTTGGAGGAGGTGTTGAAAGACCCGCTTCCTCCTCCTCCTCCTCGTCGTTGCTCGTCGTCGTCGGAAAAGAAGATGCAGAAAGAGAAGGAGGAGGAGGAAAAGGAGGAGGAGCTCGAGACAGAAGAAGAAAGAGACGAAGACGAAGAAGACGAAGAAGACGAAGACGTGAGAAAGATGGTGGATGAATTGAAACGACTGAGGAGTAAAGCGGCGGCGGCGGCGGCGGCAGCGAAGCGAACTACGACATCGAATAGAGGGGAAAACGACGACGACGACGACGACGAAGAGGAACAACCGTCGTGGAAAACGTGGTATTTCCCGCCAACGCACGAATACGGTTCGTTCATACCGAAAGTGAATAGTAAGAAGAGTCCGCTCGGTGAGGTTGAGGAAATTCCAGAGAGAGTTGTGATTAATAATAATGATAATAATAACAATAATAGTGTAGACGACGACCGGGAGAACGCGCTTCGCGAGAAGAAGCGGTTGGAGAAAGCGAGGCTGTACCAAAAATCGAGGAACTTAGAGACACACAAGTTATGGTAAAATTTCTTTCTTCACTCAATAAAATCAACGGTTAGTATATATGTAAATAATAATAATAACAACAACGACACAGTGTAGAACAATAATATATAGTTTCTCTCTCTCTCTCTTATCACGCGTACGACTGCCTGGCCCCGTTCAAGCATCCGTAGTGATACCTCGGTTTCTTCGCCCTTTGCGGCGCTACCCCCCAATCTACTATTTCCCACCCTCTACTCTCCGCGTGTTTCAACAACCTCGGATCTGGATTTACCGCCACGGGATACCCGACGTGCTCCATCAATTTCACGTCCGAATACGAATCCGTATAAAAATAACACTTTTTCAAATCCACGTTATTCTTTATCGCCCACTCTTTCGTTCGTTCGTATTTTTCGTCGCCGTAGGCAATCTTGGCCAACTTCCCGTTCAAAACCCCTTCCTCGTCCATTTGCATGTGCGAACAAATCACGTCGTCCGCTTCTGTTTCAAAACCAAACATCTTCGCCGCGGTTTCCGCCGGATGCTGCCACGTTGACGTGCACATAATCACTCGTTGACTTCTGCTTTTATGCGCTTTCAACACCGGCACGCACCCAGGTCGTATTCTATGCTTCATCTCCTCGTCAAAAAATGACTCCACGTCTCCTCTCAACTTATCCGCGTGGACGCCTTTATACGTTTCCGCGGCATCTGCCCCAGCTCTTTCCGCGCCTGCGCCGTACCCTAAAGCGTACCTCCCGAACCAGTAAATCGCCGTCAATATCATGTGCGCGCCGACTCTCCCCGAGTTCACCTCGTGTTGCACCCACAACCACGACGAGTTCGTATCCACCACCGTGTGGTCTAAATCGAAAAACGCCACCGAATCGTTCTTATCGTACGGTAAATCCACGTCCGCTATATCGCTCTCCATCAGTAATTCATCGATCGTTTTCGCATCGTTATCTTTTTCTATCTGCTCGCATTCAATTTTCGTCGGCGAAAGCAACGCGTCCGTCTTGTCCATCTGCCGCGCGGGAGAAGGAGGTTTCGTCCACACCGTCTTTGTTTTGTTCGTCGTCTGAATCGTCTCACCGGTCCCTCCTTCTTTTTCTCCCGCCAAATCCTCCTCGTTCGTTTTCGTCGTCGTCTCTGGAATCTCCACGCTCAGGGGGTCTCTCTTCTTCTTCTTCGTCGTCGTCGTCGTCTGCTTCTTCTTCGGGGAAGAAGAGATGCGGAGATTTTCCATCTCTGATTTTTGGTGATGAGAAATGATTTCGATGATGATGTGTCAACAACGAACGACGCGCTCTCCGTTGTCTGCGGGTGGTCCGTCTTCTTTTACGCTCTTCTTTTACGCTCTCTCTCTCTCTCTTTTGTGTGTGTGTGTGTGTGTGTGTGTATATGTGTGTATATATATAACAACAATACGCGTTCCTTCCTTTCCTCTCCGTTCGTTTCCTAAAGGGTCGCGCGTCCAACCAAAGTGTGGCGTGAAGGACACCACGAAAATCTCAAATACGAGTTTATGAACTCTCGTGTGTGTCTCGTTTCTCTCTCTCTCTCTCTGGTTTGGTGGTGTTGTTACTTTTTCGTCGTTGCTTTCTTTCTTTGGCTTTTTGGACGTTTTTTTTCCCCAAGAGCTGCCGAAACGTCGTCAAAGTCTCGTTCTCTTTCTCTCGCGTGTTGTCGTGGTTCTTTGAGCACACGCACTCTATTTGCGCGCAGAGAAGACAGACAGACACTCTTCGCGCAGAGAGAAAGAGAGAGAGTTTTTGGCGGCAGAAGAAGAGTTTTCGAGAGAGAGACGAGATGAGAGACGAGATGAAGAAGAACGAAACGTTTTGTGTTGGTGTCGTTTACGTCGAGTAACAAAATGTTACGCAGAGCGGTGGTGTCCTCCGCGAAGACGAAGACGAAGCGAGAAGAGCTGTTGTTCTGGACTGGTGTCGTCGAAAAGGCTTTGTTTTCTTCTTCGACTGCAGATGATGACGAGAGGAAGACGGGAGGACGAAAGACGAAGAAGAAATCACCGAAGATACCAACGCCGTCACCTCTACCTCCTCCTCCGACGACGGCAACATCATCGTCATCGAAAATCGTCCCTTCAGAGAACCATATTGAAGGAACTCGGCACATTTTTCCTGTTTCAGACTTTCTCAAAGAGAACAAGGAAATCCTCTCCATCTGCGGCCTTTCGTTCGCGTGCGCGATGGGACACGGTATCTTAGCGCCTACCATTCCGTCGTTTGCGAGTACCGAGTTACATCTGTCGGGTGCGCAGATTGGTTCTATTCTCAGCGCGTTCGCGGCGGCGAGATTGTGCGTGAACACGCCGGCTGGGTATTTTGCGGATAAGTTTGGAAGGAAGAAATTGTTGTGGTTCGGTCCGATGGTTACGACGATGGCGAATATGAGCACTTTTACGAGCGGATCTTATTACGAGTTGTTGGGAGCGCGCTTTTTAGCGGGAGTTGGATCTTCAATGTATACGACTGGAGCGTCGGTAAGTTTGAGCGATATCGCGAAAACAGAAAACAAAGGGATGATGAATGGAGGAAACGCAATGAACATGCATCAAGGCGCTGCTTTGGCTGGAGCGGCCATAGGCCCGGGGTTGATTTCCGCGATGTACGCGTTAGGTGGCGAGGATATTCGAACGCCTTTTTTATTCGCGACGGCGTTGAGTGGAAGTTTGAGCGCGGTGGCGTTGTACGCGGCGCCAGAGACGAAGCATTTATCGTCTTCGTCGTCGTCGTCGACGACGACGTCTTCCACTAATGAAGGCGGTGATGAAACGACAACATCGACGACGCCAACATCCGAGAAAAAAACACAGCTCTTACAACCCGGCGGTTCGATGACGATGGACGCGTCTCTGACGCTTAACAAAGACGCCATAGAGAAGCAAAAGTCACCGTCGGCTTCGGCAGATAGTAGGCAGTTGGGTATGCTCGTCAAACGTTCCGATTTCTGGTCGGTGTGTTTCTTGAACTCTGCTTTATTTTTCGCCGGCGCCGGCGGAAGAGGCGCCGTTTTACCTATATTAGCCATTTCGCACGGCATGGACGCGCAAAATCTAGGCATGCTCTTCTCAGCTATGGCCACGACGAGTTTGATTGGATTAGTCCCTTCCTCGAAACTCATCACTACGTTTGGTGCTCGAAACGTCATCGCGCCGACGACGGTTCTCTCTTCGCTCGCCGTCATGGCCATCGCGGGAAGCTCCACCGACGCTGGTTTCGCCGCAGCGTGCGTCTCGTGGGCCGCTGCTTCGAGCATCATGGGTGCTGCTCCGATGACATTTGTCGCCGAAATAGCCCCAAGAAAAGCTAGCGGAGCCGCTTTGAGCATATACCGCAACTCAGGCGATGTCGGACTGTTACTCGGCCCCGTTTTAAGCGGCTTAGCGGTAGATTTTTTCGGAAGCGAAGTCGCTTTGGCCATGAACGCGAGCGTCCTAGTCTCCGCGGCGTTGGCGTTCCACGTGAGTAAAACAAGTCGAGAGAAGATGAAGAAGAAGGAAATGCTCCAACAAGAACGGCACAGAAGTAGTAAGTAGCGCGACATAATAGAGTACATAGAATGTGAGTAGATTTTAAAAGAGTCGGGCGTTCATCGAATAGAGATAGAGCGCCAGAACTTTTACTCGTCCGCTCGGCGTCGAGGCGTGGGCCCGTTCCTCTCTGCCGCCCTCTCCTCCACGCCGTCATCTGCACTATTATTTTCACCACCACCACCACCACCAGCATCCGATGATGATGACGATGACGATAAAACCATCTGGCTAAACCGAACAATCTCTTCCACCTCTCTCCTCGCTAACTGTTCCTCCTCCTGGTCGTCGAAAGAAAGTTTCACGCTCTCCGCGGTTTTCCTAAACTCCTCCGCGGATATCACGCATCCGCTACTATTATTACTACTACTATTACCGCTACTTCTCTCGACGAGCTCCTTGACCGACCATCTCTTCTCCCCGGGGCCTTCGTTTCCTAAACTCTCGTGCAAAGACGATGATTTTGGCGGCAAAACATCATCACCACTCGCACGACTACTCCTCCCACTCCTCCTCCTCAAACGACGCTCAATACTCACACTCCCATGCATTCGAGAGGAGAGGAGCGCACCACGTTCGACGGAAAACAACGACGCGCGCGCGGACGAAGCAAAGCCTCTCGTTCCTCCTAGTAAAACCGTCAAAGTCGTCCTTTTTCGCATTTGTGTTCCCGAGAAACGCGAGTGTGTTTTTTGGAGGAAAAATTCAAAAAACGCGACAGAATTCGCGCGCACATCGACGCGGTGTTCCACACGGCTTTTGCGTTTCCTTTCTTTCGACGCGAACGCGTTAAAAAAGAACGAGAGACACTGAGAAGGAGAGCGTTATACATATAAAGATGTATTACAAGAAAAACAACAAAGGGGCGAACACGTACGGCGAAGCCAGACGAGGCAAAGGCCAGAATCAATCCCGTGTCCTCGGCGCGAGCACCGCTTCCATCTCGCCTTTGGAGATCGCGAGAGAGGAGGACCATTTGGAGGAGGAGTTGGGGTACCGCGTGCCCGGTTTGAACAACAACGGCGGTGCAGAAGGTGCAGACGCGGAGGACGTGCAGCTGGGATGGTTGGTCAACGCCAGCGCGGTACGTTTTAGTATTCGTAGTATCTTCTTCTTCTTCTTCTTCTTTGTCTGCGTCGTCTTCGCGAGCGCGATCGAGATGCGAAAGAGCAGCCCGAGAGGGAAAATTCAAAAATTTTCAAACCTGTACCGAAAGAGGGCAGATGAGAGAGCGCGCTTGATTTTTTACCACCACTCTCGGACGACAACACACGAGCGGGAGGAGTCTGCCGGTCTTCTCATCGTCTCAAAGTCGTCTTCGCGCTTTTCGTGTTCTTCTTCGTCGTTTACGCTCTTCTTGTTCTTCTTTTTTGTCTTCTCGGTTGTCGATATCGCGCGGACCCGAATAATCGCGACGACGAGTTAGCGCTGACGCGTGCACGCGCATTCTCTCTCTCTCTCTCTCTTATTTTATGACGCGTTCGTGTTATTACGACGCAACAGACGACGGTGGAGTGCAAACAAGCGCAAAAGCCGCACGCGGCGGTGAACTTGTACTTTTCCTGCCAAGACGGTTCCGTGTTCAAAGTGCAGAAGAAATACGCGCCGTATTTTATGCTCGCGACTTCGCCCGGGAGCGAGCACGAGGTGGAGGCGTACGTGAGAAGGAAACATAAAGAGCACGTGAAAGAGGTGGAGTTAGTGGACAAGGAAGATTTGGATTTGAAAAATCATCTGAGCGGGTTGAAGCAGACGTATTTGAAGATTTCGTTTTACACGCAGAGCGGCATGTACGAGTGTCGGAGAGAGTTGTTGCCAATCGTAGAGAAGAACAAGGCGAAATCGAACGCATCGGTGGCGTATCAGGCTTTGCACGAGCAGGATGCGTTAAATGCGCACGAAAATGGCGGTGGGAACGATGCTATGCAAACAGACGCGAGAGGGAAGAGGGTGTTTGAAAATTCGAAAAAGAAGACGTTCACGGATTACGAAGACGCGATGTTGGATATCAGAGAGTACGACGTGCCGTATCACATGAGGTATATGATTGATTCCGAGGTGAGGTGTGGACATTGGTACGACGTGAAAGTTGAAATTGGTGATGGAGATGTAATCATTACGCACAGGCCAGATTTGAAGAGAAGAGCGGAAGTGAGAGTGTGCGCGTTTGATATCGAGACGACGAAATTGCCTTTGAAGTTTCCCGACGCCGAGTTTGATCAAGTGTTTATGATTTCGTACATGTTGGACGGGCAAGGCTATTTAATTATCAATCGCGAAGTTGTCAGCGAAGATTGCGACGATTTTGAATACAATCCGAAACCGGAATATCCTGGGCCGTTTATCGTGTGGAACGAGCCGGACGAGAAGGCGCTATTGCGCAGATGGTTCGATCACATGCGCGACGCGCAACCGAACGTGTACGTGACGTATAACGGCGACTATTTCGATTTCCCTTTCATTGAAACGAGAGCGAAAAAACACGGGATGTCCATGTACCGAGAAATTGGCTTTCGAGGGTCGGATTCCGGGGAGACGAGGTCAAAGTTTGCTTTGCATTTGGACGCCTTTCACTGGGTGAAGAGAGATTCGTACTTACCGGCTGGGTCGCACGGTTTAAAAGCAGTCACGAAGAAGTTGTTGAAATTTAACCCCATCGAGGTCGACCCGGAAGATATGCTTCCATTTGCGCGCTCGCAACCGCAAACTATGGCGGCATATTCGGTATCTGATGCCGTGTCTACGTATTATTTGTACATGAAGTACGTTCATCCTTTCATCTTTTCGTTGGCGACAATCATTCCGCTTACGCCAGATGAAGTTTTACGAAAAGGGTCTGGGACGTTGTGCGAGTCTTTGCTCATGGTTGAAGCGTATCGGGGAAACATCGTGTGCCCGAACAAGCAAAGAGGTGCGGGCGAACAGCATTTCAACGGCCATCCGCTGGAAAGCGAGACGTACATTGGAGGCCACGTGGAGTGCTTGCAATCGGGCGTGTTTCGCTCGGACATTCCGGTCAAGTTCAAGCTGGAACCGAAAGGGTACCAAAAACTCATCGACGCCGTTGACGACGATTTGAGGTACGCGCTGGAGCACGAAGGTAAAGGAGCGACGGAAGATGACGTCGAAAACTACAAAGAGATTAGAGAAGGCATCGTGAAGAAGCTGGAGGAATTGCGCGATAACCCGAACTGCGAGGTGAATCCGCTGATTTATCACTTAGACGTCGCGGCGATGTACCCGAACATCATCTTGACCAATCGATTGCAACCGATGGCGAACGTGAACGAAGATATTTGCGCGTCGTGTGATTTTAACCGTCCAGGTAAAACTTGCTTGAGAGAAATGGAGTGGACGTGGAGAGGCGAACACTACTCCGCGACGAGCTCGGATTACGCGCAAATCAAAGCGCAGTTGCAGATCGAAAGGTTTCCGCCGCTAATTCCGGGCGAACCGAAACGGTTTTGGAAGGATTTGAGCAGACAAGAGCAAGAAATCGCAAAGAAGACGCGCTTAAAGATGTACTCGCAAAAAGTGTACAGAAAAGTCATGGAGAAGCCCGTGGTCGAAACGAAAAAGAGTTCGATTTGCATGAAAGAGAACAGTTTTTACATCGATACCGTGCGAACTTTTCGCGATCGGAGATACGAGTATAAAGGGTTGAACAAACAATGGAAAGGAAGACTGTCCGCGGCGAAACAGGAAGGGAACCCTATCGAGACGAAAGAGGCGGCCGATATGGTGACGTTGTACGATTCCTTACAGCTCGCGCACAAGTGTATTTTGAATTCTTTTTACGGGTACGTCATGAGAAAAGGCGCGAGATGGTATTCTATGGAAATGGCTGGAGTTGTCACGCTCACTGGCGCGCGCATTATCCAAATGGCAAAGCAACTCGTCGATGACATTGGTATGCCGCTCGAGTTGGATACCGACGGTATCTGGTGTTGTCTTCCGGGTACGTTCCCGGAGGAATACACGTTCGAGCCGAACAGCGACGGGTCCGGAAAGATGAAGAAAAAATTGAAGGTTAGCTATCCGTGCGTCGTTCTCAACCGCATGACCGATTTGCTAACCAGAAACGATCAATATCAAACGCTCGTCGACCCAGAAAAGCAAATTTACAAGCAATCTTCGGAGATGTCCATCGAGTTTGAAGTTGACGGTCCGTACAGGGCGATGATTTTACCGGCGTCGAAAGAAGAAGGCGTGCTGATTAAGAAGCGTTACGCGGTTTTCAATCACGACGGGTCTTTAGAGGAGTTGAAAGGCTTCGAATTGAAAAGAAGAGGCGAGTTGAAGTTGATCAAGGTGTTTCAATCCGAACTTTTTGAAGATTCCGGGAGTTCTCCATTTTTAGGAGGGCAGACGCTGGAAGAGGTGTACAAGAGAGTAGGCGACATCGCCAATCGACTTCTGGACATGCTCGACACGAAAGGAGAAGAAATTGACGACGAACAACTCATCGATTACATTTCGGAATCGAGCGTTATGAGTAAATCGTTGGCAGAATACGGCGATAGGAAGTCCACGTCGGTGACGACGGCGAGAAGACTCGCACAATTTCTCGAAGCCCCTGATCTCGTCAAGGATAAAGGTTTGGTGTGCAAATACATCATCTCGGCGAAACCTCACGGCGCGCCTACTTCGCAAAGAGCCATTCCGGTTTCCGTCTTTTCGAGCACACCTGCGGTCGCGAGGAAATATTTGCGAGAGTGGTTGAAAGATGCTCCTCCGGGAGAAGCTGGCGAAATGCCAGACTTGCGCGATATTCTCGATTGGGAGTATTACAAAGGTCGTTTGCGCGGCGCGGTGCAGAAAATTATCTCCCTTCCGGCAGCTTTGCAAAACGTCAAGAATCCGTGTCCCGGCGTGGTGCACCCGGATTGGTTAAATAAGCGCATTCGCGAACTCAAGGATAAGCGCAAGCAGATCAAACTCGATTCCATGACGGGCTTCAGCAGACAGACCAAGGATGAATACCTCGAGCAATTGAACTTTTCGGAAGACGAGGACGAAGAAGATACGAGAAACGAGGACAACGACAACGATGATGAACACGACATGGAAGACTTTGGCGCGGCTAGAATTACACCGGCGAGAGGCGCGCGCGTGCGCGTGTTCCAGAGACACCGCGACACTGGACACCATCACGGCGGGCCCAGAACGCCTCCGATTGGTAACATGAATTTGCCTGCACCGGATCCAAACAGCGATTACGCGTCGTGGCTCGAGCACGCCACGAAAGGCTGGCGCATAAAGCGCAAGGAAAAGCGCGAGCGAAAACATCGAGAAGATCTCGAAGATCAACGTCGCGAACGCGAGGGCCTTCCTCGTCAGAAGCGCCGTCACAGCGCAAACGACGATAGTGTCATCGGCCAAATGGACTTGTTTCTCGAGAACGTCGACGAGTCTTTGGCCACCTCTCCGTGGCAGATTGTCTCCATCGATGATTACTCGCGAGGCAACGCGCCTTCATCCTTGGAAGATGGCGGCGCCGAAGTCGAAGAACCTCCGGCGGGCGTTTTCCGCGTCTGGGTCGTCGCCGATGGCGCCATGCGTTCCGTTTTGCTCTCTGCGCCGAGAAAAGTGTACGTTGCCACGCACCATCCCGATCCCGAAGGTGATAGAGGTTTGAACGGGAAAAAGCGCGTCAACGTTGCGTTACCGCGAGCACAAAACACGAATAATTTCATGACGGCAGACGGCACGAGCACGTTGAATGTCTACGAAGTTGAGTTTGACGCTTCGAAATTGTCCGCGGTTCAATACGGCAGAGACGTCGCAGCGTTACTCGCGGATAAAAACGTAGTTGGCGTGTATGAACGAGACGTACCGTTAGAAGATTGGTCGATTCAAACCATCGGGTGCGTCGCTCGAGTGAAGAGAGAAGCCGCGAATGAAATATTAGACGATTTGAAAAAGACGCACAAAGAAGGGTTGAAGAAGAAAGTGCAACCTATGTTGGAAGTATCCGCGACGAATTTGGACATGAAAACGACGACAGAAGTGAACTACTTGCCGTCTATGATGGACTTTACGGACGATCGCGCGCTTTCATCAAAGGGTTTGTTGCGCCACTGCTCGATTTATCACGCGGCGTTGGACGGCAAAGGCGTCTTTGCCGCACACTTTCCAAAGAGAGGCGGTAAAGGGACATCGAAAGGTTTGCTCATATTGCTCCAACCTGGAGGAAAATCGGTTCGCGAAGTTGACAGTGAATTCGTTTCGGAAATGTTTGAAGGCGAGAAAGGACGCGTCGACGGTAACGAGGAAATGGAAGAAGATCGAGATTCTGAAAAGTGCGAATGGCGCGTCATTTACGCCAGGACGTCTGCGGCGGCAGCGAAAAACCTCAACGACGCAGTCTCTGAGTTTGCAAATGCCTCGAACGGTCCAAGCGTCGTCTTGCTCGAAGCACCGCCTGTTGGTTACGGTATTCCTGAATTCGATGACGACGACGACGCTTTCGCTTCCTCTTGCGCCGGCATGAACAAGAACGCGAAAGCGGCGAAACGTTTTGAGAAAGTGCTCACCGCCTTAAAAGATTCGCCCATTCTAGTCGTCCCGTTCAACTCTGGCGACATCGAGTATCTCAGTGAAAAAGGCATCGCGTGGCAACGCGACGCTGCGCAGTTAGCTGCTATCCGTCTCGCGCACACCTCGAAACATTTGGAGAAGTCTATCCAAATCTCCCGCTACGCGCACATTCCTCTCTGTAATCTCGATTCGGACTGGTCCACGCACGTTTTAGATACATTCTTCGCGCGACGACTTCGCGATGAACATCAAGTTCTCTGGTCTGGGAAAAACGGCAAGCCAGACTACGGTGGTGGATCAATGGATGATCAGCTTAGTTCGACGTTGACTTTGGAATCGATGGAATCGCCAAGATGCGAACTTTCGAAATCCGGCGTTTACAGATCCGTCTGTTGCGAGCTGCGCGTCCATCACTTGGTGGTTTGCGCCATCGTGAATTCACACATCTTGAACGATCTCGAACAAGGCGCGTTGTTAGGTTTCGATGGAGGCAATGCTACCGTCGCCGACCGCGGTGGACACGACGCGTCGAACGCGTTTCGGACGTTGAGGAAGATGGTGGCAGAGATGCTCCGAGACGCGTCAGAACGAGGCAACGAAATCGCCGACGCCACTTTGGCGCAGCTTCGACGCTGGATATTTTCTTCCAATTCGAGAATGCGAGAACCGGGTTTACAGCATTTGGTGGAGTTGTGTTCGAGAAAAGTGTTCACGTTACTCATATCAGAACTCAACCGATTAGGCGCGGATGTCGTTTTCGCGGATACGCGACGCGTCATCGTGTCGACGAAGAAGAATTCGTTGGCCTCGGCGTCGGCATTCATCACGGGTTTACGTAACGCGTTAGGTACGCGGGAGTTATTCAACTGGCTCGAACTCGAACCCACGAAGGTCTGGCACACGCTCTTATTTAGAGGACCGCACGATTTCGGGGGTTTGGCTGCAGACGAGACCGTCCTTCAGAAGTTGTTCTTGAACAACGGGGCTGGGGAGGCGCCGATGGAGACGGAAAACGTCCCGACGGATACACAACTCGATCCACATGCCGTCGAAGGGGACGAAGCATCGCTCGAAATGCACTGGAACATCGCCACTTTTCTTCCAGAGGCGTTGAGCGATCACTTCAAAGCGATCGCTGGCGACTTTATCGTCCTTCCGTGGAAACGCGAACGCGAACTCGGTCCCGATGGTCGCTTCGGTGTCGCGAAAGAGGACAAAGACGTGTCTGCTGCGCAGACGGATAGAATAAAGGCACAACTGGAAGCACCAGATGATTTGAGCGATTTGGAACTCAATGAGGACGATACCAATGAAGAGAACGCGGACTCCGCCGCCGAGAGGAGGGCCGACGCCGACGATGGGAAGGAGAACGCAACTCCAGAGCAAACGAAAAAGGAGAGTAAATACCACGCGGACGACGCGAATAACCAAAATTTGGCTAGAAACAGACTCAAAGTTGAGGAAGAGAAAGCGACATGGCTCTGTGCGCAAATAGATTCGCACTTTACGCCGAAAATTCTCCAAGTCGCGCGCGGATTTGAAAAGCACGCGTCGAGATCCACGCACGGCGCTACTCGTCTCGACAAGAGGTACTTGTTCCCGGAAAATTTGCCCGGAGCGCATTTACCAAATCACCTTCGAGGCAACGCGGCGTTAGCGTTCGTCAAAACAGTAATTGCCGTGCTTTCTCTCGATGACACGATCGAAGATGCGGTTGCCAGATGTCGCAAAAATGCACTCAAGTTACTCTCCGTTCCAGAGTTTGGTCCGGAAGCGAGGTTTCGCGAACCGTGCATCTCTTTCGCGTTACGCGACGTCGTGTGCGAATGTTGCGGCGACGTTCGAGATTTAGATTTGTGCAGAGATCCAGATTTAGCCGATGGCGAGTGGCGCTGCGCGGAGTGCGAGAATCGATACGATCTCCAGTGGATTGAGATGAAACTCTGTGACGAAGTAAACGCGCGCGTTCGCAAAGCGCAGACGCAAGATTTGAAGTGCAAAAGATGCACGAGAATTAAAGTTGGTCACGTCCAGAACCGATGCCCGTGTGGTGGTTTGTTCGAAACCACTTCTAAGCCGGGCGCCTTGCGTGATGGTTTGCGCGTGTTTCGGAACGTCGCGAGATGGCACGAATTTGACGTTTTAGCTTCAGTCGTTCACTTCTGCGAAAATCAAACTTAAAAAAAGTAGAAATTAATACTCGAACACGGTAGGCACAAGAGGAGGTTTTTAATCATATTATATAAAGAAGTAAATGCATTAGTGTTCACAACATCAGTTTTCTGTACTGTACGTATGTAGTAGTATGTTTCTCAATGCCTTTCAATCTCGCTCAGAATGATTTGCGTACTCGGCGAGATTTTCCTCAACTTGTTAAACACCCAATACTTGAAACACACGTCCAAAAACACCGGTACGGTTGCCACAAACATTCTCGCAAACGTCTCAAACTTATGATAATCCCCTCCGTATCGAGTAATCATAAAAGCCAAAAATGCTTGCCACCCGTCACTCGAGTGATACCCGACCACCATATCCGCCCCGAGCATCAACGCAAACGCCTGAGTCGCCGAATCCAATCCGTTGAACTGCGCGCTCAACTCGGTCAACATTTTCGACACAAACTCCTTCTGATAGACTAAAACGCACGCCAAAATGCTCACGTACATCATACTCCCGATCCAATTACCAAGCGCTTTCGTCGACCTCGTTCTCTCTTTCATCTCCAACCGTTTCATCTCCTCCGCCACTAACTTCCTCTTCGTCTTCTCAAACTTTGCGGCGTCTTGTTCGTCTGGAAACTGCGCCAAATTTTCGTAATACAAACGCTTCTCGAACCGAGCGATGTCGTTACACACCGACTCCGTCTGCGTCTTCGTCAGCGACGAAGACGAATACGACCCGCTCATACTCGCACCACTGCTCGAATGCTTCGATACCTTCAACTCCAACCACGGATCCACAAACATCGCCTGCAAGGAACAACTCGCGAAATACGGAACGCCAAACGTAAACATCAAAACCTTCCCTAAACTCTTCGTCAGTTGTCCCCATATCTCCAACTGTGTCTTTTCAAACTCGTCGTCCTCGTCGTCCTCTTCTTCCGTGGTTATGATGTTCGCATCCACGTCGAAAAATTGTTGAAACGCGTTGATCGAAGGGTTGTTCGTAATCTTTTGTCTGCTTTTCCGCCTTCGTTTTTCAGTCGTCCCGCCTTTGTTGTTGTTCTCCCCGCTGCCGCTGCTCGTCGCGTTGTTAAAACTAGTACTGCTATTCTCGTTGTCTAAAATCGCCGACACTGGCGCGAGGAGTGCGCGCCTTCCTCTGTCTCCTCTCCTTTTATTCGTCGTCGTTCTGTCTCGTTTCGATGCACTCATCATCATCGCGCAATTTAAGCGACGTGTCCTTCCCATTTTCTTGCTCATCAGCTTCATCATCATCAGCCTCTTTTGATGTTGTTGTTGTTCTCCTCCTCCTCTCGACGTCGTCTTCATTCGCGCGGAGGAAGACACGGCAGAAGAAACAAAAGAGTAACTGCAACAAAACGACATATCTTTCTCTCTTTCTCTTTCTCTCTATATCTCTCTCTCTGTTATCTGTGTGTGTCCAATGTGGTTTTCCAATTGGTGATGTCTCGCGTGTGTTGTGTGTGTTGTGTGTTTATCCGAAGATACGAATGAATTGAAAAATGAAGCGAATGAATACGCCGCGAGAGAACACACTCTGCGAGAGAACGAAAATACACACAAAACAAACAAACAACACAGAAGAGAGAAAGAAAGAAAGAGCTTTTTGGTGCGTTTGGCCTCCCCTTGTCTTGACTTTTTTCTCCCCTAAATAAGAAACTCTTCTTATAGAACTCCTCCTCCTTTCTCGCGCGGATACGGTTCAAAGAGAGAGAGAGAGAGTATAAGGGAGAGACAGGGAGGAGGTGTTTTGAACAGGAGTGTTTTCATCGCACTCTTCGCACGCGTAAAAAAATGGAAGACGAGGACGAGAGGATGATGATTTCATCGGACGAAGCGCAAGAACGCCGGAGAAAATATATCGCCGATATCCTCCCTTCGTCCTTATACCTCCCCTTATCGGACACGGGTGTGGTGAACTGCGTGTCCGGGGCAACGTCCGGAGCGATTGCTGCCGTAATTGTCTGTCCTTTGGACGTTTTGAAAACGAGATTGCAAGTGTCGACCTTGAGCGACTCGACGTATATGAGCACGATGGAGAGTTTGAAGAAAATCGCACGAAGCGAAGGGGTGAGAGGTTTGTATCGAGGACTAGGACCGACGGTGGCGGCGTTGTTACCGAACTGGGGGGTGTATTTTACCACGTACGGGTATTTGAAGCACGTGTTTCGAGAGCGGAGGAAGAGGAACGCGGATTTAAGAAATAGGCAACATAGGCGGGAGAGCGGGAGCGAAGCGACGAGTAGTAGCGAGAATAGCGATAGAGAGAGCAGCGCAAGCGGTAGTCACCACCACCACCACCAGCAGCAGCACGGGAACGACACGCTCGCGCACATAGTCTCTGCTGGAGGCGCGGGCGCGGCCACCATCCTCGCCACCAACCCGCTCTGGGTCGCCAAAACTAGACTCCAAGTGCAATACTCCGAAACGCTCTCCTCCTCTTTAGTCGGCCACGCGAGAGCGCCGTACAAAGGTACCCTCGACGCGTTACGAAGAATCGCGAGATGCGAAGGGATCCCAGGCCTTTACTCCGGCCTCGCCCCATCCCTCATGGGCATCTCCCACGTCGCCATCCAGTTCCCAATCTACGAGCGTTTAAAACACGAGTTGGCGCAATTCCGCACCCTCCGCTCCGCGGACGAGCTCACCGCGGCGGATTTAGCGCTCTCCTCTGGCGTCGCCAAAATCATCGCCAGCACGCTCACGTACCCGCACGAAGTCCTCCGATCGCACATGCACGTCAAAGGCTACGGCCCTTTCTCCGGTGCTCTCACCTTAGCCGCGGACATTTACCGAGAAGGCGGCGCCAAGGCGTTTTACCGAGGCGTCGGGACGAACTTGCTGAGAACCACCCCGGCGGCTGCCATCACCTTCACCAGCTTCGAGTTGATCAGTCGAGAGTTGAACGCAGTCGCGAAGATCATGGGTGATTCTTCTTCTTCTCGCGATGATGATGATCGATGATATGTACAAGTAGTATATATAGTCATAGGATGATACCAGTAGTTTTAATTTGCAAACAAACCCTAAACAACAAACAAAGAATTTTTCAAAAATCAATTTCTCGCAACACTTCTCGGAACGCGCGCAGTGTTCGCGCGAGCACGAACGCACGAAAGAGCCGCGGAGAGAGAAAGAGAGAGAAAGAGAGAGTTTTCGTCGTTCTCCACGCTTTGTCGCTTCCTTTTCCCTTTTTTCTTCTTAACTTTATCATTAGTATTAGCATCATCATCATCTTTTCATCGCTTTGTTGTCATTTGACGCAGAAGAGAAAAGAGATGATGCAAAAGATGAAGAAGCACATCTTCAGCAGCGAGAAGAAGCGGAAACAGGGAGAAGACTACCAAGAAGACGACGAAGCAGAGAAGGAAGACGAGGAAAACAATGCGGGAGAAGAAGAAGAGAAAACGCCGATGAAACTACTCTCGAGTTCGAAGAAGACAAAGACCGATTTTGCCGGACGCATCGGTGGCGTATTTAATACGACAAAAGGAAGGCGAAGGAGTAGCGCGGGGGCGTTTTTTCCATCATCATCGACGAAGAAGACGAAGAATAGTGAAGAGGAACAAAAGAATAACATCGAGAACGACGAGAACGACGAGAACGAGAAAACGACAGTACCACCAAAGCTGATGAGTATGACGACGGGAGAGAAAAAGTACGTCTCCGGCAAAGACTTTTTAACCGCCTCCGCGAAGAAGAAGATGATGAAGAAGAAGAGCGACGGAGAGAGCTCGTTTTCGATGGGGTTTAAACGTCCTCTGCTTGGTTTGTCGTCTCCGCCGTCGCTGGGACCGCCTTCGTGTTTGATTTCTCCGAACGGTGGAGCAAACTTTATCGTGACGCACAAGTCACCGAATAGCGTAGCTTTTGAGATGCATCCGGGAGGGAGAGAGTACGACGAGGACGGCGAGGACGCGCCGCCTTCGGCGCACTATTTGAGCGGGTCACCGGTTGCGAGCGGTAAAATTTTTGAGCGGAAGGAAAAGAAAACGTCGCTTTCGCCGTTGGCGGGTAAAATTAGACAGTTTCCATCGCTCGGCGGAGCAGAAGGTGAAGGAGGAGAGAACGACCGCGGCGATCACAAGGAGGAGAAACGAGAAAACGATACTGCTGCTGCTGCTACTACTACTACTATTACTAACACTACTACTACTACCGATGCGGTTGCCGAGAAGAAAGGAGATGATGATCATCGCGGAGCGCCGGTGGTATCGTCGCCTTCGGTTTCGATATCAGACGGGGAGGAGAATGTAGATGGTAGAAGCGAAGGAAATGCAAAACGAGGAGAGGAAAAAGAAAAAGATTTAGTAGTAGATGTTAATGTAGAAGAAGAACGTGAAATTGTTGACGACGATGAAGAGCACGCGGTCCAGACTTGGCTGCGGGATCAGAAAATATTACGGGAATCGGGGCAATCGATGAATGAGGATCATCTCAAGGCGGCACCAAAACGGGTGATGGAAGCTCTTGGTATTTCGGATAATGACGATGGCGATGATGGGATGATCGTGAATGATGCGCCCGTCGATTATGGCTCCTATGACGACGACGACCACCACCACAACGACGACAACGACGACGACGATTTCGGCGGCAACTATGTGAATGGCGATGATGATGACATGATTGAAGAAGAAGAAAGAGAAGAAGATGATGAACAGCTGCAACAACAGGAACAAGACGTATTCGAGGGTAGTAAAGCAAAAAGCGATTACGCGTATCAGTGTTCGAAATGCAATCAGAACTTTTTGTCCAGATACAAACATAAACTGCATCTCTCTGGGCCGTGCGGAAAGATCGAGGAAAAGAGCACGATGAATAGTAACGAATGCAGCAAGTGCGGCAAAGTGTGTAAAAACCAGCAGGGAAGAATTCGTCACGAACAGGTATGTCCGGGTAAAGAAGAACTAGAGCGAAGGGCAAGAGAAGAAGCCGACCGAAAAGCGGAAGAGTTGCAAAGACGCGCGGAAAAAGCCGAAGAGAAAAGAAGAGCGAAGGAAGAGGAAGAAAGGACGAAGGAAGCAAAAAGAGAGGAAGCGCGCAAAGTTGAAGAGCAAAAGAAGTCAGAGATGAATCGACGCGAAAAAGAAACGAAAGACCGCGCAGCGGCCGTGAAAAAAACGCTCGCTGAAGCAAGACTCTTTGAAGCGCTGCAAACGAATCGAGGCATGACGCCTGCGGCAGCAATTGTACGAGTCATTCGAGAAAAGTTGTTGAAAGCGACAACACGCGCTGCTATGATAGATGATGAAGACTGCAGTGACAACGATGCGACTGAAAAATACAGCACAGCACGCAACATAGTAGATAGCGACGCTCTCACTGCCTCGATGAGGCGAACCAGAGATGATCTAGTGAAGCAACTTGAACCTACAGTTACCGGTCATGAAGATTCCATCGCCGTGTGTCTCTCTGGCGCGAGAGGCGTCGGTAAAACTGCCATTGTAGAAGCAGCGCTGGCAAAGCTTCAAAAGCTCAACAACAATACGACCACAACGATGAGCAATAGAAGAAAACCAGGCAATCAACAACATAAGGAGGCGAAAATACCAGTCGTTAGATTATCGGGACTTTTGCACGCCGAAGACAACATTGGGATGCGGGAGGTGGCGAGACAACTTCGTCCGAGTTATCAAATGTGGGACGACGAAGAAATGGACGACGACGAAGTTTTCGATAACGATTTCGTGGACGATATCGTTTTCAGCATCAACACAGCTGGTGGCACCGCAAACAACGCTAGCGCAACAAACAAAGTCGCGTCGAACATGCGAGAAAATTACAACTTTGTTGAGGAAACGCTTCGTCTGTTGGAAGGTGCGAAGAAAACGGCTGTCTTCGTCTTGGACGATTTCGATTTGTTCGCCAGAAAAGGCAAGAAACAAACGTTCTTATACTCAATGCTCGATTTGCTACAGCAAAAACACGCTCAAATAGCAATTATCGCGATTACCTCGCGACACGACGTGGAAGAAGCGCTTGAGAAGAGAGTGAAATCGCGATTCACGGCGAGATATTGCGTCGTTGAGTCTCAAACATGCATCCCTCCGCTCGTTCTCGATGAACGCACGGGACAACCGTTGAAAGATCGCGCCACCGGAAAAGAAATCGTGGATGACGAGAGCATATCCAGAAATCTGGCGCAGTTTGAAGAGTTTTTGGCAGAGCGAGTGCGTAATTGTTTGAAAGTGAGCGCCCAAATCGTTCCTCCGTTGACGGAGAAACGAGACATCGGTGTAGCCGAAAGCAGCAGCGCAGTCCCGGGCGTATTGTTCTCCGAACGTGGTAAGCTGGCGATAAAATCGTGGAATGCTGCTGTCGACGAAGCCATCAACACACCTCTGGTTAAGACGCGTTTGCAAGCGATCGCGACGCTCGATAACGTTCCGCGAACGGCGTCAGATTTAGCCATCGCGGCGTTGATGGCGTATCAATCGAGGACTCTCTTTTCTACCGCCGCCTTGCTTAACGATAACAACGGCAACGACGACAACATCAGCAGAAATGTATTATTACCATCCGATCTCGCTCGCGCCTTGAAAGACTTCACCAGGAACGATTTCGTGGAGAATTTGAAAAGTTGTTCGCTTCTGGAACTTCTCTTGTGCGTCGCGGCGTACCGTCTGCACTTTACCCGCGAGAGGTTTCACTTCACCATCGCCGCCCTCACCCAAGAACTTCATGAAATGGGAAGCGTCGAGCAGCTTGGTGCCGCCAAAGATGCCACGGACGGCGTCGTCGCGCGTTCCTTTGAAACTCTCCTGCGCATGAAACTCGTTCGCATCGTGAAACGAAGCAGCGGTCACGGTTCCTCGTACTCTTCCGCCGCCGCCGCCACCGCGCCGTCCGCGAACGGTAACAACAAGAGAGCCCCGACGAATGGGACTGCCTCTGGTGCCAAAGACTGGAAAGGCGTCGCTTTAATGTGCACGGAAAAAGAGCTCATAGAAGCCATCGAGGGTCACCCGAGCAAACTTTCCAGCCTCAAAGAGTTCCTGCGCCACGAGAACGTCGCCTCCGCCGTCGCGTGCGCGCTGTAAAAGACAGGTTTTAAGCGTGTAAGGGAAAAGAAAACAATTGAACGTAGTAGATGTGTTAGCAAATTGTATTATTCAGGTTGTTCGCGCGGATGATATTCATTCGATGTTATGGCGTATTTCACACAACTCCCCTAATACTTCTTTCCTTTCGTCTGCACAATTATGTCGCACGAAATGCTTCTTCCAAGTCCGTGGCAGGCTTTGCCATCGCGGAAAGGAAAATGGAGCAGAGAAAGACAAAGGACAACAATTACAACACCACTCTTTTCGCGACGACTGGGAGGAGGAAAGAGGTCGAATCGTCGGAGGTTTTTGGCGGCGGCTGAACGAGAATTTACCCCTTTTGAGCAAGAGCAGCGGGGAAGGACGTCTTCTTCTTTCGTGGATTCCATGAATGCGACGAACAGCTCGAGAGGAGACAAAATCGTTGATATCAGTAAAAACAGCTCGGGGCGGAGTTCTCTGACGTACGCGCCCGAAGAAGGAGCACACGACGAAGGGGATGTGAATGGTTTGGCTTTCCCTGAGCGGATTTATCGAGAGGCAGTGGGAACGAACACCTCCGCGGATGAAGATATACTCCGGTTTTGCGAACCGGTTTTACGTAGCGATGATAGTAATGCGAGTATTAGTAGTAGTAGTAATAATAATAATAGCGCTCGCATTATAAAGCGGGGGAAGAAGCTTCGCGTAGCCGTGCTCCTCTCCGGCGGCGTGGACAGTTCGGTGGCGTTGTCGTTGCTCCGAGCCGCCGGGCACGAGTGCGTGGCGTTTTACTTACAGATTTGGTTTCAGGACGACTTTCGGAATTTTTGGGACCAGTGCCCGTGGGAGGAAGATGTGATGGTCGCGAAGAGAGTGTGCGAACGATTGCGGGTGCCGTTACGGACGGTGCATTTTACGGACGATTATTGGAATTTGGTGGTGAAACAATCCGTGGAGGAGATTCAGAGAGGGAAAACGCCGAATCCGGATATTTTGTGTAATTCAAGGGTAAAGTTCGGAGCGTTTCGAGAGTGGTTAGATACAAACGAGGAAGAGATTGGTACGTTTGATCGAATAGCGAGCGGGCATTACGCGGCGCTCGAGAGAAAGGAGGACGACGAGACGGACGTGAAACTCGTCGCCTCCGGCGACGCGAGAAAAGATCAAACCTACTTCCTCGCGCATTTAAGCAGTTGGCAACTTCAAAAAGCGATGTTCCCTATAGGTGGTATATCAAAACCTCGCATCCGCGAAATTGCGGAGAACTTATCGCTCGTTAACGCCGATCGAAAAGATTCTCAAGGTATTTGCTTCCTCGGGAAAGTCAAATTTTCCGAGTTCATCGAAGAACATTTAGGAACGAAGCCGGGGGAAATTCGCGAGATTGAATCCGGCCAATTGCTCGGAACGCACAAAGGATTTTGGTTCCACACTGTTGGTCAACGACAAGGGTTAAAGCTCGATAAAAGAGCGCACGAGGGGCCTTGGTACGTCCACTCGAAGGACGTGGAAAAGAACGTAGTCTTCATCTCTCGCGCGTACCACAGCGAAGAAAACGAACGCGAAAGAGACTCGTTCGAGTGCGAAGATTTATCTTGGTGCAGAGACTCGGATGCAGACCAACTTTCGCGCATCGAGCGGTGTAAAGTGCGCCACGGCGAATCGTATTACCGAGTGTTGCACGTAGAACCAACAACACCTAATACCGCTGAAAATCAAAAGCTGAAAATCAAAATCGACGGCAAGGATCAAGGTTTAGCCAAAGGGCAATACGCGGTATTTTACGGCGGTTCCGAGTGTCTAGGCTGCGGCGTAATATGCTAACATTGTACAAAAATCTACTACTCTCCTCCTATATGAATATCCTAAAACGCATCATCTCTCGCAAAAGTGTTGTCTCCGTCCTCTTTCGCAACCTCTTCCTCCTCCGCGAATCCTTTATACTTCCCGTGTACGCCTAAACTCGCCGTGCACTTCCGAAAACACGCGCGAGCGCGTTCCAACTTTTCCGTAAAGTCTTCGTCCAGATTGGTGTCCGTTCCTTCTTTCGTTGTTCCATCTTTATCGTCTCCAATCCATCCGCTCGCGACGATATCCCCTAAAGCGGTTTCCAACTGTCCCAAAGCCATTCGAATCCGCTCTTTCTTTCTTTCCTCCAGGTTTGTCGTCGTCGTCGTCGTCCCATCCGGCGAGGACGACGAAAATTCCCTCTCCCAAACTCTCAGCGCTCCGAGATAGTGTCCAACTTCCGAGCCAATCGCGAAGGCTTCCAAAAACCCAATCGATTCGCCCTCTTTGAAGCCTTTCGCTTCCCCGTCGGATTGGCCGCTTTGGAAGCCAATTTCGATGCACTCTTGCTCCACGTGTAAGATGGATTCGAAGGATTGGTCGAATGCAGTGGCATGAATTTTCGTCGCTTCTGACAAAGTCGTCGTGAGCTCCTTCTTCGCGAGTAAATCGTCGTTGCATTCTTCATCTTTGTCTTCTTTAGTGCTTTCTCCCTCTGTCATTTTAACGGGGAAAAATGGGGCAAAATCTCCATTAAAATCATGGTTTTATCTGCGTGGACCAAACACCCGTCCGCGACTGCGGTTGAAACGTGCAAAGCGTGCAAACTCCCCCGCGAATACTGCGCGTATAATTCGTCTTGCAGTAACAGCAGCACTCCTGCTTCTTCGTCAGCCATTAATACTAATACTAAAGGAGATGATGTTTCCGAGAAGATGGACAAAATGTCGCTCGAGGAAGAGGAGGAGGACGACGCGAAGAAGACAAAGATAAAGACCGAAGAGAAGAAGAAAAAGAAGAAAGAAAAGCAGAAGTGCATCACGATCACTTTAACCAGTCGAAACAAACGGAAAACGATCACGAACGTCGCGGGGTTTGAACATTTCTCGAGCACATTCCAAGACGGAAACTTGAAAGAAGTCGCCAAGACGTTGGGGAAGAAATTCGCGTGCGGATGTTCGGTGACGAAAGGAGCGACGAATCAAGACGAGATTGATTTACAAGGAGACTACGGAGAACAGATTAAGGAGATTTTAGTGCAAAAGTGGAAGATGGAGGAGGAGTTAGTGGTTGTGGTGGATAAATCGAAGAAGTAATACTACCTACCGCGACGTATTATACTCGTCGCGTCGTATATAAAGTTCTCTCTTAAACTTCTTCTTTTATTCTTCTTCTTCTGCTTCTTCTTCCGCGCGTTGCTGTTAATACCCGACCGTTTTGTCTACTTTATTGATCAAATCGTCCGTTTTCCCTCCACTCTGATCGAAACGTCTCAGATTTTCTACGAACACGTCCATGGCTAAATCGTGGTAATCGCTGGTTAAATCCGCCGAGTGAAAGGACATCAAAAGTTTCGCTTCATCGATTGACCATAACGGACTCGATTCCGGTAACGGTTCGGTTTGAAACACGTCTAACGCGGCGCCTCTTATCTTTCCCGTATTCAACGCATCGCACAACGCGTTCTCGTCCACGCTCGCACCTCTACCGACGTTGATTAAAACCGCGGATGATTTCATCTTTCCAAACACCTTTACGCCGACTACGTTTTCCGTTTCTCTCGTGTGCGGCAACGCCAACGCCACGTAATCCGCCGTTTCCACCGCCTTTTCCAATTCTTGCAGCGTAAACATCTCCGATACCACCTCTCGATCTCTCTCTTCGATCACTTTCTTGCTCCTCACTCCGTTCACAACCATCCCCATCGCTTTCGCTCTTTTCCCGATCGAACGTCCGATGTCGCCGTACCCGACCACCAACATCTCCTTACCCTTCAACATGTCCACCTGAAACCGTTTCCAAACCTTCTCTCTTTGCGCTCTTTGCATGTTAAACACTTCCTTCGCGAAATACATGCTCGCGAATATCGCCCACTCCCCTAACGACGCCGAAAACGCGCCTTTCGCGTTGGTCATCACCGACCCGTGCGTCTGTATCGCCTCGTGTTTTAACAAGTGATCGACGCCGGCCGACGCCGAGTGCGTCCAAACTATTTCGTCGCCGCTTTTACACTTCTCCTCTTTCTCCTCTTTCCCGCCGCTTTTTGTCGTCTTCATCATCATCGTCATCTGTTCTCGTTCCATGTGTTTCGAGAGCGCGTCGGTGTTGGCGAACCACCATCCCACCGCAGAAATCTTCTTTGTCTTCATCATCATCGATGACGACGATTCCGACGATGCCATTTTACTCGATAAAACGCTCTCCTCTTTCTCTCCCAAAGCATTATCAGCAAAATCATCATCATCGTCGCCTCCGTCGTTCTCGTCTGAGACGCAATCAATCTTCAACCGATCGAATTTCATCCCTCGTAATCTCTCGATCGGTTTCGAGTCCATCAGTTTCTGGTTCACGAATACCGTGACTGGAATGCTGTTTTTCTCTTCCTCCTTTTCCTTTGCTTTGCTCGACATCGTCGTTTTCTTTCGTCTTTGTTGTTGTTTTTCAAAGACGTGTACAGTGCGAATTGGAAAATTCCGGCGGCGAATCGTCTCCAAATCCTCCTTCTCTGACGACGAGAAACCCGACGCGCACGACGACGACGCGAAGGTTTCGTCGCTCACCGAAGACGAGCAAAAAGAGGACGATATCGCTCGCGCGAAATCCCGCGTAAATCCGCTTTTTTCGCTGAGGATGCTGTTGCGAATAAAAGGTGTCGTTCTCGCTGCACCACACCGCATCGTACTGAGGCATTTTCACGAACTTTTCCCCATTGCGTGGACGAAACGTAACGCATATACACACACTCACACATCAGTAAAACGGAGCGTAAAACGACGCGATGACTGGAGGAGGAAAACAACCGAAAGTGGACCACACGCAAACGGACTCGATGAACTTAAAAGTCTTGCGGAGGGACGACCCTTCGATCCAAACTATCCTCGGATCGGCATCCTCGATCGCGATGTACGAGTTGGACATGCAAACGACGAAGTGGCACCGGAAAAACGTGGAAGGATCCTTATTCGTGGTCGAACGGAAAAAAAGTAGCAGTAATAGCAGTAGTAGATTTCAATTCATCGTCTTAAACCGGTTATCGGACGAACGGTTCGTGGAATCGATCGCGAAAGATGCGGAGTTTGAGATGAGCGAGAAGTATTTGCTCTATAAGACGGACACGGACGAAGTGAACGGAGTGTGGTTTTACGACGAGAAAGAACAGACGAACATATACGAAATCATTCAAAGAGCACAAGAAATGGAAAGGAGTGGAATATATGCGAATAACGGTGAAGAAGGTGGTGGTGGTGGTGGTACCGGTACTACTAAGAGCGGCGGCAGCTCCATCGAGGACGTCGCGTCGTTGTTTCAATCGGCGATGTCGGGCTTCGGTGGAGGCGCCGAAAAGCCGGCGAAACCGAAACCAAAGAAAGAAACTAATATCGCCGCCGGGAAAAAGAAGAGCGGTGGTGTTGGAAGTAGCGCGGGAGAAAACAGCAGCGGCGCGATGATCACGAGAGATGCCATCCGGAACGCCATGTTACGATTGGCCACGAACGACCAATTTCTCGACGCCGTCGCGAGCGAGTTGAACCGCTAAAATAAAAATCTGCGTCGTCTTCGTCCAAGGAAAAGAAAAGAACAACGCAAAAGCGAGGAAAGGAGATTTAAGACAAAAAGCCGTCGCTTCTTCGCCGGAGAGAGAGATTGAGATCGATTGATTGATTAGAAAAGCGTTTAATAATCTCGCGCGTGTTCACATTTCAAATTCCTCACAAATCTGCCTCTAGAAGCTTTACAAAAACAACAAAAGCGCAGATAAATAAAGACTCTCTCGTCGTAAACATCACTCGTCCTATTCGTCTTCGACCGAATTTAACGTCATCATGTCCGCTCGACAACGATTGAAAAGAACCGCGGCAGCCGCGATCGAGAACGAAGCCGAGGAAATAGCCATCGCGTGCGTTCGTTTTTCTTCTTCTTCTTCTTCGTTTTCTTCTTCTTTTCGCGTTGCGCGTAAGCGTTCGAAGAGCAAACGCGAAGAACGTTTTCGCGATAAACCGAGAACTTGCGAACGGGTTTTTCCTTCGCTTGATTTCGCGACGAGACGACGAATATCCTCCGCGCGCAATTAACGCGTCTTCGAGTTCGTCTTCGTCGTTTACGTCGTCGTTTACGTCGTCGTCGCGCAAAGCAAAGCTTTTTTTTTTTTCTCTTCTTTCCGTCGTCTCGTCGTCAGAGAGAAGAAACTGAAGACTGACCTTTGTTTTTAACCACCACCACCGACTGTTATAAATAAACGCAAAACAACAGCGTGGACGATGAAAACGCGGCTGGGCTGGAAGTAACCACCAACGGGGCGGAAGAAGGGGCCACCGCGTCTGGTGTCATGTGCATCGACTCGTTGCAATCTTTCGGCGTCTCCGCGACGGATTTGAAGAAAGCGAAAGAAGCCGGTTTCAACACGGTGAGATCTTTGGTCATGCACTCTAAGTCGAACTTGTTGGACGTGCGAGGGTTTTCCGATGCGAAAGTGGATAAGCTTTTGGAGGCGTGCAAAAAAGCGCTTTCGAATCCATCCGAATTGGGCGGGTTTGTGACCGCGGCGACGTTTCGAGAGATGCGGAAAGACGTCGTTCGAATCACGACGGGATCGAAAGCCGTCGACGAAGTGCTCGCCGGAGGGATTCAGACGAGGTCTATCACGGAAATTCACGGCGAATGGAGATGTGGGAAGACGCAGTTGTGCCACACGTTAGCGGTGAGCACGCAGCTACCGTTCGAAATGGGGGGTGGATACGCTAAAGTTGCGTACATTGACACCGAGGGCACGTTCCGTTCCGAACGCATTCTCGAAATCGCCGAAAGGTACGGCATGGACGGCGAGGCGGTTTTGGAAAACATCATGATCGCGAGAACGTTTACGCACGAGCAAATGGAGGACGCGTTGTTGGCCATCGCCGGAAAAATGGCCGAAGAACCGTTCAAACTCCTCATCGTCGATTCGGTAATGGCGCACTACCGCGTTGATTTTACCGGCCGAGGCGAATTGTCCGGTCGACAACAACGTCTCGGACAATTTATGTCTAAACTCTCCAAACTCGCGGACGAGTTCAACTTGGCGATCGTGTGCACAAACCAAGTCCAAAGCGACCCGGGAGCGATGGCGTTCGCCGGCGTCGAGCCAAAGAAACCGATCGGTGGCCACGTTTTAGCGCACGCTTCGACGATTCGCCTTTGCGTCCGAAAAGGAAGAGCCGAAGCGCGCGTGTTGAAAGTCATGCAAGGACCGGATTTGAAAGAGCAAGACGCGGAGTTTATGATTTCAAACGGCGGCGTCGTGGACATTGAATAATACTGACTACTATTACTACTACTCATAAAGATAATAATCATGTCTTCTTGTTGTTAATGAATAGAAAAACTGATACGAGTACTCCCAATATATACGGGTTTGATTACAATAATAATAATAATATTTTGACGCGCGTGATATTACGCGCGCGTCGAAGGACGAGATGATTCTGCTTTTACGCGATGAGAACTTTAGCCATCAAAGCTGCGCTGAGCACGTGCCAAACGGCGTGCCAAATAGCGTAATTCCAGTAGCGCCCTTTTGCTTTTGACGAGGCGCCGAACCATAACACCGACAACGGCAAGAGTCCATTTACGACTACTGTCTTTTCACCGTGCGAAAGCATCAAGAAGAGACAGTAGGATACCGCGGTCACAACGTCGCAACAAATCAAGTTTGAAACAGCTCCCCATCGGTAATTTTTAATTGCGTTTCTGATCTTTTCTTCGTCTTCCATTTCGTCCTCTTCGCGAAAGCTTTTCGGCGCCGTAGTATAATATTCCGTCGAAGAGGGAGTTGTCGTCGTCGACGAGGACGCCGAAGATGGCGACAAAGCGCTGAACTTGCGATCTGTGACCAACGGATCGCACGTCTCTGTCGACAAACACAGCGCTGATACCGGAGACGATTCTCGTTCTCGCGTTTTACTCTTTACTATCCCCGGCGTATTCTGATGAAACGCCGACGACTTCAACTGATAAGAGTGGGGCGAACCCGTCCTCTTAATCGGATGAAAACTTTGTTTTTGCGACGAAACCCATTGTATTCTCTCAGCCACTGCGGTTTTGACGGACGCAGAAGACTTCAACGTACGTTCATCGCCATTTCGTTCCATGGACACAACATTCTCGAAGTCTGGTTCCGATCGACTCCTCCGCGGTGCCCGGATCGTCTTTTGTGTCGCTTTATCGTCCGTTGGCTTTTCTTCATTTCTGTTAATTCTCCTCTTTCTCACCCCAGCACAACACGAGCAATACGCCTCTCTCGCGTCTCGCATCACGTCCATCTGAAGCGAGTGAAAGAGCGTCGATATGATCGCGATCGCTAAAAGAAAAAACCCGTGCGCTCGGTGAGAATATTTCAAGGCTTCCAGAGCAGCCGGAAACGCCATTCGATCGCCTGTGAATGAAGAAGAAGGTTTTGCGCAGAGCAAAGGTGTCAGTAAAAGTCACTCAATAATCAAACGTCCTCTCGCCCTCGAGCGATATCGTCAAAGTTCCATCACTTCTTATCCAAACGCGTTTTGCGTGTATTTCACACGCGTATTTTTTGTACTCGTATTTTTGAATTTCGAGCCGTTTTTTCCCCTTTTTTTTTCTTTCAAAAAGGAATATTTGAGCACCTCGAATAGGTAAGAAAGAAAAAAGGCAATGATTACTCCTACAGACGAGGACGCACCGCTGCTGATTTCAACCAGTCGCATCAACATGACGTAGCTCAGACCAAAGTATCCGAAATTTGTCGCGATTACGTTCAACCTCGCGACGAGATGCACCTTGTGACTCATCAAGAACTGCGTTTTAAAAGAGTTAATTTTAAATAAGAAATAATGGATAATGTAATGGTGTAAAAAAACGCACGTTGTGTGCGGCGAATCCTCGCTCGCGCAAAGCGACGATCTCGAGCTTTTTCAAAAGTCTCGCCCTCCGTTTCTCTTTCTCCGTTTGTTGTCGAACTTGTTTGCGCGTTTTATTTCGCGAAGGGCTCGTCGTCCTCAGAGTCGCCAGCGTCACGTTATACGACGCCGGTGATGCCGACATTTTCTCTCTCTGTGGAGGGGGAATGTTCGAAACACACGCGGTTTGGGAGAGCGAATTTTGGCGAGTGGCGCTTTTTCGGTGTCTCGAAAAAGCAAAAACTCTTCTGGTGTTGCCGAAAACTGTTTTTGCGCTTCTTTTGCTTTTTTTACTCAATGTTTCGTTTTCTCTTTGTTTGCTCTTTTACACAAAGGCCTGCGGGTGTTTGAAAAAAATGCATTTAATACGACGAGTCTCCACCTTTTGAGTTTAACAAAAAACACCAAGACCAAAAGATGCCAAACCCTAAAAAAATATTCTCTAAAAAGTCTCCACATAATCTCGCATCTCATCATCATCATCATCATCATCATCATCACAGAGAGAGATATCAAACGCACGCGAGAAGAGCTCTTTAGAGCTTTTCAGAGAGAGAGAGTTTAGAGGTGCGCCGCTGAACAACAACAACTCCTTTTTCATTTTTTTAAAATATCGTTTTATCGCGCGCGCGCGCGTGTATAATATATATACGCGTCGTGCTCGTTTTAATCACCCGTCGCATGGCGCTGCTCTTTCCCATGTTGTGGTGATGATCGCGCAAAAGAACACGCGCACGACGTCGCCTTTTTCGCGCGAAAGAAGAAGAGGAAAAGAAGAATATCGCCAAAGAAAACGCAGCAGCCGTCGTCTGTCGCGCGCGGTGATGCGCGGAGCGCTGTTGTTCTTGTTCTTAGTATTCGTTGTATTAACGCAGATTTTGCTCTCTTTTTACACACAGAAACAAGCTGAAGACCATGAGGAAAGAAAAGAAGGAGGAAAAGACGAATACTCCGAAACTTTCCTACGCGAAAGGGTTATCGCACGCGGTGTTGAAATACTTAGAAAAGGAAGAGACGAAGGCGTTCATGGAGAAAATCGAGAAGAACGAGGAAGAGGAGGAGGAAGAGGAGGAGGAGGATGAGAAGAGTATCGTCGTCGCGCCCCGCGTGGAGGATGTTCCGAAAGACTTTGAACGGAAAGAGAAGGAGAAGAAGACGAAGGAGGAAGAGAAGGAGGAGGTTTTGGGAGTTGGAACGCCGTCTTTGAATTCCGATGGGAGCGGAGAGAAGAAGAAAAAGACGATGAAAAGGAAGGAGAAGAAGACAGAGACGCCAAAAATGTCGTCGTCGCCCTCGAAGGAGACGGCGGAGGAGGCCGGGAACTCGAGCAGATTCCGTTCAGCGTTTGATTTGATTCAATTACAAATAATCGATCCCGCGGAGGAGCTTTTACGAACGGGAGGAAAGAAGGAAAATGACGACGGTGATGTGCGCGATTCGCCTCGAGAATCTTCTCAAAGGCGAGACGTTTTGTCCGCGGATGGAAGCGCTCGCGGGACGCCCGTAACAAAAAGTTTTGTTGAAGCAGGCACGACGCCAATGAAACAGCAAAGAGAGCGACAAGAACAACAAACGCTCGTGCGAATGGATAAAGGAATAAACACTGAGCCGGGACCGCAGCGAGGCGGTAAAAAAATAATGTTGAAAGCGATGCCGAGAGAAATCAGGAGGAGCCAGTCGTTTACGAAAAGAAAGCAACAAGTAAGACCGGAAGTCGAAATCGTCGAAAAACACGAAGCACTGCTCCAAGTGATCGAAGCGACAGAAACGGGACAAAAAACAACGACGACAGGTACTGAAATCAGACCACCAATAAGGTCCGATTCGTTCAAGAAGAGGCGACGAGAGAGCATCAAAAATCAGCTGCTACAGTCCGCTAAAGCGTCGATGGCTGAAAATATGCGCTCGATGAGCCAACCAGATTTGGTACAGTATCAACGACGAGAATGCGAAGAAAAGCAGCCTCAAATGCGTACATCGTTGAGTTTTGAAGACTTTCTCGAAAATGCATTAATCGGTACCACCGACGTCACCGGCGGGAGTGGAAACGACAACAACAACGCAAACAACCCGCATTCTCCGCGAAGCGAATCTTTCAAAAATATTGCGAGCTTTTGGAAGCAGTGCGAAGGAGAAGAAGGAAGAAACGAGGGAGACAGCGGCGAGAAGATGGATATTACCACGAATGCTCAGTCGCCGCACCAACCGCACGGGCGACAAAAATTCTGCGACTGCAAAGAGTGCGTCGCCGCTTTGATGGAACACGCGGCAAAAGTCGGGCGCTACGTCGTCGCGCAAGAAGATGAAGAGAAACGGCAAAGAGCGAAAGAGCAGCGGCAGAAAAAAACAGCGAACCGGCAACAAACAACAGCAGAGGCAGTAGTAGCGACAAATATCACGAGCGCGATGACGACGAGCGCGACGACGACATCGACGCCGCCCTTACATCCAAACTTCCAGATGCCGCCTCCTTTACTCTTAGCCTCCGCGGGCATAACCGGTGGAACCTTCGATATCGCCGCAAACCCTCTCCTGACGACGAAGACAACAAAAACATCCTCCCTTTCTCCCACATTGTACATCCACAATACCAACAAGTGCGCCCTTTCGCCCGGCGCGCTCCTCGTCGACTCGTTCGTCATGTCCCCTCTCTTGGACCAACTGGATGATTTAAAACAATAACGAATGTAACAACCGCACACAAAAGGAACACGAACAAAACACAAAACGAAGAAAAAGAGAAACGACTCGTACTATATGCTACTACTATAACTGTCGTCCTCGTTTTGCGCTCGAATATCTCGCTACTCCCTTCATCGCGTCGATGACATTTTTTGCACCATTTTTCTCTCGTTCGTCTGCTTCATAAAAATTCGAAACGTCACTCCTCTCGTCAAAACACATCACATCGTCCTCGTCGACGCGAACGACTTTGACGAGAGCGCCTCTTCCGAGAGGTGGACGATAAACTCTCTCTCTCTTCACGTCGTCGTCTTCGATATGAAAACCCCTCCTCTTACCCCGACAAAAACATCGAGGACACATCACGATCCTCTCGCTCCGCTTTTCCCGAACCGAGTCATCGCGCACTTCGATTTGGATTGTTTCTACTGCCAAGTGGAACGAAGTTTGGACGATTCCTTGAAGGAAATGCCGACGGGGGTGTGCCAGTACGACCCGTTCGAACGCGACGGCGTTTCCACGCGAGATGCGATGGGAGATAGGAAAACGCATCTCACGAGGCCAGGGGCGAACAACTCGCTCATAGCGGTGAGCTACGAAGCGAGGAAAAAAGGGGTGAAAAGGAACATGAAGATTGGAGAGGCGAGGAGGTGTTGTCCGGTGCGTTTTGCAGTCGCTGGTGGTGTTGTTGTTGTTCGCGGTTTTTTTTATCTCTTTTTAACTCTCTTTGCTTTCATCATCGATCGGACGGATGCGTTTGCGTTTGCCGCTTCTTGGTGTTCACATTTTTGACCCCGACGCGTAATACACGAACGAACAAACAGGAAATGATTTTCGTGCAAGTGCCGACGAAACATTCAAAGGCGGATTTGAAAATCTATCGCGACGCCGGGGCGAAAGTCGCCGCGGAGTTGGCCAAGCACGGGACAATCGAGCGGGCGTCCATCGATGAGGCGTATTTAGACGTGACGAAAGAAGCGAACGCGGTGTTGGAGAAGTGCGAGAGGAACGAGATGGATTTCTATCGGGACGTGTTGATGAGCGAGAGAGTGAGTCGAAGTCACGTGGCTGGGGCGTTAGAGTGGGAAGCGAGAGAACGAAGGAGGAAAGAGAAGAAGAGGATGAGAGCGTCGTTATCGGATGGGAGTAGTGGACAACAGGAGGTTGTGGTGACGTACGCGTCGCACAGAGATTTGCGAAGAGGCGCCGTGGATGAGATTGATGCGAGTAATAAAACTAGTATCAACAACAACAACACGGACAAAGAAGATAAAGAAAATGAAGAACACGTAGAAAGGAAAGCGGGAGACCCGCCTCCGCAAGACGAAGCGTCGAAATCTTGGCTCAATCGTCCGTTATCGGAATGGTCCCACAGGGAAAAGTTAAAAATAGCCGGCGCGTACGTGTGCAACGTCGCCAGAGAGGACTGTTTCGTCAATCTCGGATACACCTTATCCTGCGGCGTCTCGTCGAACAAAATGTTAGCGAAACTAACCAGCGGCATGAATAAACCAAATTGTTGCACGATTTTGGAAGAATCGTTCACGCCTTCTCTGTTGGAACACTTACCCATCGATCGCATTCGTGGTCTCGGCGGTAATTTGGGCGAAGAGCTTTCGGAAGTTTTAGGCGTCACCACCATCGGCGGTTTAGCCAAAGCCGATCGAAAGAGTTTGTTGATGGCGTTAGGGAGAGACGAGAAAAAAACGTTGTGGGTCCAAAGAGCCGCGAGAGGCGTGGACGACGACCCGGTCAAAGAGCGGTCGGCGCCGAAATCAATCGCGACGAGCAAGACGTTTCGAGGCGCGATGTGTTTAGAGACGACGGACCAAGTCTTGAAATGGATCGGGGAGTTAGCGGAAGAACTTTCCGAGAGAACCGAATTAGATGGACAAGATTGGAGAAGGCACCCGAAAACGTTAACGTTAGGTATTCGCTCCAACTTAACCGCGCACTCCGCGCACCGGTCGCACCCGCTTTCCGGATCCGGCAACGACTGTCAGGCGGATAATCTGAAAACGCTCGGCGGGACAATTTTTAAAAAATTTCTCGCCGAGTGGGGCATTATGAATAATCGAGGGTTCCAATGCACGGTGTTGAGCTTAACGACGAGTAACTTCAAGCTGGAAGTGGAGAAGAGCGACGTCGGTCAAGGTTTGGGGAAGTTCTTGAAGCGAGGCGTGGACGTTTTCGATTTATTCGATGGAGGAGAAGAGAAATTAATAATGAAATCGGCGAAATCGTCTCCGCGAAAGAAAGGAGAAGAAGAAGAAAACGAAGAACAAACGCGTTTTACCACGTTGTCGCCGCCAGCAGCGAACAAAGCGAGGACGACGACGACGATGCCATCCTCGTCATTGCACGATGTGAGTGGTGAGGATGCACCACTATTAACGAAGAAGAATACGAAGAAGAAAAAGAATAACGTCGTCGTCGTTCCAATCGCGCCTCCTCCTCCTCCCGAAGGAGGCGAGAAGAAAAATATTCGACCGAGAGAAACGTTGGAAGAAAAGCGGAAGCGCGAGGCGTTGTACAACGCGCAACTCGAATCCGGCATCGACGAGGAGACCTTTCGGAGTTTACCGCCGGATATTCAGCAAGAGTTGCGAAAGAATAAGAAAACAAAGTTTGTCGAAACTGGTAAAGATGTTGGGTTTAGCAAAGCGGCGACTATACCTTCGATAGCGTCCTTCTTCAAGAAGAAATGAACGAGTTCTTTGCGTGCGCAATACATACTATTTTAGATTTAGAATTTTATTTACTAGGTACCTGTACTACTACTACTAGATTTAATCATATCCAACCATTCTTGCTCGCGATCGCCGCCGCGGAAGATTTTAAACCCTAACTGTTCGAGCTTCTCGATGGTCGCTTCTAAACTATCGTCGTCACCGTTATCATCGTTTCGGTCGTCGTCGTGACTCCTCGACCTCGACGTCGAAGACTGTATTCTGAGATGCTCGTTCAACGTCTCCTTGTAATACTCCCTATCGCCGTCGTGCGCGGTGAGCTTATACGCCCCGATCACTTTCAACTCTCGCGAATGCGTTTCCGGAATAAACTGTCGGTAATACCGAATCTTTTTCTTCAAGCTTTTACTGAAGAAGGTCCGTTTGCGTTCGATTTCTTTCGTACACTTCTTACCTCTCAAAACGACTTCTCGTCGTCTTCGACCATCTGTACACCCGATGTTGTCTTCTTCGCCGTACCCGTCGAATCCCCACTCGTGGCGTAAAAAATACATCATGCTTTCTAATCCGTACCAAAACGACCGAGGTAAACCGGTTTCTTCCGATCTCGATCCGTAGTCGTAAATCACGCACGGCCTGTCCGTGGCCAGTTTCAGGAGCAAATTGGCATCCACTTCGAGCATGATTTTTTCCATGTCACCTCTCTCGCACAAGGTGGATTGCATGCGCATGAAATTTATGTGTTTGTGTGGGAAGTGTTCTCGAAGGACTGGTAACGCTTCGATGCCGTTTTTGAGGTTTATAAAGTGCGAGACATCTTGTTCTTCTTCTTCGATGGAAAGCGCAGATAACGGTATCGGAATTGGACGATTCGATGATTTTTTATTCGTTGTTGGTGCTCTTTTTCTTTTTCTACATCTTTGACAAAGATGGCGACGATGGAAAGAAGAAGCAATCGCTGCTGGCGAGAGGAAATGCGACGATGCGAGTGTCGCCATCGTTTTTATCGTCAAAGCGCGTTCGTTGTTTTGCGGAGGTATAGTTTCTTTTTACATACGAAAACATTGTTAGGGTTTCACATGAATCTTAATTATTATATTATTACACCACAACCCTAATTCACAAAGTAGCTTCTCAGCTGTTTACGTGCTCGATTGGTATAGGGGTTATTACGTTCGCTTCACATCACGCACCTTTCCCTTCGTATGCGAAGGACGGATTCGCGAAAGGTCCGCGGTTCAATTCCGCGATTGAGTACTGTTTTTTTTTGTAATTCCGCGTTTGATGAGTACTGTTTGTATGTGTATGTATTTTCGATTTATACTTTTGGAAGCGCGCTTTTTTCTCACTCGTCTACTGCTGCTCTTTTGCGAGCTTTTTCGCGACATATCTCGCGTATTCTTCATCCGTTGGTTCCGGGCACCCTTTTTCTTGCAAGTAGTGTACGCAGTCGGGGTGCTCGTCGTAACGAGCGGAAGCGATGTATTGCCAGTCGTCAAGAGGCACTTTCGCCTCTTCGACTAAGTATTGAAGGCAATCGAGATGGCCATACCCAGCGTTGCACATACAATCGACCTTTGCCCTATCAGGTATCTTTCTTTCTTCAACAAGATATTTCAAGATGCCTAGGTGACCATATTTTGCCGCGCCCAATGCCACTACCACTTCCGTACCTCGCGAAGGTTTCACTTTGTCGAAAAGAAATCGAAGACAGTCGAGGTGTCCTTTAGCAGCAGCTACTTTACACGACATTTCTTCATGTACATCACACGGGCACTCGTCAGAGAAGCAGTATTTCAGCATCTCGAGATTACCTCCAAATGCGGCCCGATTAATCGTCCATTCATCCCACTCGCAATGTTTCACTTCTCTCGCCCACTTGAGAAACTCGAGTTTGTTCGTTCCAGCAACGTGCCAACAAAACCAGGCTTGATCCATCACTCTTCCTCTATAATCTTTCTCTCCCCAGGGCATGTGATTCCACGCCCATTCCAACGTCGAGATGGATGAACATTCGTGAACACCCCAATCTGATACGTTTACCCCGGCGTATTCAAGCACACCCCGACTCTCTCTATTCACCTCTGAAAAGAAAAACCGATCTGCCCTATTCAATTTCGAAATCACATGCGAGACAAACACATCCTTATGATGCAACACCAACCCCGTCCACAACTTCGTCGGTCCAAGCTTTAAACGCTCCATATCCGCCACAGCCTCCTTCATAGCCTCTTCTTTCTCCCTCCTCTTCTTCCTCTTCTGCGCGCCAGATAACTTCTTCCCTCCACCCATCGTTGACTATAAAAAAAAACGGGCGGCCGTTTTTTTTTTGTCAATTAAAAAATCAAAAATCCATTTCAAACAACACAAAACCGACACAAAACTATCGCGCTCATATTCATCATGGAATCCTTCATCCTCCAACTCCTTAAACCGATAATCGCGTTCCTGGAATCACTCACCCTCGACGAGCAGAAAAAGTTCGCGGCTTTACTCTCTATATTCGTCGTTTCGTTGACGTTTTTGACGAGCATTTTTGCAAAGAAAAAATCGAATCCAATCGCGTTACCGCTGGATGGGAAAACGGCGATACGTTTACCGCTGGAAAGGATCGTGCAACTCTCGAAGGATACCAAGTTGTTGAGGTTTACGTTACCGACGAAAGAGCACGCGTTTGGGTTACCGACTGGATCGCACGTGATGGTGCAGCTGACGGATGCGAAGACTGGCGAGAAGCACATGCGTCCGTACACGCCGGTGTCCTCGGACGCGTTGGATAAAGGGCACGTAGATTTCGTCGTGAAGGTGTACTTTCCGAATAAGCAATTCCCAGAAGGTGGGAAAGTCTCGCAAATGTTGGACGCGGTGAAAGTCGGGGAGGATACGGTGGAATTCTTCGGGCCGTTGGGCGGGAAGCGATACGTCGGCGAGGGCGAGTTCACCGTGAAGAAATTGAAGAGTCAAGGCGGCGGCGTGGAGAGAAGAGACGCGAGAGACGAGGTTGGGATGATTGCCGGTGGGTCAGGGATTACGCCGATGTTGCAAATCGTGAGAGAGATGCTGAGAGAAACTGGCGCGGGTGGGCAATCGCCGAAGAAAATCTCCATTTTGTACGCGAATAAAAGCGAGGAGGATATTTTGTGCAGAGATACGTTGGACAACTTTGAGAAGCAGTTTCCGGGAAGAGTGAAAGTGTGGTACACCGTGGATGCGGCATCGAAAAAGAAAGAGTGGAAATACGACGTCGGATTTATTACGAAAGAAATGATCGAGAAGCATTTGCCGACGCCGGCAAAGAGCGGGGACCGGTTTCAGATTTTAGTGTGCGGACCGCCGCCGATGATGAAGTTTGCGGTGAATCCGGCGTTTGAAAAGTTGGAGATTGGGAAGGAACACGTTTTGACGTGGTAATTTATAATAATAATAATAATAATAATTACCATCATCATCGATTAATTGGCTTGTCTAACCTCTCGACTAACTCCTCCACCGCTTTCTTCGTCATCACCAAACACCTGTGTTTCAAAATCGAATAGACGTTCAAACCTACTGAAGGCATGACGTGAATATTCTCAATGTTTCGCGTGCCTCGGCGCAACAACCACCCGTCGTCGCTCTCGTCCGTGGTTTCCAATCGATCGCCGACGACTAAAGCGCTAAATTTCGTGTTTATTTTGTTCCCCGAGTCTCCGGTACCGCCGATGACTAAAGGCGACGGAGATAATTTCATATTTAATTCATCCTCTTCTTCGCTTGAATCATCATACCTCAACAGCTGCTTCAACCCAAACTTCGCCTCTTTCGTTTTCCCAGTTGGACTCATCCATTTCAAATCCTCCACGACGACTAATCTCCCTTCCGCCGCCTTGGCCGACAGCGCCACCCTTAACCCGAGCCTTCTCACTTTCTTTTGCAACTTGTGCTCGAAATCTCTCGGAATCGGCCCGTGCGCGGTACCGCCCCCTCGCATTTGCGGCGCTCGTAAACTCCCAACCCGCGCTCTCCCGCCACCTTTCTGTGGCCTCGCTTTCCTCGTCGTCCCGCTCACCTCGCCTCTCGATTTTGTCTTCGCCGTCGAGACGCCTCTTTTCCGAGCGAGTTGCCATCGAACGCATCTGTGCGCGATGTCAATCCGAATCGGAACGTCAAAGTGACGTCCCGGAAGAACTATTTTTTCATCAAAACTACTCTCTTTTTCCTCGATAATATGCGCACTCGCGTGTATCGGGACCGTTTTGTCTCTCATTTCCCCTTGCTCTACATCCACCGCGGACTTTGGTCGGACGATTACGTTTGCGACACTCCTCCTCGTTACGTTGTTTTTCCCATCATCCTCATCACCACCTCGGTTCTTCTTCTGCGCCTCGTCGTCCTCGTCTGCTCGCGCATTCGTCGCGTACAACTTACGCCTTAACTGTTGTTGTTGTTGTTGTTCTTGTCGTCGTCGGTCGTTTCCAAACGCCCTTTCACGCGTCGACGACGTAAACGACGACGACGGGGAAAGGAAAAACCTTAATCTTCTTCTCTCTTTGATGTCGTTTGCCGCAATCGTCGCCATCGACGACGACGACGACGCGCCGGGGTGGTCACTCCTCCCACTCCTCCTCCCGCTGCTACTGCGCGCACTCGCAGTAAAAGTCGTGCTCCTAAAACTCGCATAAATGCGAGTGCTGCTCGTGCTCGCGCTGCGCGGTGAGAGACGCAGTTGTAAAAGCGTTCGTCTCATCCTTTTTCCCCTTGAAACAAACAAACAAACCAAACAAGAGTGGGGGAAAACAACGGGCGAGAGAGCGTTGCGTGTTCTACGAGGCAGAGACTACCGTGCGCTCGAGCAGAGGTGAAACCACTCGTGAGGAAGGTCTCGAAAAAGTGAAATTTTGAAAGGAGAGTTTTCAAAGAGAGTCTTTTTGGGACCGTCTTTGAGTCCTTTTTCTTGGGATATCGCTTTTCAACACCCTTCGAGCGTTTCCCCTATTTCTTAAAAGGAGTTAAGTTCTTTATCACGAGAGACGCGAGAAGAGAGCGCGCACGATCTCTCTCTCTCTCAGTGATACTACACGAATACTAATATGTATTTCGAGGAACTGAACGGCGATTTCAGCGCGGGTCTTTGGCGGAAGAACCCGAACGGACGAAAAGATATACACCACGGGAGGCATCACCGCGGAGGAGGTGTCGAGTTCACGCCGGATGCGAACGCAGAAAGAAGGTCTCCTCTTACCGAGGATTTCCTCGCCTTCGTCTCGAAAACAGGGAAAGGCGATGCGTTTACCGTCGGTTTCGTCGTGGTGTGTGTGTGCGTGTCGTTCGTGTTGGTCGTGAGCGCCGTCGCGGTGGTGCAGTTGCACTTGAAGACGAAGCACTCGAAGGATGGGGAAGAGGCGGAGGAGGAGGCGTCGCTCGACGGATGCGAGCGCGGGAGTACTGTTAGAAACAGAACCGGAGCGAGGAGGAAAAAGAAGAAGAGAAAGAAGGACGACGAGAGTAGCAGCAGCCTGTACGGGGCGATAGTGTAATAAAAAGTTTAGTGTGCGCGAGCGCGCGGCAATGGTAGTATATATATATCGTTAAAATCATCCTCGTAAAGTCTCTCTATAGAATCTGTCCGTGTTTTTCCATCTCGCGGTCGTCGTAGGCGCCGTCTTCGTTGGTAATCGCGACGACTTCGCCGGAATAATCGTCCATTTCAAACGTCGCCGTGCTTAATACGTTTGGAATCAGCACGAGCGTCAACGGGACGCACAGTAAAGGCGATAAAATGCCGCAGATGATGATTAAATTTTCCAAGTTGCTCCAATTGCACGATTGGTTCGGGTCCTCGATGTTGGTTTGAATGCCGGCGTATTCAATCGCTAACGATCCGAGAGAAGATGCCATTAACCCACCCAACGCGCTCGCCGCGCTCGTGATGGCTAACAACGTCGATTCGGTGCCGTTGATGACTAACTTACTGATCAAAATTGCAAACGGCATCACCGAAAGCATAAACACCATGGCTTCTAAAACTGAGTTTCCCAACGCGTACGCCAGTTGGTCCGGGATGCCTATTTTTAAATTCGTCCGACTGACGACGAACAAATCGCACAACGAACCAATGCACCGGGTGCCGCTGGACCACCAAAATATCCTTCGCAATCTCCCGGTACTAAACGCCTCTTGAAACATCCAAATGCCTAACCCGCTAAATATCAACGCTATGAAACCGTTGACGATGTTGAAGTACACGTAATCGAAATTTGGTCCGCCGGGAACGCAATCTCCCGGTAACGTGTACCAATAATTCACCGCGTGTTGAAACTTAATGCTCAACGCTCTCTCGAAAAACGCGTACACAATCACGTTCCCCGCGAATTTCGGCAACAAACTCTTACATAAAACGACAATGCACACCCCCAAAATGAGATTCATCATCACCGACGCTTTCAACATGCCGTCGTCGACTAACTCGATCGTTTGCATGTACACCAATCCAATACCAACCATCATCAACATCCCGGCTAACACGATTTGCCTATACTTCACCTTCACCTTCAACGCCGATAAATTCCAACTGTATTTCACTTTCTCTTCCGGTAACTCTCCCATCAACGTCGCTATTATAGACGCAATTGCCACTGGTATCACGAAATAAAACACCGTCGTGTACTTCTCTCGTTCCAAAGCGAAGTATCCAACCATCAAACCTAAAATCTGCCCCATAACGACCAACGATAACGAATACGCGATTAAATCCCCACCAGTTTGCGGATTTTCGTGCATCAACTCCGCTCTCTTCCCATCGCTCAAACAATCGAATATAACCACCGTAAAATACACCCCCATAATCGCAATCACGAAATCCACCTCGCTCGCTTTCCCTTCGAACGTCCCCGTCGCCAACCTCGTACTGGCGAACAAACCTATCACGCCGCCGACCACTAAATACGGTCTCTTGTGATACCCGAACCACGGTTTAATGTCTGAAATGATCGCAAACGTTGGTTTCAACACTCCTGGGAACATAGTCACGGTCGAGATCCTTTGTAGCTCTGCCGCGGAGACGTTCAAGGCGGTTTCCGCCATCGGGAGTAAGGTTATTTCCGTCACCAGGCGGAAAAATCCAGTGAAGCCCAAGTGCACTAAGGCGAGATATCGTAGGAACGAGGCGTCGAACGTGTCGTGGACTCTGCGCATGAACAGATGCGTCGCTCGGTACGGGTAGGAAAGGAACGAAGGAGGACGAGGGAAAGGAGCATGCGTTGAATTGCGATCGTCGTTCGTGTTCTTCGCGGTGGTGTTCGCGCTCGCGTCCTTCCCGGCGGTCGCGCTTCCATTTTTGCTCCGTTGGAAAGGACGACCCATGCTCTGTGTCGCGTCCTCCCTTTTCCGCGCTTTGAGGAGACGATCCAGAGCGCAGCTTTTCACGCGCGAAGAAACAAAGAGCAGTCTTCTCGGAGTACGGACACCTTTTATGACCACGTCGTCGTTCTCTTTACGAGCGATAAAAAGTGCGCTTTAAAGTGAAGATTTCCCCTTGTTTTTATGAAGGGTGTTGGGAAAATGAGGAGTCGCAAACAACGCGTATTCTTTCTTATCTATCAAATGTAATATATCTATTGCTTAACTTTCTTCGCGGCGGGTAAGTCGTCTTCATCTTCGTCGTCGAAGTCGTCTTCTTCGTCGTCGAAGTCTTCCGAGCCTTCGTCTTCTTCTTCGCTCAATCGGGCGTCTTCGTCGTCGTCGGAGAGGATGGCGTCGCCGATTAAAGCCGCGTAGGCTGGTTTTTCGTCGTCATCTTCTCCGTCGTCTCCATCGTCTTCTTCTTCTTCGTCGTCGTCTAAATCATCGTCCAAATCGTCTAAATCGTCCTCTTCGTCGTCTCGGTCTTCTTCTTCATCTTCTTCGTCTTCTGAATCGTCCTCCGAGTCCGAGTACACCTCTTCGCCTTTCTCGTTGTACCCGTCCACGTTTTGCATCTGACCTTCTGGAAACATGGCAAAGATCGTCGACACGTGCTCCTCGTCCTCAAAGTTACATCCTTCCGCGTCAATTCTTTGCAAATGTTTCAAATCCGTCAACGCTTTGAACTCTTCCACTTTCGTCAGTTTCGGGTTGTCGCAAACGATGAGCTGCTCGAGTTTCGGACACTTCTTCGCCACGGTACTCAACCCGGTGGATATTCGGTTTTGCGACAAATTAAGCTTCCTCAACTCCGGTAAGTTCGGTAAATCGGCCACGTTGACGATCCCACACTTGATCAGGGACAACGTTTTCAAATTCACGAAACCGTCCAAGCCTTCGATGTCTTGGGAAATGCACTTTTCGTCCAAAATCAACGAAGTCACGTCCGCGCGATCGGAATAGCCGGCGGTTTCCACCGCGGTTTGCACAGCCTATTTTCATCATCGTCGTCAAATTTAACAAACGCGCGAGAAGAGGAGAAAATCAGAGAAACAGAGGTCGTCAGTCAATCGTCATCATCATCATCACATACACATACAGAGAGAGAAAATTGGAATAAAAACGGACTTTTAAAGCAAAAGAAAAGAAAGAGAAAGAGAACAAAAGAGAGATCCAAAAACGTTTTATGAACACCCTCCTCCTCATAATCACCATTCGCACCTGCTCCATCTTTATACCGAGAGTTGTGTGTGTTTTTGTGTGTGTTTTTGTGTGTGTGCGCTTCGTTGTAATGGTCTGATGTTTTGTCTGAGATTTTCAAAAACTTTCCCCCAAAAGACTGCTCTAAATAAAACTGCCATTTTTAAAAGGCGAGCGCGTCCCAGACTTCGCCGCCTTTCACGCGTATTTTCTTCCGCAAAGAAGACGATTTCGAGGAAGGAGTATACACGGCGTTCGCGTCGACGCGGACGATGTGATTTTTTGATGATTTTTTTGTTCTTTGTAGGAGTTCGCCTTTGGCGAACCTGGCGGCGCGGTTCACCGCGCGCCCGGTGGCGAGGAACGCTTTGTGGGAAGAGGTCTGAGAACAGAGGTCGCCGACGAAACCTAAGCAGCAGCTGCCGAGAGAAACGCCGAGAGTTATTTTCAGGTGTTGTTCACGTCTTTGTCGTCGTCGCGGAGGAGGTCGTCTTCGGGTGGTGGTGGTGGTTTTGTTGCCTTTTCTCTCGATCTTGATCTCGTTCTTGTTCGTCTTTTCGAGCGATCGAGAAATGGTGCGGCTGAATCGAAGCGCATTTCTCGACGCCACGAATTTTGCGAGTAAAGAATCTTTCGCGAATTGCGTTCGAAACGCGACGACGATGGCGAGCGAGTCGCCTTCGTCGCCGCCGAGTTGTAGAAACGTGCCGTCGTGGCGCGCGCAAACCTTTTGCGCGCGTTGGACGAAACGACGGAGCGTTTGCACTTCGCGAGTCGACATCGATGCTCGGAGCGTGACGTGTATGAACACAATCGCGACGATTTCGTCTCTTTGACTCTTTGATGGTGTTAATGCCTTTATTCTGATGTTTCTTAGTTTCTTCTCTTCTCGCCGAATAAGCCTCCTTTTCCTTTCCGGGTCATCGTATTCATCGTTTGCGAGAAGTAATTCTCTCGGTTTCGCCTTCCGAGCTTCCTTCGCTAACTTCTCGCACGCTTCACCGAACAGCACTCTTTCGTATCGTCCTTGAAATCCTCCCAGGAAGGTTTGCGTGACATTTCCGCTCGCCACCGCAATTCTCACGCGCACGTCTCGAAAGAAGAAGTGTGCTCGTTGAGCTTCTTCCTCTCGAGCTTTCTCGGCGCGACGTCGAGGACGGTTCGAAAACAACCACCTCCCATTCACCACCTCTTCAGCGAACGATTCCGCTCTTTTCGTCACGCGAGCTTTCGTTTCATCACCGTTTACTATTTTTATATCATTCTCATCATCATCTTCATCATCCGTCTCCCTCGTACCATCACACCTTCTCCTTTCTCGAAAGACGCAACACGCTGCGTCGCCGGCGAAATTCAACACGGTCCCTTTGTGTTTGCTCGCCAGTTTCGCCAGCGGCTCGAAATAGTTCTCGTTCAGATACTTTTGAATCGCAACGCCCGGATGACGATGATGATGATGATGATGATGATAACAACACCGCAATGATGACGTGGTAGTGTTACCGCGTTCATTTCTCTCCTCGTCTTCATCAAAATCTTTCCCTTCTCGATCGAGGTACCATCGATACAACTGATCGACTCTGCTCGCGTACTCGCTGATGTCCACGCGCGCGAGCGCGACGAAAAACGACGAGTCTTTCTCTTTTCCCGTCATACTCGTCGTCCTCGCAAAAGCTGTCGTCGTCGTCTTTGCTTTCTCCTCGTCCTCCGTGTCGTTTTCTCTTTGCTTTTGAGCAGTCGTATTTTTAGCGCTTTCTTGGGAAAAGGTCGATCTTTTTGTCTTTGCCCTTCCTCCATGAGCGCCTACTTTGAAGCCACCATAACCACCACCGATCGCGAATGATGACGATGCTTGATGCTGCTGCGAAAGCGAGTCCTCTTCCTCATTCTTGGTGGTGGTTTTTATCGCAATAATCGTGATCTTTGCGCGTGAGTTAATAAAGTGTTGGTTTTCTTTGTGATGAGAGTATTTTTAGCACGAGGAAAAAATATGCTTAAAATTTGCTACGAAAATCTAATAGATCCGCAACATCTCTGCGGCGGCTTTTCGTCTCTGGATTAACTCCAGCGCTTGCGTGTGCGCGGAGGAGTCTTGGTTTTTTCTTTTTCGGTCCGCTTCTCTCTCATCATCTTCTTTTATCGCAGGGTCCAAGTCTTTCTTCGGGCGGCTGTTTTGCGAGAGGATGACGGTGTTGGATTCTTCCGAAAGGCGCACAATCTTCCCGAGATTTTGACGATCGTCGTCGTCTATGTGCCTCAACGTTTTGAATTCCGTGCCTTTGCGTTTGCGCGAGCACACTTGGTGCCTCATCGCGCGAAAATCTTCGTCGTTCAAGTCTTCGCTCATGTGCGCGTCGCCAAACGCGTCGATGGTTTTGTCGTAGAGCGTCGCGACAGACGGGGACACTTTAATCCAATCTCTGGCTTTAGGTGGCCATATTTCTTGTTCTTTACACGAGAAGAGCCAATTTGTGGATAGAACTTCGTCGCAGGCTTGGAGGTACGCGTCGTCGACTTCGATAGTTGGCGGGGCGACCACGCGATTGACGTTCCTGACGACGCTTTCAAAAAATTTACCGCCGCGGGCAACGACGAATTGTGCGATTTCCTTTTTGACGTCTCGGTCGCACCCGATGGCACTAAAAGTAGTGCCTTCGAAAATTTTGGAAATGGTGACGACGTTTCGAACGTCTACTGGTTGCATGTGCGCGACGTACTTCTCCTGGACCGCTAGGGATCTCTTTTGTTTTCGTTTCAAACCTTTGGCATTTTTGCGATCGTACTCTTTATACGCCGTTCGCTCGTCGTCGCCTTGTTCTCCGTTGCCAACACCATCACCACCGCGACTTCCTTTGTGCGTGACTTTGGTCACATAGCGTTCGGCTGTTTCCGCGATGTCTTTATCCGTACATATTTCGTTCCAAGGTTTCTCCGGGCGGATCGCCGAGCATCTCGGAAAGCGCAACCCGTAAGGAGCGTTGAAGGTGTGCGAAGGTACCAAACGTACGTCGCCTTTCACCGTCATCACGACGGATTTCTCCGGATTCGTTATCCAAACATCCGGAGTTTCACCGAGCATCCCCGAGCACTCGTATCTTTCGTAAGTTTTCGTGTAGTTTTTATCTACGTTTTTTCGATTAAAGCGCATCAAATCTTTCAACTTATCGCGCAAATAGTGCTGATCCTCGCGGTTAAAGCCGGTCCCGACTTTACAGAACGTCATGATGGTTGGATTTTTATCCCGTTGCGTCCCGTCTTTGATAACCCCGAGCAACCACTGTGAAATCTTACCCGCTCTGCCGCGCCCTTCGCCGTAATAGCCGCCGATGATGACGCAGTCGTAATCCGAAGTTTCGCAGTAATCTGGCTTCAATTTCACCCAATTATGCCCCCGTTCTCCTGGAACCCACGGCGAATCGAGTAATTTGACGACGATACCTTCTTCGCCGTGATCTTGAGCCTCTCGCAAGCAATCGCTAATCTTTGCAATGGCGTTCGGATCGTTTTGCTCCACAACTGTTCTAAATTTACGCGCAATCTCTGCCTGCGACTCATTATCCGCGATGTCATCTTGGAACGGCGAGACTACCGCACACGTTATTCCAGTGTCACCGACTTTGACGGCACCTTTGTTTAAGCATCCTCGAATGGCACCTTTCAAGAGGTCGTAGCGTTTTCTCAACGGTTCGTGAATGACCGACGTGTCTTCGTTGTAGAGAATATCAAACGGGACGTATACGATTTCGAAATCTTTCCATTCATATCGCACTCTCCCTTCTTCCCCTTCTTCTTCTTCTTCTTCTTCCTCTTCGTCCTCGTTTCCTTCTTTTTCTTCTTCTTCTCCTTCTTCATCGTCATCTTCTTCTTTATCTTTCGCTTGCCCCTTTTCCTTCGTTTGCATCGTCGGATTCTCGTAAAATCCTTTCGGTATGATCGGCATGTTCTTACCCATATTTTTTTTCCAGTTCGCGGCATTAAACGCGCGTTTGATCGTTCCAAACGGCACAAACTCTTTTATTCTCTTGTTATATACGAGGATTTCACCGTCTAAAATACATTTAGGGGGCAATCCTCGTCGATGCTCGTCGACGGTGTCCCGCGTCCCTTCTTCTTCCGCTGCGTCGCAAAACAAAACATCCATGATCCCGTAGCCTCTCGGCCCGAAATCGTTCATGTTCCTTGTCCAATACTGACACTTTTCACCTAAACTCTCCTTGTTCCTATGTATCTGCACCCTCTCCCCGTCAAATTTCGTCTCCACGGCAAACGCTTTCGACCTCGCCCACTTGGCCACTTCCTTCGGCGTGTTCTTCCTCCCGGCCAACTGCGCTATGATTACTCCTTCCCCGCACTCGATATCGTGCTTCTTCAGAACTGCATTTCGATCGGACAGCGCCTCGCACGCTTTCCTCAAATCAGCTTTACACGTGTACGCCTCGTACGCTTGCGGATGATAATGCATTAAAAAATCCTTCTCCGACACGCCTCCCAACTTCAAGTCTTTCAAAATAATGGAAACGATCCACACCACCTCTTTCTCCGTCGCTCGCATGATAAACTTTCTCAACTCCCTCGCTTTCGCCTCTCGATCGTTTCCCATGCACATGTTATCCAACATTTCGTTGACTTCATCTATCGTCATCCCGGTCTCGCCCCCGCTCTTCTTCTTGTTCCTTCTCCCGATGAACTCGCCCGCCACGTTCCCGCAAATCACCGCGAAATCTAAACCTTTCGAGCTCATCTTCCAGTTTTTTATTCTCGTCCTCATCTCTGAGTGCTTGTCTAAGTTTAACGCCAAGCATATGACGTCCGATAACGCGCCTTCTTTCAGATTGTACGCCGCGCGTTCTTTGTCCAACTGTGCGCAAAAACAGAGCATTTTTAAGTGATGAGCGTTGAGTGAATTTCGTCAGGACAAACTTTCGTAATATTCGCTAAGATTGAGAGAGAGAGAACGACACCAAAAACAGCGAGAACAACGAGCGCACGACGTGCATTTATACTACCTGCGGCGCTAAGAGTCTGTACAACCGAAACGCGTCTTTCCTTTCGCCGCCGTTGAAAAACCTCGGGTAATGGTTTTCGAAGAACTTGTCCAGATACTCCCGGGCGATGTGCTTCTTCGCTTTCCCGCCTTCTTTGCGGTGGTAGGTTTTAATTCTGTGCAAGAGAGTGCACACGTCTTTGAACGGGACGAGACCGATGTCGTCTTTCCTCGTCGTCGCCGTCGTCATTTCTTGACGGAGTTGAAAGCAACGAGACTTGAATTTGTTTTGAGGATTTGTCCAATTTTTAAAAGGGCTGCTTGTGAGTCAAAGAGGTGCCCAGATTCGAGACGAACGACGATGAGAAGAATACCGTGACGACGACTGTTAAAGTAGTAATTATTAAAAAAGAATACTGTGTATATAAATATATATGTGCATAATCATCAGCGAAAATGTGCTGCTGTGTTAGTTTTTGAACCAGGTGGACGGCTTCAACCAACGCTTCTCCTCGAGCGACGCTTGAAACTCTCTCGCCTCGCGAGTGGCTTCCTCGCGGGTGATTTTTGCGCCCTTGGCTTGGGCTAACTTTGCCGACGCGGCTCGTTCGGCGCTCGCTTTTGGCTTGCACGAGTTGATTGGTCCGTCGTCCACGGAGTCGCACGTGAATTTGGCTTGGAAGGCGTAGGACTCGTAGGTGACGTTGTTCTCGCGAGCGCCGTCTTGGACGTTCCACATGGAGATGTCGTTGTCCATGCCTTTGTCTAAAACGCCGGCGAACATGCGGGTGAAATCGGTGCAAGAGCTGACGTCCCAGGTGGACAAGTCTTGGTTGAAAGAAAAAGCGTTCTGGAACATGGTGTTCATTTTTTTGACGCTCGAGACGTCCCAACCGCCGATTTTGGCGTTGAACAACGTCGCGTGTTCGAACATGCCGGACATATCTTGAACTTTGGACGTGTCCCACTTGTAAAAGTTTTTACCGGTGAACGCATCCGCGTCTTTGAACATTTGCGACATGGACGTGACCGAGGAAACGTCCCATACGCCAATGAGGCCGTTGAACGAGGAAAGTCGGTCGTTGCTGTCCGCTAAAGGCGGGTCGTAGAATAACTTGTCCATGTTGGTGACTTTCTTCGTGTCCCAGGTGTTCATTTTACCCCACTCTCCGTCCGGGCAGTTACCGGCGACCGGGTCGACGGCGAGACACGCCGCGACGGCGGCGTGGATGTTACTGTCCGTGAGCGGGTTCTTGGGCGTAGTAGTTGTAGACGTCGGCGTTGCTGCTGCCGCGTTGGTCGACGCTGAAGTAGTAGAAGCCGCGTTGTTGTTGCCGCTCGTGGTGGTAGTAGACGTGGGAGTAGCCGCCGCGGCTTTCGCCGCTGTCGTCGGGGAAACGTGCTCGTTGGCGTGTTGCTGCGCCACGTTCGGCGCCGTATTCGGCGCCGCGCCCGGTGCTGCCGGGCACCCGGCCGGATGGTGAGCCGTCGGCACTTCGCACGTGTTCGTATCTCTCATGTTGTAGCACTGACCAAACAAGTACACGTTACCGGCGTTGGATCCATCTTTCGTTCTCGGGTAAAACTCAACGCCGCTCAGTTCGTCTTTACCGAAAGACTTTTCCTTCGTGCATTGCGCCATGTTGACGATAACGCGCGTCGGGTAAGCCTTACCGAGACCGAGCGAGGGAACCGCTCTCGTCGAGGAAGTCGTTTGCTTCCACAACAAATTTCTCTTTTGGAGAATATCGTTGTTATCGTTGTTATTGTTGTTGTTCGTACCGTGTCGTTTTGATGATTCTTTCTTCTTGTTTGATGATGATGATGATGATCCTAATTTTGCGTTTGCGTTGGCAACTTCTTTTCTCTTGTCGTACTTCCGCACGGAAACTTCCTTTCCGCCTAAACTCGCAACCTCGCTCGTAAAATCTTCCGCGGTTTGACATCCTCTCCCGCCTTCCGTGCATGGCATCGTGTAATCCGTGCACTCCCAACCTTCGCATTTTTGCAACGTGCACGTCTGCGCGGCGGCGTCGCATTCAATGTCCGTCGACGTGTACTCGTTACCGTGGACTAACCATTTCAACCAAGCTCCCCAATCGACGTAGCTCATGCTCGTCACCCCGGTCTCTGAGTCCGTGGTGCTCGAAAACTCTGGCCACCAGCCTTGAGTTTGCGCGTCTTCAAACGCCTTTGCGTTTTCCGTCGTTGGCGGCGTCACAAAGTTCCCGTCCGCGTCGATGAACCCGTGACTCCCGGCGTACGCCACCGCCGCGGCGTTCGTTTTCACCGCCTGCTGGCTCGCGACGGCATCAATGCCATCTTCTAACCGCTTCTTATCGCTGGCGTTTTCTTCCGTGGACAGCTCGCTTTCGGCGCCCCACACGGCGGCGTTTCTCGCCGCCTCCGAAATCGGTCCGCCCTCGATCGCTTGCGCGCCGATATCGGACAAATAATTCGTCTCGTTTTTCACGTCGTACAGATAAAATCCAAACTGTTCGCCTTGTTCCAACTTTTGCGAAATTACGTACGTCCCGCATCCCACTTCCGTCATATCCAACGCGTGCTGGAACGCAAAGTTATGGTCTTTGGACTTCATGGACAACTTGGCGCCGACCTTACCGACGAAACCGCCATTCGGGAACGGAAGCAAACCGAGCGTGGAGGAGGAGGTGCACCCTAACGTCAGCGTCACCATATCGGCGGCGGACGCCGACGCCGACGATTTTGATGCCGATGATTTTGCCTCCTCGGTCGCCCCTAAGTTCCCTTCGATGTTGTTGTTTCCGGCGTCGCTTTCTCCTTTACTCATGATGTTCATCCCGTCCTCGTTCGTCCTCGTCGTGGACACTAAAGCCGCGCCAAAAATCAACGCCGTGGTCCCAATCATCACCGACTTGGTCCTCCACTCGCCGGGCCTTTTCGAGGAACCACCAGACTTTTTGTTCTTCTTCTTCGAAGAGAGCATGAGCGTTTCATCCTCCTCGTTATTCAAAACCGAAAACTCGTCGTTCGAGTTGTTGTTGTTGTTGCGCGTCTTCTTCTCTGCCGCCTTCAAGAGAGGCGCGCGTTCTTCAAACACAGACATGATGCGACGATGATTATATCACAGACGAATCAGCGTCTTCCCGCGGCTTTATAAATTTGGAAAGAGGACTTTTTGTGATTGTTCTGTTTTTAGCGCACTCTTTACCAATCGCAAAACGCAAAAGAAACACACACTTCTAAGATCGATCGATAAAAAAACTGTTCTTCTTCTTCAATGGAGGTGATCACCGGGGTTTCAGCGCAACTCGAGAGAGAGAGACGGAACGAAAGAATATGTGTGTGGAGCACAGAGCGTGGAGCGTACGAAGAAGGAGGACACACATGCGTTTAGGGTTTGAAAATGTGGACAAAAACGTTACGAAAAAAGTGAAAAAAAGGTAGAAATGAAGAAGCTCCTCCTTGTGTCAGCATTTTGGCATGCCTCACTTTTAGAACAGAAAACACACTTGGCTATTATTATGTCTCTCTCTGGCAACGACGCGTTAAAACTCTCCGGGGCCATGATGGTAACGTTCTGCGCTCGCTTTATCTCTCTCTCTCTCGCGAACGAACGAACGAACGAATAACGAAATTCGTGAAGAATAAACGCGCGTTTTTTTCTCACTCGCATTGTGTGCAACATTCCCTAACGAATATTCTCTTCATCAAAATCATCTAATTAAAATCTAGCTCGGGTACGGCGTCCAAGCGATCGCCATCCCGGACGACATGATGAAGATGTTCTTCAAAGAGGACGAGCAACCAACCGCGTCCCCGATGTGGTCGTCTCTCGCCGGGGCGTTCATGCTCGGGACCGGTTTGCCGATGCTGAAACTCGGCGTGGACGGGAAAGCGGACAAAGGGTCGCTGTTGATGGCGACGGGGTTGATGGCCGCGGGCGCGGGGCACATGGCCGTGAACGCGAAGAAGTTCAAGCCGGAGATGTTGGCCGTGAATGCCGCGATGGTTGGTGGCGTCACGTACTTGAACGCGATGGCGTTGAAGAACGCGTAAGGAGTTATGAGAGTACTCGTCTACTCGTCGCCGCCTATCGCGAGCGTCTAATATTTTCAATGTCATTTTTCAATAATTCATATATCACAAAACGAACCGTATCTTTTGGTCTTCCGGTAAATCGTCGTCGGAGTGCGGCGTGTCGTCGAATTCGCCGAGGCGGTCTTCCACCGGGATCGCGTCGTGATCATCTCGATCGCCTTTGAAATTCGGGTCTATTCTGTTCATGAACGATAAGTGCCGCTCGTTTGGTTTGACGTTTTTGTTCGCTAATAAACGAGTGACTTCCTCGCAACTGGCGCCAATCCACGCAGCGACGGCTAACGCGCCTGGATCTGGCACTTTTTGTTCTTTCAGTTTGTCTTTGTTCACGTAACTCGCTCGGCCGGCGTTAGCGGTCATGTTTCTCGTTTCTTCCGCGCCGTCTTTCGCCGCTTTGGCGATGCGATCGCACTGTTCTTTTAAATCGTCGTTCATTAACATGCCCCAATGCCCCAAAGCTGGCATTAACGCGTCGAGCATGGTCCGGTCGCCAGCCGTTGCTTTACCGTGTTTGCGAATGGCGCAGATGCCTCGCGCCAAGGCTTCGCGATATTCAAACGAATCGTCCATGTAATCCTCATACTCGGCTTCGTCAAAGTCGCTTTCGGTTTCGTCTAGAGTGTCACCGGCGGCGCGGAAAAAGACGTCGTATAAAACGCCCGAAGTGCCGCCCATGGATCGCGCGCACGAATTAGCGAGTTGGTCGCAAACGACGTCTGGATGCTTGTAGATATAATCGACGGAGTCTTCTAAGATGGCCGCAGCGCCGGCGGCTAAGGTGTCTCCGCAGTCGCCGTCGCCAGCGATGGCGTCTAATCTCGTCAGTTCGTCTCTCATGGATAAAATGGTCGCGCACGAGAGTTGGATGGCAGCCGCGAGAGCTTCGGCTTCTTCCTCAGTCACTGTAACTTTTGGCGTTCTCAATTTATTCTCCTTCTTCTTTTGTTGTCGTTCCTTTTGGTTTGTTGATTTCTTGGGCGTTTCTTCTTTCGTAGATGTCTTTTTGTCGACGTTCTTCGTTTCTGTCGCGTCTTTTGGAGGAACTGGTAAAACGTCCATTTGTTCTTGCAACTTTCTCGCGGTGTTCGTCGTCGTCGTCGTCGTCGCACTCGTTACCGACGTTGTCGTTGATAAATTAATCAATCTGGGCCAGGCGTTCACTTCGCACGGCTCGTCCAACAACGCGCCGTCGTTTTCGTCCTCCAACACGCTGACGGTTAAACTCGCGCCTCTCATGTTCAAACTCGTCATGAAGCTCCCACACATCGCGTGCGTAATCTTACACGCGTTACCGCCTCTTTTCTCTAAAGACTGTTTGGCGAGATTGGCGAGTAAACCGAGCTCGAGATTGCTCGTCCCGCCTAAACCGTTCACCACTAAACATAATTCGATCGGCTTCACTAACCCGATGCTCATTTTCGTTTCCGCGTCTAAACCGAGCATGTGATCGATTTTACCCATAATGCCGACACCGCTCACCGCCGAATTCCTTTTCGCTTTTTCACTTTCCAACTCCAACGCTTTCTCAATCGCGTCCAACGCGATTTCGACAGTCTTCTCCGCGCTTTCAAACGGAACCGTCTTAAATCCGGGCTCGTTGTGTATCCCCAATCCTAATTCTACCATCCCGTCCGGTACCTCCACGTCTCCTTGTTTCCTCTGTCCAGGCACGTCACACCTCCCCAACGAAAACCCGTACGTCTTCGTGTTCTTCCGAAATCTCTCGGCGATTTTTCGCACCTCCGAAAACCCCTCCCCTCTTCGCGCCGAAGCGCTCGTCGCTTTCAATCCTAACAACGTGCCGCACAATCCTCTCGCGCCTCCTTTCCCTCGCTCATTCTCCGGTATCGAACAATCGTCGTCGAACGCGAACACTTCGATGTTTTTCAGTTTCGATTTCGCGTACTCTTTTCTCGCTCGGTCTCGCGCGATCGAGAAGTTCACCACGTCGCCGGTGTAGTTCATCACGAGGAGTAAAATCGAGTCGATGCCTTCCTTTTCCTCTGAAGCGTGTACTAAAACGTCATCAATGCACGCCATAATTTGCTCGACCGAGGGCGACGCGAACACGTCGCCGCACACCGAGGCGTGTAAAAAACCTTCCCCGACGAAACCGGCCATGGCTGGTTCGTGGCCGCTGCCACCGCCGGAGATGATGGCAACTTTTTGTTTCCCGTTTTGTTCTTTGACGACGACGACGTTTTTCTCGACTTTTCTTAATCGTGAAGCGTTGAAGGAGACGTGACCGTCGAGAGCGACAGAGGCGACGGTCGACGCGTCGAGTTGGGTGATGAACGTTCGATTGTTCGTGGTGATCGTGGTATTCTCAGTGTTGGTGGACATTAGTATTGAAGGCGTGTGAATGTGAACAATAATGTGGCGATATCTGTTGTGTGTATATGGATTTAATGATAGCTTGATAGCTTCAATTCTCTCTCTCCTCTCTCTCTCTCTCCTTCTCTCTTCTCTCTTTCGTTCGTTCGTTTTATGGGCGACCGAAATCTCACCGCGATGTTCTTTTTTACGCCGTCGCCCCGGCGTCGGCGTCGGCGTCCTCCATCGTCGCCGGTTGCGCGGCGTCTTGTTCCGCGGCTTCTTGCAACTTCGGCGTGACCCCGGAGCCGCCTTTTTGCGGGCAGTCTCTCGAGTAGTGACCGTCCTCGCCGCACGTGCGGCACTTGGTGTCCTTCGGTTGCGGGCAGTCTCGAGCGAAGTGACCTTCCTCGTTGCAGTTTCTGCACTTGTCCCCGGGTTTCGGCGCTCTCGGCGCTTTTTCCTCGTCCGTTCTCGTGTCCGGCTCGGCGCAATCTCTCGCCCAGTGACCGGCTTGGCCGCAGCGGTTGCAGACATCTTCCGGGCCAGCCGCGCGGCGTTCGCGAGGTTGTCTCGGGCCTCTGCCGCCTCTGCCGCCTCTGCCGCCGCCGCGGTTTTGCGGGCACGCTCTCGCGTAGTGCCCGAATCGACCGCAGATGCGACACGAGTCGTCGCCTCTGCCGCCGCCTCTGCCGCCGGAAAATCCGCCTCTGCCGCCGCCGGAAAACCCGCGAGTATCCGCCGACGCGCAAAACCTCGCCATGTGGCCAAACCCGCCGCATCGGTTACATCGCATATCGTTCATCGGTGGCGCTCGAGAATCCGGCAACGCGCAGTCTCTCGCCCAGTGGCCAAAGTTTCCGCATCTGTTGCACTTGTCGTTGGAGGACGGGCCTCTCGCGTACCCGCCGCCACCGCCTTCGTTGTCGTACCCAGCCGCGCCGCCTCGGTTGTTATCCGGACAGTCGCGCGCCCTGTTTTATCGTAAAAATCACACAAAATATACAGTGGAAAAGGGAGAAAAAAGTTGGGGAGAAAAGAAAAAATATATAAAGGTCAGTTACCGCAACACACGCTCTCGCGTCGTCTCCAAAAGTCGCTCTCTTCTGCTCGTTCGCGCTGCTCTCATCAAGAAGCCTTCGTCGAAATTGATGATAAAAAACGCCGCCGAGTCGTAAGATGATGATGATCATGAAGAAGAAGAACTAAAGGAATTTCCGACGAAGACTTTTCTTCTTCGCGATCCAAATTCTCTCTCTCATTCTCTCCTCCTTCCTCTCCGCTTCGGCGCTCAAACGCCATCTCAATCTCTCTCAAACGCCATCTCAATCTCTCTTTTCAAATCGATTTATAACAGGCTTGATGACGATAGGTGGTGAAAAGGGGCAACATCAACATTACGAACAAAACTTCTTCTCGCGGTTTCGCGCTCGACAGACACGCGACAAAACGAATTCTTTCCGAGCGCAGTAGATCAAAATTCGACAATTCACGTGTCTTCTCTCTCTCTCTTTCTCTTTATTTTCACGCCCGAAGAAAAGCAATGACAACAAACACAAACACAAACACAAACACAACAACAACTCTCTATGTAACTCCTCTTACCAGTGACCAATGCCTGTGATGTGCGCGTAATAATAAGAATAAGAAGAAGAACGTTGAAAGTCAGCGAGTGAAGATGAATTTTCGATCCATTCGTGAACGAAGAGAAAAAAAAGAACGAGAGAATTGTGTGCGTACCTCCGCAGATTCTGCACTCGTCGTTGGCCGCTTTCTGGTACGGCGCTTGCCCGGCGTTCATCGTGCCGCCGGTGTGCATCGGTTCGTCTCTCCATTTGCCCATTTTTTTAGTACTTAGTGGTGGTGTGTGTTTCTTCTCTCTACAGTGGAGAGAAAGGATTGATTAATGAAGCGGGACGTACAAGGGAGGATTTTTAGGCGGATCTCACTTTAGGGTTTTAAACCCTAATTTTAGAAAAGGAACGAGGAAAGAGGAAAGACTACTACTTTTCGCCGTAATAAAAGTAAACGCACTATTCTTCTAAAATTCTTCTTATGTATCGACCAAGGTGAAGCTTAAAAACGCGCAATCGTAGACGGTTCGGTGCATGCTCAATCGATCGGTGGCGTACGGGCAAGAAAGCGGGTGTGATTTTTGGTCGAGTCGGAAGCCGAGCGCGCGGCAGAAAGCGACGAGGTCTTCCAAGGAGACTTCGACGGAGAGGTCTTCTTCTTGTTCGTCGTCGTTTACGTCGTTTACGTCGTAATTTTCGGAAGTGCCGAGACGACGACCGAAGTTATTATCGCTGTGTTCTACCCAGTGCCAAAGTAAAGGCCCGATGGAGGTGAGCGTGCCTCCTTTTTTCAAGCAAAACCGGATGGTTTCCAAGTAGTCGAAGATATTTTTGGCGGTATCCAGGAAGAAGCAACACGCCACGGCGTCGAAGTGGGATTCGTACTCCGGGCTTCCGTAGACTTCGCAGAAATCTCCGGCGCACATGGCCATGGAGCTTCCAGGTTTGAACGCGTCCATGTGGTCGCACGGGCTTTCGTCCGGGACGACGATCGATCGATACTGGTCCTTCTGAGAGAGGTGGTTTAAAGGCGAGTGCCAATACGGAACGATTTCAAACGGTCGCTTTTCTGAGCAACAATTTAAGAGAAAAGAAGAACCGAACAGCATGTAATAGGAAAACTCGTTCCCTTCGGTTTCAAATCCTGCTTTGGCGAATTCATACACCAGCCTTCCCAATCCGGCGCCGGGAACGAGAACGCGAGGTCGCGCGATATCCTCCGGGTTCATTCGTTCGCACATCAAATCAATCTCCGATAACTGCTCTTTAAAAACCACGTCCCGCAAATGTCTCACCAACACGTCGTGGCTTTTCTCCCTCTCTTCTCTCCCTTCCTCGGACCAATCTCTCGCTAAATTTTTCAACACGTACCTCGCCTTCTCGGCGTCCTCGAAACCGGGCACAAGCGGCGGCCGCTCGCGCTCCGGAACCGTCTCGAAATCTCGCGTCACTCGTAAATGCGCCGGTAAATGAGATGCATCTTCTCCCTCTGCATCGTTCGATGAAAACGTCTCCAATAAGCAGTCAAAAAAGTGCTGATTCTTTTCCACCGCCTCTCGACTTTTCCGTTCGCCTTTCTCGTACACCTCTTGGAGGAGGCGCTTCACCATCTCGTGTTGGTCATCATCACTCTTACTCTGAATCACGTCCTCCTCCTCGAGCACCTTCTCTTCTCCTTCTCTTCCATCGAACAACTTTGTCGTTCTCTTTCCTTCTCCTTTACCTGTTGATTCCTCCTCGTCTCTTTGTCTTCTTCTTCGTACCGTCGCTTTCAACAGGTTCCGTTTCCGTCTTTGGATTTCTCGTTCGCAACTCGTTCGGTAGTTTCTCAACGCGTTGGTGACTTTGTTCACCGCGATGCGTTCCATCGTTTCGGGGTCCTCGTTCATCTTCTTCCGTTTCGAAATCTCACGCGCAAGAAAGAATTCAAGTCGTCCGTTTACTCATCCATCTTCGCGCGTGTATCGAGGAAGTGATGTCTGCGCGCAAATGCTGCACAATTAATGGCGCACAATCATCGTTTCCCCGACTGCTTCGTAAACTTTCCCGCGAGGACTTTGAGGACGAGGACGATGATTTCTTCCTCTCAAAAGGGGTGTTCCTCTCGTTCTTTGACGAGAACTCGAAGCGTGTCTTCTTTGTTCCGGAACAGGAGGAGAATCATCCGCGCGAAAGTCGCGACGGATTTTGCGTCTGCCGGTCTTGCGTGTGCGCGAAAGAAGAAGAAGACGAACGGTGTCGTTGCCGTTGGCGGCAACTCCTTTTTCGCGACGACGACGACCAAAACGATTCAGACGACGAAGAGTTCGCGACGCTTTACGTCCTCGTCGAGCTGCTCGGCGACGAAGAACGATTCAGATGAAGGAAGAGGAAGAGATGATGATGAAAACGAGAAGCAAAAGGAGTATTACGAAGGCCTCTACGGAACGTGGACGGTGACCTCGCGAGACGAGTTGGAAGTGTGGTCGTACCGAGTCGCGTTGTCGTTGGCGTGTGTAGGCGCCCTTGGCGTTGTTTTCGGCGATGCGAGTGGGAACGAGGCGATGGTGAACCCGAGTTACTTTTTAGGCGCGAGCGGGTTCGGCGTCGCGTTGGTTTTGGTGCACATGTACGTGACGCCGATAAAACGGGTGATGCAAGCGCTGTATGCGGTTGGGTTGATAGGATCTCTCGGTATCGTCGCGTATACGCAAAACGGTGGTAGTAGTAGTAGTTTGTTGGAGTTTGTGCGGGAACATCGGAGCGCGGTTTGGTTCATCGGTCCGATGTTTGCCTCGTTTACCGGTTTAGCGTTCAAGGAAGGGGCGTGCTACGGGAAACCCGAGGCGTTTCTGTTGTTTCTTCTGACGCCTATCATGTGTCTGGGGCATTTAACCGGCCTCGCCAGCGACGAAGTGGAGACGTTTTTCGTCGCGAGTTGGATGCTCGGCTTTTTAGTTTTCGCCGGGCGAAAATATACGCAAGCGGTCAAGGACGATATCGGGGATAAATCCGTGTTTACGTTCAGAGGTTTGAAGACGGACGAGGAAAGGAGAGACTATTTAGAGAGACAAGGGAAGGATTTGAGCTTGATGGAAGACGCGATGTGATGAAAGAGAAAGAGAAAGCACGGTTCGTTTTAGCAAGAATGTGTGTAATACGACGCGTAAATGTAAACTAAAAATACAATTTTTTTCATCATCAGCTCACTTCTATTAATCCATCTCCTCGCTCTTCTTCGTTTCGTCCTCTTTTTCCGCGGCTGGCGGTTCCTCGATGGTGGTTGCCGTTTCCGGTTCTTTCTTTTCTGCTACTTCTTTTTTTGTTTCTACGGCTTCTTCTTCCTTTTTCTCTTCTTTCTCTACTTTTTCGTCGTCATCGTCGCTACCCGTCGATTCAGACGACGACGAGGAATCATAGCTCGAACTTTCGTCCGAGTCTGAGTCATCGGAATCGTCCGAGTCTGATGAGTCATCGGAATCGTCCGAATCGTCGGAATCATCATCGGAGGAATCGTCGTCGCTCGAGTCTTCGTCGCTCGAGGAGTCTTCGTCCGAGCTCGAGTAGAATCCGCGGTTGCTCTTCTTCGACTTGGACGTCGTCGTACCACCACCGATACCTCCGGTGTCGTACGTTCGGTCTCTCACGGACGATGGCGGCGCTTCTCTCGGATGTTTCGGTAACCCGGCGTAGCCGTTGGCGACGTGTTCCACAAACTGCGACAAAGAGCCGAGTTGGTGCGGGCACGTCGGCGGCGCTGGCGACGGTAAACGCGTGATTGGCTTATCGCAAAACAAAAGCTTTTCGGAGAGGAGTTTCTTCAATCTCGGATACGCGTCTTTCTTTTCGTCGTCTAACGAATCGGTTTTCGCGAAGATGGCGCCGTAAATTCTCGCCCGGTCGCGAATATCCACCGAAGGATCTTTCGACGCCATGTTCAAGCAGTGTCTCAATAACGGTTCGGTTTCGATCGGGTATCTCACGTACATCTTACACGTGGCGTGTAAGATTTGTTGACGCGTGGATTCGTGCTCGTCTGGGAATCGAGCCATCGCTTTGGTGACCACCGCCAAGGCGAGGTCGAAAAAGTTTCGATTCCAACTCGCGTCCATTTGGCCGAGCTTTTTATATTCTTTACCACCGTCCGCGACGACTGTCACGGCCGACGACGACGTCCCAGCTTCCACACTGCTCGCTTTTTGTTGTTGGTCCAAAAACAGCTCCCCGCCGGCGAGCCAAACGACCGCGGATCTCGCCGCCGGCGCGAGCAAATGGTCCAATCTTCTCACCAACGTCGCCACGACCGAGGCGTGTTCCTTCGGCGCTTTCTGCACCAACGCGCGAATGACAACCACGGCTTCGCCGGCGACCGTTTCGGACGGGTGCAAAGACAACTCTAACAGCGATCGGATACAAATAGAAGCAATTTGCGGCATAATCGCCGCGCATCGACCAACCGCCCGAATCGTCAAAGCGACAAACTCTTGCGAAGATGAACGCAAATACGCTTGCAACTCTCTCAACAAACTCGGCGCGTTCTCCGCGGTGACAATATACGTCAACATTTCCAATTTTAGCGCGCGAACGTCCATGTGATCGCCCGGGTGCACAAAGAACGCTTCAAAGTGCGAACGGAAGCATCGAGGTTGCACCGCCGCCATCGCCACGGCGTTTTTCAACAGCACGTGTTGACACTCCGGTTTCGTTCTCGCCGCGAACACCAACGCTCTCGTCGCTCTGGGAACGTCCGCGATCGGCGCCAAGTAAAAGTGCAACGACGCCACCGCCAACACGACGCCGGCGTTCTGTGATTGAAGCAAAGGTCGCGTACACCTCAACAACAACCTGTGGTCGTCGTCCAAAAACTCCGGTCCTTGATTCACCGGTCCTCTTTTCTTCGACGCTTTCGTCGTCGTCTTTTTTTTGCGGGAATTGGAATCGTCCGAATCTGAACTGCTCGAAGAATCGTCGTCGGAGTCTTCCTCGTCGTCGTCGTAAAAGTTAGCCGCTTGCGCCAAGATCCCCTTCGTCCCGCCCGTATCGTGTCGATCGTAGCCTGACGCACCTCCACCGTTCCCATCCACGTCGTTAAAACCGGCAATATCCAACATCTCCTCGTTACTTTCGTTATCTTTACCGACGTTTAACTCGCGATTAAACCCGTCTGGCGGTAAAAACTGCGTCCTCGCGTACCTCAACAAAAGCTCGCACGTCAACATCTGTCCCCACTCGTCGATGTCCACCAAAATCCTCGCCAACTTCCGGTAGTGTCTGTGCAATAAATCAATTCTGTGCGGGCACACTTCTTGAAACGCCGCAATCGCGCTCGACAAAACGAACGGCGTCGAATCTCTCAACATAGTTTCAATAACCTCCACGAAATCATCCGCTCTCGACGGATCCAACCGAAAAATCTTCGGAATCGCGTGCGCCGCCGCCTTCCTCACGTGCGGCGACACGTCCACCGCGCACTTCCTTATCGCCAAAACCACCACCGGCACGATCACTTTCACTCGAATGCTCGACATCACTCTCAGCGCCGCCGCTCGCACTCGTGCGTTTTGGTGCGCCAAATCCTTCTGAAACGAGTTAATCGATAACAACGCCTCGTCCGGTTTCTGCTCCGCCGTTCGCACTAAAAACATATACACTAAAGCTTTCACTTCAAAGCTCTCCGTCACGATGTTTACCACGACCGAGGGGAAAAAATGTGACACGTCTCGCCCGGTCGACATCATCGCGATGAGTTGCTTCAAGCCTTCCAATTTCGTCCGTGTGTTGGAATCTCGTAATTTTTCATTTAACGCTCGCGTTTCTTCCGCGATCTGTTGTGGTTGTTTTTGCATTCAGGTTCGTATTTTCGCGTAAAATCGAAAGAGAATGAGAGAGAGACGAGTTTGGGTGAGTTCGCGGAGGAGAAAGAAGACGAAGAAGACACAGAAGCCGGAACGTGATTACACCGGAGACGCGAGAGATAATTGGAGGAGACGCGGACGAAGAGAAAATTCGATCGACAGAAACTCTTCTGAAACGTTTGTTTGTGTGTTATGTGTTAAAAAAAAGTATAACGTACCTGCGCGTCGTCGACGAACTTGCTGTTCCCGTACCCGGCGGCGATGGCCATGGTTTCTTTTTCTTTTAATGAAGTGTGTTGTTTGTGTGTGTCCGCGCGCGAGAAAACAGTGAGGGAATTCAATTCACGAGAAAAGGACGCTGTTGAAAATTTAGGGTGTAGGGTTTAGGAAGCAAAGCTTGCGTCGAAAACGAACGGAGGAGGTAATAGAAGGAGTAGAGTAGAACTGGTTTTACCGTCGGTAGTAAGTGTGTAAAATAATATAGTAACAAGGGGTGGTGGTGTACTGGTTGGAGTCGCAGCAGCAGAGCGAGTTTACCGTTCTCTCTCTCTCTCTCTCTTCTCGTCTCTTCTCGTCTCTCTCGCGCTTTCGCGTCACTTCCTTAACTCTTCTTCTTTTTCTCTGTTTTTTCCTAAGTTTCCTCTCTCTCTCTCTTTCTATTTCTTTCCTTTCAAAACTCTCTACTGCGTCGTCTCAAAACGCCTCGTCGTGAAGGAAAAAAGTTCGTAAGATTTTTACGCCTTGGTCGCGAGCTGTACGCCGTACTTATATTTTAACTGTTGTTGTTGTCGTTGCGAGAAAGAGCGCAAAACGGAGGAGGAGAGAAGGTTATTTTGGTCAGATGGAATATCATTCGATGATAACACTACGACTTTCGCGGCGTTTTCATCTCGAATACGACGAAAAATAAAAAAGAGCGACAAATAGGACGAGGACAACGAAAGAAGAGTCGCCGTTTTTAGTGTGCGGCGCTTATTATGACGCTCGAGCATTGGGGGTATCAATCCCGCGCAAACGAATCTTCGAGCGACACTGGAGAATACTATCGGCGATACGCGCGGCAACCATCCGAGAAGAGCGTTACCCCCAGCGATTGTTTGACTAGCGTAGCCTTGAAATCTCTCTTGAAATCTCTCTTGAAATCTCTCTCTTTTAATAAGTGAGAAATAAAGAGACTCAAATCGACAAAATACGAACGAGAAAGAAAGACGAGAGAACAAAAAAGAACGCACCGCTTTATCTACTTGCACCGCAACCGTCGTCGTCGTCTTCGGCAAGACCGAAGTGACAAAGTTCGCGGAAACGACCGGGTCAAAGCTCTTCTTCACCGGGTTCACCACCACGCACTTCACCGAGTGCCCGCCGCCAAGCTTCTTCGCGTACGCCAAAGACGCCTTGACGTCGCCCCCAGCCTTCCCATCGACGGCGACACCAACCGTCTCCCCAGCGCCAACACCGTTCACCGCCGCAACTTGATACGCGTCCAATTTCATCGTCGTCTTCGCGGAGTACATAACATCGCCAACCTTGCACTGCGCGGCAAACGACGTCGCGCCGATACCGCCAGCTTTCGAAATCGCCGTCTCAACCCCCATGGCCCCCGGACCGGAAACGTAGCACGCGGACAACGTTCCTTTCAATTGCTTCGTGATTTCACTCTTCACGCCAACTTGGCCAATCAACGTCGAGTTGGACAACTTCAAGCCATCCAACGGGTTGCTCAAAGAAGAAACCGTCGCTTGCGTCGTCGAATCCTTCGCGTTGTACTTCACCGTCCCTTTCGAGAAGCCAGATTTCGAGAGCTCCACCTCGCCGGTGATCGCGTCCACGACGTACGAGGTCGTCAACGTGCCCGTCGGAGTGTCCGCGTTTTTGATCGAAGCCGAGATTGACTGTTATATTTTTATGTGTGTGTGTGTGTGTGTTCATCACAGGTTGAAAGAGAGAGAAAGAGTGCGCGCGTGAGAAAACGTTCGTTTTGTTCGTTTTTCCTCATCAGGGCTTTTTCGACCGAGAGGCACCGGAGCAAAAATCTTTCGATGTTTCGATCTCTCGTCCGATGATGATTCGAACGCAAAGAAAGCCGCGAGTCTCTCTCGAGATCTGATAAAAACGAGAGACGAGGATAAAAAACGTACCCCGCCGGAGATTGGTTTCGCGTCCAAGGAGAATTTGTTTTCGTAGGACAAAGCGCCGGTGAATAAATCTGTTTTTTAGAAGAAAATGATGAGAGAAAGAACGGTGAGACACCACGTCGAGATCCTCCCTTGAAAGAGGAGATGAGATCACGCGCTTTTGTTTGCGCAGAAAAGAGTATACTTTACTAAAAAGAAAACGAACGAATGAAACAAACGTACCTTTAGCGCCTTTCGCGATGTCTGGATAGTATTTCGCCATTCTTGTCTTAAATATGTGTGTATTTGTCGATGCGTGCGTGTCACCTGTGTACGTCGAGGGGGATTTTTGATGAGAGAAGTGGAAGGAAGGCGAGCAACGTTCCGATTTTTAGGACGAGAGATTTAGAGGAGGAAACGACTTCGCGCCTTGAAAGAAAAGAAAGCGCGAGAATGAAACGTACCTCTCTCTCTCTTCTTCTTCCTCGGACGAGAGGATGTAAAAGTTTTTAAGGCGTGTGCGTGTGAGTGCGAGTCGACGCGTGTATTTCTGCAGATTTTCTGAATGCACGGGACGATGAGTTTCTGTTTCGAGAGGGGAACGGACTGACGGTGCCACTTTGGTGATATAAAAAAGAGTGAAAAAAATGCAGTTTTTCTGATTCCGTTCGATTCCCTCTCTCGCACATAAAAGACAACAACACGCGGAAGAAAAAAGATTGCATCTTTCCACAAATACTATGAGCGGCAGGAGCAGCATCGTCGGCGTCCGCTGCATCGCGACTTCTTCTTCCTCGTTCGGCGCGAAAAGAAGAAGACGAGGACAACGAAAAAGCACCGGCTGTGTGTGCGGGTTTTTGCGAAACGGAACAACAACAACAACACCTTTAACAGAAAGAAGAAGATTTAGGAGAAAAGCGGTTGGAGATGTGATGATGATGAGAAGCGCTGCTGCCGAAGACGAGAAAGAAAAAACAGCGCTGGTTCCAATCGCGAACGGGTCGGAGGAAATGGAAGCGACGATCATTATTGACGTTTTAAGAAGAGCGGGAGTGCACGTGACCGTGGCATCGTGCGAGGATGATTTGGTGTGCGAAATGTCCAGAAAAGTTTGCATTAGAGCGGATTGTTTGATACAAGAGGTGGTTGTTGACGACGGGGAAAAGAACAACAGTAGGAGTAGTTTCGACGCGATCGTGGTCCCAGGCGGGATGCCAGGCGCGGAACGGTTAGCGGAGAACGCTTCGTTAGACGCGCTTTTGAAGAGACAGAAAGAAGAGAAGAAACTGATCGCGGCGATGTGCGCGGCGCCGGCGGTGGTGTTGCTCGGGAAAAATTTACTCGAAGAGGCGAGCGAGGCGACGGCGCATCCGGCGTTTGATTTAGGCGAAGCGTTTGCGAAGGATAAGAAGAAGAGGGTGTGTTATTCAAAAGCATCGAACGGTCAGGTGGTGATTACCTCTCAAGGACCGGGGACGGCGATTGAGTTTGCGCTGGCGTTGGTGAAGGAGTTGTGCGGCGAAGAGAAACGAAAAGAAGTCGCCGGGCCGATGTGCGTCCCCGAGGACGTTTTGATGGGGTAATCATCGTCGTTATCATCATCATCGTCATCATCGTCATCATTAGTAGTAACAACGACAACAACAACAAGAACCATCATCCAAGTGTAAAATTATATAGTACGTGTGTGTGCATTAAAAAAACTCTCTCTCCCTTTTATTACGCCTTCTCCTCTCTCTTTTCTACGACGCTGTTTGATACCATCTTATTCCTGCTATTAATATTTCTGCTGCTATTACTGATCGTCGACGTCGACGTCGTCGTTCTCTCTTCGAAGCCTTTCACGACGCAATCCAAAACGCCTTCGCACGATCTCTCGCCTTCCAAATCCTGTCCCGAAGCGATGATCAAATCGCACTCCTGCGCGTCGTCGTTTACGTCGACGTTATTCTCTCCGTTCTTCGTGTTCTCATCATTTTCAATACCGTCGCAAACTTCCTGCGCTTTCTTCTGCACTCTTACGCTCGAATTCGCTCTCAACAGATTTCCTGGTTTCTGGCAAAAACTCATCGTTTTCACGTGTTCCAACTCGTCGTTTCGTACGTTTTCAATCACGTCGTACATGTTTTTAATCTTCGGCCTTCGTATGTTCGTCGCTTTGTTCAAACCCTCGTACACGTTCGTTTGAAACTCATCGAACAGATATAAATCGCCGAGCTGAAAATAACTCACCGCTACCCCACACGCCGGCGTTTGTTTCAACTCCTCTTCCTTCCTCTTTAAAAAGTCATCGTACGTCGCGTACGCGTGCTCTTCGACTTGTTCGCTCAAATTATACGCCATCCTCGGGCTCACCATGTAAATCAAAACCGCCACCCAAAAGTACACCACGGCCACGTGCTGCGCGAAAAATCTATCCTTGAACGAATCCGCCCCGCCCATAGCTTCCATGATCAACAAGTGATGGTACTCGTTCATCGTCTCCGCGAAGTGCACCTTGAGATAATCCGCCCTTCGCCACCACCCGAACGATTCGTACAAGTGCAGCACCGAGAGGAAAGAGAAATACGGCACTCGAGCGATCGTCTCGAGCGCGTAAAAGCGAGGGTAATCTCGCCCTTCGTATAACTTATCGATCACGAATACCGCGGAATCGACGATGAGTTTGTTCGCCTGGCGTTCCAAGGAAATCAAAGGCCCCTCCGGTAACGGCTTGGGAGGGGTGTACAACTTTTCCTGAGACGACGACGCTTTCACGACAACAGCAACGCTTTTATTGTTGTTGTTTTTACAGTCGTTGCCACCGCGACGCCATCTTCTCCCGTTCTCGTCTGTTCTCCTCGAACGAGAGAAGGATGAAGCGGAGGCACTTTTTCCAATGGACAAACAAACGGTTCTCATGACGTGATGTTTTGAAGCGCACTACGCGGCGCGAAAACTCTTTCTTCGATCGGTCGAAAGAAAGAAATCGCGGTCGAGGAACAAAGAGAGAGTTTGAGAGTTTGAAAGAGTTGATTACGTGGCTTTAAATTGCGCTTAAAAAAAGTTGCGTGTATGTTTGCGTGAGAATTCTGGAGATATTTTCCGTAAGATTGGACTTTTCCCCTCAGTACACAACTCCCCGCGCAAAAGAGAGATGACGTCTTCTCGCACCCCGAGACGAGAGACCGAAGCTGCTCTGCCACCACCACCACCGAATACTTTCAACGCGACTACTACCGCGACAGAAAACACCGCGAGATCCGACGACAACGAGCGGGGGCCGTTACTGAGAACACGACGAAGAATTCCAAAACGCACGCGTTTCACGCACAATCATCCGCCCGGTTTACTCGCCTTGAGCGGCACGGAAATCTGGGAACGGTTCAGCTATTACACCACGAGAGCAGTTCTCGTTTTATACGCGCGAGACGTGATATTCGTCCCAATCGATGATGAAGGAGAGAAAGAAACCTTCGTTTGGTTCGCTTGGCGTTTTGCCAAACTGCACGGAGTGGATTTGCGCCACACCTCGGATATTTCGGAGGAAGCGCGACGCGCGCGAGTCGACGCGATCAGCTCGAAACTCTACGGCACGTACACCGCGTTCGTCTATTTAACCCCAGTTTTAGGGGGATATTTAGCGGATTTTACTTCGAAGCATCGGATGATATCGATCGGGATTGTGTTGATGTTCCTCGGGAACTTCTTCGTAGGAGCGGAGAGGAACGCGTTCTTCCTCGGGCTGGTTTTAGTGGCACTCGGGAACGGTGGGTTTAAACCGAACGTTTCCGCCAGATTGAGCGAGATGTACGAGAATAAATTAGTAGTATCTTCGGGTGGTTTTCAGGGATCGGAGAGGAAAGGGAAGAGGAGGATGCTTCTCTCGAGGAAGGATTCCGCGTTTGGGATTTTTTATTGCGCCATAAACGTCGGCGCGTTGTTCGCGCCCTTAGTGGCTGGATTTTTAGCGGAGAGGTTCGGGTATCAGAGTTGCTTTTTAGCGGCGGCAGTCGGAATGATTTTCGCCGGGTTGGTGTATTTCACCTTTCAGAGGAGATTGGTGTACCGAGGGGCGGCGTTAGATATCATCGTCGAGAGTAGAAAGAGTAGAAGGCGTAGAAACAACGATACGAACAATACTACCAACAACATCACAGACGATTCAGACGACGAAGAAAGAGCTGGTGGAAGTACTGCTGTGGAGAGTGACAATGATACAGACGACGACAATTTAGACGATGACGAAGACGACGCGTTGTTGCCCAGAAATGCAGCAAACAGCGACGACTTTGGTGGTACTGAAGACGCCGGCGAAGAAGAAGAAGAACAACAGCAACATCACCAACAAAATAAACTCTCTCTCCTTCACGTCTTCAACGAAAACAAAGCGCGACTCACCGCGCTATTCGTCGTCATGATCACAACAATTGGTTTCTGGGCCGCTTACGAGCAAGCCGGCAACGCTTTATCCATATTCATCGACGAGCGCGTCTCGCGCGACGGCGTCCCGACTGCTGCGTTTCAATCCATCAATCCTGGCATGATTCTCGCGCTGACCCCGGTGATCAACCGATACTGGAAATACCAGAGCGAAACCAATCGCGAACCGGACCAGGTGATGAAGATGGCCATAGGATGTTGCCTTCTCGGCCTCGCCAACGTCCTCCTCGCGTTCGCCTCCACCAATCTCCCTACCGGCGCCATCGCCGAGGCTGATTTACCTCCCGGAATGAAACTCAACCAATTTTGGATTTGGCTGTACTTCCTCGTCGCCACGGCTGGCGAACTGTACGTCTCCCCGGTTGGATTATCCTTCGTCACGACTGCCGCGCCAAAAGAAATCGTCGGTTTCGCCTGCGGCTGCTGGTTCTTATCCGCTTTCTTCGGCAACTATCTCGCCGGCGAGATTGGTTCCTTGTACGCTTCCGCGAAACCGTTTGCGTTTTGGTCAGCCGTCGGAGTTTTATCCGTCTCCGTCGGCGTCGCGTTGGCTCTCGCGAGAAACAAAATCGTCCACGCGTTAAAAGAAGAAGAAGAAGAAGAAGAAGAAGAAGAAACGAATAGCAGGAGTCGTGGTAGTAAGAGGAGGAGGAAAGGGAGGAATACTACTCGCGACGAACGAGACGCATCCGGCGGATCGAATACCGCTTTGTAATTTTGACTCCCGTGTGTGTTTGTGCAGCCACAAAGATTAGTCAAATGTCTCTTCATTATTTATTCACCTTTCGTCTTTAAAGCGCATTTAAACCATCGAAAAAATGTCCACCACGAACGAGGGCGAGGAGAACAGACACAACGCCATTGAATTGGGCGTTCCCATCTCCTCCTCGTCGTTTACCTCGTCGTCGTCTGATGCGATGAAGATGAAGAATAAGAAAAATCCATTCGGGGAGGAAAAGAACCAGTCTTTCCCGGAAATGTTGATGCATTTCCTGACCAAAACCATCCCGTCTTTAATGTCTCCTTTCCAAGTAAAACTCCTCTCCGTGGCAATTTTGGTCGCGTTTTTTGGTTTATTTTCGTTCGTGATGGAATCCGCGAACTCGAACGCGCAAACGTACGCGGTCATCATCGACGCAGGGTCGACTGGGAGTCGAGTGCACGTGTTTCGGTTCAAAAGGGCGTCGGGCGCTCGAGTATTGAAAGACGAGATTTTTCACGCGATTAAACCCGGGTTGAAGGCGTACGCGTCGGATCCTTTGGAAGCGGCGAATACGTTGGAACCGTTGATGGAAACGGCGATGAAGCACGTGCCGGAAAAGTTGAGGTCGAGCACGCCGTTGACGCTTAGAGCGACGGCGGGTCTGCGGTTGTTGCCGGAAGGGCCGGAAGCGGCGAGCGCGCTCTTAGAGGCGTCGAAAGTGAAAGTTGGGGAGTACGGGTTTCGGTTAGATGACGAGTACGTGTCTATTTTGGACGGGATGTACGAAGGCGCGTACGGGTGGATCGCGGTGAATTATTTGTTGAGGAAGTTGAGCGGAAGCGTAAAGGCGACGAAGACGGTGGCGGTGGCGGATTTAGGGGGCGGGTCCACGCAAATCATGTACGCGATTGGAAATAGAGATGAAGTCAACCGAGCGCCGGAAGGGTACGTGTTGCCGTTGGAAGGATACGACGTGTACACGAAATCGTTCAAAGGTTTTGGCATCATGGCGGCGAGAGCGAAGATTTTGACGCAAAATTTAGACGCCGGCGAGGAAGGATGGCAGTCGCATCCGTGCGCCGCGAAAGGCTTTCGAGGGGGATGCACTGAGAAGTGTTACGGATTAGAACCGGGGGAAGGGTATAGCGCGATTGGGCGGGATAACGGTGGCGATTTTGAGCAGTGCGTAGACGCGGCGTTGATGGCCATGGAGAAGGATTCCATGGAGTGCGAGGTCGAACCGTGCTCCTTCGCCGGCGCGTGGACGACGAAACGCACCACGCCTTTATACGGCATGAGTTACTTTTACGAAAGAGCGCAAGCCGCCAAAGCCGTGCACTGGCCAAACTCGGAAACGAAAGCGGTGAAAATCACCCCGAGCGATTACAAAAACGCGGGGAAGAGAGTCTGCCAAACGCACGTCGATTCCATCTTAAAAGAATACCCGGACGCCGAGGAGGACCATTTCGAATACTTGTGCTTAGATCTCGCGTACATCTACGCGTTGCTCACCAAAGGCTACGGGTTAAAAGACAAAGAACCGCTCTATTTGGTGGATAAAATCGATTACAAAGGCCAACCGGTCGAAGCCGCGTGGGCACTCGGCGACGCCATCGCGGTCATGAACGCGTTTCTCGTCGAATAGATTTAATTTAGAAGAAATGTCGCGCGGCGTGTTTAACAACTATTTCATTTAACGCTCTGCATACTACAACTTTAATAAAACTACACCGCCTCTCTCTCTATTCATCATCTCCGCGACGGGGACGACGACAGCGGAAGCGTTACCGTCCTCCCCTCGCGAGTCTCCTTCCCACCTTCTTTATCTTCTTCATCTTATTCCTCTTCAAAATCTTCTCCTCTTTCAAATCGTACCGCATCTTCCTCTCCCTAAAAATCTCTTTTTGCACCGCTCTCGCTATCTCTCCGTCCTTCTCCGCGAGTTCGTTCCAGCACGCGTTGGAGACTTCCCTGGACAGATCCAACTCCAATTCTCGTTTTATCGCCATCTTCGTCTGCGCGTTTACTTTCTCATTCGTAGTAGTATTCATGTTTCGTAAACGCATCATCTGCGTCGACGCGGTGACTGCGAACGACGCGTACGTTTTCAAGGTTTCGTTTTGGAGTATCGCGTTGACTAAGCGCGAGCGAATGGAATCGAAGGTTCCGTCTTTTTTTAATCGCTTCAGCGTCGTTTTCGTCTGCTTGATCGTTTGTACAGGGGTGAGCTTTTGGTTTCGAAAGGTGGAAGGAGCCTCCTCTTTTTGTCGTCGTCCTCCTTTACCTCCTCCGGAGGCGTGGTATCCTCCGCCTCCGCCGACTCCGGAGTGGTATCGTTGTTTTTTAGGCATTTCAAAGCGTCGTTTAATTGAAGAAAAATGTGAGGTGTAAGCTTTTCGTGATGACGAATATCTGCGCTAGTACGAGTACTACCATCTCTTCTTTACAACACGCTTCTTTCTCTCTACTCTGCTACAGCGCGCTCTCTTCGAACAAATCTCTGTTCCACTCTAACACCCACTTGCCTAAGGCGTAATACGCGGCGACGTGGCGCAAGACGTATAAAAAAATCTCGACGAGTTTCTCTCGTCGAGACGCTTCCGCGAGCGCGTCCAAGGTTTGCGCCCAATCGAAACCGTCGACGAGTAAGAGCAAAGGGAGGAATCCGAAACGCGCGAACGCGTTTTCCGGTTTTTTGGGGATGCGCCAGACGGTGCGCCAGATGGTGGATGATTTGGAGAAGGTGCCGCCGAAAGAAGCGTTTTCGATGTTTTCGTTTTCGTCGTCGTTTTTTTCAGCGCTGAAGAGCGTTTCGAGATTTTTGGCGAGGCCGGGAAGGTGAGAGCCGCCGTAGAGGACGGAGAGCTTTTCTTTCGTTCGTGTTGTCGTAGGTTTCGTGTTGTTGTTGTTGTCGTCGTCTGAATCGTATAGCTGTCGCAACGCCTCTCTCAATCTATTTGTGGCGATTTCGTTTCTCTTTTCGATCGTCGCCTTGGCGCCGGAACCGGATCCGTACACGTTCTTCCCTTGCGCGCTGACAATCATCTGCGCGAACGCTAATTTCCTCGCGCCGACGATATCTCCGGCTGATATCGCATCCACCATCGCGCCTAACACCGGTGCTGGTCTTCCGCCGCCCCAAATCCAATCCAACAAAAGCAAGTGCGCTTCCGGACACGGCACCAACCACACCAAAGATCTCGCGAACTGCCCGGCTCTCGGTAACGTCCTCGCCCTTCCGATGATAGTCACCAAAAACGCCTCTATTAACGCCGGCACTCGAAACGCTTCCGTATCCGCCTCCTCTAAACTCATATCCGCTTTCATCTTCTCCAACTCGTTGCTCGAACAATCCGCGAGGTACCAGTTTGGTTTCTTAAAATCAATGGCGTCGAGCTGCGCGATTAATCCGTGCGACGCCGCCAACCGTCTTGCTTCGTCCGTCGGAGATAACGACACTTTCAATCGAGGTAAGGTTAACGAGCTGCTGCTCGTGGTGGTGTTTTCCGTCCTGCTCCGAATCATCCTCTCCACGTTCCGTTCGTCCGTCAACAGTTCGAACAAGACTGGATTTTCCTCGTTTTGCGAGACCAAATCTCGCTCTAAATTCTTGTAATATTCCTTCTCCCCCACGTGCACAGTGGCGATCAAATCGATCTCGCACGTTTTTTGTTCGTTCACGTACGTCACTTGCGAGGATTGAAGCTCCCAATCGCCGGTGTCGGTTTCGTGTAATCGGAGATACGATTCACTTTCTGTTGTTGATGATTTTGACGACGACGACGCTTTGGATATCGACGACGCTTTAGAAGATGAAGAAGCGAAGGATGGACGAGGATAAAAAAGGAGACGAGGACGAGACAAAGCAGTCGTCGTTATTGTTGTCGTCGTCGTCGTTCGCATTTTGGTCTCTCCTCCTCCTCCTCCTCCTCCTCCTCTAAGCTGGGATTGTGCGAGTGAAGAATGAGTGGCGAATTGGAGCGTATCTTTTCCCAAGAAATGTGGAGCGTATGCGTATTCGTATACATTGTTTCATACCTACGTATTTGTTGATGATAATAGTAAACTATGGTGATGCTACTCTTTTATAAATCTGCACGTACGTTTCCCCGAGCGTGACTTGTTGCGCGAGGACTTCGTTGACGAACAAATCGTTGGTTTCGTACCAGTTCCCGTCGACGTGTTTCACGGTCGCTTTGCCGGCGGAGTCGACGTTGGCGAGCAAGTCGTAAGAAAAAGGATTACTATTGCTATTACTACCGGCCGCCGACGACGCTTGGATTTTCAGGTTTTTCACCGGGAACGTGACTATGGTTGGGTTCTTGCTCACCTCTTTCGTGAATTGATTTTTGCTGAACCGGTTGACGAAGGCTAAGATTAAATACTCCGGGGCGGTTTTCAACGCGAACGGTTTCAAGAGCTCCGCGAGCGCGACTTGCGGGATGGCGTTTTTCTCCATCACGTCGCGGAATAAAGGCGCGTCTGGGAGCTTTAACGGCACGAACACGAACGGCTGCGTCTTGTTCTTTTGGTTCAGCATCAACAGCTCGCCTCGAAAGAGCTCGTCGACGTACTTTTTCGGCACGACGAACGTTAAAAAATGTCGCAAAGTTGCAAACGGATCGTTGAATAAATTGTCGATGTCCGTCTCTAATTTCTCCGGGTGTGCGAGTTTGATTTGTTTCCTGAGCTTCCTCACGAACGAATCTGGACTGGTGTGGCCGCGAAAGTTATGTTTGTTCCATATCCTCTGACACAACGATTGCAACGTGTCGTTTTCATTTTTGTTGTTGTTGTTTCCGTCGCTCCTAATCAAAGACGCGGATAAAAAATGCGCCCTTAACTTTTCCACCCTCGCGAGACTTTGCACGATTGAATTCACGCCTTTCGCGTTCTCCACTCGATTCAACCCAACCACGCCGACTAAATACTCCGTCCCGTCCAACGCTTTCGACCATATCGCCTCCTTCTCCAACCGCTTAATCTCTTCGCTCGTAAATCGAGGAAACAACACTTTCCTCACGTCCTCTAAACTCGCATCGAAAATCTCGTAGTTATCTGGAAGACAAAACGCTCTGCCATTTTCCAAGTGCATGAACACGAAGTGGTTTTCTCGTTCCAACGCGTGCGTATACGCCGGCGTCTTTGGGCCTCTCCCGGCGAAAAAATGCCCGCAGGTTAAGCAACAGTAACAGTTTTCTTTCGCGAACGAGACCGAACATCTTTTTTCGAAATCAAAGTCCAACAGCGGGCGGTTGACGAAGGATAAGTACGGGCACGTTTTTGGTGGTGGAGGAGGAGTACACGTGTGTTCGGTTTTGGTCGTCGTTTCATCCTCCTTCGTTGTTGGTGTCGGCTGCTGATTTTGCTCGTCGTTCTTCATCTTCATCTTCTTCTTCTTCGGACCACCCACCCCGGCATGAGTAGTATCGTCATCAGCGGCGTTATCCTCGTCACCATCCTCATCACCACCACTCGCTTTGATACTCTTCGCCTTGGAGGAAGCCGCTTTAACGGTGGCTCCTCGTTTCCGTTTCGGAGGCATGATTTTTAGAGAGAAATTTTGTGTCGATTTTTCCCTTACACAAAAAAGTAAAAAAAATAGATCAAAAACACACACGTGAACACAAAAAATGAACAACACGCGAAGCCCCCGGCCGCGAAGAACAAAAAAAAACAGTAGTGATGACCCGTGAGAGGATCGAACTCCCGGCCGTTGGATGGTTTAACATTCATTTTCATCATTTGGATGATTTTGGATTGGAATCCAATGCTCTACCAGCTGAGCTAACAAGCCTTAACCCTAATTTTCGACGAAAATAAGATACTTACTCTGTCGTATGCTGTGCAATTTTTCCTCGGACACGAGAGGCAACCAACCGCTGAATTTATCATCACTTTAACGCACACATTTGAATATCATTCACCTACACCCACATAGAGTGCGTTTCTTTTTCTTTTTCGTCTGGCATCGCGGACGCGCTTTCCTCTACCGCGCGAAGTCGTGCTCGCGTTCGCGATGGCACGTTCGCGTTGATGTTGTTTGAGCAGCGGCGTTTCGGATTTTTTTTTCTTCGTTTTCCGAGAAAAAAATTTGCGGCAGAGAGACGATGATAGAAATTTTATATAAGAAGAGAAGAAGAGTGTCCAGATCAGATGATGTAGTTATAAACTTTTACTAATCGACTCGGAAACGGACGATTGGATGTTTGTTTAGCATGAATTGAACGCTTTATGGACGAAGGATCGGTCGCATAAACGCGTCTTCTTTGACTTTTGTTTTTTAGATTACGAATTTGCCGCTGACTCACTCGTCTCTCTCCTCTCTTCTTTCAAACAAATAATACTAAAACAGAAAGAAAACCTTCAGCAAAAATGAGCTCTTCAACCGCGATGTATGCATCGCTCTCTATCCTTTCCCTCTGCGCGTTGACCGGTACCGGCGTCGCGATTGGCTCTGGCGTCGGCATGATGTCGATGGCAGCCTTGGAGGCGGAAAAGAAACAAACCAACGTCGCGGCGCACTCCGTCAAGGAGAAGTCTTGGGTGGAATCGAAACAAGTTTCGGGCTCCTCCGCGCAAAGAGGCTTCGCGGCGGCTGGACGTCAATAATTTCATCGATGATTATATAAAAGTCTATTCATCAGATTGTATCATTCATCCATGTTTTGTTGTCCCCACCCACCCGTGTGTTTTTAAAAAGAAAGAAAGAAAGAAAAGAGAGATTACCGATGCGTCGCGGCGATGAGTTTCGACAAGATTTGTTGTTTTAAATCGATCGAAAAGCCTCGCTTGAGAAAAGATGTGTCAGTATATTTTTACGTTTGTTGTAATATTATAATGTCGGGTACCGAGAGAGAAGTTTCTCTTGGGGCTACTGTCGAAAGGAGCCTCACGAAAACGCTGAAGATAATTTTAAATTTAGTATTATTAGTATTATAACTTGTGCAACTCTAATCGCGCGGATTCCGCGAAGTTTTCACCGGAAGAAGAACTTATTTTACAGAACGTTCCGGCGTTCACGCCTCGGCAAACTTTCCCCGGGTTGACAAACATCGTCTTGTTTCCGCTCAACGCGTTTTTCCATCCGCCGGCGGCTAAATCCGAAGTCAAAACGATTAAATCCGGAACGCGTTCGTCCATGCCCACTCTCAGCGGTACCGTCGCGTCGTGCGATTCAAACTTTGCATCTGGGTGCGGCGGAAATAACGGGTACATGGACATTTGACCAACCATGTGCGAACACAAACGCGTCATGCGATCGGTTTGTTGTTGTTCAGTACTCGTTTTACCTTTCCCGCCGCGTTCGAAACCGGACAAGTGCTTCAAAATGTCGCACGTGGACACCGCCACGCGAATACCGTTGACTTCAAACGCCGACGGGTTCGCTACAAAGTGAACGTTCTTGCATTTCGACGTTTCAAAAAACGGCGGTTGCGGAAACGCGCAGTATCTATGAAAGGCGTCCTTGACGCTTGGCACTAAAACGACGTGTTTGTTCGGGTATTGCTTTGCAAACGCTTCAACCTTCTTCATCACGATCTGCTCAAACGCTTGCTTATACGTGATGTTGCTCGTCAACGCGTGATTGATATTCTCGTCGGAGACAAACGGACCCATGAGAAGAACGATGGATGGATTTTTTGACGACGCTTCGTGCAAGACGTCGTCTAAAGGTTCGTACATCAAGTCGTCGTTGGCAGTGAACGGACCAGAGAAGAGTAACATTTCAGTTTTTTGAATTTGTTGGTGTTGTTCTTGTTTTATTTGTTTGAAATAATAGCAATCAATCTCCTTCGCGACGAAGCAGTACCCGGTTGGATTCGCGCCGACGCACTTGACAATCTGTCCAGGAAACAAAGAGTACTCGTTTTCGACGGAGCGTAACTCCAACTTCACGCGCGAACCGTCCGAGGATTCGAGTTGTAATTCTTGCCTGTCCGAGGAGTCGCAGCATACGCGACCTATTATTTGTCCTTTTTGTTCTTCTTCTTCTTCTTGCTCTTCTTCTTCTTTTAATTCTTTAAACTTGTTCTTCAATAAAGCCACTTTATCTTCGATGCGGTCTCTCATGAATAATGTTGAATGAGGAGAAGAAGAAGAAGTTTGAATTTTCAAAGTAATCTCTTTTTCTGCGTTTGACGACGACGATGACTTAAAAGAAGAACCTTCGAATATCGTCTTCACCAATTCAGACGATGATGTTTTCTTTTTCGCTTTGCGATACGACCCGGGCGTTTTCATTTCCACAGAAAACGCCGACGGTAAGTTCATACTGTTGTTGTTCTCCGTCGTCTCCTTGAACGGCGTCTTAAGAAGAGGTTCTTCTTCCGCCGCCGAAACTTCTTTTACTTCCATCTTCCCGTCGACGTCTTCGTCGTGCATCTCCAAGTGTTCCCCCATCGTCATCAATCTCGCTTTCTTTTGCGCCTGCTTTTCGAATTTGCTCAGCTTTTTCTTCTTTTGATTCTTTGATTTCGAACCGACGACGCCTGCGCGCGTAATCTCATCCTTTTGCACCAAAATCACATCCTTCAAAATATACTCTCGAAAGCTTTCGATGTTCTCCGCGTTCGGTATCGATTTCACGTCGTCTTTGATGTTCGCGTTGTTCGACGCGAACGCTTCCCACGCGATGACAAATTTCGACGGATTTGTTGAAGTATCATCGTCCTCCTTATCAGAAGAAGCGAGTCGTCGGTAGAGAGAAAGGAGTTCTTCTCGTATCGCGCCGTTCACGTTTGAAAGATTGGGAAATCCATCCTCCCGAAAGGCGGAGACGATGTCGTTCCATAGTTTCGTTGAATCTTTTTCATTCTTTTCATCATCAGGAGGAGGAGATACTAAAGCGTTTGAACTCATCGTCATCACGGATCGTCTTTATTATTACGTTTCTTAAAAGTTGCGCGTTTATGCGGACACTACCGAGCGCGACTGCGCGACTCTTCAAAGCGATGAAAAACGAACGAAAATTTTCAAAATTCAAAAACGAAAAAAGACCCTAAACAAATAAACTGTATAAGTCTTAATACCGAGAAAAAAGCGTAACACACGCGAGGAAACTCGCGTCGTACCATTTCCGAATGGGTTCGCTGTGGTGTAGGTGGTTATCATGTCCGGCTTTCAAGTGAAAGTAATGACCCCGGTCGACCAGGGTTCGAGTCCCTGCGGCGAAACGTCGTCTCTTTTTTTTGCGCATCGCACGCGTCAACGCGTGAGAGCGCGCTTTTGTGTCGTGTTCGCGTCGTGCGAGTAATGATACATGGCGGAAAAACTTTTTTTTTTTGCTCCTTTTTGACAAGACACGAGAACAACCAAACCGAATGTGTACAATACCTCCTCGACACTAAATGTCCATTACCATCGGGTTGGCGATGCGAACACGGGGAGTTACACGTGCCAGAATCAGAAACAGAATCAGAAACAGAATACGAATCAGAGTAATCATTTGTACGCGGATGGATTTTTGTTTTATTACAACAACAAAGAGAGACAAGACAACAAACAAAAGCTTGACGTATAAAATCTACTACGAGTAGAAATAAAGGTAATTGTAAATAAATACGCCGCATCACATACACTCAACAATCACCCCCCTCCGATGCACTCCGCAGGCATTGCCACTTTCGGATGTTTGCTCTCGAAATGTTCCTTCATCTGCTTCGCGTTCTTCATCAACGCCATGCACACGTGACACTTCAAAACTAAAGACTCGTTCGATTTCCCGAGCGAAGATTTCGCGCTCGTTTTCTCCGCCTGTTTCTTCGCGTTCTTTTCCTGAGCTTTCGCTTTCGCGTTGCCTCTCACCATTTTCTATATGTTATTCGTATCGTGTCACGTGAAAACGTTTCGTTTCGGTCTGAATGTATCACATATATGAATACACAAACAAACAAACAAACGTGTGCTGAAAAGTGCAGATTTTTTCCCGCCAAAATTGTTCTCCATTGTAATGGAGCACAAAAGAGTTGTGTTTATTAAATGAATAACAACAACACCAAAAACAAAAGGTTCGCTCGGAAACCGAGACGAACGAGTGCTGCTGCGACTGCGACTGCTGCGCCTGTTTCCTCTGAAGGTGGTGTCGTTCTCGAAGAAGAGAAGGAGGAGAAGAATGATGTTGACGACGATGATGAAATCATCATCATCGAAGAATCTTTAAAGAATAATAATAAGAAGAAGCATTCAAAGACACCGTCAAAAACGACAACGACAACATCAACGAAAAGGAAGAAGAACGATACTACCGATAATAAGAAAAGCAGTGATAAAAATGATCCGTATTCGTTCGAAAACGCGAAAGAGTTGTTCGGAAAAGTGGACGAGGAAATTTTGGTCGAGGATGATGATGATGAAGAAGAAGAAGACGTGGATGCGCAAGCGGAGAAGTATTTCGTGGCGAATAGAGTCGCGCTGTTCGGGAAAGCGCTGATGATACAAAAGAGTAACATTAATAAGAAGAGTAAAGAAGAAGAAGTAAAAGAAGTAAAAGAAGTAAAAGAAGAAGAAGACTCCATAAAAGAACCGACGACGAAACTCGTCAACAACAAAAACCGCCGAGTATCGTTCGCGATGGACCAAGAAGAAGTTAAAGAAGAAGAAGTTAAAGAAGAAGAAGTAAAAGAAGTAAATAAAGAAGAAGATAAAAATGAAGTCTTATTCGACGATGCGTTAGCGACGGAGATTAAACTCACTCCAGAGAAACCGATTCAATTCAAGAGGCAGAAAACGCCCTCGCCGGTGAAGCAAATTATTATTACCAAAGCGGTGCAATCGAGCGACCCACAAACGCATTTGCAGGTGTTGGAAAAGTACGGCGGCGGTAACGGAATCAACAACATAATAAAAAACAACTTTCAAGAGGAAGAGCACAGAACGTTAGCGTCGACGTTATGGCTTTTGAAAAATATCGCCTCAAACACGCAATACAGACGAAGGCTTTCGCGAGAACGACCGCACTTTGCGACGTCCATGTTTACGGCGGCTTTGAAAATAGCCGGAAAATCCGCCACGGACGCCAAGTTACGATTAGCCGCCATCGCTTTGGCGTATCTCTTTTCTTTGGAAATCAAAACGTTTTCGAGAGTGTTGGACTCGATGGATATCGCGTTGGGCGTCGCCGCGTGCGTAGACGAGGCAAACTTTTTTACAGAAGAAGAAGAAGAAAAGAAAGAAGAAATAATGGTAGTAATAGAAGACGACACCAACGATATCGATGGTGATGTCGAGAAAGCAGTGGAAACGTCGTTGAGCGCTTTAAAATTTCTCCCAAGCGAAAAGAGCGCGTGCACAAAAAACATAGCTTTATTATTAGCGTTCAGGGCGTTGCAATGGGGAAGCGAAGAGGAAGAAGAAAAAGAACGAAGAGAAGGTGGTAAACAACCACCAACGACCACCACCAACAACGACACGACATCTCGCGCGTTACGGACGCGCCTTTCTAGATCCGGGTTCATAACTTCTGTCGCGAAACTCGCCAACGAAAGTTGCAAAGACTTGGTTCAAAGCTTGCATTCGAGCAAAATAAAGAGTAAAAAAGGTGAAGATAAAGAAGAAGGAGAAGAGATGAAAGTAAAGGCGAGAAAAGCGTGCGCGAGATTGTTTCGATGCGCTCGAGTCATCGAGGCGGCGACGTATACGAGCCCAGAGACGGTGACGACGCTAGCGTCTTCAAATTTACCGGTTTGGGAATCTTTCTCTTCTTCTTCTTCTTTCATCAGCGATGAAGATAAAAGTAAAGATGTTGAAGACGACGCGTTCGGAGAGCCTTCTCCAACGATCAACAACGCCTCCTCGTCCACTTCTTCTTTTTCTGTGCTGAAACTCGCTGATGTTTCTTTGCTCGCGATAGAAGAAGAAGAAGAAGAAGAAGAGGTTGATGTTGACGATGGTAGAAAAATGGTCACCGCTACTGCGACGAATCCAACAACAACAACAGCAGCAATTTCGACGCCGCCGAGACCTATCCCAGGAAGTAACAGATTCGAAGATAACGACGACGACAACAACACGAACAACAATAGTTTCCTTCAGATTGGTTCTCCGGCGACGGTTGGCGCGTCGCCGGTTTTCGGTCAAATGGCGAAATCTCCCGGAGCAGCCTTGGATTCTTGGCTCGCAAAGTCTCCCAAAGACGGAGACGTGGACATGTCTCCGAAACCAAGAGGAAGAGGAGGAGGAGAAAAAGGTATAAAAAACAACCACAACGATAACAACATCAACAACAACAGCAAAAAGAACAACTGGTCTTTAGCGAGGTGTTTGATCGAAACGCTCCCCGCGCTGACGCTTTTAACCAGTCGATCGATGCGTCCACGAGCAAAGGCTTTACACGGCATTCAAACCTCCGAGTATTTAAACCCAAATATCGACGCGCGACTATCCTTGGCTACGTTAAAAGCGTGCGTGTTCGCACTGACAAACTCGACGAACGAAAACACGGTCGGAGCAAAAGCGGCGGCTTCGCGAGACGGATTACACGGCATCATCGCCGCAGTCGCGTACTTTTCAGCCATGCGCGGGTGCGCTTTATACGGTGAATTTGCCGGATTCGTTCCTAAAAAGGACAACATGGAAGGTACCGTTCCAGACGCGTATAAAGAAGCCGCGACAGAGTTGCTTCACGCGTGCATGTGTTTGTTGGTGAACATCACGGAGGCGAACCCTCGAGTGAAGCAAGAACTGTTACAACTCCAACTCGATTGCTCGCCGTTCGGTACCGGAAAAGCCGAAGACTTTAAGAAGAAGAAGAAGAAGAAGAAGACGAGTAACAACGGAAAGAAGGTTTTGGACGACGACGACGAGAAATCGGCATCGCCGCTCGTCCCGTTTCCAACTGTCCTCGCGCGCATTTTCACGCACGCCGGCGGCGCCAAGATGCACCGGGTAGAAGACGACGACGACGAGGATGATGGAGATGATGATGATCAAAACCAAGACGACGACGGCGACGACGAAGACGACGAAGTCACCGTGGAAATGCTCGACGACGACGACGACGCCACCGCGAACGCCGCCGTCGACCCGTCCTACGGCGAAGACCTCATCACTCAAGCGTACTCCTCGCTCCTCCTCGCCTTCCTGGTCGAAAACGACCGAGAGGCGTTGCGTCGAACCGCCGACCAAGCCTTACCAAAAGGAGGAGGGAAAAGAAAGAGAAACGGAAACACTCGCGTCGGCGGCGCAAACGGCGAAAGCGTTGGTGGTACAAAAAACGGCGTCCAAGCGATGGTGGATACGTTGGAAAGGTTCCACGCTTTTCACGATACGCTGGACGCCATGTCCGCGAGCAGTTCCGAGAGCTTAAAACGCGTCGTCGAGTGGTTAAAGTCCACCCTCGTTTGAGAATGCGTGCGTATTCTGAACGAATCGCATCAGCTCGAGATAGATAGATAGATAGAGAAAGAGTTTTTAGAATACATACTACGCGCGGCGCGTGCGCAACGCAACTTAAATACAGCGCAAATTTGCACCTCTCCTTTTCGTATCTTTTTTGCTTTTTTGCTCCAAAAAGGATAGACATTTCACTCCACTCTTTCGTTGGATATTCTCAATTGACGTAATCAATTGCCTTTGAAACATCATGCGCGAACAGTAAGAAAACTCTCACACATAAACGCTTCGATGAGCGGGAACAATAATAACCACCCGCGCGAGGACAAAGGAAGTGGAAGTGGCGCCGCTGGTTCTGGTTCTGGTTCCTCTTCGAATAATCGGAATTGGACGAACGAAGCGTTGCATTTCTCCAAAGGCTCCGTCAGGCTCCACGAGTTTCGGAACGCGTGGGAACGGACCATTCAAGACGCCAAGGCGAAGTTTATCGTCGTCGGGAACGAGAGCAACAACAACGCGACAAAAAGTTCGTCTTCTTCTAATTACGAGAGGAATCAACACACTTCCCCCGTTTGGGGTGGATTGCAAACGGCGTTCAGTTCGAGTTTTGAAAACGCCGCTCTCGACCGAGCGATATCGATGGAATCCATTCGAGAGTTGGCGAAGAGGACGGTACAGAAACCAATCAACGAAGGGTTGTTGAAAGTTGGAGATTCGCAGTTCATGGAAAAGTTTAAGCAACGAGCGGCGTCGTCGAATGTTGGGAATACCGCGGACGCGAGCGCGGTGACCGGCGGGTTGCGAAGGAGCGCGTCAAAGGCGGACGATTTGAACACGGACGCGAATAAGACGATGTGGCCGTCGTCGCCATCGTCTGCTTCGAGTGGAAGGTTGAAAAGAAGTGATTCCAAGAATGGCGGCGGCGAGGAAGATGCGAATATTCAGAGTTTAAGCGGGAGGAGCTCGCCGTTTTCGTCGTCGCAAGATTTGAGCGCGATTATCGAGAAGAACGTCATGCCGAAAGTGAAGGATATCACGGAGAACATCACGAAGAATTTGCAAAGGCCGCCAGAAGGATGGGACGTGTTTAAAGCGGTGAGCAGTAGTAAACCGAAATCATCATCGGGAGGCGCCTCGACGCCCCATAACAGCAGTAGTAACAATAGTAGTAAAAATAAAAAGTTCACCTTTTCGGGATTGAGCTCGCGAAGGAGTTCGCAAGAGTCGTTGCGTTCGCTTTCCGATAACGAAACAGATAACGACGGAGGAGGAGGTGATTTACAAGAAACGACGGGGGAATTTGACGACGTCGAATTGCGCGAAAAGTTCGGGAAGGTGACGTTACAAACCACCAGAAGATTGTTACGCAAAGCGTCCTCGGAGGCGTTGGATACGTTGAAATCCAAATTTACGAACCCGAGCAGCAGCGGCACCGAAACGAAAGGGGAAACGAACAACGAAATGGTCGCGACGACAATAACGACGCCATTGAAAACAAAAGAAGGTGAAAGAGAACAGTTTTCTATCGTTGGCGGTAGTTCTGGTGGTAAAAAACAAGACGTCTCTACGCAAACGACATCTCCGCACGCGCCGCGATCGATCAAAGAACCCGGGAGAAAAGTCGCCATCGTCACCACCGCGACGCTGCCTTGGATGACGGGAACTGCGGTTAACCCGCTCTTACGCGCGGCGTATTTAGCCCGGCGCGGATTACACGAAGTCACCCTCGTTGTTCCGTTCATCCCCGTCGACGAGCAGAAAACGTTGCATCCGAACAACGTCTTTGAGTCGCCGGAGCAACAAGAAACGTTCGTTCGAAACTGGGTAAAAGAACGATGCGGATTTGACGTTCCAAACTTAAAGTTGAACTTTTACCCGGGAAGATACGCGACGGATAAGATGAGCATTATCCCGGTAGGAGACGTTTCCTCTCACATTAAAAACTCCAACGACGTCGCCGTTTTGGAGGAACCGGAACATTTGAACTGGTTCCACACCGGTCCGCGATGGAGCGATACGTTTGAACACGTCGTCGGGATTATTCACACGAACTATTTGGATTACGTTCGTTTGGAAAATCACGGAAAAGTAAAAGAAAAGGCGTTAGGGTTCGTAAATTCAGTCGTTTCGAGAGTGCACTGTCACAAAGTCATCAAACTTTCGGACGCCGTGCAAGAGTTTCCTAGGAGTTGCACGATGAACGTGCACGGGGTGAGTCCGGTGTTTTTAGACGTTGGCGCGTCGAAGGCGGCGGCAAAGAGAGTGCAGTTGATGCGCGAAGACGACGAGCTTCTCGATAACGTTGGTTTAACCAACAGTGAACCACAGTTTGCATCGATCACGTCGACAACGAAAGCCTCCTCGTCCTCGTCCTCTTTGTCCGCGGCGAAACGGAAAAAGAAGAAGGATATCAACAACAAGAACAACGAAACGAACGAGAACGAACGATCGGTTTTTACCAAAGGCGCGTACTTCCTCGGCAAAGTTGTTTGGGGTAAAGGCTACCACGAACTCCTCGATTGCGTCGAAAAACACAACGCGAACGCGGAATACGGCCAAACCTGCCCCATCTCCATGGACGTGTACGGCAACGGCGAAGACTTGGAATCGGTCGAGCGAACCGCGATGGATAAAAAGTTACCTTTGAATTTCAAAGGACGCTTGGACCACGCGAATCCAACCGTCCACGATTATAAAATTTTCGTCAATCCTTCTTTGTCCGACGTGGTGGCAACCACCACGGCGGAAGCGTTAGCCATGGGTAAATTCGTCGTCTGCGCGAAGCACCCGAGCAACGAATTCTTCTCCTCCTTTCCAAACTGTTTGACGTACGGCAATCAGGAGGAGTTTTCGCAGTGCATGAAGAAAGCGTTCGACACGGAACCGAAACCGCTCTCGGCGGAAGACGCGTACCGATTAAGTTGGGAAGCGGCGACGGACCGGTTCTTAGACGCCGCGGAGCTCGGGCCGGAGCACAAGGAGAAGCAGCCGGGACTCTCGAAAGTTTCCGAGTCGGTGGCGGCTTCCGCGTTTTACGCCTTGAACAACATCGAAGGCGTTCGACAAGCTTTGGGTGCGGGAAAAAACACGCACTCGATAGATGCGCCGGAAAAGTTAGATTCCAATTGGAAACCGGAAAAGTGGGAAGTCGCCGGATTAGCCTCCTCGACGAAGAAAAAGTAAATCACGTTTTGGAGAAGAGAAAAGATAAACGCAAAAGGCGCATCGCCAGCGCTTTGCGCTGGCTGTTTATTATCAAAGTAAACTGTTGTAAAATTATACACGCACGAGACGCTCTCAATATTATTATCATTAAACTACGTTACACGCTAAACCCCGCTATCATCACAAACCACTCATCGCGTTATCCTCCTCGTTCTTCTCCGAGCACTTCTTACATTCCTCCTCGTACTTCGGGTACGTCTTCTTACACGACTCGCACTGCACCAACGTCAACAAACCCGGATCTTTCGCGAACCTCTTCATCCTCCGCCAGTGCTCTTCCACTTTCGGCCGTTCTGCCAAGTATTTCCTCATCGAATTTCGTTTCCTCTCGCCGTTGTTTTCCATGATGAACATTTGTTTCTGCATCGCTCGTTTGTACTTATTTTTGTTCCTTTGCGGTTGGAAAGACCTTCCACCACATTTGCTCGAACTTTCTTTCGCTTTCACTTCCCGGTCCCATTTCTCTTTTCGGTGGAGTAAGAGGAACTTCCTGTCCGGGTCGTTTTTCTTCACGTCCTCGAGCTCTTCCACTCTGTCGTCGTACGGGTGTTCGTCCTTCGAGAGCATCGGCGGGCGGTACCCGCCGCGAGTGGTTTTCGAGGTTGCGTTCGGGCCTTGACGGTACGAACGAATCTGATGATGCAAAGAAGACGAAGGTAAAGAAGAAGACGTGGTTTCGCCGCCTTCGCGAGTAAAAGAGGAGATCATTCGAGAGAGGAGCGTCGTCTGCGTCGTCGTTTTCGCGAGGCGAGTTCTGGATGACATCATCTTTGTTGTTTTTTACGCGTTCTTTTGCCCGGATGGAAAATGACGAATTTCCCCAGAGTTCAAGACGCTTTGAACAAAGCAATGAACGAGGACGACTTCGAGGACGACGAAGCCGCATTCCTCCGCCTCTCCTCGCTCACCCCGGAGGAGCTTTCAAAACACACCGCGAAATCTCGCGACGCGCTCGATCTTCGCTTGAAACGGTTGAGTTCTTTATACGAAAGCACGGAGTTGGAATTTAAGGAGATGGAACGAGTGAAGGAGAAGTTATTGGAAAACGTAAACAAGCTGCGAGAGATGACGAGAGAGGAGGGAGAGGAAGAGGAAGAGGAAGAGGAAGAGGACGGAGAGATTCAGAGGCTGGAGAGGCTGCTTTTGGAGGAGAAGGAGAAACAGAGGGCGATGATGACGACGACGTCTGATAAGAAGTGAAAGCAGAGTTTAAAGAGAAAGAGAAGCTTTGGTTGAGAGTAGAATGTACGATAATAATAGCAGTAGTGATCGTAGTAGTTTGTTTTAGGAGTAGCCGATTCATTCGCTAATAACGCGTGCCGCGATGATTGTGACGTTGCCAAGACGTGCATTCTCGACGCGCCGAAAGTTTCTCTCTTTTATCGCTTCACCCACTGAAACGCCTTTCTCGCTTTCTTCAAACCGGGTTTTTTCCGCTCCACAATTCTCGAGTCTCGGGTCAAAAATCCAAGCGGTTTCAACTGCGCGCGAAAGGCCGGGTCGTAATTTTGTAAACTCCTCGCCACGCCTAAACGAGCGGCTTGACTTTGACCGCTCAAGCCGCCGCCGTGGACGAGGACGCGCACGTCGAACAATCCTAAAGTGTTCGTCGCCGCAAACGGCGCTAAGACGTGCTGCCGCAAACTGACGTCTTGGAAATACTCGTCCAGAGGTTTCCCATTGATGACGATTTCCCCGAACACTTCCTCCTCCTCCTCTGTCTCCTCCTCGTCTCCTGCTTTACTACCTTTCGCCGGAACAATCCTAACTTGCGCCACCGCCGTCTTCCTCTTCCCGGTCCCGACGCTCCCGCCGAATCGATCGATTTTCTTCACTCTGTTCATAGTTTGCTCCATTTGCTTTATCTTTTCTCTCTCTTGCCGTTTCTCCTTCTCTAAACTCTTCGCGTCTTGGTAAAAATGTTCCAGCGGCGGTAACCGATCCTCCGCTCTCGGTTCTTCCCTCTCTAAAACCAATGCCCTCAACTCTTCGATGATTTCTTTTTCCTCTTTCGTTTGCGTCTCCAAGTGCCTCTCGGCCGTTGGGTCGTTAAACTCGCCGTATAAAACGCCTTCCGGTATGTCGTCGATGTTGTTCGTGCCGTCTGGGATGTCCGAGGGAACTGGGATGGCGATTTGTGAGCAGATCATCGCGAGGATTTCAGACTCTGAATGCGGGCGTTTTTTGCTCGATTTGGATGCAAAACGACGCGCTCGATGTGTGGTATGCATCGCTTGAATCATCGTCGGTGGATTCGAGAAAGGAGGAACAGCGTTGCTCCCTTTACTGGTGGAAGCGAGGAGCGATCGCGCGATGCGTTTCGCGTTTTGTCGAAACATTAGTAGTATTGGTGTTGATGTTATTTATAATGACGCATCGAAAGTAGAGAGGTCTTTTGAATGTTGGGCGGGATACGCATGCGGGGGGACGAACGAGTACTAAGAGGTACTTAAATAATTATTTATTTCAAAGTTTCACGCTTTAAACGATTTACTCATCGTGGACGGCGATTTCATCAAGCCGTTTTTCTTCCTGTCTCTCCTCTTGTATCGAATTTTGCACGGATGTTTCGGGCCGACGACCATGCCTTCGTAATCGGGTTCGGGTAAGTCGCCGATTAAATCAAACTCAAAGTTTCGAATCAACACGGACCAGATGGTTTTGATTTGCATGAAGGCGAAGGTTTCGCCCATGCATCCGTGTCGACCGGCGCCGAAGCCGATGTACGAGGCGAACTTGTTTTCGTCCGATTTGAAGCGTTGCGGGTCGTAGGTGTTTGGGTTTTTGAAGACGGAGTCCATGCGATGGGCAAACGCCGGAGAGGTGGCGCAGATGTGGCCCTTCGGGACGGTGTATTTCTTACCGTCCGAAGTTTCCACGTCAAAGTTCACCTGCGCTTTTCTCAAAAGCATGATCAAAGGCGGGTGCATTCGCAACGCTTCCTTCACCGCAAAGTGTAACTCGTCCATTTCCGCCAACACGTCGAAATCAATCTTCGTGCCGTGTTTTTTCATGATTTTTTGCTGCTCTTGCTCGAGATACGGCATCACGCGTTCTTTATTCGCAATCGCGAGTAATCCAGTCCACGTGCTCGTGATGGAACTCGTGTGTTGCCCGGCGAACAACACCGCGATCAACATCCCCAAAACTTGGTCGTTGGTCAACTTCGACCCGTCTTTATACCTGGCGTCGATGAACGTCTGCAACACGTCCGGCTCCAAACTCCCGCTCTCTCTTCTCGCTTGAATCACCTTGTCAAAAATCAACGCCAAATCTTTCCTCGCCTTATCTCTTTTCCTATGCGCTTCGATCGGCGCGTACGGGAAAAACACCGACAACGGCACCATCCCTTTATCCAAATCGTGCACCAACGCCGTCACCTCTGAAAACAAATTCTCGCGAATTTCTCTCCCGAGCAAACATCTACTCGCTGTCAAAACGATCAGCTCGCTCAGAGAGTCCAACAAATCCACCTCGCCTTCGTCTCCCCACTTCTCGAAAAACGCATCCGCCTCTTTCACCATCATCCCGACGTACGTTCTTAACCGCTCGCTCTTCAACGAATCCGCGAAAAACCGAAACTGTTCCGCTCGCGTCTGATGATCGACGTCAAAAACGACGCCTTTCCCGAACGTCGGCACGTTAAACTCGTACACTTCTTTCTGCGACATCTCCACATCCTTCGCTTTGAAGAAAAACTCGGAGACTTTCGGTCCGATCAAAAACGTGATTCGCTCGTGAAACACCGGCACGGTGAACACTTCCCCGTATTTCGGGAACGCTTTCGCCATCAGTTTCATCGGGCCTTTGAGAAACTCCAGCATCCCGCCGACGAGAGGGATTTTTAAACCGCCGTTCCACTCGATTAAAGGTGGCGTTTTCTTCGATTTGAAAACTTTACGCGTCAGAACGTCCAAAACGACCAAGAGAAGGAACACGATCAGCGATGCGATGGAAACGACGCAGACGCTCCAAAGGATAAAATCATTTCTCGTCGTCGCTACCACCGCTGCTGGTGTTTCTCGCTTGAAGAAAAAAACGAGAGGAGGCGTCGAAAACATCGTCTTTCCTTCTTCTTCCTTCTCTTTCTCTAAATTTCTCTCGCACTCCTGCGCTTAAAGTCTTTGATTCTGATGCGTCCAAATCTACGCTCGTCGAAGCAAAAACGCAAGACTTTTCAGAGAGAGTTTTGCAAAATTTAGGGTTTATGTAACGAGAACCCTGAGTCTGTAAGTGCTTACTCCTAAGTGCATATATTCTTACTACGAAACCCTAAAATATATACTCTGTGAGTGCTTCGTTCTTACTCCTCAGTCTCTCTGTCGTACTCTCCTCTCTTTTGCTCTTTTTGGCGTCGTTTGGGAAACGCGAGAGAAGAAAAAAAGCGTCAAACCAACTCGCACGTTTTGTGCATACTTTATTACTCTCTGTTCTGTTTAACGCGCATAGCATACTTTATTACTCTTTAAAGGTTGACGCGCAAACGCAGCGTTTGTCGATCGTCATCTTTTGAGGAGAGAGACGAGAGCTTTCTCCTGCGTATTTATTCCTCCTCCTTCCTGCGTCGTGTGTATGTGTTCGTCGTAGAGGGAAGACGTGAAAAGGATTCCGATGGTGACGATATCGGTGCTTCCATCGTGGCAACACCAACGACGAAAGAGCTCGCCCTCGAGGAAAAGAGAGTGTGGTCGGAATCGTCGTCGCTCTTTGAACAAAGCGACGACGACGTTTGGGAAGATGCTGTTTTTGCGTGTATTTAACGATGATGATGACGACGAGAAGAAGAGAAAGCAACAAAAAGTGATGATGAAACTGCACCAAACGCGAGGGGAGAAGCGCGGCGTTTTTGTATCATCACATCGAGGAGGAGTTTTAGGAGGAGTTTTAGGAGGAAAAAAGAGTAAGAGAAAGAAAGCGGCGGAGATGACCGAGCGGACGATGACGAGCTATTACGACCGGTCCTCGCGAGGCGGGTTTCGGCCGGAAGATTTTTCGTCGGTGGACGAGGACGACGAAGAAGAAGAAGACAAAGAAAAGCAGAGACGACGACGACGAAGACGACGACAGTCGGGCGAGAGCGCTTCGACGACCTCGTCTTCAACTTCGTCGTCGTCGTCGTCTGCGTTTACGAACTTTTCCATGAAGATGATACTGGACGGCGAGGAGACGAAAGAGATATTCACGTTGGCGGTTCCCGCGCTGGGCGCGTTGTTAGCGGATCCGCTGATGTCTTTGATCGACACGATGTTTGTCGGGAGAATCGGCGTGAACGAGTTAACCGCGCTCGGACCGAATGCGGCTATATTCCAAGTCATTTTTCAACTGTTTTCGTTTCTTTCCATCACGACGACTGGGATGGTCGCGAGACACTACGTGAAATTCAACGAAGGGTGCGAAATCGCAGAGTATAAAATTAGGAGGAGCGTGTCGATATCGCTGTTTTTCTCCGTCGCGTTTGGCATGGTCTCTTTGATCGCGTTGAATTGTTTCGCGAGCGATATTTTACGTCTAGTTGGAACGCCGGAAAGTTTGCTCGCGACGGCGGCGCCGTATTTGCGAATACGTGCTTTCGCGACGCCGTTCGTGTTGGCCTCCTATTGCGCGCAAGGCGCGTTTATTGGGAAATTAGACAGCAAAACGCCGTTGAGAATCTTCGCTTTCGCCGCGGTGCTCAACGTCTTCGGCGATTTCTTGCTCGTTCCTTCGTACGGCTTACGAGGTGCCGCGTTCGCGACGTTGTTCGCGCAGTGCGCTTCCGCAGTTCTGTTCTCCTCGCAACTCTTTGGGCAAAAGATGTTACCGAAAATAGGAAGTCCCGAGTGGAAGTCTCCGCCGACTGCGACGGAAATCCAACGCATCACCAAAGTCAGCTCGGCGCTCTTCTTTTCCTCAATCTGCCGCATGGGCGTGTACACGATGATGACCACGACCGCTCTGCACCTAGGGAATGCCGTCATGGCCGCGCACCAAATAGCCTTGAACGTCTTTTGGTCGCTCACCTACTTCGTGGACCCGCTCTTCGTGGCCTCGACCTCCTTCATCGCCAGAGACTTTGAACGCGACGCGGAGAAAGCGAAAACCATCGCCAAAAAACTCCTCCTTCTTTCCTTCGCCGTCGGCGTCTTCATCTCCATCGTCGCCTTCTTGGTCTCCGCGTTTGCCTCTGGAGCGTTCACCACGGACTTTTACGTCCAATCCTTGGTCCGATCGGTCTCTGTTTACATGCTCGTCTCCCAGTGCGTCTCGGCGGTGGTCTTTGTCAGCGAAGGCATCCTCATTGGCGCAGGCGACGCGCGATATTTACTCCGCGCGCACTTGCTCAACTTCCTCGCCCTCGCCGTCGTTTTACGAGGCGTTGGTCACTTCTCCTTGGGTTTACGAGGCATATGGTTCGCCGTCCTCACGAACCAAATATTTCGGTTGATGCAACACGCCAACCGAACGATGGTCGATAAAAACGGGCCGGACATTTTTTTACTCAACGGAAACGGAAAAGACTGCGGTGTTGGCGACGCCGCCGACCCCGACGACGAGGATGATTCCGCAGAGGTGGACGTTCGAGCGACACCAACACCAACAACATAGAAGTCATCACATTAATTCTCATCATCGTTAGAAGATTAAGATTGTGTTATATTTTATTAGAAGTCATCACACACAGCAAACAACACATTTTTAAACGGAACGAAAGTAAAACGCGCTCATAAAGTTCTCTTCTTTCTTCTTCGTCTTCGTCGTCGTCGTCGTCTTCTCCCGGTGTGTGTTGGGTTCGAAAAGAAGGATCTCGCAGCGCGTCGTCGTTTCGCTCTCGCCAGCCCCTCTGTGAAAATTGTGAGCACTTAATTGGAGAAATAAGGGACACGAGGGAAAAAAAGAAGCAATTTCCGGACAAATTTTGGATCGTTTCTCTCTCTCTTTACACTCGCGAATACGCGACCGGGAGAGATACGCGGGCATTGCGAGACCGTCGAGAGAGCGCGAGTACTCGCGGGCGACGTTTTTCGTGCGTCTTTCTGTCTCGAGAGAAGCACAGGACAGAGACAGAGCGCAAAGCTTTTGGGGGTTGAATTTTCCCATCGGTCGCGAATTTGAACACACGCGCGCGGAAATCTTCGAGGACAAACACACGCCTCGTTGTCTCTTCTCCGCGATCGAAACGAACGCGAGAGAGAGAGTAGAGAGAGAACGTCGTCGTCGGTGTTTCTGTCTCGCGGAAGAGCCTTCGTTTGGCGCGAAGAACGGGAGAGAGAGAGACATCCTCGAGGGAAAATTTTCTCGCTCACCATTCGTCTTTCTGGCGAGATACGAAGAAAAGGAAGAAGCGTCGCGTCCGGGAAGGACGATCAGCAAAATGATAACGACGCGTTCGCATCCACCTCTCCGTCTCGCCCGTCTCTTCGTGCTCGCGTGTAGCGCCGCGTTCGTGCTCCAAGTCCGCGCGAATTACCCAGTTGTGCGGTTTCGCAACGGCACCGTGGGCGTTCGGAGCGACGGCGAAGTGCACGTGCAAAGCGACGAGTTTTTAGTCAACGGGCATTTGCGGGTGTCGGGAAGTCTGTACGTGAACGATACGGATGTTGAAGTGTACGATGTTCGAGTGACGAACGTGGAGAATACGTTAGGTATTGATCCGGACTCGTTTACTTCGTGCTATAGTGGAGCGTCCGCGGCGAATTTCCCGAGCGCGTTGACGCATTGGATTGATTTTTCGAACAGTTATTACGAGGATACGTTCGAATCTGGGGCGATGATGAATTCAGCCGTTGATATCGTGAATAATGCGTCCGGTATTGAAATTTTTGGAGACGTGGAGTACATGCACGGTGTTCATCTCGGAAACGGCGCGGCTTTCTTCAACGACGTGAATTCGGCGAGAGGCGTGAGGTTTGGGACTACCAAGCTAGGGAAGAATCCCGAGATTATTATCGCGTATAATCAGATTGGGTACATGGAGAAAGGGGTCATTTTAGGCGACTATTCGACTGATGATCCCTCTTACCAGTTCGGGACGCGCGGGACCGGGAATAATAAGGTTGGGATGAGCGCCGATAACAACGCCAACATGGGGACAGTCGAGGCAGACTTTGACATGTGGCACGTAGCAGATGTTTATTATGGCAATACCGATGGCTTTCTCAATATTGATAACGATCCAAGTTTAAACAAGTCGTTCAGCATCAGTGGTCGGTATGACGTGGACGCAATGAGCGAGCCGCATATTGGCGGAGTAAATGTGGATTCCGAACACATGCACGGTCTCGTCGGCGAAGTCCTGTATTTTAACCAGAGACTCAGTCCCACCGAACGAGAGAGCGTGATGGCATACATGATGGAAAAGTGGATCGATGGTTCATCCGCCAGCGGAAGCACCTCGCAGTGTTCGACAACCATCAACGAAGACGGTTCCGTCAACTCGCCGAGTACAGTCGTTACCGCCATCGCGGAGTCCATCAGACGTCTGACGCCGATGGCGTGCGAACCGCCCGGCGGGGCTAGGTTATATTTCAACGGCGATGATTTTGTCTGCGAGTGCAACGAAAATTACGTCGGAGAATCGTGCACGGATTTACAAGACGGACGATAAAAAAGAAGAAGAAGAAGAAGAAGAAGAAGAAGAAGAGAGAAAAGACCCGCCCGCCGCTACCGAGCGAGAGAGCGCTCGAAAACTTGTAGTATATTTATTTTATTAAAAACCGTATATTACGCACACGGATAGAAAAAGAAAGAAAGAAACACACGTCACGCGCATTCCCTCGACCGCGCGCGCAAAGTTCTCGCGTTCGTCGCGAGAGACTCGCATTGAGGAGTACTCTTCGGCCTCGCCGCAAAGAAGGAATTTGTACTAAACCCTAAACCAATAAATACGCAAAGAGCCATACCAAAACCCCAAAAAGATTAATTAGTTGCTTGCATTTAATTATCTCGACCTCAAACGTGGGACGAAGGACGAAAGACGACCGATACCTCGCTCGCCTTAAGTGCGTGTTTATATTGGTGGTAGCGTACCGCGTTCGTTTTTTTCTCTTTGTCGCAAGAAAGAGAGAGAGAAAGAGAGAGAGAAAGAAGATCGCGTTTTAATTCCCACGAACACATAATTGTCGATTGTCGATCGCGGGGAAGAATATTCGGTTTTTGAATACGTTTTTGTTTTGATCCTCTCTGTTCATCGAGTCGTCTCGAATCGACGAGAGACATGTTTTTCCCTCTTTGCGCGGCGGCGCTCTTTTTCCTTTCCTCGACGTCACTTTTGGATTCCGCGGAAGGGAATAATTGGCCAGTGGCTCGATTTACGAACGGCACGGTTGGGCTCCAAAACGAAGGAGGGAAAGTGATGGTGAATTCGAACGAACTTCACGTGGTCGGAGACCTCATCGTAAAAGGGCAGCATTTAATTCCACCGAAGTGCATGCCACCGGGCGGAGATAAGTTGCAATACAACGGCACGCATTGGTTTTGCGTGTGCGCGGAGAACTGGTCGGGGGAGACGTGCGAGACGCCACCGAGTCCGCCGCCGAGTCCGAGTCCGCCACCGCCGCCGCCGCCGTATACCGCGCCGCCGCCGTACGTGACGCCGCCGAGTCCGCCGCCAAGATCTCCTCCACCGCCGCCACCGAATCCTGAGAGTCCGAACGAGTTATTAAGGAAAGCCGTTTCAGTATGTTTGAAAAAGAAAGCACTGGAAAGTGCGAGTGCACGTACGATTCGCCGTGCGGGATATATACGAACGGTGGAATTAGCGAATGGGATGTATCCAAGGTGACCGAAATGCTGTCGTTATTTGCAGCTAAATATACTTTCAATGAAAATATATCAAGTTGGGACACGTCGCAAGTGACGACTATGCAATCTATGTTTAATTCCGCTTCTGCGTTCAACCAAGACATTGGGAGTTGGAACACAGAAAAAGTGAGTACTATGTCTGCTATGTTTTCTTACGCTCGTGCGTTCAACCAAGACATTGGGAGTTGGAATACAGAAAAAGTGACTGATATGCGAATGATGTTTTATTATGCTTCTGCGTTCAACCAAGACATTAGGGGTTGGTACACGTCGCAAGTGACTGATATGCAATCTATGTTTTATGTCGCTTCTGCGTTCAACCAAGACATTGGGAGTTGGAACACAGAAAAAGTGACTGATATGAGGTATATGTTTGCTTACGCTTCTGCGTTCAACCAAAACATTGGGAGTTGGAATACAGAAAAAGTGACTGATATGCAATATATGTTTCGTTCCGCTTCTGCGTTCAACCAAGACATTGGGGGTTGGTACACACCGCTAGTGACTAATATGCAAGGTATGTTTTATTCCGCTTCTGCGTTCAACCAAGACATTGGGAGTTGGAACACAGCGCAAGTGTATACTATGAGAGAGATGTTTGTTTACGCTTATGCGTTCAACCAAGACCTCCGCAATTGGAATCCCCCAAGTAATTGCAACTTTAATAATATGTGCAGTGGTGCAACTCTTCATAACAAGGCGTGGACATGCCCATCGGGTCCAAGATCGTGTTACGCCCCAGCGTTCACCAGTGATTACGCGTTAGTTTTGGCCGTTCAACAGTGCTTCACGGAATCGAGCGACGGGGATTGCTCGTGCTCGACGACGTCGTGCGGTACGGCAGCGCAACACATTTCAAAATGGAACACCTCCGGCATCACACTGATGAATAATTTGTTCAAAGATAAAACGACGTTTAATCAAGACATAAGCGGGTGGGAGACCGCATCGGTGACGCGCATGGACGGTTTGTTTCACAACGCGAATTCGTTCAACCAGAACATTTCGAGGTGGGATGTCGCTCAAGTTCGCGATCTTCACGACATGTTCAACGGGGCGTCGTCTTTCGACCACGATATTTCCGGATGGGTTCTCCCAGATAATCCAACGTCCACGGACATGTTCTTAAACGCGGACGCGTTCAACGCTAAATTTACGTGTACCGGCGGCGTTAATGGACCGCCATCGACGTGTTCGCCGAAATAGATATACACGTGTTTACTCTACAAAACCTACCGCGATATACAAGGAAGGAGGGAGGGCTTTAACAATCCCCCGAAACTATTTTATAAAATACTAAATAATACATCATCGACGAGCGCGTACGTTCCTATACATGCCGCCCCCGCGCCCGCCAATATTCTCTTCTTCTTCATCATCATCTTCGTCGCTCACCCATTCTCTTTCGCTTTCGCGGTTGGTACCCATCGTCGTTCTCATCGCCGCGCTTGCATTTTTGCTCTTCCATCGAACGAGAAACCCATCCATACTCGCCGAGAACAATTCGCACTCGCGGGCGACAAACTGCGCCGAAGTCACTCGGTCCGCGTGACACTTCAAGCGCTCCGAAATCGCGCCGGTTCGAGAATCGTACACGAGTATCGACCCGTCTTGCGAAGGCACGAAAACGTTCACGCCGTCTTCCGAGCACGACATGGTTGTTGAATACCGATACTGCGCCGACGCCGCCGACGCCGTCCCGGCACCAGCTGTAGAACCCCTACCACTGCCGCTACCCGTGTTCATCGCACTTACGCCGCTCCGAGCATTTTGTGTCGTCATCGACGACGACGAATTCGAAAATCGTTCGAATTTTGTCGCGTCGCACCGACCGGTGCGCAAATCCCACTCGCGAACCCTCGCGTCGTTTCGGAATCCAAACCCTTTCGTGAAAACCGAACGACCGTTTGGGTGTATCAATACGCTCTCTATCCCATCCGCGTGCGCCCTCGCGTTTTCGTCGTAAAAATCTATAGGTTTCCTCAAACTGCTCCACGACCCTGATGTTCCTAAACCTTCGGTACCGCCGCCGTTTCCGCCGCTATTACTCCTCCGCCTATCCATGCTAAACAACGGCGCCGCGCAACGCCGAGCGTCCCAAACCGCACATCGACCCTCAAACCCGCACGTAATCACAGAAAACGCGTTCTCTTTCGACCAAGCGGTCTTAGAACACCCGCCCGGATGCGCTTTCGGTAACGTCATTCCCACCACGTTACTCCCGGGATCCCACAATTTCACGTCCGGCGCATCCGTCGCCACCGCGACTAAATCGTTATTCAAATGACTCGACAAAGACAAACTCACGTCCCGTATTCTCGAACCGAGCGCGACACCACTCCTTCCACCTCTCCCAGAATCAACAGACGACGCGTACGTCGCCGCCACTTCCGCGCGACTGGCGTCCCACAACTTCACCGTCCCGTCGAACGACGCGCTAAAAAACGCACTCGCGTCCTCGGGATACCACGCCACCGCCGAGACCGACTTCTCGTGCCCTTGCGACGTCCGCACGATGCGCGCTTCATTTTCACTACTCGCGATACCATTGGTACCACCGGTACGGCGACGACCAAATCTCCTGTTGGATGCAAAAATAGGCTCCACATTCCTCCTCTCGTTCCGATCGCCGTCCGCCTTTTCTGCTGCTTCTCGTCCGCCTCCGAAACCATCCATCGAGTCATACATCACCACGCTTCCATCCACGGTCCCGACTAAAGCGAACCTCTTTTCGCGCATCCCGCCAATTTCTAAGCACGTGACTCCTCCGTTCCATATTCGAGAGAATTGTTTCTCGCTCGCGATGGTAAACCCGCGGTGGATGCTGTATCTCGCGACCGAGGATTGGAACTCGAGCGGACGGAGTTGACGGTTCGTTTCCCGAAGGCGGAGCGAGGAAACGGTCGTTGGGTTTGGGAGAGGTTTGGAGGGAAGGAGGCGTCTCGGTGGAGAGGGAGGCATTGCGTTGAAGCCAATACCATGCGCGGTAGGTTTTTTGCGGCGCCGAGGCGGCATGTCCTCGTCCTCGCGTCGCTGCGCGTTGCGTTTCAAGGTGTGAGGGAATGCGTTTGGATTTCGATTTATACGCGTTAGGGACATTCAATCGGTATCGATGCCCCCCGGGGGGTTTACGAGATGATGGTATACAAATTACGTGACGGCAGACCAACTCCTAAAGTTATGCGTGTGCGTGCACACCGCCTCGACGACGTCCGGGTTCCCTTGTTCTCCGACGACGAGTCCGTGGACTTTCAACCCGCGCTCCGATTTGCGTTGGTCGAGCGCGTCCAACAAGTCTTCTTGCATGGGTTTGATTTCACCGTCCGTGACGAGAAGGATGTCCGCGTTTTCCCACTCTTCGGTGTCTAAACGCGCCAAGGCGCGTTCGAAGGGTTCGTCGACGTCCGTGCCGCCGTGGAATGAGCCTTCGAGGAACGCGAGTAAATCGGAGAGGCCTTTGGCGGAGACTTTGAGTTCGAGTTCCATGCAATCGCCCGGGCCGGAGAAGGCGTAGAGGAAACACGGGCGGTTGGTCGTGCGCGCTTGTCGCGCGCACTCGAGAGTCATGCACTTGGCGACGGTTTCGCGGGCGCCCATCATGGAGCCAGAGGTGTCGAGACAGACAATGATTGGACCGCATTCCGCCGCGGGACGGGTTTCTAACCCTTCGACGGTAACCGCGGGCGTTTCCGCCCACCCGACGCGTTCGTACGTAGCTAACGTGCGTTCGGCGCGACGCGCAAAGTGTAACCGGCGAGCAGCGGCGGAGTCTTTCATGGCTAACAGTTGAAGCTCGGCCGGGAGTACGCGCGAGATATCGTCCGAGCGAGTTAAACCGCTCGTTTGTTCGGGTTCCATGGGAGATCGCGTCAAGCCTTCCGGGAATCGATTGCGTTCGCGCTGTCGAGGGGCGCGTTTTAACGGGCCTCTTCCCGAACCGCGTCCTAAAGAACGCACGATGTCTCTCAGTTCCTTCAAATCTTGCAACTTTTTCCGCAACTTTTCCATCTCTTCCCAACCGGTGACTTGCCACAACCCTTTGGATAAATCAAACCCTTCCGGCCCTTCGGTTAAATCGTTCAAATCTAAACCTTCGAACGCTTTCGAGGCTTTTTCCAGTTTATCCACCGCGGGTTCCCATTGCTCTTTGAAATCTTCCATCATCTTTTCCACCATTTCTCTCTTTTGTTTCTCTTTTTCTTTCCGTTTTTCCTCCGCGTTCGACGACGCGTCGTTGTCTTTTTCCTTCGATTCCATGTTCATCTCGATGTCGTCCACGTCCGTTTCGTCTTTCCCGTCGCCGTCGCCGCTGGAGCCACCTCCACTCGTCTCCCCGTTAGGATCGCCTTCCTCTTGGTTGGTATCGTCCCCTGCTCCGCTTCCATCTGGGTTCATCTCCTCGTCCTCGTTCGGTTCTTGCTCTCCGCCTCTGCTTTGACTGCTCTCCGTGCTTTGCCTCGGATCGGAATTCGGATCCTCCTCTTCCTCGCCGTCCATCGCGACTTCGTACTGGTACAAAATATCCAAAACGTTCCGCATCAACGTCTTCAAAACCGGAGGAAACTTCCTCGTAAACCTCGCCATATCTAACTCCCCCAACGTTTCCAACAACGCCTCTCGAAACGTCTCGTCCTCCGGCCAATCCACCGCGTGGGGGTCGAATCCGTTCGCCGACGACGAAGACGACGAAGACGAAGATTTCGGTAAAAACCCTTTCTTCAAGGCCTCCTCCCATTGTTCGTACCCATCTTTCGCCTTCCTCAGCTTTTCCACGTCCCCTCTCGTCGTCGGTAGCCTGAGTAACATCGGTAATACCTCCGGCGGAATCTCGCTTAAAATTTTTGGGCCTCCGGGAAGCCTCAGCATGTTGCCGTAATTCGCCAACGCGTTTTGTTTGGACACTTCCTCGTCTTCGAGCAAACTTTCCCTGGTTCGTTCGAGGACGTCTAAAACGGTTCGTTCCGAGCTGTCTTCGGAGAGGACGATCGGGGATTTCTCGAACGGGTTCGCTCTTAATAACGAGGGTGGTGTCGTTCTCGTTGTTGTTCTGAACGCTTTCGAGAAGGAGCAAACGCGGGGAACAGATGACGACGACGAAGCGCCTTTACTATTACAGCGCGAAGAAGAAAAGGACGACGAGGAGGACTGCATCGTGGTAAAATTCTGCCGAGAGTGCTGATGATAATACTACCGCTCGTCGTGCGGATGCTTTCGTCGCCCTGAGAGCCTTCCGTGACGTCTTTGGTCTGCCGCTCGAGTAAAGTGAAAGAAAATCCAATCGACCCCTACACCCTAAATCACAAAACCCTAAAACTGAGCAAACCTCAACGAGGGGAAAATTTTCAAAATTTCTCGAAAGAGTTACGCGTTTATTAAGATGGACGACGCGAGGACCACCAAGCGACTGAAAGTACCATCATCTTCATCATCAGTAGGAGCAGTAACAACGTGTTGTGATGATGAGAGTTTTTTTACCGACAAAAAACAACACCATACCATTGATGGGCTGAGGAAACAACAGCGACAACAAAATCACGATTGTGATTTCCCCCAACAACAACATCTTTTGCTTTCAGAGTACAAACTGAACGAAACCCGGACAGAAATCGTCCTCGCGGAGACGAAAAGAGACATCGAAATGGCAATCGAACGAATCTATCGCGAAGCGATGAAATTGGACCACTTTTGCGATGGTGGTGGCGATGTTTTTGGGAGGAAACAACAGTCTCTCGTGGTTGGATTCGACATGGAGTGGAAGGTCCTGTATAAGAAAGGCGGTGGCGAAGCGAAGACGAGTTTACTACAGATGGCGTATTCAACCATAGACGTTTCAACAAAGTCGTCGTCGAAATCGAAAACGAAAAATGTGGTCGTTTTGATACGACTCGGGAAACGTTTGAAGTATAAAAACCCACTCCCATCGAAACTGCTTCGGTTTTTAGAGGACCCCGCGGTGAGGAAAGCCGGCGTGAACGCGAGAGGGGACGCGCAAAAGCTACGAAGGGATTTTAAGGTACGCGTGAACGGAGTGGTGGAGTTGGACGCGTTGGCGAAGGCGAAGAATGTTGTAAGCGGTGATGGGAGGAGTAGCGGTAAAAGTGTTTCTGGGAAAGAACAGGAGAGAGATAATAATAACAACGCAAGTCAGCGATGGAGTTTAGCTCGATTGGCAATACGGGTGCTCAAGAAGCGAGTGCCGAAGGACGGGAACACGAGAACATCGAATTGGGAACGGGACGGGAAGTTGGACAAGAAGCAGTTGACGTACGCCGCGATCGATGCGATGGTTGGTTTGGATTTGTGGGTCGCGCTGAATAAGATGCGAGGGGATGGGTACGAGATGGATCCGGTTCTGGAGGGGTTCGTCTTTCGCGGTAGGATTTTAGAAGGCGAATACGATCCGGACGACGACGACGACGACGACGAAGAAGAAGAAGATGATGAAGTTGAAGTTGATTACGATGAAGAAGAAATAGAACCATACGCCGCGCTTCGTGAAGCGGCGCTGACGACGTTAGACAACGAGCCGACGACATCGGGACAACCAGAACAATCAAAAACAAAAGAACAACTCGAACTCACTCGCGGCGCGAAACGCAAGACGCCCATTCCGGAAGACGTGGAGGAGATTTTAATCCAACATCTAGGCGGTAAAGCGGTCGAGGATATAGCCGAAACACGCAAACTCACGTCAGCGGATATCTCCAAAAAGCTCACGATTGCGTTTAAAGCCGGTCATCCGTATTATTGGGATTTGTTAGGTGTTTCCAACGATATTTGGTTAACGTTTTTACAAAGCCGAGAGGAAAAGGCGTTGGCGACGATTCGAGAGCGCTTACCAAACGGCGCGGCTGACATGCCAAAGATTCTATTGTGCGCCTGTCGATTCGCAAGAGAGGTTTTACGAGATGGGAATCAGTTAGAAGGTGATGAGTCCGCGGAAGACGACGACGACGAAGAAGAAGAATCCTCTTCCGAAGAGAATGACGATGAGGACGACGACGCTTCCGAAGAAGAAGAAGAAGAAGAAGAAGAAGAAGAAGAAGAAGGAAAGAAGGAATAAGATATTAGAGTGTTTAGCAGCCAGGTAGCGTGTAGCAGTGTGTTTAACGCAGCAGGTGTTTATCTTTTGATGTTACAATTGTTTGTTCTTTTATACTAATAGGTGTTCATTCATTTATTATTTCGCCATTTTCTCAAAGACGTTCTTCTTCGCGATTTCAACGACAGCCACGTGCGCCTCGTCAACATCCATGTTTTCGTTATTGTGTCCTCCACCATTCTTAGCGACTTCCGAGAAATCTTCCATGGACTTTGGTCCCGGGGGGTGCATCTTGACTTTTGGGTCGAACGACCACGGCGCCAGCGAAGCTAACTCTTGCTTCGCTTTCTTGCTGAGGTGTCCTTGTTCTTCGTCGTCGCCGTTCGACGCAAAGTTCATCGGCGCCGCCAACGCTCTCTCGACTTGCTGCAATCTGCCGCTTTCGTATAAAGCCGGATTGTTATTATAGTTCTTCTGGTACCCAACTGATTGCGCGTTCTGCAACACGTGCTGCAAACTGACATCCGTCGCTTTCCTCGTCCTCAACCAATCTAAAACGCTTTCGTCCAACATCGACTGCTTCTTCCTCCAGGCGTCCAACATCGGCGAGCCGATCAACTTTTGCGCGTTCGTTCCCGCCCAAGGACCCGTTTTCGGTTCCCACGGTTCGTTTATTTTCTCGGTCAAACAAGAGAGCCACTTTGATCGATTTTCGAGATCGCATCCGTTGACGATCGGCTTCGCTTCCGCGCGAACGCCGTAGCAACACGAAATGTCCGGCAAGTACGCGCATCCTTTAAATGAAACGTGGACGAGCTTCGTTGGATCGGCCAATTCTTGTTTATGCCACGAAAGCAATGCGGCTGGTATGTAATCGTGTTTATACTTCTTTGAGTGCGAACTGGCGATTTTGTGCGACGCGGCTTGCGCACCGACGCCGAACGCCATCACTTCGTCTTCGCGGACGTCTATTTGTATCCCCGCTTGCGTTTGGTAACACGGAGCGAGATGGTCGAATTTGTAGAAATGTTCGGTGTTGGCAAAGAGGTGGACGATGTCGGCGCAGAGGTCGTGACGAGCGCACGGCGTTACGGGGAGATCAAGTAAAGCGTCGCGAAGCCAGAGTAACGCGGCGCGATTCTTGGAGAGTAAACGATTTTCGTTGTCGTCGTCGTCGTCTTCGTTGGTTTCTTCATCTCCCGCTGCCGGCACCAAATCCATCATTTCTTTCGATTTGAACTCCAGAGAGGAGAGAAACGAGAGGTACTTTTCGCGCTGCGCGTGCGAGAGCGTCTTGCGTCTGGAGTGTTGCGCGATGGTTTGAGAAAGGAACAGTGCAACGCTCGGCGCGTTTTCATGCGGTTTATCTTTTGGCGCGTTACTTTCCACTCCCCCGTTGACGGTGCCGTTTTCTTCTTTCTTCGCGCCTTTCGACCACCGGCCTCTTCCTTTCCGTTTCTTTCCGGCGCCACCGTTTACTGGTGATATTGCTTTTACTATCGTCGTCGTCGGCGGCGGCGCCGTCGTCGTCGCTGTTGTCGTCGGATCATCAGAATCTGCCGCTGGCGCAACATTTGGCGGCGCCGTAACGATTTTGTTGCACCAAAACTTTTCGATGGTCTCCTTCGCAGATAATTTCGCGTACGGCGGCGGACTCGTGCCATATTTCGGTGAATCGAAACCTTCTCCTAACGTCAACAAACGACGAATTTTTGACATGCACACGGCAAGCGCTTGAATTCTATTCTCTCTTACCGCCATAGCTTCGATTTCGGCGTTTTTCTCGGTATAAACAAATTCACCTCGATATCCCGGATCCCCGCGTTTCCTCCTGTTGATGTGATGTTCCTTCGCGGCTTCGTAAATGAGCGGGGGCAACGTTTCACGTTCGTGATCGATGAAGGAGGCAACTTTCGCGTAATAATTCGTCAACCACTTCGGCGCGTCGGCGAGAATGCCGCAACCAATTCGAAAACCTAAACTTTCCAATCGCGTCTTGACGACTTCATCGTTGTCGTCGTTCCCTTCGCGCTTCTCTTTCGCCTCGTCGATGGCGTCCAACAACATCGCGTATCGATCCAAGATCCGATGTTCCGAGTCAAACACTTGCGAGTTGTTGTTCTCACCGACGAACGAAAGGTAACTCCCTCGGCATTTCTTCGCGCCGCACAAACAAAACGCCGCTTCGACTTCTTTCATCGAGTCCGAGCAACTGTGATAGTTATAGCACAACTCCTCTCCTTTTTGAATCTCTCGAGTGGCGTAGAAATGAATTTCGTATTTACCGTCGACGACGGTGAGAATGACTTGCACGTTCGGTTCGCAAGAGTGCGACATTCGCGCGGCAAAATTGTTGTAGTGCATCGCGTCGCAAAAGAGTAAGCCAAAGCCGTGTTTATCACCTCCAGGCCGTTCCATTTGCATGTTGTAAAATTCGGGCGCGCCAATATCTTTCAGTCCTTTGGCTTTTTGCGCTTGCTTGATCGCATCTTGCTTTTCCATCCACGCCCAAGGAGGGTAGATTTCGCCCAAGAAATCGACGACGAATTCGCCTTTCTGTATGTTCTTTTCACGAATGTTCACCACACCGTAGCCTTTTCTGTGAACGACAAACAAATTTGGATTCTCTCGGGCTTTCTTGGAAAACGTCCAAAGCGCTTTGGCGCACGCCAAATTCTTCATGCCGTCCTTTGGCGACGTTATGTTTGCTCTTTCAAACTTTTCCGCGAGATCCTCCGCGGCGAGCGCTAATGATTGCGTCGCAAGAGTATCCGGGGTCATCTTTCCGTACGATTCGTTCACTTGGTTCATGAGCTTTGCGTAAATTCCCCAATGCTCGTCGTCGGAAAATTCAGGCAAAGCCTCCGCGAGCACGGCGACAGCGTCTCTTCCGGTGACAAAATCACATCCGTACGTCTCTTGTTCGCGAACATCACGTCCGGATTTCAGTCTTGGATTGCGTTCACCGACGCACGGGTACCATTCTTTCGCTATGCCTTTATCGCATGGGTCGGCATCTATGATTTGACCTCCATCCTCCTCGGCATCCGCGGCGAAGCAGGAGTTCAAAGACACGTGACCACGAATCGGTTCGCATTGACGCTCGCTCGCTACCTCTCTCACATCCGCGCGGTGAACGTAATCTTGAACGAACCCAACTTGTTGTCGACTCGCGATTTGTTCTTTCTTTGCGTCTTCGAGTGATCGCGAACCTCTCGCTTTCAGAACTGTCAAAGCGGCAACTCGCCACGCTTTCGAGACGCACGCGAACCGGCCGAGATTCTTCTCGCTCTCAATGTACGCTTCTTCCGCGGTTAACCTCTTCTTTGGGACGTACTCGTTGGAAAACCAAATCACTTTTTCGCTCTGAAAGTTTTTCAATTTTTCGACGTCGCCGTCGTCGTAGGTGATTTCAAAAATAGCGTTTGCATTCGCGTCTTCGGCTTCGGAGGTTGGGATATATCGAGAAATCACGCCTGGAAAATACGCGTTTTCTTCTGCCCAAAATACCTCCACGCAACGACCAACGAGCGAAGCGTCGAATGTTTCCGGCACGGGCACTATGAACTGTTTCTTTTCCTCGTCGTCCTTATGCGCGTCGTCAAAAATAAAGTTAAACGCGCGCATTAAATCTTTTAGCGAGAGACCGTTGAAAGAGACGCAGTTTTCGTTGGGATCTGGATCTTGGAGCGCCTCCATCATGATTTGCTGAATCTGTTGTTTTTTCGTTCCACCACTCACGGTTTTCCGCTTCTTCAAACCACCGAAGCCGACGTTTACGTCGAGATGATCGTCCCTCATCGACAGCGATGGCATCGGTTGCAATCCTGTTCGATGCAACCAATTGCCAATCATTTCTTTCTTTCCCTCTGGCTTTACGATTCGGACCGAGCGTTTCCACGTTTTCGAGGATCCTTTTCCGCAGTGTTTCTCCCACTCCGCGCCTCCGAACACGTTCCCATCGCCTTCGCCGGACACTTTGAAGCACCCGTGTTGCTCGCACATGCATCGAAACATTTTTCGTCTGACGAGGTATACGCCGTCGTGCTCGTTACACGTGACGCGAATGGTTGGTGGTATTTTCGTGATCGTCGCGAGGAGTTGTGCGTCCGCGTCGAACGGTTCCGGAAGGACGCGAGGGTGCGGCGCCCCTGGCCAAACGCTCGGGTCTTCTTCGGGAGATTCTTCGTCGATGAGCACGTTGAGAGCACCCTTTGCTTGTTCTTGCCTATCGATATCGCCACCGCAACCGTGTACTTTCTTCTTCGTCATCTCCTTCTCTACTACTTCGTTTCCTCTCTCGCTACTATCGTCTTCTTTCTTGACATCCACTGCCATTTTAACCTTCTCTACTACCCATTCTGTTTCTTTTTCTTCGGCGTGAGTCAATATTATTTTTACTCCGCTTTCGTCTTCTTTTACCTCAACTTCGAGTTTCACGCTCTGCGATGATGCCCCGTTGCGCAAACAGCCTCTTTTATCGCTTTCACCGTTAAAAGTGCTCTTGCCAACCATCTTCTTAATCTTCTCGTCGATGGTTTTCTTCGCTTTAGTCTCGACTTGAATACTACTACCAGCATTGCTCTGCCGCGACGCGTTGTTGTATCGAGGTCTGGTCGTGGGCATAAACGACGCGTCCTTGGTTCTCTTTGCGAGCGTGTTAAAAATCCACTCTTTGTTATTCGAACTCGTTTCGACGCCAAACAAGACGTAAAAACACGCGCGAAGGGCACCAAATGGCGATTGCGCGGCGATATTTAAAAACTGCTCGCCCGTGATGTCGCCCTTTTTGAACGCCATGCAAGCGATGATTAATTCGCCTTGACCCCCCTTACTTGACTTGCTTGCGCTGAGGTTCTTTCTATTCTCAGTCGTTTGCGTCGACGCCTCCGATGGATTGGATGTCGTCATCGTTGTCGTCGTCGTCGTCGCCGCCGCCACCGCCGCCATTTCTACCGCTGATGGTGGTACTATATGAGTAACAGTAGGTGCTGTAATTTTTACCGCTTTCTTTGCCCCGTCTACGACTACTTTCCCGTCTCTGGTTGTGTACGATCCGTCCACGACGTATTTCGGATTCCGTTCGCAAAACTCTCGAAACAAATTCTTCAACTGTTTCTCTTGTTCTAAAGCTTCCGTTTGCGTCTTCATGTACTGTTCAATCTCTTCGCTCGTAAACTCTTCCTCTGCGTCGCAACTCGCGAATTGACTTAAACCACCGTACTCTCCCAACGGACACACCCATCGATCTCTCGTTCCTAACCCGACTGCCTCGTTCGCTTTCACCCGTCGCCGCTTGCCGCACGACGCAATCTCGCACTTTACAAACGTCCACTCCGTCGTGAATTTATTCGGTAGTCTCGGAGGCACGTACAACTCGCCTTCCACCGCTTGCTCCAAGAGGTACTTCAACGTCCCTCTCTTTTCCTTTTGTACTTTCACCGTACTCACCTTTTCTTTCTTCACTCGCGGTTCTTTGACGACCTTTTCCTTCCTCTCTGTGATTTTCCTCACGTGTCCGCTCGGTAACCTCTCGTGCGTCCCGGCTTGAATCTTCAACTCGTTCGCCTCGTCGCGTTTTCGTTTGTTATATTCGTACGCTCGTTTTTTCTTCTCCTCTTCTTTCATCGCTTTCGAATTCATCTGTTTCCGCGCCTCCTTCTCCGCCGCTTCGTCGGCGTCCGCCATCAGCCGGTCGATGTCGTCGTCTGAAAGTTCCTGCGGTTTCTCGCACGAATCGTATCGCGCGTCCACCACGTCTTTACACGTCCAAATTTCTCTTTTGTTGTTACTCGCATTCGTCGTTTCGGTGGTCGTATTTGTAGTCGTCCTCGTTCGCGCGTCCTCGTTTCCTTCGTCTTCGCACGTCCTCGCAATCATCCCTTTCCCGGCATCTTTCACCAGTTGCGTTTCCACCGCCGCTCTCCCTTGCTCTAAAACCTTCCCAACAATCCTCGGTATCCGTCTCCATTTTAAACACCTCTCGTTTTCGCATTGCATCCAGCACTCGAAGACGGCGTCGACGCCGGTTCGAGGCGAGAACGGTTGCGTCGCCCACGCGTACGCGATTTCTTCGTCCAGAGTATACGGCGGGAGATGGAAGTGCAAATGATTCGATGGTTTCTTCTGCGGGATGGTTGTCGGGGGGATCGATGAAACGTTCGTCGTCCTCTTTACTTCTTCTTCTTCATTTTGCTTCTTCCTCTCTTCTTCTTCGTCCTTTGTCTTCTCCGCGAGAACGACGACGACACCTTCTTCTTCGCGATGATGATGATGATTTCGAACTTCCTCTCCCTCTCCGTCGGAGGATGATTTCTGTTCCTCTTCACGCATCACGTATAACAAACAATAAGAAAAAGAGAGTGCAAACAAAAACACTAATCCTCTTCAGAAACGACAACAACAACAAACGCCTCCTCGAAATGCAAAGAGAGAGAGAGCGCAGAGAGTGCAAACGGAAGAGCGTCTCTGCGCAAAGTGCAGAAGAAGAACAAAGCGATGATTGTTTTATATTTGTAAAAACGACAAGAATGAAGACATTTTTTTGAAAGAAGCAACTTCTCTTCTGTCAAAGTCTGTCTGTTGTGTGTTTCCGAGAAGACTTTTCGACTTTTCTTTTGTGTGCGCTTTCTCGAGTGAAAAAACGTGTGCTCTTTCTCAAGTGAAAAAACTGCTCTTTTTCGACTGCTCTCTCTGTTTCAGCCGCTCGCCTCAAAAAAGCAAAATCTGTCTGTGTGTGTACGAGAAGACTTTTCGACTCTGCTCTTTCGCGTGTGCTCTTTCTCGTGAAAAAACGTGTGCTCTTTTTCGAAATGAAGAAATTTTTTGAAAGAAGCAAAACTCCTTCTGTTAAAGTCTGTCTGTCTGTGTGTGTACGAGAAGACTTTTCGACTTTTCTCTTGTGTGCTCTTTCTTTCTCAGGTGAAAAAACTCTTCTGCTCTTTTTTTTCGACTTTTGCTCTCGTCTGTGATAATAAAAAGCTGCTCTCGCCTCTCAAAAAAAAGCAATTCGTCTTAATCTTCTTTCGAGAAGACTTTGTGTTCCGAAGCAGTTTTCGCGCGTTTCCCGCTGCTGCTGCGGTTGCGAACACTCTCTTCTGCTCTTTTTCGACTCGTGCAACTAATAACTCTCGTGAAAAGTCTTTTTTCATCAACGCGGAGAAGAGTTTTTTTTCCCAATATTTTCTCATTTTCAAGCCAGAAGTGGGTATTGTGTATGTATAAAACGTGCGCGCTCTTTTGCGGAGAGTTTCGCGCGTAAGAGAGAGAGAGAGAGAGAAAAAAAAGATGATGATGATGACGATGACGACGAGTTGTTCGACAACGACGACGATGATGATGAGAACGACGAACGTTTTGTCGACGACGAAGAGTAATTGTCGACGTCGGTTTGCGTTGATGTCTTCGTTTTTGTCCTCCTCCTCCCCGTCGGGGAAGCATTTTCATCATCAGCGGCGGAACAACGCGAAGACGAACGAACAGGAGGAGGAGGAGGTTGAAGAATCCCGCGTAGTAATCGAGAAAGAAGACGGGCCCGTGGTTTTGAAGGCAAAGAAGACGACGAAGACGAAGCACGGAGTGCGAGTATTTATTCTCCAACGGAACGAGTGCGACGCCCCAAGTTTGCTCGAAAAATACGAACGCTTACTCTCGAAACGCGAGTTGGATTCGATTCAAATCGAAAGTTTACACCCGGAAACGAAAAAGGAGAGATTACAAACCCGAGCGATGGTTCGGACGGTTTTATCGTCCATTTTGAACGAAGGAAGAGAAGGGAGGAAACCATCGCAGCGCAAAGTCGTCGATCCGTCTTCGTTGGAGTTTACGTTCAACGAGAAAGGGAAACCGTTTTTGAAACAGTCGACGACGACGACGACGACGACGAGTTCTTTTGCGAATTCGAACGAGGAAGAGGAGTCGACGAACTCGTTTTCGTCGTCGTCGATGTCGTCTGAAAATTTGAATATTCAGTTTAGCGTGTCGCACTCGAAAAATGTCGTCGCGATGGCGGTGACGACGGACGGGAGACGCGTGGGGATCGATTGCGAAGTGGAGAAGAGAAGGACGAAAGACGCGTGCTTGAAATTAGCAAAGAGGTATTTTAGGAAAGGTGAGGCGGTCGAGAGGATTGAAACCGCGTTAGCGAAAGAGGAGGAGTTGGGGAGGAGGATGTTTGTCAGGTATTGGTGTTTGTGCGAAAGTTACGTGAAGGCGTTAGGGGTTGGGATTTCCGGCAGGCCGTTCCGGAACTTTGACATCGCGGTGACAGAAAAAAGGAACGACGACGAGCGCGAAGACATCTCACTCTTTGAATCGGATCCAGAAACGTTCGGTCGATGGCGGTTCCAGCTCTTTCGCGAGACACCGACGATAAAAGTCAAAGAGGACGAAAGAAGTATCGTCGCCGTATGCGTCGAAGACGATGACGAAGACGAAGACGACGATACCAATACTAATAGAAATACCACTTCTCCGTCATCGAAACGAAAAAGGAGACCGCCGATTGTCTCCTCCATCACGCGCGTTCGACCTTTACTCGATGATATACACGATTCGAATGACAACAACGAAAAGAGTTCTAGCGCGATAGCCGACATCGAAGACGACGACATCGAGATTTTAGCCGCTTCTTCTTGACTTTTGTAACGCATTTTTTATGTATTAAACAACATGTCAAACATTCTCCCTGTTCGCTGTCAACGCATCTCTTGCGACTGTCTCCTCTCCGAGACGAATACAAAATGCGTGCACCACACTCAACCGCCTCAGTTTCGAGACGGCGAAAAGCTTTGGCCGTGTTGTAATAAACGGAGCAAAGATTTCAACGCGTTTTTGAGCATAAAAGGCTGCCGGGAACTGGATTCGCATTCGAGCGAAAAACAAGTATTAGTACCACCAAAACAGACGATAACGACGAGCACGAAAGAAGAGAAAGACGATGCACTTGGCGTTGAAAAGTGTCCTCGGTGTTCGAACGGCTTCGCGTGCGAAATGCACCCGGAAGAGAGCAAAAAGAACGAAGAGAAAATGAGACGAACGAAAGAGCTGAAAGAGCAGAAGAAAAGAGAGGAGGAACTCGAGCGAGCGAAGATGGATCCGAACGCGCTACAAACGTGCAAACGAACAGGATGTGGAATGAAATTTAGAGAGAGCGAAAATAAGAACGAGTGTTGTCGATATCACAAAGGGAAGCCGATTTTCCACGAGAGGAGTAAAGGGTGGTCGTGTTGCGCGAGCGGGAAGAAGGCGGTGTACGACTTTGACGAGTTTTTGAAGATTCCGCCGTGCGCGGTTGGGAGACATTCCGCGGTCGTGGAGGAGGAGGGTGAAGACGATTAGGAAGAGGAGGTTCGTGTTTCTTCTATCTAGGTTATAGTTTTTCTAGTCATTAAATGCGCATTTAGATAGTTGTTATTACTCTTGGAACGCGCCTAACGTGGCCACGTCGTCTAAGAAGTTCAAGTATTGGTCGTCTTTATCCTTCTTTTCCTTCGAGACTTTTACGACCATTGGCGCCGGGTTGACTTTTTTCTTCTTATTCTGGTCGCCGCCTCTTTGCACGCGCAAGTGCGCCGGGACGAGTTTTTGCAACGCTGGGTTTTGCGACGGCGCGGCGATGGTGGTCGCTTCGCCGCGTATGGTGGCTTGCTCTTGAGACTTCTTTTTTACAGCCATCGGCGCGGCCGGGGAGAAGAAGTGTTGCGGCGGATTGTTACCGCGAGCATTGTTCATCGAGTGTATCGGCGGCGGGCGTTGGTAGATGTTGGCGGCACGCATGGGTTGGTGGGAAGGAGGGGGTGGTCGAGATAGTGACGCCATGTGCGACTGCGCCTTCATTTCCAGCGTGTTGCCGAACATTGGCGGTTTGTTGATGGTCCTGGCAATGTCGATACCAACCGGCGGAGGCGGAGGTGGAGGCGCCGTCGTTTCTACTTTTTCTACTTCTTTTTCTTCGTCTTCCTCCTCCTCGTCGTCGTCTTCATCGGTATCGTCTGGAGGTGGTGGCGGAACAACGATACCGTCTATAACTATCTCTTCTATGTTCTCCTCCTCCTCCTCCTCGTCCGACGGCGGCGGCGACCCGCTCGGCGCAGGCGGCATCCATCCCGGCGGCGGTCCTACCGGCGGCGGAACGACAACGTCAGTGTATTTTTCCTCATCCTCATCTTCGCTCGCATCTTCTCCTTCTAACAACGGCGGCGGCGGACCTTTCGGCGGGCCCGGTACTTTTTTTTCTTTCTTCGCCTTTGCGCCGCTGTCAACGTTGAACATTTTGGTGAAAATATTCCCGCCGCCTTCCTCCTCGTCGTCGCTACTCTCGCCGCTACTCTCGCCGCTACTACTATCCGTACCTCCTTCCCCGTCTCTTTTCCTCTTCCTCTTTTCCGGTGCCGGCAACGCCATCCCCGCGTCCACCTTCCCGCCTCTCTTCCTTTGCACGTACTTCTGCGGCTTCCCAGGCGGCGGTTTCCCGAGCGGATTGAGCGTCGGATGATAATACACGCTATCTTTCGCATCTCTCGCAGATTCGCCGACGTAATCATCGTACGCGATTTTGTTGCCATTATTACTACTCCTTTTAACCCCACCATTATTTAATGCTGCTGTTGGTCCGATGTCGTTCTTCGGCGTCGTCTTCTTTTCCTCCAACAACCGCTTCTCTAAACTTTTCAATCTCTGCACATCTTTCTCATCCACGTTCGATTTTGGTTTCCTTTTGAGTTTTTCGTACTCCTGTTCCACTTCTTCGCGAGATAATTTCGTAAACTTTTCTTTGTTTTTCAGTTGTCGTTGTTTCTTTTGTTTCAGGAGCAGTTGTTTCTGCTTTTGTTTCCGGAGTTTCTCCACTGGATTTAAGGCCATTTTGTCTGAGAATTTCCCCTAATTAGTACTACTACTAATAAAGAGTAGTTTATACCACAAAAAGCAGCACTCTCTCTCTCGTGCACCACCTCCTAACTAAGTGGTTTGTTAAAGTATATATACTGCGACTAAAGTCTTCTTCAAACGCAAAAGGAACGCTCTCCTCCGTGCTCTCTTACTCTCTCTCTCTCTGTGTTTTGAGCTTCACTTTTGTCTCGTTTTTAAAGGGAGAAAGAAACACACTATTTAGGGTTTTACCGTACCACTTTAAAACCCTAAATATGTCATACACGCTTCGCGAGCAAAAATGGACGAAGAGGCGGCAAAGCGAAGCACACAGTTTACGACCGACACTCGGAGAAAGAACACGCAAACAGATGATGCAAGAAGAACGTCTTTTTAAGAGAACGACGACGTGTATGTAAACATCATTTTATACCCTTCTTTAAATAAGAGAGAGAAGCGTTTTTGTTCGTCTTTTAACATCTCGTCATGGGGAAGAAAAAAAAGAACGGAGAAAACAAGATGTCTTTGCAGGAGTTCTTCAAACAAACGCCGATGCCCGTACGGGCGAGCGGGATACTGCACGGCAGAGACGGCGGTGGTCAGGAGTTTGACAGTAGCTTCGATGGCGGTTTTACCGCGAATGCTACGACTCCTGGTTCGGGAAAGAAAAAGACGAACACGGTAAGCCCCTTCCGGGGAAACGATTCGGCGTCGTTTAGTTCGTCTGTTTCGCATCTCATCAACGGCACGATTGACTTCAGAGTCGGGTTTAAAGTCCTCCAATTGAATGAAAAGAGCACATCGAACGTCGGGGAAATGTTTGTCCATTTAGAGGACACCGAGCTGGACAAACTCTACGCGAATAAAATCATCAAACGAGTGGACGTTTTGTTCGGGAACGAGGCGTTAGGAAGCATGGAGATGTCGTCCGCGCCGTTCGTAGCTACATTTCAAACCGAGCTGAAAGGCGTGGACGTGCTGATTAAGATCACGTTTCGGTCGAGTTTACATCGACCGCCGGTGAAGTTTACGAAATCGTTTGAGTTTTTCGAGTGCGCGGAAGGCGACGCGAGAGAGACGATTGAACGCGTGGATTTTAAACCGGAGTTGATAAAGAAGATTATAGTGGTGAAGGGAGAGGAGAGCGGCGAGGATGAAGACGGAGAGGACGAAGGGAGACGGACATCCCGAGTGGCGAAGATGTTGAGTAGTAATAGTAGCGGGAGTAAAAAGAAAGACGCGGCGGTTGCCAAACGAAGATTTACGTACCCGAATAACAACGCGACGGCGACGAGTAATATGTTCCGGAATTTAGATTTGGAGAGCAATAACGACGACGACGACGACGACGATGACGACGAAAAGAGCGACCGAGAAGAAGAAGAGAAAAAAAGTAGCAGTGGTAGCAGAAAAAACAACAAGCAAACGCCGGCGGATCCAAACGTGTGGACGGTTAAGGACGTCGGGAACTGGTTGGAATCTAACATGCTTGGTTTTTTGGTTTCTAGGTTCGCCAACTCCGCCGTGGATGGGTACGTGTTGCTGAGGTTGACCGATCAAGACGTTCTGAAAGATTTACGGGTAACCTCTCACGTGGAACGATTGAGATTGTTTCGAAACATCGACGCTTTGAAAGCTTCTCGCGTTCCGTTCGAAGAGAAGACTCGATCGCTCGAGAAGGAAACGAGAGATAAGTTGAACCGAACTACGGCGAGTACTAATTCGTTCAACACTCCGGTAGATTTGTTGGAAGCGGACGTTTCTTGGTTACAGTTTGTGTTACCCATGAGGAGATTAGCCGTCTTGAGCGGATGGCTTTCTCACGTCGTCGATGAAGTCATAGAGCGATTCAACGTGGACGTCGGGTCAAAACGTGAAACAATCGCCGCACAGATTAGCGTGTATTGCGTCTCGGCGATAAAGGCAGAGTTGGATATACAGGAAAGCAATGCCGACAGGAGTAAACAATCGACGCCGACGACGGCGAGAAAAAGTAGAATTAGAGAAAGCTTAGAAACGGTCAAGGGGTGGTCGAAGGAATTGGAATTGTTCGACGACCCGAAGACGTTGGACGAGCGACAGCTGCAAAAAAACTTGATCGCTTTGCATTTACTTCTAAAAGAAGAAGAAGAAGAAGAGGAGGATGTCGAAAACCACGCGAATAATTGGATGAGGAGCAGTGGTGGCGCTTCAACTCCGCCGCCACTGTTGAACGCCAAGGCGCAATCGTTCATTGGAAGCGGAACGTCGATGGCGTCTTTAGGGGAGTTGGAGCCGTCCTCGCGAAGCGCGTCGCCGTCAAATGCGCATCATTTACGGCACGTGTCTTCGGTCATGGAACTCGCCGAAGAGTGCGAGATTCGATACGATGACATTGAATTCTCAACTGGCGAGGCGTCCTCTTCGAACCGAATCGGTCGAGGCGGCTTTGGGGAAGTATTTTTAGGTCGATACAACGGCAGTCTCGTCGCTGTAAAAAAATTGTTCGAATCTCCTGTTGGGAAAGGATTGGACGAATTCAAGAGAGAGGTTTCGGTCTTATCAACCTTGCGACATCCGTCTATCGTCTTATGGCTCGGCGCGTGTACCGTTTCGCCAAACACCGCCATCATATTAGAGTACATGGATAGAGGCTCTTTACACGACGTTTTGCATCGCACGGAAGCCGTGTTGACCTTATCTACGCGCATTCGATGGTCCATCAGTATCGCCAAAGCGATGGCGTATTTACACACCCACAAACCGCACGCGATTATCCACTGCGACTTGAACTGCAACAACGTTCTCATCAACCGAGACGGCGCCGTGAAAGTTACCGATTTCGGTTTATCCAAAGTCAAGCAACACAGCAAAGCGACGAGGCAAACCGGCGTGACTGGAACGGTATCTTACGCCGCACCGGAAGTTATCATCGGAAATCAATTCACGGAATCGAGCGACGTCTTTTCATACGGTGTCACCATTTGGGAGATTGTCGCCAGGAAGATACCGTGGGACGGCTTGACGGAGTATCAAATAGTCTACCGAATGAGTTCGGCGTTGGATAACTCGGACACCGAATACGCCGCGTGCGAACAACATTTGAAAATGAACGCAAGGAGCGACGAAGAACAAGATCAAGAAAGCAGCACAACAACAACACCAGCATCATCGATAGCATCGACGCCGTTCCGTCCCCCGTTACAATCCATCTTGCGCGATTGTTGGTTCAAGCTTCCCGAACGCCGACCAAAAATGGGCGATATTCTCGTTCGGATGATTGAAGTACACAAAGAGGCGTGTAAAGAAGAGCGGACGAAACGACGGGAGAAAGCGAAGGAGGAGGAGGAGGTGGGAGGCGCGACGACGAAAACAATTTAATAAACCCTGTAAATCTGTATCATTATATATATACCTATTCGTCTTTGACGCTTGGCACACACAGACAGTAGTTTTCACTCCAAATCCTCACAAACTTGGATGCAGTAATAAAGAGTTACTGAAAAGAGATACATACGCGCAAAAACGCACGAACAAAACGTTCATACGCCAAAATCATCCGTCGTCATGAGGGAAACCCGATCGCACCGATCGCAACAGCCTTCTTCTTTGGAGAATACTCGTAATAAAAAGACGACTCAGACGAATTTCCCCCAACGGCGAGGAAACGAACACAACAAAGACGACGACGATAAAGATTCCTCCAACTACGCGCGAAACGTGCGCGCATCCCGCGAGAACGGCCTGACGACGAACACTGCTGCTTTTGGTGGTGGTGATGCGCCTTTCGGCAGCTTTCCCAGGAAGCGGGGCGAGAGAGAAGAAGGGAATGCTCCCCCGGGGAGGTTTGGGGGTGGTTCTGGCCAACAGCAACACCAACAACAAAAACGAGCGAAAAAATCCGTCTTTCACGCGAAAGAGCAACAAAAGTCCGCAACCTTCCGCAACCCGGACCGAACGGACGGGACGTATTCGGACCAAGAGTTATACGAGCAAGCGATAGATCACTTGGATTACAGACGGTTGAAACGGTATAAATTGTGGTGGATTGAAGATCCGGAGTATCACCGGAAGTTGTACGAAGAGATGGCGAACATGGGGAGTCCGGTGCGATGGTCGGAGACGGACGAGGACGAGAGGATCGAGAATATCTTGAATCCTGAGGAGAAGAAAGGGAGGAAGAAAGTGCAAGGGCCTTCCTTGCCGAAAGCGAGCGACGACGAGGACGAGATGGACGAGAAGAAAAAGAGGAGAAAGAAGACGACGAAGAAAAAGCATTCGAGCAAGGAGAAGAAGAAGAGGAAGAAGGAGAAGAAGAAGAGTCGAAAATCTTCCTCGCGGCGCAAGCGCCGAGGAGGCGGCAGCAGTAGCGAGAGTAGCAGCGAGAGTAGCAGTAGCGAAGACGACGACGACGATATCGACGAGGGCGAGTTGGTACCAGATTTTGACGGCGGCGAGGGCGGGAAAGGTAAGGACGACGAGAAGGAGCAACCCGAGCGTTTCTTGCAATTTTTAGAGAAGGAAGAGAGAGAGAAGAGAGAAAAACTCGTCGCCGCCGCAGCGTTAGAAGAACGGAAGAAGAAAGAAGAGCGTTTGCAAAGCAGCGCGGGAGGAGAAGGAAAAGAAGGAGCAACACATGTTGCGGTCGATTTCGGCCCGGCGGCGCCGCCTCCCGAGGACGAGAATAACCTCGACATCGCCGCCGGAATACGAAAACCGGGATACGGAGGTCAACTCTTACCGGGCGAAGGCTCCGCCATGGCGCAGTTCGTGCAATCCGGGGAAAGAATCCCGCGGAGAGGCGAAGTCGGGTATTCGAGCGAGCAAATCGAAAACTTCGAAAAGATGGGATACGTGATGAGCGGCAGTCGACACGCGCGCATGAACGCGGTGCGATTGAGAAAAGAAAATCAAGTGTATTCGGCGGAAGAGCAAGCGGCGTTAGCGATGATTAACTACGAGGAGAAAGCCGCGAAGGAGAAGCAAGTGATGGAAGAGTTGAAGAGGTTAGTCGATCAAGCGAAGAGGGATTGAGAGTGAAGAGCTGTTGTTTTTGTTTTGTTTGTAAATGCGCTATTTCTCTCTTTCTAAAGTTTTACATTGCTTTTACATGTATATTGCACGCGCGCTCTATTCTTCTACATATTACTACTCTACTATTAATAATCGGTTTCATTCCAGAAGTTTAAATACTCTTTCGGACGAACGTCTTTAACTAACACCGGCACCACGTCGCCGTTCAACGCTTTATACTCCGACTTCATGTCGTCTCCGTACAATTCCTTCAACGCGCCTTCGATAATGTCGCTGTGAACGAACGCGACGATGACTTTCGCGTCGCGTTCTTCCTCGAACACGTTCGCGAACCACACGCGCATTCGATCGCGGACGGACTGCATGCTCAACTCGTTGGATTCGTACCTCAATTCACCGTCGCTATTTACGAGTAAACCGAGTTCGTCCGCGCACGTAAACACCGAATCGCTCGTCGCTTCGCCCAAACGACATTTCGTTTCTTGCGCGGCGTTTTCTCTGGCGGCAATCTCGTAGTCGTCGTTTTCGTGTATCGACGTGATATCTCCCAGTGTCTTTGTGAATTCGCACCCTTCTAAATACTTCTCCTCTCTCTTCGCCAACGCTCGCGAGAGGCCGCCGTATTGAATCGGATCTCCCGTCAAGTCGTCTTCAAAGCTATACGGTCGACGAATCTCAAAAGGCACGGTCAAATCGATCTTATTCCGAATCAAATCGGACACTCGTATGGATTTTCCACTCGCGCTTTGGTATTTTTTCACCCCAGACGTGTGCAACACCGCGAGTCGAGAGGTTTCAATCGCCCGCGCTTGAGGCGAGGTGAAAAAAGCCACTCTTTTCGCCTCTTCCTCTCCGCTCTCTTTGAAAACCTTCTCCATGTACGTCATCAACGCTTTACCGCTCTCCGTGGCTTCGTGCAAACCCACTTGCGTTAAACTCGGATCGAGCAACGACTTCCCGGTCACTTCGTCCGTGCACGGCACTTGTTCGTTCGGCATCGGCGCTTCGCCTTTTCGTCGCTCGCCCCAAACGTTATGCGCCGCCTCGCCGTGTCGAACGAACAAGAATAACTTTCGTCCGTTTTCTCTACTGGTAGTTTCGTTATTATTGAAGACTTCTGCGTTTATCTTCGCGCGTATCGACCCCCACTGGCAACTGGCCCCGAACAACGCGCCGTCGTCCATCTCGTAGTTTCTTTTCCTCGCGTCTTCTTCGTTCTCCTTTTCGGCATCGGAGGAGAGGATCCTCGATTCGTATTTGAACAAGTCCCGAACGGCGACGAACGCAGACTTTTCTTCCTCGATGTTCGTCGTCGCGCCTTCGACGCTTTCGCCTCCTTTTCCTCCCCCTAAAAAAGGCCGCGTGGCCTTGAATCTCATCCTCTCATCAAACCCACCTTTTCCAACGCTCTCTCTCCCTAAAACGACCACAAAGGATGTTAAGACTGCTGCTGCTATGACTACTCCTCTCGATGGTGGTGTTCTTTTGTCTTTTTTCGTTTTCATCGACGCTTCTTGGCCGTCGAGAAACGCATCAGAATCTGATTCGTTTTCTTTCCCCGGGGACGGTTTCAACAACAAAACTTCCTCATCTCTCGCCCGTTCTGCCGTCGTGGGAGTCTTTAAAGGCGACGAGACGAAGGGTAAGAGCGTGCGAATAAAAGACGGCCCTACCCACGACGCGTTTGGTCGAGAAGTCGTCATCACTTCGCGGTCGTAGTGCAGACACACCGCTGAGAAGTGAGGAAATTTGTGGGGAAAATCCTTCAGATGTGACACCTACGAAGTCCTCTCGACGATGAATACCGAGGTCTCGTTTAAACTCTGTCTCGCCTCGTCGACCATTTTACTCGGCTTTACGCTTCGCAAACTACACGTGGTGACTCGAGAAAACGGCGAATCGTTACTCGCCGTGATATTCGGCGCTCTGTTGCCCAGTTTATTACTCCAGGTAAGGTTTGATGCATTTTTCCCTTACTTTTGTTCTCTGAATGTGTTACGCGTGATGAGAGGCTCGCGCGAAACGAAGAACGACTTTACGTCAGAGTCTCGCGTAAAACAGCATCCATCGCTCGTTTTGTGGGAGCTTTTTGTGGATTTTCTTTCCTCATTCAAGCGAGGAGAGAGGTGTTGACTAAAAACTCATCAATGTCTTTCTTTGTACTCTTAATGCACTTAATTCAACAGACGTTCGCTTCAATACACGCGAGCGCGGAGTACTTGGTGTTTTTCGCGTACAGCGTCTCACAGTGTCTGGTCGGCACGACTGTAGGTTTTCTGTTGTTTCGAAATCGCGAGCGAAATAAAGGGGAACATTTAGCCGGTGCGACGGTTGGGGTAAATCTGGGAACGTTTGCGTACCCGCTCGTATTCGCGGTGTTTGGCGAGGTCGGGTTGAGGAGAGCGGTGGTGTTTGATTTCTTTAATCAAGTGTCGATTTTAATCGCCAGCTACGTGTTGTTCGCGCTGAGTACAAGACGTGATGGTGATGGAGGTGAGAAAACGTCGAAGGAGGTTATTTTGAAAGCCATCAAGACGCAAATGTTCACGCCGTGTTTACTCGCGTTGTATCTTTCGATCGCGTTGAAAGCCATTCCGAACGCGTCGATTCCGTACGCGCTGGATCAGTTTTTAGGGTCCTTGGCGGTCGCGGCAAAGCCGTTGGCGTTGTTGTCGCTTGGGATATTGTTCGAGCCTAAAATGAGTAAGAGAGAAGTTTCAGACGTGGTGACTTTGTTGTTGATTCGGTACGGAAGCGGATTACTCATAGCCGCCACGGCAATCGCGTTGAACATGTACCAATTCATAGGGGCTAGTGGATTGGCGGTGTTGACGTTAGCGCTAACCGCCCCGGTGCCCTTGATTTCTATACGATACGCCAAACAGTTTGGGTTAAACTCAGGACCGGCGGCCACGGCAGTGAATGCGAGTAACGTCGTGTCTTTTGTCGCTATTCTGATGCTCGCCGGAGCGGATTTCGAAACGCAACGGAGAAGTTTGATGTCGTTGTTCGCTTTGATTGGTTTTTTTTTATTCAGCGTTGGTTGTTTCATGAATAAAAAGGCGATGATGGTTTCAGAAGAAGGAAACGACGATTCGTTTGAAATCAGAGATATCGGCAACGGGAAGAAGCGGTTCGTTTCCACCAACGCTTTTTTGACGAGGAGGAGAGCGAATACCATCGCCATCACAAAATTCGACGATACCAATCATCATATATACAAGAGAAGGAAAAACGTCGTCCAACTCGTACCGTCGTCGTTATCACCTGTAGCAACACCACCACCCAGAGTTTGTTGTCGCACTTTTGTAGTCAGTCGTAGGATTAGGAATAGGAATAGTGACAGATTTTTTTGTGTCGCGGCACATCGAAGCGCCGCGTTGGTCTTCTAAAAATGTATGTAATAGTTAAATACAACCAATGCGTTGATAACGGTGCTATAATAAAGTATATATGTGCATGTGTATACCTGATAAGCAGGTAATGTAGCGTAATCTCTCTCTGTCTTCTCATACTCTCTCTTTTTCTTTCTTTCTTAATTGTAAATCATGTCTTGATGCATATCCGTTAAATAGCAGTTCAAAACCTTCAATCCGTAGTTCTTCTCGTCTCGACTGGTTTCTCTTTTTTGAAAAGGATCGGACCCGTCCGGCATGGCAAACCCTTCGTCGCGCATCTTTGCGTTCGCGTAATCGTCTTGACACAAGTGGCCGTACGTAAACGCGTCAATCATATCTGCGCCGAATCGCGCCATAAATTTATACACTTTCTCTTGGAACTTCGGGCCAATCAAGTACCTCGTGAATCCGGCTCCGGAGCGATCTTTCGGCCAATAGTAAAAGTTCCCGGTCAATTGTTGGCCTTTTTTCGGCCCGTCTTCGGCTAAAATTGGGTACGTGTTGCCTTGTTTATCGCAAAAACCTCCCTCGTCCGGTTGCGCGCACGCGGCTTCGTAAAAATTGGTCAACAAAACGAAATCCGCATCCTCGGGGACGTTGGCGACGATCGCGTCTAAATGTTTCATCTGCCAGTTCAAACCGTCCGCTTCCATGATCAACGAAAACTTCTTCCCCGAGTTGGACTCTAACACCGTGCGCCAGGCGTGCATGTGGCCGAATAAACACCCGATGTGATGCGCGCCGCCGTATTGTTCTTCAGTCATCCCTCCCGTGCTGTTTCGTTCGTCGACGATACCCAACCACGGCAAATTTTTCAAGTTGTCTCCGTTTCTCAACGCGTCCGGGTGTTTCCATCCTCTCTGGAAGAACTCTTTATTCAACTTCCTTATCGGTTCGACCGCCCATTCCGCGTCGCCGATGTTTTCCGGCCACTCCGTCGGCGTCACGCCGACGTCGCTCGTCGCGTCCGGCAACGTCTTTCGAATCTTATCAAAGTTCTCGTGATCTTCCGCGTCGTTCCTTTGAACGATGACGACGATATCCGCCGAGTGAATCCGCACCGGAGAATCTTCCCACGCGACCTCCTCTTCCTCGCCTAACAACGCATCTCTCTTTACATCCTCCAAACTTACGCTGCTTTCCTCGCTCGGCAAAGAAGCGTACTTCTTCTGGTACTCGTCGTACACGCGCCACTTGGCGAGTGCCATCGCTTTGCGAACGAACGGCGAAAGCTCAATCTCCTCATCATCATCGTTCATTTCACCACCACCCAACGCTTCGATGTTGTTGATAGTATTCTGTGCATCATAATCTGTTTTCGTGGACCAAGTCATGTTATCGCAAAATCCTGGGTGCAACCGGTTCCACTCTTCGTTCGATGTTTTCGTTTGCGAGAGGTCTGCCTTCAGTGATGCCGCGGATGTACTGGACAGAGTGGCGAATGCGACGACGATAAAGAAGAGGAGTGAAGACGCGACGCCATTGCTGGTAAATTTTCTTGCAAAACTCGTCCTCGCATTCGTTCGGTCTTCTGAGGACAACAGCGGCGTGGACGACGTCAGCATCGATGAGTATTCTGCGTATAAAAAGCCGCGCGCGCGGGAATGGATGAATGGAAATTCGATAGACTACTCAACGCAAAACGCTCTCTCTCTCTCTCTCTCTCTCCTGATGTTGAGAACTTCAGAGATATGAACGACAGAAACGAGAGGAACAAAGCTTTCAAAGGTTCTCTCTTTCTCTCTCTCTGTGTGTGTATATCTCTGCCTCTCTGATGAAGCGTCGATGTATGAAGCGCAGCGAGCGGATGATTTTTAGAGTTAGTTTGGGTTGTTTTCACGTTTTCTTCGCGTTTTATAAATACGCGAGAAAACGACAGAAGAAATCTCATCTCTGGCAGCGTCCGAAAGCAGCGATGGAGAAACAACGCCACGAAGGCGGTAGCGAAGCGGGACGTGATAGTTGTTTGCAAGTGAGAAACAGCACCAACGAGAACCAGAGCGCGGGGCAAAGACCACACGCGGCGTCTCCTCAGCAACCGACGGAGACGACGAGTTCAAAAAAGGCGACGAGGACGTTTCCTTCGTTGTCGAACAAAGTCTCGTCGTCTGTTGCGTCTGCTGGTCACGAGCAAAGGTCACTCGACGATCGAATGAGCGACATTGGTGGTACTCTGCAAACGTTGTTTACCCCTGATGAACGCGAGGAAAACGACAGAAGAGAAGAGAACGACGACTTTCGCACACCAACGACGACGACGACGACGAAAACAACAGAAGAGCGAGGGGGGCGAGGGGTAGGAGACAAAGAAAATTTTGAAATTTTGAAATCCTTAACGACGGAAGGACCTCCAACTGTAGGGTTTAAGAGGAAAAAAACAAATCTCTCATCTTCCCGCAAAACACCACAACTCACAAAACCATCGTCGCCTCTCTCTCTCGGTGGTAGTGGCGGTGGTGGTTTTACCTCTGCTCTCGCTGCCGCGAGGGGCGACGGTGGTGGCGTCGTCGACGGGTTTGGCGACGAGGGAGTGAATCATGGTCCTTTGCAGCGATTCATCGTATCGCAATATGATACAAAACAGAAGTGGTTTCGTTGCTTGCAAATCGATCGAGTTGGGGAACAGTCGAAACAGTGCAACCTCCGCGCTACAATGCACGCTCGCGGGTCAGACCAAACGAAAGATGTGGACAGTTGCGCGACGCACGCCGGGCTGAAAATTGAATGTGTTTCTTGTCTTTGCACGTTCTTCGACGAAAGCACGGGCAAGCAGTGCCCGATACGAGCGAATTTTGGCTTGCCTTCGACGAAGGAAAAGGTGTACTGTTCTACACACGCCAAAGTAGAGAACGGTAGGTTGCGCGATGACGAGGAGAAGTACGTCGACGTCGGTCATAAAAAGTGCACGTTCTTCGACGAAAGCACGGGCAAGCAGTGCCCGATACAAGCGAATTTTGGCTTGCCTTCGAGGAAGGAAAAGGTGTACTGTTCTGCACACGCCAAAGTAAAGAACGGTACGTTGCGCGATGACGAGGAGAAGTACGTCAACGTCGGTACTAAAATGTGCGAGATTTGCGGGGTGATGCCCGGGTACTACAAAATCGCAGGCAGCGTTTTGGTGAGAGAGGACGGCGTTACTTTCATTGAGTGGAAGTCGGCTTGTTGGTATTGCGCGACGTGGCAGAATCCTGCAGACGTCATGTTTAACAAAGACGCGTACACGGAGAAGGAGGGCGAAAGAAAACCCGAGGCCTCGAAAATGTTCATGCGCAGAGAGCACATCGCCATTCAAAGCCTACTCAAACGCATTGGAGAAGACGGCTTGAATCTCTATTTGGTACACAATAGAGTTATCAAAACGGGCGCATGTTGTCGTGACGATGGCGAGAGGCATCGTCGACGACTTGATGCTTCGATAATCGTCCACACCCGTTCAGAAGAAGGTGTCGACGGCGAGGGGGCTCCGATATTAATTGGTTTAGAGTGCGACGAGAACGGTCACAAGTCGTACGATAAAGAAGATGAAGCAAAACGAGTCAACGAAATTCAAATGGCGTGGGGCGTCAACGCCAGCGTTTATTTGCGCTTCAATCCGGACGGATACATTCCGCTTGGCCAAACTACGAAACGAACTGGATTTTTCGTTCGTAAAAATGAGGACAAGAAGGAAATAGATTACCGTCTCGACGTCGTGTGGGAGAAGTTGAAAGAACTCGTTACTCACATCCAAACGCATGGACCGCAAGACTCGTACGAAAGCGTCTTTCTCTTTTTCGACGGCCATAATGACGATGATTTCCGGAAGAGAGATTAAACGTACACGACGACAAAGAAGAAGACGAAGAAGAAAGCGCCATACAAACGCAAATAGAGGACGATTTTGCTGTTGCGCTTTGCGTCCCCCATGTATTAATATCTTATCCGGTTGGCGATACGAACGCGGCGAATTACACAGTTCATAAACACATACAAACAAACAAAACTTTTAACAAAGAAACACATACAAACAAAACTTTTAACAAAGAAACACATAGACCAGGATGGAATAAGCAAATGTAACATGCGATACAAACGTACTGGGGTAGTATATATCGTAAGAATAAAGAACACGAACGACACACGCGCGCGTAGAAAAGAAGAAGAGCAGAGGACTCGCAGCGAGCGCGACGACGACGGTTTTGGTTTTACTCTTTTTCTTTTTCTTGTTGTTGTTGTTGTTGTTGTCATCATCATCATCATCGTTTTGCCCCCTGTAATTTTTTATAGGCGAGTCGCGTATCGTCATCAGTCTTTCATGACTGCGTCTGGCGCGTCCTTCTCCTTCCCCGCGTCGTCTTTTTCGTCTTCGTCTTCGTCTTCCTCTTCCGATGAATCATCTTCTTCTTCTTCATCTTCGCCTTTGGCGACGGCGACGTCGAACTCAAACTCCAAATCCGCGCCGAGGTACGAATCGCACATGAAGTACAACGCGTATTTACGTTTACCTTCCTCGGAGGGCGAGGCGAAACTTAACTTTACCTTGGAGCTTTTGACCAGATTGACTCTTTTAATCGCGCATAAGCGGTTGTCTTTTTCGTCGCCGACGACGACCCACCAACTTTCTTCGCGCGGTATCGGGTATCGACTGCAATTGACAGGAGGTAGAAGCGATACGGAATCGCCAAACTCCCACTCGCGAGAGACGTTGACTTCGACGTCGATGGTTGAGCTCGTGGAGATTTGCGAGGCGTTGGTGACTTTGTGTTCGCAATCGACGTTCGGGTACCGATTCGCGGCTTTCGCGACGTCCGAGAGTTGTCGCTTGGACAAGTCGCTCAAAATGTCCCCTCGCACGGAATCCTCCGCGTCTAACAACTCGTACACGGATTCCACGTCCTTATCCTTCGCTTTTAACGCTATGGATTTCGTCACGTGCGGTAATTGTAACACGCCGGCGTCTTTATCCCACATGGCTTGCGTTAACATTTGCGACAATTCCATGGCGCACATCGCCGGCGATAACCAGCCGTTGCTGGAAATTACATCCACCATGGCCAAGAGTAAACGCAAAGCGGTCGGTAAGATGGACTCTAAATCTCTCGCAAGGTCACCTGGTAACGCGACGCGACTTAAATGAGCTTGGAGCAACGCGCAAGTCTTGACGTGCGGGTCGTTTGTTTTCCTATTCGTCATCGCGATGGGCGAGTGGTTCAAGACGCGACGTATGATTTCCGCCTCGCCCGGGCGAATCGGCACCGAATCAAACTCGCTCGCGCCTGAAACGATTTCCAAAATACCTTTCAGCTTTGTTTTTGCAGTTAAGGATGCCGCGAATAACTCAACCGTGGTATATTGCGCGTAATAATAACTCGCAATCATCCCGAGGTTCAAAGGTGAAATTTCATTCTCGCCAGTCTCGTCGTCGTCTTCGATTTGCGCGCATTTGGACACCTCCAAGTCGGATAAGGTGCTCTCGACGAGTTCACTCAACGCGTCCGAGACGTGTCTGTGAGATGTCCCAGTCAAGTTGTAATAGTTTGGATTCCTCGTTAATCGACGATAATAGTACGTCCAGGTGAGATAATCCACGGCGTCTTGTTTGGTTTCGATAGTTCTCGTGACGATTTCCGCATTGAAGTGATCGTGTAAGAAGTGATCCAAGTGCGATTCCACCGGGAACGGTTCGTGAAGGAACTTGGAGTAGTACGCCTTCTTAGGCTGCGAACACATTAGCACGCACGTGCCGTGTTCATCTACGCCTGGACGCCCACACTTGGCGGTCATTTGCAACACGTCCACGACAGGGTAATCCGCCGCGGAGGAACCTCCGGCGTCGTAGAGTTGCGTCCCAGAAACGACGACGAGCTTTGCTTTTTGTCGTAAAGTCCACACCGAGGCGGCTTCGCAAATCATCAGCGAACACGCGTTACACTCAAACGCCAAGAACAACGCTTCTTTTTCGACTTTCGACAACCCTTCGTGAATGACGGCGATGCCAAAAGTCATCGCGTGTTTCACGCCGGCGTCGGATTCTATCTTCTCGGAGAGTTGTTCTAAGACGTTTTCGTCTTCCGAAGAGACGTTTCGAAAGTACCCTTCGTCGTTGTCGTTGAGAGCGTAGGAGAGTAATTCCAACGCGCGTTGTTTCGCGTGTTTCCTCGTCGGCGCAAAAACAATCGCCGGTTCTTTCTTCTCGCAGTGCGTCTTGATCGCTCTGTACGTCGGTCGCGACATCGCTTGGACGCGAGATTCGTAATTGACGACGTCGAATCCGCGGACGAACAAGCGCAAAGGCGTTGGACGCGCGGACGGGGCGAAATTAAACTGCCTTTTGGAGTTTACTCCGAGCCATTCGGCTAAATCTTTCGCATTCGCGACGGAGGCGGATAAACCGAGAATGCGAATCGGCGGCGCCGATTTTTTTCCATCTTTTTTCGTTCCTTCTTCTTCTTCATCTTCTTCTTCTTCGCGTTGCTTTTGAACGGATACGTATCGCATTCTCGAGCAGGCGACTTCAATCGTGGCCCCGTGCGCGCCACCGATTAAATGAAGCGCGTCCGCGATGAACAATTTCACTTTTTGCACGTTCTTGCGTTGTTTCCATCTTCTCGATAAAATGTCCCAATTCTTAGCGCTCGAGACGATGACTCGAGAGCGTTCGAGCAACTTCAAATCCGTCGCCACGTCGCCGGTTAATATGCACGTCGGAATGCCCATGGTGTCTTCGAATTTTACTTTCCAATCCGCGTATCGCGCTTCAGCGATGTCATCGATGGGAGCACAGTAAACGCATCTCGCGTTTTCCACGCCGTGCGTTTCCACCGCGCGCAAGATGGCCAACTCCGCGCAGATGGATTTGCCCGAGCCGGCGGGAGCGGACACGTATACGCTCTCGTCAGAATCCGTCAACGCTTGATACGTTTGCGTTTGAATCGGATTCATCAACTTGAAACCGTCGCCTTGGGGAAGTTTTGAATACATCTTTGCAAACCCAAACTTCGCCTCTCGAATTGGAATCGGTTGTAAATCCAACAACTCTGTCGGCGCGGCGAACTTTTCCGGCAACAACAAGTGCTTAAACGAGACTGGAATGACGGTATCTCCGCCTAACCACGCGTCCGAGGTGACCCGAATAAAATATTGAGGAGGAATTGGATCTAACAACGGCACCGTAAAACTCACCGAATGTTCCTCGTCTTTGTTTTGGTACTTCAACGTGAAATATTCCGAGTGCAAAATCTTCTCGCCGTCGTTGTCTTCGACCATGATCCAAAAGCCTTGCGCGAACGAGTGAAACCGTTGATCCCAAACGAAATCTGGGGTCAAAACGACGTCCACTTTCAACGTCGAACGCGTGATTGGCTGCACGTGCGCCTGAATATCCATTCGAGGGAACTGGTGGACAAACTTATGTATCGCTTTACCCATTTTCGGAAATCGAATCAACTCGCCGATTTCTTGCGAAGTCAATTCAAAATACTGCTCCCAACTGACGTCTTTGCGTTCGATTTTCATCAAGATGTCGTTCGGGATGGCTTTGAACTGTCTCAAAGGCGTTTGCGAGGACCACGTTTTCTTTCCAGCCATTTTGCACAAGTTGAGCGATTTTTCACAGAGTTGCGCCCATCCTCGTTTCAAGACGATTTCAAAGATACATCGCAACAATCTTCCCGCGGATTGGGTGATGTACACCATATCCGCCGATAACGAGAAACCTTCTAAACTCATGTTCGAAATGTACGCTTGGAGTAAGATGTTTATCTTCGCCGTCGATTCTTCTATGGATTCCTTCACCGGGATTGGCACTCTTTCCGCTAACGTCGCCAGTTCGATTTTTTCCTCTTGACGCACGGTGACGAATTTGAATTCCTCCGCTAACGAGAACAAACGGCACAGTTCAATGTCACCCATTTGCGGTTTCAAGTGTTCGTGGAACGCTTTCACCGTCCCATGAGAGACGTAATACTGACTGGCGATTCGACCTAAATCCGTGGCTTGTAAACCTCCGCCTCTTTTATCGTATCGAATCAAACCGGCTTTGTCGAGCGACAACGCCGCCGAGTGTACTAAATCCGCTCTTCGGCTCGATAACGTCGGATCGTCTTCCACGGCAGATCGCGGCACGCCGTACAAGACTGGGTTTCTCAACATTCTCACGAATAAGTAAGTATACCCGAGCCATTTGACGGCATCGTCTACGGAAGCTATGGAACCTAAAACAATCTCCGCGTTGAGCGAATCTGCTAGTTTGGCCACGAATTGACTTTCAATCGGTAACTGTTGATTGAATAAAGATAAATAGTATTGCAGTTCTGTGTGTTGGGTGATGATGATCCCTTCCCCGAACGTATCGAATTGAGGACGACCAGCTCTGCCCATCATTTGCATGACGTCTTGGAATGACAGTTCGTCCCAACCGCCTTTTTCGGGGTTGTACACTTGCGTCCCTTTGATTATGACCGTGTGCGCGGGCAAGTTCACGCCCCATGCTAAGGTTGCCGTTGACACGAGCACTTGAATGTGCCCATCCGCAAACAACTCTTCAACTAACGTTCTATCGGCGCGAACCATCCCCGCGTGGTGAATGGCGAAGCCGTATCTTAATAACTCTTTCAAATCATTCGATTTGACGTTTTCGGATTCTTGTCGTAAAATTTCCGCCGTGGCAGTATCGCTCCCGACGTACTTCCCGATTGTTTCGTTTTCTATGGCCATGTCGCGCAAAGCTTTCGCCGTTTTGTACGTTTCTTTTCTCGAGTGCACGAACACCATCACTTGCGTTTGACCAGCTTGTTCGTCGACTTTTTCGTAGCACACTTCGTTCATCAACTGAAAGCGTTGCAACGGTTTCTTCACCGTGATGCCGATGAATTGCGATTGCAACGGGCACGGTCTGTATGAGTTATCAAAGACGAACAACCCTTTTCCGTGGTCGACACGAGCGAACGCGGCGACGTCGTCGTAGTTCGGTAGCGTGGCAGATAAACCAACGAATCGGACGTGTTTGCGAGTCTCTTCGACTTGTCGGATCGTACGCGCGATGATGGATTCCAAGACTGGACCGCGACCGTCGTGCAACAAGTGAACTTCGTCGACAATCAACAACGACACGGATTGCGTGTACGCGCGGTCGCCAGACTTTCGCGTTATGATGTCCCATTTTTCAGGAGTACTGACGATGATCTGCGTGTCTTCAATTTCTGCTTTGGACATGGAAACGTCCCCGGTCAATTCGCGGACGTTTACTCCGAAATCTTTCAACCGTTCGCTCAAGTTACCGACTACTTCCGCGACCAACGCTTTCATCGGAGCGACGTATACTATTTTAAACTTGGTCAAATCAATCTCGCCGGTGTCTGGATCGAGGTGTTTTCCTATTTCATGGCATATGGTGAGCACCGCAACGTTCGTTTTTCCCGCCCCAGTTGGCGCGCAGAGTAACATGTTTTCTGGCGACAACAACGCCGTCTCGTACACTCTCGATTGGACTCTGTTCAAACTTTTCATGCCTTTAAACGCCGGCCTGGCCCATTCGGGAATTTCCTCGATTGGTCGTAGCTTTTCGTTCTCCGCAAACGGCGGCGCTTTCATCGCCGGCACGTGCACTTCCTCGTATCCTTTCTTTTGCGTTCGAAACGAGCCTTCTGGGAGTTCGCACTTCGCGTTGGCCATCAAGCGACTGCCTTGATGAAACGCCAACGCGTCCAGTTCTAAGACTTTTCGGTGCGCGCTCGCGCCGAGCTCTTTTTCTCTTCTCTTTTGCGCGTCTAATCGTAACTTTTTCGCTTCTTCTCGGATTTTGTTCTCGACATTTTCCTGTCGCTCTCGCGCGGACGCCCTCGTCGCTTTCATTTCGGACAAGATCAACGCGCCGTTGGAATCGTTGCTCATTAAATTTTCAATGTCTTGCTTCTCCGTTTCCGATTGCGCTCTCGAGAGTTTCGTGCACCACAAGATGACGTCTCTGTTTTGCATCAACGTTTTCACCAAATCGAATTTGTCGTACTCGAGAAGTCGAACGAGTTCATTTTCTCGCGATCGGTCGTCCGGCGCCTCCAGCGCTTGCAAAGCCTTCTCGGCGATTTCGGACATTTTCGTCTGATCGTTTTCTTTCTCCTCTTCGGTGGTCGCGGTTGACGAACCAGAGAAAGCGTTGGAAATTAAACGCTGCAAATAATAGGCGTCAATTTCCGACGGACGAACTATCACGTGTTGTTTCTTGTGTCTTTTTTTCGGTTCACCGAGAGAGTCGTCGGAAGCGTCCGAATCCTCTTCCTCCTCGTCTTTATCGTCGTCGTCATCCGAATCTTCTTCCTCCGACTCCGACCTCAACTCTCTCAATTCCGCTCTGTTTCCACCGTCTCCGTCGTCGTCGTCGTCCGAATCGTCCTCGTCGCTCTCTTCAAACTCCACCGCAACGCCAACGTCGTCGTCCATCTCTTCGTTCTCGCCGTTTTCGTACTCTGGATTCCCCTCCTCCCCCTGGCCGGCGGGCGTAAAATCCGTAATCATCTTCCCCACCGCGACTAACTTGGCAAACTTCTCCTCCGATAACTCCCCAACCAAACTCTCCACCTCTTCCTTCCGTTTCTTCTCGTTCACGGAAGTATCCTTCAACGTCTCCAACACCTCCTCCGCCGCGCCTCTCAACACGTCCGACGGTTGCTCGCCGAATTGTTCCGTCATCGATTTCAACAAAACTTCGTACGCCGCTCGCGTTTCTCTCGTCTTGGGTTTATACCCGCTGTTAAAGTTCATCTCGGAAGAGAGGACGTCTTTTTTGTGACCTGTTTTCTTTCTCTTCTTGTGAGTAGCGTTCGTCGCGAATGCGTCCGAATCTTGCGAATGCTTCAAATCGATCGCATTTTTGGTCTTCTTTTTCTTCGCATGAATCTTGTCGTCGTTGGTTGTTTTAACGCGATCCCCGAACGCTTTCGCATCGATCCGTCCCCATAAACTTTCCGGCATCCCGCTCGGTTCGTGCATGCGTCTTTCCGTTTTATCCGCTTGGAGGACCAAGGACGCGTTCGCTTTGTATTCGTACTGCCGGAATCGGGCGGCGCGTTCTGCGGCGGAACCGATGGTTTTCTCGTCATCTTGAACGCCCATTATATACTAATACTACGAAGACAAAAACAAAGAAACAGACGCAAAGCAGAACTTTTATACTCTCTTTTCAGCGGAGAGAGAAAGAATGCTTCAGAAAAGAGGTATATTTGTGTCGTTTTAATGGCTTTCTAAGCGCGCTTCTATCGTGCGGCGATTGCTTTAAATTCGAAGAAGCAAATTCGAAGCAATGAGAGTTAGGGTTTCAAACCCTAAAATACTGGAGAGGGTTTTGTTGCTCCTTGAAAATTATTCGCCAGAAGTCATAACGATACGCACGCTCTGAGTAAACGCGCAGAACGAGAGAGAAAGAACGAAGAACTTTAACGACGACGAAAAAGATGGTTTTGACGACGTCCTTTTTTTACCGAACGACTTTGTCCGGTGCTAATGCTGCGAATGCTTCGGAAACAACCACCAAGAGGACGACTGTAACGATGAGAAGAAACGGTGACGAGGATAACAACGGGAAAAAGAAGACGAAGAAGACCACCAAAGATGTGGAACGAGGAGGTCGATTTTCGGGGTCGTCGTTTAATACTACATCGGCGGCAAAGAAGAAACTGGCGATGATCGTTCTCTTCTTCGGGTTTTTGAGCGCAGCGGTTGCCTCGGTGAGTGCAAGCCTTCACGAAGAAGGCGTTTCTATCCCGGATGTGAGGTTGGACCAACAACAACGGGAGGAGGAGGAAAAGGATGGACGAGTGAAAACGAGCGGCTTTAGGCGCCTGTTGGAAGAGGACGAGGTCGCGGAAGCGCGACCGTTGCGAGGACGCAGGATCGGCGGGCAACGATTCGATCGAGTTGTGTATCCTCCGAAAGATCGAGAGCGAGCGAGAGGGACGCTGAGACAGTTGTTGGAGGAGGATTACAATAACAACGAGGAAGAAGTGGTGGCCGCGGAAGGAGAAGAAGAAGAAGGAGCAAACGGCGGCGAAGAAACGGAGGAGGAAATCCAAGAAGAGATCGCCGAGGAGAAGGAAGAGGAGAGAGAGATTTTGGAGGAAGAACGCGAAGAGAGAGCGGAGGCGCGCGAGGAGCGACGAGAGCGTCGAGAGCAACGCCAAGAGATGCGAGAGGCGGTGGAAGAGGTCAAGGAGGAAGTCGCCGAAGAACAAGAGGAGGAAGCAGAAGCCGAGGCGGAGGCAGAGCAAGAGGCGGAAGAACAAGAGGCTTCGGAACAAGAGGAGGAACAAGCCGCGAGCGAGGAAGAGTCGAGCGAAGAGTAAAAGTTGGATTGAGCTTTACTCTTACTTTTATATGACCTTTACTATTACGTTTTATTGAAATGAACTTACCAACGAGGGGAGGATGAACACGCTTTTGCGAGCGAGGAAGAGACGATCAAAGAGCAGTAAAATGGATTGAGCTTTACCAGTACTTTTATGAGACCTTTACTACTACGATTTATTGAAATGAACTTTTGGTACAAACTTGCCCTCATTTATTTTCACGCTTATTACACACAACAACAACTTTCGCTTTGAAAAGAAAGACATTTAACGCTTTTGCAAACGCGCGCGCGCGAGAGAGAGAGAGAGGGTGTGTGTGTGTGTGTGTGTGTGTGTGTGTGCCGCGGAACGATAAAAAGTGTTCTCGTTCAACAATAAAAGGTAATACACAAAGTAGGGGAAAATGAAGCCGTCGAAATGGCGGATTCAATTCGAGACGGAGGAAGAAGAAACCATCTGTGCCTCCTCGCCGAAAACGATGATGCAGCGCGACCCGTCCTCTCCGACGAGCCCGAGTCGTAAACGGAAAGATTTTGTTGTCGGGGCAGGAGGAGGAGCGATGGATAAGTTGGATGAAAAGAAAACGAGGAGAATTCCATTTTTAACCGCTCTGGAAACGAAGAATTTGGAGTTCAACGCGCAACACGCGACGAGAGAGTGTTTGAGACATTTTGGGTTACCAGTCGTTTTGAAAGATAGGAAACGAATGAAACGGAATAACAGTAACAGTACTACTACTACTACTACTACGAATAGGAACGAGAAAAAGAGCGGCAAGAATACGACGGAATTAACGCTGAGCGAAATCCGAGGGAACGTGAAATGGGGGTGGGCGCGCGAGGCGACGAAAACGGGCGTGAAAGAAGCAAAACGAGGCCATTTTATGATCGCGTTGAAAGCGTTTGACCGAGCGATTGAGTTAGACTCGAAGCACGTGGACGCGTACGTCGCGAGAGGTGCGGTGTTAGCCAAAAATACGGATTCGGAGAAGATGACGGTGTCGAGGCGAGTGGAGTGTTTGGAGGAGGCGAGGAGGGATTTCAGGTTGGCGTTGGAGATGGAAGAAGGGCACGAGGACGCGAAGAAATATTTAGAGAAAGTCGAGGAGGAATTGTTGGAGTTGAGAGAGAAACTCGAAAAGCAACGCGTTCCAGTCGTCGTTGCGACGAAGAGAAAAATTTCGGCGGCGACGAGAATTTCGTCCTCCGGCGGCGTGTTGCCGGCGGACAGAGCGAGGTTGGAGCAAAGAGAGAAGGATGAGGATCGCATCGAGATTACGAACAACGGCATTAACAAAAACGGCAATGGAAACGGTATCCTCACGAATACTCAAAAGAATGCACTCGAGGAGGATAAGGAAATGACGGAGTTCTTAGAAGCGGAAATCGAAGCCGAGATGGCGCGAAAAGAAAAGGAGAAACATCGAAAGGAGAAAAAGAAGCGCAAGAGGAAGAAGAAGGAGAAAAAGAGCAAACACAAAAAGAAGAAAAGCAGGAAGAAATCGTCGTCGTCGTCTGAATCGTCGTCGTCATCGAGCAGTAGCAGTAGCAGTAGTACGAGTAGTAGTAGCAGCTAATAATGCATAGCATTTAAATTACATCTTCGTTGGAAGGCGGGCGTGGTTCAACATCAATCAATCGAGTTCTTTTGTCTTCTCGTAGAGATAACAATCGAGTTGCCATTTCTCGTCTACTTGCGATATAGGTTTCCACCCAATCCCGCCTGGAATTGATTGCAGCGGTTCAAAGTTTACGATATCGTCGCACAATTTACTCACAATCGCCAATCTCGCGCCAACTTTCATCTCCCGCGACAGTTTCGCCTTCAACATCCCCACCGTCGTATCGTGAAACGTCGTCGCGTGCACGAATATGAAATCGAATTGAGAGAGGTCTTGGTCGAACACATCGCCCTGAGAGACGGATATTTCACACGCGTGGCTACTATCGCTATATTTCTCTAATTTTTCGCGTAACCTTGCGATGCCTTCGATCGCTTTCGCGGCTAAATCCGGACAAATCTCCACGCCGTCCGCTTTGGCAAACTTCCCCGACAACGCCGCCGTCTACGCGTATCGATCGATGATGCAGAACGGAAAGAAGGTGAGTACTACGCTTGAAAACGACAAAAAAACACGCAATAATGAGCATGAAAACGAACGTAAAAGAAGAATCAACTCGAAAAGAACGACATAAAACCAAATCAAACGCACCGCCACTTGCTTCCCGACCCCGCACCCCAAATCCACGTATCGCAATCCACCATCCAAATTCTTCCCATCCGTCCCTAAATCAATCAACTCGAGCATCGAATTCACGTCTATTTCGCCATAAAATGAATCCTCTGGATGTTTATACGTTTCTGGATGTAATTCCGTCACCTCTTTCGCGATTTTCCGGCTGACGTCTTTGGAAAATGTTACGTCGTCGCAGAAGATTTCGTTGTAAATGGCTGCTGGATTAAACACCAACCGCTTTGCTTCTTCATCCTTTTCCTCCTCTGAAGAAGACGAAGAAGACGCTCCGGAAGCTCCGACCACCACCGTTTGGTTGCACTTCCTCCTCTGTCGCCACTGAAAAACCCTTCGTTGTCTCGAACCACACCAACGAAAAGACGACGAAAAGAGGGGAAGTTGAGACATGTTTTATGAAACATTTTCCCTACATTTTCCCCCAAAATTGAGCACAAAAACCACTGCAGAGACAGCCGAAACATGGCGCGATCAAAGTCCCCCTCGCCACCTGCGCGCGCATCGAAGAAGAGGTCGTCGAGGAGAAGTTCCGACGACGATTCAGACGATTCAGACGAGGACGAATTGTTGCGTAAAAAAACAGAGAGAAGCGAGAAACGGATGAAAAGCAAGACCACTGGAGGGAAATTGGACTCCAGGGCGGCGGAAAATGAGAGATCGAAAGAGGAAGGCGAAATTCATCTGGAAGACAAAGGAAGGGTGAAAACGACCGAGAGTGATGCGAAGAAGACGACAAAACCTTTGGTGGTGAAGAACAACACCAACGGTCGCGCCGGTGGGGCGTACGTGCCTCCGTTTAAACTCGCGCAAATGATGCGAGAGATTGAGGACAAATCCTCCCCAGAGTACCAGCGAATCACGTGGGAAGCGTTGAAGAAATCCATCAACGGTCTCGTGAACAAAATCAACAGCTCGAACGTGAAAAACATCGTCCCGGAGTTATTCAACGAAAATTTAGTGCGAGGGAAAGGTTTGTTCGCGAGATCGGTGATGAAATCGCAAATGGCGAGTCCTCAATTTAGTCCCGTGTTTGCCGCGCTCGTCGCGGTGACGAATACGAAGTTTCCGGAACTCGGGGAGTTAGTGGTAAAACGGGTGGTGTTGCAGTTTCGGAGGGCGTTTAAGAGGAACGATAAGAGCGTGTGCGTGGCGGCGACGAAGTTTTTGGCCAGCTTAGTGAATCAGCAGGTACGTGGTGTAGAAATCGTTCGTTCGTTGTTTCTTTTTATGTTCTCGTTCCCTCGGCTCGTTGGTTCTTTTTTGCGTTTTACGTACGCGCGCGCAGACGAATTTGAACAACACTCTCATCGAAAGGCAAACGATGAATAAGATCATACACAAAATCCAACTCCGAGGCTGGTAGTTCCAACTTCTGTGACGAGTAGAGAATCAAACGAGCTTTTTAACCCTGATGCCTTTTGATGGATGTTGTTCAAGAAGCGTCTCACTCTGTCTTTGCTTTCTATGGATGGAAGACGGAAGATGTCTTTGCTTTTCCCACTCATTCAAAATACTCACGCATTTATCTCACTTTCATAATGACAACAGGTTGTGCACGAACTCCTCGCGCTCGAATTGTGTACTTTACTTCTCACCCAACCGACGGACGACTCGGTCGAAGTCGCCATCGAGTTCATCAAAGAGTGCGGGTATGCGTTGCAAGATTTATCGCCGCAAGGCTCGCACGGTATTTTTGAACGGTTTCGGGGCATTTTACACGAAGGTGAAATCGATAAACGGACGCAGTTCATGATTGAAGGCTTGTTCGCCTTTCGTAAGAGTGGCTTTGAAGGTAAAAAAGGCGTCCCGGAAGAGCTCGATCTCGTTGACGAGGACGATCAAATCGTGCATGAAATCTCGTTAGACGACGAAGTGGAAGCGAACGCGAGTTTGGACGTGTTTAAGTTTGATCCGAACTACGAAGAGAACGAGAAGAAGTACGTGGAGATCAAGAAGGAAATTTTAGGCGAGGAGAGCTCTTCGTCCGATGAATCCGGGTCAGACGAAAGCGGGAGCGACGAAAGCGGGAGCGACGACGAGGAACCTGCAGTAGCTGCGCCGACGACCACGCAAAACATCACCGACGCCACGGAAACCAACCTGGTGAACCTTCGCCGAACCATCTACCTTACCATAATGTCCTCTTTAGACTTTGAAGAAGCCGGTCACAAATTGATGCAAATCCAATTGCAACCGGGGCAAGAAATTGAAGTCGCGACTATGCTCGTCGAATGTTGCTCGCAAGAAAGAACGTTTGTCCGATACTACGGCTTGTTGGCGCAACGATTCTGTTTCATCTCCAAAGAGTACGCCAGTTTATTCGACGACGTCTTCATGAAACAATTCAGCACCATCCATCGATTAGAAACGAACAAGTTACGAAACGTGGCTAAATTTTTCGCGCACTTGTTAACCACGGACGCCATGTCGTGGACGTGTTTGGCGTACATCCAACTCTCGGAAGAAACGACGACGTCGGCGTCCAGAATTTTTATCAAAATCTTATTCCAGGAGATGAGCGAACAGTTGGGTTTGAAAAAGTTAAACGAGAAGATGTCCGAGGAGGACATGCAGGCGTATTTCACCGGCGTCATGCCGAAAGCGCCTTTGAAAAACGTCCGATTTTCCATCAACTTTTTCACGAGCATCGGCTTAGGCGGGTTAACCGACGGCATGCGAGAACACTTAAAGAAGGAGCAAGAGAAAGAAAGAGAGAGAAGAGCGAACGCTTCCTCCTCCTCCTCTTCCTCCTCGTCGTCGTCGGACTCTTCGGATTCTTCCGATTCTTCCGATTCAGATTCCTCGTCCTCGAGCGAGAGTAGCGAGAGTAGCAGTAGCAGTAGTAGCGGTAGCGGAAAACGACGACGACGAAAACGAAAGAGTCAAAAATAGAGATAAAGCGCGACGACACACGACAAAAGCGCGCTGTTGTAATAATTTCATCGGGTAATTCATCGTTGTTATATGTGCTCGTCACTTCATCTGTTTCTCTCTCGATCAGATCGTCGCTCTCGTCATACTTTGTGCGCTTTCGATCGAGAAAGCTCTTATGCATTTTCGTCATTACCAAAACACGCGCATTTTCTCTCTCTCTCTCTCTCTCTCTCTCTCTCTCTTTGCGCTTGCGCACAATAATGCCGCCAAGGCAGCAGAGGAAGGTTCGGGTAAAAACCTCGCTCTCCGCTTTCGCAGACGACGACGATTCAGACGACGAAAAGCAACACCAACGAGAAGAAGAAACGAACGACGGCGAATTACCGTTGGTGTCGTTCAAAGGCGATACGCGAGTCCGGACGCAGCACCGACCGTCGTTCGTTCCGAAAGAAGTGCAGAGGAAACGCGACGAAAAGGATAAGGCCCCGGGTGATGATGATGATGCTGCTGCTGATGATGATGATGATGAAAATGTTTCGAAGAAACGAAAGAGGAGATGTGTAGGGGAAGAAGGTGAAGGAAAAGAGGAGAAAAAATTGGAGACGCGCGCGCGACGGGACGAGTACGAGCAACAACAAGAACAACAACAGCAACAACTAGGACAACCTCATAATCCGTTGTCCTCGAACGTGATCGTGAAAAATCTCCCATCGCGAGAGGATTTTGAGTCGTTATTTCGCGAGGAGTCAGGACGCGCTCGACAACTGTTCGAGAGGAAAATCTTGGAAGCGTTCTCGGCGTTTGGACCGATTGCGTCGTTGTCGATCAAAAAGAGCGGCGGCGGGTACAATAGCAATAGCAACAACAAAAGCGGGTCATCGATGGCGTTCATGGCGTTTTTGGCGAAATCGAGCGCGGAGAATGCAATCGAAAAAATGAATAGCGGCCAATTTTTGTTCTACGGAGTGAAGTTGGAAGCGAGTTTAGGCGGCGCGGTGGTGGTTTCGGAGAAGGTATGGCCGCCTGCGCCGGTTACGGAAATAAGGAAGATTGCGAATGACGAAGACGAACCCGACGAAGACGACGAGGAGTCGCGAAGGATGCTGTATTTGGACGAGAATATTCACATGCGAGGTGAAGTGGAAGCGCGGTTGACCGCACCGGCGCCTTTTTTGAACTTTGACGCAGATCATCGAGAAGAAGAGGAAGAAGGTATCGTTAAAGTCCGTTTCCCGAAAGATTACGCGCAAATGAAACGCATCGATGTCACGGCGACGTTTGTTGCCGAGGATGGGAAAGCCGTCGAACACAGAATCAAAGCGAGGAAGAAAGATGATCCCGATTTTGCGTTTTTGTTTGATACGATTGAGGAGAACGAAGAGACTGTTTATTATTTGTGGAGAGTGTTTTCGTTAGCCAACGGCGATTCGCTGACTTCGTTTCGAACGGACCCGTTTCGGATGTTTACGCCGAACGGGAAAATTTGGGTACCACCAGCTGGAGGAATCGAGATGGCACCAAAACATAACAGTAGTAGCGCGAAAGACTCGATGTTGTTGTCTGCGCAGTGGCCAACATCCAACGGCGCGGGTATCGGCGCTTCCTCCTCTCTCGTCGATTACAATCTGGATCGAGGAGAAACGCAGAATGCACTCTCCGAGACGGACCAAAAACACTTGCAAGAACTCCTATCGCTTTTAACACTCGAACGCGAACGCGTGCGAGAAGTGACGACGTTTGCTATCGATCACGCGATTTGCGCGGAGGAAGTCGTCGCGAAACTGAGGGAAGAAATGGACGCGCAAAAAGAGTCGCAAAAACCACTCGAAGCGCAAGTCTCTCTCCTCTACGCCTTCTCTGACGTCCTTCACAACGCCTCGGCACCGGTCAAGCACGCGAGTAGCTACAGAATGGTAATCAAACGCGCTTTACCGGACGTATTTAAAGCTTTAGGCGAAAGTTTAAAACACTGCGGCGTCATAGCGAAGCCGCCGTTCATGACGAGAGTTTTGCGCGTGTGCAAAGCGTGGAGAGAATGGTACGCGTTTGACGTTTCGTTTTGCGACGAGCTCGAAGAGGCATTTCTTGGTGATAAAGTAGTTCAATGAATTTTAAGATTTGTAGTAATAGCGCATGTATGCAATAGTAGCCCCCGGCGTAAAAAAAAGTAAGTGTGTGATCAGTAATATCTCTCATCTGCATAAAAACATACACAGATAGCAATGTTGTTTTACTTTTGAGCAGCCGCGCCGTACTTTGCAGCCGGGACGGCGCCCACCTCTGCAAACGCCTTTACGTCCTCCGGCGGTAACCCGGTCCCGGTCACCTCGTTCCCGACGCTCACCCAGTAATCTCTCAAGTTATTCTTCCTCGCGAAAATCTCCAGATATTTCCCATTCGGCACCAACTGTTCGATCAATTCGTAAATCTCCGTCGGTTTTTGCGATTGGCCTCGTCTTGCCGCAAAAATCACGTCCGAAGCCGTCTTCCCGTTCAAAGTCGTACCGGGTGGATCTTTCCCTCGCCTGGCCACCAAACACACCTCCTTCGCGTGTTGCAAGTAAAACCCGTGCGATTTGGCCAATCTCCTCGAGTTGGTCACTTTCACCCACGCGATTTCATCCACAAACTCGTAGCCCCACTTTTTAAACTGGTTCAAACACCACTGGTATTTTGCATTGATTACCCACACGAACAAGAAGCCGTTTTCTTGCAACTCTGGAATCGGAAGGTTCGCGATGTGCGCGTCGGTGAGTTGCGAGTACCCCAACGACACGCCTCTCGTTGGATTCGCCGTGGCCAACTGCCACGGAGGATCCATCATGATGACGTCAAATTTCGTGTGTTCGTACATCGGTTTCCAATCGAACGTTGTCACGTTCGCGTGCACCGGAATGCACTGCGGCGGTACCATCCACTCCTTCGGGTCGATCAAATCCACGTCGTACGTCTCCGCTTCCTCCTCCTCGCCGGTATTCGCGTTATGAGCATTCGTCGCCGCGGCTTCCCCATCCTCTCCCATTTCGTTCCCGGTGCCGTCCGCGATATCGTCCTCGATCGTCGTCGTCGTCGTCTCCAACTGCAACTGCAAAAACGAAGGAAAACTACTGCCAGTCGAGGAGGAATTTTTTAGAAAATGTGCTCCTTTCTCGAGCTCGTTTTGAATCAGTTTCCGATACGTCTCGATCTCTCTGTTCAAGGATTCATCGCCGTTGTTCTTTTTTTCGTTTTCAAACGACAGCCAGCGTTGAACGCACGACGGTTCATCCATTAAGAGGAGTTTTTCATCCAACAACGCATCTTCGTGATCGGTTTCCATCATCATCGCGAGTTCTTCTCGCGTGTCTTCTTTGTTGGCCACCATGCTGTTTGAATTTTTCCCGGAGCTTTTCGATTGATTTTTCCTCTTGATGGCACGCGCTAAAGATTCCGCGAAGGACGCGAATGTCACGCAACACGGACAATGAAGAGCAGCAGTCGCAGTCGTCTCGACCTTCGTGCAAAAGTGAGCGAGAGGAGGAGGAAAAGGAGGAGGTTTCTTTCGATTCGTCGTCGTCTTTAGTGTCTCGTCGAGACGATGGTTTTTGTGAGAATTTTTGAATTTTTTTGAGTCGAAAAATGTCAAAATGAAGCACAGAGAAGAACGCTTCACTCGCGCTTACGTCTTGAACGCATTGCGTATCTGTAAGACTAAGGATAGAATGCATTTTGTATTGAACATCGAGCTTTAACTCTTCCGTGATATGTTAACCTGTTTAAAAAGTTCAATTACATCCTTTTGAATGTTTTTTGTTTCGCGCACTTCTTAAAGAGGTTTACTTTTTCGGGCGGCGTATATTTTTGTCTACCCCGCGCTTCTATTACCGCTGCCGCTGCTGCTGCGAAGAAGAAGAGGAAGACGAATGCGTCGAAGCCGTCGTCGTCGTCGCGGTCGTCGTTTCTTTCGCTCGTTTCATCGCGATTTGTTTGATGTTTTGCACCGCGCCTTCCACGCCGCCGTTTTGGAGTCCTTTTTGCACCTCTTGAAAATCCGATTTCATTTTGGATAAATTTTCCTCTGCTTTTTGTTTAATCGAACGCGAGAGAGACGCGAAGAGGTTGTTTTGGTGATTCTGATGATCCGGGCTGGTCGGACGCGCGGAGGAAAAAGAGGACGCGCCGCCGCCGCCTTTGGCTCGGAGGACGTCTTCGCGCTTGTTTCCGAAACCAATCATGTTGTTATTGCCGCCGGTTGGAGATTTCGGAGAGAGCGGTTGCGAGGAGGAAGAGGGAGGGGCTTTCGCGGCGGAGGTTGGCGGCGAGTCGAAATGCGAATCCGAGAGCAACCACTCCGCCGTGGCGTCCAAGGCGTTCTTTTCCTCCTGTCTCTTCGTGCTGTTTTCGCGTTTTAAACTGACACTTTTGCGCTGTTGTTTTTCTTGCTTCTCTTGTACTTGTTGTTGTTGATGATCTTCTACTTTTTCTTCTTCTTTCGGCGCATTCGGTAACAGTTGCGCGCTGAACGCGTTTTCAGAGCCCGATTTTGAAAGCACGATGTGTTCGTCTCCTTTCTTTTCGCCTCGCAAGTACGTCGTCGAAGAGACGTCCTCCGACGACGCTGCGTTCGTTACTAAAAATGCACCGTTGCCTTCGCTCAACTGTATCGCGTCTTCGAACGCAATTTCCGGTACGAAGTGCTCGAACCGTATCAACTCTTTCATCGGGTCGCTCGCGCAGTTCGGCAACACCAGCTCGTCGCAAATGTCCGAGACTAACTTGCTGGACAGCAAATGCGAGACTTTTTTCGCGATAAACTCGTGCGCGATTTTGTTCTCTCCAATCGCCGGCTCGCAAAAGATATCGACTCTCGGGCGACCTTTCAATCCCCACCACAAGCGTTCGTTCGGGGGTGGAGGGATCCAAAATCGAAACATGCCGGAACAGCTTGACACTCTCAAAGTCATTTTTAGCGGAAACTTTTGCAACACGCGGTCGTTGACGTTTTCGACGACTTTCTTCATCTCTTTGAGCACGTTTTGAGTGACTTCTTCTTTCGTTTTGTTGAGCGGTGGGATTCTGCCAGAGTTTGTGGGCGAGAGCGGAGGCGTCGGCGTTCTCGAGCCGCTTTTGCTTGTGACGCTGTCGTTCGTTTTTCCGGCAGCGTCTTCGTCGTTTTCCTCCACTCCCGCTGCATCCCCGCCTTCCACTAAGTTCCCGATTTCCTTCGCGTACTGCGCTAAATCCACTCTCGTTCGAATCGTCACTTCAATAAGGCCGACGTAACTCAAATCCGCTTCCACCGCGGCGCAAACGCCTCGACCTGGTAACGATCCGCCGTCCCAAGGTGCGTTTGAACCATCGCTTCCATCTACCGGCCGTAACATGTTACACTTCGGCGTCGCTTCTCCTAACGATAACTTTTCCACGTCAAACTTGCCGACGTATTTCGGTAAACCGGGAAGTTCGTTCAATTTCTTCTCCAACAAATTCGAGAGAACGTTTTTAAAATCAATCGAGCGCACTAAATCGAAAAAGATGCGGGAAGAGATGATATTCACGGTTTGTCCGCACCGTTTGTCGTCGAAGATGTGTTCGAAAAACGCGTCTTGTTTCTTTTGCGCTTTGGCTTTCTCATCCTTCTTCTCTTGTTGTTGTTGTTGTTGTTGTTGTTGTTGTTCGCTGCTATTACTACTACTTCTGCTAATCTTCTTTTCGAATCGCGCGTTTTCGAGCAAGTACTGCGCGATTCTCGATTTCGCCTCTTCTGGGAACTTTTGTTTATTATTCGTATTCGTGGCAGTCGTCGACGTTAAACCTCTTCTCATCGAGTCCATATCCAACGCCCTCCACAGCGCGTAAAACCACGCCTCTTTACTCGGTCCGCTCAAAGCGTATAACCAAACCACCTTCTCGCCTTCGTACAGCGAAGAAGAAGAAGAAGAAGAAGCATCGCTCCTCCTCGCAATCACGATCGCCCGCTTATGGTTCCACATCAACTCCGTCTTATTCCCTTCCGGATACTCTACCAAATACACGTCGCACTGCTTCAAATCGATAAACTTTTCCTCTTTGTCCACATACTCTGTCTCCAAAGATGATGAAGAAAAAGAAGTCGTCGTAGTAGTAGTACTCTCCGCCGCCGTCGTCACGCTCGCCCCGCCGTCGCTTCCTCCTCCTCCTCCTCTGTTCGCTTCCAACTTCATCCTCGCCGCTTTCACGTCCAAAGTCACGTAATACCTCTCCGTATTGCTTCCGCTCATCAAAGTCGTCAAACTCAAAGACGACTTCTTCGACGTCGTTTTCCCAGCGAATCCTTTTTCTTTGGACATCTTATTCGCTTTCACCATGTTAGACCCTTTGCAGAAAATCAACCACCCGCGCATTTCCTCTTTTCTCACATTCATTCCAATTAAACTCTCCTTCTCAACGAATTCCCCTTCGATACATTCCGCGGATGTTGATGTCGTACTCCTACTCGTCCCTCCTCCCGAGGAGATAAACTTACACGCAAAATACACGCCAGACGCGAATAACGTAATCGTGGACGTGGACCCGATGAAAATGCCTTTCGCCAGAGACGAAGAACTCGACGAACTCGTACTCGACATGGACGAATGCATCGCCACTCCGGAGAGTAAAATGGAAACGGAAATGGTTCCCAAGGAGAGGAACGCGAACGTTAATCCTCCATTTCCTGATCCTGATCCTCCTGTGTTGTTATTATTAGCATCATTACTACTCTCGCGCATCATTCAAAGCGCGTCTGTGTCTGTGTGTGTGTTGTGTGTGTGTGTGTATATATTCTGTTCCGTTTCGGGGTTCGTTTCGGGAAAATGAAGCATCCCAAAGTTGTTATTTTTAGCGCACTCCCCGCGCATAAATAAGAGAGAGAAGGAGGAAGAGGACGAGAAGAAGAGAGCAGCAAAATGGACGCCAACGGTGTTTCTGTTCGTAACAATACAAACAACAGAAAATCACTCTCTTTTCTCTTCGTATACGTGCTCGTTTTAGCGTACCAAGCGTTGAATGATGACATTGGTCAACGCAACATTAGGGGAAATGATGTGTCAGAAACGAGGACAGCATCATCGAGTTCCTCGACGAAAAAAGGCCTCTTCTTCGCCTACGTGTCCTACCTCGTGTACTCGTTCCTCCAAGGTGAAGACACGCACATGTTTCGCCCACACCCGGGCGTCTGGAGGTGCGTGCACGGGAGTTTTGTCCTGTACCTCTTGTTCCTGGTGTTTTTGGTGTTTCAAGAGACGAAAGAACAGGCGAGAGCGAGGGTGTTTGCGTTTTGGGATTCAAACTTAATGTTCGCGGGTGAAGATGATGAGAAGATGTTCCCGTACGAGGAACGGACGTACGCGACGGATTGTCGAGTTTTTACTCCGGAGCAATGCAATCTAGCAAGTTTTGGGTCCTGTTTCCAGAACGTGAAGAACACGATACTGGATGAGTTTTTTCTCGCGCACGTGCTCGGCTGGTTCGGGAAGGCGTTGGCCATTCGCGATTGGCACTTGTTGTGGGCGTATTCGATTTTGTTCGAACTGATGGAGGTGACGTTTAGGCATTGGTTGAAGAATTTTGACGAGTGCTGGTGGGATTCGTGGGTGTTGGACGTGTTGGTGTGTAACTTTGGCGGGATGTGGGTCGGGATGCGGGCGACGAAGTATTTCGCGACGACCAACGTTGGTAGGGGTAGTTATAGCGGGAGCAGTAGGGAGGAAAGTAGCGAAGGAGTTGAAGATCATGGTTTTACTGAGAGAGTGATAGATGATTTCGAGGAGAGTAGTAGTAGCGAGGAGGATGAATACGACGAAGATGGACAAGAAGGAGAAGATGATGAGAACGAGATGAAGAACAAACCGGCGGCGGCGGCGCGTTCTTCCGAGCGCACGAAAGATGAAAGCGATGGAAAGAAAAACCGCCATCACAGACGACGTCCGTCGTCGAATTTCGTTCGCGTCGCGCGAAAATCGATCGAAAATTACATCCTTCCGGAGAAAGGACATAACTGGTATCGTTACGAATGGCAGCCGTTCAAGACTCCCGGTCGTTTCATTCAGTGCGTGTTCCTCATCGGTATGTGTTTATCGTTTGAATTGAACGCGTTCTTCTTGAAGTTCATTTACGGCATACCTCCGCCGCATATTTTGAACACTTTACGTTTAGTGCTTTGGTTTGCACAGGCAAATATTGCCATCAGAGAGTATTACGTGTTCATAACGGACGAGCGCGGGATTTGGAAAGCTCAGTTAGGCGCGAACGCGTGGTTGGCGATTGCCGCCATGGCGATGGAGTTTCTGGTGATTCTGAAACACGGGGACGGTTTGTTCACGGCAAAGTGGCCAAAAGCGGTCGTCCGGTGTTGGTTAGCGGTTAGTGCAGTTATAGTTGGTGGATTGATCGTCTGGCAGTTTAAGAAGGAGAAGGAGAGAAGAGTGATGACGAAGACAAAGTACAAGAACAAGAAGAACATTTAGGTATTTATTTTATCAATTTGTGGGCGCTTTTCAACTAAAATCAAAATCTATTGGGATCCGACCACACGCTCTCGGCCTTGGCAGCATCGCTCTCGCTTTCATCATCACTACCGCTAATATAATTACTCCTACTGGCACTACTATTCATTCGCTTCCACGCTCTCGATGCTGCCTCTAACACCTCGTCCACGTTTTCCCCGGTTTTACCGGAAGCGAACACAATTTCCCACAAAGACGCATCTTTTCCTAACGATCCGATCGCTTTCGTAATCGACGCAGAGATTGTCTTCTTAATCGCTTCGGCGAAAGAAGCTCCTTCTCTAGCGTTATTGCCATCATCTTCGCTACTGTTGAACAATAACAAGTCCATTTTGTTCACCACGACAATCGCCGGCGTCGTTTTCGTTATGTCTGGTTTGTAGGTTTCCAACTCGTTGACTAAATCAATCAAGGCTTCGTGGGGCAGCTTATTGGTTTCTTTGCTATTTTCAGGTAGACTTTCATTTGCATCGTCTTGTTCTGTATTACCCGTCGTCGCGCGTTTATTCTTTCCATCACCACCAGTCGCGTCGACGATGTAGGCGTGCACTCGACACCTCTCCACGTGTCGCAAAAAATCGTGACCTAAGCCTCTGTTCCTGTGCGCGCCCGGAAGTAAACCGGGTACATCGGCAAACGTCAAGCTCACTTTCGTTTCCATCTCTTTATCTAAATCAATTTCGCGAGCACCAAATTGTGGGGTCAACGTCGTAAACGCGTACGGCGCGATTTTTGGTTTCGCGTTGGTCAGCGCCGTTAACATCGTGGATTTCCCGGCGTTTGGAAACCCAATAAACCCGACGTCCGCGACTGTTTTCAACTCTAAAACCACTCTTCTCTCGGTCCCTGGTTCGCCGGGATCGTACTCTCCGGCTGTTTTTCCGACTGGAAAATTCGCGTTCCCTTTCCCGCCTCTGCCTCCTATTGCGAGCTTAAACTCGTCCTCGTGTGTTGACAAATCCGCGAGCACTCGCCAAATGCCGTATTTATACCCTCTCGGACGTAAATGCGCGGTTCTTATGTACTCTATTTCTAATTCATCGTCGTCGTGTTCTCCGTCGTCGCTTCTCTCGAGATTATCACCATCCTCGTTGTCGTCATCGTCGTTATCATCCCACACGGGCTCGGAGGACCCCCAATTCGCCATCATCTTTTTCGTCACCTCGACGTTATCATCGACGACAACATCTTCTCTCTCTTCTTCCTCCCAGACCACGGTCCCAACCGGCACTTCCATCACCTTCGTCTTCCCTCGTTTCCCTTGCATCCTCTCTTTCCCTCCGTTTCCTCCGTTTTCCGCTCTCAACAAGTTCCCCACGTGACCTAAACTCTTCGGCCCTCGCTGGCCAACCGCTTTCAACACGACGTCGCCGCCGTTCCCGCCGTTCCCGCCATCCGCACCTCTCCGTCCTCTCGACCCGCCGTCTTTCCGAAACGAGGCGCACCCTTTCCCGCCTTTCCCTGCAATCGCGCGAACGCGCGTTCGGTCCACGATCTTTTGGTTATCTTCCTGCGATGATGATGGTATCATCTCTTGTTCTGTCTCTTTCCTGTTGGAATCCGCAATCGCATCTTCGAGTAAAGTCGCGAGTATTTTCGTCGTCTGAATCGTCGTCGTCGTCGTCGTCGTCGTCCCAGAAGACGAATAATACCGCTCAAACTCGTTTTGCCTTTGGTGCGCGAGGCAGAAGTTGCACCAACGATACGTCGCCGTTCTTCCTCTCCGCGCTACGAGTGATGCAAAAGCAGACATATCTCACTTTCCCTAAGTGTGTTTTATTCAAACGTACTCACGCGGAGTCGCGCGAACCTCTTCCATCTCTCTCTCTCGCATGCACACACTCTCTGTTTTCTCTCTCTCTCTTCTTCTCTCTCTCGTTGGGACGTTTCCGTATTCGCTCGTATCGCGCGAGTTGTTCTCGTAATGTGGTTTTCATATCTGTTGTCTTGTCTCTCTCGCGAAAAAAACGCCAATTTTTACTTCTGAAAAAAAAAACAAATCTCTCTTTGACTAAAAGACTTTCGAGAACGAAGAAGAAGAAGACGAAGAAGAAGTTGGTGTCGTGAGACAAACGTCGTCATGTTGTCTGGAGTGAGGACGAGAGCGCAGAAAAGACGAATGGGGGAGAGAGATGTGTGGAGTTTGATCGTGAATAACGACGATATTTGTTTCAAACACATTCTTCCGAGATTGAATGGGACCGATCTTAAATTCTTGTACGAGGTGAATGGTGAGACGAGAGCGTTGGTGAAGAGATCATCTCGCGCGGGTGATTTGAGAAAGGGGCTTAGAGTGTTCGAGATGTCGTCGATATCGACTTTGGAGTTTGCGTGGAAGAATAAATCGTTGTGGCCGAGTGACTGGAGCGAAAGAGATTTCTGCTATAAAGTTGCTTGGACGAATAAACTCGAGTTGCTCAAGTGGATACGAGAGGAGAAAAAGTGTGAGTGGGATGGATCGACGATTGCAACGGCCGCAAAAAAAGGTAATATGGATATGGTAAAGTATTGCGTTACAAATAAGTGTCCTATTGATAGGTATGCGTGTGGGCGTGCTGCCGAAATCGGTCATTTCGAGTGCCTCAAATACTTGCGCGAAGAAGTCAAAGCGCCTTGGGATTGTATTACTGCAGCTTGGGCGGCTCAAAATGGTCATCTCCACATACTCGAATATCTTGTTGAGCGTAAGTACGATGAATATCACGAATTTGCGTGTCAGTGGGCGGCCGAGTTCGGCCAATTAGACTGTTTGAAGTACTTGCGCGAAACCGCCAAAGCGCCTTGGGACAGCTACGCCGTTCGAGTAGCGTACGAGAACGAACACCCCGAGTGTTTACAATACCTCCTCGACAATAACTGCCCTCTACCAAACGGTTGGCGATACGAAGACGGAGTACTACACACGCAAGAGTCGTCGTCGTCGTCATCATCATCATCATCATCGTCATCATCATCATCGTCGTAGAAAAACAAACGCAAACGCGCGAAGAAACTTTTGTACTAAAAAAAGCGAGCAAAATTTCACTCAAACCTTCTGATCTCTCCTCGAGCGATCGAATCCAATCCTCCGCATTCTTTTCTCTCTTTGCTTTTCTGTCGCGAGTATTAAAAAAAAGGAAACCATACCATCGATATGAAGAACGGCGTAATGCGCGTTTCTCTGTTGTTTACCTTCTTCGTGCTCTTCGTCGCGACGTTAAAAGGGGTGACCGGAGACGAGTACGACCACAAGGTACGGGAAACACGTAATCGTTTAAAAACGACGAGAGGGAGGGAATGTGCGAGAGTACTACTCCTAAAGCAATTGTCATCGTCTCGTTGTTATTCCCATCATCTCGTTTCGAAGCGCGGTCGAGAGACGAGTTTTCCACGCGCGATGATGATGCGCTCGAGCGAGAGCGTGTGAAAGAGAGCGCGTTTTGAAACACATTCTCTGGTCGGCAATTTTTGATTTGATCTCTCCCGAAAGGAGCGAGAAAGGGGCCAAAGAGGCCAAAAATGGCAAAGAAGCGCGACATGAATACTCACCTCTCTCTCTCTCTTTCTCTCTCTCCTTCTCAAATTAAATTCTCTATAAAACACACAGTATGCGTCCGGCGACCCGATCAAACTCTGGGTGAACAAAGTCGGCCCGTACAACAATCCGCAAGAGACGTACAATTACTACGAACTGCCGTTTTGCAAAGTGGAACCGAAAGACGGCGCTTCGAAGAAACCGGTGCACAAATGGGGCGGTCTCGGGGAGATTTTGGAAGGGAACGAGTTGATTTTATCCAACGTGGAGTTTAAGTTTAGGCAAGATTTACCGAAGAGAGTGATGTGCTCGACCGGGAAGTTGACGGAGAAAGAGGTGGAGAAGTTCTCTAACGCGATTAGGAATCATTATTGGTACGAGTTTTATATGGACGAGTTGCCGATTTGGGGGTTCGTCGGCGAGTACGTCGATCCGAACGCGAACGATGATGATGAAGAAGACGAGGAGGATAACAGTAGCAGTAATAATAAGAAAAGCAGTAGTAGCAGCAGCAACAGCGGTAATGATGCTGGCGGCGATGCGAAAGTGTACGTGTACACGCACAGATCGTTTGATATCGGGTACAACGAAGACCGAATTATTCAAGTCAATTTAACCGCCGAACGACCGAAAGCGTTAAAAACGGGAGAAAAGCTCGATTTTACCTATTCCGTCAACTGGGAGCCGACGACGACGAAGTTCACGCAACGATTCGAACGCTATTTGGATTACAACTTTTTCGAACACCAAATCCACTGGTTTTCCATCTTCAATTCGTTCATGATGGTTATCTTCTTGGCCGGTTTGGTATCGATGATTTTGATGCGAACGTTGCGAAACGATTACGCGAAATACGCGCGAGAGGAGGACGATTTGGATTCCATGGAAAGAGACGTCAACGAAGAGTCTGGGTGGAAGTTGGTCCACGGCGATGTCTTTCGCCCGCCAAAAATGTTGCCGATTTTAGCCGCTTTGATTGGCACCGGGACTCAGCTCGCGCTCTTGTCGGTTATGGTCATCGGCGTCACCATCGCCGGTTTGCTCTTTGAACAAAGAGGTGCCATCACCACGTCTTTTATCGTGTGCTACGCGTTGACCTCGTTCATCTCTGGCTACGTCGCTGGTGGTTTCAACGCCCGAAACGAAGGTAAAAACTGGATTCGCACCATGCTCTTAACGGCCACGTTGTTCCCGGGGTGCGTCTTCTCCATCGCTTTCCTCTTGAACGCCATCGCGATTTACTACCACTCATTAGCGGCTGCCCCTTTTGGCACCATGGTTGTTTTGGCGTTGATGTGGGCGTTCGTTTCGTTCCCGCTCGTGCTCTTTGGTACCGTCATTGGTCGAAACTGGAACGGCGTTCCGAACAACCCGTGTCGCGTGAAAACCATCCCGCGTCCGATTCCGGAAAAAGCGTGGTACTGCTCCCCGGGTGTCATCGGCGTCGTCGGTGGTTTACTTCCATTCGGTTCCATCTTCATCGAGACCTACTTTGTTTTCACGAGCATCTGGAACTATAAAGTCTACTACGTCTACGGCTTCTTCTTGTTGGTGTTTATGATTTTGATGATTGTGACCTTGTGCGTCACCGTCGTCGGCACGTACTTTCTCTTGAACGCGGAAAACTACCACTGGCACTGGACGTCGTTCATTTCCGCCGCGAGTACCGCGTTTTACGTGTACGTGTATTCCATATATTACTTCATTTTCAAAACGAAAATGACGGGGTTTTTCCAAACGTGCTTTTACTTTGGGTACACGGCAATGTTTTGTTTAGGATTGGGCTTGATGTGCGGCGCGGTTGGGTACTTCGGGGCGAACGCGTTCGTTCGAAGAATTTACCGGAACATCAAGTGCGATTAATTTTGAATTATCGACGTGTGTAATAAAGTTATATATATATACCAATTAGTAGTTATTAAACCACATGCAAATGTGAATCTACTTGTTGTTTTCGTTGTTGTTGTTCTCGTCGTCGTCTTTCTTCTTTCCTTTGAACAATTTGGACACGAACTCTTGCTTCTTCTCGAACAACTTCGACGCCATGCGAAGCGCGTCTTGAGGAGAAGCTTTGAGCTTTTTGCTAAAATCGTCGTCGAAATTTCTATTTTTACGACTACTCACTACATCAACCAGGCGGTCCAAAGAATTCACCCCGTTGGTGACGATTGCATCCACAACCGTCCACGCTTCGGCGTAATCTTTGACAGTTTGCGCCTGTCTTCTCGCGTCGACGAACGCTTTGATCGATTGGCGCAACTTTTCTTTCGTCATCTCTCGATCGCGAGAAAAGTCTATCGTGACTAGGGTTTCTCCTAAGGAGAGGAGGCCGGCAATGGCAGCCACGTCGGCACGTTTTAAAACCTTCCCAGTGTTGCCGCTAATTCTAGTTCTAGTACTGTTATCACTATTTCTACTCGAAAACGAATCGCCGTTGTTATCTTCGGCTTCGTCATCGTACTCTCTCGAAAACGCAAATTCCGCGATGGACTCGGCAATTTCCATCCTTCGTCCCGCCATTCGTTTGGCGTATCCGGGACCGCCTTTTCTGACCGCTTTCAACACTGCTTCTGGCCACCACTCGGCGTATTTTTCTATCATAAACACTCTCTCGAAGATGACGCGTTGTAACTTCTCCTCCGCCGTCTCGGGAAATCCTTCGTCTCCGTTCTCTGTCGGCGAAGGCGACGACAACATCTCCCGTTTCACCTTTTCGTCCATATCTTCCACGCATTGTTCCAATAACTTCAACTCCGGCGGGACATCGTCGCCGTCGCCCATCATCGCATCCACGACCGCGGGACTCATCCCGAGAGCGCTCGCGCTCAGATCCAAATTCTTCCGCGTGAAACCATTCGCGCGTTCTAAATTCTTCATCTTCAAACTCTCTCGAAAGAGTTTTCTTTGCAGCGTAAATTTCTTCTCGCGTTCCGCGAACGCCTTTTCCTCCTCGTCGTCGTCTTCCTCGTATTCGCGAATACGAGGAGGGGATTCCTCGCCTATCGTAGAGTACGGGGAAAACGCCTGTAAAGCGCGTCGACCGTTTTGGTGCTCAGTACTCCCAATGCGTACAAATCGACGAGCGCATCTTCCTCTCGCACGCGAAAACATCATCGCCGTTGTTAAGAAACTCATAATATATATTTATGTGTTGTTGTTCAAATTCTCTAAAACACTCCGCGCGAAAGCGTTTCTCGCCTTCTCCCAAGCGATGACGTGGTTCCCTATAATCTAAACGCTCGAATCACTTCTTCCCGTCCTCTTCATCATCACTGCCACCGAGAGTAATATTCTTCCACACTTGATCCAGTTTCCCTAAATCCGCGAACGCGACGCCGCTCGTGGCGACCATCACCCCGACCGTCGCGCCTTGCGCGAGAACTCGATAGCGCATCATCTTTTGCGAGAGGTTGAAATTTCCACTTCGGAAGGACATTAACCCGGCGAATAAAACCGCCGCGGTGGATGCGGCGCCGACGAGGACGAGCGGGGATCGTTTGCCCAGTAACGAACGCGTGGGGAGGATGTCTTCCGGGTGGTCGACTGCCATGCGAAAGTCGTCGTCGTAAAGGGGTGCTCACTGGTGTGGCTTTTACTCAGCGCGGAGTTGTACTGGGGAGAATTAATTGTGGAGGAAAAGCAAAAAGAAGGCTTGAGTTTGGAATCAACGAACAGAACGAACAAAGCGAATGCATCGCGTTTTCATTTTTCAGTCGGTTCGTTCTCGATCGTCGTTTCCAGCGAATTGAAAAAGGAAACTAAGTTTGTTTTTTTCGAGCAACTGAAGGTGTTAAAGAAACATCGTCTCCTCGCCGTCAAATACTACACACACGTATCTTTTTACCATCGCATTGAACAACAGTTTGGTACACGTTTTTGAAACGCGCAGCACTTCCGTTTCAGCGAGGAGGATGAGTATATCGATCGCGCCAAACGCCGTATCGTCGTCGTCGTGGTGTCGTTCGAATTATTCGAGACGACGGTCGCGAGCGTCTCGATTGCTCTGCTCGTCCTCGTTTACGTCAAACCGGGGTGATGATGATGATGATGATGATAATGATGACAACGACGGAGGAAAAGACAACAACGTGAAAGGCCTTTCCGCAATCAAACGAACGAACACAAATGTCGACGAAGACGCCGTGCTTTCGAACATCGGAGACTCTACGAGTCAAAAGCGAAAAGCGGACGAATTCGCGCAGATGTTGAACGCGGCAAAGAAATACAGCGAGAGTAAAAAAATGGGCGTGGAAACACCGAGTGTACAAGGTGGAGGGGATTCGAAGAAGCTCACCGCGGAAGAGAGGATCGCGCAGGCGAGAGGGTACGCGACGAAGAAGAAGGAAGAGATGTCCTCGTCGAAGAATAAAGATGCATCAGAGGAGGAAGAGAAACCATCGTCGTCGCGACCGCAAAAATCCGTGAACGTTCAAATCATATCGAAAGATACGTCGTACAATCCGTTCGACGAGGACGAGAGCGTCGTCGGCATGGACGATATCGAAACCGGGGTGAATTATAAACCGAAAGTGTCCACGTGGGGGGTATTCCCGCGTCCAAAAGATATCTCCAAAGAGTACGGGGGTGGAAGAACTTTAAAAAAAGACGAGAAAGGGCAAAACATTATCGAATCGAAAGAAGAAACCGAGGCGAGGAAAATCCGCGTGGCGAAAAAGTTGGAGAAGTATCGCACGACGAACGCGCTGAACATGACGAAAGAGGAAGAGGAGAAAGCGCGAGAAGCTTTGGCGGAAGCGAACGAGTTCTTACGCGTCGGGAGCGTGACGAAAGGTATTGCGGTTTTAGAGCCGTTCGAGAAGGATATCAACGCGCGATCGGAGTTGGGAGGACAGGTGATTTTTTGTTACGCGATGTGTTTAGATAACGCGCAGCGGAGAGACGAGGCGTTGAAACAGTATAAAAGAGTTTTGGGAAACCAGTACGGTTTAGTGTCCAAGCAGGCGGAGAGAATGCTGTGGGGAATGACCACGGCGTCGAAGAAGATGAAAGCGGATTTGTTCGATTACGAATCGGACAGGAGAAAGTTTACCGAAGACGCTTTAGAAAAATGGGTCAATCCAAAGTGGCGGTCCAGAGAGGAGGACGTTGAAGAGGCGAAGAAACTGAACGAACAAGCGATCATGTTCGTTTTCGGATTGGTGGTTTTACCGTTGATAAGTTTTATCGCGTACTTGAATATTTGATGATGATGACAATTAGAAGATCAAACAAAAATGTACAAGAAGAAAAAATTGTATTATATTAGCGAGCGCGAGCGCGAAGTAGTTTTGACGACCTGTGAATTATTCCTACGTACGTCTAGGTGAGGGGATATGTAATGTGTTACACGACTACTACTTCAATTTAGAAACTTCATACCCACCTTTCCCGTCGCCTTTGATTTTTAATTCGTTCGCGTGGAACTTTCTCAACTCTAATCGATGCGCGATGGAGACAATGGTCGTGCCGCTCGAGCACACCTCTTTATACAACTCCGCCTCGTGATCTGGGTTTATCGCGCTCGTCGCTTCGTCTAAAATAGCAAACTTGGGGTTGTGATAAAACAATCTCGCGAATCCAATGCGTTGTCGTTCGCCTCCAGATAACACATCGTTCCATTCCAAATGTCGCATGCCTAATCCTAACGCGTAATCGCCCTCGATGAATTTACCTAAACCGGCTCTTCGCAAGCACTCTTTGACGTATTCATCGTCCACGCGCGCTTTTTTCGTGTTGGCTGGATATACCACTTGGTCTCTCAAAGAGCCTTGGGATAAGTACGGGCGTTGCGGCAACCACATCATCGAAAACTCATCAGCCGCTGGTTTCGTCACGGCGCCCGAAACCGGCTCCCACAATCCCGCCAACACGCGAAGCAACGACGTTTTCCCGCACCCGTTCGGTCCGGTGATCAATAAATGTTCGTTTCGTCTGATTTCTAAGGACAGGTCTTTGAGTAAAATGCGCGTAGAACCGTCAGGTTCGGGAGCACCGACGGAGACTTTATCGAACCGAATCGACGTTTGCGCAGCTTTTTCCTTCTCTCCTTCTCCTGCGGGTAACGCTGCTAACATCTTCTCCTCTTTCGCTTTCTTTTCCATCGCTAACGATTCTTTCTCTGCGTTATCTAACGTGTGAAACAACTCTCCTAATCTGTGCGCGTATCCTGCCATTTCGTCCAAATTCTTACCCAACAACAAAACTTCCGTAAACGCGCCGCCGCTTCTCAACATCAACTCCTCCGTCGCTCGAAACGTGGAAATCCGTTCGCCTTCGCCCATACCCCGCTTCGCCATAAACGGCACGTGCACGAACACGCTTCCAACTAATAAACCTTGAAACTTGGAAATGTTATCTGCCACAGACTTTCGAACTCTTTGCAACGCGTGCCACCTTTGCGTGGTGACTAAATTATCCAACCCGGCGTTCAACAAATCCTTTTCGCGTTCGCCTCCCTTTAGCAACGCAATCTCTTCCGCGTGTGCGATTAATCGCGCGTGCTGGTGTCGGAATCCACCTTCCAACGCGGCTTCTCTGGCAACCATCGGGCCTAATTTTGGCGACATCGCCCGTAACGTCCCGGTGATGAAAATTTGACTCGCGAACAACGCCAAAGGTCGAGAATACCCCAACTCCTTCGCCGCTTCCGTCAACGACAACGTAAACTCCAAAATCGGTTTAAAGCTGTGTCCGTACAAAAATGCCGCCTCTCGACTGAACTCGTTAATATCCGCCACGATCCGTTGGTCCACGTGTTCCAAGCCACCTTCCCTCAACACCGCCGTCTTGTAAAAATTGTTCAGCTTCATGTACTTTTCGTGCGCTCTTCTCGTCAGCGCCGACCTTAACTCCACCTGAATCAACGACTCCGTATACCTGAGCCCAGAATTCACGACAACTCCACACGTCATCCATCCGATAAAGTTCCAATACCACCTCACCCAAAACTTCCAATCCGCGGTCGCGATCGCTTTCGTCAAGTAAAACGTGTTGACTTTATTCGCCCGAACGGTCAACAGCGTTCGCATGACGAGCAACGAAAACTGCGCGGAAAGGAGTTGAGACCCTCGACACGTGGGCGTCGGGAACGCAATTCGGAGTAAATATTTCAGCTCTTGCCAAAACTGCGCATCCGTCGCGCCTCTCGGTCCTTTCTTTTTCTTCTTCGACTTCTTCGCCAACGTATTCTTCCCTCCTTCCTCTTTATCCAACGTGTTCAAATCCAACATCGTCGAGCACTCTCGAATCGCCTTCGACGCCTCGGCTCGTTTCTTGCTCAAGCTAATCACCTCCGTCCCGGCGACCGAGGCAAACCCAAAGCACGATATCGCCAAAAACGACACGTACGTCACGTCTCGTTTGATTTGGTTCAAGTTGACGGCGAACCCGTCGGCGGAATGCGTCGAGACCGCATCGAAGACCAGTTTTAAGCCGTGGACGAGACCTATTTTACTCCCACCGTTATTATTATTATTTCCACCACCGGACGACGACGCGGAGAAGGCAGAGGATTTCGTTTTTAGGGCGTCCATCTTTCTCTGACTCTCTCTTTAAAGCGCGCGCGTGTATTATCGCGCGGGTTTACAAGAGTACATTTTTGGGGGTTTCTTTGTGAGGTGTGATGTTTAGGGTGTTAAAACCTAATGGCCATTTCCCATTAATGGAAAAGATTAGTCTCACAAAACGACGCGCGGAGAAGAAGAAGAAGAAGAAGAAGGAAAAAAGCGAGACCGACCGAGGACATCGATTGATTGAAAACTGATCGATCGAAAAATTTAGTAGTGTGTTTGTAAGAATATATAATCATGGAAGCATCTTCCGTTCGTTTGCAACGACTGCTCGAGACGTCGACGAATTCGACCAATTCCAATGGAAAAGTATCCTCCTCGATCGAATCCATGCCGTACGCGACCGCGGCGACCATCGCGGCGGAATACACGAAACGAATCCAACACTTGGAAAAAGAGTTACGGGATGCGCACTTACAAATTTCCGAGGGCAACGCGGCCAAACACTCCTCGGCGACGACATCGATTGAGTTGGAAAAAGCGAGAGAGAGAATCGGAAATCTGGAACAAGCCGTCGTGTTGCTCACGCGAGAGAAGGACGAAGTCACGCGGCATCATCGAGACGCCGAGGAGGCGTACGCGAAGCTGTTTGAAAAAGCGTCGGATATCGACGGCGCGAAAGATACGGCGATTAGAAACGCGAAGCGAGACATCGAGAAGAATTTACGAGTGGAATACACGCAAAAAATGGACGAGTACGAGAGACGCGTGGAGCGGGAGATGAACGAGTTTCGCGAGCAACAGGTCAAGCAAGTGCACGAGGCGATTTTAGACGCGCACTTTTCGGTGCCAGAGAGAGAGAAGATGAAGGAAGATCACGAGGACGAGTTGGCGAGGTTGAAAGCGAGAGTGGACGAGACCGTGGAGTTTCACGTGAGAGAAGGCGTGAATCAAGTGAAGAGCGAGTACGAGAAGAAGTTTTTGGAGCAAGCGATCGAGGTGAGAGAAAAAGCCGAGGAGAACGCGGAGTTGTTGGAGACTTGCGTGAGGTTGAAGAGGGAGAGAGATACCGCGGAACGGTTGAGACAAGACGCCAAAGGGGAAGGGATTAAGTTTTTGACGAATACTTTGAAAGAGATGGAGTTGAAGCACGCGGAGCAACAAGAGGTGGTGAACGAGTTGAGAGAACGGGAGAGGAAACGAGCCGAGGAGAAGATCGACGAGACGTACGCGGAAGTCAACCGACAGTTGGACGACGAAAGAGAGCAATTTAAGATTAAATTCGAAAAGCAACGAAAGTTCATGACGGAAGAGTTGGAGCAAGCGAGAGACGAGGCGAAAGAAGCCGCGGTGAAGTTGACGAACCATCACGAGGAGATGAAGGAGAAAATGCACGACTTGACGTTGAAAAGTCAAGATTTGATCGATCAAAACGCGCGTTTGAGAGACGTGGTGAAAACGTTCGAGGATTACGTCGAGGAGTTGGAGGAGAGAGAAGCGCGATTGGAGATTTACCAATCGAAATTGGTCGGCGCGAAGGAAACGATCGAAGCTATGAAAGAAATCATGGCGGACGATAAACACAAAATCGCGCAAGCGGTGTCGAACATCATGAGGAACGTAAATGACGTCAAAGCGTGGGCGACTGGAATTCGATCGAAATTAACCTTAGCTGGAGCGGAGAGCATGGACGTGCAAAGAGCGATGGTGTCGTTCGAAGACGCCATGCGATCGGTGGACCGAGCGATCGCCGAGGTGGAAACGAGCTCTAGTCGCGACTCGGTGAGATTGATGGACATCATGAAACGCTCCGAGGCTACCGCGGAGAGGGAAACCATGGACATGCGTTCGGGGAGATCGGTGAGAAAGAGCGAGTTGCAAAAGAAACTATCAGCCGCGAGCGATGGCGATAAAATTACCGCGTTAGCGGACGCGCACGACGGATTCCAAGGGTACGTGGAAAAATACGGTATTGCCGCCTCGGTTTGGGGAGCGGGCGCGGTGGAGCGACCGAAAGCCGCCGCGGACACCTCCGGCGGAGGGTCCTACTTTGGCGGCTTGTTCGGCGGATAACATGAAAAACACATTCTTTCTATCTATCTATACGCTACTTCGTAAAAGTACAACTACGCTATATTCTTTATCGTCGCATCAAAGATCGTCCCATATTTGGTAATCGTTCATCCCATCCCCGTCGTCGTCGTGCGCTTCGTCGCTACACGCCACTATCACCATGACGCCGTCCTTTTCGTCCGAGTTTGTCACCGCGTGGCCTAATCCCCGCGGACTCGACACGAGCACCCGCTCGCCTCTCGAAAAACTATAATCGGTATACCCCCCGCCCGTTTCCCGCTCGACCCGAACGATCCCGTTCGCGTTCCCAAACACCGCGAATGTCTCCGCTTTCCCTCGATGTCGATGGTTCCCTCTCGTTTTCCCTCTCTCGATCGTCCCAAAGTGCACGTCTTTACACGCTTTCGGTCCAACCAATCCCGCGCGGTCTCGCGCTCGAAAAATCTCCTCCATCCAGTGCTTTTCAGATGTGTTCCGTATATCGTTGTTGTCGTTTTTGAGTTTCACCGCGCCTTCCCCTCGCTTCGATGCGAGTGGATCGTTTGATTCTGGCATCGGTATAATGTTGACATCATCGACGGTTCTTTTCCTTTTCCGAGTGCTGCTCTGCTGCTTCACATCTGCGGCGCTCTCTCCTCCGTCCTCAAAGACAACATTCAGAATTGGCGACCGGTTTTGCATCGTCATCATCACCATCACCATCATCATCAAAAGAAGCGATAAAGACAGCGCACCGCGACCTCCGCGAGACGTACAGGAGGAGCACACGGAGGCCATCTCTCGCGAAACGCTCGGCAAAAGCGATTGGAGTGAAAGAGTGAGAGAAAAAACGGACACTAAAACGGATAAGATACGTTTTTAGTGTTGCAAAACATGTGCGGATTTTTCCCTAACTTGCTTTTATATTCCAATTTCGCTTCATTGTACATGCGCGCATCGACGCGCGGATCATTCATTCAGTCTACTCTCACTGCTCCTTGTACGAAACGGAGACGACACTTTTTCGGTTTTGGTTCCAATCAAAATATGACCGAGTCCGCAGTCGTCACGCACACCGGTACGAAAACATTTAAACTCGTTCTCTCTTTGTTCTCTTCGGGGAGCCGCCACCGGTTTCCCTTACCTTCTTTCATCCTTTTTCTGCGTTTACTAATGTGTCCTCTCTCAATCGTAAACTCGCTATTGTACTACATCAAAAGGGAACAACACTCTCAAAGACGGATGGTTCTCGGAAATCTCCCCGGAAATGTGGCCTGGACAAGCGAACTCGCTCGAGATTCAGGAAAAACTGTACGACGCACAAAGCGAGTTTCAACACGTGCAAGTGTTCAAAACGTCCACGTACGGGAACTTACTCGTTTTGGACGGGTGCATACAAGCGACGGAACGAGACGAGTTCGCGTATCAGGAGATGATTGCACACTTACCTTTGTGCGCGATTTCGCGGGAACCGAAACGGGTGTTGATAATCGGCGGCGGCGACGGCGGCGCGCTGAGAGAGGTGACGAGGCACCAGTACGTGGAGCGGGTGGAGATGGCGGAGATTGATGGGATGGTTCCGGAAGTGAGCAAGAAGTTTATGCCGTACATGGCGCGAGGGTTTGAGGACGAACGGGCGACGGTGATGATTTGCGACGGGGTGAAGTTTGTGGAGTCGTGCGAGGAAGGGACGTACGATTGCGTCATCGTGGACAGTTCCGATCCGATTGGGCCGGCGAGCGTGTTGTTTGAGGAGAGGTTTTTTAGAAGCGTGTTTAAAGCGTTGAAACCTGGAGGAGTGGTGTGCACGCAAGGCGAGTGTTTGTGGTTGCACGGAGAGTTGATTGGGGATACGTTGGAGATGTGTAAGAAGGTGTTCGTCGGAGGCAGCGTGAGCTACGCGTATTGCACGATACCGACGTATCCGAGCGGACAAATTGGGTTCGTGTTAGCTTCGAAGCCCGAGGTAGATGGGAAGACGGTCACGTTCGAACGGCCCAGTCGAGAAGCGCCGAAAACGAAAGAAGGCTCAACGCTGAAGCCTCTGAAATATTACAACTCGGCTATTCACTCGGCAGCTTTCGTGCTTCCTGAATTCGCTCGCCAAATCGTCGAGCCGCATCTCGTGCCGGGAAACGATGCCGCCGCTTGATTCAATTTACGATACACGCGAAACACTTTTTGTTTGATGTTAGAAAATAAGAAACGTTTTTACTAATTTAAGAAATACGAACGGAGATTAAAATAGAAGTCATGCGAGAGAGAGAGAGAGAGAAAAAGAGAGAGTTTAAACCAAGTAGATGTCATGACAAACACGCGTTGATCATTATTATTATCATGAGTATATATAATAATCCACCCAATTCACAAATGTATGTATAGTATATAAAATCACAACGAGCCGGTATACAGTTCCCGCTCTGGTTTGTCTCTTCTCAATGTATTTTTAAAGTATTATTAGTACAATCTCTCTTTCTCTCTCTCTCTCTCTCACAGAAGACAGACTTCAAATCGGCGTCGTGCGCAACGAAGAGAAGATATCTCTCGGCGTCACGTTTTTAAACCTCGGTGTCGTCATGCCTCCACCGTTGGCGACCGTCGGCGTCACCGCGTTACTATTGTTACTCGCGTTATTGTTGATGTTGTTGTTGTTGTTGTTATTATTATTGTCGTTATTGTTGTTTATGCTATTGACGACCTTCTTCGGCGACGCGAAGGACGACCTGTTGTTATTCGTCTTATAATAATAATTCGTATCATTCGGAGGTGTCTCATCTAAATCAAACTTCATCTTCTGCCCAACTTTAACCGGCGCGTTCAACAACGCTTCCCTCATCCACTTCCGCATGCTCACCGGACTACTCCTCCGACCGCCGTCGTCGCCAACCTCTTCTCCATTTTCCAAAGGCGTTTTCGCCTTCGCGTCGAAACTCGCGTTCATGTTTTTACCGCAGCGTATTCGCGCAGTCGTATCGTCGCCTTCCTCCGGCGTTGTCGTCGTCGTCGTCGTCGCGGCGTGCCGCGACCCTTCGTCGCTCGTAAAATACGTCGCGATTGGCGTCGCGTACCCGCTCCCGCTCGCGTCTTTCTTCTTCTTGTTGTTGTTGTTCTTCATCTGCTTCTGCTTCCTTGTCGATTTATCAGGGGAAGACGTCGACGCTTTCGTCCTCCCTCTCTTCGTTCCCTTCTTCGTCCTCGATGACTTTAATGTCTTCTTCTTCTTCTCCGTCGACGGGGTGGTAAACAACAAAACGTCGTCTTCATCGTCGAACGCCACATCGCAATCCTCGAAATCAAACGTCTTCCGAATCACAGCAGACGATGGGGTTAAAGCTTTGTCGCTGTTCCCGTTATCTTCCGCATTAGCAGAACCACCGCGTTCTTCGCCGCCACCACTTCCGCTGCCCCTTCTATTATTAAACGCGTAATCTCGTTCGGAAAGGTCCGACCCATCTCTCGAAGAGTTGTTGTTGGTATTGATCTCTTTTCCAATCGAGCGGAGATTGTATCTTCGATTTTTTAACGTCGTCGTCGTTAAAGCCACGGAGGATGAATTATTCGTGTTTGTTTGACTCCTTTGTTGTTTAAGTTGTTGTTGTTTGTGCCGTTTGCTCGTCTGAATCGTCATCTCGAGCGGTAAAAGGATGCGACGAGAGATTACTCCGCCAGATGTGTGCGTCGAAAGCGTCAAATTTTGGCGGGAAAGAAACCAACGAGCCAAAAAAGAGGGGAGTAAGGTCAAGCACTTACACCCTAAATTTTTAAGTCAAATGCTTACTCCAAAACCCTAAAATAGAGACTCTGCGTGGTGCGTATCTCTCACTCCTCAGTCTGTCTCGCTGACGCTCTCTCTCACTTCGTTTCCCTTTCTTTGTTGTTTTGCTGTCTGACGAATGTCTTCAGAATGCTCTCACCAAACGACGTCTTGGATGAAACACGAGGAGGACGAACAACGACCGAATAACACGAATAATAATAAAAGTATCGTCGTCAGCGGGAAAGTACTCGTGCTTTTCGTTTTCGTTTCCTTGTCTGCGATGGTTTTCCTGTCGTATTTTCCTCCGGCGACGACTTCTTCTTCTTTGAATGTTTTGGATAAAAATGCCGAAGAGGATGATGGGCTGCTGCTTCCAATTGCGAAAGAGGAACTGGAGGAGGTTTGGAAAGAGGAACAAGGTAGATAACGTTTAGAACGCAGAGATAGAGTACTTTAGCGAAGTATGCTGTAATAAAAGTGAGCACAGAAGAATAACTATTCCCCTTAAATGTGATGATTGTACACCGATTGCGTTTCAGTCCATCTCCTCCTCGGCGAACGCGGCGTCGTTCAAGCACGCTCGGAGCAAGATTTTTTCGCTCAGACGAAGTTTCAAAGCGATGACGACTCTTTTTTGGCGGCGTTGTTTTCGGTTTTTGTCGACATGACGTTCCTCCGCGGCGTTTTCGGTCCCGTCGAGGAGGGTATGTATTCGCCGTAACGCGGTCAAATCTTCCGCGATGGACGTCGCCGAGTATCGAGCGAATTCGCGTTTGTATATTCGTCGCAACAAAGATGACGCGGTGGTGGTCGTCGTTGGGGTTTTTGTCGTCGTTATACATTCTCGTTCGATCGTTTGGACGATGTCGAGTAAATCTTTCGAGACGCATTGGAAGGAAGGATGGAGGATTTTTGTTTCCGCGGAGGAGTCCCACGGCGTTTCGGTGACGTTGGAGAGGAGGAATTTGCGGAGGACGGGTCTTTCGGTCGTCGAGGACGGGGCGAGGACGTCGAGTTGTTTGCATTTTTCGAGAACGCGCGGGTGCGTCAAGAAGTCGCGCAACACGGCGGTGGCGGAGATTTCGATTTCCGTCGCGCCTTCGTAAATGAACGTCGTCGACTCTTTTGCTTTTTCTTTTTCGTCGTCGTCGTCCATAAAAAGCGGGAAATTCAACCGCTCGTCGTCGTCGTAGATAAAACCAAACTCGAGAAGTGCGCCGCCACTACTTTTATCGGCATAATCGTGAAAGGCTTGCGTTCCGGCGCGATATCCGCCCACTGTCGCGTGCAAAGAGATGTCGTCGTGAGGAGAAAGTCGCACCTCGCATTTCGCCGCGTCTCTCGCGGAATTGAATATATCCAAGCCCGGACAGAGGAGCAAAGCGCCGTTTTCGATTTCCGGAAGCGTAAACGCGCGCGCTAATACCGTGGCGTACGCCCATTCGAACCATTCTCGCAACGTCTCGAATCGAAACGGCGTCAGTCGTTTTCGTTGTCGCGTCTGCGTCTGCGTCTGTTTTGTCTGCGGCATCATCAACCGCTCAAACTCTTCTCGTAAACTCGCGTTGGAAAATAAAACTTGAAACTCCTCTGCGACCAATTTCTTCCTCCGTTTCGCTCTCTCTCCGATGCGACTGTTTTGCAAAAACGCCAACTCCTCCGTCGACCACAACAAAAGCGAATCCACGTTCGTCGGCAACAAATCCACGTACGCCTGCCAATGCGGTGAATAATCATCCCTCGAGCTTTCTTCCTTCTCATCTCCGTTTTCTCCTCTTAACTCTTCCGCTCTTCGAGTACTCCTCGCTTTCAGATCCTGATACATCAGCGCCATCGCCAACATGCTCGTCCTCGTCGAATCCAACGGAAACGACGACGACGCGTTCGCCCCGTCCTCGTCGTCATTAAAATCCGATTCTTCATCATCGTCTTCGATCAAAACGCCTCTCAGTTTACTCGCGAACTGTTCTTTCACGAAAATCTCCCCGACTTTCGAGCTAAACCCGAGCTGTTCGCAATCGGCGCGTAAAAACACGTCCCATCGCATCGCCGTCGGTAACGTCGTTTCCGTCGAATTCCTCCCGGCGACTGTTGCGCCGATTTCAGAAGTCCTCCTCCTCTCCCCTAACGGTATCCGAAAAATCACGTCTCGCTCCTCTTTATCCTCCAAAACGATCCCGCCGATCCCCATTTTGCGCGTGAATACGAATTCAGACGTGCACATCGTTTCGATGTGTAAGGATTTCAGCCACTGTTTGAATCGAATTAGTGCGAATTGCCCGTCGATGTCTTCTTCGTCTTCTTCTTTGAATTCTCGACGGTATCTTTCCTTCCCCGTCGGGGAAATTCTCATCGTATTCTTCTTCTTCTTCGATGAGAAGGAGGAGGATTCAGACGACGAGGAACACAAAGAACAAGACCGACAGACGCTCAAAGACGCGAACGAACTCATCGTGAAATTCGTCGGGTACGGGTTGAGAAGCGCATTTTAACGAGCACGTTATGTGTGTGTTTTTACGGCGTGATTTTTGTGGTGATGTCTCAAAATTGAGATGTTTCTGCTGTACAACCCCCCGCGGCATGCGAAACTTTTTGTTTATGTTTCTTTTCTCTCTCTTTTTCTCTCTCTGCTATCAAACCATCTCGTCTCCGAAGGGTGGTGGTGCGATGACTCTTTTAGCGGCGGCGGTTTTGCTCTTCTTTTCGTCGTCGAGATGGTTTCCGCGGTGTTTCGACGACGGCGAAGAAGAAGGAGACGCGCTTTTAGAAGGAGGAGGAGGAGGCGGAGGAGAAGGGCACACGTTTCGCAATTCGCCTAAACCTAAAACCACCGGCCAAGAGCGAGAGAAGGTGAACTTTAACCTCCCCGGTGGGTTTAACCACGGCTCGCCGTCCACTTGAACCGGCAACGGTCGCTTCAAGACGATTTCTACTTTCTTGCCTTGCGCCAAGCGGTGGGAGTGCGTCATTCGAAAGCGAATGGCGGAGAGGTGGCCGACGCCGTACGTGGCGACGACTTCGACTAAGCCGTCTTGGACAGACGGCGGTTGGAAGTCTTGCAAGTGCTCGTGCGGTTTGGATTTTTCGCCAGAGCCGAAAAAATCTACGCCGGTCGTTGAGGAGTGGATGTTGAAGATTTGGATGGTGTTCGCGCGCTCCGGGATCGGTATTTGTTTGTTGTCCACGTAAAGGAGGATGGTTTTCGGTGTAAGGTAACGGCGTTTAGCAAGCCACTCTAACGCGCCGAGGACGCCGTATCCCGCGACGTTGGCGGAGACTGTTTTTGGAACGACGCAACACTTTTCCGTTTTCTCTCGAAATTGATGGAACTGTAAAGCGATGCCGGCGTCGAAACCTACCGAGAAGAAACAGGCGGAGAGCTTTTCGAATTTTTCTACTTTCACCAGAGGCGGAGACGTTTTAGCGCCCCCGGCTTCGATATCTTTAGCGCCGTCGTACTCTATCTTCTCTTCGTCGACGACACCTTCAATCGCGGACATGTACGACGTCGACGACGCGATTGAGTCATTTCGAACGTGTTCTCCTGGAGGTAAAGATACGAAAGGATTTATCGTCGTCGTCGTTTTTGTTGTTGTCGCTTTGATCGTTTCTTCGACGATTAACTTTGGCGGTACGAATTCTCGTCTTTTCTGTACCAGATCCATCTGCGTCGTCGCCCCGGGGGGACTCAACGGTGGATCCGCGAACAGCGAAGCGGGCAAACTCGGATGCGGCGTCGTCTGCGTCGAGTCGTGATCTCGTATGGATTCAACCAAAGTCTCCTCGAGTTCAGAAGGTGAACGCAAATGTCCCGAAAACGACCAGTTTCGTCGTCGTCGTCGTCTTTTTTCTTCTTCTTTTTCTTTTTGTTCTTCTCCTCTAGTAGTAGTAGGAGCGGCACTTCTTTGTCGCAACAACGAAGATTTCGAAGAAGAAGATGAAAAATACTCCTTCAACATCTTCGTCTTCTTCGTCTTTCCGTTGTTCTCGCTCTCCCCGCTTTTCGGCAAATCAACCACGCTCTCGCTGACAAACTTCCACAAATCCGCCGTCGCAATCTCCCCTCGTTTCATTTCTTCGCAAAACGCGTCGAAATCGTTCTCCCACCGGTCTTTCGATTCGTTCCATCCGAACACTCTCGCGAACTCGTTCCCGGTCCCCATCGGCAGTTGCCCGACCGGAACGCAATATCCCGCCGATACACCAAACTCTCTTTCCTCTTCTTCGCACGCGGTTTTCAACAAAGAAAACGTCCACGACACCGTCCCGTCCCCTCCGCACGCCACCGCTCGCGCTCTTACTGACTTCTCCTTTTCCTCCGCGTTGTTGTGTCTGCGGTACGCTTCGTACCGCACGCGTTCTCTCAACACCTCTTGGTTGCCTCGATAGTCGTCGAGAAAAATCACTTCGCAATCTTTGTGCGTTTCATATCTGCGTTTGATGCGTTCGTGTAAAGTGAGAGATGCGCGTGACCCCGAGCGAGAGTTCACGAAGAACACGAGGAACGTATTCTTTAGTATTCTCACGTCGTCGTCGTCCTTCGTTGTTTTCGTCGCAGACGACGACGATGAAACCGTTGCCGATGGGGAAATGACCTCCTCCATCGGAAGTACCTCCTCTGCGTTGCGCGCGCGCTCTAAAGCACGCACAAAAACAAAAACACAGAGAGAGAGAAAATAAAAAGAGAGAAACAGCGAGAGAGAAGACGAAGCTTTGTGGTGGGTTTCTCGCGCGCCTCTGTGAGTGTGCGTGTGCTCCTTTAAAGGAGGCGTTCAATGTGTCGTACAATTGTCAACACGTGACTGTAGTTTCCCTCTCGCCCCCGCCGGGCAGATATTTTTGGGGTTATGTGGTTTAGGGTTTCTGATCAATATCCGTAACGGCGTGAGTGCGCGCGCGCGCGTTGAGATCTCCAACACATCGCAACAAAGCCGAACTGTAACCAGCATCGCGCGCGCGCGAAGAGTACGCCGCGCGATGGAAAGGTGACAACAACAACAATTTGGTGGCCCAGGAGTGGCGGAGAGGTGGCAGAAGAAGTACTCAGAAGAAAGCAGAGGTGCGCGTGTCGTAGTTGTCGCGCTCGTATTTTTTAACGCGCCTGACGCAGAAAAACCCTAAACCCTCAGAAAAAGCTCCTCCCACACGGGGAGACATTTTTTGTGCAAAAAACGACCCCGCCAGAGTGAGAGAGAGTGAGAGAGAGAGAGAGAACTATGATCGCCATCGCCGGACGAAGAGTACGACTTTCGAGTTCGACGCGGTTTTCTTCTTCTTTTCTGAGCGACAACAATAACAACAACGTGAGTCACAGAAAGGATGATGACGAGTGCGATGACGATGGAAAAAATCGGCGATGGATTTGTTCTTCTTCTTTAACTTCTTCTTTAACTTCTTCTTCGACTTCTTCGAAAAGTGGAGGACGACGGGGGATGAGCAGCGACGCGTCGCCGTCGCCGTCGTCGTCGTCGTCGTCGTCGAGCAGTGACAGCAGTAACAGTAACAGCAAAAGCAGTTCGACGAGAAACGAACGAGAGAAGGATGATGATGATGATGATGCAACGAAGAAGGAGAAGAAAAAAGATGGATTCGAAGGGGGTGCGAAATCCACCACGTCTGCGAAAGCGCAAGATTTATTGAACGCGTTTCGGAAACAACGAGAGAAGTTACAGTCGGATCCACGCGTGAAAGAGGCGTTTTCTGAAGCGAAGAAGTTTAAGGAGGAGATGAAGAGAGAGGTTGGGATGGAGAGGATGTTTGGCAAAGGCGGCGGCGCAAAAAGCGCTTCAGGGGCGAGCGAGGAAAAAGAAGCTTCCCCTGAATCATCTTCCTCTGACAGTAGCAGCAGCAACAGCGCGTCGTCGTCGGCGTCGGCATCGACGTCGTTTATCGGCCGTTACTTTAACGTCGCCCTCGACGCCATCCGAGAAGAAGTGCGTTTGCTCAACATGGACGAAACCGAACAGTTTAAAGAAAAACGGAAAAAACAGCGCGAAAAGGAAATGCGAGATTACGCCGCCGCCGCCGCTGGGGGAGGAGACGGCGACGCGCCTGCCTCGACCGCGGTACAAATCGTCAAGCCGAAAGACCCAACTCGATTCGAGCGCATGTTTGAAGACGTGAAACAAAAGCTCGGATTTAGCGAAGAAAATTTAGATAAACTGCAACAATCCGAAGCGGTGAAAAAACTGAAAAATGTCCAAGAAGATTTGCGCGAACGATGGGAAACCTCGGACTCTCCCATGGTCCATCGCATCCAAGACGCCTCCGAATCGTTTTTCGGTGAAACCGACCAAGCGGAAGCGATGAAACTCATACGCCAAATGGACGTTGGTTTCAACACGTCTGATTTCTTGAGCGAAGTCAAATCCACGGTACCGGACGTCATCAAATCCTACCTCCTCGGCGACGTCGAGTCGTTGAAGAAAATGGAAAACATTTCCCCGGAAATCATCGAACGCATGGACGGTCAAATCAACGCCTGGAAGTCTTTAGGTCACGTCGTCGACGCGCGATTATTACACGTCAGCGAACTCGAACTCGTGGAAATCCGCGTCCTCGATAACTCCCCAACCGTGGTTTTACAATTCGCCTGCCAACAAGTCAACTGCGTCCGCGACGCGAAAACGAAAGAAATTATCGAAGGTGCCAACGATGACATTCAATCCGTGCACTATTTATGGGCCATGCAGTTATCCGACGTGGAGTTTGAAACCGAAGACGGGAGGAAATTTAGCAAGCCGACGTGGCAGTTGCGAGAGATGGTTTTGCGGGGGATGATGAGCATCACGTGATGACGAGGAAGAAGATCATCATCGCAAAAACTAGAAGAGAGAAGTACGACTAGTTAAAGAGAGCAAAGCGCCGTTTGATGTAACACAACGTTTTACTCTCACTTAGTTAAAGAGAGCAAAGCGCCGTTTGATGTAACACAACATTTTACTCTCACTTTCTTTCCTCTGAAACAAACACCCACGAAACTCTTCAAAAACATTTACTTTACCCCGCGATGACGACGACGACCCCGTAAACGACCACACCGACGATGATTTTTCCTCCCTTTTTGGAGCAGGAGTGCTAACGTCGTCACCTCGTCGTCTTCTCGTCGAAAGTCGTTCGCGTCTTCTTTGTCTTCTTTTGTTGTTTGCGCGCGCATTCATCATGTCGTCGTGTTTACGAAGAAGATTTCAACGCTGGATGACGACGACGACGACGACGACGATTCAGACGACGACTTCTGCTCCTCCCGCGCGATATCAAAATCCTTCTCCTCGCGGTGTTCTTCTGCGCGCCGCCAAAACGCTGTTTTCATCGTCGTCGTCGTTGAACTCGCCTCGCTTTGAACGCGAGGAAGAAGAAGAAGACAAAGAAGACAAAGAACGACTCGGACGAGAACAAGAACACGTTCTCGGATCGTGCCGGGCGAAAACGGTCGCGTTTACCGTCGAGACGGAGAAAGAAGCGCTGGCGATTTTTGAGAGATGGCTGAAGCGCGATCCGTTGCGACCGAGGAAAGTTGTTGATTCTTCTTCTTCGCCGTCGTCGTCGAAGGCGGCGGGCGGCGGCGGCGGAGCGACGGTTTCGAAGACGTTGATACCGTATTGGAAGTTTGCGGACGTTTCGTTTCGGGTGAAGTATAAAGCGAAGGTAGGGTTTAGCGGGAGAGGGAGGAAAGATGGGGGAGGAGAGCGCGAGAGCAACGCGGACGACGACGTGGAGTGGAAAGAGATTGAGGAGTGGCGAGAGTTTAACGGAGGCGAGGCGGTGAGGTACGATTTCGAGAAGGACGCGGCGGCGAGGCAGTTTGCGACGTTCTCGGTGCGGCCGGATTTTGCGAGGTTGGTGGAGCCGCCGACGTCGTTAGGAGGTAGTGGGGGAGAGAAAGGGGACGCAGGAGTAGAAGAAGAGACGAGAAGAGTACAGAACGCGAGCGATGCGACCGTGTTGCCGTTTGAAATTAAACGTTCGTTCGCGTGGACGTTGGCGTTGGCGAACATTCGAGACGATCTTCGCGAAAAGGCTTCGAAGGAACTCAAGGATACGTTTTCGACGGACCACGTGAAAGATGTGCTCGTTCACTTGGAAGTCGTGTCTCGGGGGACGCCGTTGGCTGTGTATTTGCCCGCGTATCTCGTAGAGTTCACGCACGGACACGAAACGGAAAAGAAGGAAACGATTCGATATTTGCGCAGGAACGCGATTGTGTGCGGAACGTCCGGAAACGTTGCGTGCGATGAGTTAGCGTGTTCGAAGCGCGCTATGGGTATTGGAGGTGTAGGTATGAGCACCTTGACGTTTATGCTTTCTGGAATGACAGATTACGGTCTATCCTTCTTATCCGGCGTGGTATCCGCGGCGTTGCTTTCGCACTACGCGAAAACTTTGGATTTTCGCTCACGAGCGCAACAAAAGAAGGATCGAGAAGACGTCGTAAAAGAACACAACGCGTTTAACTTTGCGACAGAGCAATCTATATATTGGCTCGACGAGTGCGCGCAGCTCGCGAGAGACGATGCGGAGTGGAGTCGGTGGAAACGCACGAAGCGAGAGGATTGGGTGAACGAGGAACGAAAATCGTGGGCGTTGGCCATTTGGGAGAATCAAGTCTATCGGCGTCGAGAGAGGAACGAACGAAGGGAAGAATTAGAGAGCCAACGCGCGCAAAAGTTGGAAGCGGAAAGGCGCGCGGAAGAGAAGCGTTTGAAATGGGGAGACGATTGGGATCGAGCGTCAAGAAAGGCGGCAAATCGCGGACTCTCGACGGATTCGCAATCGTTTTATAAGATTTTAGAACTCGACGACAAACGCAACGAGGCGACGATTGAGGAGATCAAGGATAGTTATCGACGATTGGCGCACAGATGGCACCCAGATAAGAAGGGAGGCAAGGTGGAAAAGTTTCAAATGATTCAAAAAGCGTACTTGACGTTGGGTAATAAACTTCGAAGGGAAACGTACGATCAAATGTAGTAAAGTAGTAAAAAAGAAAGAGTAAAAGAGAGAGGGAGAGGATTTGTAGCGAATAAATTAGGAAAATATTAGAAAAGTTTAGACGATGTAGTTTTACGACGCTCGTCCCGAAGCGAAGAAAAGACGGGCGGCGTCTACTAGGTGCTAAAGTTAACAATAGTTGGCAAATCTCTCTTTTAAACGCGTCTACTTTTTCTTCTTCGAGAGGTCAGTCGCTTTCGCTTTCGCTTTTGCGCCAAGCTCTTTCGCCTTCTTCGCCGCCCATTTCGAAAGGATAACAACGGCTAAGTTTTTCCACGTTGGCGTCGACAACACGCCTTGTTCTAACAACTGCGCTTTCATCTCGTCTTCGATGTCTAATATATCTCTCTCTTCGTCTTCTTTGCTTCGATTTCTCATGAACTTCTTTTTTTCGCGTTTACTGGCGTGCGCTTTATTGTTACTATTCCCGCTCGTCGACGTGTTGTTCAAAGACGAATTGGAATCCTCCCTATTCATGGCTGATAGCGAGCCTCCTCCTCCTCCTCTTTTCTTCCCGGCACCACCAACGCTCGCCATCATCCTCTTTTCGTTCACTTTCTTCAACCTCGTCTTCATCTCCCTCGCGTATATGTCGGACGCCTTGAAATCTAACCAAACGTTTCTATACACGCTCCTATCGTTAAAAAACTGAAACAAAGTCACCACAATCGCAATCCCGAGAAAGATGTACGTAAATCTCGCCTTTAACCCTTGCTGATTGGAGTACTTGTCTCTGTAAAACATCGCTCTATTTCGTTCTTTATCCTCCGGATACTTCAACGCGTAGTCGTAATCCTGACGTCTCCTTTCGTCCGATAACACCTCGTACGCGCGAGCCAGCTTCGCAAACTTTTGCGTCATCTCTTTTCGTCGTTTCGCGAGTTTTGCATCCTCGTCGTTAGTAGTAGTATCACTACCGCTGCTCGTTTCTTCATCGTCCTCCTCGCCCGCGCCTGCGTATGTATCGATTTTATCCGGATGGTACATTCTTGAAAACTTAAAATATTGTTTTTTAATCAGCGCCTTGGTCGCGTTGTGCTGGTGCAACTCCAACAAATCGTAGCAATTCTCCGGTTCGCACCAAAGCGCGTCGTCGTTTTGTTGCTGTTTTTGCGCGTTCGCAAAGAAGACTGAGGTCTTTTTACCACCACCGCGTGAGGTTGTTGTTTGCGGTACGACGAGGAGGAAGCACAGGAGCATCATCGTCGTCGTCATCGTCATAAAAAAGCGCCTCCTCCTTTCGATCGCCGCTTCGAGGAGGAAAGAACTTCCGCGGAAGACGCGAACAGCGCCAACTTTTCACGGGTTCGCGCCTCCTCGTCGAGGAATTCTTCGCCTGCAGAGTCCAATGTATTTATTATTTGTGTCACAGTATTCGTGCGTGATTTGTAGAGAGAGAGAGAGAGAGATGGGTTCCTTCTTTTCCGTTATACGAAAAAAAGGAGGAAAAAAAGCAAAAATAAAACCCTAAATTTATCGATCCATCGATCGATCTTTTTTTCTCTCCGCGAAAGGACGAACGAAGGTCTTCAAAGACCACTACGTCCCTGGCGCGCGATTAGTAGCACTCTATTCTCTCTCTCTCGGCGCGTACGTGCAGCGTCAGCACACGCGTAACTTTTATATACCGTCCTCGTCCTCGTCCTCGTCCTCCTTCGCGCTTTCGTGGTGTTGGTGGTACACCTCCTCTCGAAAAGAAGACAAAGAAGAAGAAGACATTTCTTTAGTATATTGGTGTTGTCGAAAAGGTGTCGTTGGGGGTGTGTGAAAGGGATTTGGAAGGAAGAAGGAGAAGATGACGACGACGAGGATGCGCGGTGGTGGTAGTGGTGGTGGTGGTGATGGTGGTGGTGATGATGGTCGTCGTCGTCGTCTTCGAAGCGAACGAGGAGCGCGCGGCGTCGGGGTTGGGCGGGCGTTTTGTCCGTGGGTCGTGCTGATGTGTTTGTTCTCCCCGGGAGGGAGGATGGTAAACGTACCTTTGCCAAGGACGGTGGTTTCGTCATCGTCGGCGGGTTGGTCGGCCTCCTGGGCGGCATCGAGAGGGATCGCGTGCGTTGAGGCGGTGAAGTTTATGACGACGTATCATAACGATACGATTATGGTGACGAGGAATGGTCGCGAGATTCACGTCAACGCGGACGAGGAGACGTTGATCGTCGGAGACGTGCACGCGCACAACCAAGAGGAGAGGAGCGAAATAAAAGGCTCCGTGGTGGTGCGAGAAGGTGGGCGGGTGGTTGTGAACGATATGGACGTGGAAGATACCATTGATGGCCTTTCGGACGAGATGGCGTCTTTGAGAGCGATGGCGGCGGGGTTGCAGGCGACTTTGACGCCGCCGCCGGAACCGCCAACGGGTCCTCCGAGTCCTCCGCCGACGGGAAATTTGGCGTCACCGCCACCGCCACCGCCACCGCCGCCGACGACAACGGTGCCGATTGCCTCACCTCCACCGCCGATGGAGCCTGTGGCATCGGTGAAAGCGCTCACGGATGCAACGTTCACGAATGCGATTACGGCGTGCTTGAGCGAAAGCGGCTGCGTTACTGGCGAATGCCCGAATTATGGAAGTAGTTCGGGATACGGAACGATGCCAAACTGGGATACGAGTCAGATTACGAATATGAACGAGTATCCTCTGTTTGGTACCTGTCAAGAAACGTTCAACGGGGACGTTTCGAAGTGGAACGTATCGCAGGTGACGAACATGTATCAAATGTTTCAAAACGCGAAGGCGTTTAATCAAGATATCGGCAAATGGGACGTGTCGGGGGTGACGCACATGGGAAATATGTTTCACACGGCGAAAGTTTTTGACCAAGAAATTGGTCGATGGGACGTTTCACAGGTCTCAAATATGCAATTCATGTTTTGGGCGGCGTCCAAGTTTACCGGGAGTATTACTCGATGGAACGACGCGAAAGCGTATCAGCATTACATATTCTACCAAGCGACGGCGTTTTCGGAGAAGTTCGCGTGCGACAATCAATACAGTGGCCCCGTGCACTCTTGCGAGTGTAAATCTAAGTTGTACTGTCTCACGGATGCGATGTTCTACGACGCCGTTCGCGAGTGTTTAGCCGAAGATCCCGTCGCCGGTTTGTGCGAAAAATATGGATCGAGGACTATGAGATTTGGAGTTATGCCGAAATGGAACACGCGTTGGGTGACAAACATGAACGGTGAAAATGAAACTACGTCGACTTTGATTGGATTTGCGGGAAAGGCGGAATTCAACGGAGACTTGTCGAATTGGGACACGTCGCGCGTCACGACCATGCGCAAAATGTTCTTCAAAGCTTCCGCTTTTGATGGAGATTTGAGTAGATGGAACACGTCGCAAGTGACGACAACGCAGCGCATGTTTGAGTACGCTTCTCGTTTCAATGGCGAGATTGGTAATTGGGATGTGAAGAAGTTAAAATCGATGGGAGCGATGTTTTCTCGGGCGTATTCGTTCAATCGGGACGTGAGCGCGTGGGATACGTCCAACGCGCTCGACATGGCGTTTTTATTTCGCGACGCGATCTCTTTTAATCGAGATGAATTCATTTCAAAATGGACCGGAAAAGCTACCATTGTCGCTCAAACTGGAATGTTTTCGGGGGCGACGGCGTTTCTGTCAAAGTACGGCTCGATTTGTGGAGAAGACGGTCCTTTAAAGGCGTGCGCGCAAGTTCCGATTGAAAATGCGTGCAACGAAACAATTTCTGGAACCGGGGGCGTCGATTACGTTGGGTGTCAAGCGAAGACGAAAAATGGGTACGCGTGCATGAATTGGAGCTCGGAAGACCCGCACGCGCACTCGTACACTTTGGTTGGCGACCACAACTTTTGCAGAAATCCAGATGAACATACGAACATTTGGTGCTATACGACGGATCCTTTGAAACGCTGGGACGATTGCGAACCACTTCCACCGGATAATTATGCCACTTTCATGGACGCCATTCAAAAGTGTCTTCAAGAATCCCCCGTTGAGGGTCAGTGCGCGTCGTATGGGCGTTCGACGAGTTACGGAGCGATGCGTATTTGGGACACGAGCAAAGTGACCAAGATGCTCGACGCGTTTAAAGCGCATCCGACGTTTAACGGCGAGATTGGATCATGGAACACTTTGCAAGTCACAACCATGGAAGGAATGTTCCGCGATAGTATTGCGTTTGACCAAGACATCGGTCAGTGGGATACTGGAAGAGTCATCACGATGAGGGAGATGTTTCGAAACGCGTCTGCGTTTAATCAAAACATTAGCGGATGGAACACGGCGAACGTTCAAAACATGGAATCAATGTTTGAATCGGCAAACGCATTTGATCGCGATATATCGATGTGGCAAGGTTTGGGCGCGACTACGGTGCAACCAAACGTGTTCATCAACGCGAAAGCTTTCGGAGAAAAGTTCAGCTGCGACAGAGATGGACCGATTAGCGCGTGCACGCGCGAGACGATCCGACCGCCGCCGTCGCCGCCGTCGCCGCCGTCGCCGCCGTCGCCGCCGCCGCCCCCCGTCACTCCTATCCCGGATGCGAGTTGGCACGCCCTTGTCGCGGAGTGTTTGGCCGAAGAAGGGGCCGAAGTTACCGGCGAGTGCACTGAGTGGGCTTCCGGAAATAATTACGGGACGATGCCAAATTGGGATACAAGTTTGGTGACGGATATGAGTGGATCGGATGGAACTGTGCTCAGAGGCTTTGGGGGTAAAAGTTCATTCAATGGTGACATTACGGAATGGGACACGTCGCAAGTAACAGATATGCAATACATGTTTAATAGCGCTTCTGCGTTCAACCAAGACATTTCGAGTTGGGATGATTCAAAAGCATCCTCACGCGCATACATGTTTCTCGAAGCGACTGCTTTCCAGGCCAAGTTTAAGTGCACCGACGCCGTCACCGGTCCGGCGAGTTCGTGCGTAGGTCCCTCGCCAATTCCAGACGCGAGCTGGCATACTTTTGTCGGGCAGTGTTTGATGTGGGAAGAATCTATCTATGGTATTGCGGAGACTGGAGAATGTATAGACTGGGCTCGATCGAAAGACGTTTGGTACGGGACGATGCCGAATTGGGATGTGAGTTTGGTGGAAGATATGAGTGGATATACTGGAAGTGCTTATCAAGGCTTTGGCGATAAAAGTTTATTCGACGGCGATATTTCGAGGTGGAACACAGCACAAGTGACTAATATGGGACATATGTTTCGTAGTTGTTCTGCGTTCAACCAAGACATTGGGAGTTGGAACACAGAAAAAGTGACTACTATGTATAGAATGTTTCGTTCCGCTTCTGCGTTCAACCAAGACATTGGGAGTTGGAACACAGCGCAAGTGACTACTATGTATAGAATGTTTCGTTCCGCTTCTGCGTTCAACCAAGACATTGGGAGTTGGAACACAGCGCAAGTGACTGATATGACATATATGTTTTTTAAAGCTTCTGCGTTCAACCAAGACATTGGGAGTTGGAACACAGCGCAAGTGACTGATATGAATAGGATGTTTTTTGAAGCTTCTGCGTTCAACCAAGACATTGGAAATTGGAACACAGAAAAAGTGACTGATATGCAAGCTATGTTTGCTCGCGCTTCTGCGTTCAACCAAGACATTGGGAGTTGGAACACAGAAAAAGTTACTAATATGATAGGTATGTTTGCTCGCGCTTCTGCGTTCAACCAAGACATTGGGAGTTGGAACACAGAAAAAGTTACTAATATGATAGGTATGTTTAATTCCGCTTCTGCGTTCAACCAAGACATTGGGGGTTGGGACACATCGCAAGTGACGGATATGGCATATATGTTTGCTTCCGCGTCTTCGTTTAACCACGACATTTCTTCGTGGACCGGATCCGCAGCGACGTCAGCGCAAACTGACATGTTTCTCGACGCAACTGCGTTTCAAGCGAAATTTAAGTGCACCAACGAAATCACCGGTCCGGCGAATTCGTGTGTAGGTCCCTCGCCAATTCCGGATACAAGCTGGCATGCTTTCGTCGGGGATTGTTTGATTGAATCTGACGCGATTGGAGAGACTGGAGAATGTATAGTCTGGGCTCGATCGCAAAACGTTTGGTACGGGACGATGCCGAATTGGGATACGAGTTTGGTGGAAGATATGAGTGGATATGATGAAGGAAATTTTGCTTTTCAAGGCTTTGGCAAAAGTACATTCAACGGCGATATTTCGAAGTGGAACACAGGAAAAGTGACAAATATGTTTTCTATGTTTCGAGATGCTTCTGCGTTCAACCAAGACATTGGGAGTTGGAACACAGCGCGAGTGACTAATATGGGATATATGTTTCTTTCCGCTTCTGCGTTCAACCAAGACATTGGGAGTTGGACCACAGCGCAAGTGACTTCTATGGGAAATATGTTTGCTTCCGCTTCTTCGTTCAACCGAGACATTGGGAGTTGGAACACAGAGAAAGTAACTAATATGCAATATATGTTTGGTTACGCTTCTGCGTTCAACCACGACATTGGGAGTTGGAATACAGAAAAAGTAACTACTATGCATAAAATGTTTCTTTACGCTTATGCGTTCAACCAAGACATTGGGAGTTGGAACACAGCGCAAGTGACTGATACGAGACAAATGTTTGCTCAAGCTTATGCGTTTCAAGCGAAATTTAAGTGCACCAACGAAATCACCGGTCCACCGAATTCGTGTGTATTGAAGCAAAGCTACTGGTCCGCGTCCTATTGTCCGCTAGGTTCATGGGTGTATAATAACGACTACATAACGCACGAAACGAATCCTGGTTCCGTAGGTACACCGGAGGCGTGCATCGAGTTGGTTCGCACGGAGTGTCCGACCGCCAAAATCGCCAACATGGGTTCAGAGGGTGATTGTTGGTGTCAGTATCACGACGGTTCAGTCACGGAAATCGTAGCCACCGATGAAAACAACTGGATGGCTTGTCTTTTGACTTCTTCTCCCGATCCAATTCCAGATGCGAGTTGGCATACGTTTGTGGACAAGTGTTTAGACGAAGCTCATGACACTGGGGAGTGCACTGCTTGGGCGTCTGGTAATAACTACGGGACGATGCCGAATTGGGACACGAGTTTGGTGGAAGATATGAGTGGATATGATGCAGATTCTGTTTCTCGAGGCTTTGTCAGTAAAATTACATTTAATGGCGATATTTCGAGGTGGAACACAGGGAAAGTGACTGATATGTGGGGTATGTTTTATTCCGCTTCTGCATTCAACCAAGACATTGGGAGTTGGAACACAGCGCAAGTGACTTCTATGAGAGCTACGTTTAATCGAGCTTCTGCGTTCAACCAAGACATTGGGAATTGGAACACAGCAAAAGTGACTAATATGATAGGTATGTTTAATTCCGCTTCTGCGTTCAACCAAGATATTGGGAATTGGGACACAGCGCAAGTGACTTCTATGGGAAATATGTTTGCTTCCGCTTCTTCGTTCAACCGAGACATTGGGAGTTGGAACACAGAGAAAGTGACTAATATGGAATATATGTTTGAGTCCGCTTCTTCGTTCAACCGAGACATTGGAAATTGGAACACAGGGAAAGTGACTAGTATGTATCAAATGTTTACTTACGCTTATGCGTTCAACCACGACATTGGGAGTTGGAACACAGAGAAAGTGACTACTATGGAATATATGTTTGAGTCCGCTTCTTCGTTCAACCAAGACATTGGGGGTTGGAACACAGAGAAAGTGACTACTATGGAAAGTATGTTTTTATCCGCTTCTGCGTTCAACCACGACATTGGGAGTTGGAACACAGCGCAAGTGACTGATATGGATTATATGTTTTATCACGCTTCTGCGTTCAACCAAGACATTTCCTCGTGGACCGGATCCGCGGCGACGACGGCGCAAACTGAAATGTTTAGAGGCGCAACTGCGTTTCAAGCGAAATTTACGTGTACCGACGCCATCACCGGTCCGGCGAATTCGTGTGCGATTCCAAATTACGATCAATATTATATCCTTGCTCAAAACACGTGCGAGTCGGAAGGTTACGTGACCATCCTAAATCTGAACCAGTGCCGCATCGCTGGACGCGAATTGTCCGGCGACGCTTCGAAGGGGTTTGCAGACGATCAGCCGGCCAATGGATACGATGATACCGGCAGCGGCCGCACAGGTGGCTGCACTTTCCACAGTGGCAACGTGGACAACAATCTTCAGTTCTTTCCATTTGCTACTGGACCGTGTGGGACAGATACTTTTCATTGCGTGTGCGGAGCTTTCGCACCAATTCCAGACGCGAGTTGGCATACGTTTGTTGAAGAGTGTTTATCCGAAGCTCCGGTAACTGGCGAGTGCACTGAGTGGGCGTCTGGTAATATTTACGGGACGATGCCGAATTGGGACGTTAGTCGAGTGAATGATATGAGTGGCCATAATGGAACTGTAGTTCAAGGCTTTGGTGGTAAAAGTATATTCAATGGTGACATTACGAAGTGGAACACAGAAAGAGTGACTGATATGGGATATATGTTTCTTTCCGCTTCTGCGTTCAACCAAGACATTGGGAGTTGGAACACAGAAAAAGTGCATACTATGTATTACATGTTTTATTTCGCTTCTGCGTTCAACCAAGACATTGGGAGTTGGAACACCGGGCGAGTAGATGCTATGCGTGGAATGTTTTGGTCCGCTTCTGCGTTCAACCAAGACATTGGGAATTGGGCGACAGATAGAGTGGGCGATATGGCATATATGTTTCGTGAAGCTTCTGCGTTCAACCAAGACATTTCTTCGTGGTCTCCGTATGGGGGCCCAGGGTTTCCCCCTGAATTTCACTCTGGTATGTTTTATGGCGCTACCGCGTTCCAAGCCGCATTCGAATGCACCGATCCCATTTCTGGTCCGGTGCAATCGTGCGTTCCTTCTCTTTCTCCGCCTCCTCCTCCTTTTCCGCCTCCATCGCCAGCTATTTACATCAACGGAATACAGATTTTCCAAGATTCAGACGGCTGGATTTTGTTGCTCGCGTACAATCACGTCGGCGGCGAAAACAACGAGCTCGTTTCCGGGAAGGCGCCGCTCTCGCCCACCGAAAGTTACTCGCACATATGGTTGAACGATTTAAGCTTGACTGCAGATGACGTCGACTCAGTTCGCTTCTATTGCACGAGCTCGGGTCATTCTCGCGTCGTGCACTTCGAAACGAGCAACATTTGGGCGAAATCGGCGCTCGTCACCGGTACGGCGACTGGAAATAAATTATCGTATTGGACGAGCGGGACGACCAAGTTTAGCGACCACACGGGAGTTACACCAGACCTATCTGACGAATTTTGGAGTTCTCTTATAGAATATCCATTCTTTAAAGCAAGCGAAAATCATTGGGCCATTCGTGGCGATGGTTCTCGATGGGAATGCGACGACGCGCCTTATCAGACTGGCGCGCGCGACAGATTCACTACCGTGCATCAAATATGGTTCAAACAGCCACCGCTGACTCCAATTCCATCGGCAAGTTGGCACGCGTTTGTTGCAGAATGCTTAGAACTTGAACCGGAATATGGCGAATGCATGAGTTGGGATAAAGTAGGGACATACGGGACGATGCCGAATTGGGACACGAGTTTGGTGGAAGATATGAGTGGTTATGACTCTGAAACTGGAGCACATCAAGGCTTTGGGTTTTTTAGAACCACCTTCAACGGCGACATTTCGAAGTGGGACACCGCGCAAGTTACTGATATGAGAAATATGTTTGATCGCGCTTCTGCGTTCAACCAAGACATTGGGGGTTGGAACACAGAGAAAGTGACTACTATGGAAAGTATGTTTTTATCCGCTTCTGCGTTCAACCAAGACATTGGGGGTTGGAACACAGAGAAAGTGACTAATATGGAAAGTATGTTTTTATCCGCTTCTGCGTTCAACCAAGACATTGGGAGTTGGAACACAGCGCAAGTGACTTCTATGAATTCTATGTTTTATGACGCTTCTGCGTTCAACCAAGACATTGGGGGTTGGTACACACCGCTAGTGACTGATATGGCTTATATGTTTTGGTCCGCTTCTGCATTCAACCAAGACATTGGGAGTTGGAACACAGAGAAAGTGACTTCCATGAAATCTATGTTTTATGACGCTTCTGCATTCAACCAAGACATTGGAAGTTGGAACACGGCGCAAGTGACTTCTATGAATTCTATGTTTGAGTCCGCTTCTGCGTTCAACCAAGACATTGGGAGTTGGAACACAGCGCAAGTGACTGATATGGAATCTATGTTTTATATCGCTTCTGCGTTCAACCAAAACATTGGAAGTTGGAACACAGAAAAAGTGACTTCTATGGGATCTATGTTTGAGTCCGCTTCTGCGTTCAACCAAGACATTGGGAGTTGGAACACAGAGGAAGTGACTGATATGTATGCTATGTTTTCTTCCGCGTCTTCGTTCAACCAAGACATTTCCTCGTGGACCGGATCCGCAGCGACGTCGGCGCAAACTGACATGTTTCTCGACGCAACTGCGTTTCAAGCGAAATTTACGTGCGACGACGCCGTCACCGGTCCGGCGAGTTCGTGCAATACAATCAAGAGCACTTGGGTTGCGCCTCCTCCTCCTCCGTCTCCTCCTCCTTCTCCTCCGTCTCCTCCTCCTCCTCCTTCTCCTCCTCCTCTTCCTCCTCCTTTATCTCCGTCCCCACCGCCGCCGCCGCTCTTTTTAAAGAACATGCTCGAAGAAACGAGCACGAAAATCTACGCGCACGACGCTCGTCAAGGCGACAGTTTCGGCACGTCCGTATCTTTGTACGACAACACGGCTTTAATCGGAGCTTCCTTGGACGACGAATCCGCCAGTTTTGATTCCGGATCAGTGTACATCTTCACTCGGGCGCCTTCTCCTGCAAACGCGTCGATTATCGTGTGGACGGAGGAAACAAAACTCCGCGCGAGCGACGCGACGAAACACGCCGCGTTTGGTCAATCCGTCTCGCTTTACGACAATACCGCTTTGATTGGCGCTCGTTACGACAAGACACAAGCGCTCGGCGCGGGTTCCGTTTACGTCTTTCAACGCACGTACAGTGACTCAAATTCTGCGTCTTGGACGGAGCAAACGAAACTGTTCGCCTCGGACTTCAAAGAAGGTCACGAGTTTGGCGTTTCTGTTTCGCTGTACGACAACACGGCGTTGGTCGGCGCTTTAAAAGACGACGACGAGGCGGAAAAAGCTGGCGCGGTCTATGTTTTCGCGCGATCATCTGAAGAAAAGTGGACACAGGCGAGCGCAAAGTTGTACGCCTCGGACGCGAACGCGGGTGATTTCTTCGGTTCGTGCGTTTCTCTGTTTGAAAATACCGCTTTAATTGGCGCGTACTTACAAGACGACGGTGAGAAATACGCCGCCGGATCGGTGTACGCCTTTACTCGCACCTCTATTTCCAGTTTGACGTGGACGCAGCAAGAAACAAAGCTTCGAGCGCCCCTTTCAGAAATTGGTGGGTACTTTGGCGTTTCCGTCTCGTTATACGGCGATTCCGCATTAATTGGAGCGCACGGAAAAGACGACGTGGAATCCGACGCCGGCGTTGTGTACGTGTTTACGCGCTCTCCCGATGGATCGTCATGGACGCACCAGCTCAAACTATCCGCCTCTGACGCCGCTGAGAACGATCACTTTGGGATATCCGTTTCCTTATACGGCACTACGGCGTTGATTGGGGCTCGATTTGACGACGATAAAGGCGTCAACGCTGGGAGAGTTTACGTGTTTGAAGCGTCCTCCGAGCCGGCGGCGCCATCGCCGCCGCCGCCTCGACCCGAGTTTTATCTCGTCTTGGATGGCGTGCAAGCGCACTGGGACGCTTCCGATCTTTCGTCTCTCAATGACGCTGCGACGTTGAGCTCGAGCGATTGGGTAGACAAAAGCGGAAATGAGCGCGGCGCGCTCGCTCCTTTGGGGACGGTGACCTATCAAGCGACTGGTTTGAGCGATACGTACCCGTGTTTGTATCTCTCCGGGTCGAGTACCGGATTAGATACCGGCGGAGGAACGAACTACGTTCGGCAAACGATAGTGATGGTATTTCGCTGGGATGAATGTAACTGTCTTGGGACATGCGGTGAAGCTGTGCACTATTTGTGGGATTGGCGCGATGAATGGGGTTTGAGTTATCTCCACGGCAATCATCATAATTCAGGAAGTTCCTCGGGGCCGTGGCAAAATGGCGCGCGCTGGATCAACGCCGAAGTAAAGAACAACTTCGACACCAACCAGTGCGCGTTCTTTCAAGGCACGACGTACCACGCCACCGAGCCTATCGTGATGATTTGGGAAGCCGAGAGCCCGAATACGGGCGATGATATGACTTTATTCGCTAATTACCAAAATAGCGAGAACGTCAGAGCGCAAGTCGCCGAGATTCAAATTTACGATTCGTCGTTGTCGAAGTACGACAGACGGTCTCTCGAGTGCGGATTGGCTGAAAAGTGGGGAATTTCGGACGTTTCTGCTAAATGCGAAGCGTCACCGCCGTTAACGCAATCCGAAATGTTGGAAACCATGTACGAAGACGACGACGGCTGGCTTCTGTTGCTCGCGTACAATCACGTCGGCGGCGAAAACAACGAGCTCGTTTCCGGGAAGGCGCCGCTCTCGCCCACCGAAAGTTACTCGCACATATGGTTGAACGATTTAAGCTTGACTGCAGATGACGTCGACTCAGTTCGCTTCTATTGCACGAGCTCGGGTCATTCTCGCGTCGTGCACTTCGAAACGAGCAACATTTGGGCGAAATCGGCGCTCGTCACCGGTACGGCGACTGGAAATAAATTATCGTATTGGACGAGCGGGACGACCAAGTTTAGCGACCACACGGGAGTTACACCAGACCTATCTGACGAATTTTGGAGTTCTCTTATAGAATATCCATTCTTTAAAGCAAGCGAAAATCATTGGGCCATTCGTGGCGATGGTTCTCGATGGGAATGCGACGACGCGCCTTATCAGACTGGCGCGCACGACAGATTCACTACCGTGCATCAAATATGGTTCAAGAAAAAACAATAGTTAGAAAGCGCTTTGCGTGGGGAGAACTATTTCCAAACACTCTACAAAGCCAGTAAGTGACAACAGAGTATCCCTCAACGTACTCATAAACATTGCATCCATCAAAGGCTTAAAATCAACCGTAACGACTTTTCTTTCTCTGCTTAGTAAAATTCTGCTCGCGACGAAATCTTTTTCTCTTTCTCTTCTTCTTCTTCTTCTTCATAAAGCGACACGCCGCACGATCAATCGTGAAATCAACCAATCATCGCGGGAGAGAGAAGAGATGCTGCCGCGCGCGGTTTCCTCTTCCTCTCCGTTCTTTTCTTCGCCGAGGAGGAGAGTAAAGTCATCGACGGCGTCGTCCCGCTCCCGGGCGAAGGTTTTGCCGAGAAACGTGTCGTCGTCGTCGACGGAAGGAGGAGGAGGGAAAGGAGGAGGCTCTGAAGCGGCATCGATATCGGGGAAAGAACGACGGCGATGGATCACACCGAAACCACGTTCGGAGGAGGAGGAGAACGGAGAAGAAAACGTCGACGGAAAGAAGGAGAATCAGAAGGATGAGAGGAAAGAAGATTCCTACCTGGACGAAGCGTTGATATCGCTCTTCGCGAGCCGCTTGGCGAAGTTTTTGAACGAAGGAGAAGAAGAAGAAGAAGAAGAAGACTTTTTTAACGAGGAAAAAAGAGGAGTAGATTTCAAACGCGACGTTGCGAATCGGTGCGTTCGCGCGGTTGCCAGAACCGCGAGCGAAGAGGAGCAACGCATGTTCGGTTTGGCGATCATCGAGTCGTTCATACCTACGAAAGTGGCGAAAGCGTTTGGCTGGTTTTTGAGATTGTTTCCGGACTGGTTCGCGAGACGGCACGCGGCGTTCGTTACGCCGTTGATTTTACCGTGGTTAGTCGGCGACGCGGAGGTGAACGACGTGCCTTTGGAGGCGCGCGCAAGAGGGAGCTTCGAGGAGAGCAAAGTGCCCGCCAACGCGTTCGAGGCAGTTTTTGCCGGGACAAAAAGTCAGCAGGAAGGGTATAAGCAAGGCGTTTTGGTGAAGAGATGCCGGGTTTTGGAGGAGTCCGGGTGCGTGTCGGTGTGTAAAAACGTGTGTAAGATCCCGACTGAGACGTTTTTTACGGAAAAAGTCGGTTTACCAGTCACGCTGATTCCGAATTACGAAACTTTAGAGTGTCAGTTTTGTTACGGGCGCGTCGCAGACGGGACCGAAGGCGAAGAGGCTGGCGGATGTTACGTTGGATGCTTAGCAAGTGGAACCAAGAGCTGCGGTGTAGATAATAATAGTGGTAGTGATAGTAGTAATGAGAGCGGTAGCGAGTTGTAATAATTGTACTAGTAGTGTGACGGCTTTTGATAAAAGTTTGATTTTACGAGGGCAAAAAATACGAGAGAGAAAAATTCGCATCTTCGTCCTCACAAAAGTATCATCATGCGCCCCTCCGTTCTCTCCTTATCGTTTATCGTCGTGCTTTATCTTCTGTGCGCCGAAGGAGTGGCGGCGGATGATGCCACGACGACGAAGACGCAAACATTCGCAAGGTCTGAGCTTGACGTTGAGTTGCCGGTGTCGACTTCGCTGTCGATTTTCAAACCCAAAGACTTTACGGCTGAGAAATCGTATCCGCTCGTAGTCTACTTGCACGGATTTTGTCTCGGCGACGATGCGCAGCAGTTGTATTCGTTTACCGCTGCGCGTTCCTCGCCTGGTGGTGGAGGAGAGAGAAGGCAAACGCTGACGCAAATTGGCGTGCGCGAGCGAATCACTTCAGATCAGTTTCTCTACATGCCCTTGGACGCACCGCACAAGACGAGAACTTGCGCGTTGTGCAATATCGCTTCTGATGCTAATAATTACCTCGCGGACCGTTTGACTTCTAATTGGATAAATTCAACGATGTCTCGAATCGGACCAGAATTTCAGTGCGCGGCTTGGAGCGGGAGCGACGCCTGTTGCAATCTTGAACAGGCTGCTAAAATGAATGAAAATAACGACGCGGAATACATCGTCGATGCGATCGAAAAGGTGAAAGCGGCGTATCCAAACATCGACGCGAGTCGCGTGTACGTCTTTGGGATCGCTACTGGCGGATTCATGGCTTCTCGATTAGCGTGCCAAAAACCTGAATATTTCGCCGGGATCGCGTCATTCGCTGGCGCTTCTTTCTACGACGAATCCAAATGCAAACCTACAAAGGCGACAAATTTTCTCGGCGTGCACGGTACGGGCGATACCGTAGTGCCAATCGAAGGCGGAGTTAATATCGTCGGAACTAAATTCCCGTCGTTTACCCGTTCGATGTCGATTCTCTCTTCAGCTTTCGGGTGCAAGAGCGAGCGTTTGGACGAGGATAAATTTACGCTCCCAACCGAGGCTACGCAAAGACGAGCTCCGAAAAATGTAAACGTCGACGTGATTACTTATGAACAGTGCCGCGGAGATGCCTCGCTTGAAAGTTGGACGATCGATGGAACCGATCACTTCCTCGAAGAAAAGACGTCGCTCGAATTGTTTTCTCGCATCACAAAATGGCTGTTAGCGCAACGCCAACTGGGAGAATCTTCTTCTACGTCGTCGTCGTCGTCGTCGTCGCCGACGACAAAAAAAGAAATGAATACAGTTGAGAAACAGAATAAGGACGAGGATGCGACTGTTTCTCGCATCGAATTCGGCGCGGTAGAAGCGTAATAAGGTTTTTCTCTTGCAGACACTCATAATACATCCAAAACTCGTACATTTTTAAATTTTTTCAATAAATGTTTTTGAAGACAAATCACGATGATACCGGTTCTTGTCGTTTGGTAGACGTCGATATACCATTCATTCCTCGACGATCGTTGCTGCTACCGTTTATTCCTTTACTCGCTTCCCGTTTCTCCTGCTTCTTATTCTCGTCGCCTATGGAAATTTTAATCGAGGAAACTCTTCGTTCGTCAGCTTCCACAATGGCGACTCTCAAAACCAGTTCCGGTACGCCGCCGTTTGATGACGACGACGAGGAGGAGGAGGAAGACGTGTAATCGTCGTCGAGATCAAAATCGGACTTTTTATGGTCCGCGTTTTCTTCAAAACCATCGATTTCCTCCGAATCGTCTGTGTAGTCCACGTACAACTTGCTGCTCGACGACGACGACGACGACGCCAACGCGAGCGTTGAAACCGAAGCGCCTTGGACGACGGGGTAAGAAACCGAAAATGTTTCGCCTTCTTTTGGAATACGTGCGAAAATATCGCACACCCAACCTCCGGCGGTTTCGTAGAGAGGACTTTTGGGAATATCAATCTCCAAATACTCCGCGAGCTCTTCGATATCGGCTTTCGCCCCAACTTCGTACGCTCTACCAGTGCCGCTATCACCGCTATTGTTGTTGTTGTTGTTGTTGTTATAATTATTATCGCTACTACTACTGCTGCCACTATTCGTACCGCCAACGTTGATGTCGACGATGACGTCTTTCCCGTTCACTTCTTCTTCCACGACCTCGTTCACAAACCTCGGCAAAGTTTTGCCCCTCGCGTCGTTTTCTTCAAACTCATCTTCTCTGTCCGCCTTATTCTCTCCCCACTCGTCGTCGTCGTGTTCGTCGTATATTTCGCCAACGATTTCCTCGATGCAATCTTCGAGACTCACGAGCCCGATGGTCCCGCCGTGTTCGTTTACGACGACGGCGATGTGATACTTTCTCTTTAACATCTCGCTCAACAATTTCTCCACCGGCATCGACTCGGGAATGAAATAGACGTTTTTATCCATAATTGTTTCAATTGCATCGTCCAATTTAGAATCTTCACTTTCAATTATCGATAGCACGTTTACAATACCAACCACGTTATCGACTCGCTCGTCGAATACAATCACTCTCGTATACTTTTCCTCCCTCCAAAGTTGCTTCAAATTTTCCAACGTCGCTTTGCTTTCGATGCCGCAAATTTGCACCAAAGGTGTCATCACCTCCCTCGCCGGCGTATTCGATAAATCCAAAACGTTCCGTATCATCGACTGCTCGCTCGCTTCGATCGAGTTCGACTCCATCGCTCCGCTCAATACCAACTTCAACTCGTTTTCGCTAACAAATGGCTCCGCGCTCGTTTGTATCCGAAACAAATGAAACCCAAAATCCACGATGGCGGTGCATATCCTTCCCAGCGGGTACAAAATCGTCGACATCATCCGAATCGGCGTCACTACTAACCTCCCAACTACCAACGCGTGCTGCACCGCGATCGATTTCGGGGCAATCTCGCAAAACAACAAAACAAACGCCGACATCGCAATCGTCGCCAGACCAATCGCCTTCTCCCCGTACACCTTCACGATCGCCTCGGTCATCATCGCCGTCGCTAAAATCGAACTCACCGTGCTCCCAATCAATATAGTCGTCAAAAACCGAGTCACGTTTTGTTGCACCGCGTAAAACGGCGACGACGGCCCTTCCTCGTTGGCGAGCTCTTTGATTTTCCACGGCCACAACGTCGTCAGCGCAGTCTCAGAAAGCGAAAGAAAACCACCAAACGCAAAGAGCGCGAACGCTTGGAGAATAGTCGACACGATTTGTGGGTCCGTAATAGAGAGCGACGTCGAGGACGCGACCGCTAACGGTGGCGGCCGCGGCGGCGCGTCCAAATGGGAAGAAGGCGCTTGGACGATACAATTTTCAGCTCTTTGTCCGCTCGTCGCCGCCAAAGTCTCCGCAGGCTTCAACTGTTCCACCACGAGCACACGATCGCGCTCGGAGAAAGATGGAGACGAGACGGACGAAGAAGACGTCGCCGATATTCTCCCGAGGCTTTTTCTCATTCTCCTCCCGAAAAACGTTCTCGTTCTCGTTCTCGTTCTCCCTCTCGTCGTCGTCGTCCCAACTGCTCTTTGTTCCAATTGGCCGTTGGAATGCATCATTCCTTCGACTCCTCTCGCCGCCATGATCGTCGCCTCCGTCCGACTTTTCGCGCGTTTCGAAACGAGGAAAGAGCGAAAGCAACGACGGCGCGCGTGGGGGGGTCTTTTTGCTCGCGCTTCGAGATATAAAGCACAAAAGCAGCAGCGGGAGTAATGAGGTTTTTTATGGGCTGAATTGACCAAAATACATACTTATCCAAAACAAGAGGCAAAGAACGAAGCGGAATAAAAAATGGTGTTCTATTTTTACAAACGGCTAAAGGTGATGTGATGATCGACTGCGGATACGTTTACGCCCATTTTACGTTCCTCTTCTTGTACATTCTTTTTCTCTTTCTCTCTCGCTTCTTCGCCTTCTTCGTCCTATGTCGCGCGCATATTAGGCGCTCTCCGTCGATTTTTTCTCTATTTAGCACTACTCTTCATCAATTTCAAAGCCTTTGTTTTCTTCTCCAGCTCCCTTCTTTCGTGTATTTCTTTGCTGATGGCGTTTAATTGTTCTAAACATTCGCCGTACCTGCTTTTGCACGTTTTTAGTTTCGCGCGCATCTCTTTCACCGAGGATTCGAGTTTTTCGATCGCGTCTTCGCCTTCTTTTTTTATCGCAAAGTAGCGCTGAGCTTTTTTGATCGCGCGGATGTTTTTGGTGTTGGAGGAGAGGCGCGCGCACTCGTCGACGGCTTCCATGGCGAGTTTGGCGTTGGTTTCGTGCGCGAGCAAGGCGCGGCGCATGACGCGTTCGGCTTCGGTGACGTTGGCGACGGCTTCGGAGAGTTTTTCCAGCAGGCGGAGGTTCGATTTGTCCATCCGTTTTTTCTTCTTCCGTTTCTTCTTCTTTTTCGGAGAGGCGGAAGGTGAGGTTGTTGCGAGTTCCGGGTTGTGGTTATCGTCGCCGTGGTCTTCGTCTACCCGTTCTTCTGTTTCTTCTTCATTATCCTCCTCCTCGTCTTCATCTTTGCTAAAAGAAGAAGAAGAAGAAAGAGAAGAAGAAGGAGACGCGTCGTCGTCCTCTTCCCTCGTCTCTTCGCGCGTCTTTGCCAACATCCTCTCCAACTTTGATACCGTCTTCTTACACTTCTCGTGGTGATCGAAACACTCCGCGTGCGCAATCATCGCCTCTTGACTTCTATTCTGATACAAACTCGCCACCGCCCTCTTGTGCAACGCCGGCACCGCCTTCTTCACCGCCCCGCCGAGCTGTTTATACATCCCGTCCACGGCTTCCCTCGCGCGCTCCTTCTCCTCTCTCAACGTCCGCTTCCCTCGATCGTACTCTTGCTCCGCTTTATTCACTTCCTCCGCGGCATCGTTCAAATCTTCCAAAGCGGTTTCCACCCTCGGATCCACCTCTTCCTCCTCCCCCATCAAATCCGTGTTTCGCTCGTACATCCTCCCCCGCGCGGCGAGCGCCTCCGCTTCCTCCGCTCCAAGAGTCGCATCCAACGCGGAATCTTCCAAAGACAAAATCGAACACGTCGTCGCGTTATTCAAGGACGACTGCGTCCTTTCGTGGTGCGTTTGCCCACCACCACCGTGGTCGCGATGATGATGGCTACGACGATGCGCGAATTTTGGTCGTAAAAAATCCTCCTCCGTGAACGCAATCGGATCCTCCAAGTGCCCAATTTTCTCATCCTGCGCGGACAGAAACATCTTCCTCTTTTCCTCGTTCGGTTCTTCTCTCTCCTCGAAAGAGCGGTTGGAAACCCCGCGCGATTGACTTTCCCGCTCGCTTTTTGTGTCCTCCTCCTCCTCGACCACCACTTCGAGCGCGAGAGAAACAACGACCCCCCCGGAGACATCATCGTCCAAAGAAGGCACCAACGCCTCCAGACGCGCTCGAACCACCGCGGATGAAAAGACACCTTCCTTAAAAGAGGCTTTCGGTGGCATGACGATACAGACGACGACTCTTTCGCGCGTTTTGGTTCAGACGATCGCAAAAGCCACTTTTATGCGCGCGCGAGTCGTTCAGGGAAATCCATTTTTGTGAGGGAAAATGCATTTCAAACCGCACTCTTTCTCACGCGCGCACTCATCGTTACGAGAGCCTCGGTGAAAGCATCCCTCGTCGCGGAAGAGTCTCTGCGTTCCCTTCTTTCCTTCGCCGCGTTTTAGCGCGCGCTATTCGTGCGACGCAATCGACGCTCGAAACGTGAGAGAGTGCGGATACGAATGCATTCGCGCTCGGTCCCCGCGACCGGGTCGGTCGCGTCGTCGTTCCTCCCGGGGATGATTTCGAAGAGGACGACGGTTTTGAAGACGACGACGCGTTTACGAACGAAAACGACTGTTTCGAGCAAGCCTCGTGCTGCTGGAAAGTTTCCCCGGCGAGGGTTTTGCGGCGGCGTCCGCGTGGTTTCTTCGTCGTCGTCGTCGTCGTCCGGAAGAGGAGGAGGAGGAACAGAAGGAGGAAGCGGAGACGAAGAGGAGGAAGAAGAGAAGGACGATGATTCAACCGAGAAGGAGGAGAAAGAAGCGCGAAATGAGGCGGAGACTCCTCCTCCTCTGCCGGAATCTCTTTCTCGCGGAGCCGCCGCCGCTTCGCGTCGAGCGCCGATACTGCCGGGAGGACCCCGTCGTCGTCGTCGTCCCGATGAAAGGCTGAAAACGAAAGAAGAAGAGGAAGAGGAGAACAAGAAGTTTGAAAAGCTTCAGAACAGCTTGTTTTTATCCTTGTTAGTGACGGAAGGCGCGATAAAAGGGTCGGCGATGACGGCGTTGGGGTTATTATTGAACGTGAAAGTGATTGATTCGTTTCGTTTTTTGAGCGAGAGCGCGAGCGGAGGCGACGGGGATGTCGTGCTTCTCGGGACCGGCGTTTCGTCGGCGGTTGGCGTCGGGATCGCGTGCGCGATGCCGTTGGTTTTGATCGACTTTGCGATTATGAATCTGTTTTTTCCCAGCGAAACAAGCACTTCTTCTTCTTCTTCCGATGCGTCCGATGCGCCTTCGCTGAGGACCGCGGTGTCCAATTACGCGAAAGAAGCGTCGTTGAACAACCCGTGCTTGAACATGCCTTTTTATAAAGACGCCATCGTCGCCTCTGTTGCACGCGTCGCGGACTCGTTCGCGTGCGTTTTCACGCTTGGATTTTTATTCACGTGGATAACGGAAAGAGGCGTTGAGTACGGTTTTGAGGTGTACGAGATTGAAAATACAACTAAATGGCTCGCGCTCGCGGCGACGGTGTTGGGTAAGGAGGCGATGATTTTTTATGAAAGTTATCGAAGAAAGGGTTTTGGCGCCGGTGGCGGTGCCGACGGTGAAAAAGCAGGAGGTAAAAAAGAGAAGAGAGCGCCCGGGATGAGAGCGTACGTGGTGACGCGAGATAAAATCACCGGGAAGGAAAAAATGGAAGAGATCACCACGGAGAACATCGAGGCGAAGAAGAAGAGAGGCGAAAAATTGGAGCCGCAAGAGTTGGCGATTGAATCCGCGATGTACAACATGAACGTTCGTTCGACTATCGACAATTGGCGCGAAAGAATTTCAAATGGTTTGCTTGGTTTCTCGTTTGTCGTTTCCGGCGGGAACGGAGCGGCTCCTTTGGTTGGAGGTTTACTCGGCGATTTACTCTTTTGCGTGTATCAAAGAAACAACGTGAAAAAATATCTCGAGAAGTACGGTGTGGATGATGAAAGTAATAGCAGCAATAGCAGCAGCAGCAGTAGGAGTAGGAGTAGCAGCAGCAGCAGTAGCAGTAGCGGGAACAAAATGAGAACATCTATTGCTGTGGCCAAAGCGCGACAGCGCGAGATGCAATCCGTTTTGGTGAAGAAGATGAAAGAGAAGGAAGGAGAAACGAATAATACAACGGCGAGTGAAAGCGTCGGTACGAGTAGCAGTACCAACAGTACCAGCAGTCAGAAAATCAACGACATGATACAAGCGGTACAAAAAGAAGCGTCGCTCGTCGCTCGTCTCGTAGTCGAAGCCGACGAGAAAGAATCTCTTCTCTCCTCGTCGTCAACACCGGCTCGCGCCACCAGACTCAACGCCGAACGCAAAGCCTTCAAAACTCTCGAGAACAAACTGCCAAAGCTCATGACGGGTCTTTTCGACGGAGAAACGCCCGAACTTTCCGAATACGAAGTCGCGTTCAAAGAAGCTTCGAACTTTTTGCGAACGGAGAAAGCTTCGCTCGAATCCAAGATTCAATCCTTCGACGAAAGCATCGAGAAATACCGAGCGATGTTTGCTTTCATATTTTCGAACGACGACGTAAACGACGAGGACGAGGACGACGTCCGAGAAAAAGAAAACGAAGTTAGACGAGAAACAAATTTAGAAGTAGGAAAGAAAACGAAAGACGAGGGCGGCGGCACTGCCGTTGAGGCGAAAGAAGAAGACGACGGGGCGTCCTTCGCGGAAAAGTTTGCCAATTTCTTTTGATGAAAGACGCCACCTTCTTCAAAACCACTTTCTTTCTCTCGCAGCACAGTACTACTACTACTACTACTACTACTACTAACAACCGCGCGCGAGCTCTTGTCGTAAAAGCATAAATTCTCTCGATTTTGCTGAAAATTCCTCAAACTTCCCAACAAACGCATCCCTTTTGAAGCGGCAAAGCACGACGCGTTTGCGACTTCCAAAATACATAAAAGAGCATCATGACTCCCGCATCTCGAGAATTAGAGCACGAAAACGAGGAGGAAGAGTTGAATTCGTTCCCGCGGATGTCTGTCGGTGAAACCAGAGACGTGTCTTCGCTCAAAGACAAAGGCGTGACGAAGAAGCTTCTCCAACCTTCATCCACGCCTTCGCATCATCGCACGCACCCAGAAGCCGGGGATAAAGTCCTCGTCCACTACACCGGACGGTTACTGGACGAAGCGAAAACCAAGTTCGATTCCTCGGTCGATCGCGGGGAACCGTTCGAGTTTACCGTCGGGGTTGGGCAGGTTATTAAAGGATGGGATTTAGGGGTGATGACCATGGAAAGAGGGGAAAAGGTGGGCACCTTCTGATTTGTTTGTTTGTTCTCTCGTTGACGACGCTCTTTTGGTTTTACCGCGACGAGTACAATTACCACCACCACTGCTCACATCGTATTCTCGTTTTCTCTCTCTCTCTCTCGGGATGATCTTTTTTAAAAAAACAGTGTTTGTTAACGTGTAAACCAGAGTACGCGTACGGGGCGGCGGGCGCGCCGCCTTCGATTCCGCCCAACGCGACGTTGGAATTTGAAGTCGAGTTGATCTCGTGGAAGTCCGAGAACGATTTGTTCGGGGACGGTGGAGTCATCAGAGTGGCGAAGATTGAAGACGGGGAAGGTTGGAAGACGCCGAAGGATGGGGATTGGTTGGAGATTGGCGTGCGAGCGAGTCGGAAGGAGAGAGAGACGGGGAAGATGTCGACGGTGTGGGAGAAGGGTCTCGCGGATGAAGGAGAGGAAGAAAAGGAAGGGCTTTTCTTTCAGCTCAATTTGAAGAAGAGGAATGGGAAAGAAGATGCGGACAACGACGACGCGAGTAAAGTGCCCTTTGGCGTGCATTTGGCGCTGCAGTTTTTCAAAAAAGGTGAGACCCAGCGACTTTTGGTTCGAAACGAGTACTTGTTGGAAAAAAATGCACCATACGACGAGGACGACGAGTTGTACTTTACGGTGACTTTGAAACGTTGGGTTCACGTGGAAAAGATTTGTAATGGATTGGGCGAGAAGACAACCATCAAAGAGGCTCCTGAATCGAACTACGATACGCCAAACGAAGGTGCAAAAGTCGTCTTCTCGTCCGTGAAGGTGTACCGAGGAAAGCGCGATTTTGCGCGACGAGGACGGGTAGGAGACCAACGGAAAGAAGAAGAAGAAGAAGCGAAAGATTTGGTATTTGCATCGAAAGAAGGCGAAGAATTCATCTACGAAATTGGTGGCGACGATGACGACGAGAGCAACGCATCGATCATTGTTTCCGCGTGCGAAGAAGGCATCCAACGCATGAGAGCGGAGGAAACCGCGCAAATCGTTCTTCCCACAGACTTTGCGTTTGGAACTTCGTCCTCGGACAAAGGAAAAGAAATCAAGAAAACGTTTAGCAACGGCAAAGAAATTTCCAGCTCTGACACACCCTTCGTGACGTACGTTTTCGAGATGAAGTCGATGGAACGCGCGAAAGATCCGTGGGCGCTCACCGGCGAAGAGAAGGTTGAACGCGCGGAGAAATTAAAGTCTTCCGGGAACGCTTTCTTCAAAAAGAAAGAGTACGCTCGAGCCGAAGCGAAGTATTCCCAAGGACTTCGATACGTCGAACCCGACGGCCAACAAAAAGAGGAAACTGCAAACAAAATCAAAGCTTTGAAAGTGTCCTTGCATTTGAACTACGCGGCGTGCGCGTTGAAACGATTCGCGTGGAAAGAAGTTGTCGTAAACTGCGACGAAGTTTTGAAAATTGAGAGCTTGAACGAGAAGGCTTTGTATCGCAAAGCGACTGCGGAGATTGAATTCGAGTTGTACGACGAGGCGAGAAGAACGATTAAGACGCTCGTCGAAGATGTTACCTCGCCGTCACCGACGTCTGCGTCGGAGACGCTCAGATTGAAGCAACGTTTGAAGCAAAAAGAAGCGACCCAGAGAAAGAAAGACTCAAAAGTATTCGGCGGCATGTTTTCAAAGCTCGATTTATTCACCGAAGACGAGAGAAACAAGAAACCGAAATCGGACGAGGAGAAATTCGACGACGCCGAAACGGCCTTGACCGGTTTGGGCGAGATGATGAAAGGCAGCGGCGGAATAGGAGGAGGAGGAGAAATAGATGCAAACGCACCGCCGCCACTGCCTTTGGAGGATTTACCGGACGACTTTCAAGATTACGGCGCGAAAGAGGCGATGGCAACCGACACGTTCCCTTTTGAAGAGGAGAAGAAAAAGTTGGAAGAAGGCGAACAAATGAGCTTGGAAACGGCTTAACGTAAACATTATTAGCTTGACGTTTCAAGATGCTATTTAGCTACCTCTACATTCCTACTCTCGCGCGCGTATTTTCTTCTTCCTAAAAAAACTCCAAAACGTTCGCAACCGGTCCTTCTCTCGTTACGAACGCTTGCGCGAAAACACCGAGCATCGCAATCATCGCTAATCGTCCGTGTTTCACCTCGGATACTCTCAATTCCACGTCTCTCTCCGCGTCCGCGCTCAAATTAAACGGATCGAACGGCCCTCCGCCCGGGTAATTCGTATCTCCCGGTAAATATACGCCAACTGGTTCTAGACTCTCGATCCCTACGTATCTCGCGTACTCCGGACCTCCCATCAGAACCGCTTGACAAAACGCGATTCCAATTATGCCGCTCGCGCCTGCTATGTGAAACCCCTCAATCCCGAGATAATTCACGTCTATGCCTTCCAAAACCTTCTCTCCAATCTTCCACCAAATCGGTTCGCTCAGCTCTAACGCGCCGCTTCTCGATAAGATCTCCGGAACGCACACTCCTACAACCGCCAACATCGCCCATCGTCCGTGCAACAACTCCAACTCTACGTTTCTGCGTCTCTTCTCCTCCGTATCGCTCAAGCGCAAAGGATCGAACTGCGCGTCTCCCGCTAACGTCCCGTCTAAATACGAAGGGAACATAAACGACGACGACGCATCGTCATCAGAGTCTCCTCCCGAGAAGAAAGAAACAGACTTTCGCGGCATCCACCGTCCTCTTTCCTTTCCAAAATACATTGGAAACTTTGCTTTCGCCAACGCTCGCATCCTCTCCCTCCCTTCTCTCCCGCCTTCCGTGCCTCCTTCGTCTGCCTCTTTCGCTTTCCTCGCTTGCTCTCTCAATCCGTCGCCGAGATCCGATTTTGATACGCACGTCAACAGAACAACCGGTAACGCGGAGAAGAGTAAAGACGCGTTCGAGCCGAACTTTTGGACCAAGACCACGCCCAACGCGACGCCAAAGGTGACGTAGAAGAGAGGCGACGAGACGACGTTTTCGATTATGAATTGTTGTTGTTGTTGTCCGATGGTGTCGTCGTCGTCTTTGGCTTTCGATGACGACGATGATGACGACGACCATGCATCTTTCTTACTCTCAAAATCCGTTTCCTCCTCTTCGCCGTCGTTCTTCTTCGAATCGGCGACGAGACGAATTTTGTTCAGACGTCGTCGTGTGCGTCCTCGTTCGCGCGTTGTTGCACGCGTCGAGAGACGAACGCTCTTCGAGGAGGAGGACGACGACGACGAAGAAAACGGGGCAGAAAGAACAGCACCACCACCGACGAGAACAGTAAAAGAAGACGTCATGTTCCCTCGAGAACACTACACTACTCTTTGTCGTCTCTGTGTATCGTCAAAGTTTTTCCGACGATCGATGCAGAGGTCTCTCGCGCTGTCTTCTCTCAAAGCGCGCGCGTTTCGAGATTCAATTCAAGTGCGGAGAGAAGAGGACGGACTTTTCCCCAAAGATATGTTGCGAACGCGAACGAAGAGCAACACCAACGACGACACCATCAGAGGAGGAGAATCAGGATCAGCACTCAGAGGAAGTAAAGGCAAACACCACTCGCAACGGAAGAAGAAACACATCCTGAACCTTTGCATCGGATTCGCGATCGTATTCATCCTCGGCGCGTTCTTCTCTCTGTTCGTGTACGACATCGAGGATTTGGAGGAAGCGTCGGCCGTTTCGTTTCGAGACGACGGAAAAGGGACGTTGAACGACGAGAGGAAGAAGAAGAAGAGAAGGAGAAACCACGAGGAAAAGGAAAAGGAAACAGAGGAGGCGCATTCGACGAGGCGTCGTGGGAGTCAATTAGGGAGCGCTGTAACACCAAATGCGCGATTCGATGATGTGCGTTCGAGTTTCGCGCAGTCTTTCGCCGCGCTCTCGAAAGGAGGAAACGGAGGATCGTTTCCGTACCGGTACGTTTTCGATCTTTTGCTATTCGCTCGTCTTCGTCGTGTTTTTCAATGACTGATGTCGTCGTTCTGTTCTCTTCTTACAAAACAGGTTCAAAGTGTTCGTGTACGAAGACGTTCCGGAAGCGCTCAACGCGGATTTACGAACGAAACGAAGCGATAAGTGTAAAGATAACGGGTACGCGAACGCGGAGTGGAAGATACCGGAGCTGATTGCGAAGAGCGAGGTGTACACGCCAGACCCGGAATTGGCGGATTTTTACGTCGTGCCTTTGTTTCCCGAGTGTTACGTGAGAGATAAGTTGGAAAAAGGAGGGGCGGATTACGTCACCGCGGTGAGGAAGGTGAATAAGATGTACCAGGCGGCGATCGATAGGATCGCGGGGAATTATCCGTATTGGAGGAGGAGCGAAGGGAGGGATCACGTGTTTATTTTTCCCGCGGAGAAAGGCGCGGAAAACGTGTTGAACGAGAAAACTTTGGAGAGGATCGGGAAGGCGATAAAGATTGTCGGCGTGCCGACTTTTAAATCGTCGCTGTCATCGAGTGGCGGCGAGGATAGCGATGGTGATGGTAGCAATAGAGTTGATAGTAATAGCGAAAGCCTAGAGGAGGAAGAGAAAGAAGAAGAGGAGAACAACAGCGCTAAAGCTATGGCGACGCGTCGCGCTCGCTACGCGTTCTCGCCGTTTAGGGATATTATCGTACCTCCCGTTCGAGATTCCAGAGACGAAGCCTACGCTCTGGTGAAAGCGGAAATGGAGAACGTCTTTAGCGCGAGGAGAAAAATACGAATGCATTTTCGAGGGAAAGTTGTCAGCGAAGATGACGAGTTCTTCGGCGCGGGTGGTAGCGGTAGTAGTAGCGAGAGCGGCGGAAGCGACACCAAAACTGACTCTTCGACCGATGGTAGAAGGAAAAGTTCATCTTCCTCCTCCTTCAACGTGAGAAGACGCGCGTACGAACAACTCAAAGGTTTAAAAGGCGTCAACGTCGTCATCGACGAGAGCAATACTGCCGGTTCTTTCGAAGTTACCGGCGGCATAGAAACCGACAAAGGAAGGAAGAACGCGACGTTCTCTTCCTCCTCCTCGTGCGATCGCAAGTGCGTCCTCCGCGAAATGCGCAACTCGGAAACGTGCTTAATCACTCCTCACGGCGGCCTCGAAGGATGGTCCACCGCTCTCTCCGACGCTATTCTTTCTGGATGCGTTCCACTCATCGTCCACGACGACTTCGAACCGTACTTCTCCGACGTCCTCGATTGGGAAAATTTCTCCTACAAAATCCCGACCCGCGAAGCTCTCCGAAACGCCAAAGACGCTTTACTCCACGAAAAAAGCAAAGCTTCCTCCATCACGCGCTCGAAACGAGAAAACGATTTAAAAATCGCCGCGCGGGCTTCCGTTTGGAACGACAAGTGGCAAAGCGGCGACGCTTTGGATGCCTTATTCGAAAGTTTACGCCGACGGGTTCGGTATCATCGAAACTCGCCGTTTCGATTTTACGCCGAAGCCGATCGAAACGGTTGACTTTTGTTGAGCGCCGAGAAGATTGGAGAGAGAGAAAGAGAAAGAGAGAGAGAGAGAGATACAGAAAAATGTACAAAATTTGACAACGATTACATCATCACACGCTCCTAATAACAAACTATTCTTTACTCATTCAAACGCCGCGTCCGGCGTCCTCTTTCGCTCTCTTCTCCACCTCTCGTTTGAGTTGTTCCATCTCGTCTTCTATTTTCGTCGGTAAATTTGTCGCGTCGGAGATAAAATTGACCACTTCCGTCGCCGTTCTCTCTAAAACGGTTTCCGCGAGTGCTTTGCCAAGGAGGAACGCGTCTAACGGTTTGTCGTTTACGTCTGAATCGTCGCTTTTGTTGTCGTTCCCCGCGGTGGCGTTTTGGGTGACGTTTCGCTTCTTTTTCTCTCGCGGGGAAAAGGAAATAGAACGACTTTGTTGGAAAGAGAACGAGGAGGAAAAGGAGGAGGAGGAGGACGAAGAGCAGCAGCCGTTGTTCGACGAGCGACGGCGTGCCCCGATGAACACTCCCTGCGCAGAAGGGTTTGCGACGACGGGATGCATGCGCGAGCGTGGTTTTGCAAACTGGAGGATTACTTTACCGTGACGATGTGATGTCAAAAATGAAGGATTTGGTGGACGAGCGAACGAGAAGAGGACGATTAAAGATCGATCAAAAGTATCGGAATAATCATTCGGCGTTAAATGCGCGTCGTCATCTAAACGTTGCGTTCTTTTGTGAAACAACAACTTTTATTAGTAGTGTTGATCTTTCTTCTTCTAATAGAAAATACAAATACAAAACAACTCTCTCGCTCTCTCGCTCTCTGCTCCAATTGACTATTACCGCCGCTCTTCTCGCGGGTACGCGCTTTCGTCTTACTCCAAGTCTCGAACGATATCGCGCGGAATTTCTCCGTTTGGCGGCGGTTGATTCGATAAGCGAATCGTTCGAGGCGTGCCACCTGGGGTGGTGGTTGTGGTCGTTTGATCGTCCGCGTTCGCGCCTCCCTTTTTTGGGTCTGTTGTTTTTGTGTTCGTCTTTACGTTCGCGTCGCTATTCGCGTCGATTTGAGTCAACGTAAAACCGCTCGCCATCCACATCAACCCGTTATGTACGCTCTGCCCGACGCTCTCGATACCCTCTCGCATCGCCTCTTTCGCGTTTGAAAGCGCATTCACCGCGCCGTTCGCGTTCGTTGCAAATCTATTTAACCAATCCGGCGGCGGAGGAACGCCCAACGCCTTCGTAAACGCCTCGCAAAACGTGTTACAATTCTTCGAAAATAACTCGTACTCGTTCCCTGGCCAGCTGGCTTTCATCACCGCCACTATCGCTCTCACTTTCGTCGCGTCTGCGCTCGTCACCCCTAGCGGAATAGACTCCCGAAAAACGTACGCGCTGTTCATTTTTGGTTGACACGGGTACACGCCGGTCCCTTCTTCGCAATAGCCGTAGGAATATTCGTACCCGTGCACTTCAATCCCGCCGTGAAATATCCCGCCCGCGTTGAACGTGTCCTTCGTTAACGTGTTCAGGTGTTGAATCGTCGCGTTGGTTAAGTCAGACTTCGTGTTCGTGATGTCGTAGACGTTCAGGGTTACCAGCGCCATATTATACTCTTTGCCTCCTTCCTAGTGGTGTTTACTACTCTAACTCTCTCTCTCTAATCTCTCTTTAATGGTTTAACGATACAGTATCAGTGTCGAAACGCCGACTCTGGACTCTCGAAAACAATCTCTCTTTCGCGCTCTTCTCCTCCTTCGCCTCACGAAAACGACGACGATGTGTACGTTTTGAGAAGAGAAATCTCTCTCTCGTTTCCCCGCTCTCAAAGTCTCTCAAAATGCGAACAAATAAACTTGCAACTCTGTTTCGATCGAGCACGCGTTCGTTTTCGAGTTCAAGAGAGAGAAATTATTATTATGATGATGATGGCAAAACAGCGCTCGTTTCTCTTTTACTCTCGTTCTCTCTCTTTCTCTCTCTGTCTGTCTCTCTGTGTAAACGTTTGTGCGGATGCGATTATGCGGGGAAAAATGCGTGAGAAATTCTCATCAGACGCGCTCGAATAATACCTCTCGATACGCGTTTGAAACGATGCGAGACGCGAAACGAAAGACCTCGAGAGGTATTCCACACAATGTCAACGAAAAGGGCGGACACTTTTACCACTTAGAGCGGAAAACAAACGACAAATACGACCGATATGAAACGATGAGACGGAAGGTGTGTTCTTGATGTTTTTCAAACTGGCGTGCGCGTTCGTCTTATCCGTGGTTACGGTCGGATGGACGTGGGCGAGTCGCCGGCGCGAGCGATTCCATCAAAATCGTTCAATTAAAACGAGTGATTTTGTGACTGCCGAGACTTTGGCGGGAGGAGGCGAAGGCGTCGGCGTCGTCCTCCCGGTGAGAGGCGTCGTTTCAAACAGGACGAGAGATAACTGGCACACGCAAGTGGAGACGAAACATAGAGGGGAAGTCGCGTTCGTGTTCGTGGTGGAAAAAGAGACGGACGATGCGAAGGAAGCGGCGGAACGGTTCGTAGGAGGAGCGGCGGCGGCGTCCGCCGAGGGACGAGGAGGAAGAAGAAGCGCGCGAGTGGTCGTTTCCGGGAGCGCGGAGAACTGTTCGCAGAAGATTCGGCAGCAGTTGCGAGGGGCGGAAGAGCTCGGGGCGATGATGGGCGACGAGGACGAAGACGACGGTAGAAGTCGTCGTGGTTTTCATCGTCGCTTTTTTCGAGATGAAAAGAGGAGCAAAAACAGAATTAAGTACGTTTTGTTCTTAGACGACGACGTGATGCTGTATCCGAGCACGATTGGGAGTTTAGTGAGCGCGATGGAAAAGGACGAGAAGGAGACGGGCGGGAACGCGTTGTTGGCGACTGGGTACCCGTTGGATTTAGTTGGCGGCGCGGGCGACGGCACGTCGTCGTCGTCCTCGTGCTTTGCGAATTACATGACCATGGTGTATCACCTCGTGTTGTTGATACCTTTCTCGCACGGTAAGTACGCCAAAAACGTTTGGGGAGGGTGCATGCTTTTTCGGTTGGAGGATTTCCTCGCCAACGCGTGTAAAGTGAAAGAAGCGTACGAGACCGGCGGATACTCGGACGATCTCATCGTCGCCGCCGCTGCCGATCGGGAAAAGAGAACGATACTATGTCCCGGCGACGCGTTGTTCCCAATGCCGCTCGATCCGAAACAAACCGTAGGAAATTTCCTGAACTATTTTCATCGACAAATTTTCGTCAACGACACGTATTCCGACGGACACATGAAATTTATCAACCACGGTATGCTTCTGGCGATGTTTCTCTCCAGTTTATGTTTAACGGTTGGAACAGTCGCGAGCGCGATAGATATTGCGCTCTGGTTATGGACTTTAGCAGCGTGTTCCAAAACATCATCCCTCTCGATTGCGGCGACGGAGAAGACAAACGTCGTCCCTTCGCTCGCTTTCGCGGTGTTCTTCGCGCACTTCCTCGCCGTAACGCGCGCGAAGAAAATGTACGCGTCCTGCGTCTCTCTCTGCGAAAGAACCGCCAAAACGAGTCCGCGCGACAGAAAGAACACCACCTCACCAACCACACGTAGCGCTTCTCAAACATCGAAAAAACCAAACGCCGGCCGCGTCGCCCGTTCCGGATTCAACCGCACCAACTGGTTCAAAGTCTGGCTCGCCCTGTGCCTCGTGTACGCCGTCGCGCCTTTCGTATGCGCGTACGTCTACTTCGTCTCGGACGAAGTCGCTTGGAGCGGTATTCGGTATAAAAAATCTCGCGGTAAAGTTTCAAAAGTTTTCTCTGCATCGTCGACGCGGTGACGATGCGTGACAAAAATGACGACCACGATCAAATGGGTGCGCGTCCGAGAGAGAGCGAGAGAAAGAGAGAGACAGAGAGACAGAAAGAAGAAGAGAGAGCGTAAACGCTTTAGACTCGAGTAGAAGTTAGACATTTAGAAAACCCTAAACATAAAAAGAGCCACATTTCCCTCCACAAAATCTCTCACTTATTCAACGAAGCGAGTCTTTATATTTACATGCTCGCGGCGAGGACGAAAGCGTCGTTTTCCGCGTTGTTCTCGTCGTCGTTTTCATCCTCCTCCTCGTCGTCGTCACTACTACTACTCAGGAGAAGGAGAAGGCTTTTACTGTCGAAGGATACGACGATGATGATGATTTCTTCCTCTTTCTCTTCTTGTTTGCATTCGCCGAATCTTCTTTTGTCGGCGAATTCTCGTCGAAACACCACCCCGGGGTTGTTCCGCGTCGTCGGCGCCGTTCGAGCGTCGTCGTCGACGAGAAGAACAGCTCGATTTCGAGGAGGCTCTTTCTTCGGCGCTTTTTTGTCGTCTTCGTCTTCGGAACGAGCTTTCCCACGGCTTCTTCGTCGTCTTTCTCGGGGCGCAAAATCACTAGCCGGTGGTGGAGGAGGGGTGGATGGCGTTGAGACCTTAAACGACAAAATCGCCTCGCAAGCGGCTTTGGTGAAAGGATTGAAAGCGGACGGGAAGACGAACCAAGACGAGGAGGTGAAAGCAGCGGTGACGATTTTGAAGGCGTTGAAAGCAGAGCTGGAGGAGGGCGAGATTAGGACGGAAACGACGAGGGAAGCGATTTTGGGCGACGGCGGCGGCGAAGAGAAGAAGAAGAAGACGCAAAAGAAAGGAGGAGGAGGAGGAGGGAAAAAGAAAGGCGGCGGCGGCGGCGAGCAGTCGTCTGGTTCTTCTCCGGAGGAAGTTAGAGCAGTGCGCATTGAGAAAATGGCGCAGTTGAAAACGTCGAATCAAGAGCCGTTCGCGTATAGGTTTGATCGAACAAACACGGCGGCGAAATTGCAAGCCGCGTATCCGGATTCGGTTTTGGCGAAAGGCTGCGAGTTGGAAAACGGAACGAGAGAGAAAGTGTGCGGCAGAGTGACGGCGAGAAGGGTTTTTGGGAAACTCGCGTTTATGACCTTGACGGATGCGAGCGGGACGATTCAGTTGTATTGCGACGAGTCGAGGATCGATCAGGAGCAGTTTGAGACGATCAAAACCTTAATCGATGTCGGCGATATCGTCGGGTGCGAAGGGCCTTTGAAACGGACGGATAAAGGTGAATTGTCGATTGTCGTGGAAGATGTGAAGGTTTTAACAAAGTCATTGAGAAATTTACCGGATAAGTGGCACGGTTTGCAAGATGTTGAGATTAAATATCGACAAAGATACGTGGATTTAATCGCGTCGTCGGATTCGAGAGATACTTTTTATCAAAGAACAAAGATTATCAAAACGATGAGAAGGTATTTGGAAGACGAGTTGGAGTTTATGGAGATGGAGACGCCGATAATGCACACGGTTTCCGGCGGAGCGGACGCTAAACCATTCAACACGCACCACAACGCTTTAAATATGGATTTAACGTTACGAATCGCGACCGAGTTACACTTGAAGCGCTTAGTCATCGGCGGATTTGAAAGAGTGTATGAAATTGGACGCATTTTTCGAAACGAAGGATTATCGACCAGGCATAACCCTGAATTTACGTCTATCGAGTTGTACCAAGCGTACGGTGACGTGAGCGACATGTTGGAGTTGACTGAGGAAGTCATCTGTAGATGCGCGGCGGCGGTGAGCCCGTCTAAAAAATTAGAACCCATCCAATACGGAGACGAAACGATCGATTTAACGAAAAGACCGTGGAGACGTGCGAGCATGAACGATTTAGTCATCGAAGCGTGCAATGTGGACGTGTTGAATGGCTTCGATGGTGATTTAGAAAAAGCGAAAGCGGCGTGCGAACCGGCTTTAAAAGCGCACTCGAAACAAGCCGGCGCTTCCATCCCGGCCGTTCGAGATTCGCCAAACCTAGGAACTTTGTTGAACGAAATGTTTGAAGCGACCGTCGAGGGAACTTTACGCCAACCAACGTTCGTTCTCGATCACCCGATCGAGATCTCTCCTCTTGCGAAACCGCATCGAGACAAAAAAGGCGTCACCGAACGTTTCGAACTCTTCGTCGTCGGTCGAGAGTTGGCCAACGCGTTTTCGGAGCTCACCGACCCTATCGATCAAAGAGAACGATTCGAAAAACAGTCGCGAGCGCACGCAGAAACTCAACGCGCCGCGCTCGTTCGCGCCGAGAAAAAAGTCGAACGCGGCGATAAAGACGCCGGCGACGTGTTGAAGGAAACCACGGACGATATTTACGAGTTTCCGATTGACGAAGATTTCATCAACGCTTTGGAATACGGAATGCCGCCGTGTGGGGGATTAGGCATAGGCGTCGATAGATTGGTGATGTTACTCACGAATTCACCGAGCATTCGAGACGTGATCGCGTTTCCCACGCTCAAAAACGAAGATTAGTGATGAACTTAATGCTATAAACGAGTAAGATTAGTGATGAACTTGACGCTTTAAACGAGAGCGGGTTGTTACGATACAAAAATAATGATACAGATCTAAAAACTTAAATACAGATGCTAGCCGAGCGTCCCTCTCGCGAACGCGCGACCCGAGAGACGAAACAAGATGAAAACATTATTCAAACTTCCGCCGCGTTTGCGAGCGCCTGCCTGAACGACTCCCACTTCTTCCCGCCCGCCTCCTTCCCTCTCTCGTCGTCGTCGTCGTCGTCGTCCTTCTCCTCCTCTTCCTCAAAGAACGGATTCATCCTCGCTCTCGTCAACGCGCTCTCCATCGCTTGAAACTTTTTCCTGACCACAAACTCCTCCTCTTCTTCCTCCTCATCATCCTCCTCTGTCTCTCTCGTCATCGCGAGCATCAGAACAAACCTCGAGGCGGTCAGCCACGCGTAAACGACTTCTCCATCGGAAGAGGAACAGACGACGCCTACGTAGTTTTCTGTGGTGGTCATCGACTGATGATGCTGACGCGTCGTCTTGCTCCTCTCGAGTAAAGCGTACTGGACGCCATCCGCGGCGCGAAGGAAAAGCTTTTCCAATTTGGAGGAGGCGGAGGCGTTCGCCGTCGTCGTCGTCGTCGTCGTCGTCGTCGTCGTTCTTTTCCCGTCGTCGCTCGAAGAAGCGGCGTCGTCCACTTTGAAATCCGCGACGACGACGACGACGAGTGGTGCGAGACGAAGAATGTCTCGAGAAACGAGTTCGAGGTCGAGCGCGGCGGCGCCGAGCAGCTTCTTCATCTTTGATCGTCTTCTCCTCCTCCTCCTCCTCCTCCTCGTCGTCGTCGTCTGCTCGGAACCGCGCTCGAGCGTTTTGGCGGGTTGTCGTTCGCGGTGGTGTTTTCGTGCGTTCTCGCGAATGTGCAATGCAGTTCTTCAATACAAAAATAAATATAGTAGTAGTAGTTTCATTTAAAAACAACGAATTTGCGCGACGACGACGACGACGACGAAAACGCATCTTTTACGCGGCTCTCTCGAGCAAGCAAACGATCAAAATGAAATCCGGGTAATCGATTTCGTTGACTTTAGCGCTCGGGTTTCCTTCCGGAGGCGGTTTCCAGTAACTCACGACTTTGTGCAAGTATCCCGGAACGTATCCGACGCCGAGCTGTTCCATCAACTTTTCGACTTGGTGGATTTTGATCGTCTTGGCTTTCGCCCAGTTGATACGCTTCCAGACTCTGCGAATGGATTCGAGTTTCGACGCGGGTAATTCGTAGTGTTCTGAGATGATTTCCTTTCTCTTTTCTCGTTCGAATTCGATTTTGGATTCCGCCGTTGCCGCGTGCATTCCGTTGACTATTACCCCGATGAAGACGGAAATAATTACCATCCCGCACATCACCACAAAGGAGTAGAAATAGAGTGAACCAACGAATGGTTGCGCCTTTGGACGATCACACTCGTATACGCGGTCGGCGTGAATGCCCGAATTGGATTGCAAACCAACGTACGCCGCGCCACCGTCGTTTACGCCCCACCTGTTCTTGTCGCAACCTTCTAGGTTGATTTGAACAATATTTGCCCAGGATTCGAGTTGCGACACGCGAAAGAGGTGGTAAAACGCAACCGGTAACGTTCGCATGAAGAACGGATCGTTGTCCGAGAAAAGCATCACCCCGGCAATAGCCCACGTGTAGAAGATGAAGCACATAAGGGTACCGACGTATTTCAAAGATTTCACGCCGAGAACTAATGACTTGGCGATTAAGTTCAACTGCGGGATAACTTTGAAGAATCGAAACAGTCTCGCCAAACGAAGCAAACGAACGATTCGAGAAAATCCGGCTATACTGCCACCGCCGAGGCCAGAGTCTTCAAAAACCATGCCAAAAAATCCAACTAAAGTGGTCGCGGCGTCGAACATATTCCACTTTGCGTCTTCGCCGGTGTAATACGTCCTCTCTTTGTCCCATAAACCGATAATTTTTATCAGAAATTCAATCATGAAGGTGAAGATGAAAATACGTTCGAGGATTTCCGTCCATTCCGGAGGCGAGGCATCTGGGTTTGAATAATCCAAAAACTGCGTCGAATATCCCGATAAAATGGCCGAGAATACAATCACGCCCATGACGAAGTACTCGAAAAAGTCGTTTTGGGTAATCTTTTGAAGTTTTACCTGCAAATCCTGAAACCACGTGTTCTCAGTCGCCGCTTCTCTCTCGTGCATGGATTGAGTCTGAGCACTTCCACTCAACAAATTCATCATGTCCATGACTTCTGTGTACGCAGCTTCCGGCAACGTTTCGTTCATCTTCTCTCGAGACTCCCAAATTGCGCCTTTGGTTTTTCGCAACGCGTTTACGATTCGCTTACGTTTCAACGTCTCCTTAGCCTCGTACGCTTGGTCCATTCGTTCGGTGATGATACCGATGAAGAGCGACATCATGATGTTACCGACGAGAAACGCCATGGAAATAACGTAGATGGCCGAAAGAACGCCGTTACCTTTGGCGTACGTTTTCGTACCGTCGGCGTTTAATCGATACGGACAATCCACGTCGTTCGGCGAGGGGTAGCCGTAGTGCTCGCAGCCGTACCACGTGGCGTAGAGAAACTCATCCCAGGAAGACCCGGTGGCGATGCCCATCCCAGAATTCAGCGCGTACGGCAAGCTTCGAAAATTCTTCGGATCGAGGCCGTAGAACAAACTCGTCCCTAGCACGGCGTAGATGTACATGACAATCATCAACATCACAAAAACCCATCCCATGGAGGCGATACCAGAGCCAATACCGTCCAAAATGATCTTAAACTCAGGATTGCGTCGAAAATATCTCACGCATCGATTCAATCGAAACAAACGTATGACTCGTATGTGATCGTACGTTAAATCCCCGAGGGTAGTATTCGCCCACGTCGAGATGTAATTTAACGACATGAAGAACAAAATCGTGAAATCCACGGCGTTTTCCCAATTCACGAAATAGTCGAGAGGTTTCCACTTCACGAGCGTTTCCTTCCCAGTTTTCTCGCTCACCGCCGTTGGCCCGGCACCCATAATCTTCACCCCGGCTTCAAAAAAGAAAATCAAGGAAACGATGTAGTGCAAAGCTTGAATGACTTCCCAGCTCGTCCCGCCTTTCTTCTCGGTCGAGGAATTCCCCTCCCAGTTATCCGCTGTTTCCAACAAAGCGTACAACACGACCGCTATCGTCACCATTTGTTGAAACGACGAATACAACGTGATCCGAAACATCCTGTTGTGCAAACGCAACGAAGAAGAATTCGCTCGTAAATACGCCTCCTCATCCGTCAAACTCTTCCCCGCCGATTCCTCGTCCTCCTCGTCCTCCTCCTCCTTCTCCACCGCGCTCACCATTCTCCTCATCTTCTCCTCCATCTTCTCCGTTTCCTTTCTCTTATCGTCGCGAGACTTCTCCAACTCTTTATACATGGCCTCAAACTCTTTCTCCACGTTTTCAAACTTCGGGTACGAAGCTTTCGCCGAGGAAGGAAATTCAACTCTCCTCAACCCGTCTCCCAAGTCCCTCGGATCGACCGAGTCTTCCTCCCCGTTCTCCTCCTCCTTCTCGACCGTCCCGTTTTCTCCTCCTCCTCCTCCTCCCCCCGAGTGCGTCGATTTCTTCGTCAAGTTCGATTTGAACGACGAGTACAGCTTGTCCATCTTGTTCTTGCTCCCTTTCCTCTTCCCTATGTAAACCTTGGAATTGGAATTTCTTTCCCCCTCTGCGTCGTCGTCGTCGTCCATCGTCGTCGTCGTCGTCGCCGCCGCCGCCGCCGCCGCGCCTTTTCTCGTCAGCTTCGACATATTTGTAACAACGCGCGAAACTTTCGAATACTTTTTTTTTTCGAAAATTTTCCCACGCGACTGTGGCGTTTTTCTGAAATTCTAAGCCGTATAAGATGTAACCGAGGGCAAACTGTTGTTTTGTACGTAGGAGCGGGAGGAGTCCCAATCCTTAAGCACGACGGGCGAACACGATTTAGGGGCGAAAAAAAAGACCCTCTCGAGGCTTTGAGCGGAGAGGCGGCGCGCGCGGACGAGTGTTTTCTATAATTCCGCGGTACGCGTATAGTATTTATACATATAAAGATAACAAAGGATAAAAATCGGTTCGCGACGCGAGAGCAGCGACGCCAGATCCTATACTCGCGTTCTCGACCCAAAACGTAGAGTCGTTGCGAGGAAAAGAAGGTGACAGTGGTGCCCGCATTAATCAGAGCGTCTTTCTGATGAGTTTTGCTTGCTTGAAATATTTGTCTGTTGATGAGCTAAAGACGGGAGAAAAGGGACGTGAACTAATTGGCGATCCGTATCTACTTAAGCACACACGAATTCGGTGGACCGGCGTTGGCGTTGGTACACGTAAATTTCGCTCGAAACGCAGTTGCGTCGAGAAACATATTCGCTTGCTCTGACGTTGCTGCGGATCCGGTCCACGAGGAAATGTCGTGGTTGAACGCAGAAGCGGAATTAAACATTAATTGCATATCAGTCACTTGTGCTGTGTTCCAACTCCCAATGTCTTGGTTGAACGCAGAAGCGAACCAAAACATTCTACTCATAGTTTTCACTTGCGTTGTGTTCCAACTCCCAATGTCTTGGTTGAACGCAGAAGCTACACGAAACATATATTCCATATCAGTCACTTGCGATGTGTTCCAACTCCCAATGTCGTGGTTGAACGCAGAAGCGGAATTAAACATATATTCCATATCAGTCACTTGTGCTGTGTTCCAACTCCCAATGTCTTGGTTGAACGCAGAAGTTTTAAAAAACATATATTCCATATTAGTCACTTTTTCTGTGTTCCACTTCGAAATATCGCCGTTGAATGTACTTTTACCGCCAAAGCCTTGAAAAGCAACGGAGTTCCATCCAACCATATTCTCCACCAAACTCACGTCCCAATTCGGCATCGTCCCGTACCAAACGTCTTTCGATCGAGCCCAGTCTATACATTCTCCAGTCTCCGCAATCACTGGAGATGCATCCCACATCAAACACTCCCCGACGAAAGCATGCCAGCTTGTATCCGGAATTGGCGAGGGACCTACACACGAATTCGCCGGACCGGTGATTTCGTTGGTGCACTTAAATTTCGCTTGAAACGCAGTCGCGCCGGAAAACATAGAACTTTGCGCCGACGTCGCTGCGGATCCAGTCCACGAGGAAATGTCGTGGTTGAACGCAGAAGCGTCCTGAAACATATATATCATAGTAGTCACTTTCTCTGTGTTCCAACTCCCAATGTCTTGGTTGAACGAAGAAGCGGTATGAAACATACCTATCATATTAGTCACTTTTTCTGTGTTCCACTCCCCAATGTCGTGGTTGAACGCAGAAGCGTAATAAAACATATCTCTCATATTAGTAACTTTTTCTGTGTTCCAACTCCCAATGTCTTGGTTGAACGCAGGGGCGGAATTAAACATTCTACTCATATCAGTCACTTTTTCTGTGTTCCAACTCCCAATGCCTTGATTGAACGCAGAAGCTTCATAAAACATTCTACTCATATCAGTCACTTGCGCTGTGTTCCAACTTCCAATGTCTCGGTTGAACGCACGAGCTTTATAAAACATAGCATCCATACGAGTCACTTTTCCTGTGTCCCACTTCGAAATATCGCCATCGAATGTACTTTTATCACCAAAGCCTTGAAAACCTCCATCATATCCACTCATATCTTCCACCAAACTCGTATCCCAATTCGGCATCGTCCCGTACCAAACGTTTTGCGATCGAGCCCAGACTATACATTCTCCAGTCTCTCCAATCGCGTCAGATTCAATCAAACAATCCCCGACGAAAGCATGCCAGCTTGTATCCGGAATTGGCGAGGGACCTACACACGAATTCAGTGGACCGGTGATTTCGTTGGTGCACTTAAATTTCGCTTGAAACGCATAAGCTTGAGCAAACATTTGTCTCGTATCAGTCACTTGCGCTGTGTTCCAACTCCCAATGTCTTGGTTGAACGCATAAGCGTAAAGAAACATTTTATGCATAGTAGTTACTTTTTCTGTATTCCAACTCCCAATGTCGTGGTTGAACGCAGAAGCGTAACCAAACATATATTGCATATTAGTTACTTTCTCTGTGTTCCAACTCCCAATGTCTCGGTTGAACGAAGAAGCGGAAGCAAACATATTTCCCATAGAAGTCACTTGCGCTGTGGTCCAACTCCCAATGTCTTGGTTGAACGCAGAAGCGGAAAGAAACATATATCCCATATTAGTCACTCGCGCTGTGTTCCAACTCCCAATGTCTTGGTTGAACGCAGAAGCATCTCGAAACATAGAAAACATATTTGTCACTTTTCCTGTGTTCCACTTCGAAATATCGCCGTTGAATGTACTTTTGCCAAAGCCTTGAAAAGCAAAATTTCCTTCATCATATCCACTCATATCTTCCACCAAACTCGTATCCCAATTCGGCATCGTCCCGTACCAAACGTTTTGCGATCGAGCCCAGACTATACATTCTCCAGTCTCTCCAATCGCGTCAGATTCAATCAAACAATCCCCGACGAAAGCATGCCAGCTTGTATCCGGAATTGGCGAGGGACCTACACACGAATTCGCCGGACCGGTGATTTCGTTGGTGCACTTAAATTTCGCTTGAAACGCAGTTGCGTCGAGAAACATGTCAGTTTGCGCTGACGTCGCTGCGGATCCGGTCCACGAGGAAATGTCTTGGTTGAACGCAGAAGCGGACTGAAACATATACCTCATATCAGTCACTTGCGACGTGTCCCATTCCGTAATGTCACCATTGAATGTACTTTTACCCCCAAAGCCTCTGAGCACAGTTCCATCCGATCCGTTCATATCCGTCACCAAACTCGTATTCCAATTCGGCATCGTCCCGTACCAAACGTTTTGCGATCGAGCCCAGACTATACATTCTCCAGTCTCTCCAATCGCGTCAGATTCAATCAAACAATCCCCGACGAAAGCATGCCAGCTTGTATCCGGAATTGGCGAGGGACCTACACACGAATTCGCCGGACCGGTGATTTCGTTGGTGCACTTAAATTTCGCTTGAAACGCAGTTGCGCCGGAAAACATGTCAGTTTGCGCTGACGTCGCTGCGGATCCGGTCCACGAGGAAATGTCTTGGTTGAACGCAGAAGCGGACTGAAACATATACCTCATATCAGTCACTTGCGACGTGTCCCATTCCGTAATGTCACCATTGAATGTACTTTTACCCCCAAAGCCTCTGAGCACAGTTCCATCCGATCCGTTCATATCCGTCACCAAACTCGTATTCCAATTCGGCATCGTCCCGTAATTATTTCCGGAAGCCCACTCAGTGCACTCGCCGGTAACTTCGGCCCCTGCTTCGGCCAAACACTCCACGACAAGGGCGTGCCAACTCGCATCCGGGATAGAAGTGACGGGGGGCGGAGGCAAAGGTGGTGGGCTCGGCGGCGGGCTCGGCGGACTCGGCGGCGGTGGGCTCGGCGGGCTCGGCGGCGGGCTCGGCGGGCTCGGCGGCGGTGGGCTCGGTGGGCTCGGCGGCGGGCTCGGCGGACTCGGCGGCGGCGGACTCGGCGGCTGGAAAAAAATATCCACCTTTGCTTCTAGCGCGACAAACGCCGCTCGCAAATCCGCGTTTTCCGCTCTCAGCTCCGCGTTCGACTCCGCCACATCTTTGGTCAAACTCTCCATTTTCGCAAATATCGTCGCCAATCGTTCGCCAACTTCGACTTTGTCTTCGTCTTTCCCCAAGAACAACTTCTCTCGACACTGAACTTGCTCCCAAAACTGCCACTCCGATCTCGTCTTCACGCGGTGCGTGTTGATTTGTAACTCTCTCCCTCCTTTTCCTCCGCTTCGAACGTTGAACGCGCCGTCCGCGTATTCGACGCGATTCGACCCTCTCTGTATGCCTCCCAAGCCGGCGATTTCGCCCTTCGCCCCGATCCGACCGAAGACGAACGTCACGCAGAAAAAGACGAAGAAAACGAACGAGGAAGAAATTTTCCTCGTCGCGGTGGTGCTGGTGGCAGGTTTCATCGTCCTAATCGTCGTTCGACTCGTTCGTAAAGTGAAACGGGTGTTCTTCTTCTTCCGTGTTTGCGCGCGCGCGTGTACTAAATGGATGACGACACGTATTTATGTATGTAGGTCAAAGGTCGCTGTTTTTTGTGGTCAAAAAGATTCTCTTTTTCCTTTTTTCCTTAATTATTTGTTTTCACACTCAGGAAGTTCCAAAGAAAGGAAAAAGAAGGAAAAAGAAGAGGCAAAAAACAGCGCTCTCTTAAAGGCAGCCGCGAGGTTTAGAAGTTAGACTGTAGTTCTACATTTTAGACCGCAGAAATCTACGGTTTACCGCATACATGTGTCTTCAAGGAGGCCTCTGTCATCAACGCAGTATTCCTTTTGGTTTTGGTTTTGAAACTCCTTTCGCCGCCGGTCTCGTCGCTCGTCGTCGGCGTCACCATCCGGCGGCGGCACCGGCGCGGATGAGCGCGAGCACGGCGACGTCGTCGTCGTTCTGTTGTTGATTTTGCAGTTGTTGTTTTTCGAAGGAGGAAGAGAAGGAGCCGGAACGTAAGGCGAACGCGGCGGTTAAGTTATCTTTGACGGGAACGTTTCGAGTCATGGACCCGTCGTTGATTTCTCGCTCGGCGACGGCGCGGACAGTGGTGACGCTTTTGTTGTTGTTGTTGTTGTTGAGTTCGTTTGGTTTTGTCGATGATGATGATGTTGTTGTGGTGGTTTTATTATTGTTATTATTCACCGATTTTAACGCGTTGTATACGAACGCGATGGATTGCATGCGCAACTCGCCGTACGTTTGTTGGCCGACGGCGTTGAGGAGAGGGGTGAGTTTCGGGCAAAGCGCGACGAGCGTTTCGACGAGCTCGGCGACGTCCGCGATGGAATCGCAAGATGATTCTGGTTTGGCCAAGAACAAGTTGACGAGGTTGACGAGTTGCGCGGCGACTGCCGAGCGCGTGGCTTTGAATTCGTCCAACGAGGACGAGGCTGGTGGTGCTTGTTCCTCGTTTGCTCGTCCCGCGTTCCTCTGTTTTTCTCGCTTGGGCGAGGAGGCGCCGTTTACTGTTTTCGCCGCCGGTGGATTCGCCGCTTCGGCGACGTGCGCTTTCGAGCACAGCTCTAAGACAACCGCTATGGCATCAAACGTTCGCGACCAGTTCGCGCGTAAGGATGAGCTCCCTTCGCCGGTAGCTTTGAATGTGTTGTTGTTACTGTTCGTGTTGTTTTCGTTCTCGCTCTCGTCCTCTCTTCTTCTTCTTCTTCTTCCTCCATCTTCCTCTGTCGTTGAGGGAGCGTAACCGCAAACGAACGACCGGTTCGCAGCCTTCACGGAAACGATTTGATGGCTTATGTACACAGCACGAGACGTCACGCCTGCACCAAAATATTCGCCAAATTTGGCAATCTCAGAACACGTCTCTAGCATCGCCGCGATGAACGGTCGGTTGAGTTTCACGCGAGCGTTCAAAAGTCCTTTTGAGCTGACAAGATTCGATATAAAATGCGTGTCCGCATTACCGGTTCCATTAGACGACGTCAAAGATGACGACTGCAACGGTGACACGGAGGAGGATACGGTCGATCCGGGAAGTGGTCGAGCGCAATCCAAACACGACAACGCGCACAAAAACTCGAGACTTGCGCTATCGTCCACCAAACGCTGGAAGCAACACAACACCGACGTAGCGAGAGCTTTTCTTCGCGCCTCACCCACCGCTTCCAAAGAAGAGGAAGACAAACATTTACTATCTGTACCACTAACAATTCTGCGAATGTTGTTGGCAATTGATGACGAAGTTTTCTTCTTCTCAATTTCTCTTTCCCTAGCGAGCGCGGCGGCAAAGACCAATATCGAACCCAACGCGTCGCGCCAATGATCCCCGAGCGCGACGCCGTGTAACATCTCCGACGCATTAACCGATGTTTTCTTTATCCACGCGCGAGGTAATCGTAACGCGACGCAGTTCGACAAGACGCCGTGCATGAGTGAGACGCCAATGAGCGCTGCGTCGTCGTCCAAAATGTGCGCGATTGTGGGCGAGGAGGAAAAGGAGGAGGAGGTTTTTCCCCCGTTTTCACCTCCTTTTTGCAACCGGTCATTTTCACTCGTTACCAACGGCTGTGCGCTCATGAATTTAGCGTCCCGCGCGATGCACAGAGCTCCACACACGTCGACGTCGCTATTAGGAAACATTTTCGTATGAGCGCCGAGCGCATCGCTCACGCCGTTCAATTTGTCTTCGACAAAACCCAACGCTTTCGTCACGTGCATCCACCCGGACGTTAGAAGATTCGTCACCGCCTGATTACCTTGCGGTGCTTTCCGCGTTCTACTGCTGCTGCTATTATTGTTATTCCTATCGCTATGGCCTTCATCTACACTCCCACTTTTTGTCAACAAAAACGAAATCGCGCGAAGCAACGCCGCGGCTTCCAAATCCGTCGCCCTCGCAGTCCTCGCGGCCACTCGATTTTTCCCTTCGTTCCAACTCAACAACACTGCCAACACGTAACACGCGTCTTGCCACAACGTATTCCTCGCTAATATGTCGTTTTTCAACACGTTGTTGACGATTGCATCGAAAATCGCGTCACCGTTTTTCTGATCCGAAACCAAGTACGCGAACAAACAGCTCGATCCGATATTTTCTTTACATTTCGCGAGAGAAGCCAGGAGTTTCAGCGCCTCGAGTTTACATTTTGGGTGTGCGACGTCAGATTTCAAAACGTCGCAACACTTTTGAATGAGCGCGTTGAAGAAACGGTTGCTCTCGTATACTGAAGGTAGCATCGCGAATTCCCGCGTCGATGTCGTCGTCGTCATCGTGGATGTCATCGTATCATTCATTTTATTGCTCCGAGTACTCGCGTCACTATCGTTCATTGAGTTTATGGTACCAATTGTCGTCGTCATCCAGTGCACGATATCCACTCCACTCGCTTTTCTCGACTGTTTCGCCAACGCCTGAACCACCCCTCGCAACGTTTTCAATCCGTTCTCCACCCGGGTCGATTGCATGACGTTCGTGTGCGGTACCGTCTCAGCTTGGTCCAACTTGGACAACAGAATCGTTCTCGAAAACATTGCAATCGCACACGGCGAGCATTTGCGAACTTTAAAGGAAGCAGACGAGGAAAGCGCTCTCAGCGTCGTCGTCGTCCCCGCAACCGCCCCTCCTCCGTTGGAAAAGGAGGAGGAAGAGGACGCGCTTTCCCGCATCATTCCAAAGAGTTTCTTAAACGCCGCTTTCGACGCGTCCTCTTCGTCTTCCTCGTCGTACGAGTACTCCTCGTCCTCGTCCTCTTCTTTTTCGTCTCTCCTCGACCCCGACGGAGAGGACGACGACGACGATGAAAAATCTCTCGCGCACTTCTCCAAGTACCAAAAGTTTGGTTCCAACAAGAGTAAATCGTTGTACGCGCTCGCGCTCGTGGGAAGCGTTTTCGGAGGAGGACGACTGCTGAATTCGCTGTTAAAATTGCTCGCATGAGTCGTCTCCGCAAAATCACCATCTTTCGATGACGACGACGACGATGCTTCTCCTCCTTTTCCTCCTTTTCCTAAAGACGACGACGCGTTTTGGTGCAAAACGTGCGCGTACAGGTGGTATATTTTCGGCGTCGTATTCGCGCTTCTTTTCTGGCTTTTCGGCGGAGGAGGCATCTCTTCTTCTTCTCAACGAACGAACGATGAGAAAACGCCGGAAAACCCGCGCCTTTCCGGGCCCTCTCTTTCTCTCTTTCTCTCTTTCTTCTTCTTCTTTGAAAGCGCGATTGTTTTCGGTGGTGCGAAAAGGAGAACAGGTTGTTTAAAGCGTCGTCGTTGTTCTCAAACGTGTCGTTGCGTTCGTTGTGTCGTGGGGGATGTTCCTTTTTCCCAAACGCCTCAATAAAAGTACAGAGTTGGTTGGTTGGAGAAAAGTCACGCTCTCTCTCGAAAGAGAGCGCGACGACAGGAAACGCGCGCGGATGCGACGGAGCGTGATTCGCTGCGTCGCCGAGGTTCGTTTTTGCGCGGAGGTGAAAGTATGCTGCTCCCAAAGATGGTCGTGCGCATCATCGCGCGTACATCGGATGCTCGTACCACATGTGATTGAAAACATCTCTCAAACTTAAAATTATTGACCACCCCAAACGAAGATGCGATCTCTCAAACACTCGTCGCGTCTCATTATAAACGCGCATCAAAGACTATTCACAGACGCGCACCACATCTCTGCAACTTTCATCGCTCCTCTCGACGGTCAAGCTGCTCGAGCTCGAGATTATAACGAGTCCTTAAACAACAACATCCGAGTTCTGTTTTGCGGTGGTGGTGGTGATATTTTTTACTCGAGAGACTTGCAAAAGAGTTTTTTCGAAAAAATATCGGTCGCGAAAAATCTCGCACAAAAAAAAACACGAAAGAGACACACAGAGAGTTTTGTTTACGAAACCAAAGGGGTGCTTTTTCGCTTGGCTCGCTTGGGGGAGTAAATACGATAGTTCAATATAATAACGCGTAAAGAATGTGCACGTTATACGTGAAGATAAAAGTGTCGCTAATAAGAAAGAACACAAAATCTCACGATTTCTGTTTTGCGGTGGGGTTTTGCGGTGGTGATATTTTTTACTCAGAGACGCTTGCGAGAGTTTTTTCAAAAAAAATATCAAAACCCTAAAAAAAGGACGAAAATCTCGCACGAAAAAAGACAGACAAAAGCGCGCTTTACTCCACTCTTTGTTCTTTGTAACGAGAAGAAGAAGAAGAAGAAGACAAAGAAGAAGAAGACAGACGAACGAGAGGAAAAGAGGACTTTCCGAGATGGGACCGAAGGATGAGAACCCACCGCCGCCGTGTCCTCCTCCTCCTCCTCCTCCTGGGTTTTGGGCGCAGTTGGACGCGCAGGAGGAACAGCGCGAGCGTAATCATAATCATCGTCATCGTCATCGTCGAAGAAGTCGCGAAGAATTCTCGTCGTCGTCTGTGTCGTCTTTGTCGCCGTCGAGGAGGAACGACGACGACGATAAAGACGCGCTTTCGGAAGCAAACGACGAAGACGAGGAAGGGATGAAAAAGAAAACCACGAAAGAGGACGACAACAAGAACAACGAATTAGTAAACAAAGAAGAGAAAACGAACGAGGAAGTCTTCTCTCGATTTCTGGAAGACGCGGCGAACGCGCAGGAGAAAGATTACCGAAACTCCATGCGAGTTGGAAGTTCGAAGAGCATGAGAGAGTTGGCGAGGTACGACGCGGCGCAGAACATGGAGAGGAGGAGGAGGAAAGAGAGAGGAGAGGAAAACGACGAAGACGACGACGAGGAAGACGACGACGACGAAGACGAAAGATGGGTCGAAACGGAAAATCTGCGAAGCGCGAGTCGGATGATGAATACGAACAGCACGAATACGAACAACGGGAGTAAATACGAAGAAGAAGACGGCGGTTTGAATTTGGCCGGGAAGCACCAATCCAGCTTCGCGGACTTGAATTATAACAGTTCCGGATCGGATTTTGCGAGAGGTGGCCAAGCGGCGCCGGAAATTTATAGGAGTTTGATTACGAAGAGGCGAGAGATGGAGGAGGAGGAAGAGGAAGAGGAGGAGGAACAACGACGCAAAAGCGACGCGTATTTTTCGAAGCATTTCAATAGTCATCCATACTCTCTCGCCGGGGGTGGTACCACCGGTCACCATTTCAATAGCATCGGGTTAGGTTTCGGGGGAAGCGCGAGAGAATTAGAGCGACAGAGACAGTCGCAAATATTGATTTTGCAGCGACAAAAACAGAAACAACGATCCTTGGAGAGTTACGACGATTTGAAAAACGCAAAGGAAGACACGAAATTTTTCTCTCGGCAAAGTTACACGGAATCTGATTTTGAAGACGACGACGACGACGACGACAACTTTGATAAATACGAGGACAAGGAGGAAGAAGAAGACGACGATGACGACGACGAGTTAGATGATAGTCGTTCGTACGGAGATCCGGAAATTAGACCAATGCACGCGACGATGACGACGACGATAACAAACGGATCCGCGGCATCGGTCGCATCGCCGCCAGTCACGAGACTTTTACACGAGCAGCATCAGTACCCTTCCTGGGTCTCAGAATCTGGACCAGATGGCGGACGATCTACGCCAGGAACACCTCGTGCCTCCTCCACGAACAAGCAAAAAGATTCAACGACGAATAACGAGTCCTCGACGACGGGAACGAGACTGTCGAATCGGTTTTCCAACGGCAATCACTCAACAGTTCCAACCGCGCCAACATCAACGACGCAAAAGAATTTCCACGGCGAGGTCGTGTCAAATATGAATAGCGACCGTGTGAACAACGTTGAAGCGTTATTCTCGCCGAATAATAAGAATATTACCATGACCACCAATAGCGAGAAAACAAAAGCAAAATTTGCCGCGCTAACGATCGATCCTTCTCGGAAACCGGCGTCGACGACGACACCTGCGACAACAAAGCGTTCCTATTTATCTTCGGACTCATCAAGCGTGCGCAAGAGCATTCTCGAACACTACGACTACACGTTGGCGCGTCGTCGCTATAAGATGGACGCAGTTTCCGTGTACGAAGCGTGTGCGCTTTCTCTGCGAGATCGCCTCGTAGAGAGATGGTCGGACACGCAGCAATTTTACGCCTCGAGCGAAGAATGTAAAGACCTGAAAATGGTATATTACATGAGTTTAGAATTCTTAGTCGGTCGGTCGTTGGGTAACGCTGCCTCTAATCTAGGTTTGCGAATGCCATACGCGGACGCTTTGAGAACGCTCGGCCACGAGTTGGAAGATATCGCGCAACGCGAAAAAGAACCGGCCTTAGGTAACGGTGGTTTAGGTAGATTAGCGAGTTGCTTTCTCGATTCGTTAGCGACGCAAAATTATCCTGGCTGGGGTTATGGCATTAGATACAAGTACGGCATGTTCGAACAAGCGTTGATTGACGGGAAACAAGTCGAATTGCCGGATTATTGGCTCACGAGCGGAAATCCGTGGGAAGTAGAGCGGTTGGACGTGACGTACAAAGTTCGATTTTACGGTCGTAGCGTGCAGTATACGAGGAAACGAAAAGTATCTTTGAATAAGATGGCGGCGAGTCAACGCATGAAAACCATTCGCGAAAATCCCGAAAAGGAAAATTTCGGAAACGTACCTCCTCCTCACGACGCATCGAACGGCGAGTCTCGAGCGAATAATGATGCATATCCTCCTTCTCCACCAACATCGAAAAAAGAAATCGATGAAACTGAAACGCGATTCTCGTGGGAAGGTGGCGAGATTGTGGTCGCCGTCGCGTACGATACGCCAGTGCCTGGATACGGAACGTATAACGCGAACAACATGCGCCTCTGGAGTTCAAAACCTTCGCACGAATTCGATTTAAAGTCTTTCAATGCCGGCGATTACATAGCTGCAATCGAGCAGAAAGAACGTGGGGAGAGCATTTCCAGCGTTTTATACCCGAACGACGATACGCACGTTGGTAAAGAGCTTCGCTTAAAGCAGCAGTTTTTCTTTTGTTCGGCGACGTTGCAGGATATTTTGCACCAATTTAAAAAATCCGCCGCGAGGTACAACAACAGCGTCATGAAAGCGTACGCCGCCGACAATGCTAACGCGGAGATAAAAAGTCCGTCATCAACGAGTAGCGGTAACAACAACACCAACGTCATTCCAGGACTTCGAACTTTGAAAGATTTGCCTAAGCGCGTCGCTATTCAGCTCAACGACACGCACCCGGCGATTGGCGTTCCAGAGTTTATGCGTCTACTTTTAGACGAAGAGTTGCTTTGCTGGGAGGACGCGTGGAACATCACAAAGAACGTCTTCAGTTATACGAATCACACGATCATGACTGAAGCCATGGAAAAATGGCCAGTGCCGATGTTGAGCGAGCTTTTGCCTCGCCACGCGGAGATCATTTTTGAAATTAACCACCGATTTTTGGAAAGTGTTCGTAAGAAATGGCCGGGCGACGAACAAAAAGTACGCAGGATGTCCATTGTGGAAGAGTCTGAACCAAAAATGTTTCGAATGGCAAATTTAGCCGTCATCGGCTCTCACACCGTCAATGGTGTTGCCGAGATGCACACAAACTTAGTCAAGACGATTTTGTTTGCTGATTTTTGCGAGTTAGGGGATACTAAGTTTCGAAACGTCACGAACGGCGTCACGCCTCGACGATGGATATTACAAGCGAACCCGAAGCTCGCAAAAATGTATACCGATCTCGCCGGACCAGGGTGGGTAAACGACATGAAGCGGCTCGAAGCGCTGCAATCATTTTGCGATGACGATGATTTCTGCGAAAGATTTCGAGCCATTAAGAAACAAAACAAAAGACGCGTGGCATCGTTCTTGGAACAAACCTGCAGATTAAATTACAAAATCGCACCGAACGCGTTGTTTGACATGCAAATCAAACGCATCCACGAATATAAACGTCAACTTTTGAATGTTCTGGGTATTATTCACCGATTTGACGCCGTCTTACGCGCGACGCCTCAGGAGCGAGCGAAAATCGTGCCTCGAGTTTTCATCATTGCCGGGAAAGCTGCGCCGGGATACGATACCGCGCGGTTGATTATTCAACTCGCGTGCGCCGTCGCGAAAGTAGTGAACGAAACGCCTGAATGCGCTGGAGTTTTAACTGTATGTTTTGTCCCTAACTTTAACGTTTCCATCGCAGAGTTGTTGATTCCAGCGAGCGATGTTAGCCAGCACATTTCATTAGCCGGGACGGAAGCTTCCGGCACCGGAAATATGAAATTTGCCATGAACGGTGGTTTAATCGTAGGCACGCGCGACGGCGCGAACGTCGAAATTGCAAGAGCTATTGGTAGCGATAACATCTTCCAATTTGGCGCGACCGTGGATGAAGTCAAGAGCTTAAAGAAGACCGCGAATACGCGAAATCCAGCGCCCGACGAACGATTGGCGAACGTTTGCGCAATCATACACTCGGGTATTTTCGGCGACGCCAAGAAACTCGGCTTTAACCGTTTGTGCTCGAGCACGTTGACGCCGACGACGGATTTGTACCTCTGTGGCCACGATTTTGCGTCCTATTTAGACGCACAGGCGCGAGCGGACGAGGTTTACCTCGACGAACATTTGTGGACGAGGAAGAGCGTTTTGAGCGCTCTGCGAATGGCAAAATTTTCCACCGATCGAACAATCAAAGAATACGCCGAGAAGATCTGGAACGTCGAGGCGAAGGCGTTTTTACCGCAGCACGTGAAAGAAAGACTAAAAGTAGGACGCAAGTAGATAAATAAATATATGTAATTCCTAGTAGGTGTACAACATCAAACGCTATCCATTGCTATCTTTATTCGTCACCGAGCAAATCAAAAGGGTTCGAAGCTTTCTTCACCCCTCCGCTGCCGCTCGATGTTTTTTTTCTACTGCTCGAGCTGGCCGCTTTAGAAATCCATCCCCCGCCACCACCTCTGGGTGGGTTCCCTCCTCCCGTCGCTGTTTTCTTTTTCTCTTTCACCGCCGGTTCAATCTTTTCCCCGAATAATAACGTCGCGCACTCGTCCTCGAACCACCCTTTATCTTCGGTTTCGATTTGCTCGATCCTATCGATCAGTCCCGGCAACTTCGCCAACCTTCCAACCTCCGCCGCAGTCCTCAATCCGCTCTTATTCTCCAACGCTTTTAATTTCCTCACCTGTGCCTTCAAGTCTGCGAGCTCCTCGGCGTGTTCAATCGTATACACGATGGGTCTTTTCGATTTAATAGTGTCTATTTTCTCCACCACCTTTTCTTCCAATTTCGTAATCTGTTTCATTCGATTTTCTTTCTTCTCTTCCTCGGCTTTCGTTTTCGCCACGTCCAACTCGCTCAACTTCCCAGTCAACTCCTCCACCATCACCGATTGCTCGCCAGCAGTTAACCTTCCCTCTCGTATCATCTCTTCCAACTGCTTCTCCACTAACTCGATTTTATTCTCAATCTCGCACACGGCGTCGTACATCTCCTGCTCTTCCTCCGCCAGACTCTCCATATTGCTCAACTTTTGATCGCACTGATCGATGATCCCTTTATACGCTTTCAACCGCTTCAAAAGCGCTCGTTTTTGCGAAAACGACGGCACGTTATACTCCAACAGCTCCTCGAACTCCTCTAAACTCGCCTTTGCGCACAACATCTCCGGCGTCGTTCTCCGCCCCGCCTCGTCGACCACGTCGTTCTTCTCAATCTTCGCCTCCTCTTCTACAATCAAAACCTCAGGAAACACGTGCAAATACTTCAAGTCTTTATCCGTATCGTGCTGATACTTGTAGCATCTCTGACACTCTTTGCACGCGCTCGCGCCTCGGTCTTCCTCGAACTCAAACTTTCTCAAACTCTCCGTCATCACTTTCAAGTTCTCCTCGTTGTATTTCTGCCGAAGTTTCTTCCCGGCGCCGATGACGAATTTTATGGACACGAAATCTTTCGCTCGGATTGGTTTTGCGCAGAGTTTCTCCATTAAATCCGGGATCCATTCTAACCGGAAGTTGGCTAAATCGTGCGTTTGCGACGACGACGACGTGCTGTTGCTGCTCGCGAAATCGGAGAGGATTTCCGTCGAGAGCGCGTCTGCCATGAGTGTAGTCTTTGCGCGTCGTTTTTGTCTCGCGTCTTTGCTTCTTTCCTTCTCTCTTTTCCCTTCTGCTAAACCCTACACCCTAAATAAGAGTTTTTCAAAAATCTTTCGTTTCGCAAAAGAAGAAAACAACTCGTTATTAGTACGCGCGTAATACACGCGAGAAGAAGCACCAACCAGAGCACCGTCGACGACGAGCAGTAGTCGCTACTACTCTTCGATCACCCGTGTATATATATATATATATATAGTATTCACACATTCCCTCTATCTTTCTTGTTCATTTTGGAACGAATTTTGGAGAAAAATTCAAAATCAAGAGACTGACATTTATTCAAAAATCACGCGCACAGAGAGAGAGATACAGATACAGAGAGATACGAGAAGAAGAAGAAAAAAGCACATCGTCATCATCATGCTCACGGAGAAAGAAAAGCGCGAGGCGAAGCAACTCGACAGAGAGTCGTACAACGTCTCCTTGTACGACCAACCTCCGAACGAGGACATCAAGCTGGAAGAATTTGAAAAGTACGCGTTAGATCGCGTGCGATTGTTAACCGCGATTGAAAACGCGCTCAGTTCTGGGAAGAAACCGGAGGAATTGCAAGAACTGATCAAGGAGAAAACGAAGAGTTTGAAATTAGAACCGAAATCGATCGCGGACGAGGTTTCGCATTACGCGCTGCGATTGGCGTTTTGCAGGACGGAGAGTTTACGGAGACAGTTTTTGACGAGCGAGGTGCAACTGTTTAAAGCGAGGTTTCGCGAGATGAAGGGCGCGGACAAAGCGAAGTTTATCGAGCACGAGTTGGATTACAACTCGATGGATTCGAAGGAGTTTGAAAAGTTGAAAGACGAGTTGATGGACGTCTTGTGTCAAGCGAGATCGACTGGGCCTAGAGGCAAAGACAGGGAACAGTGGATGATGAGTGAACACAAAAGAAGTAAATATTACAAAGTCAAATTTGAAAACGTCTATCAGTTGGTCAAGATGAGAGACGTTTTGGTCAAGAAAGGATTCGCGTACGTGCACGAAAGCGCGGTAGATGCGATCGTGATGACTGAGTTTAGGGCGAAATTGAGCAAGAATTTGGGTTTAGCCGCGAAGAGGTGGAACGCGTTTGTCGAGAGCGACGAGAGGGCGAGGTTGGTGCCGGTGATCAACTCGTTGAGGACGAAAGAGTTGGGGAGGTCGGATTACGGCAGCGATAACGCGAACGGTGGTCCGTCTGGCACGGGAATAGTCTTGAACAAAGAGTTGCAGCGGTTGGCGGAAGAGTCGTTCCCGTTGTGCGCGAAGAATCTGTTCAAAGCGGTGAAACACGAACACCACTTGAGGCACGAAGGCAGACGACAGTTGCAGTTGTATTTGAAAGGCATCGGTTTACCGTTGGAAGAAGCGTTGGTGTTTTTCAAAACCGAGTTTACCAAGAAACCTGGGTGCAACAACGAGAAGTTCGAGAAAGATTACGCGTATGGCGTGAGACACTCGTACGGTAAGGAAGGGAAGAGGGTCGATTACACGCCGCACTCGTGCATGAAGTGCATCGCGGCCAACCCGAGTAAAGGCGAGTACCACGGATGTCCGTTTAAGACGTTCTCCGAGGAAGCTTTAGGAGCAGCTTTGAGCCAAATGAAAATTGAACCGAGCAAAGTGACGGACATCGTGAAGAAAGCGAAGAATAAACACTACCAACTCGCGTGCTCAGACGTGTTTGAAGCCGTGCACGGCGGCGAGTTCATCGAGGGCGGTTTGCATCACCCGAATCAGTATTACGAACAGTCCAGGAAGGTGTTGAACCCAAAGACAAATGAAGATAGCGACGGTAAGGAAAAGCAAGCGGTGCCGACGCCGCCGCAACAAAAGGAAGAACAAACTGCTGCTGCTGCTGCTGCTCCGAAAGTTGTCGCCGCGTGAGGTGAAAACGACAGATCTCACGTGAAGAGAGAGAAAGATAGTTCACGCGAGCGGTTGTACTTTTAAATAACATGAAACCTCTACCAGTGGTACTAAAAACACACCGAATACGAGTACTAGTAAATATATATTCACATGTTTATTCTATTTCTTCCTCTTCTACGTTCTATTTATTCTTTGCTACCTCTAACTTTCTATTTTACAAACCTACCTTCAAGAAACGCTCTCGTGATTTCAACATTCATTTTCCTGTTCGCTTGCGTGAACAAGACTCTCTCCACCGCGCTCCCTTCTTTTCTCTCCTCGCGTTCTTCTCCTACTCCATCTTCTTCCCCGCTCGCTGCTTCTTGAAACCCGACTCCCGTAAACATCTCCATCATCTGCCTCTCGCTAAAAAATCGCGCTAAAGTGCCATCGCTCCTTCGGTAAGCCTCCCGCTCGTCTTCCATGACTACTTTCCTTCCCGGATTAAAGTCGGACGAGGCCTTGTTCTTTTCGTCGTCGTCCGCGTAGTCTCTCACTAAAGCTACCCCGCCGTTCCTCAACACCCTTCTAACCTCCATCAAACAATTCCTAATCTCTGCTTCGTTTAACGCGGAGAGAAAAAAACACATCAAAACAACATCGAACGATTCGTCTTTCATCGACACCAAACACCCTCTTTCCCCGGCGTCGACCACAAACGCTTTCGAAATCCTACGCTCGTCGTAATCGACGTGTAACTTCAACTGCTCGATGGCGGTTTCGCTCACATCCGCGCATTGAAATCGTAAGTTTGGATTCGCTCGTAGCAACGGAAACATCGCGTTCCCAACCCCAACGCCAATCTCGAAAACATCAAGCGCGGGAAGCGTTTTCATTTTCTCCTCGAGCTCCTCGGGACTGACATTTTCCACGAACCCTTCGAATTCCACGTCGTTCATTAAATCTCGTTTGAACGATTTCCGCAAATAGTGTCGGTCTCTGAAAAAGTTCGATCGGTGGTTTTGGTAGAACAGTTCCCAGGCATTCGTGTTGTTGGTGTTGTTGCTGTTGTTTTTGTCCTTCGATGGTGAGGAGGAGGAGGATGCGCGGAGTAAACAACCCCTAATTTGGGGAACAACACCACCACCCCTTTTGCTGATGACATTGGAGAGACTTTGAGAGGGAGAACACTTTCGAGCGCTGCTGCTGCAAAAACAACAGCGCCGAGAAAACAAATTCCTCGTCGTCGTCTTTCTCGTCGTCGTCGCGAGTACCACCACTTTCGCGCCGTTAAAGTTTTTGCCGCAGAACAACAGCCGCATTTTTCTTTCTCTCCTTTTGTTACGTCTCTCGAGTCGAAACGAGATAGGGGAGTGGGGAAAACGAGAGGAGAAAAGAGTAAAAAATACACGAACACACACACATCATCTTAATAAAAGAGCGTTTTGAGATACAACGCGCGCAGATACAATGTCTGTCATACGGCGCCACCATTGCGTGCACACGACGAAAGAGAGATGCGCGCGTTTGCGCGGAGGTTTTGTGTGCGATTCGGTACATTTTAAACCCGTTTTGAGAGTTGGTCTAACCAAGACATCGTTAGGTAAAACTTCTTTTTAATTATATGTATACGAGAGCGAATAATCACGCGCGCGTTTCTGTTGCGTAGGATCGTGCAACTTCTTGGACCGATGCTCGGATTTAAAATGTCCGTACGTGCACTACGTGTTGGACGACGCGAGAGCGAACGAGGAGTCCATCTATTTCCAGCAAAGAGACCGACTCAAAGTTGTCTCTCCAGAGGAAGAAGGAGGACAGGAGAAGAGGCAAAGAGAGGAACTCGCGAGTGTTCTTGGACCGATTTCACCCGTATCTGCGATACAGGCGGATTTGAGAGGCTTTGCGTTGGAGAAAATCTGCGGCGGAGAAAATTTTCGCGCCGTTTTGATAGATCCGCCGTGGTCGATATCCATGGCGTTGCCGTTTCCTTCTTTGCGAGACGGCGAAATTGAGAGTTTAAAGATCGCGAGCGTTTTGGATCGATCGCGAGTGTGTTACGTGTTTTTGTGGGCGACGCAAAGGAAAACGCCGTTGGCGAGAGAGATTTTGCAAAAATGGGCGTCGAAAGCGAGGATGCGCGTGGTGACGCACGATCTCGTTTGGGTGAAGTTGAATCAGCTCAACAGACTGGTAAGCGCTGGGCGAACTGGTTACTATTTCAACCACGCGAAGGAGACTTGCGTTGTTGGGGTGTATCATCCCGTCCTTGGTCAAGAAGAAAGAGAACAAGAGAGAGAAGAAGAAGTAAAGGAAGGAGACGGAAGCGAGAATATCAATACAAACACAATCAACAACGATACCGTACGCTTTCCGTTCAAAGACTCGGACGTGATATGCGCGAAAGTTCGAGAAATTTCGAGGAAACCGGATGAAATCTACGGCGTAATCGAACGCTTACTCGGGCCAAACTCGAAGAAACTCGAACTGTTTGCTCGCAATTGGAACGTCTCGAGCGCGAGAAAATATCAGAATTGGGTCTGTATCGGCAACCAGATTCAAAAAACGGTGATAATGGATCGCGAAATCTCGAGAAAGTTTGATAAGGAATATCCCGAGTTTGCGAGTACGAAAAGTTGAAAGGAGGAGAAGAGCGCGCTCTCTCAAAAATTCTTGAGTCATCACGAAGAAGAAATAACACATACAGTCACCCACGCATTCACATGCGTTATTAAAAAATCATGCCTCTGGCACGTACATCTCGCCCGCCTCTTCCGCTTCTAAAGCCGCTTTCTCGATCTTCTCTATCGCCATCCTCGTCCTCGATTCTTTTTTCTTCATGCCGTCTGTTTTCAAAACCCCCGCGTTCCTGGCCGAATCAATCTCGCTCTCTAACATAGAAACTCTCTGATACAAGAGCACCATGGTCAATAAACACGAAATCAACGACACGGCGACGACAATTGCCCTGGGATCGCTAAACCATGATTTCTTCCCGCCGCTACTACTACTTCCGCTAAAATTCTTCCTCTTCTTTTTCCCCGCCGACGCGGCTAAAAGCGTCTCCTCGTCCTCGTACGAATCGTCCAATCCCTCGTTGTTACCACTACCCGCCGGATTCAATTTCTTCGAGTACGCGTACGGTAAAACTTTTTGCATCTGTCTCGTCGCCATGCTCGTCCTTCGCTTATACTTCTCCGCGTCGTCGTCGCCGTCTTTCTCGTTACTACTAGTATTCGCGTTATTTTGATCGAGGACAGAGTTTCGCGACGACGACGACGCGTTATTATTGCTTTCGTCTCGTTTATTATTCAAGCCGCCGGACGTTGAAATCGTCTGTGCGGTCGACCCGTATCCTCCGTTCGCCGTTTGAACCTCCTCCTCCCGAAACTCCTCAACCTCCAAATCTTCGATGTCTAACAAATCCTCCACGGATTTCACCAACATCCCGGACCCTTTGTGCCGGATGGATTTAATCCCAAACTTCAGCTGCAATCGATTGGCGACTTGCGTCTTAAACTCCGCGAAAGACGTCGTCAGAGGGTCCACGCCTAACGCGCGTTTCCGCCTCGTCCGCGGGTTTAAATTCGAATTAGTATTCGCCTCCGTCTCCGATGAGGATGATGATGCTTTTAAAGAAACGAACACGACGCGTTTGTTGTCCTGATGACTCATGTTCGTCCTCTCGAGTTATGAATACTACTAATACTACTACTAATAATGATAATAATAATCAAAACGAGGGCAACACTCTCTCTTTCTCTCTCTCTTCTCTCTCTCTCTCTCTCTCTCTCTGAAGAACAAGAGAGAGAGAAAGCTTCTAGCTTCTTTCTTTACGCGCGAGTTGATCTCTTTCTCTCTCTCTCTCTCTTTCTCTCAGGACTTTTCAAAGCTACTATTTAGGGTTACAAATGAAACCCTAACCACTCAATGTGCCTTCTTGCATCGAAGGAAAGAAAATCACCTCAAAACCACATCACGAGAGTAGAAGAGCTTTTAAAGCTCCTCGGAAAGAGTTCTTCGTGGCGCCGCTGCTCAGAAGAAGAAGAAAAAGAAGAAAAAGGGTGTTTTTGGGTGTTCTTTTTAATCCCTTCCTCTCTGAAACTCGCTTTTCAAGAAGAAGCAGAGGCGAAAGAAATCATCATCATCACTCCAAAGTTTGTGTTCTTTTGTGTTTTGAAAATTCAAAACGAAAACATTCTTCGCGAAGAAGAAGAGAAACACCACGCTGCTCTGCTGTTGTTGTTGTCGTGCATCGTCGTCGTCGAAAAAGGAGAGAGTCATCGGAGAGAGAGAGAGAGAAAGTGGACGAAGCGCTCTTCGATTTTAAACGGTCTTCTTCGATAGAGTGTTTGGTTTGATTGCACGAGGAGAGGGAGAGATGAGTTCGAACAACAACGACGACCCGTTCGGGGAAGAAGACGCGAATAATAATAACAACAACAACAACAACAACGACGACGACGACCCCAACGCAGAAGAGAACGAGGAAAGAAGAGTGGAAGAGGAATTCGTGATGGCACAGATCCCGAATGAAGACGAGGACGAAGAGGACGACGCAGACGACTTCGACGAAGACGACGAAAACGAAGACGGCGAAGACTTGATGGATAACATGGAACGCGATTACGAAGTCATGCCGCATTTGGATCAATACGAACAAGACGGGATGGTTGGAGAAGAGGAGGAGGAAGAGTTTGACGTGGAACAAGCGTTGGAGGCGAGGTTGAAAGCGGAGGAGGAGATGAATGAGAGAGATCAGGAGTACGCGGGAGGGAGAGGAGGGATGACGGGGAGAGCTCTCCCAAGAGCGTTGGATGACGACGACGAAGATCAACAGTGGAGGAGAAGAAAGAGGATGAAAGCAGCGCAGGCGGCGCATGAAGGCGAGGACCCCTTGGAGGAGGGTTTGTTAGATGACGAGGAGTACGACGTGAACATTGATAATTACGATTGTCCGTTGCGAGAGTGGATTACGAAAGAGAGAACCATCGTGGAAATTAAGAGACGGTTTTCGCGATTTTTGAGACGGTTTAAAGTTGGTGACGTCGAAGAGAACGACGGAAACGATAGCACGAGAGAGGATCTCTTTTACAGGAGGAAGATGCGAGAGATGTGCGTGGCGAATAGACAATCGCTGAACGTCTCGTTCATCCATCTCTCGAAAAAGGACCGGACAATCGCGACGTGGGTGGCAGACGCGCCGTCGCTCATGTTGCCGATATTGGACGAGGTGTTGAAGAAAGAAGTGTTGAAGATGTATCCCGCGTACGAAGATATCCATCCGGAAGTGTTTGTGAGAATTTCCGAATTGCCGATTGTCGATCAAATTCGAGACATTCGTCAATCGCATTTGAATTGTATGATTAAGATTACCGGCGTCGTCACGAGGCGTTCGAGCGTGTTTCCGCAGTTAAGGAACGTGACGTTTAAATGCGAAAGGTGCAAATATTTGCTCGGGCCAATTCAACAAAACGCTACCGATCCTGTGAAACCAGGGAATTGTCCTGAGTGTCAAGGAAGAGGACCGTGGACGGTGGACGTGGAGAGAACGGTGTACAGAAACTACCAGAAAATGACGTTGCAGGAATCGCCCGGGTCGGTTCCGGCTGGTCGATTACCTCGCTCGAAAGAAATTATCGTTTTAAACGATTTGATCGATTTGGCGAGACCAGGTGATGAGATTGACGTGACTGGTATTTACGTAAATTCCTTCGACGCGAGTCAAATCAAACAAAGAAACGGCTTCCCGGTGTTTAGCACGCACGTGGAGGTGAACCACATCTTGCGAAAAGGGGACGCGTTCGCCACGCAAAACTTAACCGACGACGATAAGCACGCAATAAGGGAGTTATCCCAGGACCCGAGGATTGTCCAACGCATCATCAACTCCATCGCGCCGTCCATCCACGGGCATGAAAACATCAAAACCGGCATCGCGATGGCTATTTTCGGCGGTCAAGAAAAGTTGGTGAAAGGCAAAACGAAACTGAGGGGTGATATTAACGTGCTCTTGCTAGGCGACCCGGGAGTAGCGAAATCGCAGTTTTTAAAGTACGTGGAGAAAACGGCAAACAGGTGCGTGTATACGACTGGGAAAGGCGCTTCCGCGGTTGGTTTGACCGCCGCGGTGCATAAAGATCCAATCACTCGAGAGTGGGTGTTAGAAGGTGGCGCGTTAGTCTTAGCCGATCGAGGCGTGTGTTTGATCGATGAGTTTGATAAAATGAATGACCAAGATCGAGTGTCTATCCACGAGGCTATGGAACAACAATCGATTTCCATCTCGAAAGCGGGGATCGTGACGAGTTTACAGGCGAGATGTTCGGTAATTTCCGCGGCGAACCCAATCGGCGGAAGATACGATTCTTCGCGAACCTTTAGCGATAATGTGGAACTTACGGACCCTATATTGTCTCGATTTGACGTGTTGTGCGTCGTAAAAGATGTCATCGATCCCATCACAGACAGGCGCTTGGCAGAGTTTGTGGTGAACAGTCACGTCAAGGCGCACCCGAAAAATTTTGACGACGAAGACGGCGTCGCCGCCGGCTTCGGTAATAGTACGAACAACGATGAAGATGTCGCGGAAGCGCTCGATCAAGAAATGCTGAAAAAATACATCTCTTACGCCAAGCGGTTCGTCCATCCGAAGATTAAACTCCAAGACACGCCAAAGATTGCGCAAGTGTACTCGGAACTTCGTAAAGAATCCGTAACGAGGGAAGGTATGCCCGTAGCCGTTCGTCACTTGGAAAGTACGATTCGTATGGCAGAAGCGAGAGCGCGCATGCGTTTGTCGCTAAGCGTGAGCCCGGAGGATATAGATCACGCGATTTCCGTCATGTTGGATTCTTTCATCGGCACGCAGAAGCAATCGGTTCAAAAATCTTTGAGGAAGAAATTTGCCAGGTACGCGCACTTCCACCGCGATTTCGATTCGCTCTTGATGGAGATTTTACGCGGGATTTTTCGCGAGATGAATCGACTCGATCGAGAGGAAGAACCGATTAAGTGCCACTTGTTGGAACACCGAGCGAAAGAGTATGGGGTGATGGATTTGAACCCTTTTTACAGGTCGCAAACGTTCCTCCAGGCAAAATTCACGCACGATCCGGAATTGAATGTGATCATCCCTCCCGCGCGCTAAAATTTACACGAGAGGAGGATAAAAATGAGAGAGTCGTAAAACGCAAGCAAGCCAAGCAAGCAAACAGAATGAGAGTTAACTCGTAAAATAGTAAAAAGTAATTCAATCAAAAATATCAACTACTCCGTAAAATATCACCACGTCGCCTGCGCGTCTTCGAACGCCTCCTCATCCGCGGTCACTTTTTCGCCAGTCATGGCTTCTTTCATTGCACTCTTTGGTCGTCGCCACCATCGAATAACTTGCTGTAGGAACGCCGCGAACACGACGACGGCAATCGTCAACGTCAACTTTCGATTCCGGTTCATCCAATCGATTTGCGTCTTGAATCGTCCGTAGAATTTCGTTCCAAACGCGGCAACTTTCATAAACTTTTGCATAGTCTCCGGTTTCACGTTCTTGAGCTGCTGCGCGGCTTGTTCCGCCTGTTTGTCGCTCATAGGCATCCCGGCCGCCGTACTCATTTGCTTGATTTGCTCCGGGTTTACGTTCTTCATCATCTCCGCCACAGCTTTTTGCATTTTCGGGTCGCCCATTTTCTCTTGCATTTTCTTCATCGTATCGGCGGTAGGCATGCCATCTGGACCCATACCACCTCCTTGCATGTCCGCAGCCACGGACATCATCGCTTCCATCGTTTCTGGCGACATGTTCTTCATCATTTCCGCGGCTTGTTGCATCATTTCCGGCGACATGCCTCCCGGCGGCATTTGAGGAGGAAAGCCCGCGTTTGCGGAAGTCGCCGCCGCCGTCCCACTCGACGCTCGCTCCTCTCCGACATCCTCGAAGGCGCCATCTACCAAGCCTTCTCCTTCTTCTCCTTCGTCTTTCTCGAACGTGTCAAATTCAGGGCACTTAATCTCCACCACCATTCCGGCTTTTTCCATCTCCTCCTCGCACTTCTCCAACTCCCCTCGAACAATCTCATCCTCCGGCGATAACTTCACCGCCCTCTTTAAATCCTTCCACGCCAGCTCTAAGTTCTTCAACTGAAAATACCCTTGGCCTCGTCTATAATACGCCTTCAAACTCGTATTTTCAATCTTCAACACCTCCTCGCACCTCTCGATGGCTTCTTCGTGCCTCCCGACTTTATTCATGCACAACGCGCTGTTCAACAAGCACGATTTCTTCAACGTTTGCGCCTCCGGATCTCTGTACGCTTTCATATTCTCTCTCACCCGTTCGTACTTCTCGATGGCGTCCGCGTACTTCCCTTCCCCGACGAGCGCGTTCCCGGCTTTTTTCAACCGATTCGAACCTTCGTGTTTATACTTTTGCTCCGCCTGAGCCTGTTTCGAAGCGAATTCCATCTGTTGTTTCATCTGTTCCGGGGTCATGTTCTTCATCTGTTCCGCGGCTTGTTTCATCTGTTCCGGGGTCATGTTCTTCATCGCGTCCATCGCGCCCGGTGGGATGTTTGGCATCCCGCCGAGTCCTCCGCCAACTCCGCCGCCCATCTTGCTCGCCATCTGTTGCATCTGTTGCATCTGTTGCGGCGTCATGTTTTCCATCATCTTTTGCGCTTGGCTCATCATTTCCGGCGTGAACATGTTCGGGTTCATTTTGACGACTGAGAGCGATCGCACGCGGCAGATCTTCTTCGTTTGTCAGCTGGAAAGTTGTGTGGTGTAAAGAGAGGTTCGTTGTGTCGCGACGACGCAAGAAAACCGTGAAGATTGTTCAAAAGTAAAAAACACTAAATTTACATTACGGATGGAATAAGAGTTTTCTTTAGAGTACGAACAGATCAGAGTTTATACTTTTTCGGTGGTTACAACTGACTGGCGAACATCGGTTTCGAGCGCTCCTCCCCTTCGGAAGGTTCCTTCGGCTTTTCGTCGGACTTCTTTTTCTTCTTCTTTTTCTTTCCTCCCGTTCCGCTCCCGTAGGCGTCGGGCGCGCTTCGAGAAGGAAAGGCGGTTTCTCGCGCCTCGAGACCTTCTTCTCCGACGCGTTCTTCAGCTCCCTTCGTATCGTCGTCGTCGTCCGAGAATAGCGAGGACATTTTTCGAGGCGTTTTTGGTTGTTCTTCTTCTTCCTCTTCTTTTCCCGATGGTGCTTCTTCGCTCAACTTGCTCATCCCTTTGTTCTTCGTATTCTTCAATTTTATTTGTTGCTCTTTGAACTTGTTCATTTTTTGTTGCTGCGCTTCGGAAAGTTGGGAGAAGCCGGAAACTTCCGATTCGAGGTCTTCGTCGTCTTCGTCTTCGTCTTCGTCAACGTCGAGATCGTCGTCGAGATCGTCGTCGAGCTTCACGAGTTCCTCGAGCGAAATATTCTTCGGTGTGTTATTATCCTCGCCGGCGGTGGCCGAGCGAGCCGCCGTGGTCGTCGAAGTCATACCCGAAGCTGTCCCCGAAGTCATCGAAGTTCTTTTATTTTCAATCCTGATTTTCAACGCACCGAGTCCTCTACCTTTATCGTCAGGTCGATCGTGTTCTTTCCCATCTGGTTTTGGTGCTGGCGTTTTAATCGTCAAGCCGGTCAAACTGTGCGGACGAAAGGCGAGAATGTTCTCGTGCGACTCTCTTCGTTTGTGGCCGGGGATACCGCCGGTGCTGCTGCTCTTCGATTGTCCTTTTCCCGATAAGTCGCTGTCGTTATCGCCATAGAGACTATCGCGTTCATTTTCACCGGGAATGTACGGATCATCGGCTTCGTTGTATTGCGACGAAGCTACGGACGTAAGCGATCCGCTCTCTTTTGAGCGAGAAGGAGTTCCTCCGAAACCAAAGAACGAGTTCCTCTCTGGTTCATCTTGCGCGTTTACCGCTGCTTCCAAATGCTCGTCTTGCAAATACTGCGAAAACTTTGATCGTTTCACTTCGAGCGCGTTATCGCCTTTACCTAAACTCCACGCGCCTGGCGTCGTGACTGTTTGTAACAACTCTAAAATTCGCACAAACTCCGGACGATCGCAAGATTCTCGCGACCAACAATCTAAAAGCAACTCCTCCATCTCCGTCTCCACCCAACTCGGAATTTTCGGTCGGTGATGCAAGAAGGCGACTTTCCCGACGATTTGTACCGGGTCTTTCAACTCGTGCCACGGGTAGTTCAACGTGATGAGCTCCCACAAAATTATACCGAAGGAGTACACGTCCGAGAGTTCGTCCACGTTATCGTTTCTCAACGCTTCCGGGGACATCCACTCGGGAGTACCTCCAGCCGTTTCCAACTCCGGGTTGGATTTCTGCAAGTACGCTCTGTACTTGATTCGACTCATGCCGAAATCAGAAATTTTCAAATTCCATTTCGAGTCGACTAATAAATTCGCCGGTTTCAAATCGTGATGTACGATTGGAGGCGATCGAGAGTGGAGGTAAGACATTCCCCGGGCGCAATCTGTGGCCATTTGTAAACGCAAGCGACCGTTATCGGCGACAGTTTCGCGGACAACGTTATCGTAATCGTGCAAAATGGAGTGCAAATTGCCTCTTTTCATGAGTTCGGTGACGATGCACATGGAAGGTGCGTCGACGACGGCGCCTAAAAACAGAACAATGTTTGGGTGTCGCAAATCGCGCATCAATCGGATTTCCGCCGCAAATTCTTTTATCGTGTTGTGCGTGGCAACGTCGAGCGTTTTCTTTACGGCGACATTCGTGCCATGCCACTTGGCTTTGTATACTTTCCCGAACGAACCGATGCCAATTTTCTTGCCAAAGATCAAATCGTTGATCGATATCGACCACGACCCGGCGGCTTTAATCAACGCGCGCGAGGAGCGCCGCTCGAGCTGTTCGGCCCAAGCTGATGCGGATATGTTGTTTTGGAACATGTGCGATTTCTTCTTCTTCTTCCCATTCGTTGGCGTGGCGTCGTATTTTTTCACCTCTTCAAGCAGCGCGTCGTTCTGAAACGTGACGGATTTTTTCGATCCTCCAGTTGTTCGCGGGCTGTTTACGTTTTGCAAATTTTTATTATGAGGCGGTGGCGTGCTCATCCCACTTTCTCCCTCTTTTTGTTGTTGCTCCGTAATCTTATTCGCATCATCCAACACTTTTTGCTGCGCAGCCGAGAATGCCGAATGAATCGCCGATCGCTTCATCGAACTTTGCTTTGGTCGCGCGTTGGGATCAAACGGCGGCTTCGCGGCTGAATACTTCGTCGCGCCGCTCGGACTCGAAACCGGAGGTGGTTTCTTCGAACCGATCGACGGACTGCTCGATGTTCTAACCAGTTCGCTTCTCGGAGAAGATGTGAACACGCCATTTTTCTGTTTCTGTGCAGCTCTCGCACTTCGCGGGGTACTTCCTGGCGACCTTTGATTCGGCGCCGGCGAAAGACTTCGGTTTCTGAATCTCACCGACCCGGAGCCAGTTCGGACTAATCCTCGCGAAGAGGGTTGGTTTCTACTTGCGGGGCTACCTGTACTACGATCATCCGTGCTAGGAGGAATGCCATTTTGCGGATCGAGTGATAAGGAATCCTCGGAATCGTTGTGTTTAAGCATCGACGCGTGCGTCTTCAAGCCGCTACTGCTCGCTCCGCCGTGCATTCTATTTCGACCGTTCTCTACATATTCGCTATCGTCGTCGTTGTCGTTGAAAACATCGTCGTCGTCGTACTCATCCGATTCTAACTCGCTCTCTTCTGATTCTTCATCCGTCGTAATCGAAGGCGACCCAACCGTCGGGCTGAGTTGGTGCCGCTGATGTCGATCGCCATCCGTTCGCGCGAAATAGTCTCTGCTCTCTCTTTTATTTTTCCCAAATCTTTTACTTTCCTTGCTACCGTATTGATAGTCATCGCTTGAAATTCTCGGCGATGGTGGTTGAATCGCGTACCCAGTCGTTTCCGCGCTATTTTCGTTCGTAATCGCCTTCCTTTGATTCGAAGGGTTGCTACCGTTCTCTCGCTGTTTTTGCTGCTCGTGTTCTCTCTGTTCTTGGATTTGTTGCTCTTTTTCTGCTCGCTCTCGATGCATTGCCGCGGTTCTGTTCAACACTTCCAACCACAACGCTTTATCTTTCAAAGTTTCGCATCTCACAATCTTGTGCGAGTACCCTTCCGGTCGGCAGCACGCTCCCGTCAACGCCTCGACGAGATTTTGCGGCGTAGAAGTGGACGAGCTCCCGTGCCGGCTCGATTTTTTCGGGTACAACAACAAATCGATCGCAATCGCCGTTTGTCCGTACTCAAACGCATCTCGCGCCGCTAAAACGGTCCCATACCCGTACATTCGTGAAAACCCTTTCCCCCAAAACAGATGGTTATCGTACAGCACGAAATGTCTCAACTTCCACGACGCGTCGTTTCTGCCGGACGAACCGAACCCTCGCATCAAATTGCTGAACCAGTTCCCTCTAATTTCCGTGTATTTCTCCAAAGTACCTTCTTTCGAAGGCACCGTCGGTAACCAAATCATAAACTTCGGCATTTGCGTGGGGATGCTGTCCAACGACGTACCTTCCGCGGTCGTCGTCGGCGTGTTTGGCGTTTCCTGTTGATTGTTTTCCACGGCGTTCAAACCGCTGCTCCCTAGGCTACTCTCGTTCGAACTGTTCGTATCCGTGTTCGACAATAAATCAGACGAACCTCTGCTCTTCGCGATAACGTTTCCGTTCTCGTCCAATTCGGTCATCGTGTCGTCCTCCACGGCTTGATCCAACGATAACAAACTCTCCAACTTTTCCTTCAACTGCTCTTTCTTTGATTGATTATTCGCGGCTTCCAATCGAAGCCGCTGTCTCAACATCCTCTCCTCGTTCGCTTCGTCGTACTCGTCAGAACCGGGAGAAGAATCGCACGACCCGTTCTGCACGTCGTCGTCGTCGTCGTACGTGCCCGTATCAGCACTATCGTCGCTACTCGTACTGCGAAAGAAGTTCCTTCCGCCGCCCAAAGACGCGTTCTCGTTCATACCGCCGCCTCCGCTCGTCGTTTCTCTCCCGTCGCTTCCGAGACTCGCATTCTCTCCGTCGGCGTTGGCGTTGTTCAAAACTAACTCGTTCAACTTCTCGATCGAACTCAGCCTGAGCCTTTGCAAGTCCGATAAAGGTTCGCTCAACCGAGCGTATAAGTTTGCGTCTGTTTCTTCGTCTCTCTGGTCGTCGCGGTTCGTCGTCTTCGTATTCGCACCACCACCACCATCACCACCACCAGCAGTTGAAGAAGACGGATGATGATGAGAACCCCGGCGACGATTTTGAGGAGGCGCGGCGTTGTTTCGCGAGGAACTCATGCTATTCTCACGATGAAGTTCTCGTTCTTGTTCTTGTTGTCCTTCTTTTTCGCAGAACTACGCTCCCGAGACGAACAAGAAGCGCGCTGAGTGTGTCTCCGATGTGATCTTTCCCCGGGGGTGTCCTTTAGAGATATTTTCTTATCGCGCGGAATAGAACTCCTCTCTCTCTCTCTCTCTCTCTCTTTGTTCGGTAACGAACGCACGTATCGCGCGAAACCCTTTTCAGCGATGCAAAGAACGCGACTAAAAAAAGAGAGAAAACGAGCGACGGAGTGTTGCTCTTTTGTCGCGCAAAGAAAGAAGCGGATTATGATGCTTTTTGCCTGGTAGGAGTGACCTTTGGAGGATACGCCAGCGGGGTCTTTTACTACGCGCTTACTACATTTAAAACTAAAGATAGGTTTACTCTAACAAAAGAGCTACGAATGATGGTGTCGATGAGTTTACACACGCAAACGCATAGTATCGCATCGTCACGACCAAACGGTCATCGCCCATCTTCTTTTAAACGAGGGCGCGACGCCGTGCAAAATCCTGCGCGAATCGAAGAGGACGAGACGACCGGGAAGCGGTTGGATGTCGAGAAAATTTTCCTGTTGTTCTCCTCCTCGTTCTTTGTCTTCTTCTTGTTCTTCGTCTTGTTCTTGTTGTTTTTGGTTTAGAAACACGCGCAAGCACCCTTCGGCTTCGGTTTCGTATCCGAGGTTGAAGTATAAAATGGCGGTTAAGTTTCGTTCGCAAATGCGAGAGCCTTCCGGGCCTTCCGCGTTGTTCGGATCGTAATCCACGTGCGGGTCGTATCGAGCGCCTTGTTTGTCGTACTTCGCGAGTTGCGCAAACTTTGGGTACGCGGTGTTTTCGGCGCGTTCGCGAGCGGCGAGCGCGCATTTTGGAGGAGATATTGACGACGAGGAGGAAACTTCGCAAAGTTTCCGCGGCAACGACCACAGAAACGTTCCCGCTACATTCAACGGCGACGCCGTAGGATTCTCGATATCAATTTTGATGCTCGCTAAATCGTCGTCTCTTCCCTCTTGGTTGACTGGGAAAAGTTTATCCGCCAGAGACTCGCATTGTTCGTACATTTGGCGAACGGCCTGTTCCGGAACGACGTCGTCGAGAACGACGAAACCAAACGCCTCGAGCTGTTCAACATGTTCCGACGAGAATAACAACGTTTGAGCAGTCGTTGGAGTGTCAAAGCTCTTACTATTCTTAACATCACCATCATCACGGCTCCCATCATCCTCACCGTCATCCTCGCCTCTCCCGGCCACCGTCGTCGACGACGACGAAGCAAACCTCTCCTCGAAATACCTCTCGGCGTCTTTAAACATTTTCTTCCTCGCGCCAATCGGGAGCTGCTTATACGCAACAACGAACCTCGAGCGACTCTTTTCATCCGTATCATCATCACTCGTCGTCGTCGTTGTTCTTCTTCGCGCCTTCAACATCGTCGTCGCGCTTAAAATGTCACGTTTCAACGCTTTCGTCGACTGCACGTGCACTCTCGTCCACTCGTCTTCTTTCTTCATCCGCGTCAGTAGCGCGAACGTTCCCGGACCATCTTCTTCTTCTGCGTCTATTCTCGTCTTTGAGAGAAACGCGTCGACTTTCTCGTCGTCGTCGGCGGGCAGAGCGATGCACCGCACCTTCGAGTCGTCGTCGTCCAAAACGCCGCACCCGTCGTCGTCTTTGAACGACGACGGCGAAGACGACTTCGAGCGACGTTTACGACTTTCCCTCGTTTCCCGCGAAGAAGAATTTGAAGTAAACGAGGAAGGAAAAGGCGCGAGACGACGCGCGGGTGCGCAGAGGCGCATTTCACGCGACGACGACGACGATGTGTCGCGACGCCGCGCGTCGAACTGTTTTCCAGACACCAAAATGTGGCCTCTACGAATGCACTCGACAAACAGCTCTCGAACGCGACGTTACGTATCGTGAAATGCACTTCTTTTTCGCGCGGAGACGTGTGCGCGTTTGATCTGTCGCGTGGCAACGTTTCGTGCGGTTTTGCGCGTTTCTCGATGCGCTTTACTCGTCATCCTTTGTGCTCGAAATGAGGGCATTTTCCGTCGTTTATCCAAACGCGTTTCCTTCACTTTTCTCCGCAGAGAGAAAGCGGCTAAAACGCAACAGAGACTCCATCCACGCGCGATGACGACGACGACGGCAACAAACGAATCCGTAGTGATTAAAACCTTAGCCCCGAACCATTTTTGCTTGGACCAAAACTTAAACCCGCGCGTGGTGCACACCATCGCGAAATCCTTGCCGTGGTACGGACCGAAATTTTCCCCGCATAAAGTCCCGAACTTTTACGACGTTTCCGGGATCACCGAGAACCCCGAGGCGTTTAAACTGGTCGTAGACACGTTCGCGGAGAGATACGAACGCATGAAAGAGAAACCGACGAAAATTGCCGGGTTCGACGCCAGAGGGTTTTTGTTCGGACCGACGATTGCGATGCGATTAGGTAAGCATATTGGTGTGTTGGTGTTTGGTGTTCGATTGATAGAGTCTTGACGTTTTTCGCGCTGACCGCGCGTCTCTCTTTGTATTCTTTCTTTTTACGCGCACGAACCAAACACACAGGCATACCTTTCGTTATGATTCGTAAGGCTGGGAAACTCCCCGGCGTGTTGGTTTCTTCCGGCGAATACGTCACGGAATACTCCACCGACGAAACGGTGATGCGGTTCGGCGCGATCGACGCGTCCGATCGAGTCGTGTTAATCGACGACTTAATCGCCACCGGAGGTACCGCATTAGCCGGGTTCGAGTTGTGTCATCAGTTAGGGGCGACGGTGCACGAGTTTGCAGCCATGATTGAGCTTCCGTTTTTAGACGGCGTGAAGAAGATTCACGAGTATAAAGACGGGTTGTTTAAAGACGTGCCGTGTTTTACCGTGGTGGATTGTTTGACCATCGGGGAAGATATGGGGAGAGACCCGATCGGAGAGGACGTGCCGAGAGTCGTCAAAGCCGAGGAGGTTGGGATGTACGAGGTAGATGAAGAGACTGGGAAAGTGAAAAGAAAGTTGTGATTTATAGTTTTAAAAATCGATTGTAGCGTGGTAATAATAGAGTAAATTCTTAAAAGTTCATGAGAATGCGTTCTCGCGGCACGCCGGCGTTTTCTAACATCTCGATCGTTTGTTCCGTCATCTCTTTCTGCCCGCACAGAACCGCGATCGCTTTTTTCGGATCTTTCAACTTCAACTCCCCGGAATCTATCATTCTTTTAAAATAATCCTGCGCGTACCCGTTCCCGTCCGCGCTGTACGCGTTGACGATTTTCGCTCGACCGCCCATCGTCGTCTTCAACTCCTCCGCGAACGCCGTGTGCGCGGCATCTCTCGTGCCGTAAAAAACGTACGTCTCGCCGTTATGCGTAAACCCTTCTTCTTCTAAGAAACTTTTCACCGGACTAATCCCACTCCCGGCTGCAAAGCACAACACGTCCCCGATCTCGTCCTCCGGGAGACGAAATCCTTTCCCCATCGGCGCCGAGACGAGTACGCTCGCCTCCTCCGAATCCAAATCGCACACTTTTTGCGCCGTCGACTGTAAAACCTCCCCGGTGTCTTTATCCGCGTACCCTTCGCTCGGACGTTTCACTAAAAACTCGAACGAGTTCGTTTTCTTCGCCATTTTAGGTCCGTTCGCGACGGCGATAAACGCCGGTTTGTCCGACGGAAGCACTTTCATCTGCACGTACTGCCCCGGGGTGGAAAATTTTTCCATCATTTCATCCAAATGTCCACCACCAATCGAGAGTGCATACAAGTCGCCTTTTGCGGTTACTTTTCTTGGTTTCTTGACGAACGTACAGGGAAAGAACTGCACGTCGTCCCCCCAGGCGGATTTGATTTTCAAATCGCGAGTAGACGAGGAGGAAACCTTGAGAAAGTTTTGTCTGTTTCCCGGATGGTCGATGATATCTCCGTTCCCGCCGCGATGGAAATTCGACGAGGAAAAACGTCTGCACGTACTCGTCGTCGTACAGTCGCGAAAAGCACTCGCATGAGAGTAGGAACGAGTGCGATGCGCGACCATCGCGTTGTGGGTGAGTTTTTGCCTCCTTCCGCAACACGAGGAGGCGGTTTTAGAGGAAGAGGAGGCGAAACACATCGAGCGCATGGTGATGAGATGTCACGCGCGCTTTTATAATGGAGAAAAGGTCGTCATTTTCCGAAAGAGAAACGAAGAGAAAAAGGAGACGATGAAACGATGACAAAAACGACTCCGAACGACGCTTCTCTCCTTCTCAACGGTGGCGGTGGTGTTTGACTTTTAAAGCAGCAGGTGTAGTCGCGAAAGACGATGACGACATCGACGACACAATGCTTTCCGTTCTTTACTCCAATTTTAGATGCGGTTTTAGATATGAAGGAGGAGGAAAGAAGAACACTACCGCGCGAGAGAAAGAGAAAGGGAAAAAAGGACGTCGAAAACGAAGCGCGCGAAACGCAGAACACCTCCTCAAACGTGTCGTTTTCGGGCTCGTGCGCACTGAACGCAGAAATCAACGGAAAGTTTATCCTCCTGCGTGATGATGATGATGACGAGAAGAGGAATACAGGAGGAGAAACCATCAAACCGGACGCGAGCAGAATCGTCGCGTTGGATGACTTGTGGAGGAAAGAAGAAGACAAAGAAGAAACAGACGAAGAGGAGGCGAAGAAGGTCTTCGTGAAATCGCTGGCGTCGGTGAATGTTACGAGTGAAGAAGAGGGAACGACGAGAGTCGTCGACGTGAGAGCGAGCGCGGAGAAGTATTGGGAGCGGGAAACGGTGGATAGGAGCGGTGGTGAAGGTGAAGGGAGCGACGACGAGAAAACGCTCGGCGCGAAAAATTTCATCGTCGAAGCGGCGTCGAGAAACGGCGGCGTGGTCGGGGAGAAGTTTTTGTTCGAGCGGTTGGAGAGGGTGTTTCCGCAAACGGTGTTTGCGAGAGCGCCGGTGGAGAGTTTTGTTTTTGAAGGCGACGATGATGATTGCGAAGAAGAAGAAGAAGAAGAAGAAGAAGAGCGCAAACAACAACAAAAACAAAACCGGTATAAGTACGATGCGATCGTTTACAACGCCTCGGATGAAACGTCAAAGTTTCGATACCACATCGACGGCGATCCGATGACTTTGTTGCACCCAAAATCTGCATTCGCGGAAGCGTACGGAGGTAATTACGCGAACAGAGCGCCGATGGGGTATGCGAAGAATAAGAACGAGAAGGTTTGTATTAAACCGCGTTTTATTTCCTTGCTCGTGTATTTAAACGACGAGTGGGATCCCGAGTGGGGCGGCGAGACGAAGTTTTTGGACGAAGACTCACAAATCGGCCTTCTCGTCGCGGCGAAACCGGGGCGGGTAGTCTTGTTCGACTCGGACGTGAAACACAGCGCGTGCGCGACAACGATGCCTCCTCGCGACGACGAAAGCAACAACAAAAACAAGAAAAGGTTTTCGCTGGTGATGAAACTCATCGCCTTGCCCAAAAAGGTGCTTCTGAACGAGGAGAAAAACGAAGACGACGACGACAAAGAAGAAGAAGAAGAAGAAGTGGACTTGTTGAGAGTGAATCCGAACTTGGGATTCGGCGCCGCGACGCCCATAGGAAGCGCGAAGCGACTTCGCGACGTCGTCGAAGCTTTCTCTCGAAAATCGAGCATAAAGTAGCGTTAATTCACTCATTCATTCGTTCTTTGCGCGCGCGCGTGTATTTATACATCTCATAATCACATTTTTCTCTCTATCTAAATCTGTCGTCAAAACTTCGCCTCAAACGATACCCCGCACCCGCACTTCTGCTCCGCGTTTGGATTCTTCACCACCTCAAACGCGCTCCGTATCATCTCCTCCGCGTAATCCACCGTGCTTCCTTTCAAATACTCAAACGACACCTCGTCGCACACCACCTTCGCTTCCTCCGGAAACCTCCGACCGACGAACACTCGATCCTCTCCCGTCACCACGTCCTTCTCGTCGATCAACGCGAACGTGTACTGAAACCCCGCGCACCCGCCGCCGTCCACGCCGATTCGCAACACCGTCTCTCTCTTTGTTTCTGAGTTCTCCTCTGCGCTCTTCTTCATCTCTCTCTGGAAAATCCTGCGGAGTTGCTCCTCGCACTTCTCCGAGAGGTGCAACGACTCAGCCTCTCCTTTCGCGCCGCTCGTCGTCGATTTTGTCTGCATCGTCCGACAAAGAACGCTCGTCGCACCGTACCAAGCGGTGCTTTTGCTCTCCTTTAATGTTGTCTTCGCAGAGCGGCGACTCGAATACCTTTCCCCCTCCCAGGACGACGACGACGCGCACGACGTCGAACTTCTCCTCCTCGAAAGATGATGATGACGACGACGACGGTGATGACGAGAGAAAGCCGTCGTCGTCGTCGTCGTCAAACTGTCATCAACGACGCCGCCGCGCATAAAAAAACAAAAAGGGGCGTTCAACCCTCCACGATGCGGATGAAAAGAACAGGGAGAGAAAGAGGAGGAGGACGAGGAGGAGGAAAAACATTTCCTTTGCCGTTTTGCGAAGAGGAGGAGAGATGCGAGCATTGTTGTCGCGATTTGTCTCGTGTGGTTTGTGTTCTGTGGATTGAGAGCAAACGAACAAAAAGAAAAACGAAAAAAATACGCGAGCGAGCGAGCGAGCGAGAGAACACCAACCAACCAACCACCAGCGACGCGATACTATATTTGTTCGCCAAAACGTCAAAGTTCGTTCCTTTCCTCTCTCGAGTCTCTCTCTCTCTCGCAAGTCTCTCTCTCTCGAGTCTCTCTCTCTCTCAAAAATGTGTGGCGGGAAACGTCTTTTTAAAGATTTGAATTTTTTAGGGGAGGATTTTAGCGTTTTACACAAATACAACTAAAAAGAAACGAGAGATTTTCACGTTTTGCGTCATTTTTGTATTCACACGCGACGCGCGCAAAGAACGCACGCACAAACGCGCAAAGTGTACGACACGAAGAAGACTCATGTCCCGCCAGGTCGGGTTTAACCTGGAGAGCATATCTTTATCCTCTTCTTCTTCTTCAGAGGAGGAGGAGGAGGAGGAGGACGATGCGTGTGTTTTCGAAGCGCGAACGAAGGAAGAAACGGAAACGAGGAAAGTTTTGCGTTACGACGCGGAGGATGTCACGACGACGACGAAGAACAATCATCATCATCATCCGTTCGCGTCGTCGAACAAGGGCGAAAGTGGTACTCTTCTGGATGCGCACGAGAGAAACGTCCGAGAAGTTTTGAGGAAAGCGATTTGCGTCGACGAAGAAGGAGAGTATTCGTCCGATTTTGAAGAAGAAGAGGAAAAAAGGACGGAGGAAGCGACGAAAGAAGACCGAGAGAAAGAAGAAGAGAAAGAAGACTTTAACGCAGCGCCGGCATCGACGACAACAACGACGACGACAGCGACGTTTTTGGGACCGAAGCCACCGCCGAGACGGTTTCAGTCGGCGTTTGACATCGCTCGAAAAGCGCTGAGAAGAGAGGAACATTTTTTATCGGCGACGACGACGATTCAGACGACGAGTACTGATGCAACGCTCGTCGTGGACGCGCACGCGTTTGGCGGGAAAGCATTTCGCGGGTCGTGGGCGGGAACGTCCGGGAGATTTGCGTTTTGCGACGGGTCGAAGATTGTCGAGCGAGCGGTCGTACCAGTTGAAGATGTTTGTGGACTCGAAGGCGAGGAAGATGGTGTAGACGAAGAGGAAGCGAAGAGAGCGATGATGACGTTCCAAGCGCGGGCGATTAAGAACGGTTTGAAATGTTTCGAGGCGTTTTCGGAAAAAGAGGTGGATCCTCGATGCCGTTTAACCGTTCCCGCCGAGGACGTGAAGGAGTTTTGTCGAGTGCATTGCGAAGCGTTAGCGAACGCGTTGATGTTGTTGAATAATAGCGGTGATGGTAGTAATAGTAATAGCAACGCCGACGACGAGTACGGTTGCAAAACGAGACGACGACAACGAATCGCGAGCAAAACGAAACGAGCGATTGAGTTGTGGGACCTTCTGGAGCTTTTATACAAGAAGGACGAACTCGGCGCGCAGAGAGGTTCCGCCGCGGATACGTTTCGACGCAAACAAAGTCTGAGCAAATGGTTGAAAAGATCTTTGAAACGCGCGGAGATGGAGAAGGCGTTGGAAATGGACGCGCAACCGATGGATTTTGACGACGACGACGACGACGACGACGACAACAACGACAAAAAAGAGAAGAACAACGATCCAGTCTCTGTGGCATTGTCGCGTAACGATATCGTTTTAGCGACGCAATTAGCTTTGAACGATGGCGACATGCGATTAGCAACCATCATCGCGCAAACTGGGGCGAGCGATAACATCAAAAATCTCGCCAACGCGCAGTTGAACACGTGGGAGAACGCGTTCGGTACCGCGACGAACAAGTACATCCCCGCCGCCACTCGAAGCGTGATGGAACTCCTAGCGGGTAGAGTGGAAACGACGTCGAGCGAAGACGGAACCTCGAGAAATGCGACGCCAGAAACGAAGGATTGGATCGAAAATCTTTCCAGGCGCGTGTGGTTTCATCACAACGTCGCGGAGACGACGGAAAAGATTTTAGAAAGGTACGAGAGAGACATTCTAGAGGACAAAAACGGAATTTTGAAAGATTCTGCCGCCGCGCTCTTCCCGCACCCGAGCGGCGTGAGTCAAGACGCGTTGGTTGAACACAAGTGCGAAGGCATCGTGAAGGATGCTAGATACGACGCTTTGCTGTTAACTTCTTTATCTTCTGCTTCTTCTTCAGCCACCGCCGCCGGCGGCGCGAGGAATACCAGCAGTTCGAACGGACATCCGTTCCATCAGCTCGGCTTTGGCGAAGACTTTTTGGAGTTTTCAAACTCGTGGATGGCGACGCAGTTCGTCCTCTCGCAACAATCATCGTCGAAAGCGTCCGCGTCGTTGTTGTCACGCAGAGGTGACCAGTACACCGAGAATCTCATCGGTCAAATCTCCCAACTCAACGCGTATTTCGCGAGCGAGGACGAGAAAAATAACGAAGAAAACAGGCTGCCTAAGATTGAGTGCGACTGGCTTCTTTTCGTCGCTTTATTCATTCGAGACGACTCGAAACGCGAACGCGCGTGTAAACGAATTCTCACGGAGACCGTAACCGAGTGGAGAAAGTCAGCGGTGAAATTAGACATTCTTGCGCGGAAATTCCAAATGCCCAAGAAATGGTTGGACGATGCGAACGAGGCGAAAATGAACAACGACAAGCCGGTACTGACGAATTCGTTGTACCGATAAATCAGAAACATGGTAGTAATTGTTAACACTTCTTTTTTACTCAAAATCCAAAACGGCTATCGTGTTGTTGCTAAAGCAGGCTGCAATCTTCGACCCTTCCTGGTTCCAACACACCTCGAAGACCCCGCCGTCACCGCGGTACGTCTTTTCTAACAACCCGGTGGCAATTTCCCAAACTCTCACGCGTTTATCGAAACTTCCCGAGGCGATGTGTTTCCCATCTGGCGAAAACGCGACCGAATACACCGGTTCCGTGTGCATGTTGAACGTCCGAATACACTCTCCAGTCGTCGCGTTCCATAATTTAACCGTGTGGTCGTACGAAGCCGTCGCCAACATCAAAGGAATATCCGGATTCTTCGTCCCCGGTCCCGTTGGCGACCATTTGATGGTGTACACTTCCTTTTTGTGTTCGCTGAACGTGAAAAGAGCCTGGTTTTGATTCATGGACCAAATTTTCGCGGTGTAATCGTCCGAGCACGACGCGAGAAGGTTACCGACGGGATCCCACTTGATGCAGTTGACTTCGTCCGTGTGTCCTTCGAATTTTTTCAAAGGTGCCTTCTTACCAACTTCGCAAACGTAAATCTTCTTATCCATACTGGACGTCGCAAACACGTTCGTATCTCCTTTCCAATCGACGTCCAAACACGGCGCTTCGTGTAATTCGTACGTTTGCTTCGCCTCCCCGGATTTCGCGTCCCACACCACGGCAGTTTTATCCACCGATACTGAAATCAACGAGTCGCCGGCTTTGTTCCACTTCAAGGAGAAAATCGGACCTTTGTGCTGCTCGAGTCTGGCGACGAGCTTACCGCTATCGTCCCAAAGCCTCGCGTCGCCGTCGTACGATCCAGTGGCTAATATCGTACCGTCGCTGTTCCAGTCTAAAGTCGTGACGTCTTTCGATTTCTTCTCGTCCTCGTCCTCCGCATCGTTTTTCTTTTCTTTATTCTTTCCTCCTCCACCGTCGACGTCCATGGCGTCGCCACCACCACCTACTCCGTTCTTATCTTCTTTACTCTCTCCGTTTTTATTCGTCGTATCTTTCTCTTCGTTTTCTTTTTTAATCTTCTTCGTGTGCTCTAAAACCGCCGGCGGTTTCATCTTCGCCTCAGCGACTCTTCCGCTCGGCCCAGCCGGTAACGTCCAAATTCTCGCCGTCGCATCGCCACTTCCACTGGCTAACATCCCTTCTCTCTTCGGGTTCCACGCGCAGACGAAAACCTCGCCCAAGTGCCCGTCCAACGTCGTCACTTCGTCTTGGCTCACGTCGAACAGTTGGTTCACGTCGTCCAAACCGCCGTTCTTTCCTCCGGCGGCGGCAAACGTTCCGTCGATCGTTTTCACCGCCATGGCTGCTTTCTTTCTCTCCTCCAACTTTCTTTTCAGCGCGGTCTCTTCCTCCTCGATCGCTCGATTCCGTTCCTCCGCGGACATCTCCCTTCTCGACTTTACCAGCGCCTTCAAAGCGTCCACCGGTTTCGAAAGCAAATCTCTCGCCGTCAACACCGAAAAGTTCGCGTCGATATCGTCCTCTTCGTTGTTGTTTTTGACGTTAGCATTGTTTCCTTCCCCATTAGCACCATTATTCCCGCCGCTGCTCTCGTTCAAATTCGCTTCGAGCTCTAAATATTGCAATCCTTTTTGCACGAACGCCACCAACGCGCCCGCCGGAATGTCCTGATCTTCGTTTCCTGGGGCAATTCGAGTTCTATTGACGAACGATTCGTTCGCAAACGTAAACGCGGAGTGCGAAAACCCAGATTCGAGGAGGTATTTGTACACCATAAAGTTCACCTCGTCCGAGGTGAGACTCATTTTTATTTATTACGGTTCTTCTTTGTCTTCTTCTCGCGAAAGTTTTTAGAAGATCTCTTTATAAACGTGCGCTTCTCTCGATTCAAACCGAGACGGAAATTGGCGAAATTCGCTCTCGATTTTACGCGCGTTTTGCGTGTGGGAGTCGCGTTAGGGTCGTCACACGCACAGGCTCTCGCTCGCAAAGTCCAACTTTTACTGCAAAAAAATGAAACGAACGCGTATATTCTGGTAAGATCCGCGCGTCAATTTCCGATTTTATCCTTCGCACAACTCTCGTCGTTTCTCTTCGCGTGGTCGCGTGTCGCGCGTCGTCGAGAATGAGGAGTGAAATTTCTTCTTTTTTGATGTGTGTGTGTCTCTTTCGGAAGAGTTTTTTTTGTAAGTGCAAAAGTCCTACTCGTGAGAGTACCCAAATGGCGCTACAAAGTTTAGGGTATTAGTACGTAAGAGTACTCTTTGAGGTACTTTGCGTAGTTGCTCTTTAAGTGCTTCAGACTCTCCTCTCTCTCTCTGGTGTCAGTCAGATGGGTGCCAGTTTCTTTCGCTCCATTTACGAGTACACACCACGCGCGATAGAGAGAGACTCGAGAGAGAGAGAAAGAAAGCGCTCATGAAGACAACAACAACAACAACAACGACGACGAGACCACACAACAAAGAAGGAATCTTTTGCCTCGGCGTGGACGGCGGCACCGGCGGGATTCGCTGCCAACTCTTCGACGCGCGCACCGGAGAATCGCTCGTCACCTGCGAACGCACGTACGACACCACGTACGGTATTCCACGCGCGGGATGCGCGACGCAAACGTGCGCGGATTGGTGGCTAAGCTTTCGAGACGCAATGAGAGAGTTACTCTCCGTGTCGAAGATATCGCTGGCAGATATCGCGGGTATTTGTTTGGACACGACGTGCTGTTCGGTGGTGTTTATGGAGGAGCACGGAGAGCGCGCGATATATCCGTGCGTCATGTGGTGCGACATGCGCGCGGGCGCGAAGGAAACGAAGGACGTTTTGAACGCCGCCGAGTGTGCGAAAAGGAGAAGGAAAAGGAACGAAGACGTAGACGCGCGTTACGAAGAAGAGGTTGCGAAAACGTTACGGGTGAACTGCGACGGAGAAGGTCCGGTTTCCGCGGAGTGGATGGTTCCGAAAGCGCTGTGGATGAAACGGAACGAGAGAGAAGTGTACGATCGAGCGACGAAAGTGTGCGAATATCAAGACTACATGAACTTTCGATTGACGAAAAGATACTGCGCGAGCGCGAACAACGCGAGCGTAAGGTGGCATTTTCGAGAAGAAGAAGGAAAAAAAGTACCTCCGAAAGAGTTGTTGGAAGCGTTAGAGTTGGAAGATTTATTAGAAAAATGGCCGAAAGATGTGTTAAAGTGCGGCGAAGTTATTGGAAACGTCACGAAAGAGGCGTTCGAGGAGCTCTTCGGGGAGAGCGCGAAAAAGTTTATAGAGATACCAGTCGTTCAAGGCGGCGCGGACGCGTTCATCGGCATGATTGGGTTAGGTGCCATTCATCCGAAAACGATGGCTTTAATCACCGGATCTTCGCATTTACACTTAGCAGTTACGGAGAAGAAAATGTTTGGAAAAGGCATGTTTGGCGCCTACGAAAACGCGCTGGTACCCGAGGCGAAATTCATCGTCGAAGGCGGACAAACGAGCACGGGATCGATTACGAATTGGTTTAAAAATCAATTTAATTGCACGTACGAGGAAATATTCAAAGAAGCCGAAGAGATTCCAATTGGATGCGAAAACTTAGTCGCTTTAGACCACTTCCAAGGGAACCGAACGCCACACGTCGACGCCGAATCGAAAGGCTGTTTCATCGGTTTGACGTTGAAACATTCGCGCGCGCACATGTTTCGCGCGATATTAGAATCGATATGTTTCGGCACCAAGGCGGTGGTGGATACCATGCGAAAAAACGGGACGGAAATAGAAACCATAGTCATCGCCGGCGGAGCGACTCGATCGAAGTTTTGGCTTCAAATGCACGCGGACGTGACGAATTGTGAAGTTGTCGTTACCGAATGTCCAGACGCGCCGGCGTTGGGGTGCGCCATTTTAGCCAGCGTAGGAGTGGGGATTTATAAAACCGCCGATGAGGCGTGCGGACGCATGGTGAAGCGTTTGGAAACGATTTCGCCAAATGTGAAGAGCGCGGCTGAGTACGAAAAAGTGTACTCGAGGACGTACTCGAAGCTGTACGGGTTGTGCAAAACGCTGAGAGAGGAAGAAGAAAAAGAAGAAAAAGAAGAAAAAGACGCAATCGACGAGAACGCGGCGCCGGCGAAAAAGAGAAAGACGACGACAAGTGGTGGCGATGCGACGAAAACTACGAGCGCACTCTTCAAAATTGCGCCGTCGCTTTTGGCTGCTCCAGACCACGCCAATCTCATCTCCGCGACCTCGATCGCTCTCGCGGCCTCGGCCGATTGGATCCACGTCGACGTCTTCGACGGCCAATTCGTCCCCGTGGTTACGTTTGGACCGTCCACGGTCCAATCTCTTCGCGAGAACTTCCCCACGGCTTTCTTAGATTGCCACCTCTCCTGTCAAAACCCTGATTTTTACATCGACAACGGTCTCGGCGACAGCGCCTCGCAAATCTCCTTCCACCCCGAAGCCGTCCGGACTTTCGCCGAGAGGAAAAAATTGTGCGAAAAAATAAAGTTCAAACACAACAAGCGCGCGTCGATGAGCATCAACCCGTCCACAAACTTAGAAGACACCTCGGTCTTTGAACTTCTCGACTTGAACTTGTTAGATTGCGTGAACGTACTCGCCGTCCAACCTGGATTTGGCGGTCAAAAACTCCAACCGACTGCGCTCGAAAAAGTCAAACGGTTGCGCAAACGATCGAAAACGCTCGACATCCAAGTCGACGGCGGCGTCAATTTAGAGACGATCGAAGCCGTCGTCGAGAGTGGTGCGAACGTCGTCGTCGCTGGAAGTTTTATCTTTCGAGAAAACAGAGGGAAAGAGAAAGACGCCGTGAAAATGTTGAGAGCGTTTGGTAGTACCACGTGAGTGAGTTTTATGACGATTTTGAGCTTTGCAGCAGCAGCCTTTACACTTTTTATCTCCACTTTGTTATCACCCGTCAAAGAGCACTTTTGCGCTCTTTTTCTCTCTCTCTCTAAACTCTCTCTCTCTGTGTGTTTCGGAAATACGTGATAAAAGCGGAAATGTCCTCCTTCTCCTCCTCCTCTTCGTTTCCTTCGAGCGAGGACGCTCAAAATCATCATCCTCCCAGCGAACAAGAATTCGCTTTTGACGGAGACGACGGCAACGTCCTCGACGCGATTCTACATCGCGTCGACTTCATCTGGGAAAGAACGAGAGCAAAAGTCGAGGACGTTTACCACCACCCGGAGCTACTCGTTCTCGTCCTCTTTTCACTCGTCCTGGCGCATTTTATCGCCGGTAGAATCTTCTTCAACAAAGGAAAAGAAAGAAAGATTGGGAGTAAGAACAGCAAGAAACGAGATTCGATCGTTTTGTGCGGCCAAGACGGCGCCGGGTCGACGTCGGCGTATTTACTTTTGAAGAACAAAAGTTTAGGGCTCGGGACGGTGACGAGCTCGATAGAGAACGAGAGCGAGGTGGAGATTTGCGTTTCTTCTTCTGATCGTGATGCGAAAGAGAAAAGGGTGAAAGTGAACGTCGTCGACGTACCCGGCCACGCGAAAATCCGGAACCGCTTTTACGAGCGGTTCTTGCCTCGAGCGAAAGGGATCGTGTTCTTCGTGGACGGCGTGGAGTTTTCGACGAATAAAAGAGACGTCGCGGACCATTTATACAACGAAATCTTGATCGATTACGATAACGTCCGGCGCAAACGGATTCCGATTTTAATCGCGTGTAACAAGACGGACAAGGAAGCGTGTTCGCCGGCAACCTTCGTCAAAAAACGTTTGGAATCCGAAATCGAAATGATACGAACCACGCGCGATGTCATGCTTAAAGACGCGCAATTCGACGACGGCAGTCGCAAAGCGAAAAAACGCGCCAAAGAGATTGAAAAGAAACGCGAGAGAGAGGTTACCGGGTTAGGATGGAAAGACGAGTGGGGTAAGTTTTCCTTCGACAAAGCCGCCGAGATGAAAACGCACGGCCGGTTTCTCTTTTGCGCGTGCTCTTGCGTCGGCGAAGACCGGGAGTGGAAACTCAAGAAAGAAGCGGAGGAAAAAGGTGATGATGGTAGTGATAACAACGGTGACACTAATAACAGTAGCGGCGGTGACAAAACTAGTAATAGCGGGGGTAGTAGAAACTTGAGCGCGGTGAAAGCCTTCGCGGCTGAGCACGCGGGACGTTAAAACGAATAGTAGTATAATAGTAGTTCATATCAGAGAGTAAAAGAGAAAGAGAGAGACAAAAAGAGGTTGAACACACTCGATGTTCAGCGCGGTGTGTTGATGTTGGTGGTGAAAGCCTTCGTTAAAGTGTTGTAGCATATGAGAGAAAAAAAAAAAAAATGCACAACTTCTCACTCGTAAAACCTGTCTTTTTGTTTTCAACGCAATTTTAGATAAAACCTCATTTTTCTCGTGTTACGTAAACGCGCGCGGAAATATACATAGCTCTACTAGAAAAAGAAAATGTCCGCGTTAATCCAATCCTTCTCTTCCCTCTCCTTATCTTCCCGCAGTTTGCGAGGAGATGCGAGAGTCGCGTCGCCGTCGGCGATGCCGATGAGAAAAAGAACGGCGGTCGTCACCGAAGCGGTATGTTGTTTTTCTCCTCTTTTCCTGGGCAAAAATTGGTCCAAATTCTCGCTTTTTACGCGTAACGAAGCGCTGCTGCTTTCCTACTCTCGCGAACGAGATGCGAACGATTCTTCGCGCGAAAGAAACCGCAACCGAAATGTCTAAGCTATTTTTTAAGAGAGAGAGAGCAAACGGCGCGCGTGTTCGTCGTCAGCCGTCAAAGTCGTTTCGTCGCCGAAAATGTTTTCTGTTCCTCTCTTTTCCTCCAATTTTATCCGAGGGGCTGCTTCAGGTTTTAGAGAAGCAAAACCCTCCTCTCCTCTGTTTTTCAAAGAGAAACTCACGTTAGTACTTTCTTTTTTGTGTGCGCGTTCTCTTCTCTAAAACAACAGAAAAAGAAATGGGAAAAACAAGCGTTAAACCAGAACGGGAAACCGTTGCGAGTGAAGATGCACGTGAAAACGAACGATAAGGTCATCGTCATCGCCGGCGCGGATAAAGGGAAAGTGACCGAAGTCGTCGAGGTGTTTACGAAGAATGGGCAAATTTTGTGCAAAGACGTGAACATCAAGACGAAACATGTGAAGCCGAGAAACGAAGGCGAGAGCGGGAGTATTATTCAAAGAGAGTTTCCAATTCATCACTCGAACGTGATGCATTACTCCGCGGCGGAGAAGAAGAGATCGAGAGTTGGTAAAAAGATGGAGGGCGACAAAAAAGTGCGCGTGTTGAAAGCGACTGGGGAGGTGTTGGCAAACTAAGAAATATACGAAGAGATTCTCCGTTTAGTCTTTTAGCAAGTTGTGCCCGTGCATGCGTATATATGACACGTATAACGACGACAACACGCGGTGCTTTGACATTGTGATATATATATATTAAGTTTTATTGTAGCTCATTCTTAAAATAAACAACAACAACAACAACAACAGCAACGACAACGTCTTCGTCTTCAGTTTTTGGTTTTCGCTTTTATTATCTCTCTTCTATTTGTTTCGTCAAATACTATTCGTATTAGTATATCCGATGCGTGCTCTCTTTCTCTCTTTTAATAAATACGGCAATAACGCGCAGCAGCAGCAGTAACGATGGCGTGTTCGCAGCGTTCAAAACTAACTCACAGGCAAGCAAACCCGTGCTTCTTACTCGCTTTCCAAGTGACGTCAATCTTCTCCGGATCGATGGCGCCTACTTCGTGATGCTGCCAACCCTCCAAAGCGTGTATGAGCGCGCCTGCGTGACACGCGTGCACGCACCCTCTTTCCATGGTCATCTCGCACGTTTTGAAATCCTTCGCTTCCTTTTCCGGCAATCTAAACGCCGGTAAATCCGTGTACGCGCAATCCGATCTCGTCTCCGGAATAGGAGGCACGACGAACTGGTGAAACGTCGTTTTCGAGGGCGCCAAACTTTGCTCGTTCTTATCGCAATGTCTTCCGACGACCCAGTTTCTGCACGTTCTTCCGCTGCTATAATTCGTTTTCGTATCGTTCTTTTCTTCTGTTTCTACTTCTCTGTTATTGTTATTGTTGTTATTTTTCAAGGATCCGAGTCGACTCAATAAAAAGCTGCCGCTCTTCTTCAAGACGTTCGAAGTGCTCTCTTGTGTAATTTCCACCTTCTCATTCGCGTTATTTACGCGAAACAGCAAGTGACGAAACTTTTCCGGACACTCCATTTTAATCTTCTCGAACCTCTCTTCGCTCGTCGTGCACATCAAGACGCGGCAGTTCTTCTTCGTCGCCATGTACAACGCGATCGCCCTTCCTAACTTGGACGTCGCGCCGGTCAAGAAGATCTCCTTGACGTTTTCTGGAATCTTATCGATGATTGCTGCCGCAGTTAACGTGTTCCCGTGGACTACTTTCGTGTTTTTCAAATTCTTCTCGTGTTTTTGAACGAAAAACGCGCCGCCGCCGTTCAAAGCTTCGTTTTTGTTCAAAGCGCCCAATCCCAAAACTCTCACGCCTCTCTCGTCCGCGTCTAAAATAGCCCGTTCAATCTTCGCGTTGATGTGTTTAAACTCGCTTCGGATGAAAAATTGAAACCCCCACGCCGGCGTGACCCACGTTTCGATGTTCATGTTTTTCAATCTGTGCTTATCGCTGACAAACGCCTTCACCCCTGGCAAAAATCTCAAAGCCGCAACTGCCGGCAACGTCAACGGCCACAACATCTTCAGCATCCACGAATCCGTCGTGAATGGCCTACTAGAAAACGATCTGAACGCAAACGGTAAGTGAAACATGCTCAACAACTCCGTTCCGTGCGCCATAAACACCACGTCCGGTGTCGTTTTCGGACTCGCTTTCCCTTCGATCGCTTTATCGTACAACTCCTCCGAGCTCTTATCCATGGTTCCGTACGCGTAATCGTAAATAGGCATGAACAAACAAAAGTTTGTGTGCACGCGACTGTGGTGCAACGAGTGATAACTCGGCGTGTACAACAAATACTTCACCCCGGGAAACTTGGCGAAAAACTTTGGCACAAACTCGAAATTACAGTGCCCGATCGCGTTCAACAAATCGAAACCCATCAAGTACACGTAAAACATCGCCATAGACGCGCCGTTGCACATCCACGTCCCTAACAACGGAATCGCAAAATTAGCGGTATACATTATGTGTTCCATGAACGGGTGCACGCTCCCAGTGATTGGCTCGGTGACGAAACTCGCGTGATGGTGCGAGTGGTACGCGCTATACAACGTGTGGTGGTGCAACAGCCTATGCAACCAGTAATACACGTACTCCGTCGGTCCGACGTGTAGCAGCAACAGCTGCCACATGCCTTTCTTCTCAAACAAAGGGAAATTCTTAAACCCAAGCCCTGGGCAAAAATGCACCATAGACATGACTATGTATTGCAATAAAATATAATCGTCCCAGTGGTCCTCCCTATCCACTTGCTTAAAATCGATCCCTTTGCTTTGTATTCTCGTCTTCTCCGTTATCGCGTGTATCCTGGACAAGGATATGAAGAATTGCGCCATGACGTACCGCAGTAAGACTATCATCGTCATGTGAAAGTGCCATTGGTCCGAGTCGTCGTTTTCAGGCGATACAATGCCGCGATAAAGCATGGGAAGATAGATGGCGTATTTCATTTTCCCGATTTTGCTCCACGGGAAATCGTACGCGAACCCCGGTCTCGATGCCATCGTCTTCTTCTTTCTGTTACAGTGTTGCGCTCTCTCTCTCTTTCTGTGCCTCAATCGCCGCTGAAACTGGTGGTCTTTTTTCGTCTCTTCTTCTTTCTCTCTTTTTCTTTCTCTCTGAAGAAGAAGAAGAAGAAGAAGAAGATTATATATGAGAAAAGCGCCTACGTCACAGAAGAAAAAGTGCTCAACCTTACTCGTTAAATTTTAGCGGAACTCCTATATGTACCAATCGAACGGAGAGTAAACGTACGCGACGCGAATTTCCGCGCGCGACGGAAATTATCTGATGACGTGCAAACTCTCTCTCTCGTCTCCGTTTATTATTATTCGTATTAAATTATTCGTAGCACGAAGCGTAGTGCGCTCTGTGGTTTATTCTTGTGCCGCTCTCTCTCGTTCTATACAAAAGAGGAAACAACCACACACTCGTTTTTTTTGCGCCTTTTTTGAGCGAGCGAGACCACGAATTTTCTTCTGCAAAAAAAACAGCCAACAAACGAGGAGAGGAGGAGGATTCGAGGCCACCAAGAATCAAAGGTGTCGCTTTCATTTTTTTCTCCTCCAGCCTCGAGCGAGCCAAAACTGTTGCCCCAAGAGAGGAAACGAATAAAAATCTCAAGTCTTTTTCAAAAAAAAAAAATCAATTTTTCTCTTTTCGTTCGTTCTGCACAAAAATCACTCGCTTAAAACACAATGGCTCGTACGAAACAAACCGCTCGTAAATCCACCGGTACGTTCAAATTCTCGTTCGTTTAATTAATGCATTTAATGTTCTTTTCTCGTCGTTGTTGTTGTTGTTGATGTGATGACTACGAAAAATCATCAAATCCATCAACGGTCACATTTATATAAAATACTGACGATATATTTTGTTCTTTAAATTATAATAACGAGAACAGGTGGCAAAGCCCCGAGAAAGCAACTCGCGACGAAAGCCGCGCGCAAATCTGCGCCGGCGACTGGTGGCGTCAAGAAGCCGCACAGATACCGCCCGGGGACCGTCGCGTTGAGAGAAATCCGAAAGTACCAAAAGTCCACGGAATTGCTCATCCGAAAGTTGCCGTTTCAACGCTTGGTGAGAGAAATCGCGCAAGATTTCAAGACTGACTTAAGATTCCAATCGAGCGCGGTTTTGGCGTTACAAGAAGCGTCCGAAGCGTACTTGGTTGGCTTGTTCGAAGACACCAACTTGTGCGCGATCCACGCCAAGAGAGTTACGATCATGCCGAAGGATGTTCAATTGGCGAGACGCATCAGAGGCGAACGCGCTTAAGAAGCTTGTCTTCTTTCGCGTCTTCGGGGTACAACTCGAAGCAATCAAAACAAATCATCGGAAGTTCTTACTTCCTCCGTTTACGTTTCATTAAGATTAAGCAAAGAAAAAGGAGGGATTTTAGGAAATAGTATTATTATGTGTGTGTGTATTTGTTTTCACGCTCGCTTTTTGCTTTTTGCTCGTCGTCGTCATAACGTCGGTTTTTAAAAGCCGAGTTTTGCGCACTTTTATCCAGTCTCATCACAGATTTTTAAAAATGATATATTAGTAATTATTAATACAACAAGTGACTCCTCTTGAGCGCTAACGCGCGGTCTAACTCGTCCCAAAACTCCGAGCAAACGGCTTTATCTCCGTGTCTTTGATTCCTTCGGAACGTCAATAACTTCACGTTCCACGTCTTGACGACGTCTGGCGTTTGGTCTTGCTCAAACTTGGCGTAAAAGCCTCTGATTTTTGCAAAAGTGTCGACTAAATCGCCCGTCGCCGCGCCAGGGAAGATGTGTTTCGGCCAATCTTTGAACTGCCACTTGGCGCCGTGGACGAAAACCGCGACGACGCGTTTCCAATCCTCTCCTATTTTCGGCACTTGGTCCGTGATTTCGTACTTCACCGGTTGGTCTCTTTTATACGTTCGAAGTAAAGACGAGTGCGTCGGTTTCTTCGTTTTATTCTTGACGGCTTCTTTTTGAATGTCTTGCCACGGCTCGAATTTCTCCTTCTCCAGGAAGTTTTTCGCGTTGAACATGTTCAAGACGACTTTGGCGTTTAAGCCCGCCGGGACGAGAATCAAAGGCGTCCCGTGCCTTTTGATTGGTTTCTGTTGTTGTTTCTTCGCTAACGAGGAGGACGCTCCCGCCGCTCCTCTCGTCGTCGTCGTCGATTTCGAATGTTTTTGTTGCTGTAGCTGTTGTTGTGCTAACGCCATCTTCTCTTCTCTCAATTTCTCTTCCCGTTCGCTCGCTAAAAACGCCGCCTCTTCCGCCGCCGTGCGTTGCTTCTTCGCCGGCTGCGCCAAAAACGACGCGTTCGGATCAAAACCGCCGCCTGAGCCGTCCCCGAAATCGCCGCCAAACAAATCGTTAAAGTCGCTCCCAACTCTCTCCTTCCAAAACGTTTGCTCTTCCACTTTCTCCTGGTACCTGTTCCGTCGCTGACCGCGTTCGACAATTTTCTCCGCTTCGACCAACTCCTTCGGCTTTTCGCTCGTCGTCAAACGATGATTGCCGCCTCGTCTACCATTCGTGCCATTCGTCGACGATCGAAACACCAAACTCGGGTCCACTTTCTCTAACGCTAACGTAAAATCTTTCTTCCTTTTCAAGCTCGCGTTCCGAGTCGCGTACGGTACGACTTTAATCGCATCCTCTTCGTCCTCCTCAAAGTCTCGCTCTTTTTTCTTCTTCAACGCTTCCTCGCGTATCGTCGTCGCGTCCATCGCATCCGTCGTCGTCGCCCGAATTTCATCAATATCATTCGCCTTGAGTGTCGTCGTCGTCTCCATCATCTCCGTAACAGTCCCATCCTCTTTTTCCATTTGTACGAATACCGTCGATCCATCGACAGACGTCGCGTCCACCCTTTCCGAGTGCGTTTTCACCCCGGTGGCGAAATCCCACAAATCCTTAAAATCCGGTCTCGGAACGCGTTCAATCTTCTCCTTGATCGCGTGTTTCACGTATTTCCCGTATTCCTTTTGGTCCGAGATTAAACTCGCGTTGGATTCTTTGCACTTTTGGACGAAGAAAAGAATCTGGTCCAGTTTTAGACGTTGGTTTTTCACTTTCGACGTGAATCGTGTCGTCAGCGCGTTGTTCGATCGACTGACGCGCAATCGTTCGTCGAGAGAAGCGCACTGAAACCCGAACGGGAAAACGATCGCATCCGGTGTGATCAGAACGTTTTGGATTTCGTTCGACGAGTAACACTCTCGGAGGAGACGTAAAGGGTCCATTTTTATTCTAGTATCGAGTAGTCGAGTGTGTGAGAGAGATCAGTCTTTTCTGCGCCTGAATTCTGACGAAACTACTCCAGAGAGTCCAAGAAATACGACTCCTACGACGAGGAAAACGTGTACCGCAAAGAGTCTTCTCTCTCTCTTTACGACGCGCGAGTGTGACGATAAATGCTATGAGTATTGTAACGCTTCGTAGTAGTAGTGTTATTGTTATTAAAATCGAGAAGACTTTGCGACTCTCTCTGCTCATTTTCCTCCTCCGAGAACGAACGCCGGCGCGGCTTCGAGGAGGAGCTTTTGTTTGACCCTTTTCGCAACCCCGTCGCGGGGCGAGGACGACGACGATTCTTTGTTGTTGTTGCTTCCGACGAAGATGGAGTTTGAAGGGAAGGAGGATCTTTTCTTCGGGTTTATCGTCTGAATCGTCGTCGGCGTGAAACCGGCGTCGTCGTTTTCTTCTCGCTCTTTCGTCGTCGACGTCGGCTTTTGTCTACTTCTCGGAGAAGAGGAGGACGAAGGAGGAGGAAGGAACGTTGTTGTTTTTCTAACCATTAAGTGTCGTCCTCGTCCTCGAGATGCTGCCGCTGCTGCTCCTCCGGAGAAGAAGGGCGTTAACGACGGAGATGAGGATGGGTCAGAGAGAGACCGACTGGAAGACGATCCGACGACGATTCGAAAGAGCTCCTCGCCGTCCTGCGCTCGTTCGATTTTGCACCATTCCGAACACGTTTTCGCCAACGTTCGCAAGCAATCTTCGATTTCGTCTCGACTGTAAAACATGCCGCCAATATCTTTCGCGTTTAACTGCTCGTGGGTTTTGTGGAGGAGGATGTCAAAGGCGAAAGCACGTTTGCGCGAGGTGGCGAAGAGGGAGTGGACGAGATCGAAGATTCGCGGAAGGTTTTGTTTGATTTTGTTCTCCGCGCGAAGCGCCACGGCGGAAGGCGAGTGGAGGAGATCTTTTTCGATTTTCCGTTCGAGGACGCGGCGGATGGCTTGGCGAGAGACGCCGATGGTGGTTGTCGAGTCCTTACCGTCATTCGCGGATGCATTATTGATATTACCGGCGAGATAGTCGTCGTTTTCGAGGTTGTCGTCGTCTTCGCAAACGCCGCCATTCTCCTTCTGCATCCGCCGAACTTCTTCGTCGATGTCGCGCTCAGTGACGACTTTCTTTTTCGTCGCAGTTGTCATAATTAACGGGGTGAGTGGATACGTCCCGGTGGACGGCGTCGAAGATGGTGGCTTGGGCGTGTGAAGCAACATCAACGATGGTGCGCTCGTCGTCGCCGTCGTAGTAGTAGTAGTCGCAGCGGCAGCGGCGGTTCCTCCTGCCGGTGGCATCAAAGGAGGCGCGTCCCGTACGGCACACTCGGCGATATCTGGCGCCTCACGTTCGACGTCGAACGTTTCGTGCCATAACATTTGATCTGATACGTTCGAGGACGGGGAAATGACGATACCGTGATTTCGACAAAACGCGACATGCGCCTCGTCGCACAGTCGCATCAAGCGCGAGTGGAAATCTGCTTCCCTCGCTCGTTCGCGCTCTTTCTCCGACATCAAAAGTGAACTTTTTTCTCTCTTCTTTACGACTTTTTTGCCGTTCTCTTCCTCGTCACCGTTGCAGTCTTCGTCTTCGCCGTCCACACTTTCTCTCTTCATTACTCTCTCTTCTAAAATCTCTAATCGCACGCTTTTTGGATCGACAAACGTTCGTCCCTCCTCCGGGCGATGTTTTTCATCCACCGCGTTCTTCGTCGCGTCTCTCTTCCTCTTCGTAAACGCAAACGTTCCAGGTCTAATCGTCTCTATCTTTCGCAAATGCTCAAAGCGCACGTCTCTTTTGACTAAGTTTTTCGCGCACGCGCATATATTCTCCACCGTTTCTGCGCTATTCCGCATTCGCAACAACTCTCTGTACATTTTCAATCCGTTGAACACGAGCGCCAAGTGTTCGTACTTGGACGGCAAAGCGTTCCTTTCTCGTCGTCTTTGTCTTTGGTTGTTTTCTTTCTGGGTGTTGTTGTTGTCGTTGTTGTTGTTGATAGAATTAGCAGTATTAGCAACACTCTTTCCGCTAAAGCGCTCTTTCAACATTCGATGCTCGCGAGCAACTTCTGGATCCTCCTCTCTTTTCTTCTCGAGTAATTCCTCGGCATCGGATGGATTGGATATCCTCCAATCCTGCCCTCTCGTTTCCTCCGTTTCTTTTCTCTTTCCATTTTGATTCCGTTTCGTTATTCTTCTTTCATCGTCGCGAACGGCGGCAACTTCTAACCTCGACGAATTCGCGACGAAGGAGTTGTGCAATCTGCTGTGCGTCTTTGCGCTCGTATTATTATTACTATTACTAATGTTGTTATTATTATTATTATTGCTGTGATGAAAAGGTGGCCGACTCGGATGAAACGCGCGTTGATGATGTTGTTGTTGTTGTCTCTGTCTCTGTTGCTGCGCGCCACTCGGCGTCGTATTCGCGAGCACTTTCGCTCGTCCTAATCCTCCTCCTCTCCCTCCTCCCATCGTTTTTGTCGTCGTTTTTAAGAACGCGCTCGGGCACACCGGCTCGTCATCCTCGTCCTCCTCTTCTTCCTCCTCGTCATCCATCGCGCTCTTAAACTTCATCTCGTCCTCTCGAAAACTACTCGTTAAACCACCAGTTCTTCTTCCGCAACTCTTCCGTTGTTGTTGTTGTTTTTCTTGTTGTTCTCCTTCGACGACGAACGGTGGTGGTGGTGGTGATGATGATGATGAGTGTTTCTCTGTCGATGTCTTCTTCTCCTTCGTTTCTCGCGCGTCTTCTCTTAACTTCCTCTCCACCTCTTTCAAGCTCCGAAATCGCTTCGTTTTCCCTCGTGTCTCCTCGGCGCAAAATAAATAATACGCGTCGAAGCTCCCTTCCGAGTGCCCCGTTTTCCGTCGCTTCGTTTCAATCGTCCACTGGTTTTCATCAAAGTTGAGGAAAACGTTTAGATTGTTATTAAAGTGCGCGCAAAACTGTTCCCACTTTGCTTTTTGAAATCGTTCTCTCGTCGTCGTCTGTTGCGACATTTGTAGAGCGTCTTCTTCTGTGTGTGTGATGTATATCTCGCTCTCTCTCGTCGTCGTTTAAAAGAATAACAGCGAAAACCGTAACAAAAGACAAAGCGGAACAGAACAGAACACCTTCAGAGCCTTTGAAAATAAAGCGGGGGTTGTTGTTCGAGAGAGAAGAGCACAGAGAGAGAGAGAGAGAACTCGAAAGAGATTAAACGATGATTTGATTGGATTTGTGCGAGACAACGAACAAACGAAAACAAACAACTGTGGAGAGAAAGAATTTTTTTTGAATTTTTCTCCTTTTTTTTTTCAATTTGCTTCATTTTTTTTAGCACGAAAGGACTGTTGAAAAACCAACCAACCGAGAGAGAGAGAGAGAGAGAGAGAGAAATGATGATGCAGACTTCGTTAACCCCGACTTTAAACACGAGGATTCAGACGACGACGAGAAGAACGAGAGAGAAAGATCGTCAAAATAATCATCGTTTCTTTTTCTTCTCAACGCGGAAGAGTCAAAACGGGACGATGGTTTCCTCCTCCTCCTCCTCCTCGAAATCGTCGTTTTCGAAAAGAAAGACGACGATGATTTTCTCATCGTCGTCGTCCAAAAGTGCAGACGCGATGATGGAAGCGCAACAAAAGCTGTACGGAAGAACGTCTTTAATAAAGTCGTTCGCGACGACCTCGTCGTCTTCCTTTTCGGGAAGAAGAAGAAGAAGAGGGAGCGTTGCAACTGCCGCCTCTTCCTCTTCGTCTGAATCGTCCGAAACAAAAGTCATCCCGGGAGACTATCGCATAGGGGCGACCTTGATTGCAATCTCCCTCTTTCTCGGCCCGGTGTGCCACTTGTGGTTCCCGCAGTGCGCGATACACGCGATACTCGGAGGTTTCTTATCCTTGCAAGCGTCGAGAGTTCGGTTTCGATTCAGCGAGACAGATTTGGACGTGGTGTTTATTCAACCGGGCGAGAGCGACGGAGAAGCGGCGAAGGCGGAGACGGATTCGTCCGGGGATAACAAGTTGCAAGGCGGCGGAGCGAATAAGTGGTCGTTTGAAAGCGTTCAGAATTGGGAGTTTTGGTTTCCCGGGTTTCCCGTGCTCGTGTATTATAAGGAGAATCAAACGAGAGAAGAAGGACAGCCGCACTTTTTTCCAATCATCATGGACGGGAAGAAGTTGTACGAGGAAATGTTGACGAAGATGCCGAAATCAGTCAACGAGAAACCGAACCCGAGCGAGTGGAATTTGTTGACGGCGTTTAAATCCACCCCGGTCGGGAGGAACATCATCGAGCAAATGAGCGAGGAGCAAGTGAAGTGGTGCGAAGAGACGGTCGGTTTGCCGTATTTCGACGAAAAGAAATAACAGTGTACATATAATTTAACGAGAATAAAAAGAGAGAGCTTTGTTTTTTGTCGCACGCAGCGCTTGACGCGATATTATTATTGGTACAAAACGACAGCTACTACTACTACTATTACTACTCTTTCCTTTTCGAAAAGTTTTCCCCGTCGTGCGCTAACTTCTCCGCGCGAACTAAAGACATCAAGAACTTCTCCAACTGCGCTTGCGTTTTATCGTACGCCGGTTCCACGACGAACATTTTCAACATGTTGTGTATTCTTTCAATCGGCATGGACGGGAAATTCGTCAACATGCCCATGACGTATTGCTCGTACACTTTCATTTCCGCAGCTTCAACTTCCTCGGCGGAGGATCCCGCGCGATGCAAGAAATCGTCATCGTCGTCGTCGTTCTCTCCTGGACCACCACCGCCTCCATCGGTCGCGATCGTCGTTTTCAACGACCCCGTCGCTCGTCGGTGCTCCATCATTTTGTTGTTCGTCGCCGACGATGCCACGGTGTTCAATTCGTACGTCGCTTCGCTCGTTTCCGAAACCACTCCTCGGTTCATCCATAAAACCATTCGCTGTCGAACGGCTTTGGTCGTCGCATTCAAGACCTTCGCTAACTCCTCCGCCGTCCATTTTTCGCGCTCCGTGAAGTGGTACAAAATCGCCGCGTGTAACGGCGAAACGACAATTTCAAACGGTTTTTCGTTGATCAGAGAGACTTCAACGACGACGCGACCGAGCGAACGCATCCACGTCATCTTCCTTGGCGCTTTCAACTCGTGGTAGCGTTCTTCGTACGCACGCATGGCTTGGTCGATAGCCGGCGGGAGGATGATGTCGTTGTGCGCAGAAGGAAAAGGAGGCCTCGCGCCGACTGTCGTTCTTTTCATCCTCTCGTTTTCTCTTTCGCCCGATACTCCAGGATCCCGCGGCGGCGACGTCGATAAAGAGCGCGAAAGTAAAGAAGGCGTTCCCTCGTCGCCTTCTTCTTGATCGCGCAGTTGTTGTTGTAGTTGCGCATCGATATCGTCATCGAGCACGGACGCGTCGCCTTCCGGAGGAGGCGAAGTTGGAGCGGTATTCGCCGCCGCGGCAGCGGATGTCGGATCGTTCAATCCGTCCACTTCCTCCTCCTCCCCAACGTACATCTCGTTCGTGTTCATCGTCATTTGCACTGGTTCTTGCTCTTGTCCAAGTGACGGGACGATTGAAGGCGTGGAAACCGGGTGCGGCAAACTCGCCTGCGTCGACGCCGGCGCGACGATTGTTGCCGCGCTTTTGGCGATGTCTTTTGGCCAGAACAATTTTGAGAGAATCAAAGCTTGCACGGGACTTTCTTTCAACATTTCTGTCGTTCGAATACCTTCTTTCGCGAGTGGCGTGCCTTCTGCCGGTCGCGTTTTCACGTTCGCGTTCACTCGTCGCGAATCGTTCACGTCGCGCAACATGACCTCGCAATCGTGTAAATGCGTCTCGCCAAACTTATTCTTGAGCAATTCCAACGCGAGCGTTTCTCTCTCGGCGTCGTAGTTGGATTTTTGCAACAGCTTATCCGCGAGCATCAATCGGTATTCGTTCACGAACAACTCTTTCCCACCGTAAATACCAACGAGAAGACCGATAATGTCTCTCAATTGACGCCTTTTGCGCGAGCGGAGTTTCGTAGCTTCCGAAACAACCGGCTCCGGATCCCACGCGTCTCCTGGGAAACGCTTAAGAATCTTCTTCGGCGCTGATGCGCTTTTTCGCCCCGGGATCAAACTCTCAAGTTCACCGGCTTTTTGCAAGTTTTGGTGTCTTTGCTCTTGATGTTGTTGTTCTTGCTGCTGCTGCTGCTGCTGCTGTTGCATCTTTCTCGATTGTTCGCGAGAAAGGATGTCCACCGGTACGGGCGTTCCGAAATTCTTACCCCACGTCATGCCAGATTCCGTGCGATCCAAGACCAGATTTTGGAGCTGATCGACGCCAAAACTCGTCAGCGTTCGAGAGAGCTGTTTGCTCTCGTAATCCATTATGGCGTCCATTCCAGAATTTTGTGATTTTAAGAGAGACGTGGACTTTTTCGGAGCGGGGTAAAAATGTGCAAATTCGTCGAGGCCGCGGTCTTCGCTACCTTCGCTTTCGCTTTCGCTTTCGTCGCTACCGTTGCCGTCTTTGTTGTTCGCGCCTTCATCCGCATCGTCCATATCGTAATCTTCCACACCCTGGAAAGTATTCCTCATCTGCATCTGGTACTCTTGGTATTTTTTTCTATTCTCGTTCGCTTTAAACGCGTTAAATTCTTGTTCGTTAAACTGGTTAAAGCTCGCGCCGTCGTCCTCGTCGAGTTCGGAGGATTCGCTCTCGTCGCCGTCCTCGTCGACGATGTCGCCTCCGCTGGCTTTGCGTCTCCTTCGATCGTGATGGTGGGGGTTGGCGTCGTCGGCGTTGTCGTTTGTATTCTTCAATTCTTCTCTCGCCATGGCACCTAGCTCTGCGAACAATGCGTTCGCTGTCGATGCGTCTCCGCCTCCACCATCGCCATCGCCATCGTTGTTATCGTTGCGATCTCCGCTTCCGTCGTCCGTCAGCATCGTCACGACGCACCGAATGGTATCCTTTCTTTTCCTCAAATACTTCCGTATCGGTCCAGAAACTAAATCTAAAACTATTCCCGATGGATCTAAATCTCGCATCGTTTTAATCGTCCCTATGTATTGCGAAATTACATCCGCGGTTCTCGCTCCCGGATGTAACAAGCGTCTCCGCAGTTGTTCGTTAAAGCTGGAAACTAACGATTCTCGCAGACCAAACTGCCTGTCGTCACTCAAACACATTCGCAAATCTTTCACCGCGCCGAGCGAGTCTGGATGATCGACGACGATGTCAAACAATTCCTCGATTCGTAAAGCGCCTAAGTGTTCTTTGCTCGAGGAGATGAATTTTCGGTGGAACTGACTCGGCGCCTCGTTTCCAAACTGAACGGATTCAAATCCAAAAACAGTCTTGGCGATTTGTAACGGAACGACTCGAGAATACAACGCGACGCACTTCAGCGCGGAGGCTTTGAAGTTCGAGGCGGCAAATTTCAACGCGAAATGTTTGATCGCAAAATCGCTCGCAATCTCAAACGCTTCGTACGAGTATCTTTTAAAGTGCTTCAGAATGGCGTCTTTGTGAACGCGTTCGATTTGAGCGCACTCGAGTTTTCCCAACATTTTCGTCGGCGAAGCGCAATTGCGAAGGTGTTTGCGCACGTTTTTCACGAACTTTCTGTACTGCTGAACCTCGTTCTCTTCGTCGTCGTCGTCGTCGTCGCCGCCGTTGTCGTCGTCGTCGCTCAGTTGCATAGACTCTTCTTCGTTGTTTTCGTCTGTTTTCGTACTCGTAGTAGTATTCAAAGTTGCCGGACGACGACTCCGACCACTCTTTTTTTCTTCCTCCAACGAAGCGTAAAACTCCTCCTCGTCCAAAGGAAACGCGCATTTGTTCCGAAATTTTACGATGACTTTCGCGTAATACGCGCTCAACACCCTCGTCGCGTTCCTCGGACCGCACGAGACGATCAACTCGGCGATTAAATCGTCAAACTTCTTTTCAAATTTTTTCTTCTGACTTTGCGCGTCGAGAGGAAGAAGATTACCACTTTTAACAGACGAACGAGATCCCTTCGCCGCGCTAATTATCTTCTCGTTTTCTTTGCCATCCGCGCCGTCGTCGTCTTTGTCGTCGTCGTCTTTTTCTTCTTCTTCTTCGCCGACGAGTACCATCTCGGCAACCTCCGACGCGATCGCCTTCAACCTCTCCACTTTTCTCGCAAACGCGCTAAACGCTCGCAAGCACCTAAAACCCGGAGAAGAAGCTTCTTCTTCATCATCTTCTTCATCATCGTCTTCTTCTTCTTCTTCTTCTTCTCTGTCCAGCGCGTTCGCAATCACCGCGCTCAAACTCTCCGCCTCGCCTTCCTCCTTTTCGATCTTCCTCAGCGTCTCTGTGAGTTCTCTCAGAGGCGATCGCAGAACGTACGCTTTCGCCTCTCGCAAAAACTGTTCCACGCAGATGTCTTTGAACGCTCTGCGCATCTCGAATATAGACTTTAATAAAGTTGTTGTTGTTGCTGCTGCTGCTCCTTCTTCTTCTTCTTCTTCTTCTTCTTCTTCTTTCCTCCTCCTCGTCCTCGTCTGATTCTTCGTCAAAGTCGCCGCGCTAAAACAACACTCTCGAAACTCCTCTCGGAACGAGTCGTCGAAGAAGAAGACTTTTGCATTTTCATCGTCGTCGTCATCCTCATCGACGAAGGCGTCGATGGCACCACACACACCTTCACCATCTTCGACTGATGATGATTTTGATGATGATGATTTTGAAAGCATCTCGCGGTACGCTTTAAAGCGCTCTTGGAGAAGAAACGCGACACGCATCGTCGTCTCTTCTTCTTCTTCTTCTTCTTCTTCTCCGACGCTTTTCTGTCTCCTCGTCCTCGTCCTCGTCGTCTTCATCGTCATCCTCTTTCGTCGAAAGAGATGAGAGATGAGAGAAAAAAGTGTCGAGTTGTTTTTTGTGCGAGATTTTTGAAAAAAAAGAAAAAAATTTAAAGACACACGAGTGTTTTTTGTGTTTTTTTTTGGTTGTGCAAGTCGTGTGTAAAAAAAATTGTTTCATCACATGCTCTCGAACTTCACATGCTAATAAGAGAAGCAAAACAACGCAATGCGTTCTATCCAATTCATATCAAAGGGACAGAAAATAGAGCCGAATTGATGTCAAAAAAAGGACAGAAGAATAATTTCTCTCTTCTGAATTTTTGGCACGCAGCGCGAAAAAAGCTGTTCTTTTCATCCTCAATTTTTGAAGGCTCGTTGACCATTTTTTCTCTCTCTCTCTCAGTGCTCAGATTTAGCAAACGCACAAAATAATAAATTTTCCAACGAACGAAGAAGCACGTCACAACTTGAACAACGAACAGACGATGATTAGGATTTTCCATGATTTCCATTTTCTTCTTCTTTTGTCGTCGTCGTTGCTCCTCTTTTCAACAACGCCGATGATGTGTTTGGCGTTTTCCTCGTCCTCCGCCTCATCGTCTCATCGATTCCATCCCTCGGAAGACGAACTCTCTCGCGTGCGTTCTGCGAAATTCATCTCCTGCCCAGGGTGACGCTTAAACGCACATCCGGCGTTGAAAAAGCTTCTGAAACAGGACGTGGAGAAGCGCGTTCGATTCGGCGAGAAAGTTTCCGTGGAATGGCAAAACGGAAGCCCGATTTATCTCGAGTTTTTGGACGAAGACGGCGCGAAAGTGAACGATTTGAAACGAAACGTGGAACAGCTCTCGGTGGAGGAAATCAGCGATATCTTGGGAAAGTTTGGGTTTCACGACATAGACAAACGGTTTCGAGACGACGCGCACGTGGTAGGTTTTGTCGGGTAAAAACGACGAGTGAAGAGAGTATTCGCATCGTCGTCTCGGCAAACGCGCATCATCAACAAAGAGGAAAGAAAAGCCAAAGCCGCTAAAACGCGCTCGACGGAAACCAACCGAAGAGCGCGCCGGCTCGATTTTCCGACGTGAACGGCTATCGCAGAAACGCGCGTACGACACGAAACGGATCGTTCGAGAAGAAGTCAAGGAGAAGAAGAAGAAGAAGAATTGGTGGTGAAACATCAAATCTTCGCTCTCTCTCTTTCTTTCCTTCTCTCTCTCTCGTTCTGTTTCTCCGCGGTGCGATGTAATTAACTACTTCTTTCGTAAGAAGTAAAAAGCCCGATAATATGAGAGATGCGCGACCCGTGAAAAATGAGACTGTGTGTACTAAAGATTTCGTGTGTTGTGAGCTTTAGAAGACGTATATTTTATTCGTGTTGTTCGGCTCTCGTCGTATTACGTCTTCGCTTACGAACTCCCCTAAGCAGCTGTAACGTTACCCTAGAGATTACCCTAAACACAAACCCGTTCGTTCGTTACAAATGCGCCGACACTTCATCATTTCAGAACAGCAAGAACAAGAACACGCAACAACAACAACAACGACAAACTTTAAACAATGGCAACGATTACTATTTCAGGAGGTCCCGGTGGCGTCCTCAAGAACGTCCTCACGTTAATCGGCATCGCCTTGATTCTCATCAACTTCGAAGGCGCTTTGATTTCCCCCCGGAAAGCGTTGAATAAGTTCTACGGAATACGACACGAGAACTCCATACAGGTCCACTTGATGCAACTGTTGTGTTGCGTCAGACTTGGGTTAGGGTTCATATTACTCTCGACTCGCTTGTCGTCGAGCAAAGAAAGATTTAGAATCGCATGCGTTGCGTTCGTGACCATGTCTGCGGGGTTGAAGAGCATGCACGTGAATAAATTACCAAACAGCACGTTTGATTTGAAAAACGTCAAAGGGAAGTTTGGGTTCACGTCGACGGATATGTTGGAGTTTAAATTGTTCTTCATGACGACTTTAATCGGCGTCGGGATTGTGTGTCACATGTTTGAACCCGGGTTGTTTACGAAGGATAAAAACGCTCGCGTCAGCAATGAAAATAAGAAGACGAGATGAACCGGCGTTGGTGTTTTTATCGTCGTCTTCGCCTCTTCGCCTTCGCCGCCTCTTCGCGTTTCGAGAAGGAGATACTATCATTAACTACTACGTATTACTACTACTACTCATTATTATATGCTCAAAACATCTCATCTACTTAAGCTAAACTAATCGAACGCGTTCTTCATTTATATATACGAATCGAAAAAGAAATCCTCTGTTATTACACGACGTCCTCGTTCTTGTGAGTAACTTTGCCACCTCTGAGCCGGCGCGTGTGGTGATGGTTGCCGTGGTCGATGAGCACGCTCGTCATATTTGTCGTCCTCGATCCCGCCAAAGCGCCTTCTTCCTCTCCTTCTCCACCACCAGTTCTTCGTTTCATCCCGGCCGACGTGTTTCTTGTTTCCAACTCTTTCTTATACCCGGCGCCTCCGAAAAAGACCGGGAGTAAAATTAAACTCAAACCTACCCATTGTAAAGCGACCAACGGTTCGTGAAACAGGAACGCGTTCAATGAAATCGAAACGACTTGTCGAACGGTCATTACAGACGCCAACGTGACCGCACCAAACGCGCGAATAGTGTACGTGATTGACACCTGCGCTAATGCTGACGCCATGGATAAATAAATTATGTCCGGTATTATTTTCGGGTACCGATGTAAGAATAAAACCGCGTATTCCAACTGCCCGGAAAGGACGACCCACGAGGCGCTGAAAAACGTCCCAAAAACGCACGTCCAAAACATTTGATCGAACAGGGATGTCTTTTGCACGCGAAACATTCTTTGCTGAAATGAACTGGTAAACCCATCTGCGGCGAGGTAAACGAGCGTTATGCACACGCCGATAAAAATGGAGTCTCGAGCTAAGGAACGAAAAGTACCAATCGCGCGTTGGAAAGAGGAGCGCCTGACTAACGCGCGTTTCTTCCAAAACGCCGCGTTTATGTCGTTCTCTTCTTTGAAAATGGCGGAAACGATGGGATCTTCCGAAATCACTCCTTGATCCTCGTCGTTAACATCGTTCCTGTCGTAGAGTCTGTTGTTATTCGAGTACACATTAACGTACCCTTTCTCGTCCCGGTCGATTGTAGTAGCACCAATCTCGTCCTCTTCCTCCTCCTCCGTCGTCATGCCTTCGCTCGCATACTTCGCCGCTAACGACGAGTTGAAGACAAACACGAAACACCCGACGGTGACTACCATGGCAGATAAATACTGGTTCGTTCGAAACCGTCTTCCGTGTAAAATGAACCCCCAAAACATAGTCGGTAAAATCTTCGCCGCTTTCGCTAAAGTACTAATCGCGTAACTCAAATACTTCAAAACTTCGTATTGGCACAACGTGCTCATTAAGTTTGAAAACGCCACGCACGCGTAGTTCTCCAAACTCGAATCTGGCCACCACCAATACTTCTCTCTCTTGAAACGATGACGATGATGATGATGATGATGATGACCACTCGCTTTCGTCGAGGAAGTGTAAAAAAGCGCCACCCCGCCGACGAACAGCGCGCAAATCCGATTACTCAGCACCAAAAAAATCGAACTCGTAAATATAGCGTCCGGATAATACGTCCCCGATTCATCGTCGTTCTTACTGCTCTCGTACGGAATCGTCATCACTCGTTCTTGCAACACCCCATACACGCCTAAACAGAAAATGTTCATAAAAGCGCACGCGAGTAAGTGCACCATCCCGTGTCTTCGCCAGTCGTTGCGAGAAAATCTCGCGTCGTTCGCGCCGAACGAAAACGTCACTCTTTGCGACGTAGGCGAAGGTTGGGAGAAGCCGCTCTGGTCGTCGATCTCGTTCTCGCTCTTCTCGTCTTCTCGGCGGTGGTCGCACTCTTCGTCCTCCTCCCAGTCTTCCTCTTCAAAGCCTTCTTCTTCTTCACCATCGGCACTACTCCCCGCGCTCTCAAAGTCACCAAAAGCGCTCGTCGATCGTCCTCGTCCCCCTATTTGCCGCCGTCCCGGTCGAGGGGCATTTTCGCTCATCTTTCTCTCCCTCTTTTCTCTCTCTCTCTTAGAGAATTCTCGTTAGAGAGAACGCCGCTCTCCCTCGGTTGTTGTCGTTAACGTTCTTCCTTTTATCGCTCTCGTCGTTCGACGCAAAAAACGAGTAAGAACGGCAGTTTTAGTGATGGTGCAGAACGTCTTCTAACTTTGTCTTCTTTAACTTCTTCGTCGTCGAGCGCGCGCGTGTGCGTGCGCAACTTGTCGACATCACTTTGGGGAATGCACACAAACTTTCCCCGCTTTTTTCCTTGGTTGACAAAAACGTCTTTTTTTCATTCCGTGAAAAAAGAATAATACACACGATCACGAGAACGAGAACACATGTGTTAAAAGGAAAAGAGATACAACAGATGTAAACGCGAAACACAGACAAAGCAGCGCGCGCTGGGTACCACAGGAGTACAAAAGAAGTTTTAAAGCATGTTTTTTGTATCTCTCTTTTTGTAGTAGTATTACATTTTTTGCGAGCGCTAAAAATTGTTTGTATATTATTAAATCGGCGGGATACCGTCTGAGTTCACGAACAAAGACACGAACCATCCTCCAAAATTCCAACTCACGACTAGCATGACTACAATTGCGAGTATCGCTTCGGGAGATGCGTATACTTCCACTTTCGACTGATTCGGCGAGACTTCGGTGATGTCGATCGACAAAAAGTTTCTCAGCTCTTCGGACAGTTCGCCTAAGAATCCTTCCGGTTTGCCGCCTTGGTAATTCTTTTTCCCCCAACCACCGCTCTCGTCGTCGTCTTCTGCTTCGTACGACGACGACGAGTTCTCAATAATCTCGTCTGACGTGTCGTTCGTCCACTTCCACAAGCCAAACAGTTGTTCAATCAAACCAATATTCGCGTCGTCCAACTCTTTTTGCAACTCGACCAAATACTCCAACTGTTTCTTCTGCGACAAGGCGAAAAACGCCGGCTCCGCGCCGCCTGTGCTGTCGCTCTCATTCACCATACTAAACGCCATCCCAAACTTCGAATCATCTATGATGGACAAAATGCGCTCCATCCTCTCGTCCGCTTCTTTTTGTCGTCTTTCCATTTTTTTCATTTGCGATCGCTCTCGCGCGCTCGGACCCAAATCCGGATCTTCTCTTCTTACCGCGCGGTTCTTCTCGCGTTCGCTCAATCCCACATTATTTCTCGTCGTCGTCCTTCTTCTCGGTGGTCGTTCCGGAGGTAACGACGAGGACAGTTTTCCGAATTCATTTTTACCGCCGCCGTCGTCGTTCCCGTTCCCGGGAGAGGAAGACGCCGACGTCGTCCCTCGCCTTAAACTTTCCACCTTCTTCACAAACTTGAGCTCTCCTTTTTTCTCTTCCCCGTGTTGGTCTTCGTCCTTCGATGATTCTTTCGGAGGCGACAGCCTATCGATGGCGGCTTGTCGCTCGTCTTGCGATTTAAATCTCCGATCCGGGTATAAAAGCTCGTCCTCAAAGTCGTCCTCGTCCGAGAAAGAAGACGGTCGTTTTGCTCGCCATTTCTCTCCTCCTCTTGGAGAAGACGATGACGACGATGGAAACCTCCTAAAAGCCGTCGTTTTTGTCGCACTTTTTCTTCTTCTTTTACCACTCGTATCTCCACCACTACAACCACTACTCCTCGTTAAAAGTAACGAGAACGATAAGGCATCCTTCTTCGTCTTCTCCCTCTTCTTTCCGCGAATACCTTTTACGCGCCTCCTCGAAAGCGATGACGACGATACTAAAGGAGGAGGAGGAGTAAAAAGTGTCGTCGTCCTCCCGCTCGATCTCGCCAACGAGGTCGAAGAAAACAGCATCATCGTCTTTTGAAAGAGAGACGTATATTTAACGAGAAGAGAGAAGATTGAAGAGAAGAGAGATTTTGTGAACTAATTTTCTCTCGTTTTTTTCTCTTCTTTTTCTCTTCTTTTTTTTCTTCTTTTTGTCTTCTTTCTTCTTTTGTGTCACGTTTGTCGTTGTTCTTTTTCTTTCTTTGTGTGCTCGTGTGCTTTGGCGGAAAATGCTTCAAAAACTATTTTATAACACATTTTGCATAATCAGAACACACTATACACACACGACGCGTACATACGAAACACCGAAAAGAAGAGATTTACCAAAGAGATTCAACAAAAAAGATGAGCAGCAGCGCTATGATTCAAACACCAGCAGTGATGGTGGTCGTTTCGTCGTCGTCCATGAAAAGCTCCTCTTTTCGTTACCGAGAAGATGGCAGAGGTTTTCACGGGAGAAGAAAGAGTTTTAACTGGATGAGGAGAACGTGCACTCAAACGTCGCCGTCATCAAAATCGAATGGAATTCTCGTCGCGGTTTCGTGTCGTTCTTCATCATCCTCGATGACTTTTACCGCGAAAGAAGAAGAGAAGAGACAAAGATCATCGTTTTCGAACGCGACAAAAACGAGTTTCGGGAGGAGAAGGACGAGGAGGATCGTCGCGCGAAAAGGGTGGCTCGGGAACCTCTTCGGCGGTGGTGGTGAAAATGAAACCGAAGAAGACGAAAAAGGAGAAAACGACGACGAGAACGCGGAAAAGACGACATCGACATCAACGAAAGAAAGCGCCGATGATACAGACTTTTCGAAGAAGAACAGTAAAGAAGAAGAAGAAGAAAAAGAAATAGAATCTTTAAAACCGATCAAAGTACCGATGATGAATTTGGACGTCTCGACAACGTTGGCGGATTTGGAGCTCTTGTTGGGACCGGACGAAAAAAAATTGGAGGAGGAACGCAAAGAGAAGGAAGAGGAGGCGAAATATTTAAAGTTGAAAGAAACGAGAGAGATGAAACAGAAATCGATGGACGAGAGCAGCTCAGACGACGATATGAGCTTAGACGAGCGGACGAGGAGAATTAGAGAGGAGAACAGGAAGAAGTTTCGGGTGGATTTGAGCAAGGAGTCGTCCGGTGGAGACGGGTTGGTCGATTTGTTGAAACCACCGTCGGACGACGACGACGAGGTAAAGAGCGAAGAAAAAGGAAAAGAGGAGGGCGGTAGTAAGAGCATCGATAGTAGCAATAACAACGTCGTCAGCAGCAGAGACGAAAAGTTGGAGAAAGTTTTAGCCGATCTCGGTAAGATTGCGCAGAGGAAGAAAATGAAAGAGGAAGGGAAGATGGCGTCGTCGGACGAAGACGACGAGGCCGAGTTACAAAGGGAGGAAAGAGAACTTCAGAAGCAATTCGATGCGTTGTTGGATATTTTAGAAGAACCTGGGATTCCACCGGTATCGAAGGAAGACGTGGACGTGATCAAGAACGAAATTTTTGGTATGCAAACGTTTTTCGTGACGTCGGTGGAGACGATCGGCGGCGACTTGGACGACATGGAAGCGGGTCCGGGAGACAACGCCGCAGCGGCAACCTCTTCAGGCGGTAGAAGAAGAAACTCCTCCATGGGTCAAGGTGGTACTGGTGCGTTGTTCAGAGGCAATTTGCGAAAGGATCGTCAGGAAGTTTGGGACGAAGTTCGCGCGAAACTTTACGACATGTTTGACAACAAGTACGAAATTTTCATGCTCGAAGAACCGGACGCGTTGTCGCCGAACTCGCCCGGACCGGGTGAATCAGTCTCAAACACCAGAGGACCGAGGGTTTCGTTCTTAGTCGTTCCCGCGGACAGAGCTGGTCCGTCTGAAGAGACTGGGTTTTGGCAGTACCTCATCGCGTTAGCTTTGATTGGTTTTACCGTCGGATCTGCCGTCCAATTGGGTTTAGTCGCGGAAGTCTCGCGACTGCCTGAGGAGACCATGCGATGGTTAGCGGAAGGTGGCGGCGCGGCTGGTATAGACCCGAGCATCGATCCGAGCGCGCCTCCGCCAGGATTAGAAAACTTTGATACCGTCGCGTACGTCGAGGCTGCTTTACCAGTCACCGCGGGTGTTCTTTTGTCCTCCCTGGCGCACGAAGTTGGACACCGAGTTGTCGGCGCCATGCGAAACGTGAAATTGTCCATCCCGTATTTGATTCCCAACGGACAATTAGGGACGTTTGGTACAATCACGCAAATAAAATCCATACCAGAGAACCGATCAGATTTCTTCGACGTGGCCATCGCGGGGCCTCTTTGTGGTGGTGTCACCGCTTTGGCGTTATTTTCGTACGGTTTAGTTTTATCCATTGGCCACGACCCGGCGTGCGTGCCCATACCCGGGAACTTGTTCGGGAGTTCCTTGTTATTAGGTGGCGTGAGCGAACTTTTATTGACGATGGGTGACGGCGATGCAACAGCTACTGGAGCTGCGGCGGCCACGAGCGCGATTGTCGTGCACCCGTATTTCATAGCCGGATGGTAAGTGTTTGTTTTTTTGTTTGAAAATTTTGTTGGTCGCGCGCGTCGTTTTCGCCGCCCGCGTTTTGGCGCGAAGAAAGAAGAAAAAGATGAACAGCGAAAGAAATATTCTATGAAGACAAACGTTTTTACCGACTTCCCACTAAGCGGCTTTGCGCTTTACGCGTTTTGTCGGCTGCAGAAGCAAAAACTTCCATGACTCTGAGAATTTTCTTCCCAATTTTTCAAAAGTTTTCTTCTTCTTCTTCTTTTCTGTTTCTTCTCTGAAATAGCCGGAGCTATTTTTAATCAGCGAGATTGAAAAAATACTCACCTCTCTTCTCTTCTTAACCACAGGTGCGGGTTAACCACGACTGCTCTCAACCTCCTCCCGGTCGGTCAACTCGACGGTGGTCGCGTCTCCCAAGCGGCTTTTGGACGCCGCGTGCTCTCCGCCACTTCCCTCGGTACCTACGTGGGTCTCACTTTCGGCATCTTGGGTTCCACCTTGAGCCTCCCGTGGCTTATTTTCATCCTCATTTGCCAACGCACCCCGGATTACGCTCCAAAAGATGACGTCACAGAGGTCGACGAGTCCAGAGCAACGTTAGCTTTCGCGTGCATCGCCGTCGCTTTCTTGATTTTGCTCCCCGGAGCGAGTTTAACGCCCAGCGATCTCGCGCCGACGGATTTCTTCTGAGAACGACAACAACAACAACAACAACAACAACAACAACAACAACAACAACAACAACGCTATTATTAAATCATCATCGTTTTTACTAGCTCGCGCTTCTTTGTTATAAAAATAAAATACACGTAGAGAGAGAAAGAGAAAGAGAAAGAGAGAGAGAACATCGCGTAAAGCGCGTTTACTTAGAAGAATATTTGCTCACGTTTCTTCCTTTTTCTCGCATGTTTTTTGCTTTTTGTAACTACTCTTTGCCAATCCAAGAAGATCTTATTAAAAAGAATAAATCTCTTCGCTTTTTTCGTGGGTGAAACACCACCAAGAAAAAGACGCGAACGACTTCTCCATTCCTCCGAGTTGTCGAGCCGTGCGTCACTTCGCGAACGTGTAAAAAAGCGAGATTGTGCGCATTTGCATACCACCGCTTTGTTCGAGTTTGAATTCATATAATTCGTCCTTTGCGCGTTCTCCGAGAGCGAGAGAGAGAGTACTTTTGTATATACGAAAAACACGGACAATTTTAGAGAGATGATAGCAACTTCTCCTCGTGCGTCATCGTCGGCGTCATTAGCATTAGTAGCCTCGAACAACGCGCGCGCGATGCATTCCGCGACGAAAAAATCCGCCCAGAAAGCGCCGACGTTTACTCGACATAGAATTTCCAGCAGATCTGTGCGTAAGAATCGAGCGATCAAGGAGCCGTCCGATGTCACGGAGAAGATTTCCGACGTAAAGGAATCTCCCTCTTCCTCCTCAGACGATGATGGCGAAAAAGGAGGCGAATCCATCAAACGAGCGCCTCGACCGTCGACGCTGAACCGCCCGGTTTCGGAAGCCGCGGTGAACAGCGACGCCGCGTTGGCGAACTTAAGAGCCGCGGGAGGTGCTAACGGTGCGTCTTTGTTTCGTTTTTTATATCAACATCATCAAGTAGTAGTCTCTCTTCTTTCCCGGGGATAGAGAGATGTGCGTCGCGTTAAGGGGCCGAGACGAGAGAGCGTTTTCTCCCTACGAAAGAGTCCCTACTGATGCGCAAAAAGGGAGGAGAAAACAGGGGGAAAACAGGAGGAAAACGAAAGAAAGAAGATTTTAAAATCTTCTCTTTTCCTTCCTTCGTTGTCGATCTTTATCTTCTTTTCTGCTTTTTTTCAATGATTTTTATAAAGTGAGACAAAAAAACTGACTTCGTCTTCTCTCATCCTTTTTTATGTTATGTTACGGAAAATATAAACAACAGTCTATCAATCCGAGCGCAAATCATCCATCATCACCTTAGGTCTCTCTATTCACACGTGTCCGGTTGAGATTCGAGAGAAGATGGCGGTACCGGCGGATCGATTCGAAGAGGCGGTGACGTCTTTGGTGGACGAGAACCCGCACGTGGAAGAGGCGGCTATTTTGTCCACGTGTAATCGTATGGAGGTGACTATTGTCGGGTTATCGTACGATCGAGCGGTGGCAGAGTTGGAAAACTGGATGAGTAAATGGTCCGGGGTAGAATTGACGGAGTTAAGAGAGCACTTTTTCTTGTTGAAGGATCGAGACGCGTGTACGCACTTGTTGGCGGTTTCGGGCGGTTTGGATTCGGTCGTTTTGGGCGAGGGTCAAATTTTAGCGCAAGTGAAATCGGTGTTTCAAATGGGTGAGAACGTTAAAGGGTTTGGGAGACATTTGACTGGATTGTTCAAAGCTGCGATTGTGGCTGGTAAACGCGTGAGAAACGAGACGACGATTGCATCCGGGGCGGTTTCCGTCTCCTCGGCGGCGGCGGAGTTGTTGCAAATGAAATTACCGGGTGAGTCTTACGAAGGTACCAGAGTGATGATTGTTGGCGCTGGGACGATGAGTAAGTTGTTGGTGAAGCACTTGGAGTCGAAGAGGTGCACAGAAATGACGATTTTGAACCGAACAAAACCGAGAGCGGAGGCGTTGGCTGAGGAGTTTCCCAACGTCAACATGAAAATTCACTTGATGGATGATTTCATCCCGTTGGCAGCTGAGCACGATATTATTTTTACCGCGAGTAGTTCCATGGAACCGATCATCACGAAGGAGCACTTGGACGCCATGCCGATGGCAACTGCTAAGGTTGACGGGAAGAGACGATTGGTCGACATCGCCGTGCCGAGAAACGTCTGCGCGAGTTGCTCGGAGCACGCGGAGACGATTTGCTACAACGTGGACGATCTCAAGGAGCTCGCCGAGGCCAATAAAGCGAAGAGGAACCAAGCCGCGGAAGACGCGAGACAGCTGTTGGAGGAAGAATTGAACGCGTTTGAAGCTTGGAGAGATTCCTTAGAAACTGTGCCGACGATCAAACGATTGAGATCGAAAGCCGAACGCATTCGATCGCAAGAGTTGGAGAAGGCTTTGAGTAAAATCAAAGGCGAATTGTCCAATAAAGATAAGAAAGTTTTCGAAGAGTTATCGCGAGGTATCGTGAACAAGCTTTTGCATGGACCGATGCAAGCTTTGCGATCGGACGGAAGCGACAGAGCGGCGGTAGCGCAGACTTTGGTCAACATGCACGCTTTGGAGCTCATGTTCGAATTAAGAAAGGAAGACGAAATCGAAGAAGAGGAGAAGAAGAAGAAGAAGGAAGCCGAAGGGAAAAAGTAGTAAACTCACTCTGAGGAGTAGAAAGAGAAAAGGAAATCTTTTTTGTGCGGCTCGTTTTAATTGCACGCTTTTTGCGCTTGGCGCTCGCGCGCGCCACATCAAATAGAAAAGAGAGAGAGAAAGAGAGAGAGAGAGGGGGAATAATAATAAGTAACAGCGACAAGGACAGAGCAGTTTTGGGAAGATGAAATCTTCTTACCTTACGAGCTATCCTGGTGTACTATGTAATATCACAAACAACAAAAATTACCACATCACAACATAATAAATGACTAAACAACTTATTAATCAATCTAAGTTTGGGAACGTCGAGTCTATCGCGCGTTTCCACTGTCGCAATCCACCAATCACGTCGACGATTTGGCATTTCTCCGCATCAAAGCAAAACTTCTTTTTCGTTTGAGTGGTGTCGCTTCCATCTTCTATCGTCAGCGTTCGTCTTTTGTTCTCGGCACTCTCGTCGCGGTCTAAGAGTTTTTGTTTAAATCTTTCCCTCGCCAGTTGACTGTCGTTGCCTCTCCGACAGATGAACGCGATCACGTCTACTTCTACTTCAGTTACTGCTTTCTCGTCTTCTTCGCCTCCGTCCTCGTCGACAGCAGTGGCGACAACAACGTTCGTTGTTGTCATCGTCTCCATCGCGTTCTTCTTTTCGTTCTCTTCGTCTACGAACGGGTAGTTGATGGCATCTTTCAAAGCCGCTATCGAGAACTCGATCTCGTTTCGCACGTCAAAGAGCACAACGCTTTTCGTCTTCTCGTGGTGTTTTTCTTCGTGCGAAGCGACGCTGGTATTGCTATTGTTCTTCTTTTTGTCGCTATTTTCGACGAGCAACTGCGCGAGTTCTTCGCACGTTATTCTCCTTTGCGTCCCGTCCTCGCCAATGCTTTCTTCTATTTCGTTATCTGTTCCGTTATTTTTACACCGCTGAGCAGCAATGCCGCTATTCAAGAATGCGTCGTAATCGTAAGATTCAATCGCAAACGCATCTCTCGTTTCGCTCGTGGCGCACACCAAACAATCTTTTCTCCTCTTGATTTTCACGCACGTCGTCGGTCGCGAAGGATTTTGCACAAAGTCAAAAAGCGTCATCAACCCGAGCGGCCGGTGAGGGAACGTCGAAGACGACGCCAACGACGACTTCGACGCTGCTTTCTCTTTCTTTTCTCCTTCTTTCCCGCGATATCGGCACCGACCGGACAACAATATTCGAATGCACTCCAACGCTTGAAACGTCCCGACAATCCCCGGCGCCACGTTCAACACGCCTTGCTCGGCGCACGACCCGCACTCGTCCGCCGGAGGTGGCGAAGGATACGCGCACCTCAAACACGGTCCTCTCTCCATATCGCCGCTCCCGTCACCTGCTTCTTCTTCCCCGCTCTCGTTATACACCACCAACTGCCCTTCCACCCCAACGCTCGCTCCGCTCACCAGCGGCGTCCTCAACTTTGCGCACGCGTCCGACAACACGTACCTCGCTCTCTGATTATCCGTACAATCCAAAACAACGTCCGCATCTCTCAACAACTCCATCGCGTTCTGTTCGTTCACACTTTCTTCGACCGCTCGATATGAACACGTCGGGTTCAAACTTTTCGCGGCTCGAATCGCCGATACCGCTTTGTTCGTTTTCGTTTTATTCTCAGAACAACAGTCTTCGTTTCTGTGGCATATCTGTCTGTGCAAGTTGCTCTTTTCCACTGCATCTGCGTCGCAGACGGTTATTTTCCCGACCCCAGCGCCGGCTAAATACAAAACAGATGGGCACCCTAACCCTCCAGCGCCTGCAATGAACACGTGCGCTTTGAAGAGACGAGATTGCCCTCCTTTCGAGCGTTCGTCGTGTTGGAAGAACGGCAATCGCATCTGACGCGAATACCGTTCGACGGTTTCCCGGTTCTTCTCGCATTCACGTTGAGATGATGATTCTTCTTTCTCCAGACGAGAAGAGCGCCACTCGAGACAACAACAACGAGTATTATTCGTAGTAGTAGTAGTAATAATGGTATCATCGGTGGTATTATTTACGAGAGCGCGCTCTTCTTCTCTCCTTTTCCGCTTCTTCTTCTCCATCGTCGTTCACCCGTCCTTCTCTGTCTGTCTCTCTGTCTCGTCTCCAAGAGAGAGTTTTTGTTCTTCTTTCTTGGAGGCAAATTTTGGAAATTCTAAAACCTACACCCTAAATAACTCTTTTGTTTTTTTTTACTCTCATGACAAAAGTTTTTCTTCTTCAGAGTAAAAAGAAAAAGACAGAAGAAGTTTAGTCTCTCTCTCTCTTTTCTGCGATGAAAAAACGACGACGACGCGTCAAACTGCGCATCCGTTTCGAGCGATAAGAGTTGTTCTGTATTCTTCTTAATCAGAAGAGCGGAAGGGAAAAGGCTTCTTTTTCTCTTCCATCGTCGCAATTCTCCGCGTCGTCGTCACAGTCCTCCGCGAGGGAGTGAGAAAGAAAGATGAAGAAGAAGGAAAAGAAACAAAACCATCATCGGGAAGAAGAGCACCAGCAGAAAGAAGAAGAAGAAGAAGAAGAAGAAGAAGAACAAAGCGCGACGATGCGGTTCGAGGAAAAGCTGAACGAAATTCGAGGCTTTTCTGCGGAGGAATTGAACGCGTGCGTGAAAGTTTTACAACGCGTCGCACCGGCCAAGAATACCGCGAAGTACGACGAGAAGACGTTAGAAGAAGAGGAGAAGGAAGAAGAAGAAGAGGAAGAAGGAGAAAGGAAACCGCGAGAAGGAGATGAAAGTGAGTGCGCTGCTTTTACCGAGAAGACGTCGTCGTCTTTAAAGTCAAAGTCGTTTAAAACCGTTCTGGAACTGAAACAACACAAGCGCTTGCGGACGTCGCTCTTACCGCTCGTGGAGTATTTCACCGCGAAACTGTACCGAGGACAAGACCCGAAGGAATATCGCGAGCGAACGCAATCCAAGAGGGCGAAAAACGATCGAAACCAGAGAATGAGAGCGATGGATCGAGACGCGGTGGCGAAAACAAAACTGAGAGAAGAACGGATGAGAAAATTGAGACGGTTGGAGGAGACGAATTTTAACAACGACGCCTCGGAAGAGGCGGAGGTGTTGGAGTGGAAGAGAGAGACGGACGACGCGGGGAAGCGCGCTTTAGGAAACGGCACCGAGGATGGTGGCGCCTGCGCGATAGAAGAGAAGGAAAAGGAAAAGAAACAAAAACAGCTAAAATCCAGCATGTTAGTACCCGACGGCGTCGTCGAGGAGGAAGACGTGGAGAACATCATGGACGACGACGAAAAACGAGCGACCGCGCAGAATACGCTACACAATCCAAACGCGTGTTACTGTTGCAAAAAACGTTTCACCGAAGTGCACCATTTTTACGCCTCCATGTGTCCATCCTGCGCGGAGGAAAACTATTTTCGACGACATTTTACGTGCGACATGAGAGGAAGATATTGCATAGTCACCGGAGCGAGAGTTAAAATAGGATTCCGGGTCGCTTTGAAATTGCTCAAAGCGGGAGCGTTCGTCGTCGCGACGACGAGGTTCCCGGAAGATGCTCGAGAGCGGTTTAAGAGAACAGACGAGGAGTTGTTGAGAAAACAAAAGCAGAAAGAATCGTTCATGAGTCGATTGAAAATCGTCGCCATGGATTTGCGAGACTTACCGGCGCTCGAAAAACTGTGCGAGAAACTAAATAAAGAGCTCCCAAGATTAGACGTCATCGTAAACAACGCGTGTCAAACCGTTCGGAGACCGCCGACGTACTATAAACATTTACTGAAGGGTGAGTTGGTAAAAAAGAAGGAACGTCGCGAAAAGCGAAGAATGATTGGAAACGGGGGAGGAGAAGGAGAAAATGACAACTTACTTTTAACAACCACTACTACTGATGATACCAATAATGACGACGACGACGACGAATGGACGGTGCCTACGTCTGTGTTGCAATCGCAACTCGAAGTTCTCGAAAAAGATAAAGAGTATGCCGCTGCCGACGAGACGTCGGCGATGATTACGACGACCGCAAAAACGAAAACAAACGCCGTCTTTCCGGAAAACGTCTTCGACGTCAACGGACAACAGGTCGATTTGCGAACGCAGAATTCGTGGACGATGAAACTCGGGGAGATCGAAACGCCGGAACTGCTCGAAGTGCTCGCGGTAAACGCCGCGGCGCCGTTCGTTTTGAATGGCAAATTACGCGCGCTCATGAAACGCACGGCGATGGAACTTCCGGTACCCTCGAAGACGATAAAGACGATGCAGGAAGATGAAAAACGATGCGCGTTTATCGTAAACGTTTCCGCCATGGAAGGTAAATTCTACCGCTACAAAACTGCCAACCACCCGCACACGAACATGGCCAAAGCCGCGTTGAACATGATGACCGCCACGTGCGCCAAGGATTACAAAAAAGATTTCATATACATGACCTGCGTGGACACCGGATGGATAAACGACGAAAACCCTCTCCCAGTCGCCTCGAGAATCGCTAAGGAACACAACTTCCAAACCCCCATCGACGAAGAAGACGCGGCGGCGAGAGTCGTCGGCCCGATTTTCGAAAGCGTCGCCGAAGACGAAGACGACGACGAAGAAGAAGAAAAAGAAGAGAAAGAAGAAGAAGAAGAACAAACCCGTGGTCGCGCGAAATCATCCTCGTCGCCTTTTCTCGCAGGGAGAAGAGGAGGAGGAGAAAGAAGGGAAGGAGGAAGAAAAAGAGTTTGGCCGCCAAAATCTGGCGTCTTTCTCAAAGATTTCAAAGAGAGCGAATGGTAAAGAAAAATGAAATTGTTGTTAAACCCTAATTGATACTAAATAAACCCTAAACTAATACCAATCCTTTCACTTGCTAAACTTGCCAGAGTGGAAACCCGCAGAAGAGATCAGAGACGAAGACAAAGAAGACAAAGAAGACAAAGAGATGTCGTCGTCGGTGCATTCGGGACACTCGGGAAAAGAACATCTCCCTCGAACAACACCAACTCGAACAACAACAACAGGGAGAGGACGAGTTTCTAAGGCGTTCGAAACGGAGGAGGATTTTTCGGACGATGAAGATGAAGACGACGACGACGACGAATGGGAGGACGACGATGATTTCATCGAAGAAGAAGAAGAAGAAGAAGAAGAAGAAGAAGAAGAAGAAAGGATGGAGGAAGAGGGAGCGAAGTACAACAACTCGTCGCAGTTGCAGCTGCAGCAGCGACGACACGGAGGCGCCAACGCCACCTCCACGAATACGAATTCGTCCTCGCATTGTACTAATCGAAATCAGTTAAAAAAAGAAGGACACCAAAAACATCAACAACAAGGACGAGAAGTGTTTCCAACCATCGCGTACAACAATCTCGGGAAACAAACGAACTTTTCGCAGTGCTTGCAAGCTCGCGCGAAGAAATGGAACCCGATGAAGCAGTTTGAACCGGCAAAAAACGGCCAGTTCGCGCCGGATTGGTCTTTTCACGAGTTTGAGTTCCCGGAACATCCGGATGAAATCGTAGAGTTTACGAGTAGGGTTGGTCAGAGACGGTTCGCGTTCGTGTTGAACACGATCGATAAGGAGGTGCGCTTGGCGAATCCAGAGCTGGTCGAGTTGGTGGTGAAGAGTTTGCTGAGATGCACGAACTGCGACGTCGCGAAGACGTTGTTTCGCGCGCAGCAGTATTTTGATTTCTACGAAGACGTGTTTGGTTCGTTGAGGAACGTCCAAAAGTTGAGCGAGGACGAAGAGTTGAAACGAGCGTTTGAAACTGGAGCTTTGCAAGTGTTCGAAAACGTGGACGAGGACGGGAGAGCGTTGATTGTTATAACGTTGGCCAGAATTGTTAATTTCGAGAGGGCTGTGAATCCGAGAGCGACGTCGCTGTTGATGGTGAAGATGCTCAATTATGTGATTTTACGAACGTTGAAAAACTACCCGACGACGCAAAGGAAAGGGTTCATATTTTTGTGCGACATGCACGGATTAAGTTTCGAGCACTTCAACGTGAACTATTCCAGAGTGAACATATACGCGATTTCGAATTTTATGCCGATTCGAGCGGAGAGAGCTGGGATTATTCGACCGTTGTTGTTTACGAAATTTCTGTTACCGACGTTGAAGTATTTCGCCTTTGCGTCGCCAAAAATCCGCGCCAGATTTCACATTTTGACGCAAGATCCGTCGATTTTGCTCGAGAAGCCGTTTCAATTTCGGGTAGAACAAGTGCCGCCGGAATACGGCGGCACCAACAAGATATCTTACGGAATCGCGGAGAGGATTCAAACGTGGACGTTGGAAGAGGAGGAGATTTATTTAGAAGACCGAGACGAAGACGAAGATTTTCCCATGGAGGAAGGCGAAGAAGACGGAACGCTCTTGGAGGAAAAGAGAGAGTTCCAGGAGACTCTGCAAAAGGAGAAATTCGCGACGACGAGTTCCGGCGATGCCATGAGCGTGTAAAAAACAATTATTATTATTAATCGTATCGTTGTTGCGTGTTCGTGTGTGTACATAGTACTGGTAGTAGTTTTGAAAGTGTTTCGTGTACAAAATTTTGCTTAAGAATTCTTCACTTCACTTCTCTCACTCTCTCTCTCTCTCTCTCTCTCTCTCTTTTTACGCGAGGACATCGAGACGCGTTTTACAAACCTTTTCGAGGATCATCATCCTTCTCGGAGAGAGTTTTAGGCGAACACCGAATCGTCTGAATCGTTCTCGTCGTTCTCGTCTCGTGATATAATGGAAAGTACTCTTCTCTCGTTCGTGGAAGAGATTTTTCTACGCGCTGAGACGAAAGAACGAAGTTAACTCTTACTCTCTAAACACCGAAGAATAATGCAGCAGCAACATCAACAACATAATAATAATAATAATAATAAGCAAACGCTCGCGTCCTTCAGCAGTCGAGAGCTGCGAGAGAAATACGAAATCCCCGGCGTGTTTTTGATTGAAAACTTTGTCACGAGAGAGGAAGAACGAGAGTTCATCGAGGCGAATAACAACAATGATAATAATACGAAGAAGAAGAAGAACGAAGAAGAAGAGGGAGAAACTTCTTCGCGCGAAAACGGCGAAAAGGATTACTTTAAGAGCGGATGGAAATCGCTGTCGAAACGCCGCGTGCGACATTACGGGAAGAAGTTTGATTACGACACGAGAGACGCGGCGAACGACGCCGAGGAGAAAATTCCGGAACTGCTCGACGTGGACGTTCGGAAAAGGCTCGAGGCGCTCGTCTCGGTCGTCGCCGACGCCGAGAGCACGACGACGGAGGAGAAAGGTGGAGAAGAGAAGAGCTCGAACGACTTCTCGTTCACGCGTCAGAATGCGAACGACGACGCGTGGACCGAGGACGAAAGAAGACAAATATCCGAGGCGATTCAAAAAGTCATCGCGTTTGATCAAGTCACCGTCAACGAATATCCGCCTGGATGCGGCATCGCCCCTCACGTGGACACGCACTCCGCGTTCACGGGAACCATCCTCTCTCTCTCCTTGGGAGATCGATGCGTCATGGAATTTCGCCACCCGAACCACCCAAACGAAGAAGGCTATTCTACCTCTCCTACCGAGAGCGCTACCGCCGCCCGGCGAAGCGGGAACGAGACGATGATATTTCCTCACCGCGCGCTCGAGTTGCCTCGGCGATCTCTCCTCATTCTCACCGATTTTGCTCGGTTCAATCGCCAGCATTACATTCCAAAACGAAAGTCAGATCCGATGATTGACGGAACGCGACGAACGCGAACTGAAACCAGATACAGTTTCACCATTCGACAAACGCTTCATACTACTAACGATAGTGAAAACAATAACAACAACAACGACGACGAACGAGAAGAGAACGGTGGTGGCAAACAAAACCCTCCTCGCTCGTGCGACTGTCCATACCCGCTCTTTTGCGACGTCAAAGACGGACCCTTCTCCAAAATCATTTCCCGGAAGAAGAAGAACAATTTACAAGAACAACAACAACAACAACGAGGCTTTTCGTGCGAGCGGTAGAGAGCAATAGTAGTAAAAGTAATAACAGTAGCACGCAGTAGCGCGACCAGTCGCACATGTAGTCACAGAGACGCTTTTTTGAGTAGAGATAATAGAAACGTTTACTCGCGTCGATCCGATGATTCTCTCGTCGTACGTAACGCGCTTTTCTTCACATTTTTTGACGAAGAGGAAGACAAAGAAGCACCTCTCGAGAGGAACATGGGATATTACGGCGTTTCTTTTACGTCGTCGTCGTCGTCAGGAGGAGGCGTCGGTTTGGTCAAAGGGAGGCGAAGAAGTATCATCATCGCTGCTGCTTTTTCGTCGTTGTTCTTCTTCGTCGTCTTCTTTTATTCTAGGGGATCATCTTCATCGCTTTCGTCCTTAACACCCTCGTCGTCGTCGTCTGCGTCTGCATCGTCATCGTCCGAGGAGGAGGAGGAAAAGTCGGAAAAGTCGGAAAAGATGATGAGCACAAAATGCGACCGAACGCGTCAACTGTGGGTGGAAGGCGAACCGCCGAAAGTGAGCGCGAAGCTAAAAAGAGGCGTTTCCGGAGCGCCGAAGAGCTTACCGAAGTTTGCGCCGCCCAAGTGCAAGAGAGACCGAATGGAACGAGTTCGTTTGGCAATCGCGGTTTCAACGAGAAGCGCGAGAGGGCCGGCGACGAGTTGGGCGGAGGTTTTAGTGAAGAATGTGCACGCGAACTTGCCGAAACAATGGAAGGCGGAGATTATTTTTTACGAAGACGGGGGAGACGTCGAAGACGAGGAGGATGAGAAAGAGGACGACGGTGAAGTTGATGAGAGCGGCAAGCGCGAAAGGGAGAAAGAGAGCAGGCGAACAAGGAGAACCGCTACGGCGACGACACGAAAGTCGAGAGAGTTTGCGAGAAAAGCGGCGAATGCAGCGAAAGATGGGAAAGGGTACGCAGTTTACGCGACTTCGAGAGATACGGACGCGAGGGTGGTTTCGCGATTGTTGAGATTGACGAGCGCGGAGACGGTGCTTTTGATGTATCCTTCATCTTCTTCGTCATCTAGTTTTAGCTCTAGCTCTAGCAGCTCTTTGAGAGAAATAAAAACCGGGGTGGATGTATCTGTGGATTGGATACGAAACGCGGAAGCGATGTTAGCGAGAGATGCAAAATTAGTGGCAGTATTTGTCGCCGAGGGAAGCGTTAGAGGCGAAAGGGAAAAAGAACGCAAGGATGGGAATGATGCTCGCCCGTTTTTACCTTCGTCGAATTCGATTGTATTGGTAAAACGAGAAGCTCTTTTGAGAGGAGGGTACCAGCTTCTCGCGGAGAAGAAAGCTGCACCGTGCGGTGTTAATAATCCAAATCCAGACGATTTGCTCATAGAAGCAATAAAGAATGTGGGCGGAAAGTACGTCGCGATGCACGCGGAATCGCCGCACGAGGTGGCGCCGAGTGAAATGATATCGCGCGACGGTGGGGATGGCGAGGTAATTTGTGGTCCAGAATTTCTAGACGTAGAACCCGCGTTTTGTGATCACGGGCGGCGCGCCATCGGTGCCAAAGGAGACGCCTCGCGAGGTGAAAAGAAAGTTATGGCATCAATCGTTATGCAGTTCTACGACCGCCCAAAATCTATATCAGCTCTTCCTGCGTTACTTTCCAAAAAATCTCCGGTTCTCGCGGAACTACTGGTGAACAACGACTCCCGGAGCAGTCACGAAGCCTGGATGAAAAGCCTTCACAGGTTTCACAACTCTATGCTAACTCTGGCCTCCAATAATAGCACAGACGAGAAAGTATCGACGAGGAGGAATAAATTTTCAGTGCCGTTCGCTTTGCTCGTACATAGTCCAGATGTGCACGAAATTAGGGCTTATAATAGACTAGGTCGAGCTGCAAACGCTCCTTTTGTTGCTTTCATTCAGGACGACGATCGACCCAACGATCCAAATTGGCTAGCTCGGGCTCTGAAGTTATTTAAGGTTCAACCGAAAATGTCCATGCTCGGCGGGCACGCGGGTAGATTGGACACGTCAAAAAATATGGAGGTAAAAAGACAATGGGGTGCTCGCTCCAAAGGATACCGTGGAGGCCCAACTTGGCAAAACGCCGGTGAGAAATACGGTAACGCCGCCGGCGCTTTACCGATCAAATTTCTAGATCCGAATACAGAAGAGGCTTTCATGTGGGCGTACAAAGTCAACAGCGCTCCTTTGATCGTTCGCGCCGATGATTTCATACGAGTTGGATTATTTCATCCCATGTTCTCCTGTCCAGGCGAAATGGGAATTGGTTTTGATTTCGAATTTTCAATACGGCTTTGGAAAAGCGGCTTGGGCGTGGGATTGTATTCGTCCGGGTTCAAGGACGGGTTGGGCGGCGGAGGGAGTACGCGATCGAATCCAGTGGCGCTCTTGCGGAGAATGACGGCGTGGAGATCTAATAATATTTTGCTATATTACTGCTATCCGAATTTTCATCACGAGAAGGGAACTAAAATAGCGCTAGCGTGGAATAAAGAACTCGTCCTGCGTACAAAGACGAGACGGCCGGCGAAAAGCTCTTCTCAATTTTGATTTTTGACGTTGATGCGAAGACGAAAAGCTTCGGAAGAGAGAGAGAGAGAGAGAGAGAGAAAAAAAAAATCACACAATGATATATTTCAGTAAGGCATCGATTCGTATTTTCTACAATCATCATCGTTTCACAACGTAGCTATGTATTCTCTCCGCAAATGTGCACGCTCACTTTTTTAACTGACCCTTGCAAAGTCTCACCGACTTGAGTGTGATATCCAGATCCTATACTCAGAAACTCCTCAGTTGACGACGAGTCTACGTTTAAGTATGCGCCAATACGTGCCAATAAATATACGCCATGATTCGGTTAGTCGGGGATTATTGTCCAGAAAACAGAGCGTGTAGCGACGTTTTGAGTAGCTGGTAGAAAAGTAGAGTAAGAGTTGAAGGATCGGATGAAGAGAAATAGTAGTGGAGAGGAGAACGAAGAAGAAGACACGACGGATGACGAAGCTTACGTTGAAGAGGGGATAGTGATAACGCGAAGATGACCAGGATTTTGTCAACCGCTAGATTAGTTTAGTTTAGACGTGATTATACACTCATGAACCTAGCGAGACAATAAAACGCGGATAAGTAATTTCTTCGTTATATATATATATTCTCTTTAACTATAATTCATACGTATACGTAACGGGGTTTGGGGTGGATGACCCTCCTCTATTTGCAGTTTCTTTCAGGACTTCCACGCCATCTCGAAGGATTCTCCAGCCAGGCCCGTATAAAGGTCGAGGAATCGTTATCCTTATAGTAGTGATATCTGTTGGAGCGCGGATGACAAATGGCACCGTTCCAACTTCAGCTGGATTGTCATACGCGATTCCAGTATCCGTTCCGTCGAGTAACGTTGACAAAGCTTTTGGGGGGGTTCCTCGGTCCGGAACAATCCCAGAAACAACGAATGGATTCACTTGCGCCCCAACAAACTCCACTTCGCTGATGTGGAGGCCGATTGTCGAACTCGCCTTGACAGAAATCTCAAAGGTGTAGTCCGACATAGATACACACGAATTCGCCGGACCGGTGACGGCGTCGGTGCACGTAAATTTCGCTTGAAACGCAGTTGCGCCGAAAAACATATTCGTTTGCGCTGACGTCGCTGCGGTTCCAGTCCACGAGGAAATGTCGTGGTTGAACGCAGAAGCGGAATTAAACATACCTATCATAGCAGTCACTTTTTCTGTGTTCCAACTCCCAATGTTTTGGTTGAACGCAAAAGCATGATAAAACATTACCTGCATAGTAGTCACTTGCGATGTGTTCCAACTCCCAATGTCTTGGTTGAACGCAGAAGCGCGAGCAAACATAGCTTGCATATCAGTCACTTGCGCTGTGGTCCAATTCCCAATGTCGTGGTTGAACGCAGAAGCGTCCTGAAACATATATCCCATATTCGTCACTTGCTCTGTGTTCCACTCCCCAATGTCTTGGTTGAACGCAGAAGCTCGATTAAACATAGCTCTCATAGTAGTCACTTTTTCTATATTCCAATCCCCAATGTCTTGGTTGAACGCAGAAGCTTGATTAAACATAGATCTCATAGAAGTCACTTTTTCTGTGTTCCAACTCCCAATGTCTTGGTTGAACACAGAAGCTTGATAAAACATAGCATACATAGAAGTCACTCTCCCGGTGTCCCACTTCGAAATATCGCCGTCGAATGTACTTTTACCACCAAAGCCTTTATGTGCACTTCCAGTATATCCACTCATATCTTCCACCAAACTCGTGTCCCAATTCGGCATCGTCCCGTAGTTATTACCAGACGCCCACTCAGTGCACTCGCCGGTACCTTCGGCGCCTGATTCAGATAAACACGCTTCAACGAAAGCGTGCCAACTCGCGTTCGGGATGCACTTGGTACACGCGCACGAATTCGCCGGACCGGTGACGGCGTCGGTGCAGGTAAATTTCGCTTGAAACGCAGTTGCACCGGAAAACATCCACGGTTGCGCTGTTGTCGCTGCGGATCCGGTCCACGAGGAAATGTCGTGGTTGAACACAGAAGCGGAATTAAACATACCTATCATATCAGTCACTTTTTCTGTGTTCCACTCCCCAATGTCGTGGTTGAACGCAGAAGCGTAATAAAACATATCTCTCATATTAGTCACTTCCGCTGTGTTCCAACTCCCAATGTCTTGGTTGAACGCAGAAGCGCGAGCAAACATAGCTCTCATAGTAGTCACTTTTTCTATATTCCAATCCCCAATGTCGTGGTTGAACGCAGAAGCGTAATAAAACATATCTCTCATATTAGTCACTTCCGCTGTGTTCCAACTCCCAATGTCTTGGTTAAACGCAGAAGCGGAATGAAACATATTTTGCATATTAGTCACTTCCGCTGTGGTCCAACTCCCAATGTCTTGGTTGAACGCAGAAGCGGAAGAAAACATAGCATACATATCAGTCACTTTTTCTGTGTTCCAATTCCCAATGTCTTGGTTGAACGCAGAAGCTTGCCAAAACATCCATGACATCTTAGTCACTTTCCCTGTGTCCCACTTCGAAATATCGCCGTTGAATGTACTTTTATCACCAAAGCCCGAGAAGGCATTTCCATCCCATCCACTCATATCCGTCACCAAACTCGTATCCCAGTTTGGCATCGTGCCGTAATTATTACCAGACGCCCAATTGATACACTCTCCTGTTTCTGGAGCTTCGGATAAACACTCCTCCACAAACGTATGCCAACTCGCGTCAGGAATTGGTGCGAACGCTCCGCACACGCAATGAAAAGTTGCTGTCCCACACGGTCCAGTAGCAAATGGAAAGAACTGAAGATTGTTGTTCACGTTGCCACTGTGGAAAGTGCAGCCACCAGTGCGGCCGCTGTCGGTATCACCGTATCCGTCAGCAGGCTGATCAAAGCGAAACCCTTTCGAAGCGTCGCCGGACAATGCGCGTCCGGCGATGCGGCACTGGTTCAGATTTAGGATAGTCACGTAACCTTCCGACTCGCACGTATTTTCAGCAAGGATATAATATTGATCGTAGATTGGAATCGCACACGAACTCGCTGGTCCGATGATGGCGTCGTCGCACGAGAATTTCGCTTGAAACGCAGTTGCGCCGGAAAACATATTCGTTTGCGCTGACGTCGCTGCGGTTCCAGTCCACGAGGAAATGTCGTGGTTGAACGCAGAAGCGAAATAAAACATATATCCCATATCAGTCACTTGCTCTGTGGTCCAACTTCCAATGTCTTGGTTGAACCCAGAAGCGTAATAAAACATATCTCTCATATCAGTCACTTGCGCCGTGTTCCACTCCCCAATGTCTTGGTTGAACGCAGAAGCGCGAACAAACATAGCTTGCATATTAGTCACTCGCGCTGTGTTCCAACTCTCAATGTCTTGGTTGAACGCAGAAGCTTGATAAAACATATCATACATAGTAGTCACTTTCTCTGTGTTCCACTTCGATATGTCGCCGTTGAATGTACTTTTATCGCCAAAGCCTTGAAAAACACTTCCAGTCCATCCACTCATATCTTCCACCAAACTCGTATCCCAATTCGGCATCGTGCCGTAATTATTACCAGATGCCCAAGCAGTGCACTCGCCGGTTTTCGGTGCTTCTTCTAAACACTTGTACACAAACGTATGCCAACTCGCATCTGGAATTGGATCGGGAGAAGAAGTCAAAAGACAAGCCATCCAGTTGTTTTCATCGGTGGCTACGATTTCCGTGACTGAACCGTCGTGATACTGACACCAACATTCACCCTCTGAACCCATGTTGGCGATTTTGGCGGTCGGACACTCCGTGCGAACCAACTCGATGCACGCCTCCGGTGTACCTACGGAACCAGGATTCGTTTCGTGCGTCGTGTAGTCGTTATTATACACCCATGAACCTAGCGGACAATAGGACGCGGACCAGTAGCTTTGCTTCAATACACACGATCTCGCCGGACCGGTGACGGCGTCGGTGCAGGTAAATTTCGCTTGAAACGCAGTTGCACCGGAAAACATCCACGGTTGCGCTGTTGTCGCTGCGGATCCGGTCCACGAGGAAATGTCGTGGTTGAACACAGAAGCGGAATTAAACATACCTATCATATCAGTCACTTTTTCTGTGTTCCACTCCCCAATGTCGTGGTTGAACGCAGAAGCGTAATAAAACATATCTCTCATATTAGTCACTTCCGCTGTGTTCCAACTCCCAATGTCTTGGTTGAACGCAGAAGCGCGAGCAAACATAGCTCTCATAGTAGTCACTTTTTCTATATTCCAATCCCCAATGTCTTGGTTGAACGCAGAAGCGGAAGAAAACATAGCATACATATCAGTCACTTTTTCTGTGTTCCAATTCCCAATGTCTTGGTTGAACGCAGAAGCTTGCCAAAACATCCATGACATCTTAGTCACTTTCCCTGTGTCCCACTTCGAAATATCGCCGTTGAATGTACTTTTACCACCAAAGCCTTGAGAAGCACTTCCAGTCCATCCACTCATATCTTCCACCGAACTCGTATTCCAATTCGGCATCGTGCCGTAATTATTACCAGATGCCCAAGCAGTGCACTCGCCGGTTTTCGGTGCCCCAGTAACCGGAGCTTCTTCTAAACACTTGTCCACAAACGTATGCCAACTCGCATCTGGAATTGGATCGGGAGAAGAAGTCAAAAGACAAGCCATCCAGTTGTTTTCATCGGTGGCTACGATTTCCGTGACCGAACCGTCGTGATACTGACACCAACATTCACCCTCTGAACCCATGTTGGCGATTTTGGCGGTCGGACACTCCGTGCGAACCAACTCGATGCACGCCTCCGGTGTACCTACGGAACCAGGATTCGTTTCGTGCGTCGTGTAGTCGTTATTATACACCCATGAACCTAGCGGACAATAGGACGCGGACCAGTAGCTTTGCTTCAATACACACGATCTCGCTGGACCGGTGACGGCGTCGGTGCACGTAAATTTCGCTTGAAACGCAGTTGCGTCGTAAAACATGCCAGTTTGCGCCGTCGTCGCTGCGGATCCGGTCCACGAGGAAATGTCGTGGTTGAACGCAGAAGCGGAAGAAAACATATGTCCCATATCAGTCACTTGTGATGTGTCCCAACTCCCAATGTCTTGGTTGAATGCATTGGCACTACTAAATACAGAATTCATATTCGTCACTTTAGATGTGTCCCAACCCCCTATAGGTCTGTTGAAGGAAGTAGCTTGCCAAAACATAGCGTACATATTTGTCACTTGAGATGTGTCCCAGTTCGAAATGTCGCCGTTAAACGCAGAATTCCAGCTAAAACCTTGATAAGCACTTCCAGTATATCCACTCATATCCGTCACCAAACTCACGTTCCAATTTGGCATCGTCCCGTACCAAACGTTTTGTGATCGAGCCCAGACTATACATTCTCCAGTCTCTCCAATCGCGTCTTCTCCAATCGCTGCAGATTCATCCAAACACTCCCCGACAAAAGTATGCCAGCTCGCGTCTGGAATTGGCGAGAGACCAACGCACGAACTCGCGGGACCAGTGACGGCGTCGGTGCACTTAAATTTCGCTTGAAACGCAGTTGCGTTGGAAAACATACTCGTTTGCGCCGTCGTCGCTGCGGATCCAGTCCACGAGGAAATGTCTTGGTTGAACGCAGAAGCGTAATAAAACATAGCTCCCATATCAGTCACTTGCGCTGTATTCCACCTCCCAATGTCTTGGTTGAACGCAGAAGCGTAAGAAAACATAGAATTCATACGAGTCACTTCCGCCGTGTTCCAATCCCCAATGTCTTGGTTGAAGGAAGTAGCTTGCCAAAACATCCATGACATCTTAGTCACTTTCCCTGTGTCCCACTTCGAAATATCGCCGTTGAATGTACTTTTACCACCAAAGCCTTGAGAAGCACTTCCAGTCCATCCACTCATATCTTCCACCAAACTCGTATTCCAATCTGACATCGTCCCGTAGTTATTCGTAGACGCCCATGTCGTACAATGTCCGGTCTCAGGTGCTTCTGCCAAACACTCTTCAACAAAGGCGTGCCAACTTTCATCAGGTATTGGAGTAAAAGGTGCAAAGAACATGTAAACCTTCCCGGAATCGCTTCCTTTATCGTCGTCACCGCTCGCACCAATCAAAGCCGTATTACCGTACAGGGATACAGAAATGCCAAAATTATCGCTCGAAGCTGGATCGTTCGCGTAAAGTTTTGCCTGTTCCGTCCAAGTCACCAACGTGCCGTCCGCGGAGTATGCTCGGGTGAACACGTAGACCTTCCCGGAACCGCTTCCTTTATCGTCGTCACCGCTCGCACCAATCAAAGCCGTATTACCGTACAGGGATACAGAAATGCCAAAATTATCGCTCGAAGCTGGATCGTTCGCGTAAAGTTTTGCCTGTTCCGTCCAAGTCATCAACGTGCCGTCCGCGGAGTATGCTCGGGTGAACACGTAGACCTTCCCGGAATCGCTTCCTTTATCGTCGTCACCGTGCGCACCAATCAAAGCGGTGTCGTCGTACAAGGAAAGTGAAGCGCCAAACCAATCGTTCGAGGCTGGATCGTTCGCGTAAAGTTTCGTCTGTTCCGTCCATACTACCCCAGAAGAAGCAGAAGCAGAAGGTGAAGAAGAGTATGACCGCTCGAACACGTAGACAGCTCCAGAATTAACACCGTTGTCGTCTTTTAAATGAGCTGAAATTAAAGCAATGTCACCACATAAGGATACGTGTGTACCAAACTCATCAGAAGCAGCTGGATCGAACGCGAAAAGTTTCGTTTGCTCGATCCACGTCGCTTTGATAGCCAACGAAGACTGAAATTCTCGCGTAAATACGTGCACTGCACCTGAATTCGAGATTCCAATATATTCCGCATTGTAATTTCCAATTAAAGCCGTGTTACCGTTTAACGATACCGAACGACCAAAATAATCGTCAGGGGACGACCCAGATGCATATAGTTTCGTCTCTTCGGTCCACAGCGTCGTGCCAACGTTCGCAGCTGAAGAAGTCGATTCGAATAATTTAAACTGCCCCATTACTAAGTAAGTACCGCCATCATTAGCGGTTATTCGAAGTTTATACTGGTTGTATTTAACCACGTTTTCTGTAACTGCGTACGAGCGTTTAGATTCTTCGTCGCCCTGCACGTCCGGGTTGTACACTTGATTCACTCGTGTATCTAGAAGAGTCCACGTGGTGCCATCGTTTGAACCTTCGAGTGTCCAATCTCTCGGTGCATAATTCTCATTCGTGTTATAATTTGGCCTGTGTCTCAATTCATACGAGGTGATGAGAATACTTTTAGGCATCGTTAAAGTGACAGTCCCAGTAGTAACGCCAAGCGAAGTATGAAACGCATATCCATCATTGACTTTATCAAACATTCGAGCCGGGCCATGATAAGCAATGTCATGAAGTATACCTCCATTGAAAGATGCGGTATATTCGCCATTGCCATAGTCTGCCCCTACCACAGTCCAGGTTTGAGATCTTCCACTGTTTGTGCTCATGACGCCACTCATGGTCGAGGATGAAAAAATTGGAGAAGTAAACGAAGGCGGAGGCCACTCGTGCACTCGAGAACGGGTAAAAACGTAGACTTTGCCAGTGTTGCTCCCTTTATCGTCGCCTCCATGCGCACTAATCAAAGCTGTATCACCGTACAGGGATACAGAAGTGCCAAAATAATCGCTCGAGGCTGCATCATTCGCGTAAATTTTCACACCCGTATCCTCGAGCATTCTTCGCAAGAATAAGGGTGGGGAATACGGCGGCGGCATCGGCGGCGGAGATTGGGGAGGTTTCTTGAACACGTACACTTTGCCCGTGTTAATTCCGTTATCGTCGTCTAGATGAGCTCCGATCAGAGCCGTGTCACCGTATAGCGACACAGAAATTCCAAACTTATCCGAAGAGGCTAAATCAGACGCATACAGCTGCGTTTGCTCCGTCCACGTTGTTGTTCTAATGCCATCACTCTCACTAGTTACAGATCGCGTAAACACGTACACTTTACCGGCGTTCTCAGCTTTGTCGTCATTTTCGTACGATCCAATCAGCGCTGTGTCTCCAAACAAAGATACTGACGCACCAAAAAAATCACTGCTAGATGCATCCGAGGCATGCAATTTAGTTTGTTCGGTCCACAGTGTCGTCACTCGAGAACGGGTAAAAACGTAGACTTTGCCAGTGTTGCTCCCTTTATCGTCGTCTAAATGCGCCCCAATCAGAGCTGTATCGCCAAATAAGGACACCGATGTACCGAATTTATCTGAAACGGATGCATCCGATGCATACAATTTTGTTTTTTCAGTCCAAATTTTTGAGATTCCATCGGAAGAAGATAAAGATTGCGCAAATACATACACCGTCCCAGCATCCGTTATTCCGTTATTATCGTTACCACTCGCTCCGATCAAGACTGTGTCACCGTATAGAGATACAGAAGACCCAAACATGTTACTTGCTTCAGGATCAGAAGCGTGAAGTTTTGCTTGCTGCGTCCAAACCGTCGTACTAAGAGATCCCACAGAAGAGGAGGACCTACTAAACACATAGACCGCACCCGCATCAGATGCGGCGTCATCCTTCCCTGGCGCTCCAATCAACGCAGTATTGCCATCTAATGAAACAGAATAACCGAAATAATCTCCGAACGAAGAATCGTTTGCATGTAGTTTTACTTGTTCGCTCCATGTATTTGATTTCTTCGTGAATACGTACACTGCGCCTGCGAGAGTTTCTTTCTCGTCGTTCCCGTCTGCACCGATGAATGCCGTATCGCCGTGTAAAGATACGGAACGACCGAACCAATCGGAATTTTCCCCATCTTTCGCATACAATTTTATATTTGTATCTTCTAGCATACTCGACAAGAATAAAGGTGGGGGAGGCAAAGGCGGTGGAGGAGACGGAGGTGCAGGTGGAGGCGCTTCAAATACATACACTTTGCCGCGATTATCTTTGCCGCTCGCTCCAATCAAAGCTGTATCACCGTATAATGTTAGCGCAGATCCAAACATGTCGTACGCTACCTGGTCCGATGCGTAAATCTTCGCTTCTTCAGACCACTGCGTTTCCAAAGACGACGATTCATTGAAAGATGATGGCCGAGTAAAAATATAGAAGGATCCGTAGTCAAGTGAAGAGCTTTTAACGCAGAAGTCCATGTTGTTCTCACCGCTACCTAAGCAACCCGGAACCGCCTCATTCGCACTCCTTTGAAAACAAACAAGCCCGGTGGCGCAATCGGTATCTGTATCGCAATCGCCTTCACACTCTCCCAGACTGCCCGTTCCAAGTCCATCCCATCCATGACTTACGAGCGTCTTCGGGACCAAGATTCCCCCTTCCTCGACAAATTCATCACTTTTGGGCGATCCTATGAGAGCTGTATTACCATATAACGCAACCGACGCACCAAATTCACTCTGCATGGACGCATCCGATGCAACCAGTTTCGTTTCTTCGACCCATGTCGTAATAATTGACTCATCTTCCGAGGAAGGAGAAGAAGACCTGGTAAAGACGTGCACGGTACCAATTTCAGGTTTGTAGCAATAATCCCAATCGAACACGCCAGTTCCTGAGCATCCTGGAACGGGCGTGTATCCAGATCTTTGGAAGCACTTGAGCCCAAAACTACAATCGCTATCGCTATCACAATCACCTTCACATAAGTTGAGGTTTATTACGGTAGCGCCGATACTTGTCAGCGCCTTCCTCGTGGTACTCGTATCTACATACTTGGGAGATCCAATCAATGCCGTATTTCCATACAGTGAAACTGAGCGACCGAACCAACTTGAATCGGATGGTTCATTTGCATAGAGTTTCGTCTGTTCGTTCCATAAAACTGATGTTGCGCTCGGGGATGTAAAAGGAGAGCGAGTAAAGACATACACAGAGCCAGCATCAGTTCCCTTGTCGTCATCGAGGAAAGCTCCAATCAAAGCGGTATCATCGTATAAGGATACGGATACGCCAAAATTATCGCTCGAAGCTGGATCGTTCGCGTAAAGTTTTGCCTGTTCCGTCCAAGTCACCAACGTGCCGTCCGCGGAGTATGCTCGGGTAAACACGTAGACCTTCCCGGAACCGCTTCCTTTATCGTCGTCACCGCTCGCACCAATCAAAGCCGTATTACCGTACAGGGATACAGAAATGCCAAAATTATCGCTCGAAGCTGGATCGTTCGCGTAAAGTTTTGCCTGTTCCGTCCAAGTCATCAACGTGCCGTCCGCGGAGTATGCTCGGGTGAACACGTAGACCTTCCCGGAATCGCTTCCTTTATCGTCGTCACCGCTCGCACCAATCAAAGCCGTATTACCGTACAGGGATACAGAAATGCCAAAATTATCGCTCGAAGCTGCGTCACTCGCGTACAATTTGACATTCGTGTCTTCCACCATCTTCGTTAAGAACAAAAATGGCGGCGGCGGCGGCGGCGGCGGCAGCAGTGAAGGAGGCGGCGAAGGGAACGCCGCAAACCGTACCCACGTCGTGTACCCTTGAGAATTCATCGCTGAACCAGAAGAGTCGTACCAACCTTCACATGAAGCGGAGATTTCGTCGCTACCGTGTCCCATATAATTTCCATTCGAAACGTCACCGGTAGCTTGAGTGGCACCGACACCTCCAATGGTGGATTGTTGGGCATTCGAATCTAAGCTCGCATCCAAAGCGACGCCATCGCCGTGAAAGTACAAAGCGTTGCCGTGTAAATCGCCGATGACATCAACTTCCGACCGAGGAACAACCGTCGTCAAAGAAGACGCATTCCACGTCACTTCCAGCGTCGTACCTTGCGTCGCACCGGAGAACGAAGTTGATCCGTCTAAAGAGTTCCAGCCCCAACCGAATACTTTAATGCGATCTATATCAATACCAGATATAAAATCGCCGGCGATGTAATCTTTCTCAGGATCCGGGGTACCGAGTGCGCCAAAAACGCCATTTCTATCGACTCGGTAGTTGAAACTGTTCTTCTCCGTACCGGTTGGAATAACAGACTCTTTCGCGTTGTTCGAAGCGATCAAGACGTACCGATTCGGGGACGCAAACGCTCCGAAGTTATGAACGTAGAGCTGTTGGATTTGACGTTCACTATTGACAAACCAGTAAAGACCGTCGGAAACATCGTCCACATCGACTTGAGAAATACTCGAATACGGAGCGTTTTGAGATCCGCGCACAGCCGGTGGAGGCGAAGGAGGCGAGGGGGGAGGAGGAGGAGGTAACGGTGGCAAAGGCGGAGAGGGTGGTGGTATCGGTGGCGAAGATGGCAGCGGCGGTGGTGGCGCAGGAAACGGTGGTGGTGATGGAAGTGGTGGCGATGGTGGAAATGGTGGCGATTGTGGCGATAGCGGTGGAAATGGTTGCTGGAACGGTGATGAATTCGGAGGGAAAGGAGCGATTGGAGGAGGGGAAGTCCAATCTGAACGAATCTCGTCACAAGATCCAGCAGGTCCCTCATTTGCCTGAAGGCATATAAATTTACTTTGGAATGCATCAGCTCCGAGAAGCATGCCTTGCTGCGCGTGAGAGGCGGCATATCCAGTCCATTTTGAAATATCCTGATTAAAAGCCGTAGCGTCTTGAAATATGCCAGACATGTCTATAACCCGAGACGTATCCCATTTCGATATGTCCCGATTAAAAGACGAACAAGATGAGAACAAATTCGACATGCTGGTCACGTGTGATGTATCCCAGTTGGATACGTCTCCATTAAAGATGGGAAAGGCAGTGGCACGCGATCGACTCATATCAATCACGCGACTAGTATCCCATTGCGGCATGAGGCCATACTTAGTAGTCGTCAAGCCGTAAACAGAGCAAAGCCCAAAGAATGGATCCTCCGCCAAGCATCTCTCAAACGCAAGCTCAAAAGTTGCGCTGGTAATGCACACGTCAGACTTACACGAGCAAGTGCGCAGAGGACCCGAATCTTTATCAGAGCACGCAAACTTTGATTGAAACGAGGTGGCGTTCCGAAAGATATCTTTTTGAACTTTGTAGGTTGCCGGACCTTTCCATGCGGTCAAGTCCCGATCGAAACTTGACGCGCCAAAGAACAAGCGCGTCATGGAGGTGACGTGGATGGTATTCCATCTCGTAATATCCGCATTGAACTCTGGAAACTTGGATAAAACGCTATTCACCACACTGCCATCGAGGATGAATCCAAGCGTGAAAGAACTCAGACCAAAAGCCTCATCCGTTGAACCCTGATTTAAATTCGTCGTCAGTCGCACAGTTGCCGTGCTTAACGAATGCGTTACATTGATCTGGACGTTGAGTTGCTCTTCACCCGATCCCCCGCCACATACGTTTGAGCCCTGATTATGATAGAATGGACGCGAAGTGTAGACGAGCGCATCGTCGATATATACGTAAAACTTTTCACCGTCCCAAGAATCGATTTTCACCAAGTTCACGTTCAAACTCAACTCAGAGTGCTCTGGCAAGTCAGAAAACGTCTTTCGCAATTCTGCGCCGTTACCAAGCTGGCCGTATCCTCCGAGAACATATCCGTAGCTGCCGCATTGCGTGCACGAAACGGTGTTCCCATTATTAAGCCATCCGTCAGAGGAACAACTTGAAGTGGTGTAGTCAAACACCAATGGATCAGTTTGTATTGAGCCCATATTTGTCACGTTACTAACGTCCCAGTCTGACATGACGCCATATTTTGTCTTCACGAGGCCGTACTCAGTGCACAAACCATCCACGGTAGATTCTTTGAGACACTCTTCCAAGGCTTCTGAGAACGTTTCGTCCGATAGGCAATGTGACGAGCGGCAAACGCACGAGCTCAACGATCCAGATGTCTCGTCGGGACATAAAAATTTTTCATGAAACGCCAAAGCCCCTACACGCATGTCTTGAAAATCATAAACATTCAAAGTACTCATGGACGATAAATCGTGCGAAAAAGCCGAAGCACCACTCAGCATCGCATTCATGGTTGTCACCTGATGCGTTTGCCATTCACCAATGTACTGGTTGAACGAAGCTGCATTTTTGAACATCCCTCGCATATCAGTCACCCGGCTCACTACCCAACCGCTTATGTCTGAATTGAAAGCAAGAGCGTTTTCAAACATGAAACTCATATCCGTGACATGTGATGTATCCCATTTCGAAATATCGCCATTGAAAATAGTCGCACCGCGGAACCCGTAAGAAATTGAATTCGTACCACTCAAACCAGACATTCGCGTGACGCGGCTGACGTCCCAATCAGGCATGAGCCCAAAATGAGTCGTCACAAAACCGTAATTCACGCACAATCCGTGAACCGGGTCCTCCGAAAGGCAATGCTTGACGGCATCGTGAAAGGATGCATCTGACAAGCAAATATCAGAATTGCACTTGCACGTATTCAGAGGTCCATCATTCGCGTCCAAGCAGGAAAATCGCTCCAGAAACTTTCGAGCACCTTTAAACATTTCTTCTTGCAAAACGTAGGAAAATTCCCCCTTCCACATTGTAAGATCGCGTTGAAATATTTCAGCATTGCGGAACATGTACGTCGTGTTTTGAACGCTCCCGACATACCATTTTGAAATATCCTGATTAAAAGCCGTAGCGTCTTGAAACATGCCAGACATGTCTATAACCCGAGACGTATCCCATTTCGATATGTCCCGATTAAAAGACGAACAAGATGAGAACAAATTCGACATGCTGGTCACGTGCGATGTATCCCAGTTGGATACGTCTCCATTAAAGATGGGAAAGGCAGTGGCACGCGATCGACTCATATCAATCACGCGACTCGTATCCCACTGCGGCATGAGGCCATACTTAGTAGTCGTCAAGCCGTAAACAGAGCAAAGCCCAAAGAATGGATCCTCCGCCAAGCATCTCTCAAACGCAAGCTCAAAAGTTGCGCTGGTAATGCACACGTCAGACTTACACGAGCAAGTGCGCAGAGGACCCGAATCTTTATCAGAGCACGCAAACTTTGATTGAAACGAGGTGGCGTTCAGAAAGATATCTTTTTGAACTTTGTAGGTTGCCGGACCTTTCCATGCGGTCAAGTCCCGATCGAAACTTGACGCGCCAAAGAACAAGCGCGTCATGGAGGTGACGTGGATGGTATTCCATCTCGTAATATCCGCATTGAACTCTGGAAACTTGGATAAAACGCTATTCACCACACTGCCATCGAGGATGAATCCAAGCGTGAAAGAACTCAGACCAAAAGCCTCATTCGTTGAACCCTCATTTAAATTCGTCGTCAGTCGCACAGTTGCCGTGCTTAACGAATGCGTTACATTGATCTGGACGTTGAGTTGCTCTTCACCCGATCCCCCGCCACATACGTTTGAGCCCTGATTATGATAGAATGGACGCGAAGTGTAGACGAGCGCATCGTCGATATATACGTAAAACTTTTCACCGTCCCAAGAATCGATTTTCACCAAGTTCACGTTCAAACTCAACTCAGAGTGCTCTGGCAAGTCAGAAAACGTCTTTCGCAATTCTGCGCCGTTACCAAGCTGGCCGTATCCTCCGAGAACATATCCGTAGCTGCCGCATTGCGTGCACGAAACGGTGTTCCCATTATTAAGCCATCCGTCAGAGGAACAACTTGAAGTGGTGTAGTCAAACACCAATGGATCAGTTTGTTGTATTGAGCCCATATTTGTCACGTTACTAACGTCCCAGTCTGACATGACGCCATATTTTGTCTTCACGAGGCCGTACTCAGTGCACAAACCATCCACGGTAGATTCTTTGAGACACTCTTCCAAGGCTTCTGAGAACGTTTCGTCCGATAGGCAATGTGACGAGCGGCAAACGCACGAGCTCAACGATCCAGATGTCTCGTCGGGACATAAAAATTTTTCATGAAACGCCAAAGCCCCTACACGCATGTCTTGAAAATCATAAACATTCAAAGTACTCATGGACGATAAATCGTGCGAAAAAGCCGAAGCACCACTCAGCATCGCATTCATGGTTGTCACCTGATGCGTTTGCCATTCACCAATGTACTGGTTGAACGAAGCTGCATTTTTGAACATCCCTCGCATATCAGTCACCCGGCTCACTACCCAACCGCTTATGTCTGAATTGAAAGCAAGAGCGTTTTCAAACATGAAACTCATATCCGTGACATGTGATGTATCCCATTTCGAAATATCGCCATTGAAAATAGTCGCACCGCGGAACCCGTAAGAAATTGAATTCGTACCACTCAAACCAGACATTCGCGTGACGCGGCTGACGTCCCAATCAGGCATGAGCCCAAAATGAGTCGTCACAAAACCGTAATTCACGCACAATCCGTGAACCGGGTCCTCCGAAAGGCAATGCTTGACGGCATCGTGAAAGGATGCATCTGATAATACAGAATCGCGACTCGCACATGAAGCAGCTGGGCCATCGTAGCTACTCGTGCAAACAAAAAGCGCTTGAAATGCGATGGCATCTCTAAACATGTCTTTCTGGGGTAAAGTCGCTACGTTACCAGACCAAGAAGATAGTGAGTACTTGAACGAGCTAGCTCCGTAAAATGCATAGCTCGCATCGACTGCCTGCGTGATCATCCATGACGAAAGATCTTGATTGAATGACTCAGCTCCGCGAAAAATTCCGCGTATACTAATTACCTCCGCAGAGACCCATAGGTTCACGTTGCCGTTAAATGCAGCAGCGTGACTGAATGCATTCTTCATATCAGTGACCTGCGATGTGTTCCACGATCCGATGTTCTGGTTGAACGCAGAAGCGTGCCGGAAAATCGAGTCTATATCTCGCAAGCTTGAAGTATCCCAGCTGCTTATGTCCTGATTGAATGAAGAAGCGTACTCGAACAGATAACTCATATCAGTAACACTGGACGTGTCCCATGCCGTAATATCGCCATTGAACGCTTTCCTACCCTTAAATCCGATGCTATTCGAACCATCGTAGCCAATCATCTTCGTGACAGAGGAAGTATTCCAATACGGCATGGCTCCATAGTTTGATGATGAACCAAATTCCACGCAGTCACCAGTAACCGGAGATTCTGTAAGACAAAGAGAAAGAGCATTTTGAAATGTTGTATCTGTCAGAGGGAGCTGATCATACACACATGAATTAAAAGGTCCTCTATTTGCATCGTCACACGTGTATTTTGTGTTGAATGCTGTCGCTTGAAGGATAATATCTTCCTGCGCTGTTGAAGCCGCAGTTCCCAACCAGTGAGATAAATCATAGCCAAAGACAGATGCTGATGAAAGCATTCTCGTCATGTCTGTCACTGCGGTCGTATTCCAATCCCCAATGTCCTGATTGAACGAGCTAGCATTAGAAAACATATCGCGCATTGTCAAAACTTGAGATACGTCCCAATTTCCAACGTTTTGGTTAAAAGTAGCCGCGGAGAAAAACATAGACTCCATCGTAGTTACGAGTGTAGTCTTCCACGAGCTGATATCCGCATTGAAAGCAGAAGCTTGATAAAACATACCTCTCATGGACGTTACCTGAGAAACATCCCAATTTGAAATGTTCGCGTTAAAAGTAGCTTTGCCACCAAATCCAATGAGAGCTCCCTCCTCTCCAGTAATCCCGTCCATGTTTGTTATTTTACTTACGTCCCAGTCAGACATGATGCCGAACTTCTTAATCTCGGAACCGTACGCTGTGCAGTTTCCGTAGATTGGATCTTCGTTCAAGCATTCTATAATGGCGCTACGAAAGTTTGCATTGTATAGGCAAAACGAATTATTGCACGTGCACGAGCTTGGTGGCCCATCGACAGAGTCAGTGCAATCAAAGCGCGCTTGAAAAGCAACCGCATTTAAGAAGACGTCTGTGTAATCAGTCGCTGAAGAATCGTTCCACTCAGAAATGTCAAAATTGAATGCAGACGCCATCTCAAACGCATGCTGCATGTGTTGCACTCGAGAAACGTCCCAGCCGGAAATGTCTTGGTTGAATGCACGCGCATCATTAAATAGCCAAGATATGTCAGTGACTGCACTCAAATTCCACCTGGAGATGTCTGCGTTGAAAGTGTACCTATGCTGGAAAGCGCGTGAAATGTTTGTGACGCGAGAAACATCCCAGTCTGGCATATAACCATATTTCGTGAGGCCCCAACCCCATGTAATGCATTTACCATCGATGGGAGCTTCTGCGAGACAACTCGAGACAGCATTAATAAATGTATCATCTGTCAAATAACACGGAGCGATGTTGCACCACGAGAATCTCAGTACACACGAGCTTGGTGGCCCATCGACAGAGTCAGTGCAATCAAAGCGCGCTTGAAAAGCAACCGCATTTAAGAAGACGTCTGTGTAATCAGTCGCTGAAGAATCGTTCCACTCAGAAATGTCAAAATTGAATGCAGACGCCATCTCAAACGCATGCTGCATGTGTTGCACTCGAGAAACGTCCCAGCCGGAAATGTCTTGGTTGAATGCACGCGCATCATTAAATAGCCAAGATATGTCAGTGACTGCACTCAAATTCCACCTGGAGATGTCTGCGTTGAAAGTGTACCTATGCTGGAAAGCGCGTGAAATGTTTGTGACGCGAGAAACATCCCAGTCTGGCATATAACCATATTTCGTCGAATTTAGTCCGTACTCCGCACAATTACCATCCAATGGAGCTTCGTTCAGACATAGCGCGATAGCTTGATGGAAAATGACGTCAGTCATGCAATAATTGGCATTACATTTGCACGATTTCGCTGGGCCTCCATTGCTGTCGTCACAGGTGAATTTTCCCTGGAACGAATCCGCGTAGAAGAACATTCTTTCCTGAGTTATACTTGCTGCACTTCCAGTCCAAATTGAAACATCGTGACTAAATTTATGAGCACGATAGAACATGTAACCCATGTCACTAACGTGAAAAGTGTTCCAGGAGCTGATGTCTTGATCAAACGACCAAGCTTCCAAGAATGTGCGGCGCATATTTTCAACTCTGGAAGTATTCCATCGGCCGATTTTTGCATTAAACGAGTGAGCTTGAGAAAATGTACCGTACATGTCCGTTACTTGTGACGTATCCCAACTGGATATATCTGCGTTAAAAGTATGCAAGCCTGAAAATGCTTCCCTTAAACTTGTGACACTGCTGATATCCCATTCTGGCATCGCTCCGTACATAGAGGCCGCGCAGAGGCCATTCTCGGCATAGGCATACTCCTGCATCGTCAAGCACATCCGAATCGCATCTCGCAAATTAGAATCAGTGAGAGGCAAATTATCAGACTTAGATGATCTTATCTGCGCTAATGGAGGTGGACTCGGAGCAATCCATCTTGTATTAAGGCCTGTACACGAACTCGGAGGTCCTCTCAAAGCATCGGTACAAACAAATTTCGCTCGGAACCCTGTGGCTCCGTCAAACATTCCAGCTGAATTTGTTAAAGCTGAATCGTCCCAAGCGGATATATTTTGATTAAACGAATGCGCTTTTTTAAACATGACTTCCATATTTGTGACACCTGACGTGTTCCAAAGTCCAATGTCCTTATTGAATGACAAAGCTTCTTGAAACATGCCCCGCATGTTTGTAACTTGAGACGTGTTCCAAAAACCAATTTCGTGATTGAATGAAGAGGCTCCGGCAAACATAAATTCCATGTTGACAGAGCGAGAAGTGTCGAAAGCGCTCATGGTTTGGTCGAACGATTTCGCAGAATGAAACATGAAGCTTAATTCTGTTACTTGGGATGTGATCCAGTTCCCGATGTCTTGGTTAAAAGAATCCGCTCCGGAAAACATACTGGATAGGTCAGTAACGAGCGAAACATCCCAGCCGCTGATGTTTTGATTGAACGCCGTGCAATTTCCAAACATGGTGGACATATCTGTAACATGTGAGGTATCCCATCTCGAAATATCACCGTTGAATATTCCATTCTGACTAAATCGCTTGTTTACGTGAGAGTCACTAGACATATATCCTCCCATGTTTGTCACAAGAGTTGTGTTCCAATTCGGCATCGTGCCGTACTTCGAAGCGCGACCGTACATTCGGCACTCACCAAATACAGGACTTTCTGACAGACAGTTCTGAATTGCATCACTAAAAGTTAAATCTGAAAGGAGAGATTGTTCGCAGGTGCTACTCGGTCCGGAATCCGGGTCATCACAGGTGTATTTGTCTTGGAAAGAATTAGCGTTGCGAAACATGTTCTGCGTTTTCGTAGCGCTCGAAGCGTCCCAACTCGAGATATCAATATTAAACATTGAAGCTCCTTCGAACATCGATGTCATGTCGCTCGAGCTTGATATGTTCCATTCACTAATATCTTGGTTAAATTTCGCCGCTGAAAAGAACATGTGTCTGAAATTCGTAACGTGCGATGTGTCCCATTTCGAAATATTCCCATTGAAAGTACTCTTCAATGCGAATCCCGCGTATTTTCCATTAACTAATCCAGCCATATCCGTGACGCGACCGGTTTTCCATTCCATCATAATTCCATAATTTGTTGTTTTTGTACCCCACGATGTACACACACCACCAAATGGGTCTTCGAGAAGACAATGAACGACAGCACGATAATAAGATCCATCCGTGAGATAACATTCCCCATGCTTGCAGACGCAGGAACTTACTGGGCGTGCACTTACTTCGACTTCTTCGTTGATTCCCCCACCAATACCACACGTAAATTTAGCCAGAAATGCTTCCGCTCCAGTAAATGTTCCTGCACTTGTTACGACAGAAGAATCATTCCAGCTTGAGATATCTTTATCGAATGCAGACGCTCCGTAAAATACTCCACTCATGCTCGTGACTTGAGAAACATCCCAACCGCTGATGTCTTGATTGAAAGAAGAGGCAGAATGGAACATATCACGGATGGAGGTCACGCTCGATAAATCCCATCTCGAAATGTCACCGTTAAAGAGCGTTTTATTTTTGAACGCCGCCTCCATATTTTCAACGAGACTAGTATCCCATTCTGGCATTACGCCAAATTTCTTGGTCACCGTCCCAAAGGTGTGGCACAAACCATCCACGGGCGCTTCTTGAAGACAAGCGCTGACCGCTTCGTGGAACGTTGCGTCAGAGGTCAAAACATGTGGTTCGTGGCAAGAATCCAGAGGGCCATCTTCATCGCTCGCGCAAATGAATTTGTCCTGAAACTTTGAGGCGCCTCTAAGTATACCCTTCTGTTCAGAAGCTACCGCTATTCCAGACCAGCTATAAACAGTGTGATCAAACGAGTACGCGTACGCAAACATTTCTTCCATGTTAGTCACGGCTGCAGTATTCCACGAATTTATATTTTGATTAAATTTAAAGGCTTGAGAGAATGTTGATTGCATATTCCTCACTTTCGCCGTATCCCAGGCACCGATGGACTGATTAAACGCATATGCTTGAGAAAACGTGCGCGCTAGGTTTGTTACCAAAGAAATATCCCAATTTTTTATTTCTGAATCAAACAAAGCTGCTTTGAAAAACATTCCACTCATATCCGTGACTTTCACTGTGCTCCAATTCCCAATCTTTTGATTAAATGCTGAAGCTTGGTAAAACATGAACGACATGTCCGTCACTTGAGCAGTATCCCATTTCGAAATGTCCCCGTTAAATGCCATTCTCGTGGCAAACCCTACATGTTTAGATCCATCGTAACCCGCCATATTTGTCACTAAACTCGTATCCCAGTCGGGCATTAGTCCAAATGAATTCGTTGAATACCCGAACGTATGGCATAATCCATCCACAGGAGCCTCGAGCAAACAATTCTCCACGGCGCTGTAATAATTTGCATCTGTGAGATCGCTGCACCAATTTAATTCGAGCGAATCAATGCTACCTCCCCAAAGTTCATTAGCGTATGTATGCGCCCCGCCACCGATAGTGATGTAACCTCCGTTCATTACAGGGAAGTCCTGAGTCCCGCTCAAAACAATTTCACCATCGATTATGATTTCGTACTTTTTCGTGTTTGGATCATATTTCCATTCCATTGCGTATTTTGTACTCGGTAGCAAGCTTTGAGGAGCGACTTGGTATCCAACAACGCATTGCGTACCGATGAACGGTTTACCATTCACGAGACCTCCGAACCAAGCGCCATCGCATTTTGTCGTTCCACCAATCATATACAAACTGTTCCAACCTGTCATATCGTTCGATGTTGTCGCCACAGTTTTCACATGATAATACGACGAATGTCCAGTAGCAAATGAGAAAGTTTCTAATTGTTGACCCAAAGATGCTGTTTTGAGTAGTTTTGAACATCGAGATCTCGCTCTTGGAGAACATAAACTGGCAGGACCAGACCTCAGATTCGTGCACGAGTATTTCAATAGAAAATTACTCGCACCTATGAACATTTGATCCGATGTCACCAGAGCAGAATCGTTCCAAGAGCTTATGTCTATATCGAATTCGCTCGCTTCTTCGAACATTCTGCTCATAGTTGTAGTTTGAGAAGTATCCCATTTACTTATATCTTGATTGAATTTCGTCGCCCCGGCAAACATTCTGTACATGCTCGTAACTCGAGAAGTTTCCCAATTTGAAATGTTACCGTTAAATATAGATTTTCCGCCAAAGCCTACATAGTAAGAGTTCCATCCAGTCATATTTGTTACCCTTGAGGTGTCCCACTCAGGCATCACGCCATAATTCGTCGCTTGTGTTCCCCACGTAACGCACAACCCATCTTCCGGAGATTCTGCCAGGCAATTTGCGATTGCGTCGTAAAAGATTGTATCTGTTATGAAGCAAGCGCCTTTGATGCATGTACATGAATTGGGAGGACCGCTGTTCGAGTCCGTGCAGGAGTATTTATCAGCGTATGCGAGTGCGTTTTGAAACATGGAGTCCATATTCGTCACCGCTGAAGTGTCCCACGCGTTGATATCTTTATCAAACACGATAGCATCAGCGAACATTTGCTCCATATTTAAGACATTCGAAGTGCTCCAATCCCAAAGATCTTGATTGAAGGCAGAGGCGTTTCCAAACATTAATTTCATGTTTGATACCCGAGATGTGTCCCAACTACCTATGGGTTTGTTAAACATCGACGTTCCGTAAAACATACTGCTCATATCTGTAACGTGTGAGGTATCCCATCTGGTTATGTCGCCGTTAAACGCATCTTTTAGCGCAAAACCTATGTAATGCTCCGTGTTGTCATAAAAAGAAACGCCCGACATATTTGTGACCCTTTTCGTGTCCCAGTCTGATATTATCCCGTATCGTGTCGAGTACAAGCCAAATTCTTTACAAACTCCATCCAGTGGAGCCTCAGCTAAACAAGATTCAATTGCAGAATAAAATGTTTCATCCGTGAGCGACACATCCGGATCGTAGCACGTTTGCGGTGGACCATTTACAGGGTCATCGCATGTAAATCTTGCGATGAATGCTGTCGCATCCGTAAATATGCCGGTTTGCACAGTCGTTGCCGCCGTTCCAGTCCACGAAGAAATGTCTCGGTTAAACACAGAAGCGTTTTCGAACATGTTTGACATGTCCGTCACTTGTGATGTGTCCCAACTTCCGATTAATTCATCAAATAAGATAGCATGCTTAAACATTTCACCCATTTCCGTCACTCGAGAGGTGTCCCAACTCCCCATCGGTTGGTTGAACACAGAGGCGTATTGAAACATACCATGCATACCAGTAACTTGCGATATGTTCCAATTCCCAATGTCTTGGTTGAACGCAGAAGCGGAAGAAAACATATAAGCCATATCCGTCACTTGTGATGTGTCCCAACTCCCAATGTCTTGGTTGAATGCATTGGCACTACTAAATACAGAATTCATATTCGTCACTTTAGATGTGTCCCATCCCCCTATAGGTCTGTTGAAGGAAGTAGCTTGCCAAAACATAGCGTACATATTTGTCACTTGAGATGTGTCCCAGTTCGAAATGTCGCCGTTAAACGCAGAATTCCAGCTAAAACCTTGATAAGCACTTCCAGTATATCCACTCATATCCGTCACCAAACTCACGTTCCAATTTGGCATCGTCCCGTAATCATTACCAGACGCCCATGTCGTGCACTCACCGGTAACTTCCGCGCCTACTTCCGTCAAACAATCCGCGACGAAAGTGTGCCAACTTGCAGATGGAATCGGATCCAAAGGAGGTGGTGGATTCGGTGGTGGATTCGGCGGTGGACTCGGCGGTGGACTCGGCGGTGCATTCGGCAACAGCGGAGGCGACGGCGGGGGACTCGGGTGTGGAGACGGGGGAGGGCTCGGAGGTGGCGAGGGTGGAGGTGATGGGGGAGGCGAAGATGGTGGTGGAGATGGAGGAGGAAGCGGCGGTGGTGGAGATGGAGGAGGAAGCGGCGGTGGTGGGCTTGGTGGCGGACTTGGTGGAGACTGAATATACTCTGCACTGGAGCTGAATCTTTGGGTTTGAGCCTTGAAGACGCTTTCGATTTCGGCATCCGTGAGAGTCGTGGAGTCGTGGAAAATAATCGCAGCTAAATCACCAGTGTACCCGCCAGCAGATCCGGTAGCGCCGTTTTCAACAGCAGCTTTGGATACATCAGCTATCATTCCGTACCTTCTCAAAGAAGCCGAATGACTTCCAAGGGCCGTCATGGTGCCGTTAGCCGAGAATGTCTTTTTCAGCACTCCATCAGCGAACAATTTAATTTTTTGATTTGAGACGCTGAACGTAACCCCTAGCAAATGCCATTCGCCGTCGTTATACAACTCATCCGTGCCCGCTCCGAGGTCGTAATATTCAGAAAATCCACCAGAGTTACTACTGCTGCCCGAAAATTTAAGTTGGCCGGCACCTTCGAGATAGAAATTGAATACTTCCGATCGATCAAAATCGATAAACGACGACTGGTTGATGTCATACGATCCGTCTGGAGTATTTTCTCCATTGCTGTAATTCGTTCGCATCCAGACAAGAACCGTGAGCTCTTCGATAACTTTTGTGCCTCCTGCGTAATGCAAATCATTACTTATGTAACCGCGCGAATTACTTAATGAAGCATCAAATGACACGTACCCACCATATTTGCTATTAAACTTAACCCCGTCAAGAAGTATCACATCGTTGTTATTTCCCGACTCATCCGACCAAGACATCGTGGCTCCTGGCCACGTGAGAGCAGTTGTCGAGAGAGGCACGTCCCCGACACGCAGAGTGATATTTTGAAAGATTGTCGATCCAGTAAATATTTCTTCTCCTGTATTCAAAAGAAGAAGAATATCATTCCAGCTTGAGATATCTATATCGAATGCAGACGCTCCGTAAAATACTCCACTCATGCTCGTGACTTGAGAAACATCCCAACCGCTGATGTCTTGATTGAAAGAAGAGGCAGAATAGAACATATCGCGGATGGAGGTCACGCTCGATGTGTTCCACTTCGTTATGTCACCGTTGAACAGCGTTTTATTTTTGAACGCCGCCTCCATGTTTTCAACCCGATGCGTATCCCAATCCGGCATGACGCCAAATTTCTTGGTCACCGTCCCGAAGGTGTAGCACAAACCGTCCACGGGCGCTTCTTGAAGACATGCATCGACCGATGCGAAAAAATACGAATCCAACAGGATTCTCTCTTTTTCGTCGCACGTTTTCGGGGGACCAGAAAGAAGGTCGTCGCATACGAACTTTGCCTGAAAAGCAGATGCTCCAGAGAACATTTGCCCAAAATTTTCAACCCGCGCATCGGCCCATCTCGATACATCGTGATCAAACGCAGCATTGTTTTCAAACATTCGGAACATGTTTGTGACCTGCGACGTGTCCCAGCTTGAAATATTTGCATTGAACGAAACACGATTACCAAAACCGACGTAAAGTCTTCCAACCCACCCGCGCATGTCTGTGACCCGGCTCGTATCCCAATACTGCATCGCCCCATACTCACTTGCGTAACACATTCCATTTTCAGCATATGCTTTATCATCCATCGTTAGGCAAGTTTCTATTGCACTGTAAAAATTATCATCTGTTACAAGTGTGGGCGACTCAGGAGTTTTATCCACGCAGGTGCTCGCCGGACCATCGACAGGACAAGAAAACCGCAGAAAAAATGTTACAATATCTCCAAATAAATCCACGGAATCAGTTACTGAGGAATCGTCCCATTTCGAGACATCTTGCGTGAACGAATATGCTTTATAAAACATGCTGTTCATATTTTCGACTTTAGAAATATTCCAACTGCCTATGTTTTGATCAAAAGAGCGAGCCTCATAGAACATGTCTTTCATATTTGTAACTTGTAAAGTATTCCAATCTCCAATATATTGATTAAAGTTCACAGCTTGACGAAACATGCGGCTCATGTCGGTGACTTGAGCCGTATTCCACTCTCCAATATCTCGATTAAAGGCTGTGTTTCTGAAAATTTGATGCATGTCAGTCACTTTTGCAGTGTCCCACTTGCCAATGTCTTGATTGAATTTTGCCGCTTCCCAGAACATGCTACGCATGGTAGTAACTTGCGACGTATTCCATTTTGATATATCGCCGTTGAATTCCTGTTCTTGAGCGAATCCTACAAAACCGTTTCCATCGTGACCAACCATTCTCGTGATACGGGACGTATCCCAGTTGGGCATCGTTCCATACTTCTTTGTTTTCAAACCATACTCTGTGCACAGACCATCTTTGGGAGATTCTGCTAAACAGCTCGAAATGGCTTCTGAGAAGGACTCATCGAGCAGCACGTACTCGGGGTCAAAACAAGAAGTCAAGGGTCCAGCATCTGCATTAGAGCAATTAAATTTTGCTTGAAACGCTGTCGCTAACGAAAACATTTGACCTTGTGCATTTGAGGCAGCAAAGCCTTGCCAATTCGAAATATCGTGATCAAAGGCTGATGCTCTCATGAACATTCGAAACATGCTTACCACGCGATATGTGTCCCAACCACTAAGATCCTGATTGAAAGCGGAGGAACTATAAAACATAGCCTGCATATCAGTTACTTGTGCAGTGTTCCACTTTGATAAATCGGCGTTGAAAGTTGTGCGTTCACTAAAAGCGCCATTCATATTTTTTACAACACTTGTATCCCAATTTGGCATCGTGCCAAAGCCACTGAGAACTCCGTAAGATTCGCACAATCCGTCTACTTCAGCCTCTTGCAAACACTCCTCTATGGCGGCATTGAATGTTGCGCCGCGTAATCCGCACTCACTATGCGTTTGGCAAGCGCAAGAACTGATTGGTCCATCATCGCCTTCCTTACAAAAAAATTTCGAATTGAATACAGATGCACCTGAAAAAATGCCTTGACCAGAACTTGTAGCAGCGCTTCCTTGCCATGTTGATATGTCCTGTTGGAAAGATTTTGCATTGGCTAGCATTCCGTTCATGTTGGTAACGCTCAAAGTGTCCCATAAACTGATATCAGAATCAAAATGCCAGCAATGCGCAAACATCTCGTACATGTCCAACACTTTTGACGTATCCCATCGACTCAAATCCTGATTAAATATCATCCCATAATCGGTTGAATTCGAATCAAACATAGATTTCATGCTCGTGACGGATGACGTGTCCCAAGAAGAAATGTCACCATTAAATTGGCGACGTCCTAAAAACGCGGCTTGCATGTTTGTTACTGCGCTCACATCCCAGTCCGACATGACTCCGTATTTACTCCTCTCACTATATGATGTGCAGACACCAAAGAAGGGGTCTTCTTCCAAACACTCATTGATGGCGGCATGAAACATGGAGTCCAAAATACAGCCCGAAACACACACGCACGAATTAACCGGTCCATTAGTTGCATCCGTACACTCATATTTGGATATAAATTTCGTCGCTTCATAGAATATGACCGACTGTGGCGTCGATCCAATTGTACCTTTCCACATCGAGATATTACGCATGAAATTCGGAGTCATGAGAAACATTTCTTCAGCGTCTATAGCATTAGAAGTATCCCAGTCATGTAACGGTTGGTTAAACTTTTCAGCTTTCCAAAACATGCCTGTCATTTTCGTGACTTTCTCAACGCTCCATCCGTTGATATTTACATTGAAGTTTTTCGCAAATGAAAACATCCTTTCCATATTCTCAACGTTTGAAGTGTCCCAATTCTCAATATTTTGATTGAAGGCTTGCGAGTTGTAAAACATATATCCCATATCTGTAACGAATGAAACATCCCAACTTGAAATATCGGCGTTGAATTGTTCGTAGTTTGAAAATGCTCCGCGCATATTAGTTACGTTTGAAACATCCCAGTGAGGAATTTCCCCGAAAACCGTACTATACTTCGAACAGGATCCAATCTTACTGTCTAATTCTAAGCACGATGAAATGGCGATGTGGAAAGTCACGTCAGATAAGGGGGTTACGCACGATTGTGCGGGACCAGATACAATATTTCTGCATGAATATGTTGCCTGGAACGCTGAAGCGGTGCGGAACATATCTTTCTGTGGAGCAGAAGCCGCAACTCCTCTCCAGGTTCCGATCCCGCGCTCAAAAGATGTTGCGTTTTGGAACATGGATTCCATATTCGTCACACTGCTCGTGTCCCACAAACTAATGTCACCATTGAAAATTGATCTATCTTGAAAAGCTCCTCGCATATCACTGACGAGATGAACATTCCATTCAGGCATTACTCCAAAACCGCTCGAAGCGCCGAATGTTTCGCACAATCCGTATTCTGGATCTTCCGCCAGGCACGAAGCAAGAGAAGAATTAAATGTGGAATCAGTTAAACAACCGATGCAATAACACTGATTCAACGGTCCGTTTATTACGTCTGCGCATTTGAACGCGGCTTGAAAAGCAGTTGCGCCAGCAAACATATCAGTCTGTGTCGTTTCTGTGGCCGGTCCCTGCCAAGCTTCAGAGATATCCTGGTTAAACGAAGTTGCTCCAGAAAACATAGATTCCATGTTGGTTACACTTGCGGTAATCCATTTAGAAATATCGCCGTTGAAGAGTTCATAACCCTTAAATAAACCGCTCATGTTCGTGACGAGAGAGACATCCCAGTTTGGCATAGCACCGTATAAAGTATCTGAGGAGCACAACCCATCCACGGGATGAGAGAGTAAACATTCAGAGACCCCAGATGCAATTGCATCATCCGTCAACGGGCATGAATATTTACAATCGCACGAAGAAATTGGACCGTTCCACACGACATTCGCTCCTAATTCCAAGACACCACTGCAATTAAATCTCGTTTGAAAAGCTAAAGCTTCGGTGAAAATTCCAGACTGCGCGCTAGTAGCCGCCGCGCCAGTCCATATCAAAATATATTGGTCAAATTTCGACGCGCCATGAAACATGCGCTCCATATTTGTAACTCTCGAAGTATCCCATGCGCCGATGTCTCCGTTAAAAGAACGAGCAAATTTAAACATTTGGTACATACTCGTGACGCTCGAAACGTTCCACGCGGATATGTTACCGTTGAAATTTTCTCTCATGGCAAAAACACTTTGCATGTTCGTAACTCGACCAACGTCCCAATCTGGCATTGTTCCGAGCTTTCGTCTTGAACCAAATCTTTCGCACAATCCATAAATAGGGTCCTCGAGCAAGCATTCAGAAACTGCATCCATCAGATTCATGTCGTCGAGTTCTAATCTGCAAGCTTGTCCGACACAACAGTCTAATTCGCGAGAGCACATGCACGAACTTGGAGGTCCGCTGATCATACTCTCACATTTGAACTTGGCAAGAAAAGAATTCGCATTAGTAAACATTCCATCCATGTTGGTATCACTAGACGTAACTAAGAATGTAACATCGCGATCGAAAGCACTCGCACCTTCAAACATGCGCTCCATGGTGAGTACTTTAGTCGCACTCCAAAATGTCAAAGGCTTGTTAAACGAAGCTGCGTTGAGAAATAGCTTGTCCATAAAAACGACATTCGAAGTATCCCACCGAGAAATATCGCCATTGAACTCAACTTTGTTCTCAAACGCACTCCCCATGTTCGTTACCAAACTAGTATCCCAGTTTGACATGATGTCAAAACTCGTCGTGGATTTCCCGTAAATTTGACAATCGCCGGAAATCGGCGCCTCTTCTAGACATTTGGTAATGGCGAATTCAAAGGTAACATCAGTGACCAAAGTTTTACTTCTTTGCTGCTTACACGAGCTTAAAATAGTCTCGTCCTTGCATTTAAAATTCGCATAGAATTCAACAGCCCCGAGAAAAATACCATCTTGGGAAGAACTCGCCGCGAACCCTTCCCATACTGCGATCTCCCGAGCAAATGCTATTGCGTTTCGGAACATGGATTCCATATTCGTCACACTGCTCGTGTCCCACAAACTAATGTCACCATTGAAAATTGATCTATCTTGAAAAGCTCCTCGCATATCACTGACGAGATGAACATTCCATTCAGGCATTACTCCAAAACCGCTCGAAGCGCCGAATGTTTCGCACAATCCGTATTCTGGATCTTCCGCCAGGCACGAAGCAAGAGAAGAATTAAATGAGGAATCAGTTAAACAACCGATGCAATGACAGCTTTTGGGAGGGCCATTTTCGTTCTCTGCGCATGCGTACTGTTCAAAAAAAGCAGCTGCTCCAAGAAACATATTTGTCGTGTCGACTACACTGTTCGTATCCCATAGCGTTGATGTCTGGGAAAAGGATATTGATCTTGCAAACATACTATTCATACTCGTTACCGAAGACGTATCCCAATCTGATATGGTCTCGTTGAAGTTTTGTGCATCTTCAAACATACTAGACATATCAGTAACCTGAGAAACATCCCACGATCCGATTGCTTGATTGAAGGTGGTAGCCGTATTAAACATGCCGCGCATAGTTTTTACGCTACTTGTATCCCAACGAGAGATGTCTGCGTTGAAAATGGCTGAATACGAGCGATTGCAATCAGTCGCAAAATTATCACAGTTTGCCCCAAACGCGAACGACATATCGATAACCGAGCTTGTATCCCAATCTTCCATAATACCATAATCCGTTGTGACCGTACCATACGAAATGCATTTTCCTTCTTCTGGGGATTCAGCCAAACACGCACCAACAGCAGCTTTAAAGTTTGTATCGTCCAAACATAAACCCGACTTACACGTACACTTAACAGGAGGACCGTAATCACCGTTCGGACAACTGAATCTCGCGTGAAATGCATGCGCATCGTGGAACATATGATAAGTACCAGACGTGGTCGTAGTCGTTGAAGTTTCCGGCCAGGAGGTGAGATCTTGTGCAAACTCGTAGGCATAACGAAACATGTAATCCATATTTGTGACTTTCGATACGTCCCAGTTTCCAATCGGTTGATTAAACTTTTGCGCATGGTTAAATAAATATTCCATATTCGTCACGGATGAAACGTCCCAAGAGCTGATATCCTGGTTGAAAGAATACGCATAATAGAATGGACCAAACCTCATACTCGTGACTTTCGATACGTCCCAATTCGCGAGCTTAGGATTCGCATTCGAATCATACATCATGCGATACATGTCTGTCAAACTAGAAGTTTCCCAGTTGCTCAAGTCGCCAAAAAAACTGTGCTGACTATAGAACATGTACCGAAAAGTAGTCACGCTCGATACATCCCAGCCGTCAATCGCGCCGTTGAAAGTATCCGCACTTCGAAAGATGCCCTCCATGTTCTTGACGCGAGAGGTGTCCCATCCGTTCAAGTCTTGATTATATTTGTCTGCATTGTAAAACAACTCATACATAGTCGTCACAGACGAGACATCCCAAGAACTGATATCCTGGTTGAAAGAATACGCGTGGCTAAAAACCTCACTCATACTAGTCACTCTCGAAACGTCCCAGTTTGCAACTTTCGGATTCGCATTCGAAGTATAGAATATACGGTACAAACGTGTAAGACTCGAGGTATCCCAGTCGCTCAAATCTTGAGTGAAAGCGTTTGCATTTTGGAACATGTTGCTCATGTCCGTTACAGAGGAGACATCCCAGGCGGTGATGTTCCCATTAAAACTTGAATACCCAGAAAACAAACTTTGCATGTCTGTCACTTTACTCACGTCCCAGTCTGCCATAACACCGTATTCGCTCTCATAGCACTCGCCATTAGAAAAATATTGACCGAAGCTCACGAAGAAACATTCCCTGATGGCACTCCTGATGTTTGCGTTCGTGATTGGGGTCAAAACAGAGGATGGGGGAGGTAATAAACAAGATGAAGCAAAAGATTGACACCACCTCGGCGGTCCCTGATTTACATTCGGACACCAATACTTCGCCTTGAACGCCGTAGCGCCACTGAACATTTCGCTCTGGTAGTTCTCAACGGCGCTTCCAATCCACTTTGATACGTCGTATGTAAATAGACGAGCATCATTAAACATGTAACTCATGTCTGTGACCCTCGACGTGTCCCAACTCGAGACATTCTGGTTGAAAACGTAACAAAAACGGAACATGTAACGCATACTCGTCACTTGGGATACGTCCCACGTACCAACCTTGCCGTTAAAGTCGTGAGCGTACTCAAACATGTAGTGCATATCCGTCACGCTCGATGTATCCCATTTATCGAGATCTTGGTCGAAGTCGTGGGCGTAGTGGAACATGTAATACATGTTTCGAACGTTCGACGTGTCCCAACCGTTCACTTCGCCGTTGAACTTGTGCGCGTACGTGAACATGTAGTTCATCTCCGTCACGCTCGATGTGTCCCAAGCTGTCAAGTTGCGATTAAACATGTACGCGCGATCAAACACGCGGTGCATAGTCTGCATGCTCGAGGTATCCCACATCGCAATGTCAGGATTTGCGTTTGACGAATAAAAGATTCGGTACATGTCACGAACACTCGAAGTATCCCAGTCATTCAGATCGCGATCGAAGCTGTTCGCACCGTAAAACATCTGACGCATCGTAGTCACGCTCGAGGTGTTCCATCGAGAAATGTCGCCATTGAAACTGCCCTTGTTATAGAAAGCGTCTTGCATCTTCGTCACCAAGCTCACGTCCCATGTAGACATCACTCCAAATTTCGTCGTCGAGGTACCATAAGTGACGCAGTCTCCAGTGACAGCAGATTCGCTCAGGCACGAGTTTATAGCGGACTGAAAATTTGAATTCGTTAACTTCTCGATTGGGCCGCACGAGTTCAAGGGTCCAGATATCTCGTTTTCACAGAGGAATTTTCCAGCAAAAGATACTGCTCCGTAAAGCATTTCAGTCTGCCTGTCTTGCGTTGCCACACCAGACCACTGCGAAAGGTCCGCCGTGAATGATGTCGCATTGAAAAGCAAGTATTCCATGTTTGTGACGGCTCGGGTATCCCAACCAGAAATATCACCTTTGAACGCGATTCGATATTTGAAAGCTCCGGCCATGTCAGTCACTCGCGATGTGTCCCAGATAGATATAGATGCACCAAGCTTCGTACTGACACTTCCGTACGTTAAGCACGCTCCATGAATAGGATCCTCTAAAAGACACGCAGAAATAGCATCGTGAAAAGTAAAATCATTCAAACAGTACTCGAAATTGGAACAAGTGCAAGAACTCACCGGACCGTCATTTTGATCAGAGCACGAATATTTCTCGAGAAATGCGAGAGCGGAGGTGAATACAGAAGATGAAGTCGTCGTCGCTGCCGGACCAGTCCACCTAGAAAGTGGTTGAGAAAATGCGGTTGCATTACGAAACATTTCGTTCATGTTAATGACGCTTGACGTGTCCCAGTTTTGAATGGCCTGATTAAAGGAAATCGCCAAGTGGAACATCCCGCTCATGTCTACAACATTGACAGTGTCCCATTTTTGAATGGCCTGATTGAAGGAACTTGCCTCACGAAACATTTCGTTCATGTTAATGACGCTTGACGTGTCCCAGTTTTGAATGGCCTGATTAAAGGAAATCGCCAAGTAGAACATCCCGCTCATGTCTTTCACGCTCGAAGTATCCCAATCCCCAAGAGCTCGATTGAAAGTTTCAGCGCCATAGAACATACGCGAAAGACTCGTAACACTCGAGAGGTCCCAGCCATCGATTAAACCGTTGAACGAAGCAGCCTCGAAAAACATATAGTCCATGTTCAAAACACTTGAAGTCACCCACCGGTTTATGGAGAACGATCCAGTGAACGCCTTTGCTCCATAAAACATGCCGTCCATAGAAGTTACGCTTTTTGTCGACCATTTAGAAAGGTCACCATCGAAATGAAGCTCGTTCTTGAACGCATACGACATATTCGTTACTTTTGAAACGTCCCAATCTGATAATACACCAAACTTCGTTTGCATGGTTCCATAGCTTACGCAATTACCATCCACAGGAGACTCCAAAAGACAGTAATAAACGGAAGTGAAAAAATTTGTGTCTGAAAGTGAGTAAGTGCTGCTGTATTTATCGGTGCACTTAACAGGAGGACCGTAATCACCGTTCGGACAACTGAATCTCGCGTGAAATGCATGCGCATTGTGGAACATATAATAAGTACCAGACGTGGTCGTAGTCGTTGAAGTTTCCGGCCAGGAGGTGAGATCTTGTGCGAACTCGTAGGCATAACGAAACATGTAATTCATATTTGTGACTTTCGATACGTCCCAGTTTCCAATCGGTTGATTAAACTTTCGCGCATGGTAAAATAAATATTCCATATTCGTCACGGATGAAACGTCCCAAGAGCTGATATCCTGGTTGAAAGAATACGCATGATAGAATGGACCTAAACTCATACTCGTGACTTTCGATACGTCCCAATTCACGAGCTTAGGATTCGCATTCGAATCATACATCATGTGATACATGTCTGTCAAACTAGAAGTTTCCCAGTTGCTCAAGTCGCCAAAAAAACTGTGCTGACTATAGAACATGTACCGAAAAGTAGTCACGCTCGATACATCCCAGCCGTCAATCGCGCCGTTGAAAGCATCCGCACTTCGAAAGATGCCCTCCATGTTCTTGACGCGAGAGGTGTCCCATCCGTTCAAGTCTTGATTATATTTGTCTGCATTGTAAAACAACTCATACATAGTCGTCACAGACGAGACATCCCAAGAACTGATATCCTGGTTGAAAGAATACGCGTGGCTAAAAACCTCACTCATACTAGTCACTCTCGAAACGTCCCAGTTTGCAACTTTCGGATTCGCATTCGAAGTATAGAATATACGGTACAAACGTGTAAGACTCGAGGTATCCCAGTCGCTCAAATCTTGAGTGAAAGCGTTTGCATTTTGGAACATGTTGCTCATGTCCGTTACAGAGGAGACATCCCAGGCGGTGATGTTCCCATTAAAACTTGAATACCCAGAAAACAAACTTTGCATGTCTGTCACTTTACTCACGTCCCAGTCTGGCATAACACCGTATTCGCTCTCATAGCACATGCCGTCGACATAATATTTACCCGCGTTTGAAAATAAACAAGTCTTGACGGCGTCTTTGATGTTTTCGTTCGTGATTGGGGTCAAAACAGAGGATGGAGGGGAAGGCGGCGTCGAGGAAGTCGGGCAAGAATAAATGCAAACGCATTGTGTAGGTGGGCCTCGATTTACATCCGGACACCAATACTTCGCCTTGAACGCCGTAGCGCCACTGAACATGTTACTCTGGTAGTTCTCAACGGCGCTTCCAATCCACTTTGATACGTCGTATGTAAATAGGCGAGCATCATAAAACATGTAATTCATGTCTGTGACCCTCGACGTGTCCCAACTCGAGACATTCTGGTTGAAAACGTAACAAAAACGGAACATGAAACGCATACTCGTCACTTGGGATACGTCCCACGTACCAACCTTGCCGTTAAAGTCGTGAGCGTACTCAAACATGTAGTGCATATCCGTCACGCTCGATGTATCCCATTTATCGAGATCTTGGTCGAAGTCGTAGGCGTAGTGGAACATGTAATACATGTTTCGAACATTCGACGTGTCCCAACCGTTCACTTCGCCGTTAAACTTGTGCGCGTACGTGAACATGTAGTTCATCTCCGTCACGCTCGATGTGTCCCAAGCTGTCAAGTTGCGATTAAACATGTACGCGCGATCAAACACGCGGTGCATAGTCTGCATGCTCGAGGTATCCCACATCGCAATGTCAGGATTTGCGTTCGACGAGTAAAAGATTCGGTACATGTCACGAACACTGGAAGTATCCCAGTCATTCAGATCGCGATCGAAGCTGTTCGCACCGTAAAACATCTGACGCATCGTAGTCACGCTCGAGGTGTTCCATCGAGAAATGTCGCCATTGAAACTGCCCTTGTTATAGAAAGCGTCTTGCATGTTCGTCACCAAGCTCACGTCCCATGTAGACATCACTCCAAATTTCGTCGTCGAGGTACCATAAGTGACGCAGTCTCCAGTGACAGCAGATTCGCTGAGGCACGAGTTTATAGCGGACTGAAAATTCGAGTTCGTCAAACAATACGCAGAGGTGCAAGTGCACGAGCTTATAGGGCCGTTACTTGAGCTTGTGCAAGAGAATCTTTGATGGAATGTCAATGCCTCGAGAAAGATGCCCTCAGTATTTGTCACACTCGATGTATTCCATTTACTCAAAGGCTGATTAAACGCTCGAGCGTTGGAAAATGTATGGGACAAACTAGTCACGCTCGAAGTATTCCACGACGAAAGTGGCTGATTAAAAGTGTGCGCGTGTGTGAACATCCATTGCATGTCCCTCACGTTTGAAGTTTGCCAAGTGCCAATAGGTTGATTAAAGGAGGACGCGTAATGAAACATGTCACGCATGTTGGTGACGCTAGAGGTATCCCAGGAAGAGATATCTGCGTTGAAAACAGGTTCGTACTTGAAAGCGTACGAAAGATCCGTAACCTTTTCGATATCCCAGTTCGGCATCGTCCCAAAGTTTGTAGTAAGAAGACCGTATGTAATGCATTCGCCGTGTATCGGAGATTCAGACAAACAGGCTGTGATGGCATCGTAAATTGTCGAATCACTAAGAGGGGATGGCGTCGGTCGTACTTGGCACGAAGTTAAAGGTCCGCGCAAAATATCGGAACACAAGTATCGAGCTTGAAATCCAATAGCACCGTATAACATGTTATCTTGCATGGTCTTCGCGGCAGGACCCGTCCATTCATGCAAGGATTGTTTGAATGCAGTGGATCCATACAATATATAACGCATATCGGTGACGGCCGAGGTGTCCCAAGCTCCTATAGGTTGATTAAAAGAACGAGCGTTGTAAAAGAGTCCCTTCATGTTCGTTACTTTTCTAGTATCCCATTTGGATATATCTCCGTCGAAGTTTTCGTAATCTTTGAAAGCGTGAGATAAGCTCGTGACGCGAGAAACGTCCCAATCAGGCATAGCTCCGTATTTCGCTAATCCAGAACACAAGCCATCGACAGGATTGGTACTCAAACACGCAGAAATTTGACTCAAAAGAATAGAATCCGTGATTGGACAGTCAAACTTACACGTACACTTAACAGGAGGACCGTAATGACCGTTCGGACAACTGAATCTCGCGTGAAATGCACGCGCATCGTAGAACATATGATAAGTACCAGACGTGGTCGTAGTCGTTGAAGTTTCCGGCCAGGAGGTGAGATCTTGTGCGAACTCGTAGGCATAACGAAACATGTAATTCATATTTGTGACTTTCGATACGTCCCAGTTTCCAATCGGTTGATTAAACTTTCGCGCATGGTAAAATAAATATTCCATATTCGTCACGGATGAAACGTCCCAAGAGCTGATATCCTGGTTGAAAGAATACGCATGATAGAATGGACCTAAACTCATACTCGTGACTTTCGATACGTCCCAATTCGCGAGCTTAGGATTCGCATTCGAATCATACATCATGTGATACATGTCTGTCAAACTAGAAGTTTCCCAGTTGCTCAAGTCGCCAAAAAAACTGTGCTGACTATAGAACATGTACCGAAAAGTAGTCACGCTCGATACATCCCAGCCGTCAATCGCGCCGTTGAAAGCATCCGCACTTCGAAAGATGCCCTCCATGTTCTTGACGCGAGAGGTGTCCCATCCGTTCAAGTCTTGATTATATTTGTCTGCATTGTAAAACAACTCATACATAGTCGTCACAGACGAGACATCCCAAGAACTGATATCCTGGTTGAAAGAATACGCGTGGCTAAAAACCTCACTCATACTAGTCACTCTCGAAACGTCCCAGTTTGCAACTTTCGGATTCGCATTCGAAGTATAGAATATACGGTACAAACGTGTAAGACTCGAGGTATCCCAGTCGCTCAAATCTTGAGTGAAAGCGTTCGCACTTTGGAACATGTTGCTCATGTCCGTTACAGAGGAGACATCCCAGGCGGTGATGTTCCCATTAAAACTTGAATACCCAGAAAACAAACTTTGCATGTCTGTCACTTTACTCACGTCCCAGTCTGCCATAACACCGTATTCGCTCTCATAGCACTCGCCATTAGAAAAATATTGACCGAAGCTCACGAAGAAACATTCCCTGATGGCACTCCTGATGTTTGCGTTCGTGATTGGGGTCAAAACAGAGGATGGGGGAGGTAATAAACAAGATGAAGCAAAAGATTGACACCACCTCGGCGGTCCCTGATTTACATTCGGACACCAATACTTCGCCTTGAACGCCGTAGCGCCACTGAACATTTCGCTCTGGTAGTTCTCAACGGCGCTTCCAATCCACTTTGATACGTCGTATGTAAATAGACGAGCATCATAAAACATGTAACTCATCTCTGTGACCCTCGACGTGTCCCAACTCGAGACATTCTGGTTGAAAACGTAACAAAAACGGAACATGAAACGCATACTTGTCACTTGGGATACGTCCCACGTACCAACCTTGCCGTTAAAGTCGTGAGCGTACTCAAACATGTAGTGCATATCCGTCACGCTCGATGTATCCCATTTATCGAGATCTTGGTCGAAGTCGTGGGCGTAGTGGAACATGTAATACATGTTTCGAACGTTCGACGTGTCCCAACCGTTCACTTCGCCGTTAAACTTGTGCGCGTACGTGAACATGTAGTTCATCTCCGTCACGCTCGATGTGTCCCAAGCTGTCAAGTTGCGATTAAACATGTACGCGCGATCAAACACGCGGTGCATAGTCTGCATGCTCGAGGTATCCCACATCGCAATGTCAGGATTTGCGTTTGACGAATAAAAGATTCGGTACATGTCGCGAACACTCGAAGTATCCCAGTCATTCAGATCGCGATCGAAGCTGTTCGCACCGTAAAACATCTGACGCATCGTAGTCACGCTCGAGGTGTTCCATCGAGAAATGTCGCCATTGAAACTGCCCTTGTTATAGAAAGCGTCTTGCATGTTCGTCACCAAGCTCACGTCCCATGTAGACATCACTCCAAATTTCGTCGTCGAGGTACCATAAGTGACGCAGTCTCCAGTGACAGCAGATTCGCTGAGGCACGAGTTTATAGCGGACCGAAAATTTGAATTCGTTAACTTCTCGTGAACGCTTATTGCGCATGAGTTCAGAGGACCAGATTCTTGGTTTTCACAAATGAATTCCCTCCCAAAGGCATACGCTAAATATAACATCCCTTTTTGAGCAACTTGCGTTGCCACACCAGACCACTGCGAAAGGTCCGCCGTGAATGATGTCGCATTGAAAAGCAAGTATTCCATGTTTGTGACGGCTCGGGTATCCCAACCAGAAATATCACCTTTGAACGCGATTCGATTTTTGAAAGCTCCGGCCATGTCAGTCACTCGCGATGTGTCCCAGATAGATATAGATGCACCAAGCTTCGTACTGACACTTCCGTACGTTAAGCACGCTCCATGAATAGGATCCTCTAAAAGACACGCAGAAATAGCATCGTGAAAAGTAAAATCATTCAAACAGTACTCGAAATTGGAACAAGTGCAAGAACTCACCGGACCGTCATTTTGATCAGAGCACGAATATTTCTCGAGAAATGCGAGAGCGGAGGTGAATACAGAAGATGAAGTCGTCGTCGCTGCCGGACCAGTCCAACTAGAAAGTGGTTGAGAAAATGCGGTTGCATTACGAAACATTTCGTTCATGTTAATGACGCTTGACGTGTCCCAGTTTTGAATGGCCTGATTAAAGGAAATCGCCAAGTAGAACATCCCGCTCATGTCTTTCACGCTCGAAGTATCCCAATCCCCAAGAGCTCGATTGAAAGTTTCAGCGCCGTAGAACATACGCGAAAGACTCGTAACACTCGAGAGGTCCCAGCCATCGATTAAACCGTTGAACGAAGCAGCCTCGAAAAACATATAGTCCATGTTCAAAACACTTGAAGTCACCCACCGGTTTATGGAGAACGATCCAGTGAACGCCTTTGCTCCATAAAACATGCCGTCCATAGAAGTTACGCTTTTTGTCGACCATTTAGAAAGGTCGCCATCGAAATGAAGCTCGTTCTTGAACGCATGCGACATATTCGTTACTTTTGAAACGTCCCAATCTGATAATACACCAAACTTCGTTTGCATGGTTCCATAGCTTACGCAATTACCATCCATAGGAGACTCCAAAAGACAGTAATAAACGGAAGTGAAAAAATTTGTGTCTGAAAGTGAGTAAGTGCTGCTGTATTTATCGGTGCACTTAACAGGAGGACCGTAATCACCGTTCGGACAACTGAATCTCGCGTGAAATGCATGCGCATCGTGGAACATATAATAAGTACCAGACGTGGTCGTAGTCGTTGAAGTTTCCGGCCAGGAGGTGAGATCTTGTGCAAACTCGTAGGCATAACGAAACATGTAATCCATATCTGTGACTTTCGATACGTCCCAGTTTCCAATCGGTTGATTAAACTTTCGCGCATGGTAAAATAATTGTTCCATATCCGTCACGGATGAAACGTCCCAAGAGCTGATATCCTGGTTGAAAGAATACGCATAATAGAATGGACCATACCTCATACTCGTGACTTTCGATACGTCCCAATTCGCGAGCTTAGGATTCGCATTCGAATCATACATCATGTGATACATGTCTGTCAAACTAGAAGTTTCCCAGTTGCTCAAGTCGCCAAAAAAACTGTGCTGACTATAGAACATGTACCGAAAAGTAGTCACGCTCGATACATCCCAGCCGTCAATCGCGCCGTTGAAAGCATCCGCACTTCGAAAGATGCCCTCCATGTTCTTGACGCGAGAGGTGTCCCATCCGTTCAAGTCTTGATTATATTTGTCTGCATTGTAAAACAACTCATACATAGTCGTCACAGACGAGACATCCCACGAACTGATATCCTGGTTGAAAGAATACGCGTGGCTAAAAACCTCACTCATACTAGTCACTCTCGAAACGTCCCAGTTTGCAACTTTCGGATTCGCATTCGAAGTATAGAATATACGGTACAAACGTGTAAGACTCGAGGTATCCCAGTCGCTCAAATCTTGAGTGAAAGCGTTTGCATTTTGGAACATGTTGCTCATGTCCGTTACAGAGGAGACATCCCAGGCGGTGATGTTCCCATTAAAACTTGAATACCCAGAAAACAAACTTTGCATGTCTGTCACTTTACTCACGTCCCAGTCTAGCATAACACCGTATTCGCTCTCATAGCACATGCCGTCGACATAGTTCTTGGCAGAGTTTGCAAGCAAACAAGTCTTGACGGCGTCTTTGATGTTTGCGTTCGTGATTGGGGTCAAAACAGAGGATGGAGGGGAAGGCGGCGTCGAGGAAGTCGGGCAAGAATAAATGCAAAAGCATTGCGTAGGTGGGCCTCGATTCACATCCGGACACCAATACTTCGCCTTGAACGCCGTAGCGCCACTGAACATTTCGCTCTGGTAGTTCTCAACGGCGCTTCCAATCCACTTTGATACGTCGTATGTAAATAGACGAGCATCATAAAACATGTAACTCATGTCTGTGACCCTCGACGTGTCCCAACTCGAGACATCCTGGTTGAAAACGTAACAAAAACGGAACATGAAACGCATACTTGTCACTTGGGATACGTCCCACGTACCAACCTTGCCGTTAAAGTCGTGAGCGTACTCAAACATGTAGTGCATATCCGTCACGCTCGATGTATCCCATTTATCGAGATCTTGGTCGAAGTCGTGGGCGTAGTGGAACATGTAATACATGTTTCGAACGTTCGACGTGTCCCAACCGTTCACTTCGCCGTTGAACTTGTGCGCGTACGTGAACATGTAGTTCATCTCCGTCACGCTCGATGTGTCCCAAGCTGTCAAGTTGCGATTAAACATGTACGCGCGATCAAACACGCGGTGCATAGTCTGCATGCTCGAGGTATCCCACATCGCAATGTCAGGATTTGCGTTTGACGAATAAAAGATTCGGTACATGTCACGAACACTCGAAGTATCCCAGTCATTCAGATCACGATCGAAGCTGTTCGCACCGTAAAACATCTGACGCATCGTAGTCACGCTCGAGGTGTCCCATCGAGAAATGTCGCCATTGAAACTGCCCTTGTTATAGAAAGCGTCTTGCATGTTCGTCACCAAGCTCACGTCCCATGTAGACATCACTCCAAATTTCGTCGTCGAGGTACCATAAGTGACGCAGTCTCCAGTGACAGCAGATTCGCTCAGGCACGAGTTTATAGCGGACTGAAAATTCGAGTTGTTCAATAACGAAGAAGAGACGCATGAGTTGATCGGCCCATTGCACGAACTTTTGCAAGTGAACTTTTCAGTAAAAGAAGATGCTCCAAGGAAAATTCCTTCCTGCTCATCAGAAACGAAAGATCCTTTCCAAAATGAGATTAACTGATTGAAAGCAGTGGACCGGTGAAACATCCAAGCAGCGGAAGTAACACTGCTTAAATCCCATTGACGTAACTGCTGATTGAATTGAGTGGCACCATCGAACATTGCAAACAAACTTCTACATTTTCGAGTATCCCATTTACTCAAAGGCTGATTAAACGCTCGAGCGTTGGAAAATGTATGGGACAAACTAGTCACGCTCGAAGTATTCCACGACGAAAGTGGCTGATTAAAAGTGTGCGCGTGTGTGAACATCCATTGCATGTCCCTCACGTTTGAAGTTTGCCAAGTGCCAATAGGTTGATTAAAGGAGGACGCGTAATGAAACATGTCACGCATGTTGGTGACGCTAGAGGTATCCCAGGAAGAGATATCTGCGTTGAAAACAGGTTCGTACTTGAAAGCGTACGAAAGATCCGTAACCTTTTCGATATCCCAGTTCGGCATCGTCCCAAAGTTTGTAGTACGAAGACCGTATGTAATGCATTCGCCGTGTATCGGAGATTCAGACAAACAGGCTGTGATGGCATCGTAAATTGTCGAATCACTAAGAGGGGATGGCGTCGGTCGTACTTGGCACGAAGTTAAAGGTCCGCGCAAAATATCGGAACACAAGTATCGAGCTTGAAATCCAGTAGCACCGTATAACATGTTATCTTGCATGGTCTTCGCGGCAGGACCCGTCCATTCATGCAAGGATTGTTTGAATGCAGTGGATCCATACAATATATAACGCATATCGGTGACGGCCGAGGTGTCCCAAGCTCCTATAGGTTGATTAAAAGAACGAGCGTTGTAAAAGAGTCCCTTCATGTTCGTTACTTTTCTAGTATCCCATTTGGATATATCTCCGTCGAAGTTTTCGTAATCTTTGAAAGCGTGAGATAAGCTCGTGACGCGAGAAACGTCCCAATCAGGCATAGCTCCGTATTTCGCTAATCCAGAACACAAGCCATCGACAGGATTGGTACTCAAACACGCAGAAATTTGACTCAAAAGAATAGAATCCGTGATTGGACAGTCAAACTTACACGTACACTTAACAGGAGGACCGTAATGACTGTTCGGACAACTGAATCTCGCGTGAAATGCAGGTGAATCGCCGAACATATAATAAGTACCAGACGTGGTCGTAGTCGTTGAAGTTTCCGGCCAGGAGGTGAGATCTTGTGCGAACTCGTAGGCATAACGAAACATGTAATTCATATTTGTGACTTTCGATACGTCCCAGTTTCCAATCGGTTGATTAAACTTTCGCGCATGGTGAAATAAATATTCCATATTCGTCACGGATGAAACGTCCCAAGAGCTGATATCCTGGTTGAAAGAATACGCATAATAGAATGGACCATAACTCATACTCGTGACTTTCGATACGTCCCAATTCGCGAGCTTAGGATTCGCATTCGAATCATACATCATGTGATACATGTCTGTCAAACTAGAAGTTTCCCAGTTGCTCAAGTCGCCAAAAAAACTGTGCTGACTATAGAACATGTACCGAAAAGTAGTCACGCTCGATACATCCCAGCCGTCAATCGCGCCGTTGAAAGCATCCGCACTTCGAAAGATACTCTGCATGTTCTTGACGCGAGAGGTGTCCCATCCGTTCAAGTCTTGATTATATTTGTCTGCATTGTAAAACAACTCATACATAGTCGTCACAGACGAGACATCCCAAGAACTGATATCCTGGTTGAAAGAATACGCGTGGCTAAAAACCTCACTCATACTAGTCACTCTCGAAACGTCCCAGTTTGCAACTTTCGGATTCGCATTCGAAGTATAGAATATACGGTACAAACGTGTAAGACTCGAGGTATCCCAGTCGCTCAAATCTTGAGTGAAAGCGTTTGCATTTTCAAACATGTTACTCATGTCCGTTACAGAGGAGACATCCCAGGCGGTGATGTTCCCATTAAAACTTGAATACCCAGAAAACAAACTTTGCATGTCTGTCACTTTACTCACGTCCCAGTCTGGCATAACACCGTATTCGCTCTCATAGCACATGCCGTCGACATAGTTCTTGGCAGAGTTTGCAAGCAAACAAGTCTTGACGGCGTCTTTGATGTTTTCGTTCGTGATTGGGGTCAAAACAGAGGATGGAGGGGAAGGCGGCGTCGAGGAAGTCGGGCAAGAATAAATGCAAACGCATTGTGTAGGTGGGCCTCGATTTACATCCGGACACCAATACTTCGCCTTGAACGCCGTAGCGCCACTGAACATGTTACTCTGGTAGTTCTCAACGGCGCTTCCAATCCACTTTGATACGTCGTATGTAAATAGGCGAGCATCATAAAACATGTAATTCATGTCTGTGACCCTCGACGTGTCCCAACTCGAGACATTCTGGTTGAAAACGTAACAAAAACGGAACATGAAACGCATACTCGTCACTTGGGATACGTCCCACGTACCAACCTTGCCGTTAAAGTCGTGAGCGTACTCAAACATGTAGTGCATATCCGTCACGCTCGATGTATCCCATTTATCGAGATCTTGGTCGAAGTCGTAGGCGTAGTGGAACATGTAATACATGTTTCGAACATTCGACGTGTCCCAACCGTTCACTTCGCCGTTGAACTTGTGCGCGTACGTGAACATGTAGTTCATCTCCGTCACGCTCGATGTGTCCCAAGCTGTCAAATTGCGATTAAACATGTACGCGCGATCAAACACGCGGTGCATAGTCTGCATGCTCGAGGTATCCCACATCGCAATGTCAGGATTTGCGTTTGACGAATAAAAGATTCGGTACATGTCACGAACACTCGAAGTATCCCAGTCATTCAGATCGCGATCGAAGCTGTTCGCACCGTAAAACATCTGACGCATCGTAGTCACGCTCGAGGTGTCCCATCGAGAAATGTCGCCATTGAAACTGCCCTTGTTATAGAAAGCGTCTTGCATGTTCGTCACCAAGCTCACGTCCCATGTAGACATCACTCCAAATTTCGTCGTCGAGGTACCATAAGTGACGCAGTCTCCAGTGACAGCAGATTCGCTCAGGCACGAGTTTATAGCGGACTGAAAATTCGAGTTCGTCAAACAATACGCAGAGGTGCAAGTGCACGAGCTTATAGGGCCGTTACTTGAGCTTGTGCAAGAGAATCTTTGATGGAATGTCAATGCCTCGAGAAAGATGCCCTCAGTATTTGTCACACTCGATGTATCCCATTTACTCAAAGGCTGATTAAACGCTCGAGCGTTGGAAAATGTATGGGACAAACTAGTCACGCTCGAAGTATTCCACGACGAAAGTGGCTGATTAAAAGTGTGCGCGTGTGTGAACATCCATTGCATGTCCCTCACGTTTGAAGTTTGCCAAGTGCCAATAGGTTGATTAAAGGAGGACGCGTAATGAAACATGTCACGCATGTTGGTGACGCTAGAGGTATCCCAGGAAGAGATATCTGCGTTGAAAACAGGTTCGTACTTGAAAGCGTACGAAAGATCCGTAACCTTTTCGATATCCCAGTTCGGCATCGTCCCAAAGTTTGTAGTACGAAGACCGTATGTAATGCATTCGCCGTGTATCGGAGATTCAGACAAACAGGCTGTGATGGCATCGTAAATTGTCGAATCACTAAGAGGGGATGGCGTCGGTCGTACTTGGCACGAAGTTAAAGGTCCGCGCAAAATATCGGAACACAAGTATCGAGCTTGAAATCCAGTAGCACCGTATAACATGTTATCTTGCATGGTCTTCGCGGCAGGACCCGTCCATTCATGCAAGGATTGTTTGAATGCAGTGGATCCATACAATATATAACGCATATCGGTGACGGCCGAGGTGTCCCAAGCTCCTATAGGTTGATTAAAAGAACGAGCGTTGTAAAAGAGTCCCTTCATGTTCGTTACTTTTCTAGTATCCCATTTGGATATATCTCCGTCGAAGTTTTCGTAATCTTTGAAAGCGTGAGATAAGCTCGTGACGCGAGAAACGTCCCAATCAGGCATAGCTCCGTATTTCGCTAATCCAGAACACAAGCCATCGACAGGATTGGTACTCAAACACGCAGAAATTTGACTCAAAAGAATAGAATCCGTGATTGGACAGTCAAACTTACACGCACACTTAACAGGAGGACCGTAATCACCGTTCGGACAACTGAATCTCGCGTGAAATGCATGCGCATCGTGGAACATATAATAAGTACCAGACGTGGTCGTAGTCGTTGAAGTTTCCGGCCAGGAGGTGAGATCTTGTGCAAACTCGTAGGCATAACGAAATATGTAATCCATATCTGTGACTTTCGATACGTCCCAGTTTCCAATCGGTTGATTAAACTTTCGCGCATGGTAAAATAATTGTTCCATATCCGTCACGGATGAAACGTCCCAAGAGCTGATATCCTGGTTGAAAGAATACGCATGATAGAATGGACCATAACTCATACTCGTGACTTTCGATACGTCCCAATTCGCGAGCTTAGGATTCGCATTCGAATCATACATCATGTGATACATGTCTGTCAAACTAGAAGTTTCCCAGTTGCTCAAGTCGCCAAAAAAACTGTGCTGACTATAGAACATGTACCGAAAAGTAGTCACGCTCGATACATCCCAGCCGTCAATCGCGCCGTTGAAAGCATCCGCACTTCGAAAGATACTCTGCATGTTCTTGACGCGAGAGGTGTCCCATCCGTTCAAGTCTTGATTATATTTGTCTGCATTGTAAAACAATCCATACATAGTCGTCACAGACGAGACATCCCACGAACTGATATCCTGGTTGAAAGAATACGCGTGGCTAAAAACCTCACTCATACTAGTCACTCTCGAAACGTCCCAGTTTGCAACTTTCGGATTCGCATTCGAAGTATAGAATATACGGTACAAACGTGTAAGACTCGAGGTATCCCAGTCGCTCAAATCTTGAGTGAAAGCGTTCGCACTTTGGAACATGTTGCTCATGTCCGTTACAGAGGAGACATCCCAGGCGGTGATGTTCCCATTAAAACTTGAATACCCAGAAAACAAACTTTGCATGTCTGTCACTTTACTCACGTCCCAGTCTGGCATAACACCGTATTCGCTCTCATAGCACATGCCGTCGACATAATATTTACCCGCGTTTGAAAATAAACAAGTCTTGACGGCGTCTTTGATGTTTTCGTTCGTGATTGGGGTCAAAACAGAGGATGGAGGGGAAGGCGGCGTCGAGGAAGTCGGGCAAGAATAAATGCACTGACACCACCTCGGTGGGCCTCGATTCACATCTGGACACCAATACTTCGCCTTGAACGCCGTAGCGCCACTGAACATGTTACTCTGGTAGTTCTCAACGGCGCTTCCAATCCACTTTGATACGTCGTATGTAAATAGGCGAGCATCATAAAACATGTAATTCATCTCTGTGACCCTCGACGTGTCCCAACTCGAGACATCCTGGTTGAAAACGTAACAAAAACGGAACATGTAACGCATACTCGTCACTTGGGATACGTCCCACGTACCAACCTTGCCATTAAAGTCGTGAGCGTACTCAAACATGTAGTGCATATCCGTCACGCTCGATGTATCCCATTTATCGAGATCTTGGTCGAAGTCGTAGGCGTAGTGGAACATGTAATACATGTTTCGAACATTCGACGTGTCCCAACCGTTCACTTCGCCGTTGAACTTGTACGCGTACGTGAACATGTAGTTCATCTCCGTCACGCTCGATGTGTCCCAAGCTGTCAAATTGCGATTAAACATGTACGCGCGATCAAACACGCGGTGCATAGTCTGCATGCTCGAGGTATCCCACATCGCAATGTCAGGATTTGCGTTTGACTCGTGAAAGATTCGGTACATGTCACGAACACTGGAAGTATCCCAGTCATTCAGATCGCGATCGAAGCTGTTCGCACCGTAAAACATCTGACGCATCGTAGTCACGCTCGAGGTGTTCCATCGAGAAATGTCGCCATTGAAACTGCCCTTGTTATAGAAAGCGTCTTGCATGTTCGTCACCAAGCTCACGTCCCAATATGGCATCGGCCCGTATGTCTCCAAGCTAGAACAATAACCGTCCACCGGATTAGTGCCTAAGCAGCTGTTTACAGTTGTTTTAAAAGTTGAATCTGTAAGAGGGACAATAGCGAAACATGAACTTATTGGTCCTAACATTCCAAACGAACATATGAAAGCCTTGATGAACTTAGTCGCTCCGTAAAATAATCTTTCCTGCGGAGTTGTGGCAGCTGCACCGGTCCATTGGTTCAGATCGCGATTGAAAGAAGAGGCATTAAAGAACATTTGGGCCATACTTGTGGCGCTGCTCGTATTCCATCCAGATATATCGCCGTTGAATGATATTGCGTCTTTGAACGCGTAATCGAAATTTCTCACCAGAGCGGTATTCCAACTAGAAATATCTCCAACGAAATTATATCTATTTTCAAAAGTACTATTCATATTCGTAATTCTACCCGTGTCCCAATTCTGAACAATTCCAATTTTCTTCTCGATTAGACCAAAATTTGGACAAATTCCATACAACGGGTCTTCAGCTAAACACGCAGCGATCGATTCGTGAAAATTTTCATCTGATAATACATAATCTTGCGCAAAACAAGTGTTCGGTGGTCCATTCACGGCATTAGCACACGTGAAGTTATTTTGAAATGCAGTAGCGCCGTCGAACATGAGCCGAAACACCATAACATTCGCAGTATCCCAGCCAGAAACATCCGAATCGAAGGAAACCGCTTGATAGAACATCGCGTCCATGTTCGTCACGCTCGAGGTATCCCAGCGCGAAATATCACGATCGAAGGAGCTGCTTCCTTCAAAAACTGACTGCATATCTTTCACTCGAGATGTGTCCCAATTGCCAATATCTGCATTAAACTTGGCTGTCCATGCAAACATGTAACGCATGGTCGTTACCTGCGAGGTAATCCATCGAGATATATCTGAATTAAAAGTCGACTTGCCCGCAAATCCAACGATATCACCATCATCGGTGTACCCAATCATGCTAGTAACGAGGTGAGTGTCCCACTCCGGCATCGTACCAAACTTCGATCTCGATAAACCGTATGTCGAACAAAGCCCCTTCACAGGGTCTTCCATGAGACAAGCTTCAACTGCGATGTGAAAAGTTTCATCTGTCAAGCAATGGCTTGATAAGCACGAGCAAGAACTCGGAGGACCTGTCAGTGAATCGGCGCATTTATACTTCGCAATAAAAGCTTTTGCTCCTAAAAACATATTTGCCTGCAGAGAAAGCGCCGCCGGGCCTTCCCAAGTGTTCACGTGATGGTCAAACTCAAGAGCTCCATTAAACATTTCATTCATACCGAGAACTTGAGATGTATTCCAACGTCCTATGTTTTGGTTGAACTCGATTGCTCCGTCAAACATACCAGTCATGTCTCGAACGCTTGAAGTATCCCATTTAGAAATATCCTTATTAAATTTTGCCGCTTTTGCGAACATGAATTTCATACTCGTGACTTGTCCCGTGTTCCAAGTCGATAAATCGCCGTTAAATGCTGCTCTTCCTCCGAACCCAGTAAAAGATGATCCAAGTTTTCCATCCATATTGGTCACCCTGCTCGTGTCCCATTTCGGCATAACGCCATAATTTGTAGAGTTTGTACCCCACTTTGAGCACAAACCGTCTCTCGGGGCTTCTTCGAGACATTTTTCCACGGCAAGGTGAAAGTTACCATCCGTCAGATAGCAGTTTTCGCCTTTACAAACGCAGGAATTTGGCGATCCACTCACCATAGAATCACACTCGTATTTCTTTTGAAACGTTGTCGCTCCAGAAAACATGCCTTGAAATCCGTCTCCGACGCAGGATTCGAACAAATTCGTTACTAAGAGCGCAAATAGGTCGAGCGTAAACATGAAGCGCTTCGCCGTTCGTTTCGCGCACTCGTTCGATTCAGTCCTCCTCCTCCTCCTCCACGTCTTCTTCGTTGTGTTTGTCGTCTTCATACTGTTATTTGCTTCGTCGTACATGCGGATGATTGCCGTCCTTATTTTTCAAGACAAAAACTGTTTGTAATAAAAAGAGTCAGAAGCTGAGAAAATTATTTAGAGTGTCAGAGTAGGTCAAGATTCATCTGCAGCCAGCAGAAAGGAGAGCAAGCCGAAGAGACGCGACGACGACGACGACGACGACGACGACGACGACGACGCGCGCGCGAGATAGAGAGAAAGAAAAATGAGAGAGAAAAAAGAAGAAACGGAGAAAGGAAAGCAGAGAGAACCGCGCTCCAAATCATCAAATCAAAATCGCCCCCAAAAGACGCCTCACCCTCTTTTTTCGTTTTTAAAACCAATTTAATGCTTCCTGACCTTTTCGTTCGAACTCTTTTAAGCCGCTTTGAACGCGAATAAATCACAAACCAATCGCTCAGAGCGCTGATCTAAGTCTCGCGCAGGGGCGTTTGATCCTGAACAGAAACCGAAGTGTTGGTGTTTGTGACGTTTTCTGTGTGAAAGAAGTGGATTTCTACGGCGTGAAAATATGTGACGTCCACCTCCACAAAATTGTTTTTAGAGTTCTAGCTGAAAAAAAGAAAAAAAAAGAAAAAACTCTGTCAGGCTGTGGGAAAATAACTTTCTCGTTCGCGAGTTTGTTTTGAAAGAAGGGCAGCTTTCACCCGCTCATCGCTCATCGAGGATAGAGAGAGAAATCATACGTGCGTTTGTGTGTGTATGTGTGTGTGTGTGTGTGTGTGTGTGTGCGAGAGAGAACGAGAGGGAAAAGTGACATAAAAAAGATGTGCGCCGACGTCTCGCGTTTTTTCAAAAGAATAACTATTTCCAAATTTTAAGCGTGCGATCGTAGCCTGCGCTCGCAATAAAGCCGCCGATATTGCTTCTCTCACCATCATTATCGCTACTACTACTACCACTACTACGACTTCTTCTTCTACCTCCTCTTCCTCCTCCTCCTCCTCCTCCTGCTGCTGCTGTTCTTCCTAAACTACAATCCATTACTTTGCCTTCGTGTCCCTCCAAGCGGGCGAGTAAAGAGAAGTCTAGCGCACTCCACAGCTTAACCGTGCCATCAAAACTAGAACTACTGAACCAACATCCTCGTCTTGGTTCAAACGATACAGATGAAACAAGTCCAGAGTGCGCGGGAATTGTGTACGCGTTCTCTTGCTTTCTCAAATCCCAAACTTTTACGAGGTTATCTTCTCCGCCCGTAACGCATAAAGAATTCGTGACATCGACTGAAATCGACGTCACGCCTTTTGAGTGTCCTTTCATCGTCCACAAACATCGTCCCGATCTGAGATCCCACATGCGTGCGTACGCGTCCAAACCAGTCGAAAACAATAGACTTCCATCGTCATTAAAGGTGCAATCGTAAGACGGGCGCGAATGTGCCTCCTGGCAAAAGATTTCTTGCGAAGTATTTGCGTCCCAAAGTCGGATCGTTTTATCGTAACCCGCTGTGGCGATGGACGCGCCACTCGGATGATATTTAACCTTTGCTAAACGCCCAACGTGCCCAACGAGAGAAGCTATTTTTTTACCCGAAAGACTGAAAAGAGTGCACGTTCCATCCATCGAAGCGGAAGCAAACGCCGGTAAATCTTCTTCATTATCGTTTGTCGCCAATATTAAGGGCGAAAATGCTAGCCCGGTTATCCGCTCCTCCGAAGCTTTGATCGTAAGCGCGGGAATACAGTTAATGTTCTCGTCGCTACTTCTGCCGCGCATCATTTCTTCTTCATTTTCTCTTTTCTCTTTATTCATGCCGCTGCGTGCAATGTTCCAAACCTTGACAGCTCCAGTCCAAGAACCGCTTAAAACGATGCCGAGAGCTTCACTGCGGAAGTCTTCCTCGACACCATCGCTTTCATTCTTGATCGAAGACGCTACCATCATTCCGTGATGACTTTTGTCACCTCGCTCGAACAATAATGAAGCTACGGTACTAAGTGGTCTCGAATCCCCAATGACTGAGGATACAGGCGCAAATCGCAACCTTTTCAAATCTGCGCATTCTTTCCTTCTTTGATTTAAAAAAGTAACGCGCGTCTCTTTTTCTTCTTTCCCTGTGTCTACATCACCGTTATCTTTATTGCTATCCGTCAAAACTCTTTCCCTCGCACGTTGTAAGGAAAACTTCGCCGCGCGCATTCTCGCGCGCGTCAAAAGCGCGCTCCCTTCCGTATAAAACGTTTCTTTCCTCTTCTTTCTTCCTTGGTTATTCGCGGCGGTTTCTCCGTTCAATCCATTCGTGTCGTCTACTTCATCCACTTCTCTTCCCTCCCCAATAGCTTTCGTCGTCTTCGTTCTCGTCGTCGATGAAACAAACGCAGATAATGTCCTCTTCAACCGTTCTCTCCTTTCCGCTTTCCCTTCTCCAAAGAGACAAATCGGTTCGTCGAGAGACCGCAATCGTTCCTTCACCTCTCGGTCGCTCGTGGGAAGAGGAAGAAGAAGATCATCAAGCGCTGGAAGAGGCGGAGTAAACGACGACGACGCGTTTCGATGATCATCGATGCGGAGACGATTTTTACTAGTTTTATCTTCGTCTTCGTCTTCTCCTCGTCGTTTCCCGACGAACAGATTGAGCTCTCGCACGACGTCGTTTTTGTTCTCGCAAAAAGTTCCCTCGCCTTCCATTTCTTCTCTCTTCTCTCTTCTCTCTTCTTTCTTCTGTGTGTGTGTGTGTGTGTGTTTGGAGCTTCCTTCTTACCGAACGAGAGAAAGAAGAAGAGAGAGAGAGAGAGAGAGAGAGAGAGAGAGAGAGAGAAGAAGAGAGAGAAGAGAGAAGAGAGAAGACGACGACGACGAAGGGATTCTACGTGTGCGTGTGTCTGTGTGCGTCTGTGTTTGTGTGATTTTGTTGAGCGAAAAAAACAGACAAACAGAACACGTCATGTGTGTTTTGCCTTTAAAAAAAGAAAGAAAGAAAGAAAGAAAGCGAGAGAGAAGAACGTTTATAAAGTATTATTAAATGCGAATATGCGCTCGCCGAGGAGGACAACGAACGAGGAAACGATGATCCACCGGGCGCTGGAAGCGTTGGACGTGAGAGACGATTTGAACGCTCGGAGTGGTGGCAATACATCTACTACTACTACTACTATCCAAAGCACCAGAGGAAGAGGAAGAGGAGAAGGATTGGACGACGACGACGACGAATCTTTCCTCGTCGTCAAAACGTCTCCAAACGCAAACGGAGGCGAGAAGAATAAGATTCGCGTGGAGAAACAGAGACAAAGTTTCCTCTCGCGCGTCGCCGGGGCGAAGAAAAGTGAGATGAATGAGAAGAAGAACGAGAAGAGGAAAGAAGTAATAGAAGAAGAAGACGAAGAAGCGGAAATCTGTGCAGACGCGGCGACCGCCGCCGCCGCCTCCACCTCCTCCTCCTCCTCCTCCTGGGTTGGGATATCGCAAAAAGTCAAAAACCAACTGCGAGAGGTGGAGCGCAAGTTTGGCGGCGGCGGCGGTGGTGGTGGCGGTGGTGGCGTTGGATTCGGTAGTGGTGGTGGGTTTGGCGGTAACGGACAAAAAGTAACAGATAAGAGCGACAGAGCGACGGTGGAGCAAGCGCTCGATCCGCGAACTCGAATGATTTTGTTCAAAATGTTGTCGAGAGAAATATTTTCTGAGATTAACGGGTGCGTGTCCACCGGGAAAGAAGCGAACGTGTACCACGCCGTGCGCGTCATAGAAGTAGAAGAAGAAGAAGGAGAAGAAGAAGAAAAAGAAGACGAGAAACGAGAAAGGAAAGAAGGAGAAGATAGTAATAGCGAAAGTAGAGATAGAAAGGATGAAACGACGATGACGACGACGACGACAAATGAAAAGGAGGAGGAGGAGGAGGAGGAGGAGGAGAAGAAGGAGGAGAAGAAGAATGTAATCCAAATGCGACAACATTTGGCGGTAAAAGTCTACAAAACTTCGATACTCGTTTTTAAAGATAGAGATCGGTATGTTTCTGGAGATTGGAGATGGAGAAACGGATACGCGCGAAAAAACCCGCGAAAAATGGTCAAGACGTGGGCGGAAAAAGAAATGCGCAACTATAACCGGCTAAGAGAAAAAGGATTACGCGTTCCAAAAGTCATATGTCTGAAATCGCACGTTTTAGTCATGGAAATGATTGGCGATTCGGAAGGAAGAGCCGCACCAAGATTAAAAGACGCGGCGTCTTCGTTGAGCAGTAAGAAGATGCGTTCGTTATTCGAGCAGCTTTTGAAAGACGTTCGAACGATGTACCAGGATTGTAAGCTCGTTCACGCGGACTTCTCGGAGTATAACTTGCTCTATCACAACGGGAACGCGTGGATTATCGATGTTTCGCAATCCGTCGACCTCGATCATCCCAGATGTTTAGAATTCTTACGAGAAGACTTGCTGCATTTGAAACAATTCTTCTCGAATCGAGCGTATGATGTTGTCGTTCCGTCGGTGAAGGAAATGTTTGACTTCGTGACGGATCCCGCGATAAACGGTTCAAACATTGATCAATGCTTAGAACTGTTGTCGGAAAAAGCGGCGAAGGATTTTAAATTAGAAATTGAGATGAAATCGAGGCTCAGCCAAGGCATCGACTCGGCACAGATACAAAAAGATGACGATTTAAGAGCAGAAAAAGAAATTCAAGCTGCCGTATTTCATCAAGCGCACATCCCAAAAGCGCTCGAAGAGGTAGATTATGCAGATAAAGATCAAAGACGGCTGCGCGAGGCGAGCGAAGCCAAGGATGAGAAACGCTCCGAAGGCATTTATTATCAGACTATCACGGGAATGAATCACGATTTGAGCGGTCCGCGCGAGATGCCGAGTTTAATGCTGCTGAAGAAGGAAGATAAGGCGGCGATGAAGAAAGAGGCGAAGAAAAAAACGAAAAAGCAAGGGTTGGAAAAAGAAGAAGAGGTAGAAGGAGAAGAAAAAGTTGAAAACACGACGACGCCAGGAACAGTGAAAGTATCGCAAAATGAAAAAGCGACGGCGAGAGAAAACGAACACGATCGCGCGAGCGATTCAACTTTCAGTAGCGACGACGACGACGACGATGGAGAAAGCGCTTCTTCGTCTGAGGAGAAGAAGGTATGGGTAGATAGGACAAAGACGCCAGAAGATATAGAACGCGAGAAACGAGAAAGGAAACAGCACAAGAAAGATGTCAAAGCAGCAAAATCGCAGAAAAGAGCCGAGAAAATAAAGAAAAAGGACAAGAAGAAGGCCATTAAGAAAGGGAGCGGCAAAAAATAGAAGAGCGAGGAAGCAATTTCGATTCATAGTAGTAGTTCTTGTTTTCATTTCATCGAAGAGCTTCTTCGATTGTTTTATCCCCGACACCATCGCTAATTTGTTTATAGGCCGCGACTAACTCCCTCCTCTCCTTTTCAGTGATTCGAGTTTTAAAACCTTCGTTGATCATTTCAATCTCAGCCGAGTTTTCGGTAAAAGGAAAAACGTTCAAGACGCTCACGATGGAGAATAAAGATAACAACAAATCCGCAGATGGAGAAGACATTCCCTCGCGTTCTTTCCGAATTGCGGAACAACTCTCGAGAAGCAAATTTCTAATCTTCACCGCGCACGACGATCGAACAATGTTGATGGCTGTCTTTGTAGGAATGTTCAAGAAATAACTCAATCCAACCACAAAGATGTTCACCTCCATACCAAAACTCGAACTCACTCCAGAACGGTTGCCAACGCAGTCTTCTACCGCAATTTCTGACGCTTGCCGGTATAACTGCACGCGCGCATTTTCTGGTCCAACAGATTTTGCAATCGAGAGTCGATATTTGTTCTTTTCTTCGTACGGATAGCACTTTAAAGCGGCGGCGCATGCCGTGTGAAAATCTAAAATCATATCAGACGTCCATTGCACGCCGTTGATTCGAGCGGCTGAAAGGAAACTCGCGCTTCTTTTTGCATCTTGGAGCAAATCAGATTTTCTTTGTTTATCGATGCCACCAATTGATGTGCGGAGAAAAGGAGACTCTGTCCACCACGTGGGAAGGTTTTGTTGTTCTTTCTCTTCATCTTCGTCTTCAAAAGTTCTCGAGGTTGTTGATGTCGATGTTGACGTCGGAGAAGAAGAAGATGTAGAACTGAAATAAACTTCGTCTAAGGCGCTTCGTTCGCTCAACTTACTCCCTCTCTTACTCGCTTCGCCATCTGGAACCCAAACCTTGCGTCCGCCGAGACTTCTATCTATGACCCACTTGCCTCCCTCGTTTCTATTCTTCCTCTTGTTAAAATTGAAACCTCGAAAACCGGGTATGGTTAACTGGAACCCTCCTCTCGGTATTACCCGTTCACCATTCATCACTTTCACGACGACGTACGCTAAACCTATGAGCATGCTCCATCCAGCAATTGCCCCCGCCGCGCCCGTCAAACCAAAAATATTTGGCTGTTGTTGACGATACGCGTAATACGACGACGACGAAGAAGAAGGAGTCGACGGAGTAAACCGCACAGGTCCTCCGTCTCCTCCTCTTCTTCTCCCGCCTCCTAACGAAGATCCAGACGGTAACAACACGTCCGTCGCTTTCTGCACGTTTCTTCTCGCAAACCTTTTCGCTTTCTTCAACGCTTTTTTTACTCTTCTTTTCGCATCTTTCACCGCCGCCGCTGCCGTCGTTTTTCTCTCATCTCCCACCTCCGCTCTCGTCGTTTCCAAAGAAGAGGAAGAAAAAGCATTCTGTCGAATCTGCCGCCGCCGCTGCTGCTGCTGCTCCTGCTGTCGTCGCAGCGCGTCTTCCAACTCGCGCTCGTACTGCCTTCTCTTCCCTCCTTTCGCTTCCCGTCTTCTTTCTGTTGCCTTTATCGATTGTCCTCGCTCCTCCTCCTCTCGCTTTTTTAACTCGTGTTTTTCCCTCAGCGAATTCCTTTTCTTTGCCCACGATGAAGACGACGACGACGATGTTGAAGACGAGACGATGCGAAGAAGATGCATTCGCGATCTCTTCTTCTCCGTCAAATTCGTCGTCAAATTCCAAAATCGTTGTCCTCCTCCTCCTCCTCCTCCTCGTCGTCGTCGTTGTTGTTGTTGTTGTTGTTGTTCTCTGGTAAAGCCACCACCACTTCTCGTCGTCGTCGTCGTCGTCGTCCTCGTTTTCGCGGAGAGAGGAGAAAAAGGAGGAGGCGAAGGAAAAGTAGACATCGTTCTGTTTTTTTGTCTGCGTTTTTTGTCTAGATGCGCGGGTTTTCTTCTTCTTCTTCTGTCTGTTTGTCTTCTTTTTTTGGTTGGATTTCTTGCCATCTCATGGCACGACGACGACGCCTCTTCATTCATTCATTCACTCATTCATTCATTCATAAAAAAAGCGTTCGTTGGAAGAAGAGTGCGCACGCATCATCATTAATATCATCTTCGATATCGTCATCATCATGACATCGATCTCTTCGCCCTCTGTGTCCTCTCAAAGCCGTTTTCTTCATCTTTGTCTTCTTCAGACGACCCCTCAACAACAACGTCGTCAGAGTCATCGTCGTCGTCGTCGTCAAAGCCGTCGTCAAAGTCTTCCTTTCGCCGTGGTGAGTGACGACGCGACTTCGCCCGGAGAAGAAGAAGGAGGAGGAAGAGGAGGAGGTTTTAGAAATTCCAAAGCGTTCGAGGCGTTGCGTGAGGCACAGAAGCTGCGAGAAGTAGTAAAAGAAGAAGAGGAAGAGGAGAAGAAAAAGACGAAGAAGAAACCGAAAAATCCGTTCGAGGAAACGACGCGGCGAAAACCCAGTACTTCTTCTTCTTCTTCGTCTTCTTCAAAGACGTTTTCCTTCGTCAAAAAGTCGGTGGACGTGTCCAAGTTACCGAGTCTCCGAGACGCGGACGTTGTTTTGAGACGATTCGACGACGAACAAAGGAAACGCGTATCCTCGTCTTCGTCTTCTTCGACAACGACAACGACGACGTGCGCGGAACGCTCGCTTGGCAACGCCGTTCGCACACTTTCGTATAACTCGGAGACGGTTATGTTTGGTATCTGCGCGCAAACCGGTCGAGAAGGCATCGATGCCTTGAAAATTTGGACGGAGGAGTTGAACCTTCCCAAAGGAAAGTTGCACGGTTTAGACACGGATGGGATTCCGAAACCGATTCCAAGCGAGGCGGTGTTTATAAAGTACAACTCTTTGTCCGGCGACGCGTTTTGTAGCGAGTACCACGGCGAGTTTAGAGGTGTCCTTTTTACCCCAGTCTTGAACGACGGGGTGTTTAGACAGTTTGGTTATTTAGATCTTTCCTTGTTCGACGATAACAACGACGCCGACGTTAGATTTTAGTTTTGTAGCATTAGTACACTTTTTTGGCTCGCACTACTCTCTCTCTCTATTTTGGTCGTCTCGGTCACTACTTATCAGTCGCTGCTGCCGCTGCGGCCGCAGCCGCTTTCTTTGTGAGATTTACTATTTGATCCTTGATAGCTTTTCGATCGTACGCAGGTTCTTGCCATTCGATTCGTACTTTACCTAGATTTTGACCTCCCATTCGTAGGCTCACAGTCATCCCAATAGAGTCGATTTCACACATTTCCGCCTTCATATTCTTCTCATCATCACTGCTGCTACTACTATTGCTACTGCTGCTACGAATTAAATTCATATTCTCATCTCCGAAAACCACCATCTTTACGATATCCAGCGTACTCTCCGCGTGGTCTTCGTTCATGTGTTTGCACACCGGCGCCGAAAATTTTCTCACCGGGTCGACTTTCGCGCTTTGGTAGTCCGACGCCCCGACGGTAGCCGCGCGGCCAAACCCACCGACGTACTTCACTTCTTTCAACTCGGTCATTTTGAACCAACTGAAATCGCCAAAATCCACCCAGAACGCATCCGGGTGATGCTTTAAATATATCTCTCGCGCTTTCGCTCTCTCTTTTTCGTCTTCGATTTTCTCCACTGAGCCGACGAGCGTCGCGCGAGCAGCGTCTGGTCTCATGCCACCACTCTCCGCGCAAAAAAGTGACGCTCTCTTATTCTTCAAAAGGTCCCTGGTGTGCGAGGAGAGTTGCGACAGCGCGAATATCGGTAAGCCCGCGGCGGCGGAGGAGCGCGTTGAAACTCTCTCGCTTCCTTCTTCCACATCTTCTTCTTCTATCGCAAACGCGGCGAAAGAACCCACCGGATAGGAAGGATCATCTTCGCGCTCCTTTTCTCCGTCTTTCGTCGTTTTCGGGTTCGTCGTTGAAGAGGAAGAAGAAGAAGAAGACGCTATCGTGCACAAAACGCCACCGAACCCGGTAAAACTCGCGTTGCTCACCAGCGTTCTGCATTCCGCGGCGACCGATAACCGACGACTCTTGTGCGCTTGCAACACGGAGAGAATCTTATCGAACGTTTTCCCTTCCTCCTCCTCCTCCTCCTCTTTTCCCTTGCTCTCGTTTTTCATGGTGGCGTTCGTCCGAGAAGCAAACGACGTTTTCGTCGTCGTCGTCGTCGTCGTTTTCGTGCTCCTCCTTCTCAAAGAAGAAGAACAAAAAGAAGAAGAAGAAGAAGAAGAAGAAGAGGGCAAAGCCGTCCTACGCGTCGACGACGTCGAGAAAAAGAGCAGTCGCGAGGAGGCGTTCATAGAAGAGAGCAGCGTCCGAAAAGGCGTGTGCGTGCGCGTGTGCGCGACGAGGGGAGAAGAGTGTGGAGGAGGTAAATGACGTCGTCCTCTCTCTCTCTCTCTCTCTCTCTCTCAATTTTTCCTCGTGCATTTTTAAAATTTCAACCGAAATTTTTCCTCATTTTTTTAAAGTTTCACTCTTTGCACCGTGCACTTTGAGTAAAAAAATGACGACAACACCATCAACATCAACAACACCATCAACATCATCACCAACGTTCTCGTTCTCTTCTTTCCCGCGAGTGCATCCTGTGGATTGGAACCTTCTCGAGCGAGTGCCTTCGCCGGAAGATATCGTTCGTTTACACGACGTGGACGGTTTAGAATTGATTGTGGAAGACATAATTCGAGGCGATTTCTCCTCTTCTTCTTCTTCTTTTCTTCCTCCTCTTCCTCGCGACGAGAACGACAATAACGGTGACGACGATGACGACGAGAACAAAAAGAAAGCAAAGTTAAAGGAGAAGGCGTTTCGATTGGCGCAGCTTCTGGTGGAGTATTTGCTCTTCGTGCAAGACGTTTTGGTCGAACGGAAAACCGCTTCCCAAATTGAAAACGACAAGTTAAAGACAGAATTGGAAGTGTGGGTGAGAAGAGCGAAAGAGGAACGGGAGAAGAGGAAAGCGCTGCAAAATACAACGCGAGCGAATAAAAAGGAAGATGAGAAAGAAGAAAAAGAAGAAGAAGAAGCGGGAGTGGTTGTTGAAGAGTTGAAGGGAAAACTCAAAGAAACGATGGACGCGCTCGAACGCGCGCGCGCAGAGTTGGAGGAGTTTAAAAGACAACAAAAAGCCGCCGTCGCTGGCGGAAACGAAGACGAACGCGGAAACAGAAAAAGTGGGAAGGAGAACAGCGTAGAGGCCAATGGTGGAAAAAATAACGGTAGCAACGCCGCCGCCGCCGCCGCCGCCGGAGGCGTAGATAAGACACAGTATTCCGGAAAGTTAAGGCAAGAGGTGAAAAATTTATTAGTTCGCGTAGGTGCGAAAAGTGCGGGGAAGTTGAGCGATAGGAACACGGCGAGAAGCTTTGGAAAGCTTCAAAAAATTATCGAATCGGAGAGTAATTCGAGCGATAGGAGCGCCGCGGAAAGAAGAAAGTATCAGGAGACCAGTAGGACTTTGCACTTAACGCTTGTTAATGGTGAATCTTTCCAGGTGATATAAACCGGGTAAGATGGAAGATGGAAGGCCTTGGATTTAAAACACAGACAGCCGGGCTTCTTCTTTTTTTGCGCTTTGTGATCTATAATTAAAATTGCTGTACTATCTAAAATCTATTCTCGCGTGTTAAGTTACGACCTAATAGTCATCACACGGAACATAATTGTGATTCCCGGTCCGAAAGCTAGGCGCGACTTTTGTAGACTTTTGAACGCCGCGTGCGTTCTCTCATCTTAAAATCTTCGTCAATTTTTTTTTCGGAAAGAGTTTCGTATACGCGCGTTTTAGACGCGAGAACGAAACTGAAAACCAGGAAACATTCAAAACACAAGAGAGAGCAAATCTCAAAGATAAACTTGGGTGCAAAAATTGCCCAAGTCATGAGATGTCGTCGCTCGTATGCGACAAAGAAGGTTGAAACGAAAACGCCTAATCCGCGAAGAAACGCGAGCGTGAGAAAGCCAACACTCCTGACGTTCAAATCCACGCGTTTTTGTTTTTGTTCTTCTTGCTCTTCTTGTCCTTCTTGTTGCTTCTCCTTCCATCCTCCGCGCATCGACAACGACGACAACGACGACGACAATGAAAAGTACGAAAGAAATATTGGAAACATCAAGACTGAAATAATTTCTCCGCAGAAAGTATCCAAGCCTAACAAAATTCCACACAAATACCAGTTGAACGAATCCATTCCAGTCATCCCAGCGGTGAACCTCAATCCATTAAACTTTACCCAATGACCTCCTCCATAAAATATTACTTGCGAGAACAGCAAACTCGCCACGCACGCGGTAAAAATACTTCCCGAGAGGAATATTGTCTTTTCTCTTTCTTCTTTTTCGTCTCTTCGGCTTTTGGACAGTGATGAATGACGCGCATCAGGGCGCGAAGTAGACGGAAATAAAGTCAGCATATTACCGATAGATTTAGAAGAGAAGTTTATCATATGCGCGCTGAGGAGTACAAACACTCCGCCGATGTGAGTTGAGTTTGTTAAGACTGCAAACACTGGCAGCAGCGTCCACAGAAAATCTCTCGAATTCAGTCTTCGCCTGGGACTCAAGCTTTCAAACTGGCGCGTCACCGGGAACCAAATCCAGCTGCACGCGAAAACTATTCGGGGATACCAAAGATTGTTTCTGTACGTGGCGCTAAATGCCCAAAAGATCCAAGAAACAGCCATCTCAAAATTTTGAAGATGGTGAGACATCGCAAAGCAAAAAGTTGCAAAGATCAACAAGCTCTCTCGCGAAGACGAAATTTCTTCAGTTGAATTCGTTTTCACCCACGTATCTCCGATGCGAGCTAATAACGCGTTGCAGATCATAGCTAGGATTGCGTTATAAATTACTCCATCTTTTGCGAACCTATTCGAGCTTACGAAGCTATCCCGTGGGTGCTTGTTCTTATGAAATCTCAATCTATCAATGCACGTTGACGCAAGTAAAGTCGCCAGGAGATATTGATACATCTCTCTTTCACTCTCTATAAATGAATTGGAACATCTCGCGGCGAGCGACAAGAAATACACTACCACGCTCGCGACAAATAAGCAAGGAAACGACGTGAATGATTGCGAATTCGTCGCACTACTCGCACTCGTCGGCGCGACTTTTTTTCTTCGCCCAGTCTCAAATTTTGCGTCGGTGACGTCGGCTTTAGAAGTAAAGTACGCGATGCAGTACATGTATAACAAAAGAACGCCAAAAAAACCGATAACTCCAAATACCATGGAAAGCATTCCGAACGTAACCCACGCACTGCGCGTCATCGTTTGTGTTTCTCTCAAAAACGCAAGTCCCAGCTCTTTTTTTTTCTCGCGCGAGCCAGTACTCTCCAGTCGTGAAGTGTTCTGGTACCTACCATGCATTTCTTCGAGTCGAGTAAACGCCGACGTTTCAAAACGTTTCACGCGATGATACGCGTTGATGTACCTCCAAACCTGACGCACGTTCTGGTCGAGAGCGTATGCAAAAGACGCGCTACCTCTTTGTTCACCATTATTAGTATCGGCGTCATCCTTTTCATCGTAATGAAATAAGTTCCAAAGTTTCTCGTTTACCACGCCGAGCGAGGAAAATGGTATGGGAACATCCATGAGCACAGCAAGCGTAGGAACTAAATCTATTTGCAACATTTCACTCTCAATGATATCGTCGTCGTCGTCTCTTTCAAAAACTTCCTTGATATTTCCGTGCGGACGATGCGCGAAGAGGAACGAATTCACTTCAACTTCGGAAGAACCGCCATGGTCACCTTCGTCGGTCATACCATGATCCCCGAAAACTAAAAACAGCGCGTTTTTGTAAACCTCTTTTTCTGTCTTCATATCATTCATAATGTTCCTAATATCTCTGTCGTTTTGTTCCAACTTATTCCTCATCTCTTTTGTTTTCGCACCGTACGTGTGGCCGACGTGATCGGCGCCAAGCATATGGCCAATCCACACGTCCCAATCTGCAACATTGCAATCAAAACTAGCGCTATCGTTGCTAGTACTACTACTACTATTATTATCACTATTACTACCATTCCTATTCTTTAGAGCCAACGCGTGCGCTTTCTTCCAAGAGTTACGAACTCCCGTATCGACCGTTTCGGTATCTCTTACATTCATCGAAGGAAACGCTTCAAAATCAGTAAAATAGGAAGAAGAAAAAGAAGAAGAAGAAGAAATATTATTGCCATCGTCGTTGATTGATGGTGGGAATAAATCTGCCCACGTATCGTCGCCCGAAAACAGTATCCTTTTCTTCCCGTTCCGATGAAGTTGATGTATCAAATTGTCTTCCTCGAGCGTTTTTGAACTGAACGAATTCGAAACGTCAACGAACGTTGGAAGAGAACCGGTCAAGAGTCCTTTCAGCCGCTGCGACGTCGTCGTCGGTGCGTCCGCGATGAATTTAAACAGCAACGAATCGGACGTATCGCTATCGCTGTCTATATCGTCGCTCTTTTCCTTTCTCCATTTCCTCTTTCGCGCAGTTGCTCCTGCTCCTGCTCCTGCTCCTGCTCCTGCGGTGTTGTAATAGTAGTCTCGCAGCTCCGTCAAGCCATGGTTTTTGTTGCTCTCATCATCACTTTCTTCGCGTTTCAGAGCAGAATGTGACGCAGAGTTGGCGACCCAATCGTATCGCGCTGCGTCGATGATGAGCACGATGAGCTTATCGATTACTAGAGAAGTAGTAGTAGTAGTAGTGAAAGAAGAAGAAGAAGAAGAAGAAGAAGAAGAAGAAGAAGAAGAAGAAGCGTCCGTCGCGAAGCTTTCACCGGCGTGGCTCGACGACGACGACGATGATTTTTGCGCGAGTTCAACGCGCACGAATAAAAATCCTCTGGCGAATAATCCAACGCAGCACAGCTTCAAACATCCGAGACTCCCCAAAACGAGGAGGACGACGATGAAGTTCGTCCTCTCCCCGCCGCCGCCGCCGCCGCCGCCGCCGCGCGAGGACGAGGTGCTGCTGCGAGCTTTCATCTCTTCTTTTCTCTCCTCCTCTTTTCTATACTAATGTTGTGTTCGAATAATGTTGTTTTTTTTTGTCCCAACGGTTCAACACAAACATTAGAAAAGAAGGACGTTGAGAATCAAATTGAGATCAAAAATTTTTTTACATGACCTTGAACTTTATTTGGCCGTCCCTCATAAAACGTACACAGTACGAGTAGGAGATAAAAATTCTTCCATCTCTCTCTACCATCTTTTCTTTTCTCCTCGAGCAACGCTTCCTCTCTTGTTACACGCGCGCGCACGTACTTACTACACGCGAACGCGCGGGGAACCACGGCAGACGCGTTGGGCATCTCGCGCGAAAGAGAAAAAAAAAGGGCAGTTTGAAGAGAGAGAGAGAGAGAGAGAGAGAGAATTCTCCTTTCACGAAAAGACGCAGAAGAGAAGGAACTTGAAAACAAAAGTGAAACAAGAGGGCGCCCTTTGGAAATCGCGTCATGAGCAGCGGAAACTCCACCGCGCTTTTGAAGATTTCCGGTTTGCCGGAACCCGGAGAAGCGCTGAGAGCTATTCTGATCGGATCGATTCCAACCTTTCAGCAGAGAAAGAGAGCTTCTTCCAACGTTAAAAAGAAAAAGAAGGAAAAGACAAAATCGTCATCCTCTCCAAACGACGATAAAGAAAGGGTCGACGACGCACAAAAAAATCATCCTCAACGTTCTACTTTTAGTACTATTGAAGAAGAAGAAGAAGAAGAAGAAGAAGAAGAAGAAGACAAAGAAGAAGAAGAAGAAGCGCTCGTGTTAGAGTTCCAATGGTTTCGAACGACGAAAGGAGACGAGAGCGAGGAAAACCTCGCGATCGTCGGCGCTACTGCTCCGATTTATCTTGTGAGGAAGGTTGATGTGGGTTGCCACATTAAAGCCGTCGCGACTTTGCGCTCGCAGTCGAGAGAAGGGATTGTTTTAGCCACGTTCACGGGAGAACTGGAAGCCGAAATAAAAGACGGCGATCTTCACCGAGGGAAAAAGAAAGTGAAAAAAGGAGGGAAAGCGTTTCTGGCTTCAATATCTTCGCCGTCGGAAAAGAAGGCCCTCGAGGACTCGTCTTCCTCCTCGAGGACGACGACGACGACTCGGACGGCAACCGCGACGCCGCCGACAACGAATGACTTTTCGAGCGGAAAATCGAGCGCAGTCGATGCTTCAATGGATCGAACGATGAGTAACAGCGCTGATGCCACGACAAAGACAACTTCGAAGACGATTAAAGCTTCTTCAGATGAAACTCTTTTGAAGAAAAAACGCGACTACGACGACTATATCGACGAATTATTATATGATTCTAACGATTCTTCGCAAGAAGATGACTACGGCGACTCTAGCACATACGTTGACGTTCTGCAAAAACTCAAGGCTTACGCGCGATTGCGCATCCGACACATGGGTCATTTTTCCAAGCTCTTGAGTTTTGCCGCGTTTGTAACTTTGTATTGCGCCATGCTGTATTTACAAACTGAGCCTGTTCTAAGTTACGAGGTTACATCTTCAGTATCTGGTCTCTTAAAGCCAAGGATCAAGCAAACGCAAGACATATACTACATGTACGATTGGTTATCCGAGAGCGTCGTTGACTCGATTTGGACTGATATACCGTGCGGCGACGGCATTTGCCAAGCGCCTTACGAGTTTCCCGCTTTTGGAAGATTTGGTTGTAAAGCGGATTGCGGCGTGGCGATAAATTTAATATCGCTCGTTATTCACATTCAAACTAAGTTTGGAAACTCTCCGGCACTGAGTGCTTTGGAACTCATGTCGCAAGTGACTTGGAATTTATGCTTGCAAGACCCGGGCCGAGTCGCGAACGATTTGCCTGATTTGTGTTGGTACGAAAAAGATCAAAAATTTACCGAAGTGAATACGAATACGCTCATTCGATTGAACGTCATCAGTGGTAACTGGCACTTTCGTCTGCGAGGCGATCATCTAGGTTTAGTCGCGGGTAAGATTTATCGGCTCGAAGAGAACGGTGACTTGGTCTTGACACCGACGGTTCCTTTGTGGCTGACTTGCACGAAGAACTCCTTGTTCAAAAACGTCAAAGCGAGGATCTCAAAGACAACTTCTTCGAATTCCGAAGGAAGGTTGTCATCGAGAATTTCTAAATCTGATTTCATGAGCGCGGACGAAAGCGTTCGCGCGGCGCCGCGAAGGCAGTTAGAAACTCGCTCATCCTCTCTCGACTCGACTTTCGACGAGAGAAGCGGAGCACAAAATGCGACGCGACCGCGATCTTCTTCTCACGACGAAAACGAAAACGACGAATTGTTTATTCAACAAGGAACCACAAAGATAGAGAAGAAGAAGAAGATTATGATGATGACGGATGGAGAAACACGAGATTTTATAGCGGAGAACATAGCGAGGAAGCGCGAAGGAAAGCGAATGATGGTCGAGAAGAAAAACGAAGAAAATTTCGCTTCTTCGCTTTCAAAATCTAGCTGGGAAGTCACGAACTCCAATTTTCATGACGCGATATCTGAATGCTTGTCAATGAACGAAGCTTCGCATCGAGAAGATGGCTTGTGCGAGAAAGGGATATTCGGTGCGATGCCGGATTGGGACACGCGTCTCGTGACGAATATGGTCTCGGCGTTTCGGGATCGCTCCGATTTCAACGCGGATATTTCTCGCTGGGATGTTTCGCAAGTCACGGACATGGAAAGCATGTTTGCCTCGTCTTCAAATTTTAATCGAGACATTTCGAGATGGGACACCTCAAAAGTAAAGGATATGCGATGGATGTTTCACAATGCGACGAATTTCGATCAAAATATTTACAACTGGAGCGGATATGCGGCAACTTCTCCGCAATCAAAAATGTTCGCCGGCGCTGACGCTTTCAACGAAAAATTTGCATGCATCGTCAAAAATCAAGTGAGCTCGTGTAAAATCAGCTCTAAAACACGCGATGCAAACTTATTGGAGAAGAAAATGAATTCATCCGAGCGTCCATCAGCGTCTACTAATAAGCAGCAAGGTAGAGAGCTCCTTCATTACCGCGGTGTATATAATGGTGACATTCATTTGAACACGGGCGAATTCGACTGTCCGTTTGAGACGTGCGTTCCGAGCGACATTGACTTTTGTCCGTGCTTCAACATAGAGTGTTGGGATAAAGTGCCGCCATCTCCACCTCCTTCGCCACCACCACTTCCTCCGCCGCCGTCCTCGCCGAGTCCGCCGCCTTCTCCTCCTCCTTCTCCTCCTCCTTCGCCGCCGCCACCGAGACCACCGCCTTCACCTCCACCATCTCCTCCGCCATCTCCGCCTCCCTCACCTCCACCATCTCCTCCACCAAGTCCTCCTCCCTCCCCTCCCCCTTCGCCACCGCCATCCCCTCCTCCCTCGCCTCCTCCTTCACCTCCACCAAGTCCTCCGCCCTCCCCTCCTCCTTCGCCTCCTCCTTCGCCTCCTCCGAGTCCACCACCTTCACCACCACCTTCACCACCACCCTCACCACCACCGTCCCCTCCCCCATCTCCTCCACCATCTCCTCCACCAAGTCCTCCTCCCTCCCCTCCCCCTTCGCCACCGCCATCATTGGGTGTCTGTCGTTATGAACAGC